AAACTGGCCCCCCGCCCTCTCCCTCCTCTCCAAACACGGCGCCCGCCTACCCGCCTCAACAACCCTCTCCCTCATCCCCTCCACCCTCCCCGTCGCAGACCTGACATCCTATTTCCGCGGCCGCATCCGCGCCGCAAACGAGCGCCTCAATCAAGACCGCATCGTCGCGCGCCTCCTCGACGTCAACTACCGCGCCGTGGAGTCAAGGCTTCTCCTCGGTGACGAGCATGTCTCCCATGAAAGGGGGGGTGAGAAGCACAAGCCGGGTGGCAGGAATCGAAGGGTTGTTATTTCCGAGGAGAGGCATTGTGGGGTTTGTCATAAGAGGTTTGGGGGGTCGGCGATTAGGGTTTTCCCCGATGGGAGTGTCGTGCATTCGGGGTGTTTGAGGGGGAGTGTTGGGAGGAGTGCTGGTGGTGGTGGAGGAGGTGCGGGAGGAGGGAAGGGGAAGTGGGAGAGGGGGGGTGTGGGGAGTGTGGTTTGGAGTTGAGATGTTGAGAAGTGTTGGAAGGTGGAGAGATAAAGGAGAGTAGGGATGTTGTGATTTTATAGTTATGCGAATACCAAAGATGGAGTCTATTGTTTCTTTCGACATTTAGGTCGCGGATGGACATGGTGATTACTTATGTGATGGCCATGACGGTGTGTAGTGTGTTTTGTATGATTTCAAAGGTAGCTAGTTACCCAAAGCTGAGGTATCTAAAGAATCTATCGTGATTTCCCCCATTCATGAGGCCCATCGCTAATCCGCTCAATACCCGACAACGTTGCCAGACGTTACTTGCCTACGCCTGCCTTCCTATCTCTACATCCATACATATCCCTTTTGCCATACCGAATCCCCATATCCAACACACGCCATGAAACCCTACGATGAAAAAGAGAAAACATTGGCTTAAAATCTTCCCACCACAGATCAAGCGGGAATACCGCCTCCACCGCCAACGGCAGCAGCGACAGCGGCAATACCACCAGGCGGAAGACCCAACGTGATTCCCCCGCCCCTCCTGGGTCCCACGAACCCTTGCCTTTGTCTTCCAGTGCGGCCTCGCCCGAGCCAGTTGTACTTGAGTTCCTTGTTGAGTCTGGACATCTTCTCCTGGGCTTCGTCGCCGGACTGCAGGCTGACGAGCACGCTGACGCACTGGAGCATGCGACCGACGGTCTCGGTGACTTTGGCGGAGTCCATGGGTTGTGGGCGCATTGCGGGGGGAAGGCTGGCGGGTGGTGGCGCGGAGAGGAGGTTGTTGGTCGGGACGGAGTGGGTGGAGTGTGCGGAGAAGGAGCCGGCGGAGGTGTTGGAGGTTGCGCGGGACCGGGAGGAGGAGGCGAGGGTGGTGGAGGAGGTCATGGAGTGGGCGGATTCGAGGTATGAGGTTGAGCCTTGGGATGTTGAGTTTAGGCTGGAGCCGCCGACGTGGAGTTCGCTCGTGGATCCTGCGGTGCCGGGGCGGAGTTGCTGATCTGAAGCTGTGGATACGGGGATTGGAGAGGGCGATTCGAGGCCGGCGTTGAGGTTTTCCAGGGAGAGGCGGGAGAAGATGGCCATAAGAGTGTCGTTTCGGGGAAGGATGACGGTGTCGCGGAAGGTGAGGAGTGTGATGCGGCGGACGTCCAGCTCACCAAGAATGGGGATGTTCTTATTTTCCGGAGACTTGGTGTTCATCTCGTCTGGGAGCAGGACGCCCCAAAAGTCGGCGGCGGCAGAGGAGCTCATAATGCCTTTGCCGCGGAACTCAAGATCGAGTGGGAGGAATACGGCCTGTAGGAAAGGGAGGATGGTGGTGAAGACGACCAGCCACATTTCCACCAAATGAGGAATGAGGCGATCGTCTGGGACATGGCGCAGGGTTTGGTCGAGAGAGGAGAATCCCGTGGTGAGGAGTTCCCCAAGGTCCTCTATGAGAAGGATCGGAGAGCGCTTCTGAATGCATCGCTTCACATGAACGGCCACGAGAGCATTGAAGTCCTCCACAGGCGGTCGCGGGTCCTCGCCCTCAAAGATCTGCAATAATCTTGCTTTAAGCAGTGGCCATGCATCGTCAGGCGATAATCCTCCAATTCCAAACGCATGCCCCAAAGTCGACATTGCATCACTTGAATATGTCAACGCGGTGCCTGGTGAAGCGCCCAATCCTCCGCCAGGCGTCGAGCCTAAGCTACCAGATATAGATGGCCATTCCGATCGCTCTGTGCTGAAAGATTGATTGCGTTCCCGGAATGGAGGCTCTAGAGAAGGATCTAAATAAGCAGCTGCTTTCTCTGCCTTCTTCTTCTCGCGCAAGTGTCGACCGCCATGTCTTAGGTCCAACCCAGTTACCGAGTTCGCAAAGGAACTTCCAGGGGCTGGCGATGCAGGCGCGGCGAATGAATATAATGGTTGTGTAGCGCTCGGGTCGGTTAATCGAGAAGTGCTGCTTGCTGAAGATAGAGGTAACATATGATCATCCTTCTCTTTCAACTTGTGCTTCTGCCGCGACAGAAAGTGATGTTTGTGTTTCTCCTTTTCTCTCTCTGGGATCGATGGAACCAAGGTAGAGGTCGAGCCATTAGCTGTCGAATACAGCGATGCACCACTGCTTCCCAACGGATCCACCAAGCTCGTTGTCGACTGGCTGCTCATCATGCGATTCAATGCCTGCGAGCTGTGGATGCCAATGCCAATTTTGCCCGGCGACGGCAGGGCCTGGTTCCTCTTATCCCAATGAGCATCTTTGTCGGTCCTGATGTTCTTCGGTTTGGAGAACAACTTCATCTTACTACCCTTCTCCTTGACCGGCTTCAAGGGTAACGTTTCTTGCACCAACGACGCCGGTGGCGGCGCAGGCTTCGGTGACGTATGTTCCTGCTGGCCAGGCTGTTGGATTCCCGGCGAGCTGAGAGGAGATCTAGGAAACGCAGCGTTCGCAGCTGTCGTCGCAGCCGATCTCCCTGTTCCCATCGTCCCATTCTGATACGTCATCCCATTCGTCTTGAAGGTGATTGAGTGCGATCCAGGCAGTGGCGGGGGGCTCGATGGTGGCTGTCCTCTGCTGCCCGGCGGCCCCGCATTGTTGCTCCCGGGCTCAGGAATGGTCGTGGAGCGTTTCCTCATGTGCTGCGCGTTCTGCACGTGCATGGCGGCCTGGGCCGCGATCTGGGAGGCGGAAAGGTTGTTCTGGGAGGACATCGCAGAGGAGGAATTGGAAGGGAGGGAGGGCTCGAAGTAGCCTTGAGATCGTTGGCGTGGACGGTGGCCTAGACGCGCGCCGAGTTCGGGTTGGCTTGCATGCTCGTCTGCGCGCAGGGGCAGATCGGTGCGGGGGGAGGAGGTGGTTTGTATTGCGCCCGGTCTTGAGTAGTTCTGTGGCAGCAGTTTGGTGGTGCTGTTCGTCGGGGAGGTGACGGAGCGAGGAGGCAAGGGAGAGCGACGGTGGGTGGTGACCTGGGAGCTGTCTGAATCTGAGTCGTCGAGCGGGTCCGGCCGTTGAATCGTGGGTGTCTGAGGGGGTGGAGAAGAGGACTGCATGGTCTCTGGCTGTTGGTCCCAGACCTTGCACCTGGATAAGGGTTGCGGTCCTGACCGTGGTTGGTTGTGTCTTGTGTGACCGGACTGTTACCCACGGTTCGGCGGTGGGTGATATGGGACAGGGCTGAGCGTTAAGTGTGCAGGGAACAAGGGGAGAGTGACTGGATATTGGCTAAATGTGATGTGATCATGGCCAGCATGAGGCGTCGAAGATAATCGTACAATTGGGGGGGATAATGGCTGGAAATACAACGAGAAAGGAGGAGAAGATGAAGTGTTGAGTCCACAGAGGAGACGTGAGGTGAGATGAGATGGAACTGGGTTGGAGTCTAATGAGATGAGCTGGGATGAACGCTAGACGATTGATCGACGTTGGATGGCTGATGCGGCTGGTGTGGCCCATCCCCGTCTCGGTTTAGTGCGGGACCAACTGATGTTTAAACATTGTGGGGGAGGGACAAGCTTCATCTCAACTTTAACTTTCACGAATCTCTCTCTTTTCAAATCATACATTCCTCACAAAACCTTACAACCCAACCCTAAAAACAACCACGCCGTCCAACAATGGCATCACCAGCAGCAACATACTCCTCCCCAGCCCTCTCCACACCCCACACCATAACCAGCACGCCCTCTCTCCCCACCACCACAGCCAAACCTAGCACATCCGACCGAACAGCCTACCTCGCAACCCTCACAAACTCAATAACAGACCTCCAAGCCAACGTAAACACCTTCCTCACGCAAAAGATGGAGGAAGACAAAGCGGCCGCCGGAGGTGCTGCAGCTTCGAAGGCTATTGACGATGAGAAGGAGGAGGAGAATTACGGGGAGGAGGTCGTTGAGGAGGACTGAACGAAGACTGAAATTGGATATGATCTTTGAGGGAAGGGAAAACTCTGGGGATGCTGCGCCAAGAGCATCCCCATGTGGATTTGGGAGACGCGGCGTCTTGATGTGTATGCGATCCCTCGCGCGATGCGGGGAGGTTGACTCGGCTGGGACATTGGTAGAGTCCACTTGAGTGACTCTTGGTTTCTAGCTGAAACTGCAATCAAATATCAGGAATCTTTGGCCGCTTGAGGTGCTCACAAGGCCATTTCTGTCCTCTCATGGGGAGGTTCATATCAACACTACATGGGTGGATTAAGGGTCCAGGGCCAGCGCAATTGTACAGGGCTGAAGTGAGATGGAAGTATCTCAGGTTGACAAGTGAAAAGTCGTAGACATATGCCATACAATCCAAAGCAGGCAGAGGCAAAGGACTATCATATCATACAGTACATACCCCACAAATACATCATCAACGAATGAACAAACCAACGAACGACCTTTCGCTAGGGGTATCAAAGTAAAAAAACCAAACCAAATCATAATCTCATAACATCATTTCACCAAACTCCCAAAAACCCCAAAAACCCCCTAAATTGCCAAATCAGAACCATCAAACAACCTGCATCTCATCCTCGTTCCCCCTCTCCCCGACAACATCCCTCTCGTACAGCTTCTCCGGCTCCACATTCTGCCAGAGGATATATCGCTTAAAGAAGTACGGTATCTGGCGGAGGCCGTACCGCGCGTGGATGTGCGTGGGCACGCTGAATATCTGGTCGAGCTCTTCGAGGGTTTTGCCTTTTGTTTCCTGTGGGGTTGTTTGTTAGTTGTGTGTCACAAAATGCGTGGTGGGGTGTTTTGGAAAGGGGGGAGGAGGGGGCGGAAAGACGTACAGGCATGAATAGCAGCACCGCGACCCAACCGACGACGTTCCAAGCAGCGTACCACCCGAACGCGCCCTGCGGTCTAAAAGAACTCACGAGCGACGGCCACGTGATCGAGAGCACGAAGTTGAAGAACCAAGTCGTCGCCGTCGCGAGCGACATCCCGATCGTCCTGACGTACAGCGGATACGCCTCCGCGCTGTAGGTGAACGGAACGGGGCCCTCGCCGGGGGAGTACACGATGCCGAAGAGGTAGATGCCCAGGGCGATGCAGGCGACGCGCGCGGTGGAGCCCTCGCGGATGTAGAAGGAGAAGCCGGTGAAGAGGAGGGTGAGGGCCATGAGGGGGAAAGTGGTGAGGAGGAGGTTGCGCCGGCCGAAGGTGTCGATGGTGTAGATGGCCGGGATCGCGAAGAGGAAGTTTATGACGCCGAAGCCGAGGGAGGCGGCGAGTGCGGATTGGTTGTCGAAACCGGATTCGACGAAGATGGACGAGGAGTAGTAGGCTATTACGTTTACGCCGCAGAACTGGGGTTTCATCGCGTGTTAGTGATGGATTCTGGGGGGGGGGTTGGAGAAGGAATGGAAGAAAGACTCACTTGCTGCATGAACATGACGATCTCACTAGCTAACAGTGCCCGACGATTTCGTGGCACGGTGTACAGCTCCTTAACCATGCTCTGTCCCATCTTCATGTTCTCCTCTGCCTTCAACAACTCCGCCATGTAGAATAGGTCCCGTGCCGCTTGAATCTTGTTGTACCTCAGCTTCGTCATTGCACCGAATGCGCTCGCGTGCCGTCCCTTCGACATGTACCACCTAGGGCTCTCTGGACATGAGAACACGAAGATACACACGATGACCGCTGGGAGCATGGCAGAGCCCATCATGAGGCGCCAGTTCAGACCGACGATGCCTGGCTTGTCGGGGACGGTGTAGAATGCCAGGTCAGAAGCATAACCTAGCATTATACCGAAAGCGGTCCACATCTGCCACTGCATTACAAGGGCTCCACGGATTGCTGGTGGCGCGCATTCTGCAGCGTAAATGGGCACCGTAGCTGATTTGGGACCGATGCCAAAACCTAGGGCGAAGCGGGCAATGAACATATGCCACCATGTCTGCATAAATTAGCAAGGGACATACAACGAAATGTCAAGATCCTTACGTTGACGAAGCCTTGCCAGAAGCAAGCAATGGCGCTGAAGAGACAAGTGATAAAGATGGTACCTCGACGTCCAAACCAATTGTTAAACGGCGTAGTGAGCCAACATCCCACAAAAGCGCAACACATATACGGGGCGCCATTCACAAGTCCCGCAAGCCACGTCGAATGCGGCTCCGTCCCACCGATACCGAATTGTCCCAGGAAGAAGAGCTGTGCGCCGTTGACGACAGTCTCATCTACACCCGTATCGTCAGCATTTCCATCTCATCCAATATGCGCCGGACATACGCACCCATTCCCTGTACCGCCGCACAAGTTGAACACAGTAGAATAACCAAGTACAACGTAAACGGCTGACTCCACCTATGCGTGTTCTCCTTTTCCAAAACCTCGAACTCTTCATCCGTGATCCCCAACTCCTTCGCCCTACTCAAATCCTCCGCATCCCTCGCCAAACACGCACCGATTTCGAAAGCCCTTACGTCGTCCTTCTCCGCGATAGCATGTTCGTACGCATACGCTCGACCCATCTTCCGAAGCTCGCCGTACGTGTAGTCTTGCAGAGGATTCGCCAGTTTCGCATTCATGTTGCGCCGTGCTCTTTCGGCTGCTGACACGATGACGGAGGGTCGGTGAGTGGCATCTTGCAGAGTAGGTGAGCTTCTGCGATCCGCCATGTTTTCGATCTGGTCGTCTGGCGAGTAGGGTCGCTCCTTCTTCTTCGGGTCGGACGCGAAGTCTTGGGCGCTCGACATGTCGCGGGGCGTCGAGTGGCGACGCAGCTTTTAGGATATATGGGTGTTGTGAAAGATCTGAGTCAACCTGCGCGCAGGTCCGTTAGCTAGGGACATCAGAGACACGGACGACATTTCAAATATTTGGGATCACCCACAAGTATTGTTGTAGTTATAACTTTCGCTATAAATCCCTCTCCTCCCCCACAATCGACAATAACTTCAGAAATCCCAATCCAAAGGAGCCCTAGGAGTGTGTCCAGAAGCTTTCGAGTAACAAAGGGTGGGGATGCCACGACCTAAAAGATAAACAGCCCCCCCGGTCCTCCGGTGAACACGCCACAGCAAACAAGCGATCGAATGCTCGCGTGTACGACAGAGTACGGCTGACTTTCTCAACAGGCGTGCTGCACGTCGTCAGGCTGCCAATTGCGTACCATGTAAGTTTGCGGAGGAAGGCTGGCTGCCAGACTAGCCTGAATGCGATTCATTCCATGCGGTGGTGACTTTGTTGCGGGATGGCAGACAAAGTGTTGTCGGAAATGTTTGGTCGTTGTAGTTTCCCTGGTCGATAATGGGTGTATTAAGACGAAACAAGTTTGTCCGATGGTGGGAGATCTGGAGAAGGCGAAAGCATTTGCGGCTCTACGGACTTGAGCGTCGTGGGTTGGGGGTGGATGGTGCCGTACATGCGGGAATAACGTGGGTGGAGTTGAGGGTATGACATCACCACATATATGGTCCTCGTAGCTAGCCTTCTCAGTCCTAACCGAACCTCGAGGCTGTGAGAGCAGTTGGAAACCCCCTCAATTCACGAATGCTTAATGTTTGAAGAACTCACTTTGTACAAGACCCACAATGTTCTATCATCGATATCTTACAACTGGTAAATATCGATCTGGAGATTTGTCGTTCGCAGACCATCCGTTCGCATGTCCGTTTCCATTATTAGATCAACCCCATGTTCTGTTAGTTATCCTTCCAGCCGGTAGCCTTATCGGGGAAAACATCTGCTAAGCCGAAGCATCACTCATGCACTCGTCCTAGCAATGTCCGCCTGTATTCGGAAATAGGTAGTGCAGTGATGTTGATAGACATATCTATTTACGAATCTATGGAAGGTCGTGCATTGTAGTACAGCTACATGGTGAGTGAAGCGCCCAATAACGACTTTGGCGACGTCAGCTGTCAATAGTCACACAGTAGTCGTCGGCCCGTGGCCCCACCGGCTCGAACAGCATACGGAGTTAATCGCTCTCGTATTGTAGTCGTGGGTTTCTCAATCATTGATATCTCCGGGGAGAAGGCGGAAGTCTAGTTGTTCTTAGACTCATCGTTTATAGGTTCTGCGAGGATCCATCTAGAGTAGAAACGCAGCATCACTTCGCACATCAAATTCCATCACATCAAACAGCAAATGTAAATAGCGTCAAAACGGGCGATTCCGCCCAAAGAACGATCAACAAGACCGAACAGGATATCATTAGATTATTAATTGAGACATTACAGAGAAAAGACATACATAAAGTAGTCATTTTCTAGTTCCATAACCATATTAGTCGATGAGCATCATAGCATGCTCGTCCTCTTCGCCAGCTTCGCATAATTTCGTTGCGTCCGGGTATGTCCATCCTCCATTTCATAATTCGGCTCGACAACAACGCTGGCGGGTCGCATCAGGGGTTGTTGCTGCTTTCTTGGCCCGATGTGTAGCCCTTCTTGTCGCAACTTGTTTATCTTATCGGTTATAGAGGCGAAGAACCCGACCTTGTCGCTGGTCTGAGCTGGTGGGTGCATGTGAAGGTGGGAATGAGCATGTCGGTGGCCGTGCGGGACGTAGGCGGCACCTACGACTGGCTTCTCGCCGGGTTCCATGTACAAATGGTCACCTTCCGTATTAACGAACCAATTAACTAAGTATTGTTTTCCCTCTGGACCACCGCCACAGCTTCCAGCGAGGAGCTGTGAAGGAGGGGAATTTACCGCGAGGGCGAAGAGGTTTGGGGGCTCGCTGAAGTCGGTTACCAGACCCCGGTGGACGAGGAAGTAGATGAGAACGAAGATATTCATGAGGAATACAAGGAGAAGAATTATGTTCCATGCACGGGAGGCGTCACCGTTTCCACCTGAGGCGTATTGTTGCGCGACAAGGGATGCATTAAACTCTTGGGTCTGATATTCCTCGAGCATGGCGCGGGGGAATTTCTAGGCTTCTTGTCAGCTCACAGTGTCCTTGGACGATATCGTGGAAACATCGGTACTTACCCATCCGTCTGAAAGCCGGGCGTCCAAAGTGCTTTTCAAGACCGTACAACCCGACATAACTGCAAGTGCCTCTCCCACACTAGGCAAGCCTGAACTAAGGTCATAGTCACCCTTATCATCCTTACTCAGGATGAGTTGGGTCAGAAGCCTAGAGTTGCTGGCGTCACCGTTCATTAGACCGGTCCCCAAGGACATAGAATTAGCCCAGTCGAATCCGACGTCGCGCCAATCGGGTACAGGAACGCCATTGGTAGCACTAGAGTTGGATCTGATATATGCCAACTTATCATCAGGGTCTTCGCACAGAGCTTCCATCGAACCACCTGAGCCGGTTGCGTTGTAGCGAGTGCTGCAATGAGGTGTGACAGAGACATGCATCTTACACAATACGTACTCTCCTTCATGATTAGATCCATAATCTGCACCGCCCTGGCCGAGAAGATATATTGCCTCCCGGCCCCATGCGAGGCTAGTATGGTTCAACACCGTGTTGAAAGGCTGAGGAAGTTTAGGAAACACTGGTGGATAGTCCGTCATTCCCTTCTTATCTTTCTTCGTCCATCCGAAAATATCATCGACCTTTGTGGTATTGATCGTAGTGGCATTATCCATCACGTTTCCTCGCTGCCAAGTAGTAGTGTTGATGATCTCGCCCGTATTCCACTCTTCGTAGATGATCGGTTTCAGCTCGTCGGCTTCCATGTTAGCGCATAGCACATTCATAACTAGCGAAGGCACCGATGCACGTAGGGAGTAGACGCCTTCCGAATTGAGTTCATCAGGCTGTAAGATGTCATTCCTTTGGTCTCGGGCGGCCGCGAAGACGCCAGCGTGCGGCATCGCTAGCGAAATATTGTTGATTGCTCGTTTGTGTTTCCTGGACTCTTCCTTGGTATCTATGATGTTGATCCATTGCCCCCAGACAGTGGTATTCTCGTAGAGCAAACCGAAGCCAGGAGGTCGTTTATCTTGCTCCGTACTTCCGTTCCCATTCCGAACGTCCCAGTCCCAGTGCGCCAAGTATCGTTGATAATTATGGTACCCTTGACCTGCGTGCTCGATCTGAAGACACGTAGAGCCCCCGTGGTCCGGATCAGATCGAATAGGGGTAGGACAGGTGTTGGAGATGTATTTGGAGTTTGCAAAGTCGGCGCGGTATCGTCCCTTCAAGGTCCTGAACTCAAGCTTGCCGCTACTCAATGCTGGCTGAACTAATGCAGTGGCCGCTGGTGTATATAACGTGGCCAAGACAGCGCTGAGAAGGCTAAGAATACCCAAGACAGAAAGCCCAGAGTACTTCATCGTCTCCCAGTGCGTTATAAGCGTGCCTGGTTGCACCACCCACCGCCACATACTCAATTCTGAGAGTGTCACTCCCCGGCCTTGCTCTTTCATGAATGCCCGACGACTGAGCACCTGCCCTAAGAATGCAACAAACGAGGTTACAAAAGACAGTTCAATGAGCTTGGCCATGATCGAGGTAAGTAAGATCGCATCGGCTGGCTTGAATGACCCCTTTGACGTGATCGTGCGACCCCATCGTGGCTTCTTCAATGCTATTCCAAGGAAGATGCCGGAAAAGATGGTGGAAAATAGACATATAACGATGATGCAGACGGAGATCCAAGAGAATCGTGACATGTAGAAATCTTTTGCGGTCGGACATTCTTCCCTTGGCCGGAAATTCTCTGTACGTGGTCAGCTATAAGAATCCTGTAGGTATGAAGATACGCACTGTCGTATGCAGATCGTATAGATGGCGCTCCTGGGTTCAATCGGTCGGTATCCTGATCGTGTAGATACTGCTGATAGTCCTCATTTCCTCCACTAAGTCCCCTCGCATGTAGCGAACTCCTGCTTGTTCTGAACTCTTCATATGAACCACCTGGGGTATCTCGGGGACTGAATCGCTCTCTTCTAAGATCTGGTGTGGTTTCTGGCGAGTCCCTGGGAAACCCGCCGAATAAAGGGTCCCCGGTGTTTGGTGGACTCAAAGTATCCGGGGTTCTGGACGTTATTGGGTTTATGGACGCCCTCCTCGACCCCACAGGAACCCTGGAGAGCGAATGTACCGACACTCTTCGACTGTTGACGGCGGAACTTTGTGTAGATTCGTTTGCTATGCCCAGTCCAGTTGTCCCCCGCCTAACCTGAACGTAGCTATCCGCGATGTCTCCTTCATCTTCCTCGTGTACTATGCTGGGTGTCCCTCGATCGACAGCTGTTGTGTCGCTCGCAATTCGCGAGTATCCCGGCCGTCGCGGGCTCGTCGGTGGTGATACATAGGGCGGAAGTTCGAATCCGATGGAATGCGAATGTCGACCGAAGCCTAGCGATGGCAATGCGGGTGTGTTGTTCGCGGTTGTATCAGATAAATCGGATGACTCGCTGATGAGTGGTCGTCGATCGCTGGCCATGCCTGCACACCCTAGGCTGAAGCCCAGCTCGCACGAGTTGTTGCCTGCACTATGTAGCCCCTCTTTGGCCAGAGACGTATCGCAAATTAGTCGAAAGTAGCTGTGGCTGCGTTTGGCGTTTGTCGTAAGATGGATCCTCCCAGCACCTCAGATGTTGCGCAGGATCTCTGTACCACCGCGTGAGCAGAAGAGCGCACAGAGGGTATTGACGAAGAAGTCAATTAACTCTAGCTGCGAGTGGCAGAGCAGACGCGATAAAAACCGGCTGGCAAAGTGTTTGCGAATATGGCGCAAGGCTATAAGGCCTCGAACTCACTCTAGCCGCTGAGCTGAGAGGAGAACTGACAGTTCACCTATGCAATGCAGGTGCCGCCAATGCGGCGTAGCAAGTCGGCCCCAAGCGAGACATGGCCGGCGATTGGCGTTGGCCAGCCTCTCCTACTACGGATTTCAGTATTAGCTAGGAAAGTTTCGTGGAACTGAATGACGGCGCTTACTGTGGGGTCTTCATGGATGGGCTATGCCTGTACAATAGTGCACTCGTCGTTTGCGCAAGACGGAAGGATGTGTAAGGTTGAGGTTGCTCGGCCCGACCCATAGCGACACAGTACTGGATAGATATATCCACGTGCTTTCTCCTTCAAGTGCTCCATCATCCGAACATCATTTTCCTGGGGCGCGGAAGAAAATCTCCAAATGAGATGAAACGATTGTCGATATTCGCGGGTACAAGACCAGGGGACATCTCGTCGAAGATAAAGGCATCGTGTAAATTCATGCCAACCACCCACCATCGACTTCCGATTACGGACTAGCGGCAGTCTCGCCACATCGTGTATTGGGTTCACTGCCACAAGCCAACACTATTTGTTGACATCATACCACTACGTACTCTTGTCGTGCAGCATTATTACTGACAAACGAGTTTATGTGTGGTAATTCTGCAATGAACTTTTACGAATCAATCAACATTGGCGCTTAAGGAAGCTGGGTAAGGTGGAAACAGCCTGACGGCTTCCGAGAAAGGTAACCAAAGGATCATGTCCCCATGCGGGGTTCGTACCAATGCGAGAGGCACAGTTACATACGATAACTTTCAATAACTTTTGAAACAATAAGGAGTACAGGCGTTACTAGACTTGAAATTCTTGCTTCATCCGTCAACCAATCCTCTTGATATGTTCATCAACCAAGCACTTCCAATCTGCGCTCCCGTAGTAAATGGTATGGCCGTCGTTATGCGTTTGCTGGCCGGTGCTGGGAATCGTATCACCCAGCTGCCAGAAAAGGTCGCCGGCCATACCATCATTCTTGGCTGCAAGACTGGTCTTCTGCCACTCACTCTCCACCGGACAGTGCTCTTGTGCGTTGGTGACGCCGTACTCTTCAAACAAGCACGGCTTATTCAGCTTCTTGCATATTTTCGCATGAGCAGTAACCCAACCATTACCAAATGAGTTGGAGACACCCCAAGAGCTTGGATACAAATGGAAAGTACCAAATGATATGTTGGGGAGTGCCAGGTTGGCCTCCCAGTCGATGCCCTCCCCGAATTGATATGGGTACGATCCGTCACCAGCGAGACCAAAACCCTCATCACCAGCAGTGATCATATGGTCCGAGTCTAGCGACCGCACGTAGTCTGATGTCTTGCGGATCCAGTCTGTAAGGACAGATGTTTTGCATCCTTTGCATCTGGGTTCGTTGGCGAGTTCCCAGGCGAAAACAGCCGTTGAGGTCCGGTACCTCCCTACAACAGTCTTGATATAATTTTGGTACAGGCTTTGGCACTTAGCCGCAGTGTACCATTGCTCATTGCTGCTCACCCCGCAAGCGGAGAAGTACGCAGCCATTCCGCCATAGTCCGTCCAGTCTACAATGATAAGTTAGTCAAGTCATCGTAACTGGATACTGACACTTACTGTTGACAAAGTTGATGATCAACTTGATACCATACTTCTCGGCGGCCTTCACAACTGCATCAAGACGTTGCAATCCATTAGCACCGGTATTGATAGTGGCACTACTACCTGAGAAGAGCTGGAAGTACACAGTGTTAGACCCCGGATTCGACTTCGCATCGTTGAATCCCCAGATACGTAGGATCTTGTGCCCTGCGGTCTGAAGATGAGACATGATAGTATCCACATCGTTGTTATTCATGAGGAATGGAATCCAGTAGCTGTTGGTCCCAGCATAGTCTGCAATAACATGTTAATATCAGTTACAGCAAAAGACCGAGGCAACACACATTTTGTAACGCCATCGATATTGAACTTCGTTCCGTCAACCTTGGAAATCGAAGCACGCTGTACCACCTCATTCGAAGCCGGCAGCGCGGTGGCCAAAGCCACAAAAGGGAGAATCGATGCAAACTTCATGATGAGCGAAGAAACTTAGTCTTTGTCGATGTCTGAATGAAATTTCCTAACCAGCGGAGATCAGACTATTTAAACATAAAAGTTGAAGCTATAGTTTTGATAGTCTACCCGAAACAGCGCGGCGAAGGCACTTCCGCATCCAAATGATACTAACTATGCCTCTGAAATGAAATGCTCTGCTTCTATGGATTCAGAAAGGGCCAAGACCTTGGTCGGCTTTCAGAGACGGAAAATCTGGGACGAATGATCCCTGTCCAGCGTGACGGGTGTTTCTAGAAACCCCGGATTTTCATCTTGAGTCTTCGGTAGGTAGACGTACATGTACATACATGGTTTGTACCTGCGTACCGTATCGATCGAGAAATATACATCTCTGTCTCTCAGCCACAACCATCTACTATACCCACTTCTTACCTTGAAAGCAAAATCGCAACATGATCAACCCCTGTAGCCTTTGTAGTACACGATAAACTCCTCCAATTTAACTCCGCAATACCATCGATTTCCCATCGTCAAATGACCATTGTAAACAGGAGTGGCCACCTCCGTGCCGAAATAGGCAATGGAAAGTTTCTCCACAGTTTTCACAATTTGTGGAATGTGGCTACTGAGAAGATCCCGATGGTTTTAATTTATTTTTGAGTGTAAAATGGGCGCTATGGTTTAGTGGGGTGAGGTGACGGGGGTGAGGAAACAAGGTCCGGGAGCGTGATGGAAATACTGATCGTGCAGTTACTCATCATTATCCTGCCAATTCTCAGAGCGAGTTGAAATTTATATACAGATACGAGCAAAGGAGTTCAAACCCTTCCCAACTGCTCAAGTATGGGAACAACGGTACCTAGGTAGTCATAAGATCAGAGTAGGAGATAGCATTAGTTAGAAGTTCATACTGTGCTCCTAGATGCACCCTGAGCTTGAAGGAGGTGTTTGAATGAAAATATTATTATTCTAAAAACGAATTACTTCTCTATTACTAACATTAACCTGAAAATCTGCTTTTCGCTCTCAGAATATGACCATATTTGAACAATACAAAAATCCCAACAACGCAGGCCGCGCAGCAACATCCCAATAATGTCATTGACCAGTTGATTCCCAGTGACTCGTACATCGGATGCGACCAAAGCACACCGCCAGATGCTACAACAGCTCTTGCAATGCCATTTCCACTAAACAACGACGCAACATAATGAGGATATGCGAGCGTAATGTAGACAAAAATGCATTGCAAGATGACGATCACTCCTCCAGTGACCAGACCAACCCCGATCGATGAGACAAACCAATGTATAGACGCCCTAGATGTCCATCCAATGATGAACATCCCCACTGGAATTAGACCAGATGCGATGACAGCAGGTAGCAAGCGACCTTCCGGTGATATTTCCTTGCCCTCTCGGAGCGAGGGGTTGATCACGAAATAGACAAAGGCATTGTAAGGAATGCCAGCGATGATGACGGAAACTATCACGGACAAGAACATGAGACCAACCTGTCCAGTGCTCATACCGTAAATTCCGCCATAGATTAAAGGGAAGAATTCGAAGAAGGAATAGAACACTGCGTATAAGAGACCCATGTACAAGCTGGTGAACAATATGGACGGGTCTAGGGCGTTTATCTTCCATGGAACAACGAGGGTTGAGTAGAAACGGCTTGCCACCGTAGAGTTAGCAAGTTTGATATTAGCCTCCGAGATATAGGTCGCATCTCCCATCACTTTTCGTAGTCGGCGCGCTCTACGATGAAGTATGTTCGTTGCTGAAGACTCTGGAAGAAAGAGCTAACGTTTGTTAGACGAAAGATCATTGTATTTTGCTTGTTGCTTCACTTACGCAGAAGAGTAGACCCGGACCCACAGCAATAACAATTTCCCAAAGACTCCAGCGCCAACCCAAGATTGGCACGCTGTAGCCTGCGATGATCGTCCCGAGTGACGGTCCTGCCAGCGAGAATATAGCCCACGAGTACAGATAGTACGGCTTTTGATAGGTGTTGCAAATATCCGTGAGGGAAGCACCTCCTGTTGAAAGCACAGGAGATCCAAAGAAACCCTGTAGAAATCGCAACACAAGTAGTGCCGCGAAGTTCTGCGCCAGAGCCGTTGGCACAGAGATGACAACGAAGATTGCTAATGCCCCGACGTAGGGAATGTTACGGCCTATGCCTGGCAATTCCGAGATGGGCGAAAAGAATAAAGGGCCAATGCCATATCCCAAAATGAAGGTGACGAGTCCAAGACTGGCTGCTGTAATTGAAACTCCAAATATCTGTGAAACCTCGGGCTGTGCTACGGTGTAGATGGACGCTGACATGTACACCATTGTCGAGCAGTAATTGATTGTGAAAACGACCATGAGTTTCTTCCACACAGACCAATTGAGGGGGTTTTCTGGGTCGCCATCGCCATACCAATCGACCACGGTAAGCCTCTGTTCGGATGATAGTTTGGGAGGGCATGCTACTGTCTTCTCTAAGTCCACGGGCATCGAGGTAGTCGCCGGTTGGACTTCAGAATCTGTCCCATTGTTGGATAGAACAGTCTGAGAGATGCTGTCTGTTGGGAATGTTTTTCGCCAGTTCCCAGAAGCTGCGATCACGTCGTAATCTTGTCGCTCTTCAGGAAAGCGGAGAGATCCTCTGATTCCCAGGCGGCGTAGCACATAAGCCACGGGAGTATCGTACAAAATGCCCAACATGATAATCTAATAATGTGTGATGTGAGGCTGAAGTATAGCGTGAGAAGATTTGGAGAGCCATCTTCAAATAAATGATAAGTTGCACTGAATATTTTTCAATTTATCAGCAGACTTGTTTGTCAAGCTGAATTATGCTATGTTGACCCACACATAGAAGGATAGATACCGAGCGGAACATATGTTCCGCACTATGAATTGACGCCAGAGGAGTTTAATGCGTCGAACTAAGAAACTCAACGTAGGAATTTAAATTCCGCACTAGAATACCCGTTGGTGTAGATCTCCTACCAATCCATTACCGGAACACAAGTCCCCTATATGCTGCTTGAATAGATAACAGTTGAAAATCTGCAGATGTTTGTACGAATGCGCAAGCTTTTGCGATCTTACTCAAATGGCTATCGACATTGACAATCTAGTCGCGCAACTCACGCTGGAAGAAAAGATTTCATTTCTTGCCGGCAAATCAACATGGCGTACTGCAGAGGTGGATCGCATTGGCATACCTAACATAAAGGTGCCATCTCTCTTGAAAGTTTCTTCAAAAGGAAATTGACTAACCAAAGTTAACCAGTTATCTGATGGCCCTTCAGGAGCTCGAGGTGAAATTTTCGGAGAAGGCGTGCCTGCTGCCTTTCTACCATCTGGCGTCAGCCTTGGTGCAACATGGGATGTTAATATCCTTCGAGAGATGGGCGAATTGTTGGCCGAAGAAGTAAGTATTCCGGTGACGATGAAGTTAAACGATGAGGCTAAGCAATCTCAGACCAAGTCCAAGTCTGCATCTGTCCTTCTTAGCCCTACAATTTGCCTGGCCCGGAATCCTCTAGGTGGTCGCAACTTTGAAGCCTATGGAGATGACCCATTCCACTCCGGCAAGCTTGCTACTGCTCTGGTGCAAGGAATACAATCGCAGGGTATCGGAGCTACATTGAAGCATTACGTCGGTGAGTCTGATTCCCAAAGAAACTGACCTGCATTCTCACATTCCATTCACAGGGAACGATTCAGAGCTCGATCGCTTTCATGGCAATAGAGTTATCCCAACCCGTGCACTAAGGGAATGTTACTTGAAGCCTTTTCAGATGGCTGTTCGAGATGCTGATCCATGGTGTATGATGACCGCGTATAACAAAGTCAATGATCACCACTGTGATAGCTCCCGCGAGCTGTTAACTGATATCGCCCGCAAAGAATGGGGATGGAACGGTCTGTTTATGAGTGACTGGGGAGGTACTACATCGGTAGGGCCCTCCATACAGGCAGGTCTTGATCTAGAGATGCCTGGACCGCCATCTAAGAGAACACTCGAGGCAGTAATGGCTCTCATCAAGGCAGGAGAGGTGGAAATCAGCCAGATTGATGAATCAGCAAGGCACCTACTTGGTCTTCTGGAAAGAAGCGGCCGTTTTGAAAACCCAACGGATAACGGTGAGGTCTGTTTGAACAAGCCAGAACAAGCTGCGAAGCTTCGTCATGCAGCGAGCGCAGGCATCGTTCTACTGAAAAATGAGAACAATGCGTTACCAATCCGACCAAATGATGAATTTAAGAAGATTGCTATCGTCGGCCCCAATGGCGAAAGGATCGTCGCAGGCGGTGGAGGAAGTTCCTACATCAAAGCGCCTTACTGGACTTCGGTGCTTAACAGTATCAAAGACCGTTTCGGGGGATGTAAGACTGAAATTGCCCATCATTCTGGCGCACAGGTTAACCGTTATGTCCCGACTTCCCCCTCAACGCAATGTCGAGACCCGGACACAGGAATAGGGGGAGGTGCGGTTGATTGGCGGCATGGGCACGAACAGTCTGGAACACCGATTGCCACAACACATATGTAAGCGGCAAAGGTTTCGCAAAATGCAGACAAACAATGTACTAACTAACAACTTCCAGCGATGACCTCTATTTTATGTCTTTCGGTGACCGCCCGCGCGAGATACCGAATGATTACGACTTCAACTTTGCCGTCCGTACGATCCTCAAGCCAAAAACTACTGGTCTCCACCGCGTATCGCTGGCAAGTATTGGTCCCTCGAAGTTGTATGTTGATGGCAAAGAGGTGCTGTCCGAAGGTGGCGAGCTACGTGAAGATGCAACACTATTCTTCACCTATGGTTCCCCGGAAACCATTTGCGATATTCACTTAAACGAAGGCCAAGAGTATCAGATTCGTATCAACGGTCATTCACACGACCGACAGCTCGACCGATCACTAGATGAGCGCATACGGCCAATGGAGAATAAGTTCGCCGGGATTCGATTTGGATACCAAGAATTTGAGACATCGGATCTTCCGTCTGAGGCTGCACAGGTATGTCGCGACAGCGATGTCTCCATTGTTGTTGTTGGCCGAGACAAGGAATGGGAGACTGAGGGTCAAGATATCCCTCAGTTTGAGCTACCCGGCGAGCAATGTCGATTGATCGAGGAGGTCGCAAACGTATGTCCGCGGACCATAGTTGTTGTTCAAGCTGGGACGCCTGTGAAGTTGGAACCTTGGATACATAAAGTGCAGGGACTTCTCTATACCTGGTACCAAGGGCAGGAACTTGGAAACGCTGCAGCAGATGTTCTTTGCGGTCTGTTCAATCCCAGCGGGAGGCTACCGGTTGTTTACCCTCAGCGCATTGAGCACAGTCCTGGTACAATGAACCCATTGGAACCCGGTGCTGATACGTCCAGCCTCTATGCTGAAGGTATTCATATAGGCCACCGGTACCTGGATTTTCTGAGATTGGAGCCAATGTTTCCCCTGGGCTATGGCCTCTCGTATTCGTCATTCGAGCTCAAGGACGTGAAGATCGCCAGGTCTTTGCTAACCCCAGAGCAATCCCTCAAAGTGCAACTTAGGGTCAAAAATACCGGTGGAAATGAGATCCCCACCGCCGAGACCATTCTCGCTTTCTTCTCGCCAGCCTCACCCCCACCACTCAGCATGCCGTTGAAAACTCTTTGTGGATTCACGAAGACCCCGAAACTTCAAACTGCACAGGAATGTGAAGTAGAAATAGATATCGATGCATATAGCATGGGCATATATGATCCTTTGCTCAAGCAATGGATCGTACCTTCAGGTGTCAAATTCGACATATTGGTAGGAAAGAATTCTAGGGACGCAAGCTGGGTTGGTCAGGTTGAAGTTCAGCAAACAATCACTTGGGTGCATCGGATCACATCCGATAGCACCAAGTGAAATTCCAGTTAAATAGACAATTTTTTGGTCTCTTCAAAAGCTACCTCGGTGTATCTTATGCTCGCCTGTCCATGTCATTCTATGCGCGAGGTAAAGCTGTCCCTGGTATTCAATCTGTAGGTTGTATGATATCTAAAGGTAGAAGAAATATACACAGATGATCCACCGGGCTATTACCGCTTTGACTTTGGCATCATTTTACCGTTCTATTCTGTGTATTATTATCATGTTAAAGGCGTCTCATTGCTTGTCGCACTGGGAATTTGCGAGTACCTAGGTTCACATGCTCATGTACATCGAACATAGATCTTGTATCGTGAAAACGTAAAGTTCTTTCTTGGCTATAGAAGATCCATTTCAATTTTATTCATTCTCAGTGAGTTCCCTCCTTTTTGGCTCCTTCAGGATCAAAGGCAGAGACCTCGATCTCCACCAACATATCGTCCTGCCCAAGTCTGCCAATCTGGACGCATGTCCAGGTGGGATGGGAGTCAGATGGGCCCATCCACTTCTTGAAATTCCGTACCATCGCGTCTTGTGCGGTCTCGTTCAATTGGATGTGGTATGAGTTGATCCGATAGACCTGTGACCATCCTTGACCACCAGCGTCCTTGAGACATTTGTCGACATTCGCGAAGGCGAGGTCAATCTGCTCAACGAGATCTGTAGCGCATTTGCCAGTAGACTCGAGATATCCACCTATAGCTTAAGTTAATAATTCTTCGATTAATCCTTCTACTTGAGTGAAAGTAGGCCCCGGGAAATAGGAAATAGGAATAACATGACCATGCAACGTACCTTGGCCAGCACAGTGAATTTGGTCTCCCGTTCGCACAGCGGAGGAATACCAGTGGGATTTGCGGGCAGCTTCTCCAAAGCCTGGGTAAGCGTATTCTTTCCTTGAAGGCATTCTGGGCTTGTTTAAGTTCGATAGTTTGCGAGATGAAAGAACGAGGGGCAATGTTCGACTCCGCATATAAAATTCATTTTCACCTTTGCGTTCTGTTCGACTATTTATATTCTCTTGTTCTCCCCGATGCCCGCAAGGCCTGTCTTAAAATGTACCAATGTACTACAATGACTAGTTGATCAATGGTAACTGAATGCAGTTAGCATCTTGGAGGGCGCAACATATATTCCGCTTTGTCTGCCCATCCCCGCTACCACTCCCCTCATGCTTCGAATCTTCACTTTTCCCTGTAGCTAACAAATTTTCCTGACATTGGCCACCCAGAAGCCGGTAGTCTATGAAGTCGGGCAGTGTCAGAGGACCACGTGATCAGCATGAAACGCAAGAATACCACTTCCGCTTGTGGAGCATGCCGGAAGCGGAGGGCAAAGGTACGACAAACTTACCCTTACTATACCTAAGATCACTGGTCAAGGCTCGGTAGGATCAATCTTATCTAACTTCGAAACCTTTAGTGTGATGGCAAAATGCCATGTTGCTCGCGGTGCAGTGAGCGTGCTCTGCAATGCATCTATTCGGAAGACGGGCGACGTCCTGCTTCTCGATCATACGTTGACCTTCTGCGTGCGCGTGTGAATTTACTGGAGAATGCAATCAAGACACAATCTATGGATGTGCAAAGTTCCATTGCAGAGAAACTAGAATCGGAAATTACTTCAAACACATCATCAACAATGATTCAGCAGCCACTTTCCGGAACAGGACTCCCCGGTAGCTTATCACGGGATGCTTCAATGAACTTCGACAGGGATGGCGAAGCGAGGTATTTTGGTCTGGCAAGCGGTAGGCTCGAAATGGCTGAAAAGAACGCTGCCGAAAGGCGTGAATCAATTTCGGACATAACAGAGCCAGATCCAAGACACTCTGGCAACCCAATCTATAGCAATGTCATCAATGAGCACGCTATCTCTGGAGATCTAGAAGATGAACTCATTGATGCATACTTTAGGTGGGAGCAACCTTGGGCTCAAGCCGTGGACGAGCAGCTCTTCCGTGAGGGTCGTTCCTCAAACGGTAGATACTTCAGTCCTCTTCTATTGAACTGCATACTTGCTTGTGGTAGCCGAGTTTGTCTTCGAGAGGACACTCGATCTGACCCTACCGACGCCAACTCTGCAGGTCATATTTTCTTAGAGAAGGCGCGAATTCTACTGCACTCTGATTTACAACGACCAACTATCACGACACTCCAATCTCTGTGTATCCTGGGAGTGGTATATGTTGTATGTACTTACACATCCGAATCAATTGAATATTCAAACCTGATGACTTCAATACTAGGCTGTTGGTAAAGATGCTGTGGGTTGGTTACATTCCGGGATGGCTCACCAGCTGGCTCTGGACATGGGGCTGAATTTCGATACTGGTAGCCCCTCCAAAGCAACCTGGCTCAGTGAAGATGAAATAGAGCTACGGAGGCGTATCTACTGGACGTGTTATATCATTGATAAATCATCATCAATGTATACAGGAAGAGTGTGTACGATGCTGGTAAGACCAAGATGTCTCCACAAAATACACAAAGACTAAGCTGATATCAAAAAGAGTTCTCAAGCTGATGTTGGATTACCCACAGTCGAACTCAAACAAGATTCTCACATAAATCTTACACCTGTTCAACAACGGCGGCTCCTATTGGGAAAGATTCAAAGAGCACAAATTGGTCTAGCACAGATCAACGAAAAAACCTTAACTACTTTGTAAGAGCTAGCAATTGATAGCATATTTCATGTTTCTCACTACCAATTGCAGATACTCCCCAAAGCCGACAGTGCGCTCTCAACAAAGAGCTTCTTTTGTTGCCAGACCAATTTTAGATCTGAAAAATTGGTATTATGATCTTCCCAAGGAACTGAATCTTGAGTACAGCGGCGTACCACAAAGCGAGCCAGCAGTATACACTCTGCACATGTTATATCATACCTCAACCCTCCTTTTAATGAAGCCCATGTTGCCAGAGGGCCGAGATCAAAGTAAGTAGAACTTGTCCATAGCCATTTGAAATATGCTCAAGCAAGTTGCTGAAATGTTGTAGACGCCTATGAGCGAAGCGTTCAAGCTGCTACAGATATATGTAATGTCGCAGCGAGATATCGCAAAAACTTCGGGAGCTTCCGTCTCAGTCCCATTACTGCAATGCATTGCACGATGTCTGCTATCTTAGTGTTCCTCAATACCAGAAGCCACAAATTGGAGAGTGCGAAGCCCATGAAAAACACCGGAAACATAAAACTCTGCCTCAGGGTGTTGGATGAACTGTCAACTTCTTGGAATCCTGCCAAGAGAATTTATAATAATCTTCAGAAATGTTCCAGACCACAGTCAAGTGTAAACCAGGCACAAAAAACTGCTGCAGATGGTTCAGCATCTACCATTGTAGAGCAACCCGAAAGTCTGCCAATATCTGGAGGGGGTGATAACAATACTTCACTCCCGAGTGGCGGGTCTGGGTCGATCGCGAGAGCCCAGAAACATGAAGAAGTCCCGCTCGTTCCAATGCCAGTAGATTGGCAGGCGCAGTGTGGAGACTTCAGCACCATATTGCCATTTAGCTCTTTTGGGGACTGGCCTTTGGACTTCTCTGCTGAGAACTTCAACGCTGCTGACTATGGGTTTGCCGGCGATCTATATAACTTCTTCCCAACAGAGACGGATTTCGGATACTGAAGTAGACGATGAATGAAGACGCATTTCAAGTTAAACTTGATTGAAGTTTCAACAACGTTAAAGGGCCCGAGAAACTTTCTTTTCGATCTACATTCTAATTAATGGGCCCATTAATGCGTACTACAATTTTCCCTACAGTGCTAAGCGTTTTAATCTGGCTCATATATTGCGGTATGTCCGTCAAGCAAACTTCAGTGATGTGGGGTGTAATGGTGCCACTGTGAATATATTCCAAACACTGGTACATCTCCTCACGACTGCCCATCAAACACCCTTGGACTTTGATCTGTCTCTCCAATATCTCATGGATAGGAAAATAAAGCCGGTCGCCATCTGATGGGTTGCTTATATATGGTTAGTTACGTTGGTTGAAGGCGCTAGCTCGGTGTGCAAATCACTTACCCAACGATGATGATTGAGCCACCGTCACAGATATAACTTGTCAAGTCTTTGAAACTTGATATGCGATTCGAGCAAACGATCACAGCATCGGGTGTGTGGTCGAATCTATTGTTCATTGCTCCGAGCTCTCCACAAACTCGGGCAATTCGTTTTCGAAAGGAGTCCTCTTGATCCGCAGACGCTGGGGCACTAAGGAACTTATCACATACCACGCCAGGGTTTGCAGGATCAAAGATGGGGTGACTAGCTTTGGAAGCAACATCCACTCCAATGACCTTGGCTCTGTGAACATTTCTTGCTATGAGTCCAACCAAATGCCCAATCGCCCCTCCAATCCCAAACACCACAACGATGTCACCGGGTCGTAGCCCAGCCATTCTCGTAGCCTTTACTGCCGCAGATCCTGAGCAGAGTGCTGAGGAGTATATTTTTGGATCTTTCTCTCGTCCATCGAAAACGAAGGGGGGAAGAGGGGCAACCGAACAATACGGTACAGTCGCATACTGTCGAAATGTGCCATTGTAGTCTTTCGGAAACGCAATCTGCCGCCTGCAAGACTCGGGAAGGTTTCGAAGACAGTATTTGCAGCGTTCACAAGTATATGCGAGAAATCTCAGGGCAACCGGTTGATGCAGGAGCGCTACGTCGTGAGACTGTACAATGTGACCGATGCCTTCGTGACCAGCAATATGATCATGCGCAGGGAACCCCGTCTTTGGGCCAATGCTGAAAGATACGTCCTACGTGGAATTACATGAGTATTGAACAATCCCAACTATGCATCGCGACAAGAAGGGGGCGGTCTAATAAAACTCACACTGCCACACATTCCTGTCCATGCGATCCTCACAACAACCTCACCAGGACCCGGTGGCCTGACTTCAATCTCACGCTCACAAAGATTCAATACCGGCCCAACTTTCGGTGTAATGATTGCTTTTTGGTGTTCTGGAGGACACTTGAGAGATGCATCTTGGCCATGATGGTGAACGCCATTTTCTGCAACGACTTTATCGCTCTTTGCCATCGTTTGGTTTTTTCTTTTTTTTGGCTTTAAGTTGTAATCTGAGATTGTAAATGGTGATCAATTCATAGATAGGAGAGTATGCGGAACTCAAGTTCCGCCTTCAGGAGGAGCTCCACACTAAGGGCCATTTTAGTGTGGCGGAACATATGTTCCTATGATAGCGACTTTCTCCCCCAGATACTGCGGGGGGCAGTATCTGGAGTATACCCACGCTCCCGGTTCTAGAACTGGGGCAACTATCTCTTGAGATACGAGTATCGGAGATATCGACTGTACTGGTCGAAACGAGCTCTCCTCAGATACAAATAGAGGGGTGAGCGCTTCATATTCATTTAAACCAGCAGCAGCATTCTTCCGATTTTTCATATCTTCTTTGTCTAAAGGATTCTCTTAGCATAATGGAGCTACAAAAGTCTATCGAAGGAGCCCAGGTTGAGATTATGTCCACGAAAGATGGGAACACGATCGAGGTGTCGGCGCCTACGACCTGGGCACAACACATGAAAGAACTGAAGACCTACTCACGTGCGGCTTTGGCAGCTTTGGGCTGTTCTTCCATTGCCGTCTTAGTCGGATATGACATGATGATAATCGGATCGATTATTGCCAACAAAGAGTTCATTAAGGCATTTGGAGTACACGATTCGGGTGCAAATGCCTGGACGCTACCAGCTGACCGGCAGCTGGTATGGACCATCTGTCAATTCTGTGCCGCTATTCTGGGTGCTGTCACTGTCGGACAAGTAAGCGATATGTTCGGCCGCAGAGTTTGCTTCATTACTACCATTCTGTAAGTTCGGACTCAAGAATTTGAGAAACATGATCTGACTTGTAATAGCCTCACTACCATTGGAACTGTGGTAGAGCTTGTTTCGAATCACTGGGGACTATGGGCCTTTGCTAAGATTATATTTGGTATTGCCATGGGATTCATGCAGGGCAATACCCAAGTATACGTCTCTGAGATTACACCGCCTCAAATTCGAGGCTTCATGCTTTCTCTATTTCAGTTGTGGATTGTTTTCGGCTCATTTCTATCGGCTTGTGTCCTGGAGGGTACTTCAAAAGTCGATGGCCCTTGGTCATGGAAAGCTGCGGTCATTTCCCAGCTTGGGTTGGCGGCAATGTGCCTGGCACTCTTCTTATTGCTCACTCCGGAATCTCCATACTGGCTGACAAGCAAAGGCCGTCTCGACAAAGCAAAGGCGGCTTTATCCCGTATTCGAAGTGGAGAGCATGGTTACGATATCGATTCGGAGGTGAGAAGCATTCAAGCCACCCTTGAAGCAGAGAAAGAGGTTTCCTCCGAGGCCGTCTCCTATCTTGAATGCTTCAAAGGTACAGACCGTCGCCGAACCTTACTGGCGTGTCTTCCAATGGTGATGTAAGTCTGGATTGTTGTTATCTTTCGTTTTTCTTGCACTGACATTACAGGCAACAATTTGGCGGATTTCCTCTTTGCGGAAACTATCTCGCATATTTCCTCACATTGTCTGGGCTGGAAAACGCTTTCCTAATTACTGTTATATCCCTGCTCCTTGCCATTCTCGCTGTCGCTGTGTCGTTCGCCTTGATCGAGCATGTCGGCCGCCGCAAGCAGCTACTCTTTGGTGTATTCAGTATGATTCCTTGCCTACTTGCCATCACTGTCCTCGGTTGGGTTGGGCGAGGAACAGTAGCCAGGGGACAGGCTTTGGCTGCCTTTTCGATTATTTGGTCCGTCTTTTATTACCTAGTAAGTACAATCCAATATAATAGATACCCTGCCGCTAACATTCTTACAGTCTCTTGGAGCTGTTGGATGGACAATCGTTGGCGAAATTTCCTCCTCTCGTCTCCGTGCAAAGACAAACTCAATCGCAACCGCCGTCAACGCGATATGCAACATGGGCTGGGCGATCGCCATACCATACCTCATCAACACTGAAGAGGCAAACTTGGGTCCGAAGGCCGGTGTTGTCTTCCTCGGCCCAGCTATAATCCTGGGCGCTATAGCTTTCTTTGTGGTTCCTGAGACCAAAGGGAAGAACTTCGCTGAGCTCGACGAACTCTTTCAACTTCGCACACCTGCCCGGAAGTTCTAAGGAAGGCCAATCCGTAAGGTCAAGGGCTGTAAGACGTTTGAGTGAGGATGTACTGGCATCAATGCGGCTGGGTTTCTCTGGATCCATGAGGACAACCCATCCGACCATGAGGACTGAGTTGCATGATACGATGTCACAATAGCTTAGACATTTTTCAAGCGATCAACCCAAGTCCACCTGGATAGAGAAGCGCGCTGGCCTTAAATGTACATTTAAATCAATGATCTATTTGGTTGTTCAAAACTTGATCTCCAAATGTCACTACGATAATGCCTCTCTACAAAAAATGAAAAAGTAGCAGCAGTACACTAAAACTCACTGTTTCTATTTGAGACTGTTTTTCTTTTGCTCAAAAATAATGCCTTCTCTCACCCACGTCTTCTTTGCAGTGTTTGAGCCAGCCCCCCTCGAACACGTGGCTGGCATTGCCAATTCCCTCTGTTGTCAAAGGAGCCCCAGCATACACCAGCTTGCTATGTCTTAGAATCTACTGCATGTCGCCTAATTTGGCCACTTAGAGACGCCAGGTTCACACCATTTCTGTTGTAAAACCGGTTTAAGGTGCCGCCGACATCTGTATGGTCAACAGCGCAAAGCTTGTCTCGATGTTCAACCACCAGAGGCCCCGTATTTGGATGCACTCTGCACGCTTATACGCGGCAGGCCTGGTCATAATGTCGAGATGCCCCGCAACGATACAGCCAGCAGGTGGGGTCTCATTTTCATCGTTGTCATCATCCAACGGACTAAACGGACACGAGCCGGATAATAAAATCCCAGTATCCTTCAGAAGCTACACATCACGCAATGTCTACAGACTCTGATTCGGCACGTCGGACAGCGGAGGCCCGCGCCGCGGTCACGGCATCACTGGCTGCTGTCGGAGGCTCAGTCGATACCGATATGCGAACCCGAGCCGCGGACCTTCACTCCAACTCTGAAGCCATAGCAAAGCAAGAAAAAGAGTTGGCAAAGCAGACAGCAGCCCTCGCGAAAGAAAGTGCGAAATGGCAGAAAATGGCAGACACGAGCACGAAGAAGCTTAACGAAATTGGCGACATCCAAAATTGGGCCGAACTGATCGAGCGGGACCTGTTGGTTTTGGAAGAGACGTTGCGGGTGGTCAAAGGAAAGGATGCCCCCAGCAATGCTAGCGGTACCGGTGATTAGTCTCTTCTTGTACCGGCAGTTCATCAACATTTGTATGATGCCTCTGAGTTTAGCACATTGCGGGACTGAGATATAAGCGACGACCATACCATTGAAAAACGGTGGCCAAACAATCGGGATACACATGGGTTGCTCCACAGAATACGTATGTCGAATGACATTACCCAAAGCCACAGGATTTGTTTATGACATTCTTGCATCAGTTAGTATTAGCACATGCACAGCGATAGGCGGTGTTTGGATGGATAGAAGAGACAGAGGTTCTTAACAATGCGAGTGTCCTTTTCGATATAACGTTGATCGCCGAGTCTACTGAGCCAGGCGGCTGTGAATCGCGGATACAAAGCCAAGCAGTTCTCTTGATATCTTCATCGAGCGACAGAAATTGGGCAGGATCCGTATGTACTGAATGCGTGATGCCAGGCATGCTAGTCCTGGGTTTGCGCCAACAAATTTCCATTCGCGAGACCTGGAGTCTGCCAACTGGCTAGAGTATACTCTTGAATACCTAGGTAGCTAGTCTAGGTATGAAAAATGCATGAGACCAGTAGGCACCCAGTACGACGTCTATGTCCTCTATAGGTGAAGTTCGATGTAAACCTAGGTAGGCAACAATTGCACGGTTCGGCCAGCAGCCTCATCATTCGTCAGAGTGAGGTTGAGGTATGCCAAAATTTGTGCTTGTGCGACGACGAAGTGGCCACAGGCACCCGTTGCATGGACTTTACTTTCTTTGACGGAGTTGGGTCGGCGGAAGAGGCGTCTTTCCCGATAGCCGTGACTAATCAAGGGCCTTGGCGCGGCGCGACATCATTGTAAAGTACCTACGCGGGACCAACTTCGAAGCTCTTGCCCTCTCCAAAACCTCAACCTTTTCCCCCTCCTCACCATACGTACAAGGCCGTCAAAACCAGTCTTTTCAGTCTGCTACGAATCGCTGAAGAGCTCGCCGTAACCTGCCGATAAGCACGCCTGCACCGTGTTTTCCGTCTAGGTTGCTACGACCTTTGAGCCTGTACTCACCGCACCGAAATCCGTCGACCCGAATCGTCCACCCCACATCTCCTACGAACGCTGCGAATCCTTCCACAGTGACACTATTTCGTCTAGCCAAATACACTATCGAAATCTCGATCTTATTCACAGAATTGTTAATTCAGCCTTTCGTCACCGCAATCGATACTGCAGCGTCCGTTGCGTGACTTCTAGTCGCACAGACACCTTCGGAACGAGCAAGCTGGAGTGTTAGGTGCAGCGCAGACTATTATACAGCTGAAAGCAGGCTTGCATGTGAGGCGGGCTCTCCGCTTGAGCGATCTTTGTGATCATGAAGATCAAGAAGCACGCCACTTCTAGACATGAGGCAACTCTGGTAAGTGAGCTCCCAGATCGAATTTGCGATTATTGCCACTGACACATTATAGTCTCCTATGATCAAGGACTTTGTAGAGGCGACGTCTAAGATCCCTTTGTATCAATTACCCGCACACCTGTCCTCGTTCCCAAAATCATGGCCGTTCCCGCGAGGAGACACATATCACTGGATACCAGTCCTTAATCGGTTCGACCAGATTTTGGAACTCTTTAATAAGGAATACAGCTTGGAGGATGGACTGCAGACTCAACCATTCCGCCGGCGGCTTCTGCTCAAGGGCGACGCTGAGGAATCAGCCGCCGACCCGGAACAGACGACAACTGAGGCAGTGTTGGACAAGTTACATTTCTCGCAGGACGGCGATCGAGAACTCGTCGAACACATTCTCCATTTCACCCGATTGCTCCTAGAGAACTGTGGAAATCGAAGCCTCTACTCTAGCAGTGACCAGCTGGATAAGCTGCTCAACACAACGTCGACCTCTCTGTTGAAAGCTACCCTTAGGCTCAGTCTCCGTCTTGCTCAGCGATACCACGCAGCTCGAATGCGACTCCCCCCATCCACACTCAATTCCAACCTTCTCCATAGTCACTACAACTTGAATCTCGAGAAGGTACAGAAGCTCGCTGCTCCTCTGGCTAGAGGCCCTGCACCCGGGGTGCCGATTTTCGCGACTCCTGTTGGAAAAGGCAAGGAAAAGTCCTTCGGAGATCGTCGGAACGAGACTGACAAGATCAACCCTGCCGACCTGGTCTCTTTCTTTCAACTCCCAGAAACAAGCTTGAAGCAAGAATTTGGAGGCGTTTTCATATCCTACTATGAGCCCTCGCCGACAGCGGACGAAAGCTCAAGCAAGACTCCCGCGGTGTCAGCGCCTACCTCCAATGAGCCTCCCTCAACACCAACTCCCACACGAAGGACATCCAATCTCCGTACAAACCAGACACCTCGGCAGGCTCACACTGTTTCCATAACCGACTCACCTGTCACGCCAGTAACCCCAATGTTTGGTGACGATACAGAGGCTGGCCGTTCCAACGGTCCGAAGACCTTTGACATGTCTGCAGACCTTATTGCTCGAACTGATATTCATGAGCTTTTGAATCAAGGTTTGACCAACTTGCCAGAGAGCGTGCATTATGAATTGTTGCACAAGTTGAGGGTCACCAGAGCTCTGAACACCAGTAGCCAAGGCCGTGAAGACGTCGTTGCTATTCGGCTCCTTGCTATCGCAAATCTTGGTTACGTGCTTGGCGAAAAGGATTTTTACAGCAAGGTTGGGCAACAGGATTCTGATGAACCGCGTCGACTTCAGCTCGCATATCAGTTGTCGGAATTAGTGCACCCGCCAGGTAACGGAGAGATGCATCTCTCGAGAGAACTTCAAACATATGCTTTAGGCACGCTTGAATCTTTAGCAAAGCACAAGAACAAGGCTCAGGATGTTTGCGCCGCCTTGGCTGTCAACGTAAACCACGGTGTACTTTTTTATATTGTTCGCAAAGCTGTTGCCGAACTTGGCACTCCTGAAGAGCCTAGCGATGACCGGCAAGAAGACGAATGGCGTGAAAGCCTTTTCTCCCTGCTTAATACTCTTCCAGCTGCCCAGAACCGCACTGGCGAAGGGATGGTCACTGCTGGACTTCTCGAAATCCTAGTGGAGGTCTTGACGCTCAGAACCAAGAAAGCCGAACGTGTTCATCCGAGAGTTCTTCAGTTCCTTGATACATTCGTCCATAACCTTCGTGATGCTTTCGCAGCCCTTGTCAGCGCGAAAGGACTCGACATTGTTGCCGATCTGACATCTTACGAGGTGGAGACGTCCCAGAAGCTGGCCGAAGAGGGAAAGGGTATACCGAAAGAGTACAAAACCCAACTCACGGATTATCAGATCCCCTTCCACCATCAGCAGACACTTCGATGGCTATTCAAGTTTCTCAATCACATGATGTCTCACACTGGCGGGAACTTTGATCGCTTGATGCGAAACTTGATTGATTCTCCTCAACTCCTAGGTGCCCTAAGAGCGGTCCTGTCCAATGCCACCGTCTTCGGATCAACTGTTTGGAGTATGGCTGTCAACATCTTGACAAATTTTATCCACAATGAGCCCACTAGTTACGCTGTAATAGCGGAAGCTCGACTTAGCGAGGCTTTCCTAGACACAGTCGCTGCTCATCCCAGCGCAATTGCACCATCACAAACGGAATCGAGCGATGCTTCATTTGCGCCGCCTCGCGAAGTACCGCAGTTGCCAGGCATTTTACCGGTCGCTGAGGCAATCTCCACTCTCCCACCTGCATTTGGAGCTATTTGTCTGACCGAAGCGGGAATGAAAGTTTTTCAACAGTCATCTGCTCTGGACCGCTTCTTTGAGATTTTTGAGAGCCCGGCACACGTCAAAGCTCTTGAGAGCGATCCCGAGATTCCTAGTATGATAGGATCGTCTTTCGATGAACTGGTTAGGCACCACCCTCAACTAAAAACCAAAGTTCTATCGGCATTGAGTGACATGGTCAAGCGCGTGGTTGTGCTGTGCGCAGCCAAAGCCGAGAGGAGTGGAGTTGGGGCGAAACTCTGGTATGAGAGCTCTGACGGCAAAATCATGGTTGCTGGTGGTCGAGCTTCTTTACTTGGTCCTCAAGGTGCTATCAGTCAGGCCATCTCAAGTGCATCCAGTGGCGGCGATGTCGAAATGGAAGATGCGGGCGAAACGGGTAATTCCAAACCAACTGACACCATCTCCATCGACGAGGTAACCGAAACGGAGGATGCCGCCAATGGACCTACTACTGGACAATACATTGGCGTTGTTTGTCGTTTCCTCTCGGGGTTCTTTGGCAACCACGCAGCCTGCGTTGCTTATCTGGATGCAGATGGGGTAGAGTCTATTCTGGATTTTGCAACCCTTCCCAGTCTCCCCGCACGTTTCAATGAACCGGGGGCACCCGGGGAGGAATTCGGTAGAGTCATTCAGGTTCTCGTGGAACAAAAACCACACATAACCATACCGTCCATTCTTAGGCGAACCCAAGCCGCTTTGGATTGCCTGGAGCCTTTGATGCGCCACACTGGAAAGCATGCCTTTTTCGCGCCCTACACAGAAGTCGCCTCAACCACGACGGGTTCTGCGGATGAGCGAGCAGTCCGCCAAGGTACTGATCATGTCAAATCTCTTATTACCTTGCAAACCCTCATTGTTGCACTTACCATGACCTTTGATGGGCAGATGTTCACTCATCGTTCTAGCCATAACGTTGCTAGTCTAGTCAATCTCGCAGACATGTACGCAAAAGTTGTCTATAGTCTCGGCCGGCTACATAGAAGCTGCGTTTGGGAAGAGATCTTATTACAGAAGACGATGCCTGCGGAATGGGAGAAAGAGACGCGCATCAAGAGCTCAAGTCAAGGGAACATGGTGGCAGATGATATTCTTCGCCTGAACAGCAATGATCGAACATCAGCGGAGACCGATAATACCGCCAGCAATAATGCTGGAGAGTCTGCTTCTGGCACCACTGATAATGCAACCAACACCGCACGTTTGAGCCAGGAAAGTGCGCGCTTTAAAAACACCCAGACTTTGCGTTATCTGCTCAGCAAAGTACCAGCCGGCATATCGCCCTTCTTTCGATCCCTCGGCAAGCTACTTCTGCCACGACGTAACCCTGAAACCTATCATCGGCAGTGTGCCACTATCGTCTCAGATCAACTCGCGCAGGCTGCCATTGATCAATTACAATTCGAAGGTCCCAAGCAATCCGACTCAGATCAAGATCGATATGCTTACTGGATCGTCATCTTAACTTCCATTTCTCAGCTCGTGATTGATAATAGCATGAATCATCCGACACCTCATACCCTGACATTGATCTTGGTTTCTTTCCGCAACCTGGGAGGCATGTCTGTTCTCGCAGAGATCCTGGATGCCTTCTACCAATCTGCTCTTCCGATCGTGCAATCTAAGAATGAAGAAACCAACGAGGAGCTACAGAGACTGCTGAATCTCTCTCTTGGTGGGATCAAGATTGTTTTGACACTCTACGGCCAGATCATAAATCCGAAGATTGTGAATGAGTCCAGCCAGACTACCGCTATGCAGTCTAGACCAGAGAGGGATAGGGATCGAGCCGACTACTTCAACACAGCGCAGTTTCTCGTGGAAATGAAGCATGCGGTCACCATCCAGGTACACAAAATCTGGAATTCGGAGCTCATCGATAAGGCTACAACATCCATTGTAAAGACTTCTATCAGCATCCTCAAAACTGTTCTAGATGGTGAGACCGAGCATGGAGCTTTTAAGAATGCGGATAGCATCCCTCCGCGAGCCAAGCCAGTTATCAGGCCTTGGAAGGCTCGCAACGCCGAACTTTTGTCACGTTTGAAGGATTCCCATTTCGACAAGGACCTCGCCGTAGAAGCACTGTATCGTTGCTGTGATAATTACAACACTGCAGTCGAATACTGCCAGAACGTGATAAACCATCCTCGGGCGCCTCGAAATCCACTGCCCTCCTACGAGACCGAACTACAATCCCTATCATACGTCTCTCCAAGCAGTGCCGCAGCAACAAATCTTGATCACGATGATGATGCCAGTGGAGCAGATAGCGACTCAGACGAAAGCAATGATACTGACGGGCCTGACTCTCAGTCTGTCGACATGGTAGACGCGGAACAGCCTGAGGCTACACCGGCAGTGCAGCCTTCAAATGCAGAACCGCCAGCTACGCAGTCGTCTGACTTGACTTGGTCCTTCCTTGCCTACCGCAGGAGGGTGCAGGCTGGGAGTGTGGCAGAAACTGTTGCCCTCGATGATCTCGACAACGAACGGTCGAACCTCCGCAAGAACCTCATTGACCGATCCCTTGACGTCCTGAACTCTCACGACGATGTCACCTTTGAGCTTGCAGACTTGATTACAGCAGCCATCACCAAGGCACCAGACACATCCGCAATGCGCGCGGAAATTGGATCTACACTCATTCAGTCACTTATATCTCTACAAATGAGCGACGACTTCCGCGATCAAGGCAAGAGGATTGCAGCTTCTGCTCACCTCTTGGCACTAGTAATACAAGACAAGGATCTATACGAAGCTGTCGTGGAGGAGCTCAAGGATAGTTTTGAGATGCTTCTTGGGTTTGTGAAGATCTTCCCCGACCATTCCTCGGAAGAAACCTCCCCGTGGATTGGCCAGGTCCTCTTAATAGTAGAGCGCCTCCTTGCCGAAGATCAGCTTCCTCACCAAATCCAATGGACTGCACCAACCGGCAATGAAATTGACGCGACATCCGTTGAGCAACCACCTGAGCCAATCATCTCTCTGGATCAGAAGACTCAGCTTTTCGACAAGATAATGGAGGTTCTTCCACGGATTGGAAAGGATGAGTCACTTGCTCTCTCTGTTACGCGTGTCCTCGTCATGCTCACACGCACACGAAAGATAGCTACTCGGTTATCAGAGAGGCGCCATATTCAGCGACTATTCCTTATGGTGAAGCAACTCTCTGGGGTCACAAACGAAGCCCTTAGAAGTGCCTTCATGATTGTCCTGAGACACATCATCGAGGATGAGTCTATTATTCGACAGATCATGCGCAGTGAAATACAGGCTATGTTTGAGCAGCGCGACCGAAGACAGACTGATACTACCGGTTACACGCGACAGATGTACTATCTAGCTCTACGAGACCCGGATATTTTTGTGGAAATCACCCAGGAGAAGCTCCAGTTAGCCCGCTATGATGCTAATCAGCGGCCTCAAACACTTGTGTTGAAGAAAGACGATGCTCCAGACGCTGACTCCGGAGACACCACATCACAAGATGTAGCAGATAGTGACAAGCCCCTCGAAACCAGCGAGCCAAAGAGAGGACATGTTCTTGAGCGAACGAAAACATCCGATCTCAAGCATCCTACTGTAGAAAATCCTGATGGAGTTATCCACTACCTATTGTGTGAGTTACTCGCATACAAGGAGGTAGAGGACAAGCCCGAGCCACCGAAGACGAATGAGGATACCACCGCTAGCCCCGCCGAAGCATCTCCTGGCTCTTCTGGAACCCCGGCCGGACAGCCCACGACCACTGAACCAGCTAAATCCGACAAGTCTGAGTTCAAGGCGGATGCGCATCCCATTTACATCTACCGTTGTTTTATCCTGAAATGCTTGGCCGAGCTCCTGCAGAGTTACAACAGGACGAAGATTGAGTTTATCAACTTTTCTCGTAAAGCTGATCCGCATGCCATGACCCCTTCAAAGCCCAGGTCAGGGGTGCTCAATTACTTACTCAATGCATTGGTCCCCGTCGGTACACTCAGTCCGGAAGGCGACTTGCCGTTCAAGAAGAAGGTGGCCACATCCAATTGCGCAATCGATGTTATTGTTTCTCTATGCGCCAAGACGGGCGAATTCAGGCCCTCCGTGAGCAATCACATCACATCTCCATACCTTGAAACTGAACCCGATCTTCTGTTTGTTCGGAAATTTGTTCTGGAGCATGCTCTTAAGGCTTTTAAGGATGCCAGCGGGTCCGATGAGTCATTGGACTCTAAGTATTCGCGCCTGCTCAGCATCGCGGATATGTTCTCCCGAATGGTTTCCCAGCGCTCGGATGGTCAGATGCTCAGCCAGAGTGCCGAGTTGACACCTCCTTTGAAACAGATGGCAAAGATCATGTACGAAAAGAATTTCATTACCATTCTCACCACTGCTATTGCGGATATCGACCTCAACTTTCCGAACGCAAAGCGCGCCGTCAAATACATTTTGAAGCCTCTGAAATGGTTATGCGCCGTCGCTGTGGATCTAAGCACACAATATGACACGTCCACGCCTGATTCTACCGAGGAATACGAAATCTCTTCTGCTTCGGACGATGATATCATTGATGCAACTCGTGAAGAGACGCCTGATCTGTTCCGCAACTCCACATTGGGCATGTACGAACCTCCTCAGGACTATGACGATGAGTCGGATGCATCCGACGACGAGGAGGAGGATCCTTATGCTGACGATATGGAATACGATGAAGACATGGGTTACGACGAAGACATGGCGGACGAAGACGTAGTCTCTGAAGAAGACGAAGAGATGGACATGGGCGATCTGGAGGGTATGGGTCCCATTGAGGGCATGCCTGGAGATATTGGGGACGTCGAGATAGTCGTCGAGGGTGAAGATGAGGACATGCTCTCAGAGGACGACGACGACGAGGACGAGGACGATGATGAAGATGAGGACGATGACGAAGAAGACGAGGATGACGATGACGATGATTTGGACGATCTTCAGGCACTCGAGGAGTTAGAAGAGATCATCGGCGATGACGAGGGGGCGAGCCTTGCCGATGATCATGAGGGAAGCTGGAGTGCCGAGGAGGCTGTCTACGCTGCCGAAGACGAAGAGAATCCAGATGATATCCACCCCAATCTTGGCTTCGTCCTAGACCCACCTCAAGCTATGCTTGATCAGATACGCATGGCTGAGATGGATGAGTTTATGGAAGACGACATGCAGGAGGACGAAGGTACGTTCATCAAAATTTATAATCCATCTAGATCACTAACTCAACACAGAAGAAGAGGATGAGGATGACTACGATGAGGAGGAGATCGTCTATCATCCAGGCCTCGAGGATGATGATGAAGGGATGGCTGAAATGGGCTGGAGTGGCTGGGACGAACCGGTTACGGCCACCCGGCGTACTGTTCATCGTTTGAGCCCATGGATGTTTCCTACAGGACCGTCTGACCGCATACTTGTCCCCGCCTTCCGCTCACATAGACCTGGTGCCGGTCCTCGGATGGCTGATGAGGGCGTCAACCCTCTCCTTCAGCGCGCTGGTCGTTCTTCGGGACGTGCTACAGACGCTCATCTCACTGGTTTCCGTAACGAAGGCAGCGATTGGGTCCATGCCATTGAAGGGCGCGGACCACGCACGTTCTCCGGTGACAGCCCGGTCTCCTTCATCAACAATTTGCTCAATACTATGGCCCAAGGAGGCGCGCCCACACTTCAGCAACACAACGGCACTTTCCATCTTTCATTCAATAATATGCCTTTGGGCATGGGTCTACCTCCGCCTTTCGATCCCTCCATTCGTCGCGATGTGCCACGGGCGCGAGATAATATGTCGCGTTCTCCCCGTGAAGACCCCCAATCTGCGATAGCGTTCCACAAGGGATTCACAAGCTCTCGCTGGCAGGAAGAAGCGCGCATTTTCTATGGTGCTAGTGCCATTGAAAAGAGTCAACGTGTCATTAGTTCCATCCTGAGACGTCTGGTCCCCCCAGCCATCGAGGCAGCGAGAATTAGACAAGCCGAAAAAGAAGCCGAGCTCGAGCGTAAGCGGAAAGAAGAGCAGGAACGTAAAGAAAAGAAGGAGCGGGAGGAGCGGGAAGCGAGGGAGGCTAAAGAACGTGAAGAGCGCGAGCAGCAAGAGCGTGAGGCTGCTGAACTTGCAGCCCGTGCTGCTGAGACCAGCGCCGAAGCCGAACATGAGACCTCTGAATCCACAGCGAACAAAGCGGAGGGCATGGAAGGTGTCGAAGAGGCGCCATCCTCAAATCAAGCTTCTGCCCCTGGTCCATCGGAGGCGGCTCCTCGCGTGACGACAAATGTTCGTGGTCGAGAGATCGACATTACCAATCTAGGTATTGATCTGGAGTACCTCGAGGCCTTACCTGAAGAACTACGAGAGGAAGTCCTCATGCAACAAATCGCGGAGAGCCGCGCTCGACAGCACGAAACCGAGCAGACCGAAGCCGATCCGACTGGTCTCGACCAGGACTTTCTCGATGCCTTGCCACCCGAAATTCGTGAGGAACTACTCCAACAAGAGGCGCAAGAGCATCGTCGCCGCGAACGAGAAGAACAACGCCGTCGCCAGGCCAATGGCGCTGCGCAGCCCGAAGACATGGATCCTGCGAGTTTCCTGGCATCTCTCGATCCCCAGCTACGACAAGCAGTCCTTATGGATCAGGATGAAGATGTACTGAGACAGTTGCCGCCTGAAATTTCTGCAGAAGCCAGGTCGTATGGCGGTGACCGCCGCTTGAATCAGTTTAACGACTTCATACAGCCCGGATATCGGCGCGGCGGCGAGCGCCGTGCACAACTAGACGACCCTAATCAGAAAAAGAAAGCTCGCCCTTGTGTGCAGATGTTAGATAAGTCTGGAGTAGCGACACTCCTTCGACTCATGTTCATCCCTCAACAAGGCAGCGCCAAGGCAAGCTTGAGTCACATTCTGCGAAATGTTTGCGAAAACCGACAGAATCGCGCTGAAGTGATCAGCATTCTGCTTTCTATTCTTCAGGATGGCAGTGCGGACGTCAATGCCGTAGAGCGCAGCTTCGCTCAGCTCTCTCTCCGCGCCAAACAACCTCCTCAACAGCAAGGTGCAGACAAAACACCGAAACTTTCACGGAAGAGCGGTTCCTTGGCGATCACTGCGGAAGTGTCCCCTCTGATGGTTGTGCAGCAATGTCTTCACACACTTTTCAATCTCACAGAAAAGAATCCTGCCGTGTGGTCGTTCTTCCTCACGGAGCATGAGACAATCGTCGGATTTAAGAATCGTGGAAACCGAAAGGGAAAAGCAAAGGAGAATAAAGCAACCAGATACCCATTGAATGCTCTCCTTGGCCTACTGGACCGAAAATTGATAATAGAAAGTTCTTCCATTATGGAGCAACTGACCACGCTGCTACATGTCATCACTGGACCTCTTCAGGCCATCAAGAAGGAAAAAGAGAAAGCCGCAGAAGAGGCAAACAAGCCCTCCAACACTGCCGATGCTCAGACTACCGAAACGCAGCAGCGGGCTCAGGATACAGAGATGACCAGTGGACCCGAGGTACAAGCACAAGCACAACCACAGCAATCCACGACCGAAGGCGAAGGCAGTGATCCGAAGACGGATGACAAAAAGCCTGAGGATGACAAAGCGAAGAAGCATCGCACGCTTGTGCCACCCGAGGTGCCAGACGGTAATCTACGCCTTGTTGCGAGAATCTTGGCAGCGCGAGAATGCAATGCCAAAGTGTTCCAGGAAACCTTGTCGGTTATTAGCAATCTGTCTCCTATTCCTGGTGCAAAGGAGGTGTTCGGCAAAGAGCTACTCGGCATAGCACAAGATCTAGCTCAATCAGCATTGAACGACCTTGCCACTCTTACTATTCAGGTGTCCCAGGCAAAGAACCCGACTGATGTCCAAGGCATGGCTTTATCAAAATTCTCCCCCGCGAGCTCCGACCAAGCCAAACTGTTGCGCGCGCTCACCGCACTCGACTATCTATTCGATCCTACTCGCGACAGCAAGGACAAACCGGCCAATAGCGCCGAAGCTCTCGAGCCTGCGCAGAAGGAGGATATTCTACTTACTCTTTACGAGAACTCCACATTCGGCGGGCTATGGAGCAAGCTGAGCGACTGCCTTACTGTCATCCGACAACGCGGTAATATGTTGAACATTGCAACCATCCTCCTGCCTCTCATTGAAGCTCTTATGGTCGTCTGCAAGAACACTACTCTCAAGGATATACCTCTTAGCAAGATCGTAAACAAAGAGTTCGCACTTTCAAGCCCTCCACCAGAGAGCCGCATGGAGAGCTTGTTCTTCACATTCACAGAGGATCATCGGAAGATTCTGAACGATTTGGTCCGCCAGAACCCCAAGCTCATGTCTGGGACATTCTCTCTCCTCGTCAAGAATTCAAAGGTGCTTGAATTCGACAACAAGCGCAATTATTTCAACCGCAAACTCCATTCACGAAACAATCAAGATCGACAGCAACCGCCCCTGCAGTTGTCCGTTCGTCGTGATCAGGTCTTCCTTGACTCGTTCAAATCACTCTATTTTAAGACTGCGGATGAAATGAAGTATGGCAAGCTCAGCATCCGCTTCCACGGCGAGGAAGGAGTAGATGCAGGCGGTGTCACACGAGAATGGTTCCAAGTTATTGCAAGGCAAATGTTCAATGCAGACTATGCCTTGTTCGTGCCAGTTGCATCAGACCGCACAACATTCCATCCCAACCGCCTCAGCGCCATCAATCCAGAGCATCTAATGTTCTTCAAGTTCATTGGACGTATCATTGGCAAGGCTCTCTACGAAGGTCGTGTTCTGGACTGCCATTTCAGCAGGGCTGTATACAAGCGCATCCTCGGCCGACCAGTCAATCTCAAAGACATGGAAACTTTGGACTTGGAATACCACAAGTCTCTGCAATGGATGCTTGAGAATGACATCACTGATATCATCACCGAGATGTTTTCCGTCGATGTCGAGGCGTTCGGAGAGGTCCAGACTGTCGATCTCATCGAGAACGGTAGCAATGTTCCCGTGACTGAAGAGAATAAGCATGAGTATGTCCGTCTTGTGACTGAGCACCGCTTAACCGGGGCGGTTCAGGAGCAACTCGAGCATTTCCTCAAGGGTTTCCACGACATTGTGCCCGCTGAACTAGTCTCGATCTTCAGCGAACAAGAGCTCGAATTGCTGATCTCTGGTCTGCCTGACATTGATGTCGATGACTGGAAAAACAATACCGAGTATCACAACTACACCGCCGCTTCGCCTCAGATACAGTGGTTTTGGCGCGCCATGCGCTCATTTGACAAAGAAGAACGCGCTAAACTTCTGCAATTCGTCACCGGTACAAGTAAGGTGCCACTGAACGGCTTCAAGGAACTGGAGGGCATGAATGGCTTCTCGAGGTTCAATATCCATCGGGATTACGGCAGCAAAGACCGTCTACCCTCGAGTCACACTTGCTTCAATCGTAAGTCCCATTTCACCATGAATAATTTGAAAGTATTTGGCTAATTTCTTTTTCCAGAGCTCGATCTACCAGAGTACGAAAATTACGAAGATCTTCGCAAACAACTTTACACCGCGATGACGGCCGGCAGCGAGTACTTCGGTTTCGCATAATTCAAATCATAAGCAATCTTGGAATCTTCATCGTCTGTGAAATTTTGCTCTCGCTCAATGCATTGCAGGCGCTCAGGGAAGGTTTCTTGGTGAAGCATCGTGAGAAGCTGATGGCAGCTCTGTATATCAGAAGGGAAGGTTTACCAACGGTGAAATCAAACATGCACAAATGGGTTGGAGGCTGGTGGTCCATATGGCGTTGGGGACTGCATGGTAGAAGGAACAGCAATGGAAATAGCAAGGATGACACCCTCGGAATGGTTCAAGGTGCCAGGAGTGCAGGCCTGGCCTCCTATTTTCCTCCCGTGGGTAGTAGTTCCTTTGCTACGACGTAGATAGATACCATTCTCTCCTTTCCCTATCCCCCGAAACATCGATAGGTGAAGGTCAATTTTAGTTATGTGTACTAGACCAAAGGAATGAATTATGAGTTTGATTCTACTTGTCTTTGGACACTGCAGTAAACTATGATATTTCATATGGTCGAATTGACGAACTATCATATTAGGCATTATCAGTCGTTGGTGTTCTATGGTTCCATTAAGATGCGTTCTACTCTATGTAACAAATGTCTATCCGGCCAAAATCAATGTTTGACAGGTCCGCAGGTGAGTAGATGAAGTGAAGAACCATGCCTAGTCGAAACATGATGATTCATCTACGGCTACGCCACTCTCAACGAGAATCTTCTCTGGCCCAACCTTTAGCCATGCTGGATATTCCTCTTTGGAAAGACCCACCATTCCCATCATTCCCACAGCATTCACACCTAGTCCTTCGTACCGGTTCATCCTTCGCGGAACAACTACAATCCATCGCTTACACAGGACGACGTTGTGAGGGCAAGGCGACGTTTCATCCGCACCTCCCAATCCCAACAGGAGCCTTGCCCTCGTCAACAGCTCGACGTAGACGTTAAAGATTTCATCCGGGTCGGGCACCTCGTCAAACCTATGCAGCAGGTATCTAAACGGCACGCGATCCTCATCAAGTCCCGTATCTGGGAACATCCTGAAGCCATCTTTCTTGTGCAGAGGGAAGACCTGCATGTGCTTGTGCAGCCGACTGCAACCGCCATCTCTACCACAATTGTAGAATCCATACCACTCATGCTCACCCTCCAAGTTACGCAAAACCTTCCACAGAGCCCTGACATTGTCGAGTTCTAGGGGTGCGTGCTGCCTTCTGTACCCGTCGTGCGTGAGCAATATCATGTGCGCTTTGAACATGGCGAATTTGTTCCACGCCAGGACATGGTCGTCGATGTCTGCGATGGTGTATCCCGTGACATCGATATCGCTACCCGGTATCGGATATACAGGCTCCTCTTTAGTTTCCTCAGAGCCGCCGAGTTGCGGTTTCTTGGAGAAGGCGGTAGTGACGTAGAATAAGAGGGGGAACTTTTTGGGCCCTGATGTGTAGGGTATCAGCCGCTGGGCGGTATCGTACACGACCGTCCCGGCTTCATGCTGGGCTTCGAATTCCTGAAGGAGATGATCCTCGTCTAAAGGGATGTTCTCAGGGTTGGCACCCATGTTTTTTGTAATTGTTGTTTGTTTTTGTTGTTCGTATTTCCAGAGCACGCCAGACTACGGAGTAGTTTCCACGTGGCTTGCTGTTCTCGAGTTCACGCTAGGGTAAGACCCCTAATCCAGATGGGTTGACACCGATTCAGGTGTGTACTGTGTCAAATGCGTATTAGATACAATCCAGCATCAGATCATCGAAGATCTGGATCTCGAAAAATAAGCAAGACTCGAGGACACGAGTATGGGTCCAATAAAAGTTCTGGGCAGCCTAGAGGGTGTTAGACTGCATCTACAGCCAGCCACGCCAGCCTCGCGCTTCGGAGCGCGCGTGGGCGTTTAAGCGAGAATCTTAGAAGGGCGGCCTTACCCGTATATGTCTTTTCTTTTTGTTATTACAAGTAGATAGAGAGATCATTTTGAAAGTAATAGCATTTCAAGGGATGCTTACACTTTATATGATAGTTTGTCTGAGCCTCGCCTGCAACAAATTCAAACAATTCGCCTTTCACATGCCCTGGAACACACCAAGATTCTTCAATGGGTATGATCGCGTGGTCGATGCAAACTGTCATTGTAACCCCTTAGAAAAGTGACCAAGACGATCCCAAAAAGGCTCAGAGAACATGTGGCGCTGCTGTTGCGTGACCGAATCCAGTTAACCAGAGGGATTAGAGGCGTTCTGTATTTGCTCGATTCGCTCAAGTCCCTCGTACCATCTGTCGGAGGCGCCAATCGATGTGTTCGACCTAACAAAGGGCCAGGCACAGTTACTACCAAGACATCTAAATGCTTCTAGCGCCTGCTTTGCGACTCGCTGGATACTCTCGTCCCACGCATACTCGCATTGCATCTTAATCCACCATCCTTGCAATGAACCTAAACGAGTTCAAAGTAGAACTATTTCGCCTATATAGGACTGTTAGGTAGAGTTAAACCACGTCACTTGTACATAGGGCGATTTTTTGGCGGGCGCAAAATGTACTATTGGCGCGGTGAGGCTGTTGGTCAAGAAGCGGACTATGTTGCTTCAATAGATCGAATGCAGGAGGAAAACACATTCGCTCCCTTTGATGGAATATTAATTCATAACGTCTCGTTTCTCCTTCACGTCCTGTAGTCTATCGTTAATCCACATTCCTTTGCAAAAAAAAGTTCGTTCTTTGTACAGTCGGTCACTGTTCTGGTCACTATGTTTCTATCTTACGCTCATTTCGGAATCGGTCCTGAGGGATTCGACCCATCACACTCCTTCTTTCGATCAAATTATGTCCCCACACTCGTTCTCGCGTCTATTCGAGCGATCATTGCCATATACTGTTTCACAACAATGATAGTGTGCTACAGCTGGCTCGCCAACAACCTAAGCACCAATAACCTTCAAGACGTCAACATCGATTCCTACACACTATACATCGGCTCAGACGGCATCCACCAATCATTCAGCTTCTTCACCTACCTCACCTTCTGGTCCCTGGGCTTCTACTTCTCCTTCGCAAGCATGCACACCTTCTGCTACGCCATCAAAGGTCGAACATGGCTACAAAGCTGGCCCCGCATCCTCCAACTCTTTCACTACTTCTACTACACCAGCATCACCTGCTTCCCCTTCCTCGTCACCATCGTCTTCTGGGGCACCATGTACAGCGGCCCCTGGCCAAAGGGCCGTTTCGAACAGTGGATCAACATCTCCGTCCACGGCCTCAACTCCCTCTTCGCCCTGACTGAGGTCGTCCTCCCAGCAACATCAACCTCCCCATGGTCACATCTATCCATTCTCCTACTTGTCCTGTCGGCATACCTCGGTCTCGCGTATCTCACGCGTTTGACTCAAGGGTTCTACGTCTACGAGTGGATGAACCCTGCCCATGGCAACGCCAGCATCATCTTACATATCCTCGGGTACACAGTCGGTATCATTTCGATCTTCGTGATCGTCAAGGGTGCCATTTGGCTGAAGAGGTACTTGGCCGAGCGCAGTGGAAAGGATGTCACCTATAGGCAAAGCAGAATGGTTAGGCTGGATGATAGCGATAAACTGAATGTCAGGCGGAGGGCTATGTCCCAATGGGGTCGTGGTTCTTTCGTTTAATTGTTTATTCTTCTAATGAGATGGAATGGGGGCTTAGAGTCATGATGGAGTTTTGGCGGATTATTTACTACGTATATATAAAGAATAACTAATGTTAATAATTAATATCAACCACCATAAAGAACCTTCTGGCTAAGTGTGACTATCTGTAAGGAATATTGCGCCCAGTTTTATTACTTTCGCTTCTTCAGTTTGGCTCTGCTCAAAGATGTCCCCATCAGTGGATATTATCCCGGCCAGTGGGACTTTGAACAGACCCAGAGTCATTGCAAATGACAGCCTCTCTTCCCCACGTGATTAAAGAAGCAATCTCGTTCACATACCTACACTACAAGATAACCAGTCCCCATAGTGGCGTCTCCTACCTTCAATCCCAACTCGTCTAGCACAAATATTTCTGCTTCGATCGAAGAGCCCTTACCCAACCCTCAACTGAAGAAGGTGGAAGGTAAGGCAGTGATACCTATACGACCTGTGGAAGACAATGGCTTCTGTCAAATGCTACGTCGTAGTGTGAATGACGTTCACGAAAAAGTTAAGCAGTAGTAGCCAAAGAGTAGACCAATGCCTTTGGCTCTTACTCCACAGTGTTAAATGAATGAAAAGGGTATATTGACTTTCTAGTATGTGACATGACCTCGTATCACCAACTGCTCCTCTTCATCGTTTCTAGCTCTCCCAACTCTTGAACACCCCCTCTCCAGTTCTAGTTGGTCTAACTCCCAAAACTCCCTCTGTCGGTCAACGTCTGCTCGAACAATGATTCCCCCACGTCATCCTCCCCGGGCTCAGTTGTTCTTGCAATCGTTGCAATGGAAGTGCAGGCATCGCGAATAACCATTCCAACCTCTCCAAGCTCCACTGCATCGTTCCACGACGTTTGGATTGTGTACTACATTTTGGAATTGGCACTTGCAGCATTTCCAGCCGGGACGCGCCCAGAGTACGCCAGGAACTTCGTTGAGGATGCCCATGGTTTCGGTAGTGATGTCCTTGTTCAGTGATTGCTGCTTTGGTCTGGACAGACGTTCGTGTGATGTCTGTTTTCTGGGTGTGGAATGGATTGGTGACGTTTTGTGCTCCTCGTAAATGATTGCTCTTAGCAATGCAAAAAGTGGGTTTGATGTAGGCTTTTGCGTGCGAAGTCTCGGTATGATAGGTTTAATATTGGCAATGATGGAATCGGTATTTGGATATGGATTGGTATTTTGGATATCTGAGAAGCTGTTGATTCCGAGTAAGTATCTAGAGATATCTCCTTATATACCCAGCTCTATCCCATCATGCAGACATAGTTGAGATGTTCGCCTCCTTCTAGAGTCATTCATGGTGTTGATGAATGTTTGTTACTCTGACACTACGATGCAGGAATGGTTGTACTCGACTCATTCACATGTGTCTGTAAACTCATCGTTTCCGCTAAAACGAACACTGCCATTGGAGGAGCAGCATCAAAAATGTAGCATTCGCAGGACGTGACTGCGACTTGATGCCGGATCCCGCTGGACGCTGCACCGAGATCTGTGCGACGATGATTAACTTGGTAGGGTCCCACTGAAATAAATGAACCATAGATCTGACTCTGCTCAAAGCACTTGTATGTACCATTCATGTTTATATATTTAGGCGTCAAGCAAATGAACTCTGACTGAATGTTACATCACACGTCGAGTCCTTTGGAGTCTTTCTTTGTGAGTATCGACAATAACGACGAAGACGACTAAGCAGTCACACAAGCTCCAGGGTGTAGGCCCGGTTGAGAGACGTTCTTTGAGCAAGATACAGGAGAGCAGTTTCACATAGATTTTTTAAAAGTGAATTGATCTCTGTGCAGTACGTTCTGATACACTAGCCCTCTTTCATGCACAGCCTCATTTCGGCAATCTCCACCTTTGAAATCTGCGCGCGACTCCCTAGCAGGCAATCCCCCAGCAGGAATTACAAACGTCATTTAAGATGAGCGAAAGACAATTAATGCAATGTTTCACCCTGCAGCAGTTATTTTAGAGTGCCAATGATGATGAAGTATTCGTTCACATTTCGTGGGGTCGGTGTTTACCAACAGACGCTAAAGACATATGTCCCAAATCGGATTAGGTGGCCTTGGATTGTAAAGCTGGACTGGAGATGTTGAACATATTTAACTCCGCAGCCCCCAAAACGCGGATGTTGATGGGCATTCGGACTTTAAAGAATAATTATTCGGGGCGAAGCAGATTGAAATACACTATAAGAAGATGGATGAGGTCGTCTGAGAAACGCATCACAAATTCAATATCTACAATCATCACTTCGAAAACAATATTCATCTTCTCGAGCAAAAATGCGAGCCTTCTCACTCCAAATCTTGACCTCTTTGGTCTGCATCTCAACCTCATTTGCGCACAATGTTTCGAGTTCTCTGAGAACAGTGCATCAATTTCCAAACCCAACATGGATCGAAAATCTCTTTGCAACTTGCGATGGCTCGTTATTAGCGAGTATCATGGGCGCCGCTGAGCTCTATCAAGTGGACCCATTTGCTCCCTCGAACGGCACAACCCTCATCCACACATTTCCAGAAGCAACCGCTCTCTTTGGCATCGCAGAGCTTAGCCGCGGCAACTATGCCGTCATCGCCAGCCTCTTCAATTCGACATCTCTTTCGGGCACCAACTGGACTGTCTGGAGCGTAGAGCTACAACGAAACACCGCCGCGGAAGTCTCCAAAATCGCCGACGTACCAGATGCAGGATTCCTCAACGGAATGACGGCGTTGAACAACCACACACTCTTGATCGCAGACTCCGCAAATGGCACTGTCATCAAGCTTGACACCAGGAATGGAACGTACGAAACAGCCATCGACGACGCCAGCATGAAGATCCTCCCCGGCGCGCCTCTTCCGGTCGGCATCAATGGTCTCAAGCTCCACCGCGAATACCTATACTACACGAGTTCAACCCAAGGAAGCGTCAATCGCGTCAAGGTGGACAAGGAGGGCTACGCATCCGGTCCCATCGAGACAATCTCCAACAGCACCACACTTGTTGATGAGCTCGTTGTCGCTAGGGACGGCAGTGCGATCGTGGCCCGGCCATTGGGAAATGACGTTGCGAGATTCTCGCTCGATGGCACCCATGAGATCCTCGCTGGAGGTCTGAATTCCTCGGACGTTGCTGGTGCCGTCAGTGTCACGCTTGGAAGAACTAAGAAGGATAGAAATGTTGTTTATGTTTCCACAAATGGTGGTATCGCAGCGCCTGTCAATGGTACTTTTACGGAAGGAGGAAAGGTTGTAGCGATTACGCTGCAATAAGGATTTTATATGTAATTAGAGTATGTTGTAAAATAAAGACGCTCGAGATAGAAAATATAATCATATCACATGAGTTTGTTTTAGTGTCGAGTATGAGTGAAAGCAATATGAATTAGTGCTTTAACGCAATGTTAGTATTCTTAGTCAGTCAAAAGACAACGAAAGAAGTTTGTCCTTGCTTGCGACCAAGTTTTCCAACTCTCTGAGTTCGTGTTGTTAGTGTAACTAGGCGGGGGAACGGGTAGTGTACCTAGGTTGCTGTGCCGCAGACTTGCATCTCAACAATCACCACTTCATGCACAGACAGAGCTCGTGGGATATAAAAGCCATCCGCATATTGTCCTCAGCTGGAGTATTCCATAACATTGCTTCCTCGCTATAAGATGAAATCTTCAATGTCTCTGCCTCAACAACAAACAAGGGCCGCCTGGCAACAGGGTAGTGGGTCGTCGTCAGATTTCATTGATCTTGTTAATGACGACGATAGTAACGAAGAGGATCACGATGCCCGTAAAGATGCTTCCCTTGATAATTTTGAATACAGTAAAAGATTCGCGTTTATTGGGAAAACTAAAAAACTTGACCTCAATCTCGATGAGACGTATGTGACGGATTGGCGTTGCCCCGAGGCATTTCGAGAATTTTATCAAAATTGGTCTAGATGTCCCCTCGATAATCGTAAAGCTGTGCTGATTGATTGTAGGAGGGATGCCATCATTCGATCCTTCAAAATTAAGGAGCGAGACTTTCGGCCCAAATTGACCAGGAGTGAACAAAAGATCCTGGTTGAGGTTTTCCACCCTGTCTCCCGGAATCTACTTGGTTTTATACGTTTCGAGTACGATTCCAAGGAGGAGGGCACTCTAGAGATTACGAATTTCCACGCGAATCTGGAAATTTCTCACTTGGTCGTAGGCTCTTCGAGCAAGAGAGGTGATGTAGAACAGGCAGGGCAGCATGGAGAAGGCATGAAACTAGCGTGTCTATTGCTTCGCCGCAAAGGCTATGCTGTGGGCATATTGAGCTCGGGATTTGATTGGAAATTCCTATTCGATAAACGTTCAGTTCTCAACTGCCACATGAGCAGACTAGCTGATGCAGAAGCGGCGAGAGATGCGATGCGTGCATCCAGCGGCGTCCAGAGGCTGGCTCGTTCCAATGCATACATGGACGTCAGTATTAGAATTGGGTTCAAGTTGACTGGATTAGACGACATGGGTATTAAACGCAAAACAGACAAGATCCCCCTCGCCGAGTTCGAGCGCTGGATGGAAACTTCTCTTGACCTTCAAGCTCTCAAATCTGTTTTTCGTACTAGCGTAGGTGATATTCTATTAGACGAAGCACAGAGCAACAAGCTGTACCTTCGAAGCCTGCTCCTCCCGCACGGTAGCTCTGACGGAAGTCAACTTCGTTATGGATACAATTTCTTGAGAGGAAATACCTCCCGAGAAAGAGTATCCTTGTTGGATAGTGAGCAGGAGTTCTCCACCAGGTGGAGGATGTGGGAGGCTGCAGTTAACGAGTATGGAGAGTCTGCATTGGTTATCTATACGAATTTAATCCTGGAGGACGAGAAATTCTCTGATTCCTCGGTTTCATTTTTCACCAAGACTCCTGAACCCATGATAAATGGTATCGGCACAAGTCTCATAACTCAGGTCTGGCGTCAGATGTTGCAGATGAATGGGGACGCTGGTGGTCGCTCGGCGTTCTACTACAATGCACGGGAGGCAAATGAAGCAGTAAGTCCATCTCTTTTTCGTATGACTTGCTGCTGAAAATTGCAGAACACACATATAATCACGCAGTATCTCAAGAAACACCCATATCCATTAAGGGCGGAGCTGTGGATTCAACTTCGCCGGGCAGGGTTATGTCGTACCCCAGCGGAGGAGCAATTGCATATCTTCTCGGGATTTCCAACGATAGAAAGTTACCCAAAAACAGAATTTGCCGTGCATCTTAGCTGGATGCTCGACTGTTGTTTCAAATCTCATTCCACAACAGCTGGGATAGAGTACGAATTTGTGAATGCAGGGGATGCTGGCCTTGATCTCGGTTTCCGTGATTCGAAATGGCTCATCAACGCAAGGTGGTTGGCATACGACGGTGCTCACAAAGATGCATTCTGTGAAGAGAATGCCCCAGCTGAGGATGAGCCTTTCTTCTGCGATCACGTCGTTCTTTGGTTGTGGGACCTCGTTATAACAGGAATCATAGCTAAAGACAGCAACGGGGAGGTGGCCAAAACGTATGGCTGGCTGAAATCCATGGTTGGATCTCGGCTGGCACAGATGCCCAGGCTCATCCAATGTAGACGCACTCCCTTCAAAGAGGAGTTGGAGGTCTCTTGGGACTGTACATACTCAGAGAAAAACAAGGACAACCCGATTCGGGTGACGTTGCACGCGAATAATTGCACGGGTGTGGATGAAGATTCTTTGGATCATCCATTGCGTTATCACTTCAGAGATGAAGAACAGGGTAAGTTTTTCCACGACCACTATCATCTCGTAACTGACCAAATTCAAGACCAGAAGTGTGGGTGTGCATTTCAGGTGTCGACGGTATCCAGTACTAGCGTAACATTCACGAATCTGGACTCTAGCAAGAAGCATCTTGCGAAGGTTTCTCTGGATCGCAAAGGGGCATTCTTTGGCCTGGCACCTACCGAGATCAGTCCATACGCCGAGGATCTCATCAAACCCGAAAAGAGAGTCACAGCCACTGTTTCTAACCCATCCGCACCCGGTCCAGATGAACCAAACGACAACTCATCAGACGATAGCGGTGTTGGTGATGTCCAGCTCGCTGATGGGGTGGGTGATGTAGGGCAAGAAAACGGCATTCATAACACAAATGCCACCGCTACTACTACTAATGACGACGATGATAGCGACAACGATACACTTTATCGAGATCCCACACGCACAGCATCTCCGTCCGTAAGGCGAAGAGAGACAGAAGCAGCATCATCCAGACCGGATCTTCCAAGCCATGCTGCTGAAAGACGTGGAGAGCATGAGATTGAAGGCCGACACAATGCACAAACAACATCTGCGCTTCAAAATCGCAGTCCCCCGCGAGATAGAACTATTAACGGTCGACGAACCCATAAGCCCACCGACACTGAGCGAAACAACCCAGTCTCTGGACTCCCACACGATGATCGATCGACTTACTTGCAAGAACGCAATCAGACTACTCACCCGACATTCAACAGAAATCAAGAGGGACCCCAACACGACGACGATGAAGTGACTGTCACTCATGATAGCAATCGGATCGCCCATCTGACCGGCACTGGACACCAAGAGTCTGCCCTCTCCATCATCCGACCGGAGCCAACTATCGCCGGGCCTGGAATCTACCGTGAGTATACCCTCCGTACCATCTTAGCTACACCTCAAACTAACCCTCACCACAGAAATCAGCACCCCAGTAAGCCACCGCGACCTAAACTGGGAATCCGGCTTCCCAGGAACCCACGACTTCTTCCGCACAGCAAGCGACCCCAACACCTTCATCGCCAAACCCAAAACCCCCCAGTCATCCTCCACAACCACCACCACAACGACAACAGTAACCACAACAACCACCACAACCACATCAACAGCACCCGAACCCTCCAGTAGAAAACATCCCCGCTCCCCAAATACCTCACCCCCAAACAAACGGCCTAGAACGCACCCCTCGTAGATCCCCCAGACTCACCCATTTCCCGGGGGGCGGATATTCACATGTTCGTATGTGTACCCCCCGAGAACTGCGAAACATCCGCGGCTCCATATAATCTCCACCACGCCCAGAGCCCTACCACACTTCCAACATGAATCCCAGTGGCGATCCTGTCGCCCGCCAATTAGGTACTGGGGAAAAGGAAGGAGAATGTGCATATACGACAGTGGGCGTGTATGATGTCGTCGGTCACGTAGGATTGTTCCTTTTCCCCGAGAATGACGACTAGAGTTTGACTGGACTGTTTTGACAAGAGATGTGGCGTCAAGGTGAGGTGCGGCGGAGTCGGACGGATGGGGTTTATGCTTCGTGTGTTTGGTTTGTGCCTCATTGCGTCAATGTGAGGAGGGAGCATGTGCCCATGTACCACTAGTAAATACGATAACCTCATGAAAAATTGAAACTGAAATCGAGGGTGTAACGTCTTCTCATGTGAAATTAGTTGGATAGGGATGAGTAGAGTAAGACGGAAGTTATGTAGCGGTGTCAGTTCTGTGCTCTGTGTGTTGACGATTAGTGACGATATCGCTGTGTAGTTCGTAGATGCATACGTGAAATTAGAAGACACCGCTTCACTCATCCATTGCACACATACACCATCATATCAAGCTACCCTAACCACACGCCCGACATTCACCACTCGTGCCATTCTGTAACGTCAATACTTCCCCATACTTCCCCTCCCACAAGAAGACCACACGCAACATCCTTAGCCCATACATCTAACAGTCTCAACTCACAAGCTCTTCCTTACCTATCAGAGCAAAGGAGATGAGAGGCAGTTTCAAGCTTGGTGTTTCGGGGAGTATCTACGGTGACAACCGCATGATACCCACCATCCCCACTGTTCAGTCATCATGTACGAAGGCATTCAGCATCACGTGGGGAAAGTCATCCAGAGGAAAAAGTCGGGAAAGTGTGGATGTACATCACACCCACACTCCCAAACGTACCTAATCATACACGTAAAAAACGACTGTCCTATCGTGAAACCCTCACGACTCTTGACGATAACTCGCTGGCAAAGATTTACTGCTGTTAGGGGGGGGGGGGGTTCTTTGGGCCTGTTGTTCCTTTTTTGCTTTGGGTTTCGATTTATGATTTTATGGTTTTATTTTGTGTTGCTGTATTATCTTTATATATATTTGTGGTTGTATGTTACTCATATCATACCCTCGTACATTCTGTGTGTACTGCCTCAAACGGGGCTTATACCTTCCAACCCCCTAAACCCATACTCATTCCCAAAAAAGAAGAAACATCTGAACTAAATTAAAATCATAAGGAGCGCATTGTGGTATCGTATCCATCGTCATCAAATCATCATAAGCCACCCTCGCCTCACCTAACTGTACACCCTATCCCACCCCATACTCCCCCTCCTCCCTCCATTCCCACCACTACCAACACTCCACCTCCTCCCCCCCGACCCCGACCCCGACCCAGTGTTCCCACTCCTCAACGGCCACTCCGACCTCCCGGAGCTCTTCCTCGGGGGCGGCGATGCGGGCGCAGGGTACCGGGAGAAACTCGTGTTGCCCCCGTAGAGCCCGTTTTCGATGTCGATGTCGAGGTCTAGGTAGGGGTCGTATGATGTATCGGCTGCGGCGAAGTGTGGGGTGTGGTGGGGGGTATGGTGGTGGGGGGAGTGGTGGGTGAATTCGGGGCCGTAGTCTTCGATGTAGGAGGTGGCTGTAAAGGGGTTTTGAGAGGGGTTGTTTTGGATGGGGGAGACGGGGGAGGAGGGGTGGAAGGGAGCTTGGGTGTGGGAGGAGGGCATTGTTTGGCGGAGGAGTGTGCGGGATGCGAGGGTTGAGGCGGCGGTGGGTGAGGTGGGTGAGGTGGGTGAGGTTGGGGAGGCGGGGACGGGTTTGCGTTTTATGGAGTGTGGTGGTGATGATGGTATCGCGGCCGCCGCTGCCGCTGCCATTGGAGGTTGAATGGGGGTTTCGGCGACGGTGGTTAGGCGTAGAGGGGGTCTGGGGATGGTGTTGCTGCTGCGAGGCAGGATGGGGGATTCGGGGTCCTCTGGCTCGCTGACTTCGGCGACGGAGTGCAGGCTTTGGTAGCTTGTTCGTTTGCCGCGGGCGCGGTTAGAGGAGTGCGTGTGGAAGAGGGCGGGCGCCATTGCTGGTGGGAGGTTGTTTGTGGTGGTGTGGTTGTTGTTGTTGGAGTTCGGGGTGTAGTTGAAGGGGTCGATAACGTCGTCGTCCCAGCCCATGGTGCGGAGATCCTGGCCGGACGAGTCGGACGATGTGTTGAAGCCGTCGTTCTGAACGAGGTTCTCGTAGGATTTCTCCTGGAACGCAAAGCGGGGGATGAAGCCTGGTGACGATGGCGGGACAGATCCATTCACGGACTTGTTGCGACGTCGACGACGCAGGAGACAGCAGCCGAAGGCGAAGGCGAGTAGTCCAAGGGCACCTAGCGGTACGCCAACGCCGACTCCTATTTTCTGTCCCTTCGAAAGACCATCATGGTCTTCAGTCCCTCGTTCGGATTCTTGATTTGGAACAGGAGGTATAGTAGAACTGCTTCCTGTGGAGCTGGACTTAGCAGTCGAAGACTTGGTAGTTTGCGTCCTTGTTGCTGTCGTCTCGGTCGACACCGTCGATGCCGTTTCTGAACCGGATGACCGACTGGAAGGCCGAGAAACTGTAGATTGGGAGACATCATTAGCTGAGCTTTGCGCCGCACTGGTCTGCCAAACAGCACTCGTCTCCGCTGGCACACTTGAATCCGTGACTACCGCTGACGACCACGCCGGCACTGTCGGATTCGGAATCGCCGTCTGCGGCCCAAACTGCGCGATCAAATAACTCTGAATATCCTCTGGCAACTCGAGAAACCACCACGGTTTCTTATCGTCTAGGAACTCCTCCCATAGGATGCTCGATACGGCGGGAAGATTGGTGGCGGCGACCTGGCGAAGAGACTCTGGTATTGCGGTGAGAAGCACCTTAGCGAGTGATACTCTAGTAGATGTTAGCTAGATGAAAGGTTTGGGTAGTTGTGTCAGTACTAACGCATCAGGACCTTGCCGCTTCTCGGCGAGGAGGTTGGCCACGCTGGGTGCTGGAGTGATGATAGGTGTAGCCGGCTGAAGGGCCCTTCCATACACATCCCCAGCGAGCAACAAGATCGAAATGGTTGGTAGCGAATGCATATTCAAAACGAACGGATGATAAAACAAAAAAACGAAATGAGACGGAGAGTTAGTCGAGTCTTTGGGTGACAACACACTTGCTATGAGAAAGTCATTGTAGGTGCAGTTGCTACCATAATTGCACGGCGGTGGCCACGCATTTCTTTTATTCCCACCTACAGACCCTCCATTGAACATTCATGATCGGCACAGCCGTTGGGTCACAGCCTACTACCCTAAGCTGCGATACAGGATGTCGATCGCGCCGATCAGGGTCTATCCTGTGGCTAGTGAGAGGCGATATGCATGGGAAAATGCATCAAAGGTGCGAATTGGAAGATGGGAATTCTGAATCCTGGATGCTGTGATGCCGTCGATTGGGTGGAACATTATGTGTGGCGATCTGTGGCGGTGCGTCGACGTTCACCAAAAACTTGCAACCGACCTTGTTCGCTTGCACTCGAAGCGACCACTTCCGAGATGATCTGGACCTCTATCGTATCTCGTAACTGCTCCATCCACTCAACGTCCGCGCGGGGTCGGCTGTTAAACTGTTTAATGTCCAACCCCGCGTCTTGATAATTATAGAATCAGATATACATCCAATCACTGTTATTGCTAAAAGGCATGGAAGTTGCCGGCCGCCCTGGTCGTTCGCAACGTCTGACATCACCGGCCGGGATTGTTCCCGCCGACAACTCTGGCCCTGGCTATTGCTCATCGGGCATCTTTAAGCTTAAGGAAATCATTTTCGAGGGCTATTAATTACTTGCCCTATGATTAGCTCGCGCTGTTATAATCATCTTTCAGGGTCTTAAGCGTCGTCACAAGTAGTTTGGATCGGCGAAGCATCCTACTGGCGCATTCAGGCCGTCTTTGTGAGGGCATGTAGCAGTTTACCAATGACACCGTGTATGTTCTTGGGGTCTTCTTGAGCTGCCGTCAACACGATCGCAGAGCTCAGCGCGAAGGCAGCATGCTCTTTCCACCTGTTCTCGGGCAGATAGCGACGAGGAAACCAGGTCGCCAGCGCACGCGGTAGGACGAAGAAGACAATCTCTAATTGTTTCCGCGGCTCTTCTACTAAGATGCTCGACCCGCACAAGAAACAACCTGCCAGAACACATAACCCAGAATCCCACATCTGGGGCGTGACAGTTTTGAAAGAAAATATCGCGGGTCCAAATCGGGTCCGGGCGCTACAGACACCATAGTAGAATGCCGCAATGAAAGCGCCTAAGAAGGCGGAGGCTCGCGCTGTAGAAGTGAAGAATCTAAGCACGAGCGGCGATATAGATTTACTACAGATTCGACGCCCTGCTAGGCGATGTGCTCTGAGGTGTCGAACCAAGACGATGAAGTGAAGCGGAGCATACATCTTCGCCGCGAACAGCCACCCTCGGTAGAATCTCCACATGCCGTGGACCTCACAGGATTTGCTGCGTCCCATGTGGACGAGTTCACAGGGAATGGGAATCGTCTTGGCGGGATCACCCAGCTCTTCTGGTAGGCCATAGTCGCGACACATGGACCCGAGGAGTGGTGCCATTCCGGTATCTTTTCCATAGACCCAAGTGCCGTACCGAGCATGACGGAGCGCAAGCAATAGACGGTCATCTAATTCTGCTGCTGCTGAGATCCAGCGATTGTACGTGGATGACAGCCGCGATGGGGCGTAGAACCAAGCGTGCATTATGGTCGCGGCAGCGAAGCTGAACAGTACTGGAGGCGTGTTTCGGGATACGACGGCCACGGAGGATGAACTCGGCCGATGTCTGGATAGTCGTCGCCAGCTCGACGTGACTACCACATCAAGCGCTCGCACGACAGCGAACATGGTCAGATCCATTGTTCGTCCAGCTAGGTCGAGTCTGGACAGAGACTTCGCCTTCAACGTTTCCTCGTCGACCTCCACATCCCGAGCGCCATATTCCGGCGGCTGATCAAAGGGTCCTGGTTGGAGGACCTCGAGGTGACTTGTAGGGAGGTTGGTTTTGATCTGACTTTCCTCTCGGCCATCCTGGGGTTTGCGATTGAGAAGGTGGAACGAAACGAATGCTGAGACGAGAGCGGCAATGAACCTTGCAATCCGATCAATAGATCTCACATAGTCGGGACTTGATGTGGCATTGATGCGGACGGCACGAAGCAGTAGAGTGATCAGAGCTCTGATTGGAGCAGGGAGTAGTGTCGTACCTCCAATGAGGACGCCGCAGAAAGTAGGGAAACGATGCAAGGCCGTCCCCTGGCGGAGGATCGAAGACCACTGTGTCTTGAGTTATTTGGAGTGACCTTTAGATGTCGGACCGAAACGAAGAGTTTGTCTTGCATGAAATGCAGATGCTGGGGTGTGTGTAGTGGAGAGGGAGGAGATATATGACGCTAAACCAGATGGAGCGTACCTGTAGAGTGGCAGCCCTACCACTGAGTTTCCCCTTGAGCAACAGGACCAGCACTTTGGCCAGACGTGGACCTGCGCTAGACAACAGCCCCAGCAAGTAAGCTGTAGCAAGCCTAAAGACGGTACCTGGGGTTAGCTTGAGTTTCTCCCCAGAATTGCGGTCAAGAAAAGCATGTGCGTCTTGAAATGGCCGACGGAGAAAAGGATTAAAGGTATACTTACGGACGAGCAAGCTGCAGGCGTACCGCTGGACCGAGATGTCTTACTCTTGCCATGACGGAAGGGAATGCAGAATGAATGCGCGGGGAAGAAGAAGCTCGCAACCAGGGATCATCAAGGAGAAAAACATGAAGATCTTCCCGGGGGAAACCGCGATGGAAGTGTCAGAAAACGGTGGAAGCACTGGAAGGGGTGGAAGGACGGGGTGGAATGGGGTAGTATTGGGGGTGGGTACGAGTATTACTAGGTACTAGCTATTGGGAGAGGTCGCGTGCGCGTGCATGGGAACCTCGGCCCAACAGGGAAGAGGGAAGATGAAAGGAGACGAGGGAAATGATAATTGCAAGTTTCGTCGTAATGCAGGATGATCAATTGGACAAACCGCACGCCTTGATTTGAGAATAATACCTCGTGGAGTCGTAGGTAGATGCACAGTAGAGTGCCTAATGGACCCAGGAGGTGACACGTGAAGCAATTGATGAGAGTAGGCCTCGGAGCAGTGTACCAAGATGGAATAAAGTTCGGCGATGAACGTGTTGGAACAAAGGACCAGCAGGGGTGACGCCGGTGGCCAGGCGGCCGGACAGAGTTACTGTGGTAATTAGATGCCTCGAACTCGTACGGTCGTACTTCGTTGTAAATGGGTATTCGTCGACTTTGCTGACGATATGCAAACGAAGGACGGGGCGCAAAGGATTTATGGGGGAGGTGGAGTGATGGAGATGGTAAAAGTTGTATGTACGAGCAGACGGAGAGGGAAGTGGGGAAGGGATACGACGTAGTACGTATAGCTAGCTGGGTGCAGTGGGGGATTGACGAACAATTTGACGATGACGGCCGCCGATGGAATTGATGCGACAGTCGTCGTCAACGTACGGGTGTAGTTACGGCGTAGTTACAGAAAGTACGAGGTGAAGAAAAGGGATCGGAAGAGGATTTGATACAAGGAAGAGTGTGGGGAAATGAAAGGAAGATGGCTGGGATGGTAGTGGTATGTTGCTGTATGTGGGCATTCAGTCATACAGAGTAGTACTAGTGTAGGGTACAGGGCGTATGAAGATGGAGATGGTGGTGGTGATGGTGGTGATGGTGATGATGGTGATGATGAACGTGAATGTCTTGGTATCTGGGGAAGAAGAAGTTAGTATCTTGGTTAACTACAAGTACGAGTTAGAAGGATCTCAGTCAAGCGGGGGAGTTTCTTCGCCTAAGAAACACCAAATCTGGGGATGCGATGCCCATGACTCCTCCATGTCATATCCCATGCTCATGCTCCTGTCCGTAAGTCGTAACCTACTAGTATGTATAGTTGTATACCAAGCCATTCCCTGATATGCCATGTCTTATGCCATGCCATGTCATGTCATGCCATGCGGCTGTAAATACCGGGTACGTGAGGTACGAATCTGGCAGGGCAGTGTAGGTACGAAGTAAGGCACGGCACGGAAGGGTGAGGATGTTCAAGGTTCAAGGGGAGAGAGTGTTGCAGCCATCAGCGGGTGAACTAGGAACGACTATTTCCCTTTGCTACGTTAATTGTACATTATGCAGGGGCCCAAGAGAAAAAGAAAATAAAAAAGGTGTCGTCAATGTTGACTCTTCCATTCACATTGACCATGATTCCATACAGTCAGTACCAAGTGCAAGTAACTGTTGGTGGATGAGGGGACTAGGTCCATCCTGGTTGGTGTGGTCATCCCTCCACTCCACCACTACTACTCTCCCTCCACTTCCCTACTAACTGCTTCCCTACTAAAACTGCGACCACCTTTTATTCTCTGCTCTGGCATGTGAACGCAACATCACTTACTTTCACCCACACACTCACATACATCAACATACGCACAATAATAACTACCTACATACTCAACCCCATTCTCAACAACTTCAACCAACCCTAATTCTAAACAAATGCTCACCCAATAACACCTTTTTATCTCTTGTCTATCTCCCAACCAAACAAACTGTCCGCCGTTCTCATCCATCACTCCCAGCCACTCATCTCTTCCTCCTCACTCAACCGTCCATTCCCATCCCATCCCATCCCAGGCTCCTCCGGCTGCTCCGCCAGTAAAACATCTCAACAATCCCTTTATACTCCTCCTTCCTCCACGCGTCTCTCTTCTGCTCTTCCTCTCGCCTCCCTTCCGCACCTCCGACTCTCCAAGGAAACACTTTCTTCTCTTCCGAACTTCAATCCACCGCATTCCTCCGCTGTCTGGTCGCGAACCGGATAATGTACCTGTTGAACCAGGTCTTACCCTTTGATCACAATATCCACAACCTTCTACAACACCTTCACCACTGTGCTACACCTACACCTATACCCTGACGATTTGGAGGCTCTTGGTGTTGCTGCCCTGCGCCGAGCTGGTCAAGATTTGCGCCCTGGATGCTTTTCCGCATTCAGCCATGGACACAACCGATGCGACCAACCACTCGCCGTTTGGATGTACGTCTTCCTACATTACTCCTCTCTATGTACACTTTCTCATTCATGTCTAGATCAGTTCCACCCAGTCGAACAACCCGACGAGCAAGACCTCTTCGCCCTCCACTTCCCGCCGTCGCCTAAGCAGAATGGCTTGCTCGACGAGAACGAGAAGCTTTCCCTACAACAGTTCTTCAATTTAAACAACCCAGGCCCCGCATTGGAGGACAGTGGGAATGGCACACTTGATATGATGCCCGGTGGGAGTGGATCGGGCACAGGGTTCGCGGATTCTTTATGGTTGGAATACTGTCCGCCCGCGAGCGTGCACCACGTCTCCACCACGATCGCAGACCAGTCACACCTGACCCATGGATTCCACACCGAACATGCCCTCCCGTTCGATCACCAAATCCTCAGCGCCGACCCCTTCACGACCGGCCCGGACGAGTTCCAGGCTGCTTCGACCCTTTACCACAACGCTCAAAATACCCACGCCAACGCCAACGCCAACGCCAACGCCCATGGCCATACACATCCTTCTCACGCCAACACAAATGCCCGAGCCTACAGCATGCCAGACCTGCAGCGGGGGCTCGCCCTTTCCAACCTTGGAGTCTCCCCCACCGTCAATGGCAACTCCCATGCCTACAACAATGCTCCAGCATATGGCAACATTCCCCTGGTCAATACCCACCACGGACCTATTGACGAGCAACTGGCGGCGCTATTACCAAATCATTCAGAGCAAGGCACGGTAGATGCGATCGTGGCATCTCAATTCAGCCAGGCACGCCGCCGTCAAGGATCACATTTCGGAGAACCGTTGCCCGCGGTACGGAGAGAGTCACTAAAGCGCACCTACACCTACGGCACAGACAGCGCCTTCAACGAGACTGGATACATAGCACCTGAGGCGGGTTTGGAGGAAGCCGTGCACGAGCGATTGGAAAACGACTTGCGAATGGCACGACCCCTGATCGACGAGATCGCTGGAAAGTCAAACGGCAGCGATATCAAGTCTGGAAGTGGCGAGGACGGTTCCGAGAACGGCGACGGATCAAACGGACACAAGAGAAGGAGAATAGCCCAGGACGGCGAGGAGGATTCCAAACCAGCAACGGGCCGCAACGGCTCCACCGGCGGACGAGCTACGAAAGCCACAAAAGGGGACGGCGGAAGGAAGAAGAAGCGCGTCAAGGGCCAGCGCGAGAACCTCTCCGAAGAGCAGAAACGCAACAACCACATCCTCTCCGAGCAGAAGCGCAGAGACATCATCAAGCGCGGCTTCAAGGACCTCGAATTCATGGTCCCCGAATGCCGCCGGAACAAGGGCGCCATGAGCAAGAGCACCGTCCTCATGGCATCCGCAGAGTGGCTCAAGAATCTCATCGACGGCAACCGCGAGATCGAACTACGCATCAAGGCGATGGCGGGTGACCCCTTACCAACATGAGCACCACAGAATCCCGCAGGCTCACACCTTGCACTTCACAACCACAACAATCACACCCGTCCATCGGTCTGCATCAAAGTCACAACTATCTGACCTGTCAGCCCCCTAAGCCGCAGGACTCCGGACAGCATCACCTGGCACGACACCACGCCACGCCGTCCAGCACTGACTTGCATGGACCTCGACGTCGGAGGTCGCCGAAAGTCACGTGCGCTGCTCCCCCGAGGAAGGAACGGAACTACCCACCTGTATGCATAGACCATACACACGTCAGATCCAGTCCACCTATTCGAAATTACGAGAGAGTGGGGGCTTTCATACTACTGGTACCAATTGGTCCCTTCGTACCTAGAAAATGCCTACCCAGTTTAGTCAGGTACACACGACGAGCGACCGAGGAAATGGTAAACAGTCCCCACGCAACTTGACCGTGGGAATTATGTCTCGTCGAGCAGACGGAGAGATACATGACGGACAGACAGCATCAGGAGCAGATAATTTAATCGTAATGAACATCCAATGTGTCCCATACCCCAGTATGGAAGGATCAAAGCGTCCCATCGATGCAAAGACATCGATGAGGAAGTTCAAAGTAGATATATCAAATCAAATATATTGATCACCAACATGAATCCACATTCCATCATCATTCTACAACAACCACCAACACCCTCCCCTCCTACATACCCCCCTACGTCGCAAACCCAAAGAACTTCATATCATCGGCACCCCTAATATTCACACTATGACCCACCCCCTGCGCATAAATCCCCTGCGCCCTCTCCCCATAAATCGTCCGCGTATACCCGCTCTGCGGATCATTGCTCTTCGTGCTCTCCGGCTTGTCGTAGTTGTACCCGAACACGCCCGCCCACTGCTTCATCGTCTCCTGGTAGTTCTGCGGCCGGATCGTCGCGTCGGCTGAGCCGTGGTAGATCTGCATGCGGGGACGCGGGGAGGTCGCGGGGTAGGAAGGGTACATGTCGAGGACGACTTGCGCCCACTTTTGGGGGGTTGCGGTGGATTGGCCGTTCGCGCAGGAGTTGTTCCATGCGGCGATGCCGGAGGAGGTCGACATGAAGCACCCGGCTGGCACGCCTGAGTAGGCGATGCCGGCTTGGAAGAGGTCGGGGTAGGTTGCTGCGAGGACGTTCTGGATACCGGGGGTTAGTGGGTGAGGGGAGGGTAAAGGGGAGGGGGAGGGGGGATGTTACGGTCATCATTGCGCCGGAGGAGGTGCCGGTTACGAAGATCTTGGTCGTGTCGGCTTTGTATTCGGTGATGGTCCATTTGACCATGTTGGCGATGGTGTGGCTGTCGCCGCCGCCGTCGTGGCTCAGCGTCGCCTTCGAGCTGACGTCCCAGCAGGTGCCGGAGTGGGGGGACGACGGGTAGATGACGATGAAGCCGTATTGCTCCGCGAGCGTCTTGTACGGGCTGTTGTTGTAGTAGGCCTGCGCCGTGCCGGTGCAGTAGTGGATTGCGACGACGATGCCTGGGGACTCGGCGAGCTTCTTGGGGACGTAGATGTAGAATGCTGCTTTGGTCGGCGCGGTCCCGAAGGACGTTACCTGTGAGAGGGAGCCGGGAGTCGGTGCCCGCTTGCCTAGTGATGCTGCGGATGCCACCGAGAGGAAGCTGGTTAGGGTTGTTAGGAGCCGCATGTTGTTGATCTGGTCGATTTAGACTTTTGCACGAGATGCCTCACTACTGCTCAAAACATTGGAGAGGGGGTGGAAGATTCCTTTTTATATCGCCGCGCGTTCTAACCCGCGGTTGAAGGGAACGCCTACTATTACAATCACGAACTTCATTCTGCGGCTACTTTACTTTGAGCCTCCATTGGCGGGTCTCGTGCCTGGATCCAAGTGACGTGGGGTCAGGATAGAGTGTTTCCTTCCCCACAATCCTGGGGTAGACAATTCGTGATTGGGCCAATTCGGATTGTTATATTTCGACCGTAATTGCTCCTCCAGGCTAGCGATTCCCAATCCGGACGCGTGGTGAGGCGAACGGGATGATTGGGGGATATATTGATGAACAAACTGCCTTTTACCCGTTCCGAGCCATGTCGGCTATCAACTCATGCGCAGGGAATTCTTCGAATCTATTTCGGTTTCTAGAGCTGTGAGAGTGGATTTGATGTCAGGACCCTGACTCCCCGCAAAGGCAATATAGACAAGCCGAATGTACTGCACGATGACCATGTGTAATTGGCCCGTGTGCTTTGCGGAGAGGGCTTTTCCAGAAGCTCCGGTGTTCGCTCGGGGTGGATCTTCAAGCGCATCTACGCGTTCTCGCATAGAGCAAGTGAGCTGAGAGGTATAGTAATTAGTTCCGAGCCACGGTGATTTATTGATGACCTATCCAGTGTGCTGTGCGCCTTGCCACTGCGAACTTAGGTGAAGATAGGGTAGCTAGCATGCTCGACCTGGGGATCGTCCCGGGCTATGAGGTTGAAATTGGCCCCGTTTGACGGAGTAGTAATACTCTTTCTCTGGTTCTTCGATCTCCGGCGTTGCTGGCGAGGCTTGCGTGGAGATGCGGTCGGTGTGACAGGTGCAAAGCCGCGCTTCTGCAAGGGTTTCCACGGTGTAGGTGACACTGGGGTCGTATCGTATCATCGCAAACGCATATTATCCTGTAGTGTCCGTACAAGAAGCTTCCAGTCTCTTTAACGCGGCGAGGACCTCATCACTTATGTCCTCACCTGTAGCTGTTTGAGAGAACCGTCCGTATCGCAGGTCGCTAAGCTCTCCGACAGCCTCCTGGACTTCCGAGAGGGCTTTCTGAATGTCTCCTTCCATCTCCGCAATCTGTAGCTCTATATCTTCACAGGCTTCTTCTATACCCGGGTGGATTGTTTGTAGGGTATGGGCTTCTTTGCGCCCGGGTGTACCAGAAAGCTAGGAAACAGAAATTAGTAAAAGCAGTGCCTAAAAAGCCTCCTATGAATATGTACCTCCATTTCCACATCGAGCGCAACGGGATCCAGGCCAGCAACTGCTGCTCGGTCGTCTTGTCTCCGCTGTTCTACCATCTCCTGCCTCAATCTCTTTGAGCGCTTCACTTCTGTCGAGACGTTCTGGCGTACGGCCTCGATGTCTTGCTGACGGGTACGATGCAGCTCCTCGTACAGCTCTTTGATCGCTGGGTTTGTGCGGTAGCTCTTGGGAAAGATCTCGGTGAACTCCTTCAGTGACAAGACCTCGCGGATGGATGCCGACGAGAGCAGGAAGTCGGAGAGAATCGAGGTCTCGTTAGGCGGCATGGTGTATGTATCGGCCGGTCGATGGCGCTCACGTTCGATGTGGGTGTGAGAAAGGCGACGAACACATTGTCACTGCTCGTAAGCAGTAATTGCGAGTCAAGCTGCGGGGGAGGAGTCCATCTCGGAAGAGGAACTGTAAGAGCAAGCGCGTGTTGTCGCGTTTGGGTCCGTGCGTAAAAGGTTGCGACCGAGTGAGCGAGCGTGATAATACGTTCCAACCTCACATTGTCCATCTTCCCCCAATACCCGCATCTACTCTTTTGGTCATAGGGAGTGTTGATCTGACCTATCTTGCATTTCTCATCCCATTTGTCTTGGGTAGCAACATCCGTGGTTGACGACGGTCCCTGGGCGAGTCAACCCCTTAGGCAATCGGATATCTCCATCAGCGAGCACGTCAAACATCACTTCTGTCATTTTCAATCATTTCTTATTAAGCCATGGCGCCTGCTGCTGCACCAGAGCCTCAGTTCAAGAAGGATGAGAAAGCACTGTGTTTCCATCATGAGTTACTGTACGAGGCCAAGGTCTTAGACCTGAAGCCTGATAGCTCCGACAAAAAGAATGGCTACGAATATAAGGTCCATTACAAGGGCTGGAAAAACACGTAAGTATCACAGTCTCTGTTTGGTCTCAATGTTGTTTTTCTTTGTTACTGCTTGTTTACAAGTATTGGGCGCATTTTCCGCCCAGCGAGAGTTCAACCCAGCAACACTGGTCAAACTTTCACTTCTCTGCAATATTACATAGACGTATTCATATCGGCATTTCTCTGCTGTATTTCTGTTTAGTAAGAACAAATAATCGATTGCTCACATCTATCTAGCTGGGACGACTGGGTGCCTGAGGACCGCCTCCGCAAGATCACCCCAGAGAATCGTGAACTGGCGAATCAGCTGAGGCACGAAATGCTTGCTGCACAGCGGGCTGCTCGCGCGCAGCCGCCTCCCAGTAAACGCAAACCTCAAGGCTCAACTCGTGGAAGTGAAGAGCGCCAAACATCTGTTGCGGCCACCGCAGGTCCCCGCGGCCAGAAACGGGTGCGAGACCATGACCTAGAGAAAGTGAGTGCCCCAGATTTCCTTCACTTATCACTTCCACCGCTTCACCCTCTCCTCCCCACAAAATGCCTCGAAACAGACGTTTCAAAAGTCAAGATCTAAGTCTCGAGCAGGAAGAGGCTTTCCAAAGCCGTCGTTCAATCAGGATCCCCATGCCCGACCGCTTGAAGAGTTTGTTGGTTGATGATTGGGAAAACATCACCAAGAACCTCCAGCTCGTCCAGCTTCCTTCCACCAAGCCTGCTGGGGTCATCCTGGATGAGTACTTGGAGTCTCAGAATGGTTCCCGCCGTCGGGGCAGTGCCGAAGCCGATATTCTTGAAGAAGTCGTTCAAGGATTGAAGGAGTATTTCAACAAGAGTCTCGGCCGTCTACTACTTTACCGTTTCGAGCGTGAGCAGTTCTTCGACATTCACACGCGCATCGAGAGCCCCACTTCAGATCTCAGCGGCAAGAATCTGGCCGACATCTACGGAGGCGAACACCTCCTACGTCTTTTTGGTATGTGCCATCTAATAACATGAATGTTCATGAACCTTGGCGCTAAACTTCAACAGTGTCCATGCCTGAACTCATCGCACAGACCAACATGGATCAGCAATCAGTCGGCCGCCTTCGGGAGGAACTGACCCAGATCCTCTCGTGGCTCGCGAAGGAACCTCAGGTCAATGCTTACTTTGCTTCCGTTTACGAGAGCCCTGGCCAGGCTTATATCGACAAGGTCAAATCAAGCGCTTAAGCATTGCGGAACCTCCTCCAAAGGTCGGGACCGATGTGCGACCGCCTGAAATTTCGATACCTTTTCTCACTGCCTACAATGGGATTGGGCTACTTCCGCGAACACATTAGGTGACTCAAAGGGTCAGATCTTGTACTTTTGAAGCAAGCATTCTTGGTGTTGGGGGCGCAATGAATTCATTTGGCGGCGACCCTCTTATTGGGAGTCTTGGGAGTGCCTTGGTCTATGTAGTCTAATACAATCCATACCCGCGTGGCGATGAGCGAGCAAGCCATCTATTGCGGGTCTTTTCCTCTTATCATATCTGCTTTATTCTATCTTCAAGCACCCTTGCTCCCCATTGCACACAATTACTCATGTTCTGCTCTGCCTCCCTAGGCATTCCCTTGATGTCAAGATTTTGACAAACTCGCTCGTCTAAATCCGCATGCACGTCTTCGCCATTGAACAAGAACTTATGGTCTTTGACATAATTTGGCCAGACGATCTGATCCACGTATCCTGGCGGATCTGCCCAAAATCCTTCGAGCGTCACATACCCACTTCGAGCCTCTCTCCTTCGCTTTGCAGTGTCGTATGAAGTGCGCAGGAAGAGTCTAGCATCGAACATTTCTCTGATCTCCTTCATCTCCTCAGAGAAAAGTAAGAACCCGTCCACGATTGCAATAGGTGTGTCCCAATTCTTTTCGCCAACGAGATGTTGGACCTCGCTTCTAAGCTCTTTGATCACGTCTTCGGGAACTCCGTGTTCGCCCACTGAATTTTGGTCCTCCTTGGAGACGAGCGATGGTGGGGACTTCCCATGCTCTTTGATGTATGATAGGGCCTCTCGCAAGTCCTTGAGATTCAACGATTCGATACAATCCCAATCTTGTATGCCATCCCTCACAGGGATTTCGGCATCGGTGAGGTAGAAGTCGTCAAGATGCAGGATGAATGTCTTGGGGAAAATGTCGCGTAGAAGGCGGGAGAGCGTAGTCTTGCCTGATGAGGACGGCCCGCTGATTCCCACCAGCAGCACTGGCGATGACCCCGACGACATGAGTTCAAAATAACAATATTAGATGTGTGAATATATAATTATATCGCTGTATTTGGACACCACGTGAGGGGTTGAACATGGGCGGAACGTGTAGTATGTCATTGATGGTGGACGGGGCGGATTGCGGGCCGCGCCACTATTTTCGTCGCAAATGCGGGTCCAGTCATTCGCAAGCTGTCGCTATCAAGGAGACTCCGCATGTTACGGGGGTACGACGTCTCTCCTGTCTCCCACAAAATCAAAACACACTCCACGATCGCCATGGAGCCATCGCCGCTCACGCAGGATTCGCGACCTGACGCCTTCCAGCCCAAGATCCTTCGCCTCTACGAGACCCTCTTCAAGGTTCGCCCGTTCATCCATCGATACTTGCGACGGACCTGATTGACACGACCACAGGAAGAAGATGACGAGGTCGAGCTGTCTGATGGATTCTGGCAGGAGTTCTTCCTCCACCGGCCGGACTACCCAGGCCTCAAGCGCATCATAGGAGGCCTGGGTCCAGATGACATGCTGCATCTACAAGCGCATTCACAACAGCTATTTCTTCGAGCCATGCTGCGAGTGAAGCAAGCTAAAGGACCATCGGACGAGGTAGCTCTCGATGTATGATCTATCATTCTACGTTTACATACACCGGCTTACGAGCCAGACCTTGACAGTCTTTCTAGGTGCCACATTGAGCAAGAAGTATACAAATCCTAGTTCAGACATTATTTCTGTCCTTGCAGGCCTACATAACGCGGACGCCGTACTGTCAGATTTTGTTGCGACGCTGGATTCAGTGATACGAAATGGAAGAAACTGTATGTAAAGAAAATGTGGAAGGGAAATCATGATCTGACAGCAGCAGTGACCTTGCGACGAAAAGCCATTCGAACCGCGATCTCGATTACCGCCTCTGCATTTTCCACCGGCCTGCCGTCCTACTTCACCCATCGAGATCTTTTCCCGTCGCTCATGAAATATGTCCAGGACTGCGAGGAAGACGATGATATCATTCCGGCCTTTGTTCTCTTAGGCTTGCTCGTCAATTATAACAAGTTTGAGTTCCAAAACCCCTATCGGTTACGTCTGGACGATTTTGTGAACGACAACATAATACGGAAGATTATCACTAGCTTTGGAGCATCCTGTGCCTCATTGAGAGATGCATATGTGGCGGTTCAGGACGATATGCCAGAAGGTTGGACACTGGGTTCCACGTTGAATTATATCGGGCTGGGGGTACTTGCGCCAGCATCACGGCCCACCACACCCGTACCGGCGCCCGACGAAACGAAGTCGCTGTTCACTGCTTTGCCCGGGCCGAAGGTTGGAGCATTTCTTCCTACATACGACTTTGCAAATGCGAATAAGTTGTTTTGTTTCAACTTGGTACAGCTTGCCGCACCTGAGAAGGGCGAGGCTTCCCCGTTGAGTTCCTTCCTCTCGCTCACGTCATACCTCTTCCAGCACGCGCATCGATCCAACAGGACAGCGCTGTATACTTATCTGAGCCTCGTCATCCTGCAAATTTTGGTCGAAGATCAAACATTAGTCAAGCGTTTATGCAGCGATGATAGCAAGATCCCGGTACGGCTCTGTCGGCAACGGCAACCATATCTCCCGCTTGTTAAGGGGGATAGGATACCTGGAACCATCATCCTAGACCTATTTGTGGATGGCATCAACCATAATTTACGAAGGAGGCTTGATGTCGACTTTTACAATCTATGCTTAGGCAACCTGCTACGACTCTTGTCCTACCTCAGCAGAGCCAAAGTGCGCATGGCATACCATTGGTCAGAACTGTGGAGAACTCTGTTATCATTCTTTCGATTCCTCACTACCTATTCCAATGATGTTAGAGGCCTCTCGAAGTCATCTGAGATGGTCGACACCTTGGTCAACATACTAGCGTTTTCGCTATCGAATGGCGAAAACTTCCTACCAGACCCCGCTTCGTACGACGATCTGTTCTACAAACTTGTCGAAACCGGAGAAATTTTGACCAAGTTCCGCGATGCATTCAGTCTATCAAATAATGCATCGATTCAGACGTTGATCAGTGTCGCCTCGCACTATCACGAACTCTTGAGCACCGAGAAGGGTAAATCGAGGACCAAAAATCTGAGCCCTCGCGAGGTGAGCACGGTTATCAAGCAAGGATATGATACGTTGTCTATCGAAGCAATCGAGGGACTCGACCGTTGGGACAAGTTCCGAGAGGTGGACCACAAATCAGCGTTGAAGAAAATTGCGAGAGTGGTGGTTGATGACGCCAAAGCCCTGATTGATAGAGAATGAGATACCCAAAATCAATATTTTACCCCGTTTCGCGTCTCTGGTTCCGCCAATCTGTACAACCTGGCCCTCACTCTCGGGTCTTGATACCGTATGTACGTTTCGATAGGTACTTCCCACCGGTATATGGGGCCGTGATCCAGATAAAATGCCTGGCGTGCCCCATCCACTGGTGTTTTACACTCAACAAGTAAATAGCAAGTCCGACACAGTACCAAAAACATCTTCCTTTCTTACGCCTCCAGACCTCGAGGCCGTCTGTTCTACATTTCTTCAGATACAGCAATCCATGACAGATATCTACTGTGCGCTATTCGCCGAGCGAGCCAATTGTTTGTCTATCCAACACTCTTTCCGCAAAAGTTGTATATACTCATAATCGTTGACGATTGCACTCCACAGCGATATTCATTCGATGCTTCCCTCCCAAAATGTTGAGACAGAGCACGAGCTTCCGGACTCCGGTCCACCCACTTCGCTAAGTCAAGAATGCATTCAAACAGTCGACTTTGCTTCACAGCAAGATGAATGTGCAAACAACGGTGTTTCTATGGCTGCGCAAGAAGATGCCGCCTCTGTCTGTGCAGGCCAAGTTCAAAGCTCTTTTTCCACAATTCCAAGCGATGGGCCTGGCGTCGGTCGCAGCTGTTCTGCACCCAATCTCAAGACGAATGCAGGGAACAGCTCAAATACTTCGTTCATGGAGGGATGGCCATCATCCAGCACATCACTTACACCTTCCCCGTCAACATGGTCATTTCAGAGCGTTGAACATCTATCTGTACGCAGACCAAACCCAAAGCTGGCACATACACGGCGCCATGAAGGGCATGAAGGGCACATTACTACATCACAGTCCTCGCGAGATTTGAATTCGAATTCAACTACATCCACGCCTACGCACAAGCGATCTGCCCAACTGTCTGATGGCACACGACTTTGGACGCTCATGGACACTGTGCCTGGTCTGCTCGGAACGAGAAAACACCTTGAAGGTCTCCGAGAAATGAAGAAATCCAAGCTCTCGCTCGTCATCCCAAAAGACGCATCTGGCAACGATCTTTTTGACAGGAATGCCATCACGGATCGAGACACTTCATTGTTGATTCTCATGACCCTCATTGAGCAGTTCTCTCTTCCTCCGGATGCCACAACGGAACGACTAGTGAAGCCCTTTAACTTCACCGTAAATATGCTTCACTGCTGGCGCGATACCGACTCATTTCCTCCGATGCCAGTCACCATAACGCTCTCCCAGCTTGCAACACAAGTCCGCATTTGGCAGCACACCAACACCTATTTTCCCCTACCCGTCGAATACACGCTTCTCCATGCACGCTGGGCCGACATAATCGACACACACCTCATCCCCGAATCCATCCCAATCGAATTCATCACTCGCACTATCTTCAACGAACTCATCCACCCTGCCCTCAAACCCGAAGACCTCGCCCTACGCATCCAAGCACTCCAGCAAAAGATCGCCTCAGGCGACCTCCCTCGCTGCCCTCCCGCCCCAATCAAGCCTCCCGCCCACCCAGTAATTTCACGGCTCCGCACGCACCAAACCATCGAATACAAGATGCCCGCGCCCACTCACCCAAATGCCCTTTACGCCCGCCGCTTCTCACACAAGTCCCCGCTCGGTGAGGTCCAGGATCTCGAGCTGGGCCATGGCGGCAGCAAACACGACCCCTGGTTCGATCCGTCCAAGAGCCAGCAGCAGGGCCATAAGATGCACAGCGTGCGTAAGGCGATCCAAGACGGGAGGAATAAGTACAGAGGGAAGAGGTGCGTGCTCTGGTTCAAATGGATCGGTGCTGTTTCCGTCGTCCTGGCGATCGTTGGGGGGCTTTTGTTGGCTTGTTCTTTTAATATTGGAAGGAAGGGTAATGAGGTTTGGGGGAAGTGATGATGTTGCATTAGGTTTTGTTGGACGATGATCCCATGGCTGGCTTTGAGGATTGGGATTGTTAGCACGATGAGGATGACTCTTTTCTTTTTGTAAGGCATTGCTCGGGGTAATTTGGAGAGCGCTGGATACATTGATGATTTTCCTTTAATGATGAACGCGTTTCGTACTGCTGCTACGATGTATATCGCTTTTATTTAGCCAATACTATTGCACATAAATTCTTCGAATGGTGAATACCGCTAGGCTTGTTTCCCAGTGAAATCAAATAATTCGATTGCCAAAGATCCTCTACTCTCGGCCTCGTTCTATCTATACATGTGAACAACTCAAGGGACCATGTGTACATGACTCTCGGACGACATCACCATGAGTTGAATGGAAATAGATTTACTCAACCCATGCGTTTATCAACATAACACTTGATATCTCAAGTTCAGTATACGCGTTGATCGTTCAAACTCACTCAGCAAAGACAGTAATTTTCACTGCCAGAACTGACCACATTCAAAGCATTCCTTATATAAAATCATGAGCGTGTTCGAACGTGCAGAGACCATCATTCATCACCAGCTACAGCACATAAACACATCTAACACCATATCTCAACCCCCTTCCCTACACTTCCCAACCAAATCAACATCATCACTGAACAACCAACACAAGCTACACCATCTTCCCAACGTTCAAAACCCGAACCCACTCTCCAAGCAAACCAACCCCCAGAAAAAGAAAACCCCCTCACACTACCCTCCCTCCTCCCATCTGCAACCCATCACTCACTCGCACACCGTCCTTTCGACGCTCCCCACCCATTCTCTTACCTAACCTCGACCCACCACCTTACCTGTCGTCCCCATCTTCACCGGTCCCTCCCTACCTTCCTCTTTCACATGCAACCAAAACGAACCCTCCCATCACCTCCAAACCCACAATTACTCTTACTAGCACCCACCCACTTGTCCGTTCCGTTCCGAACCTTACCTCCCACTATCACCGAGACACCGCGTGAAGAAGAAGCAAAAAAAATAAAAGGGTCTATCGTTTTAAAGTTTAATCTACATACCCACCACCCACGTGGGAAGTAGCACCGGGGCCGAACAACGGCCGGGGGGGAGGGGGGAGGGGGGGTCTGAGGGTTCCGATATCCGAATCCAACGCGCGGTTTGACGTCGGAGGGAAGGTGTGGCTGGTCGGCACGACGGAGAGATGAGGCTGATGGAAGGCGAAGAGATGAAAGGAGGGGACGGATTCGGATGTCCATGGATGATGGTGATGGTGATGGCAAGGAAGGGAAGGTTTAGGGCCCGAACGGTGGCTCTACGGACGTGTGTGACTGTGCATGGCATGCACGTGGATTGTTTGTGTGCAGGTAATGCGTGTATGGCGTGTGTATGGCGTGTGTATCTAGGTATGTGTGTAACTATGTATGTGATGTAGATTGGAAAAAAGGGTCTTTTTCAATTTAGAGGGAAACTTTATAAAACCACCGACATGTTGTATGTTACGTGCGTTAGCTAGCTAGCTTGCCGGTATTGCGTTATGTGCGTGGGTGACAGCAAGCTAAGTTTGTGATAGCAGGGGCGAGGAAAGTATGGTACCCTTTGGTGTAGCATTGTAATCACGCGCTCGTGAGTACCTAACATGTCAGATTGTGAAGTGTAGGTATGTTTGGGTATGGGATGCTTGTGATATGTGATATGTTCGGGCGCAATAGTATGGCCGAAGGTTTAACATGCGTTGTGATCGCTGACTAGCATCATAAGCGGAAGATCGACACTATTGAAATGTAAACTTTAATCAACGAAATCCTGGTGCAGGGGCTAAAGAGTATCAGCGCAACGCCGAAACGGGCAGATCGGCCATCTCGATTAGGATTCGTAGTTATCATGCGCATCTGAAATGGGGAATGTCGGTTTTGCATTAATGCGGATGCTTAAGGATAGTAGCATTCAAGTCTCCGAGTGAACGGCAGTGCTTGAAGCTGTTCTATGCTAGGATAGGGGTCTATGGTTTCGGAACATTCATGCGCCATGCTTTGGTGCTCTGCATGATGGATGCTACCCCGCAGTGTTTCGTGGGAAACCAATGGAAGGAGATAATTTTTTGTTTAAATTCGGAAAGACCAACGCCATGAAACACCGAGCCCAATGGTCATTGGTTCTATACAACGCTTGAAAGAGAGAGAGATATCAGATTAGTCCACCGGAGCATGCTTGAAGAGGAAAGATACGCTCTCGCCATTGTGAGTTCGGCGACATGCCTCTGCGAGCTAGAGCAAAATGTCAGTCACACATGTTCAAGATTGGTCAATTATTACAACTTACCGTGGGACTGATGTCGATCGTCTCGATGCGGTCGCAGCGCTCCTTCTTCTCCTCATGGGGGACAGTGTTGGTGACAACGATCCGTTGCAGTTTACTGCCATTCAGGGCTTCGATGGCGTTTCCGCTTAGAATGCCGTGGGTGACAATGGCAATAGCATCCTTCGCGCCATGCTGAATTACCACATCAGCTGCCTTGACAAGCGTACCGCAGGTATCAGCCATGTCGTCGACGATGATCGCCGTACGGTCCTTGACGTCTCCGACGAGAACCATCTTGGACACCTCGTTTGGTCTTGCTCGCTCCTTGTGGATCAAGGCGAAACCAAGATCAAGTCCGTCTGCAATTGATGTTGCCCTACATATCTGTTAGTCAGGAATATTCATAGTTCGAACAGAATGTGAAAGCGTATAGGGTCGCGTGTCTCAATAGCTTATTTCAACCCCGCGCCTGTCTCATCCAGTACCAAACCAGATGGCCAAGCTTAAATAAGCTTCAACAGAGAAGCCGGCGCCAGGACTGCTGAGACTTGATGTGTATTCAAGAAAGAAAGAGGTGGACAGGTACCTTTTAGCACCTCCTGCATCCGGACTGACGATCACGCAGTCCTTGACATTCAAGTTCTCTCGGATCCAACGGAGGGTACTAGGTTCCGCATACAGATTGTCCACAGGCACATGGAAGAAGCCCTGGATCTGGCTAGCATGCAAGTCCATAGTGATAACGTGATTGCAACCAGCGGTCTGAAGCATGTTCGCCATGAGCCTTGCCGTGATTGGTGCACGCGACTTGTCCTTCTTGTCCTGGCGTGCGTATGGGAAATTGGGAATGACGGCGGTGATTCGGCGCGCAGAGGCGGTCTTGCAGGCGTTGATCATGATGAGGAGTTCCATGAGGGCATCGTTGATGTCGCCCGGGGGCGTGGACTGGAGAATGAAGACTATGCGCGGTCAATTGGACATGTTCCCGTCGGCGAGGAGAAATCGCATGAATTGCACGTACCATCCTCATCTCTCACAGATTCACCAATGGTGACAGATGTTTCCTGATTGGAGTACTGGAGAACCAGAATTTTGGTCAATTCTATCCCGAGTCTGTTCGTCGTCGCAGTTAGTGGGGTAGTCTGTAATGTGACGGTGATTTTCTCAGGTTGTCCAATAGATTGTGTTTCGAAACTGGTGACAGTGCAGGGATGCGGAGATTCGAGGGCAATGTATCATACCTGTCAGCCACGAGACGGGCGAGCTGGGGGTGGCTGTTGCCGGTGAGAAGTTTTATGCTGTTTGTCGCCATGATGTTGGTTTGTCTGGTGCCTCTGCTACGTCAGCGACTGGTGCTCCGCAGTAGCATAGGAAGATGTTCTGATAGAGTCGCTCAGAAAATCTTGAGGACCCTTCCGGAGTCAAAGGTAGGCCCGTGCGCACAGTTTTCCACTGGAGCCGGAAACTGCCCCGCTCGGAGCTCGGAGATACGATATTGCGTAAACAGTATCTCATAGACAATCACGTGCAAATGCATTCCATCAATCCTTGTGCCACACGTGCCAATACGCCACAACGAGGTCAAAGCGACCCACAAGGCCGCAAAGCCGCAAGGCCCCCGCAAGCGAAGGTCAACCTCCACCTCCCTTCCAACTCTGAAACGACGACAAACGCAGGAGGCTTGACTTGGACCTGCTTTTGCCCTGGTCAGCCTGCCCTCTCGTACTCGGCCGCCTGCTGGTCACTGTGGTGGTCGGTGGACTCCGTGCGTGTATGAGAACACCAGGCAAAGAAGGCGAAGGAAAGAAAAAAAAAGAGGCCCATTCATTCCCTTCCATTTCCAACCGCCCGTCCCTTGGGGAGAGCCTAAGGGAACACAGACAATGGCGTCAACGAGTCACAAATCTATTACAGGCTCCGGATTCCATCCCGCGCGAAAACATGACACACGCTACAGCAGGTCCGCTCCCTCTTCCAAGACAATCGTTGCCTCTGCAATGAGACCTCGCAGCTTCCAGAGACGGGAAGTATCAACCACCACGCAGCAGAAAACGCCATCTCTTGCGGCGGGCGCGATGCTGTAGAAGTAATATATCTTCGACAACAGGGGGTTGTTATCAATCGTGGTGACATCGCCCAATTGCACTACTGCAATCGCCAGGGCACTTTCCTTTACAGTGTTAAGTTGAAATCCAATGTTTCCCCTCCTCTTCCTCCTCCCCCTTTCGCCGCCAATGCTACCTCCTCGTGGAACAGCCACTACAGTCAAAGGATAACGAAGATCGAGGCGGGTACCTCCCGCCCGTTTCATCGCCAGAAATCCTTTACATTCTCGGCGAGTTTTTTTCTTTCTTGTTCAATGACTTCGTGAACCTTGTCAGAAAGCGTGTAGATCACCAATGCATTAGGCCTCAATGATTAGCTGAATCCTTTCTCATCCATTTTCATACACTGTGAGCGAGCGTGCGACCAAAGCAAGAATTGATTTGCAGCAACATGACATATGGGTAGGCATCTTGGCTCGCTCAGCAGCACTAACATTTGCGGAGACTTGCCATGTTTCCGAGAGTTCTCCACAGTACGGGGCCCGCGATAGAAAAATTGCATGGGGGAGGTTGGGTTGGGATGGACGGGCGGGCGCATGGGCGTCATGCGTTCGGTTCGGAGAATATCACTTGGGCTTGGTGAATCGCGGGAACGAAACAAGGAGATTTTTTTCTTGTACATCTTCCTTTTTTCTAGCTATATTTCCTGGAGATAATGATGCAATTACGATTCAGGTGAGCAATAGACAAGACCGTACGATTCATGTAGTGATACGATATGATGATAGTGGTAATAATGGTTTGTGAATTTGCATGTTAAGGATTTTTGGAGCTTGCTATGCTACTCTTCTCCCTTTTCGTCCCTACTTGCTCGCGCTCGAAACACGAGACGGCAACAGATCCATGCCACGCACGTATTCTCGCTGCGAAAGGCCCCCTTTCCCACTCGGCGATAGAATCGAAAATGATAGTTCAACAAGGAAAAAAAAAGATCAAACGTTACCGCCCACCGCCCAAAAACGATCCAAAAACAGTTTGTCGTTTTTTCTTCGTCACGAAAAGATTGTCCTTCTTCCAGTCGCCAGAAGGTAAGAAGTTCAAGAGCAAGAAGAAGGAAAGAAGAGTAGGAGCAGAGAAGAAACCCCAGAACCATAGATCGATAGAAGTCAAATGAAACTAAGTAAGTGCTGGCGGGCATCAGCAAGAAATGCAGAGCGGCCCGGGTATCTGTTTGGTGAATGGTCATACAAATAAGGCAAAACAAAAAAAAAAGGGTGACCCCCCCGAGGGGACACAAAGAAGTGAAGTGGGTAGATAGATAAAACAAGAGGACGAATGAAACAATGTGCCATGAGCGGAATGCGAATCCATGATCGGCGTTAGAAAGGACATCATCTGAAGGTAGAATGTATAAGACAGGCCGTGGTAACGTGGTTGGGAAGAAGGATAAATGGACAGGGTAAAGGAAGGTTGGTTTGTACAGAACTGTGCAGTGGGGGAGGTGATGGGTCTCCGACTGTGAATTGTTGGGCGGAGGTATTAATGATGAGCAGGACCGTATAAGGTTTGCTTCTTGTTGGTGATGGGGTGTCGTGATGATAGTGCGTGGTGGTCATCGAGGGTGGGGAGGTTGCATGCCGGCATCGCTTAGCAAGTCTGCTCGCACATCTTGCCAATGGCTTGCTCAATGTCGGAGAAGAGATTCAGGACGTGACCATCCGCGTAAATCTTGATTGATTCGACGTCCTTTCGGTCAATGCGCGCAGGGCTCTCCGCCTTAACCGGACTTCGCGGTGGGGTGGTTTCGGCCATGTCGGCATGGTTGGATGGGTTTAGCACCAGAGCCGCGGCTACGTGCTCTAGTAGCTTTTGACGGAGACGGAGCCGTCGATTCTCAGCTTGCTCCAGCTTGAGGATGAACTCGTCAATGGAGATGTCTAGCTCGGCGAGAGCCTCTTCTTGCTTCAGAAGTGACTCGCGCGAGAAAATGACTGTCTCTCCTCGTTTGAGGTAAGATATCATGCGGCCATGAAGTTTCTGGCGACCAGCACGAAGAGACTTGTAAGTCTTTCGTAGATAATCGCAGCGCTCGTCGAGTGCTCGAAGTTCCTATAATTGCAAGTGGTCAGCGATATCATACTTGGCGGCGTCTCAGGTTGCGGAGGTTGGCTTACCCTGGACATGGACGCAACATCTCGCCTATTAAGGATCTCGAATTTCTCCGCCTGGGTGTGTGCTTGTTTATGGAGGATTTCTTTGTCATCTTCGTTCATCTTAACATTTGCGTCATGCACCCGCAGGCCTGTCGGTAGCTTCCAGTTGTCTTGCTGTGTTTCGGGATTCTTGGCTTCGGAGCAGGTCCGGCTTCGCTGCCTCTTGATGTCTCGTCGGACAGGTCTGCCTCGGTCGATGATAGATGTGTCTGAGATGTTTCGGCTGTGTGATGATAGAGGATCCTTCTTTTCAGTACGTGGGGAGGCGCGGCGATCGAATGCGCTTGACGGTGATCCCGCGCTGAACGGGTTTGACATGGCGGAAACAGGCGTGGGAAATGGGCCGTTGGCGTTGGGCGATCGGCGCATGTCTAGTGCGCTCTGAGGTGTGTTACCACCGGAGGTGACCGACGCAGGCGTCATCAATTGCGTTCTGCTGGTCTTGGAGTGTAGGACGAGTGGTGCTGGCGATCCTTTGCGTTCAACGGCTGGCGACTTAGGGGGCACTTGTGGTGGCATCTCGATGCCTTCCAGGAGACTGGCTGTGTCGACCTTCAATGAGGGTTTGGCGCTGGGGCTGAGGATGGGCGATAGAGGCTTTGCGACGGGCAATACTGCCTCCATCTTCTTCAGAGGAGCTGTCTCTGTGACTGGGGTTTCGGCTTGCAGGAAGCTTTGTTCGGATGCTTGCTGGGATGGCCCAGTTACACATGCCACAAGGGCATCGCCGAATGGTCCTGCTCGCCAGCTGGTACCGGGAGCACTGCTGGATCGCTCGTGGCCAAACACTTCAGTAGAAGCTTTTCGTAGAGGGGGTCGTCCGGGTATTGTGGCTAAAAGGCTAGGTCAGTCTACTTGATACCCAGCGAGCCCGTCTGGGTCATTTAGATCACTCACGAGAATCGATTGAGGTTTCTTGCACTGTGGTCATAGTTCCAGCACCAAGTTCGGGTACACTGATCTTGCGACGCCTGGCCAGCGAGCTGCTACGCTGCCAGAAGGGAACGGTTTCTGGGGCTGCTGCTGTATCGCTCAATGAAGTTGGAGAGCGTCCCATTGATAGTGCAGACAGCTTGTCAGATATCGACTGTGTGGACCTGTGAAATCCGACCGGGCTCCTCGATGTTGTGGTCGTCGACGATGATGGGACGGGCCAGAGCTGGTACTTTGGTGAGGTACCTTGCGATTGTAGGGTTATTGATGAGGGACTCTTCTCCAAGGACTGTGGTTGCTCCTGAAGGCTCCTTAGCGATTTTGATCGGCGGGGTATGTGTTGATTCATTTGGATGAATGGAGTGATGTTTTGTTCCGACAAGTTTTATCTTTACTTACCGGAAGCTGGATGGGTGTTTCCTGAGTTATATAAATGCTCGTCTTGTCGGCAACCTGCCGCATGCAATTGGCAATGTGTGTCATGGCGGCTGTTTGAAGTGGTCGTGGCTCACTGTTTGAACTGGGTTGGTGAGACTTGGGAGACGGGCATATCAAACATAAGTTGGGTTCCCTGCAGGAGCCTGGCAAAATGGCAAATGCGTGCTTTAAAGGTGGCTCCCTCAAACTGCTATTGTGACAATGACTGACTAGGGGCCACCCTGCCGTGTTCAAGTATCCTTAGTAGGCGTGCAGTCTAGGCTGTCGGGGGGGCAAACCAAAATGATTGACAGACCGGCCCTGGGTGAAACGCAGGACTAACCTCGCATGTCTGGCGATTCGTGGGGAACGTGACAGGGGTCCCGAGGTGCCGTCTGCAAGACGATGCATCGAACCTTGATCATATTCGACCTTATTATAGAGAAGCTTATATACGGGCGAGTAATGGTGCAGCGTCATTTTCGGATTCGTGCAGGAGGGGTTGGTAGCTGCTTGAGGAAACGAGCAGCACCGCACAGCACCGCACAGTACAGCATAGTGCAAAAAGGGATTGTCGAACGCGCGCAGCGACAGGTGCACATGACGATTGACTGCAGTCTTAGTCCGTACTTGGGAGGATGCGAAAAAAATAAATCTCAAATTATCATCCCATCTAGTTATCTCCAAGGAGGGGGTTGGAAGACCCGGTGAAGATGGGTATGCGAGTCTACCAACCTACGGCTATCTACGCTATACTAGAGTATGTACGCTACCTGCCTACCTGCCTGCTTGTCCAGCTCCAAATATCAGCCGTAGCAAGCAGCAGTCTAGGTCAACCGTCAAGGTATGTTGTGCTAGGATTTTCTAGGAAGATAGGAACCTAAATTACTGTAGATAGTTGAGCCTGGCGCTATTCACCTTTCGAGCTACTACTACTCGGTTACAGGCCCGTATGTGGCAACACGACCGTTCGGGGAGAACGGCAAGTGGCTTATTAGATAATTATTGTAATTATCTGGAACGTACGAGGTGGAAAAAGGACCACAGAAACATTCGATACCAAAAGCCGTTTCGTTTCGATTCCTTGGTATCGGCCGGCACGCGGGTTGCAAAGAAAATAAGGCAAAAGAAGGAACAACAAGAACGAAGATGAAGTCCGTCGTTATTGAAGATGCACCATTTCCACCGTGCAACGTTGGATGGAAGTCCAGCGCAGTTCAACTTGCCCGTGTTTCGTTTTGTTCAAGTTCAAACCGTCATACCGTCCGATGAAACCAGATCCGGAAAACATTGTGCACGTACCTGCATACCAGGCGGGTGCGCCCCAACGAGAATTTGCTTAGGCGTTTCTTACACACAGCAGGATCGCTGCACCGGACGAGAGATGACTACTAAAGAGAGACAATAGTACGCAATAGTAAGCCGATCGTGAGCACGAGGATGACTATGGGTTTGATTTGGTGTCAAACGTAAAACGTGGGTTGGAACTTGGGAAGGGTAGATAGTAGATACCCACGGAAATAGTAGCACTTGAGGGGTGCCGATAGCCACGTTTCCTAGGATTGTGTAAGATTTTCAGAGTTTAGACTGCGTAGACGGAGAAGAGAGTTTGGGTAGAGGTTTTCTTGAGGCGAATCTAGGTATGGTGCTGTTCCCGTAGCCCAGCATCGGGCCTGGTAGCAGCAGCAGAGCAGACCAGCAGTAACGAAAAAGCCATTCCCCAATCAGAAGGGCCGAACTCATGATCCCAAACATGATGATAGAGGCGAGCCGTCTGAGAACTCAAGGCTCTTTGAACAGGGAGTCCTAGGGACGACGGGGCCCTCGCGTGGACAGCCGCCAATCATCGACGATAGATTCAGGGGTCGTGACGGGGTGGAAAGTTCAAGCGTTGACCCGAGAGTCTAAGGAATGCAAGAAGGTCCAGGGTCATGAATTGAACCAGGGGGATTCGAAAGCCAATCCATAATGGAACACAACCCATCTAGTTATTATTGTGGTCAGAGGCTAGCTCAAGGTTTATTACTGAATTTCCGCCAGGGATGCTGACGGGTGGCTGTGGCTGTTGGCGGGCGATGGGCATTTCTTAGGACTAGTTTGCGCACCTGGGCTGGAATTACGAGACCACGAGTAGTAATGTTGCGTATGTAGCGTATTCCAGTCAGCTTTCAAACCGATCACCACTTGCACTCAGTTCCTCGAACTTTCTGGTGGGCAATCATCTGCTTCTAGCGTCACAAGGCGAGACGACCGCCGCTGCGAAGAGGCGAAGCAATCCCCCTCGGACGACTGCGACTTGCCATCCGGGCGCCCGCATGGTAGCAGATACGGAGTAAGTAGAAAAGGTATTGGCGCAATCTACGTCGTAGGTTTACAAGTCACTGGCAGTACAAGGTATCACCAGCACTATACATGGGCGGGATGCTGATACCTGCTGAGCGTGAAGTTGAGGGTCATGGGCGACTACTCGACCACCATGTCCCCCCGTAATTACTATGGTATGCTCCAGGGAGAGGGAGAGGGGACGAAGTCGACCAGATGCGAAAAATTGGGCATTCAGGGTTCGACAATCCGTAGTGGACTTGGGGCCTGCCATCGGGTAGCCATAATCCCTGCGAATGACAGACACCTGAACCGAAGAGCAGCACATACAGTAGCATCATAGGTACAGCGTACAGGAAGCACATGTGGGCGCACGCAGCAGAAGGCACACAGCACATCCAGAGCACGCAGCACATGCTCCTACTCGGATGTCAATGCCCCTCCCGTTGCCTATCGTTCTTCACCGTCTTTCCAGGAGCATGGCTAGCATAGCTCTAGGTATGGTAGCTACCCCATGACCTCTCACATCTTCGTGGTGGCCTTGCGCAGAGCACTCGTTCTCGTCTTTCCGAGGGGCATCGCATCTTCTCCTCTCCCGTCCATTCTCCCGACTCAATCGATCAACAAACACTTCCTATTTCTATCTTATATATATGCTCTATGGCATTATAAGGAGGTTTGCCATGAATCCTGACTCTTGGGTGGAGACACTAATAGAACCACCTAACGGTTACCCGCACAACTACTAAGTAATCATTGTACTGTGCCAACCAGTCACACAAGAAAAACCGCAACAGACATACTCCGTACCCTTTTCCTCATAGTTAACGAACTGTCATGTAAGAAGACTGAGGGATGAATACCCTCGTATTCGCCCTTCGACCTGCGCGTCGTCACATTGTCCAAGATTGTGTGCTTGCTCCTCATTCAGGTAGATTGATTCATTCTGTCCAAGATCCATCAGGGTCGCCATCCGTACCTGGTCTAAAGTTTGGCGTCCCACATCATTAGCCCAATCCGCAGTCACAACCATACCTTATCCTACACTTACTCTGCAGTTCTGATTGCTATTTCCAATGTATCCTGCGTGCGCCTGCAGAACGAGGTGGTGGGCAACGCATCATTCCTAGCTAGGAATGCACCTTTCTCATCCTCATTTACGGTCGCCACATGCAGCAACCCTCAGCGGACCGCGCAGATCTGTTCAGTCGGAATCCGACGACTCGAGCATCCTACCAAGTCTAGTATACTTACTCACTGCTAGTGATTCTCTCTCCTTGATAGCTTGCCGTTGACAACAATAACTCTGTAGATGGCCATTCCTTGGCGACAACCGGCCACTAGACTAGCCAGGTACCCCGAGACACGGCGCATGGGGGCATTGAAGGGTCTATGGCAGTCCGGCTTCGCAAGGCAGGGTTTCTATGTCATGTGTGTAATAATGACATTGATCAAAAACTTTTCATCTTCACTCAAGCAAGAAGCCGATCACTTTTATCGGAGTACTTGGTAAACGTCAGAAAACTTCCCGGATGCAAGGAAGCGGTAGCAGCAGCGGCAGCAATGACAATGGCAACAAGCAAATGTGAAAAACTAATTAATCACTACGTGCGAAGCACTTCATATCCGATAAGTGTTTCAAATTGACAGAGACATATCGTAGCTATGTCGTCAGGCAGACGTATGTACATCCAACGTGTGTTTAAGTCTGCAGTCGTAATTCGTGCTGCTGTTGCGAGCGATCCTCTTCTTCTCCGGCCCTTTCAGTCTACTGGACTCCGTTTGTTCAATTGCAGTTCAACTTTCTGATGCAAGTCATGCTTCAACAGCACGCCAACCCTGCCGTGATGACAAGCTTTAAGTTGCACTCGCGAGGTCCCGCACAGACGCTGTGCTGCCTCTGAATCACAAAATATCGTAGGAAACGTACGATTCTCCCCACGCCACAAATCCCACATCCGCTTTTCGCTCTCTCTCCTCTTTTTGCTCTAATCAATTATTTACTTTCCCAGGCACTTCTGAATTTGTCTCTCAGATTCAGGCGTTGCTCCGAGTGATATCAAAGCTTACGAGGACAAGCAGCCATATTTCCTCAAAGGGTTTGCCCAGCCTCAGCCCCAAAAAGCAGTTATCGTCCATATCGAGAATACACTGCATGAAAGCGAACTTGCACGCTTCCCCGTTCAATCGCTTCCGTGTCGTCGTGCAGTCTGTCGTTGCTTTTAGTGCAATATATGGTAGGGATGTATGCTAATATTGGTTCCGCCTTTCCGGAAAGGGATTGTGACGAAACCACCAAACTGCAGCATGAAACAAACAGTCCACTCAAAGTCGCCATCTTTCATCACTCTCCCCCGCAACTTTCAAATCGTCTCTCTCATCGTCGATGGTACCTGAATTTCTCGAGTCATTGTACAATCCTCAAGGCGCCGAACGAACCGATGCCGTTCATATATGAAAGACTTATAGATGCCTATCACCATGATCCTCAGGAACATTTCCCAGGCAGGTGTACTCCGTGTATTCTCATTAAAAAAGAATGTAACCTTCAGTGATTACTTGGAGTAAAAGTGCTGCAGACTTGGCGGCCAGCCCCTTTGCATCGTCACTCCACGCGGGGGGATTCGGGAGCCTTCATCTCGCCCGTTCCTTCACAATCTGTCACAATTGCCATCACAGTGCGCTCGTCTTAATCGGATCAAGTGCCATGGGGAGAGGGATATCATGCACTGCTATTATCTTGACAAGCGCAGTTACCACTTTTCCAATTCAATGTGTGACTCGGCAAGGCTTTGGTGCGTTGCAATCCGACCCAGAGAGAAATGGAACGAAACACCGTCACCCGTACATGTGATCGATGAAAATCTTCATTGGAAATTCTCATCACCCTCTGACATCAATTTGTTGAGCGCTTCCTCTAATACTGTGCGATTGTGGAGTATTGGAGTATCAAGGTCTGGACGTTTCGCTTGCCACTCTGTATGCACCCAGGTTCACCCTGCAAGCCATGGTCTTGTCCCAAAACACCAAATTGAAACGCCAAACGAAACAGGCCCTGAAGCCTTCAAATCCTTCTCCTAGCATCCTGCAATCGCTCGACCTCTCTGAGGCGGCAAAGTTGGATAGATCAGTCAGTGATGAGAGCGTATTTCTCTCGTACAATAGTGCGCACTAATCGTCACAGTACGGCGCGTATCCACAGACTGAAATTGTCTGAAAATAATTGCAATACTTTCCCTTTCCATTTTAATTTCTTTCCTCCTGATTCCGATTCAATCAATATGATAAGCTGTGCTAACAGAGTTTCCAAAGCGCTTTTTACGTTGTCAACATTTGTTCATTCAACATACTACAAAACTCACAACAAAATACTACACTAAGTCATGGCAACTCTTCAATCTTCCAAAAACTCTAAAACAATCTCTCTGTTTATTTCCTTTCGTATTAATTTGCCATTACCAGATCTCCTTTCATGCACGTAACGTCTCCCTTAGCATGCCCTGCATCGGAAGACTTGGGATCCGAGACGACACTGCTCTTTCTACCCACTTCAGTGTCTGCGCCTGACTCAGTCCTCAACGTGATGACTAGCGAACTCTAGAGATCTAGAGCACCGTTGAGGAGGTCGAATGGACCCTGAATCTTGCAGACATTGCTCTATGACGCGTCTAATAACACAGTGCGCATCTCCATTGCAATTACTTGTATGCCCGACAAGGTCGTCCTTAGCCGAGTTGTCAATTCCGCAATGAGCATCTCCTTCGCCGGCGCATGCATCTCCTCTATGTATCGTATGCGTCTGGCGTTGAGTGGTGTTCCTTTCTAAACCCATGTTCTCGAGATACTGATTCGTCGCCACAGACCCAAACGTTTTCTTAACCACGCCTCATATACCCCCATATACCACTCGGTATATGGATCAATATCACAGCTTGCGGGGATATGCAATGCGCATCAGGGTCTTTCCTGGGAGAACCCATACATACGGTTATTATCGATAAGCCCATCAGCAAGGCCTCTCAAGTCACCAAATGATGGTAAAAGGAAGTTCTCGAGATTCAATAATAGCCATGAAATAACTACCAGAAATTCGGCTAATCTTGTACAGCGACTGAACCACTTCTCCACACTCCACACTCCGCACTCGAGAGTTCACCAGACATACCAAGATTCTCTTTTCTTCGCCCTTTAACCCGGTGCCGGGTCAAGCAATTCTTAAGTGCTACACTTATGATCGACAAGCCTGCTTGCGCCGTCTCTATTTCGCAGTCTGCAAACGGTCAAACTCTGACGTGGACGTCGAAGAACAACCGTCCGTGATCCTGGTCGGTCCAGCAATATCTGATCTGACCGGATCCTTGGACTTCCGAGCTCACGTTGCCTTGTGTAACTCACAACGCGGACCTCGATGGCCCGGAGAATATTTAGCGATTGTCGTACAAACAGCATCGAGCGAGATCTATGTTGCTTGTTTGCTTGCTTGCTTGCGCTCGCGCGCGGTCTGCGTGCTCTGTGCGCCCATAAGAATACAAGGATGATTGCGTTATCCTTTGAGATGCTCGATTCTATTCTCGATGAGGTATTCAAGATCTGGAAGTCTGCTGGACAGAGTGACAAACGGCCGTCGAACGCTTTTACAAAGCGCCTCGCGGTACGAGCGCTTTCAGGACCGAGACCAACATAACCCATATTCAATCCAACCCAAGCCCGCCAGACAGCATACACCCACAACATCCTCTGACCACTTTTTCCCTTTCCCCTCTTTCTTGCGCCCATCTCCCTTGCACCCCAAAAGTCGCATTTGCCGTACGCACCACCTCACCATGCAGCCCTCATGCAACGGCAAAATAGGAACCCCTTTCGCGGCCGGCCAGCCAGCCAGCCAACCTCGAGACATAACGGGGTCAAGGGAATTCACTGCACACACCATGCACCATGCTTGCCCAAAAATTCCCAGAGTCTCGGATTTCGGAGACGAGGTATCGCTGCAGGCAAGGATTCCACACCCTCCCTTTTCCTCTTTCAGGCTTTCCCCGCAATGATGTTCATATCAGACTGTGGGCTGTTCTTATCACAAGGGGGTATATGTGGCCGGTTGTATGCGTCAATAAGTTAGTTACAGGATGCAAGATGCACAAGCACCATGTGGGCGATAAGATAGCCAGGGAGCATTTGTCGTTCGTCGTATGCACGAAGGGTTCTGAGCTGGCAATGCGAGATGGTATATGATGCTGGCTGGGTGAAGGGAGGGACGGGGTAGCTGGTCAAGTGAGGGATGGATGGAGTATGATCTGATGTTCTCATCTTCAGTTTTCCCGGTTGTGGGTTGAGGAAATGCGGGTTGGAGGATACGATGTAGTATGCAAGTAGTGGTATGTATTTTTAGCCGTCTATAATCTTACATGTGTACACCTATGATACAAACTCGGACAAGGCGACCAGATTCAATAGCTTGAAGGTGAAGGATGATGGTTTGACACCCATATCGTTTTTCCCCTCACTCTGCAGAAGACAAACACATCCGGGTTGTCTCGCGGGCACATCCGTCCACTATGTTCCTTCCCTTTCCATCCCTCTTTTTCCCTTTGCGGCGGCTTGCATTACCCAAACGGTAACATGCCCTTTACCGCAACTCGACGCCTAACTTCGAGACCAATTGCTGGCGGAACTTCTCATGCAACTCGTTGGTCTCCTCGTTCGTCAAGGTCCTCTCCAGACTCCGGTAATTGGTTCGATAGCAGAGACTCTTCCTACCCGTCTTGGGATGCGTGAATTCATCCACCAGCCTGACGTCCTCGACAACGTCGCCGCAGATCTCTCTGGCGATCTCCATCACATCGTTCTCGTGGAACCCACCAGTGGGAGATAGGGGAGACGAGTTGCCACCGGCGGCGCTGGACGAACTACGTAGCCAGAAACTGACGTCCTTGATGCAGGCAGGGTACTTGGAGAAGGGGACGAAGCGTTGCATGGGCGTCGTCGAGCTGAATTGGGAGAGGAAGCGCGAGTCGGTCGACCAGAATAGGCGAATGTCGGGGATGGAGTAGAGCAGCATGGCGATGCGCTCGAGGCCGATGCCAAAGGCCCACCCCTTTCGGGTAGTTACGTCTGCGTTGGTGAGGATGGACTGCTGGACGATGCCGCAGCCTAGGACTTCCAGCCAGTCGCCTTGCCAGAATACCTCGAGCTCCCAGGATGGCGACGTAAAGGGGAAGTAGGCCTCCACCCATCGCATCTTCAAAGGCTCAGGGGGTGTCGAGGAGGAGGGATCAGTAGCCTTGCGTGCAGCGTCGAAGATGGCCACCACTACGTCTTCGAGCGAGCGTTTGAGATGGGCGGCCATTGCCTCCACTTCGGCAGGTGAATGCCCTGGTTGCAGAGGGTTGCGTTCGGGGTGGTGGACGGGGTTGGGGTCTTCAACGTCGATGTCGTGTTTAGGGATCTTGGCTACATCGTCCCAAATTACTTGTTCGAGCGGCTTCCCCGCTTCTGCACCTGCATCTTGGTCCCATGTGCGCGCGCCCTCCATCTGATGGAAGACGGGGTAGTGGCTGCGGTCTATTGCATCCCTTCGGTACACGTCTGCACTTATTAGATAGCCGGCACTTTCTTTGGCGCGAAACGTATCCGCTTGGTGAGCTGATGTGTGCGTCCGGAGGACAGTCTCCTTGTTTAGATAGTATGTGTCGGTCCGGCTGCGACCAACGTGGTCTGCAGGAAACCCTAATGAGTCGAAGTTCTGTTTGACTGAAACGACGGGGAAAAGTTCATTGTGTGTCTTGAACTCTGGAAAGCGTGACTCGATGAGTTTGCGTGTCAGGGCTATAGGATGGTCGGGTTGAAGGTGCAAGCGACGAGATATGGCGGCCAGTATTGTTGAAGGTGTGTTCATCCATTCGTCTGTCTTATAGGTCTTTCCTTCTATCTTAATTTCATTTGTCGACGATGCTCCTATCATCTCTTTAGAATTATTCCTGGATTTAACGAAAGTGTGAACAGATAAACTTATACAGGAGACATTGGAAACTCAGGGCATGCAAGAACAGAAGTATGTTACCCAATTCCATTCATTCCGAGGAGCTCAAGGTGAGTTTGATATAATCCTCCACTCAGGAGAACATGACCCTCTTTAGGCCATGTAGATGGATAATGAAGTGAACAGGGCGATCATGTGATCGGAAGCTTCTTACCTGAAGAAAATCGAACCGGAGTCGATAAAAGAGGTCGCAGCCATGTAGATTGAGCCTGTCTCGATGCTCTTATCCTCGCTCCTCCATTGAGTCGACAGCACGATGTTAAGGACACTGGTATTCGCATTGTCGCTCCCAATTGATGTATGAATGTTCAAGTTGGGATGGGATGCGGTCTATGCCATGTCCCTCTCCCGCGAGTGACAAACGCGCCTACCCACGCGAGTGCCAAGCCATCGAAAAGCTACCGACAGCCGACACCCGCAAGCTCCAATTTTCCCAATGACGTCCCGTCGTCGCACTCAAATCTACCTCCGAATCGCCCACTCTTTCAGCCCATAAAGTTGCCCTTCTCCTCCACCGGACCCCACAGTCCTATACTTGTATCTCGGTCGCGGTCTTCTCCTCGACATATCATGCAAAGTCTGCAGATTTTACGAGGACAAGGAAACGCAAGATGCCGGCTCTCGAGAAAAAGATGAGCGCTGCCGAGGTCAAGAAAGATCAGGATGTGAAGAAGGCACCTATACATTATCCCTTCTGGTTTGGTGGAAGCGCAAGCTGTTGTGCGGCACTATTCACTCATCCTCTAGATCTCAGTATGTTTTATTCCCACAATTGAGCTTTCTCTCTTGCTAACTATTCGAAGTCAAGGTATTTTCACTAGACCGCCCACAGCAAACCCAGCAAGACTCATGCATATAGGTCCGATTACAAACACAAGCACACGATGGCCCCCGAAGGAACATGCTTCAGATGTTCGTCCATGTCGCTAAGGACGATGGTGTTCGTGGATTATACCGCGGTGTAAGTTGCTTAGGCGCATTATTGGCATATCAAAAAGTACTTATCGCATCCGCAGCTCTCCGCCGCCCAACTCCGCCAATTGACCTACAGCATGACGCGCTTCGGCGTCTACGAGGAACTCAAGGAGAAGTTTACCACACCCACGAAGAAGCCGTCCTTCCTCACACTCGTTGGCATAGCCTCCGCGTCCGGATTCCTGGGCGGGGTGGCAGGAAACCCAGGTGACATCCTCAACGTGCGCATGCAACACGACGCTGCGCTCCCTCGCGAGCAGCGCCGGAACTATAAACATGCCCTCGACGGACTCATCCGTATGGCGCGGGAGGAGGGCGTAACCTCGCTGTGGAAAGGCGTGTGGCCGAACTCGTCTCGAGCAGTCCTCATGACTGTCGGACAGTTGGCAACGTACGACGGGTTCAAGAGCACTTTGTTGGAATACACAAGTCTCAAGGACAATCTGTTTACACATTTCACGGCATCCTTCCTTGCCGGTTTCGTCGCTACGACTATCTGTTCCCCTGTCGACGTGATCAAAACCCGCGTTATGAGCTCGAACGATAAGAAATCGATCGTCAGCCTCATCAAGGACACTACACGCGCTGAGGGGCTCCGCTGGATGTTCAAGGGCTGGGTACCTAGCTTCATCCGCGTGGGTCCCCACACAGTCCTCACATTCCTCTTCCTCGAGCAGCACAAGAAGCTGTATCGACAATTCTCCAGTACCGATTAAAAGACCCTCAACATAACCCATTGGTACACATTTCTGATGTTTCTCTTTCTTTTCCGTTTGCGCCTGAATTCGCTGTTTTTGGGAGGTCAGCTTTTCGCACCCATGCGATTGTTGCTCTACTTTATCGCAAGCTCTCTTGTTCGCATGCATTCAAAGGCGTTTATTACTTACTGCTGCATTGGCTGGGGGTACATAGATCTGTGTGTTTGCTCATAGACCACGTACATATACCGACTTATATAGACATATATGCATGCCAATGCGAACCTTATCATTACACCACTTTCATCCATCATGATGCTTTCCTGAGAAAGCATGTGCTGCTAAAGACACGAAAAAAATCAATTTCAATAAGTTGAAGTAGTTGTATATTTGTCAAGAGCATCGGAGTAACTTGCGTAAATGACATATAGTTCACATGCAACATTCGATTCCATTGGATTTTGATGGGGTGAAGTCACTCAAAGCGTTACTAGAGGGAAATCGGTCGAACAATTCATTGCTACAAAAGACGACAAAAGTCCTCAACAGACACATTGCAAAATATGTTAATCTCAAACCAGCGATACCTATTTTTATGACTGTCAGGTTCCGAGATAAATGTTAATAATGGGTATCACATGGTTGGCGACTGGATCTGAGGTGGTGTATGTACATACTTGCACGTAATGTTGATCATAGTAGGAAACTCAATTGAAGCTCAATGGGTCAATCGATACCTACCCAGCGCATGATCACTCAAACTTCAGCGGATGATCTGGTCGCAGATCCGCTCAATCCCGTGGAAGTTCTCGAGGATCTCACTGTTTCCAAGCGACCCTGCGCTGATTCCCAAGCCCTTTTTGTTCTCCGTCCAAATCTCATGAAACCGAATGGCCGCGTCACTTGCAGCTACCACTATACACCCCTCTTCCAACCTTTGATCTTGCCAAGTGCTGTCCTCTTTAAGTTCTCGGTTGTGGATAGGGCCACCGGGGTAGGGAATCGCAAACAATGCGCGATTCTCATCGTACCATGGAATCGCCACCACCTGCTCGCAAGATGGCCACGCGAAGACAGCGACGCGAAATGGATGTTCTGGCTGGGCGAAACCAAATGTTGCCGCAATCTCCTTGCGGTTTTTGCTCCAAATCAAACTTGTAACTTGTGCTGCACAGTCGATAGTTGCTAGACATGCGCCAGAAAAAGTGTGGTAAAAATGTATGCACCGATCATTCGAACCACCCCTAACGGCTAGAAGACCACGCTGCCAAGGGCAGAATGCGATAGCCTTGACGGCAGCATTGAGTTCCCATCTGTGTTTCTCGCGACCAGTATCATTGATGATATCAGAGCCCGATAAGGACACCGTTAGGATCCTTTCACCGTTGGACCCATAACGGGGATCGAGATTACCTGCTGATAGGTCTGAGCGATTGTGAAGTATCTTCTTTGTTTCAAAAAGATAGCAGGCATTGTCATTGCCCCCGCTGGCAAAGAATTCGCCGTCCGAAGACCAAGATAAGCCACAGATCTGCTGGGTATGGAAGCTCATGCGAGCCAGGAGTACAAGTGTACCATTCCAACCAAATAGGGCACTTTCTGTCTCATTTGGCCATTCCACTGAATAGAAGTATATGTGTCCGGCTTCATCTCCGACGAGAAGTTCCTCCGTGGGAACTAACATTTCCATGTCCCTTCGAGAAGGTCGTCTGACAATGGTAGGCCGAAAGGAGACACAGGAGATTGGTTTCGGCTGCTCAGCATGAAACCGAACTTCGGTATCAAAAGGACTCCAAAGGGATAACCGGCCATCTGCTCGACCGACTGCTAGAATTGCCTGTGCACCTTGTACGGAGGAAAAAGCGAGTGAGGTGACATGCTGTGCGTCCGAACGTGCCACGCTATTGAGAGATTCTGGCGTATCCACTCCCTTACGCTCTGACCAAATGTGAATAAAGTTACCTAGTCCAACAGCTAAGCATCGTGCTGAATGGGAGTAGGCGAGAAGGGAACAATAGTAATCATCGCGCAGCTGAGGCGCGTCCAGAACTGTGGTTTGGATCAGTTTTAAGTTGAACCTTCAATGATCAAGACATATCTGAAAGGTAAAACAGGCACTGCCCTCATCTTAGTCGACGAATTGCGCCGGAGGCCTACATCATTCCTGTTAGCGAGTATGCTTGTATGTACCTAGTTATATGAAACAAACGAGGAATATGTCCCTCCTGGGCCCATTCATTGTCTTTCCAGACATGCTTGGTGCTACCTTGCTGTACAACCCCGGACTTCGGTGAGTTTGTTCCTCCAGTATCGTCTGCTGTTGTACTGTGACCTAGGATTCGGGCCGCCATGTCTACGTCTAATGCGAGTGCAATACGGCCCTCGTACGCTTCAAGTTCAGCATCAGGATCAGAGCTATTGAGGAAGGAGGAGGTATATAATGGCGCATTCGTGCCAGCTCCAAGGTATCCAGCCCTCCCAGCATAGACACCCGCAACTGTATCAGTGACCACGGAGGAGCCACCCACATTCCACACTGAACCAGCGCTAACCTGACGAGTACCGAGAATTGAGCTGTTCCTGCGAAGAGGTACGTTTGGAAGACTGTGAATAATGCTTGCCCGACTGGTAAGTGCAGAGTGTGCCTGTTGCAAGCTTCTCAGCTCGGCATTCATTCTACCACTTCTTCGGAGACGGCGACTGAAGGGATCTGAGCCACGTGGCCTCCCAGATAGCAGACTCTCTTCTTCGGCGAGTCGACTAGAGGGTTTGTTCAACTCAAAACTTTGTCTAGTGACATAGGGAGGTCGCCGAGACGAAACGAAACGATCTGGCGTTTGACTTTGACTACGTGTCGGAGACAACAGGCCACCTCTGGCAGCCCATTGGGTGGACCTAAGAGGTGAGCTAGAACTACGGATCGGGATGCGTGATAATTGGAAGGGGTTGCCTTTCTCGATGTCGTCATACATCGATACTTCAGGATCCGAAGCTTCGAATGTACTCGACAGTTCATTAGCAACAGGTGTAGTCGACCCAGAAGGGCCGCAAGAATCATCTTGGCTGTCAATTGGAATCCTCCCATCAGTCTGGAGTATTGTTGAACGAAAGTGATGTTCGCTATGCTCTATGGCCGAGGATCGAAGCGGAGACGCGGTTGGATCACGATTGCTATGATCAAGCTTAGAGAGATCGGGAGGGCTACTTGAACGTGTAGAATAAATTGAAGCGGCTTGCGGTATCGATTTGGAGCCTGCCTGTGGCTGTTCCAAGGAGGTACTTTTGAACGCAAACAATTCCCATCCTATCTCAGCTTTACGTCCATTTGGAGATGAAAGGGGATAGGAAGCATCTCCAGAAAACCTAGTAGGAGAACTTGGTGAAAGTGGTAGGTCAAGGTCATAGGTTGTATCTCGGAAAGAAAAGCAACTTTTCGCTTTCCGGGGTGATCCCCAAGGGGTTGAAGGAGCAGACCAGTTGCATGTGCTGTCGCTTTTTGTTGGAGATAATGGCGGAGGAGTGACGAGTCCGGCCCTGAGACTGCTTTCCTCGATATCATCCATATCTGCCATTTCAGTCTATGGAATTTGTATGAAGACTAATGGTTGTGCTGCCGATCTGATTCTTGGGCCATAGTCGAAACGAGCGAAGGTCAGTTGCACAAGACACGAATCGCGGTTGATGAGGATAAGAATGAGCTAGTGCAGTAAGTCAATTACCGTCAATATTACTGCCGTGTTAGTATGCACTCGGTATGGCGAGCTGCTTGGATAAAGGGAGTTCGCAGATTCAAGAGGGATAGCAACGTAAGGTACGACGAGTAAGGTAGGGAGAGGATGTACCGGTGTCAACTGTTTACTGACAAGTGGGGGTGAAGAAGGTGCCCCACCCCACCTACTTGTATGAACCTTATCGATAACGAACGGAGGAAGCGTTTCGCCGCTTATGAGACAAACACCAACTAAGGCAGTTGTGAAGCAGAGCTACGAGTAGGCTAGGGCTTTTGATACCCAGGTGCCTGTGTTTCTCGGTATGGCCAGCGTAAGTCTTCCAGCTACTGTCATTAACGCCTTGTTGCTTCCTCAACTAACCTGCCATTAGCATGGAGTGTCGCGAGCAGCCGCGACAACTGTGCGTTCGGAGGAGGCACGTCAGAAGGAGCTACAACAAATCGATACTTACAAGGATCTTGTCAATCAGGTCAATGCAAAGGTGAGCACATACATGCTACCTCAAGGAACGTATACTTACCGCGGATGTGTCGCAGATTGTAGAGAGGCAGTATACCATAGAGGTATTGAGTCTCATTACCAAGCTCCTCAACGAGAACCCGGAGTATTATACGATATGGAACCACCGACGTCGCGTCCTCATTACGCTCCTCGCATTAGACCCAGTTGATCGTGGCGACAGAGCTTCCCCAGAAGAACTGATAGAGAATGATCTTCAGCTTACCTTTTCGCTCCTCCGCAAATTTCCCAAATGCTATTGGATATGGAACCACAGGGATTGGATACTGCAGAAGGGAGAGTCTACGCTCGAAGCCGATACAACGCGGAGATTATGGTCAGGAGAGTTGCAATTAGTCAACAAGATGCTTCATGCCGATAGTCGCAATTTTCATGCATGGAGCTACCGGCGATTTGTTGTCGCGCAGCTTGACCGAATACAATCTGGCTCAATCGCCGATGCAGAAGCGCCTAAGTCCATGATTGAGTTGGAATTCGAGTACACCACGAAGATGATCAAGATAAACCTGTCCAATTTCTCCGCTTGGCACAACAGGAGTCGGCTTATTCCTCGTCTATTGGACGAGCGTAAAGCGGATCATAACGCTCGGCGCCAGCTGTTTGACAACGAGCTGGAATTAATATGTACAGCTATCAATACAGATCCTTTCGACCAATCCATTTGGTATTACCACCAATATCTGATGAGTACTTTGGCACCAGATTGTCCAGAACAGAGCAAGATTGTCCCCAATCTGACCACAGAAGATCGAACGAAATATTACGCGCATGAGATGGAGTACATACAAGAGATATTGGAGGATGAAGCAGACTGCAAATGGATATATGAGTCATTACTGCATGTCGCCCAATGTTTTCTAGTGATTGACGCAGGAACGGATTTGTTCACAACATCAGATATGCGTAACTGGCTGGAAAATCTCCAAAGGCTTGATCCCCTGCGAAAAGGGCGTTGGGAAGAAGTTGGTGCGAGTTTGGGTAAATAGAGATTGAAGCAAACAAACATTTTCAACGTCGGGTTGTATCATCTGTTGAGTTTGGTGCATGCGAACTCTCTACATGGGCCTCACTAGTTCCCTTTGTTTTCCATGCCCACAGGCCGAGTAGATCACGACTTTTCCCTTGACTGTTTTCAGGGATGACGGGAGCTTGAGAAGATTTCTGATCTGGTTGTGAGGTAGAACCATCAGTACCTTTTGATGCGGAATCCCCTTTCAAGGCCGCTAGATCCCTAAATCATAATTAGCGAACAGCTGGCAAAAGTATTAAAAGCCGCTGTACCGTTTGTACTCTTCTTCGAGTCTTTTCCTCTGTTGCTGCTTTAGTTCGCCATCAAAAGTGGCCACGCCTATTTCTCATTAGAAGACCAATTGATGGTGACAGGGTGTAGCGGAATCACCTATTGATACACCGCATATCACAGCGAGCGCAACAGGAAGAATTCTGCCTGCCATTTTTGTCTTTCGCAAGCGGCTCCTGCGAGATGGAATTGGATGGTGATGAAATGATGCTAATCTGCCGAAAATTGACCGGGGGACTTAAACCACGTGACCTACGCGTCAAGCTCTAGCGCCTGAACGCGCAGGTAACGAAGTAAATGTAAACCCCACTGGCCGACACACATACTGCGACATGTCCAGGCCCAATGTCCCAATGGAAGGTCAAAGGTTACGTCCAGGATTCAGATGAGGATGAAGTGGATCTTGAAAATACACTCGCCAGTGCTTCATATCCCAGCCAAACTACAAAGCCGGAACGCGTCTTGGACGTGACGCCCACTCAACCGACTCCAGTATACGCACAATCGAACAATTCGGAGAAAGACCAGAATGATGACTACGATGAAAAAGCTGAAACGCTACCAGAAAAGGCCGCTTCATGTGCTGACAAGTCAGCTGCAGAGCCTCCAATATCACCTACACAATCTGGGGTCGCAGTTGATGTTCAAGAGCGCAGTCGAACCGAAAGTCCCGATCCACTCCAGCCATCTCCGCAGTCAAAACCTCCTCGGATTGTCAAGACGCTATCTGCCTCTCAGATTCATAGCCCGCCTGCCATATCGAACCCATTTGGCCTCGAGCTATTGTCCAATTCGTCTGATAGCGACCCACTTTCCGAACCACCATCTGACAGCGAGCTCGATGTCGTTTTCGCATCTCCAAAGCGCCAGGTTGGAGTTCGGGTGGTCATCCCACAACCTGAAATTACCCCACAAGATACGGATGCGTATATGATTGCACGCTCATTTCGGCCGCGGAAGCCTATCCAGCTCCATCCATACTTGATCGACGGAGAAAAACACAGAAGAGAGTGGCAGGGCATGGGGTTGAGGCCTATAGGGAGGCCGAAGTCACCACCGCGTAGATCAGCTCAGACGGAAGCTGAGTCTCAGGAACAAGAGTTCGACCCTGGCCAAAGTAGTCCGGCGAACCGTTCAATTTCTCCTATCACTCGACGGCGTCGTCGGAGTTCAAGTATCGAAGAGTCTCCGAACAACTCCCCAAAATCCAGGAACGGAAATCCTGGAGGAGAAGATCTGATAACCTCTAAATCTTCATATCTCGTTGGGTCATCATCGAGGAAACGTACCATTGACTCTTCCAATACACCATTGCATACCTCGAAGGCACGTGTATCGGTACAAACTTCGAAAGTTCGCCCTCGTGGCACTTTAGCCGCTAGGGTGAACGATATATGGGATGTGCCGCAATCGCCCCCATATTCAAGTAGCCCAATGTTGGATGGCTTGCCGCATTCAATACGAAGAAATGCAGGACCTAGTATGGCGACAGTTTTACCTGGTTTGCAAACGCCCTCAACATCGTCCGGAAGAGGAAGTGAATTTCCTCTTGATCTACAACCTATTGTAGACTCCGACTCCGACTCCGACTCAGATCCAATTGTTGTGCCGTCGACGTCTCGTCCCGGACCAATCCCAATCCCAATCCAGAGCAGTGAACATGGTTCTTCTTCGAGCTCAGAGGAAAGTTCATCGGAAGCAGACAACAGTACAGTGCTTCAAAATCGGAAACGAATCAGAGGTGTTCTTCCTGCGTCATGGTTGCGATTCGACAAACATGCCCAAGAGAAGCGAAACACGAACATCCACGCTGCTGCATCTGATTCGCCAACTCGCGAACAGGCAGAACCACAGCGCGGTGTCGCTCGAACAATTACTAAACGCCATGAGAGTGCATATAGTGCTTCGGCGCTGAGTAGGAGCACTCAAAAGCCTATTGTTGTGCTCGACGATACGGATAGCGAAGCTGAAACACCATCTCGGAATGATTTGGGACACATCGCTCGCGATGTTCAAAATGCGTCGCGAATAGCCGCGTCCTTAGATGATCGGTACGCAGATGATAATTTATCAGACATGGAAAATGATCATTTGCATCTATTCACTCTCGGCTCGTCCTCAAGAAAGGTTGCAACTAGAAAGCGCAAACATCAAACAAAACTTATCGACGCATTTGAAAATTCGAAGAAGCCAAAATTTGCAGATGATAATCCCAGAGCTCCAAGGGTATCTGGTACTACGCGCAATTCTTTGCCAAGAAAAAAGCAACAGACCGCACGGAGGAAGAGCAAGGCCCCTGATTTGAGTATAGTAGACATCGACCAGCGTTCGAGTCAATCCAGTCACGATCTTCCACAATTCCTTAAACTGGCATTGAGAGCGGCTCGCAAGCGCCCTAATCAAGGCCGACAGAGTCCACGCAACAAATACGTCCGACTACACACGTCTGCCGATACCCAAGACGCAAATGTAATGCTACGACGATGGAAAAGAGGGGATCTGAAGCCCAAATCGCCGGTGAAACCATCTGGATCTGGTCTGTCGACGCGTCAACCTCTTCTTGAGCGTCGCTCCTATCAACAGAAGCCTGCGGGGCCTGCCTCGAGCATCATTCCTTCGAATGAGCAGCGTGAAAGGGCGCCACAAGAAAATCAGATAGAAGCATCAGGGCATCGACTGGATGCTCTCGGTGAGACTGCCGCCCCTAATTCCAGTGGACTACCACCTATCTCCGTATCTCGACCTACAGTGCGATTGGTATCGAACTCTCGGAGATTGATTTTGCCGTCAGCGCGTCGGAAGACACCTACATATAGGGCTGCACAACTTGAAGGACCAGAGTCGCAATATGGCCGAACTGGCAGAAAGATAGCTTTTGAGCGAGGGCTACAACAGGCCAACAAGTACTTTGCACCAAACTTGTCGGACCCATCCTTGAATCCGCAACTAGCACGGTTCTTGGCAGACGATGATGCTGTGCGACCAGTCCCCAAGGCTAACAAAGAGGATGGGGGGAATACCCGCAACGTAGAGACGACAAAGACGCGAAGAGCCTTACGCAAAGCTCCAGCGAGAAGGGTTGACATCGAGACTCGAGAATACAGACAGCCGAGTGATCCTCCACTACTAGAAATCATCCAGGGTGAAGACGGTGAACAGTCTGCACCAATAAGTACAGTGGAGCTCCAAGGTCTTGGTCCATTTGGCACTCGATATGCCACTAACTTCGATGTTTCCCCACTGACGGTAGGCACTTATTTCGGATCGGCCACATTCATCGGCAGTGAAGAGCTCTATCATGCCCTTCACTTCAATGATCGAAATCTAGATATGCCTGCTGGGCATTACCAGATCTACCATGATGGCCAAACTGTAGATTGTGGTGATTGGAATGACGAAACCTATTCCCAGATCACTTCAGTCACGGACTCTGCTTCCACGCTGTTGGCAGATCTTGAGCCGCTAGACACCGAGAGACTGGGGACTCTGGACAAAGCCTGTCAAGCACTCTCCTCTTTTTTGAGGTCATTGATCAAGTTCTTCACCTCATACTTGAGCTTCTCAGATCCCGTAGACCGCCGGAGCTTTGCAGTCAATCTCAGACTATACTCGGAATCGTTATTCCTCAAAATTCGTTCAGTCCATGATTCAACGATCACGCCGGTCTCGAAGACTGAGAAGGCTCCTTCAAGTATTCGAGCCCTGACCTACCTAGCCGTCATTGTCGTTCAGGTCAGAAAAATTGCTCAGGATGCAGTGGTCGAACCAGCCGTTGTGGAAGAGTTGACAGTCCTCCTTAAATCTATCTCGACGCTCATAGTAGCATATTTGGCCGACCAAGGACTTCCCCTCATACATCAGTTTCTGGATCAAAACAAGAGATACAGCATACGCGAGAGTGGTATCCAAGATCAGGACATCGTTGTTGAAAGTATTGTTGTCTGTATGCATGTTTTGGAAAGTCAAAACATCCCCAACTCGTCATTTTGGGATCTTCTTAGCCTGGAGCTCAGTACAAAGTCGAGTAATGCCATCCAGGTAAAGACTTTCGACTCTGTGTGGGCTGCCGCTTTCACCTTCCTACCCATAATTGAATTCGATGCGTCGGGTATTCTTGTTGTCAATCGCAGATCATCGTTTTCCAATGATAATTGGGGTTTTGTACGGGACCTATTAAAGCGTCTTCTCCAATTGTACCCGGAAAGCTCAAGGCACAATCGGAATTCTTTGAATGAATATGTCCGAGCGACTATGACCCGCTGTCATTTCTTGATCCAGACTTGGAATTGGAAGCGATGCGACCCTGCCCTCAATGTTCTTTTCGATTTCTTCGCAAAAAACGGTCTGAAATCCCTGCGTCGAGAAGAAACTAAAGGATCTCCTAGATTTCTGGAGCATCTCTCAGAAAATCCCAGCCTAGATGTGGAACCAAACGACAACGCCTTTCACATTTTTCTGAAATGTATGGCAATTGGGTTGCACGGCTTGTCCGTTGTTTATCCCGAGAAGAAGTTACGTAGCATTGTCTTTCGCTGGACTCCTAACCATGGACGGAGTTACCCTAAAGAACAGACGCTGGATGCAGATAGCCTGGTAGCTCTTCGAAATCACCATGACCTGCTCTCGACGCTACATTGGGCCTCACCGCCCAAATGTAGGCCAAGGTTGAGCCTGCTTCGTGGACTTGTACACCACGAATCTTCCCATCGAGAAGCTTGCAGGCTCAATGTTCGCGCTTGGGCAAACTTGACGTCTTTTCAGCTCTCCACAGATGAGTCCTACGAAGCGTTGCAGCCCTTTGCCAGTTGGCATGAGGAAATCATGACTCAAACTCTCAAGCAATACAGACAAGCCAAAACGGAAGCAGATGAATACTTGAAGAACAGTGGACGGGAAGATACAAGTGAAATCACTGCTCACATGGTTCGGTCCACAATCAACAAGAATCAAGAACAAGTCATTGCCACTCTTCGAGACTGCATCGCGGGGATGCTCAAAGCAGTAAAATCCCATCCGGCACAAGCCCTTATGAAGTCGTTTCTTACAGACTCTGGCCTAGTCAAACTGCTTGAACTCACTCATCTAGAAGATAGTCGATTGACCATCGTTATTCGAGAGACCCTTGCCGTATTCAGGGAGTACGCCATCTCACAACAGCAACCGATTGTCGAAAAGGATAGTCAACAGACGAGTGATGAAAGCCAAGACTACGGTGATCCTGTTGACTGGGACGATCTTGACGGGATGGAGCAAGAAAATACGGCACCACAATCCTTCGATTTCATCATGACACCTCTCTGGAGCTTGTTATCAAATGCATTCGGTGCTGAACGTGCACCTGACGACAACTTTCTCATGGACTGTGTGCAAACCTGGATTTTGGTCGCAAACTGTCGAATAAAGGTTGGGGGAGGATCATGGTCTGAATACGGAGTCTGGAAATGGCAGTCGCTACGCCACACGGTTCAATGGCGCAAGTTCACGCCGTACTTCTTGGCTTCTCTTATTGAAGGCGACGCTCATGCCTATGATGAGCTCCGTGATGAGGTGCTCACCACTTTACTCACATGCCTTGCCGAGCGAGACTCATTGCTTCGGTTTCAGTACAAGCTCTTACTCGCCATCATTCAAGTCGACTCTTCACACCCACTTCTCGATAATTTGCCCTTTTATCGAGACGAATCGTCCGGAACATTTGATGTTACTTCGGAAACTTTGCGAGCCAGGCGCCGTTCCCTGATTTCCAGTATTCTCGCGAATATGAGGAATAATTTGCATAAGACCCAGATCGAACACACCGAGCAAGCAGCGCAGCTCAGGAGCAAATACGCCAGCATGCTTAACGAATTCATGAATGCTATGAAATACAATTATGAGCAGCTTCGCCAAGGTACCGTTGCTACAGGTTCCTACGTCGAGTTCGTACAAACAGTGGTGCAGTATCTCAAGCAATACACGTCCGACATATGCCCGGTCAACCGTTTCTTTGAGGATTCCTCGTCGTTCCCTCTTCCGGCCACGGATCCACACTACGTTGTGGGACGTTTGCAAGGATATGCACCAAAGCTCGTGAAACCTGGTATTGCAAAACAGCTTTTCACCTTCATCCAAACCGTCACAGAGCGAGCAGCCTCTGACAGCCAACAACCATACCTTGCCAGTCAGCTGATCACGACGTTGACAGATCAGAGCACCAGTTTGACCGATAGAAGTGCACTCCGCAACATCCTCCTGCAGGGAATCTTCCCGGCTTACATAAAATCTGCTTTCTCCAGTCCTATGGCTTTTGTGGTTGCGCAACCAATACTGCAGTCGCTTGGGCCAATCTTAGAGGCAATGCTTTTCGATCTACGCGTCATGGATGGTCATAACCTCCAGACCAATCTGGGCAACTTGTGGGCTGTAACGGTAGCTTTTATCCGCAGCGCCGAAAACTTGACGGCAAACTACCAAGTGCTGGAAAGGCCTTACGTCCTGCATGCTCTGTACTTGAACCTAATCATCATGACTTCTGCTCTGCCTATACTAGACTACGTTGCAGGGCGGACAGGTGTAACGCGTCAACCACCTCGACTTGTGTCATACATTTCGGATCTTACCATATGTGTTGCTCAAGTCATCCACGGTCAAGTCCCCGACATTGCACCTTCTTTCGAGCTTCCTTCAACGGACCTAACTGAGCAATACGGAGAAATACTGTCCTTCAGTACGAAAAGCCTTGGGTCTAGCCTCGCAAAGAATTGGGCAACAGACTATGGCAGAGTCTTCTTTGGGCAAGGGCGAATGCGGAAAGAAGTCATCATGGATATAGGCAGCTTGGAAGAGGAGCAGAGTAGGGTCACAAGTGCAATCGAGAAGTGGCACAGTACTGTTCAGTGGCTATTTGGAGACATGGAGATCAGCTAGGATGGCTGAAGGTTACTACATTCTACCCTCACAGAATGGATTTAGTCATCTTCGTGGAAGGGAGAAGGTACTCGTTATATCATCGCGTTATTCAGCGGCATTGTCATCGGCGTTTCATGGGCATAAAGTCGCGTCAAAAATCGTTTTGTAATAGTTTAACGCAATTCAAAAGCATGAGGAATTGTACATAATTAGGTCGAACGCGTGTTCATATGACACCAAAATAAAAACTTTAATGAATCCAAGTTCAACATGTGGTCTCTATCGAGGCACACGTCCAGGTTTTCTATGATTTCGTTCTGTTCAGTTTGCATCTGCTATATTCAACAACACAGAAAACGTAACGTAACACCCGCTTTCTCGAATTTGACATGACTCGATTCGATGTCAATGAATCCTCACGGCATGATATTGAGTACGTAATTGAAGAACACCGCGCTCGCTCCCCAATGCATATCCCGCGTGTTTTGCGAAAGCTACGCATTCACGTGGCATCGCACCAGGCCAAACCCTCCTCTTTCGTCAACACGATACCGTTCGGCCGCTCGCATATCTCGCAATCTTCGCCATGATTTTTCGTCCTGCAGCCACCATCCAATATCAAAATCAAATGAATCCTCCAACTCAAAACGCTAGCCAACGCCACAGATTGACCAAAAAGATACCCAGATAGCATCATTCCGCCTCCTCCCTATCGCTGTCGTACAACCCTCACATCAGATCTTGCATGTCGCATTTGCTTTGAAATCTCCAACGTCTCCAACCGTCCAATCTCGTCTAGGCTTAAGAAAATAAACCCACGTTGCCTACTCAATCCAACGTTCCAGAATCAATCTACCAGAATTTAGCGTTCTCTTATAACGCAAGCCACACAAGCGGCTCAATACATCAAATATGCCATGCCCAGACACGGTCGGAACTACGACACCCCTACAGTGTACGTCTAATTAGAGATACGACACCCGCAAATAGGGCGGGCGGCCGCCCGCGGTACGAGACCAAACCGCAAACCTCCATCTTAAGTCCGTAAACAGCGTGCAGGCCGGCTGTTTCCGTGCACTGCACGCTGCGGCTCGCTCGACGGACGCTAGCTAGCCGTCGAGAATGGATCTTATCACACTACGGAGTACTTGCTACATTATTGGTGCATTATTGTCTGCGCACGTATGTGCTGTTGTGCTTTCAGGCAAAAGGAAAAGCTGAAGTACGAAGATAGATGTCATAAGGGTTCCCGAGGCCCGAATTGAAGGCGAAGTCGGGGCTCGGAACTCGGGGTCCAGGGGGCTTGTCTGGTTGGTGTGTGATTGGTCCATGGCAAGATTACTGCTTTTGGAAATCATCCAAGGAATGGTCACTGTTCCGCAGTTGTGTCGTGGTTGTATTCAGTGATGGAGTATTTGGATCTTGTTACTCATGAATTGATGAAGATGAAGTAATTGTTGAGATACCAGAATGTTACAATTATCGGAATAGTGTGCCATAACCATATCATGGCCTGCTTCAGGCTCCTAATAAGATATCAAATGCCCAACACTTAGAAATATAACTATCGACATTGATAGTTGCGATGCTCGATGTGTGTGTATGTGTGCGCGTGTGTGTATGTGGGAATGCCCGCTCTCCAGGCATCAAGGTAATGTTCGTTCATCCGCCTCTCCCTCCGGCCCCCCTTCCTCCTCAATAGGGGGTCTCCACTCCATATGGCCACGCTCAAACCTCTCCTTCGCGTGTGCCAGCTCCTGCACTAGTCATACGACAAAATGGCCGCACAGCTCCTCTGTGCTGAAGTCGGGCAACTCCAAGCTGAGCAACGGCAAGTCGCCCGCGACATCCTTGAACCACTGCTCAGCATACACGCCGTTGAACCACTCCCAAACCCTGGGGTGCTGCTCCTTGATCAGCTTGTGGAACACCATGACGCCGAACTTCATCATGCCCACGGTGAAGTAGTCGGCGAGCGTGGCGGTCTGGCCGGCGAGGTAGGGGGTTGTTTGGAGCTGAGCGTCGAGGACTTTCAGGTCCAGCGTGAAGGCGTTCCAGCAGTCGACGCGGTTCTTGCGCATCGGGTTGTCAAGGTGCATGATGGGGAGGATCATGCCGCCAATGGCGGGCAGGAGATCCGAGTTGGCGAATGAGAGCCACTTTTGGATTTGATAGTAGTCTCGTCGGTTGTTGCCGAGGAGAGTAGTCGTATCGCTTTGGGAGGTAACTATGGCCGGTTAGCATTATTGTTTTTCTATGCACAAGTGTCCATGCACATATGTAGGGTGCCTTTTGGGATGAGCTATAATTGAATCTTGCATGTGTGTTGCAGGGTAGAATAAATTGGATGCACATACTGTATGTCGCAATAGCTGTGCATTCAGTCAAAACGAACCCATCATTGAGGACGAGTGTAGGCACTTGGCCTCGAGGGTTGACCTTCAGAAGTTCTGCTTGGCTCTCCTCCTTCTTGGGGTCGATATAGATGACGTTTAGGTCCAAGCCGTATGCACCTGCGATTGCTAGGATAGCGTACACTCTTGGAGTAACCTAAGATCGCATTAGTTAGCTCTTGTGTTATTTCGATCTCTCCGAATGATTGAAATGGAGACCTACATGGTGGGTGTAGAGGGTTCCAAACGACGACTGGGGCGCCCCGGAAGGTGGTTGTTCAACAGCGATCATTGTGAAGAATTGATTGGTTCTCGCTCGTGGCTCTGGAAAGGACTTGAAATAAGCTTATTGAGACCGAGATTCGAGGAAAATATCGACTTGAAATATGGACTCTGGTCCCTTTTATCTATCTGAATTTCACAAAGCAAGTATCGGGGGTGATGCTGGGTGTACTTCGCCATTCTAGGACCTATGTCACGGAGAAACGGGACTCGGTACTGCAATGCTGACACCGAACCTCGACGATCCGACTTACACCAATACAAGCGTGCCAATGGGCCATTTAGGCCTCCCTATATCTTATTCTGTGAGAATTCACCAAGAGGGACAAAATATTTATTACCATTACGATCATCACAGTGCATACCAATTCAGAGGCTATTTTAACTTGAGGGGTGTATTGAATACTATGATGAAACTCCAAATGCCAATGACTCCGATATCCCGGTTTTTCTATCAAAGAAATCGTCTAGTTACATGAGAAATAATCGGGTTGGGAATGTTAGGAAAAAGTCTAGACGAAGATGGTCGTAAATCCTCCGCAGGAAATAGCACAAATTATAAGATGAGCTGAAAAGATGTATGCACAAAATGGGCGAGTCAACAGGCAGATAATTGAGAACAAAGGAAAGGGGAGTGGAAAGGAAACTTAGACGATAGAGAACCACCTCCTCTCCTTTTGCCTGATCTCGAATGCAACCTTTCCGTCACCAGCGAGCTTCTTGAGGACCTCCTCCATGAGGGGCTCGATGGCCATCTCCCGGACCTGTGGGTCGAGTTCGGCTCCGTGCAGGGAGGTGACGAGCTGCTTGACGGTGACGCTTCGCTTTGGTCCTGGTGCGCGGATCTGAGCGAGGGCTCCAAGGACCTGCTCCTCTCGTCGTGCCTTTGCGCGGAGCTCGAGAGTGATCTTTCGTGGGAGGTTGTCGATGACAGTTCCGTGGGCTGGGTAGCCGATCTTGCAGTTGTGGGTAGCCATGGCTCGAAGAGACTCTACCCAGACACCCAATTGCTCGACAGCTGCTGTTCCGTGGCCGAGGACGTTGTCTCCAGTGAACATGGCGTTGTCTTCCTCGAGGATGAAGCATGTGTGGTCGAGAGCGTGGCCAGGAGCGTGCACAGCCTTGAGAGTGGCACCGTCAACGCGGAAGACTTGTCCATCTTGGATGTCTTGTTGCGTCTTGTTGGGGGTGTGCTTGTAGATGCTATCCTTGAGGTATGGGTACATTCGGAGGAGATCTGGTACTCCACCAGTGTGGTCACCGTGCCAGTGGGTGAGGAAGACGTGAGACAGGGTGATTCCGGCGTCGGCGAGAGTCTTTTCCATCAAAGTCGCCCACTCCGCGATTCCCTGTGCAGTGTCGACGAGCATCCTCTTTGGTCCAGTGCCAATGATGTAGCAGTTTGTGCCTTGAAGAGTGAACTTCCCGGCATTCTGGCCCAAGACGCGGATCACACGTGGGCTGATCTGCTCAACGTCTGCGATGTAGGGAAGACGGGCGAGTTGTGTCTCGAGGTAGTCTTCGAAAGCGCAGATGTTGAGAGCCTTGTTGATCTGCTTGTAACCTCCCTTGTGTTGAGGCTTCTTCGGCGCCTCCGCGCTGGCGGTCTGAGTGATGGTTTGAGTGACGGCCATTGTTTCGAAATGTGTGTTAAACAGTGATTGATAATAGGGAAGTTCAAGGAAGATCAAGTTCAAGGAAGACCAGCGAGTCTAAGTGATTATTAGGCAGGTGGAGTGATTGCCAGTGGAATTGTTGTTTGGAAGTGATGGTGGATGTACCAGATGGATGGAAATGAGTTACAATCGAGCTCCAGATATACACTTCTAGAACCCTTATCGGACCCCTTCGGTGACCAATCTTTTTGCATTTTTTTCTATGAGCTGAATAGACCATCCGAGTGAATTGTTTACGATGATAGTAAACCTTCCGTATGGATTGCTTTCGAAACGGACAAGGTGGGTTGGTTGAGACACGGTCGTCATGCAAGGGTGGCCGTGTGCCCGTACGGATCAGGTGTATGGCCCAAGGATGTCGCCCCACGATACGGGACCTTTTCCCTTGGGCCTAAATTATTTTCACGCATTCCCCAGAGTATGTAAGGCGGGGGCTGCCTCCCGCGCTCGTGTTCGCGCGTGCTTTTGGGCTGATCACAGTTCATCTTCACGTTCGTTGGTTTCATATCGCGAACTTCCATCACTTAGACTCAGATCTTGGCCGATTGTTTTGGGCAGGTAACATTCAACAATCAGCCCAGAAATCATTGCTATCTACTCAGAATGCGAAAAAAGCGAGTTTTAATTGTAGTTCCTTTTCATTTAATTCGCCTACCCTTGATATCAAATAGCGTCGTTCTTTGCCTTAGAAACGTCCACGTTGGATACGGAGATTCGCCAGAGGATGGAGGATCTGGTTGCCACTTGCAACTCAAGGCATTCTACGTGAAAATCGACCTAAAAATGAAGTCAATGCAGACATTATCTTTCGTGATTACTGGTTGTTGTTTAGTCAAAAAGAAGTTTCTGTTGCATGCATTGCATATTTCCCAATTAGAGCAACTCCACCACCACGTTCACCCACGTTAGTCGTTGTCACGCAGCGATCCACCCCCACGTAGACTATCGATATATCCTGTCGATCCTCAAAATAAATCTAGAAGCTTAGAATAACGCTGATGCGAACGATAACAGCGAGAGAATTTCGCTGACCCTCATGTTTCGAGATAGGGTCTACGCGGCCGGGCGAGAGGCCTCAACGTCTCTGCTCATGAGCACAACGTCTAGTTACTGCATACGGTCAGAATCAGCAATGATCTTACCAGAATTAATCATTGAGATATCTGGAACGTCCGTGTGTGATTACTTCTCTGCTATCCAAGAGGAAAAAAATTCGTTCGGAAGGTGGTGGAAGATGATGACTCTATCCATCATCATCGCCAAAAGATCGAAAACGCGAGGTTCGAGGGTCCAAAGTCGAACATCCCTGCTCAACGCCTCAAATCACGTTGTCAGACGCTTATCCACATCCACCACCTACACAAGTAGATACACAGATTACCATATTTCCCAACGTAGAAACATCTACAAGGATCCCATGGCCACCCACCTCGTACGAACGTACAACGCCTCAGGGTGCGGGCGGGCGCCGCCTCGTCACGATGCGACCACCCAAGGGACCTCCCTCCCTCCGTCGGAAGTCAGGGTCTCCCATGTGGTGGTGCTCAGGCCAAGGTCGTCTCTATGCTTAAACAGCCGCACATGAATTGGATACTCCTTCCGGAAGTGGGGCTACACAGTCAACGAGAAACCTTGTTTGACGCCGAAGCTGGTAGGCGGGACGTAGACAGAGGGAGTACAGATGCGGTCGGAACAATGGTCCGCCTATCCTACTCCGCTTGCTGGGAAAGACTACGCGTCAGCTGGTTGGCTGGTGAAGGGCTGAATATGGAGGTCAGGTGGGGGGTTAGTCATTCACGTAGGGCTGCTGTGGTTCTGTACTGTTGAACAACGATGTCGTCCGGTCGGCGCCATACTGTTCAAAGTGGGCACCTCCTAAAGTGGATGACTGGCCTAGATCTCGATTCTGACCGGGAGACTTGGGAACATGAAGCGGTGATGATGTTGAGTTGATTAGATTATCTACGTGAGATCTTCTCTCTCTCTATCTCTCTCCTACCGCCGGTCGGAAATAAACTCTTATGTTTTGCTGTGCCCGTGGCGAATCTCGTCGTGCTCTATCTACGTTAAGCATCCGGCCGGCCAGATTGGGACATGCGTCTACTGCACTGTTGATCTCTTTTGGGCAGACATGCTGATTCTACATTTCCCATCCCACAGCCTCATGCAAGATCCGTACTATAGATCGTTTCTTCCGCCGTCCGGACGTTGTGTATACATCCGAGTCGCACTGTTTATTATACTTCAACCGTGTACCAACGGTTTTGTATGACGCTGTTTGTCATCACAGGAGGCTCCGATCACAACGGTACGTGGCGTCCGTATACACCCATCTCTCAGATACGAGGCTGGGTGTTTTACTTACTAGAGTGTCCGTGAAGATCTTGTTGTTCCTTCCGTGTATGATCCTTTTTCGATCTCGATGTGAATTTGAGGTCCTTGGAGTCTAGATGACCTCGGAGGTCCTTTGTTGGTACTTGGCAGCACGGAACCCCGAGCAGTAGCGGATCCCCGATTATCTGGATAATTTGAGGCCTCGCAAATTGGTAGTAGCTCCTGCTATCGTGAGTATTTTGAGGGGGTTCATTGTGTTTGGAAGTTTTAGTGTCGCTGTGATCTTTCTCTTTCTAATGCCTCAGCGACAAGTTGGTCTACATCGCGAAAGTAGTGGAGAAAAGTCCGACCCGTATATGTAGCATTTTCACGATCACTGAACAGGACATTGAAAAGATCTTGAAGGTTCAAAAAAGTTTGGAATTCATGTCATATCTAATTAATGTGCCCATTTCTAATCGTAACACCGCCATAGCCCAATGACCAGCCCGCTAATTCATACACGCTCAGTTTCGGAAGTTCTTGGAGACACCAGGGACGATCGAGTCGATCTGCCTGATGATCTCGGTAGCAACACGTGCTTGTGCCTCGCGGCCAGCCTTACCGGTAACCAATTCGGTGGGCTCCTCGACGTATCCGTCACTGAGGTACTCTCCGTGGCTCTCTGGGCCAGCAAGTGCGCCAGCGAGCAGTGTCCTGCTGCCAACCTCGGTGGATCGCGCAACAATGAGCTTGAACAGCCAGAAGCCCCAGCTGTTCATGTCGCGGGAAAGCTCGGAGTGGCAGAGTCCAGGGTTGGTAACATTGATCGTGACTGGGAATTCACTGGCGGGATGGTGTTCACCAATCTGGCGGATACCCCACAGCTGAACGAGCTTAGAGACGGGGTACTGCTGATCCCAGTGCTTCTCTGCGAAAGCCCTGTCGGAGCACTTGGCAAGAATCTCGCCATCGGCTGCGGCTCTCTGGGGGAAGGTAGTGTGGTCGTAGGCTGCGGATCCTGTGGTCGTGAATACGGGACGTGTGTTGTACTTGGCGGCTGTCTCTTTCATCTTTGGCAAGATGAGGCCCAAAAGGAGGAAAGATCCGGTGACGTTGACGGTCATTCCCTCTTCCTGGCCTTCAGCCTCGTGCCATTCAGCGCGGACAACACCCGCGTTTGCGATGAAGATGTCGAGACGATCCAACTCAGCTTCGCATTGTTTCGCGAAAGCCTGAATGCTCTTGTAGTTGGCCATGTCGAGTTTCCAGACCTCAATGTTCTTGAGACCGGTGGATTGTGAGATATCTTGCTTGGCTGCATGGCCTTTGTCGAGGCTGCGCACCGCTAGAATGAGCCTGCTGGCGCCCAAGCGAGCGACATGGCGGGCAGCTTCTTTACCGAGACCAACATTGCTGCCGGTGACGACAACGGTCTTTCCGGTGAGATCGCCCTTGGGGTAAGGGGGAGTCTTGAAGAATTGGCTGTAGAGGAAACCCATTGTGTTGAGCGAGAATGTGCGATTGTTTGATTTGAAGTTGAGGAGTGATAGTAGGTAGATTGGAAGGTTGGAAGCTAAGAGGGGTAGAAAGAGGAAAGGCTTTGTTCGGGGTAATCAGCTGGTGTGGGGATCGGGGGTAGAGAGTAAGACGGAATGTGATGTGCGAGTTAATGCAGGATCGGAATAACTGGAGAGAGACGAGGCTGCTGTTGAATTTATTTGCAAGTGATGAGGGCTGTGCCGCTGTGTGATTGCGAATCTAGGGAGGCTAGACAGGAGGAGAGAAGAGTACGGATACGGACAAGGAATGGAGATTGAAGGATTTGAGAAGGAGAGATGAGAGATTGTAAATGGAGGAAGTGATGAAGCGTAGTTAAGGCGTAGTTAAGCTAATAATGGGCAAACAAACAAAGAGGCCGCTCGGGACGGCAACACGCAGTCACACGTGATCGGCATTCACATACTTGATGTAGACTAGCGCGGATCGGTCATTCGCTGTCCGACACTTTAGTCCACCTCCGACTCTGCCTTAGACTACACTTTTTAGCTCCATCATCCCTGAAGGGATAGATTAATTGGTCCCAGTCTCCTCGGCCGGCTTATTGCTGTGCCACATATTCTTTGTTTGCACCCCTCATGCACAGAAAAAGAAACGATGCTCGAATGTTAAACTTGTTCCCCCTTTGCGACACTCCTCAAAACAAGTATTCTGTTTATGAAGTCATCGGTTTGAGAACAGCTTTCACATGTCTCCTACATTGATCTACAACTAATACGGAAATGGCGTAGCGCGGACCCTTAGCTTACAGTTTCATATGCATGCAATTATCCCCGACATTAACACCCTAAACTCCACCCCAGTCTCCATCCGACTGCATAGCCCATACATTGCAATGCAATGCTCGGGTCTCACCAAAATCATTGTGTCGCACTCAACAAGTCGGAACTGCCCATGACCTCCGACCGGGCTGACAGCCTACGGAGCTTCGCTTGCCTGCGACTCCCACCTGTGTTCCTCAGAGGCATTCGGGCATCGGACCACGCAAGTAGCCTACAATTATTGCAATATAGACGTGCCACGCCAGTGGGCCACGAGGACGAGAAGCGGTATACCCCTCCCTCGTCCTGCTGCTGTACTGATTTGTTTGTCGATCAGGGTCTCTAACGAATATCTAAATTTACATACATTTACACATCCACTCGACATCCACAGAGACCAAGATGCCTACTTACGCCATCCTCGGTAGCACAGGAAACTGTGGTTCTGCCTTGATCCAGAACCTCCTCAAATCTCCTGAGAACAACGTTAACGCCTATTGCCGCAATGTTGCTAAACTCAACCGTGTCGTCCCTGAGGTCGTTGACAACAAGCACGTGCAGGTCTTCGCTGGCAGCATTCACGATGTAGACCTCATTGTCGACTGCATCCGCGGAACCGACGCTGTCTTCATGGTCGCCACGACCAATGACAACCTTCCTGGATGCCGCATCAGCCAGGTAACCCCCGCTAATGTCTAAAACACCAATGACAACATTCTAACCGCGACACAGGACTGCGCCGAGACCATCATCTCCGCCATGGAGAAAATCAAGGCCACAGGAACCCCAGGCGTCAAACTCCCCAAGATCGTTCTCCTCAGCTCCGCTACCATCGACGACTATCTCTCCCGCCACATGCCTGGATGGTTCAGGCCCATCATGTTGGCCGCCGCATCCCACGTCTACGAAGATCTCCGCCTCACCGAAAAGCTCCTCCGCTCCCACTCCGACTGGCTCTCCGTCGTGTACATCAAGCCCGCCGGTCTCTCCCCCGATATCTCCCGCGGCCACCAATTGACTCTCGACGAGGAGGAGAGCTTCATCAGCTACCTCGATCTCTCCGCTGGTATGATCGAAGCTGTGCAGGATCCTGAGGGCCGCTACGTCGGCAGGAACGTCGGTGTCGTCAACGCAAAGCGCGGAGTTGGCGCCAAGTTCCCTCGCGGAACGCCGTTCTGCATCTTGATGGGCTTGACGAGGCATTTCTTCCCGTTCCTGCATCCTTATCTTCCTACCACCGGCCCTGCGTAGGTTATTTTTCTTGTATTGATTGATTGCATTGGTATTAGACTTCAGGTTCTCTGTGCATATGGTAGGGGTGTTCTTTTTCGTGGGTAGAATTGATAGATAGAATGTAACGATCTATGAGAATATACGATACATGTCAAATTGAGAAGAGAAACATGTTCCTTGTTGTGAGATAGCTAATTAAATTAACCATTCTATAAATTTCTCAGCCTTCCAACTCTTAAAACATTCGATAAGCTTTGCAATTCTGTTATTACTAGTGTACATTACCCAGTGGTTGACTCTATCTTATTGCTATAACACAGTTAGACAATGTCTTCAATATCCCATTATATCTGCCTGTCACAATTGATAAGATCACGTCCGAATGAACAATATCACAGCCCTATGTGTTATATTGGGATCAGTTTGCTTTCCTGCAGAGGTAATTCTTAAACCAAGATGTATCACATGTCAAACAATTCAGAAAAGAAATTGTCCAGATAGCTTAAAACTCAGTTCATCGAGAAAGAGAAACTGAGAGTAAAATTTCATTTTTCATTTCATTTCATTTTTCATTCCATCAAGATAGTATCTATACGAATATGAAACAACACAATTCTATTTCATTACCCCATCGCCTATTACAATCTATTGCGGCTGTTGCTTGACCAAATCTGGCCTCTTCCAGGGCTGTTCGAAGCCCGTGAAGGGCACCCACTTGAGATCCGTGTGCAGATTCTTGGTGGTGTCCTGGCACATCCTCGCAAGCCTCAACCACATATCGCCGCGCATGGGGAAGTAAGTCTCGAACTCCCCGTTCTCGTACTTGCTGGCGCAGTTCTCGCCGTTCTTGAGCGCACGGATGAACTTCGCGGCGTGTCCGTCGTCGTGCTCCTTGCAGACGGCGCTGAACAGGTCATCCCAAGACATGCCGTCGCTCTCGGGGGAGGAGTAGTTTGAGATGGCAGCGCCGTCGAGGACAGAGCAGCCGGAGACAGCGTACCAGGCGAGGTCTAGGCGGCCCTTCCACTCGACGAGGCGGATGCGGTCCTCGAGCTTGATCCACGGCTGGCGGATGAAGACGGTGAAGAAGATGCTGCTGGTGACGGCGTGCATGTAGAAGAAGTCGATCTTAGTCTTGCGGATGTGGGCCTTTGCGGGGTCCTGAGCGGCGCCGGCGAAGTACGCGCAGGTTGCGATCATTTCAGCAGTGCGGCGCTCGAGGGACTCCTCGTCGTGGCGGATGCGGAACTGCGAGGCGAGGCTCGCCATCTCTTCGCCCGCACGTCCGACGATGCCGTCACGCATCTTGTTGCCGAAGTCGCTCCAGACGGGTGCGGTGCGGATCTTGTCGGTGGCGCGGACTTCGTGGATCAGGTCAAGCATCGACTTGGGCTTGACGGATGGGTAGGAGATCTCGGCTTCCTGCTCCGCGGCGTTGAAGAGCTTGCCGATGTGGCTGTCGTCGTGGGCAGCGGCTTGTGCAAGGGCTTCTGCGACGATGGCGGGCTGCTCGAATTCGACACCGAGACCCAGGTGGATGATGGGGTGATAGGCTCCCTCGTACATGCGGGCGAGGATCAGATCGGCCGTTGGGGTTCGGTCCAGCACGTACTCCTGGATGGCGGCTTTCCATCCCTTGACCGCGATCTCGTTCTTGAAGAACTCGAGGAAGGTGTGGTATTGGTGCACCTCGCCGATTAAGGCATCGTAAACGGCGTTGGGGTTGCTCTTGTCGCTCAGCTTCTCGAGCAGTTCCGTGTCGATGTCAGGGATGACGCGCTGGATCTGAACGCCGTCTTCGTAACGACCTTCCAAATCTTCAGGGGTTCCGCCCATTGAGAGTACGGAGAGAAGGCTGTGTGCAATGTGGTTGTGGCCAGCTCGGTCACGGAAGAACATGTGCCACTCCTCATGGTTCTTCTTGAGGAACTTGTTGCATGCTTCGATCGACTCTGGTGTGATGTTTCCGGTTGTGACAAGACCAGTGTTCTTGGGGTCGATTTGAATCGGAACCGCCTCTGTCATTGTGGCAATCATGGTGACGGTGTTGAAGGAGATGTGATGGTGTTGGAGATTGCGGAGAGTGCTCTTGTATTACTGCCGACCAGGGCGGAATGGATTGGAAACAAAAGATATTATCGAGATTTTCTACTTGTAATATTTCAGGCATTTTATTTAACAATTGAAACACTATCTTCTACTTTGAGCCTTTCGGCATGTAGGTGTCGGAATAGGTGGAGTGACATAGTCGGAGCTGGACAAGGTCGGACCCCGATGTGCTTACTCTGGCATAAAAAACGATAGGTTGACATTCACCCATCAATTACACCGTTACACGAAAATCATCTTCGAACATCCAAATATGTAGATCATTCTGATTTAAAGCGATGGCTTAGCAAGTGCAGGTGTCTAGGTGTGGTCTTTTTGTGGAGTGATTACTCGGACTTGGTCAATTCTACGGTCAACGACGCGTACATGTTGCGAGGTTGTTAGCCTTAAACAGAATGCCTGATTGATGTACGAAACCATTGCGCTGATACACGTGCACAAACCTATCATTGCCTGTGTGGTTCTATGTTTCTTCACGTGTGTCAACAGTAAGCAATTTTTTGTTCTTCACTACTATCATTGCATGGGAAGAAGTTCAGTTTCTATGTAAAACAAAATGATTGCTATGCTAGTAAAAATATGTAATGAGAGGTCCTATACAGTTTGTAAATACAACATCGCTCAGCACGCAATACTATACATCTAAACTCGTACTATACAACAAATGGAATGATACAAAGAGATTGTACCCTATTTCTTCGACCAGCAAATCGACCATCGTTAAAAGGAAAATAAGAGAGGTTACAATAGAACAACCAAAGCAAATCACGAACAGCCATCCCCGTCTATTACTTCTTTGCTTTCTGCAGGTACCTTGCTACCGCAGATTGTATGTCAGTCTTGATGATCTTGTGTGTCGCGTTGACTGGGAAGTCCACGAGACCTAACTGCTTCAACTCAACAACTCCACCCAGCGCGTAGTCCCGTCCCAATATGGCGCGGATGTGATCTTTAATCTGTTCGTTCGTTGCCATCTTTGAAGTGTCGACAACAGCAAATGGTTCTGCGCCGAGGACACGGTGTGGAGCCGGGACTACAACAGTCTTGTACAGGGGTCAGAAATGTCAATCTCTGGAAAAGGCATTGCAGGGAAACTTACCTGGGTCTTTGTAAATGCAGCAATGCAGCTTTCGATCACAGCGGGTGCGACAGTCACGCCCGCGCATTTGATCATATCTTTTCGTCGTCCGACAATGTAAAGGAGTCCGTTACCATCAATCATAGCCATATCTCCGGTGTTAAACCACCTTCCCTTTCCATCATTGTAGAAAGACTCGTCGGACCTGCCATTGAGATAACTCTTGATGACGCTTGGGCAAGAGATATGTAGCTCTCCAAGATGTCCCCTCTTCACTGCTCGCTTCGGTTCGCCCTTTCCATAAGGACGAGAGACATCACAGATGCGGACCTTAGCACCGGGCGCGACGACACCAATGGGGCAGATCTGGCCTCCCAAGAATGGGATCTTCTCTGGCGAGACGTCGAGGAAGGGCCATAGGAACACTCCGGGTCCTTCAGTCATGCCGTGGTTCACACATACCTGAGTACGCGGGAAGAGTGCAGCGCACTTGACCAGAACATCTTTGGTGACTGCGTCGCCGCCGATTTGAATTCGCTTCACGCAGGATACATCAAGAGGCTCTGCGGCCATTTGAACACCGAACTCGTGCACCATCGGTGGGGTGAGCACAAAGAATGTCGCTCCAACCTGCTTGATGGCATTGATGGCATCTTTCACACTGCAGTGAAGTTAGTATCTAGCGTTGGCGTTGAATTAACGATTCACCAAGGAAAATTGAACTTACTTGAAGTTTTGGCCCGTAAGAACCACAGCGCCTCCAGCTCGCCATGTCTGCAGGGTTTGTGCAGGTGCGATGCCACGCGAGTTGTGGGGTTGCATCAGGGCATAATCCGACGCACCGGACTCAGAGTCCAAGAGCCACTCCTGAGAATGGAGAGCGTACGAAATGGCGGAGACAGACTGAGGACAGCCTTTGGGCAGACCCGACGTGCCCGATGTGAACATGATAGAGTTGATTCGCTTAGGGTCGCGGTCCTGTCGTGCTGCCAGTTCGATCGATACTTCCATGGCACGGGAGTCTTTGTTGCTGTTGGCAATGGCGTTCAAAGATCTCCATCCTTTGGGAGAGGAAACAGAATCAGAGTCGAACAAGCACAAGCGGATAGGTTGGGGAAGGCCCAGCTCGGACATCCCGACGTCGATGGCCCTGCCGCTTAGTGCATCTGGGACAACGACAATCTGAGGCTTGATAGTTCGCAGTGTGTGCTTGAGCGCCGTGAATCCCGTAATCTCGAGAGAAGAGGGGTCAATGCTGACATATGTGATGCGAAGTAGTATGCAGACCCAGAGCAAGATTGTATACTCGCCTCCGTTGGGAATGAGCATAAGCATGTTGCTGTTGGATTGAGCTCCATGAGAGACTAGTCCGGCGGCAAGCCTCAGTGCTGTTAGATGGAGTTGCATGTAGCTCATTGTGAAAGTATTAGGGTCGGTCTTCTTTGGCGACGTTGGGGGCGTCTTCTTCTCTGGCGGAGTACTTTGCTCCTTTCTCCAGAGGCTCTGGACAGGGTCTTGAGAAGCCTCATTGTACCTGTCTGCCCCACTTGAGGCGACTAACTTACGAAGAGACTCTGCTTGTTTGAACAGACAGACCACAGCAGGTCCGTCTGGGTTCTTCTTCAACCCTCGTTCAACGTGTTCGAAGACAGATGTCTGCTTCCAGGTTCCTCCATCGATTTCGGCTAGCTTTTCTGTTTCCTGGGCCTGATCATCTTGTGTCACGGGTGCTTCAGGCTTCTTGGACTGGAAGAAGAGATACCGAACAACGAAGAAAAGAAAGACTAGTTGGAAGACGAAGTAAGCCATGGCTATTGAATACAGAATGAAGGGTACAAAAGATCAAAAGATAAACAGAGATCGATGTAAATCAAATGAAATGAAGTAGAAAAGAGTAAAAAGAGTAAACGACAATGTAAGAGATGGTAAGAAAGAAGAAGAATAAAGAAAAAGATAGTATCAGTGTTGGAGTCTTTGAGATAGTAAGAGAAGGTTGAGAGATAGTGAGAGTTACAACGAAGGAAATCGAGATCTAGAGAGAGAAAGAGATAGAGGGAGAGGAAAGTGGAACGAGGGAAAGTGAGGAGCAAGTGAAAATGATTCCAGGACACTGCCAACCCCAAGTAATATGGCACTGAGAATGGGCCTGGAGAGCGGCCAAAAGGGCGCTAGAAGGGCCATAGAAGGTCAATCGAAGCTTCTTCTCACAGGCACTAGGCAACTAAGCCACGCCACGTATGACCTGCATTCACATCCCAACATCCGGGCGGAGGAGTACATTGGGCCATCGGAGATCGGGACGCAGGTACCAACCAACAATCGGGCATTCGGGGCAGGGGTCTGACTGTGCAAGCCACAGCTGCTATGTCTTGCTTAACACGAGAATTACGAACATTAGGAACATTTGCCTGGTCTGATAATTACATATGACATCGATAACGTGGCATTGCATGGGTTACGATATGTGACTAGTAGGTAGGTGGCTGGAGATGATTGCATGCAAAACGTGGTCTATGTTCTATCGTAACCCTGACCGGACCTTATCAAATCCGATCACCGCGCATTCTAATCATTCTAGAAACATTGTAGAAGGCTGAGACATATACTATCCTATGTTTAGGCACCACCCCTTCCAAATGTTCCTACGGCTCCGAGAACGGCGCCCACGAGCGGCAACACTGATCGGGTAAGATGCATCAGCGACCACTTGACGACCAGATTCTTAGCCTCCACTATCCCCATAGTAGCGGCGTCTCCGAGAGCCTGGAGCCTGAAGAGCTCGTTGTTGGTGGGGACCATGACGATCCATGTGAATGGTACCAAGCTCAAGGTAATGGCGCCGGCCAGAGCGAACTTACGCCAGGGCTTTGGCTTCGGGGCCCTGCTACGCTTAAACGCAGCGTATTGATAGAGAACAAAGGTTCCCACAGCCATGCATGGGAGAACCTGATGTCCATAATGGTACATGCGAGTCCATTGGTGGAACAGCTGGGGTGACTCTGTAGTCGTGTCCAACAGGACAGGAACCGCCATAAGCGAAAGCGACATCATGCAGCCTGTTTTATATCGAGTTAGATTCCCGGATGTCTCTACGATCTCCAAGAGTTGCACAAATATGCAAATGCATGATATAACATACCTGAAAGGAACGACCCAGCAATCAACGCCGTAGCCTGCGTCTTCACTGGCGGCTCGTTCTCCGAACGCTTCGTCTTTGCAACTGCTACGGCTTCTTTACTTCCATCGAAAAGCTCTCCATCCCGAATGAAGTCTGTCACCCATCCAATCGTCATCGCGCTCCTCTTGGTGTCGGCAAAGTTAACGTGATCTCCTGCAATTGCCTTCTTGTACCAAGGATCGCTTCGGATTGCCTTGTAATCTTCAATGCTCTTGAAGTACACCTGGCTGAAGCAGTCATAGTCGCACAAGTTTACCATGTGTGCATCGAACAGAGACTTCATCATTTCGCGAGTCTCGGTTGTGTTGTGAAGCTGTGCGGTTGAGTTGGTACATTCAAGTCGAAATAAATGTTAAGATTGGAATTCATTTTGCTCACCATAGTCCATCGCTGAATACCATACTTTACCATGGTATCTTTGGTCATGGGCCCCGAAACTTGCGTCATGTGGTGCCTGTATTCCTCCTCTGTCATGCCTGGGCGACGATATCCACAGATTGACAAGCAGAGAAGTTGGCCATCGCCCGCAGGCTTGGGCGGAATTACTGGATTGTCAGACATGATGTAAAAAAGAGGAAATTATGTGCGATTACTTTTGTGTAATCAAATTGGACGGTAAATGCATTTATAAATGTCAAATGCTCACCGCATGTCACGTGTTTTGGATCTCCGACATGATTACTTGGTCTCCGAGCTCCGAATCCCCACGATTTTGACACGACGAGCGTACGGTCTTATCGATAAGAAGAATTTATTGAAAGATAATTGTGATCAACTACGTTGTATCAATGGTTGTGTGGATCGTCAAGTTCTTATTTTTGTCCAAGTGTAGATAGTGGGAGTTGATTGTAAATTTATTTGAATTCGTTGAAACGTAAAATTATTCTATCTGAAATCTAACAAGAAATGATTTTAAAATCATCTCGCCATTATGAGATGATAAGAAATACTATGGAATATGACCCGCGCCCAAACCCATTACAAAGGAAATTGACCAAAGGAAATGCAATTTGCCTCATTATAATCTATCTCTCTCACACACTCATTTCTCAAACCACCTAAGAGTGGTACTCATCCAACCAGCTCCTCAGGTCACCAATTGTGGGGTACTCGAGGAACAGACTGCCGGTAACGACAACACCAAGCACCTCACGGAACTTCTCAGCAATGACAAGGGACATGAGAGAGTCAACACCCAAGTTGGCAAAGTTGGCGTCGTCGGTCAAATCAGCGAGATCCAATGCGGATTCCTCGGCGATGATGCGGATAGCCTTAGCAGTGGTGGTGTCAGAGTTGGCGAGATCTGGAACCTCTGCGGCGGCAGCAACGACCTTAGGCTCGGGAGCGGCAGCGACAGGGGCAGGAGCAGGAGTAGGAGCAGGAGCAGCAGCCTTAGGAGCGGGTGCAGCTGGGACGGGAGCGGGCTTAGCGACAACAGGAGCAGGTGCCTTGAGGGCAGCGACCGGAAGAGCGTGCGAGGAAGGTGCAGTAGCAACCGGAGGTGCCTTGGAATCATCTGGCGCGGAGAAGAAGCGGCTGAGCAAGATTCGCGGGTACCTGCGGAACTTGATGCCACCGACCATACCGATGATCTCGCTGTCTTGGAAGATGTAGACCTGGCCCATGTAGACGGAAGGATCGTCTGCAGTAGGGATCATCTTCACGTAGGAGCGGTACTTCTCTCCTGCAACGAGGGGCTTCGCGAAGCGCATAGACTCCCAGCCAGGAGTGACACAGAAGTTGTTCTTCTGGTCGATAGAATCACTGACGTTCATGATGAAACCAGCCAAGTGAGCTACGCTGTCGATGAAGTAGGGAGGCACGGTCCAGTTTCCGCCCTTCTCGGTTGTCAGAGTAACGTCGGCGAAGGCCTCGAAGTCGTTCAAGACGACGGACTGCATGCCACGATACTTCTGGTGGTAGTCAACCAAGTTGTTGGCGAAGAGCAGGTAGGCGTAGTTGTGGTTGAAGCGGTTGGCAACACCCTGCTCGGCAAGGCGCTCGAGCTGATCGATCCTGCTCTGGACAAGATGGGTCAGAGGAGCCCAAGAGGTCTGCCACTCTTCAGCAGTGCCGTAGATGATGTTGGCGGTAGCGAACGGCTCATCGATGGCAGCGCCGTTGGCGTGGCAGTTGTACCAGGTCATCTGGGCAACACGAGAGTTGATATCAGCCGTGGTCAAAGAGACCTGGATGATTTGAGAAGTGTTGGGGTTAGCGTTGGCAACAAGGCCCTTGACAACCTCGAGGTTAGCAATGTCAAGGTAAACGGGCTTATTGCCATGGGTGGGGACGAGCTTCTTGTAGAAGTACTCTCCGAGAGTGTAGGCAATATCGGCGTGGATAGACTAGCAATTGTTAGCAAATATGTCGTGTTGTAGGCTGGTCCTAGCATAATTGCTGGATCTTTGAACATCAAATACTTACAGAGGTAACCACACCACATCCGTTCATCTTATGACCCCAGGCTGCAGCACGGAAGTCTGGGTGGGCAAGATCGGATTGCATCACAACAGCACCGGCGGAGCCAGAAAAGGACTCGTCGATGATGCGCTGAACAGTCGAAGTGCTCAGAGAAGACTTGGCTGCAGGGGGAGCCTCGATTCGGGCAGGGTTAGCAGCCGCCTTCTCGGCATCATAGTAGGTGTTGCCCTTGGTCAAAGCCCAGTCGCCATTGTACTGGATCCAGTAGGTCTTCTCGTTCCAAGCATAGGTTGGCAAGTCGAGGAGGAAAAGCGACTTCTCGAAGGGGCTGTTGAACTCGTTCCAGTTGACTGGAACACCTGCGTTGTGCAACGCAGCAAGACCAGCTGCCATAGTGGAGAAGTTGTCCTCGCCTCGGCGGAGAGAAGCGACAGAAGCGTTAGTAGCTCCGAGGTTCGACTTCACGAAGCCAACGCAGACTGGGTGGGGACCAATCTCGATGTACACAGTGTCATCATCCAAAGTGCCAATCTTCTTAGCGGTCTGAAGAGCCTCGAGGAAGTTAACAGTCTCGCGAGTAGCACGGCGGACGTAGTTGCCATTGACCGTCTTGTCGTCGAAGATGACCTTGTTGACAAGGGGCGAAATGACAGGAAGGTTGGGTGCCTGGAAGAGGACTCCGCTCTTGGCAATAGCCTCAAACTCATCCAGAATGGGGTCAGTCTGGGCGGAGTGGAAGGCAAAAGCAACATCAAGGCTGAAGCACTTGTAGCCATCGGCCTCGAGAACAGGTGTGAGAGCAGCGATCTCAGCGACTGGGCCGCTGAGGACAGTCTCCTTGGGGCCGTTGATGCAAGCAATCTCGTAGGGCAATTTCTTCTCAGAGACGCTCTTCTCGATCTGCTCGATGGAGGCTCGGACTGCCAACATCTTGTGGCTACCAGCCTGGCACTTGGCCTCGAGCATCTTAGCTCTCTGTCCAACGAGGTAGATGGCATCAGAAGCGGAGAGAACACCTGCGACGTGGAGAGCGGCATATTCACCCAAGCTGTGGCCAACGACAACGTCGGGCCTCACACCGAGAGAACCCCAGTACTTGGCAAGTGCAATCTCAGTGCAGACAAGAGCAAGCTGGGTCATGACGGGGGAGTGCTGGTGCTCGCGCTCATGGCTGCCATCAAGAACAGGAATGAACGAAGGGAAGCCTTGTCCGATAGCGATGGCATCCAAGAGTTGGATCTGGGATCGGAAGTAGGGCGACTGGTGGTACAACTCCAAGTTGAAAGACTTGAACGATGCTCCTTGACCAGTGAAGGTGAAGGCAACTGGAGGTGCGCCAGTGCTGGGGATGGGCTTGTGAGAATCCCAAGTCTTCAAAGCCTTGTTGAGCTCCTTCTTGACCTGCTCAATGGAAGAGCAGTGGGCAGCCAGGCGGTAGTTGTGGTGGTAGCGACGAGCTGTGGTGGTGTAGGAAAGGTCCGCCAAAGAAGTCTCTGGGTTTGCCTCGAGATAGGCAAGCATCCTCTCGAGGTTGCCCTTGAAAGAAGCCTTGCTCTTGGCTGAGATGGCAACGACATGCGTGGGGCGAGTGTCGGTGCCGATTCGCTTCTTCTCAGGAGCGTCCTCAATCAGAACGCTAGTGTTACCACCGGCGGCACTAAAGTTGTTGACCATCGCAAGACGCTTCTTGCCATCAACTTGTTCCCAAGGAGTCTTCTCGAAAGCGATGCGCACGTTGCGCTTGTCCATGTCCTTGGGGAACTTGGGGTTGAGGCCATGCTTGATACCAACGTGAGGAGGAATAGCATTCTTCTTCAGCATCATGAGCACCTTGACCAAAGCAGTAACACCTGCAGCAGCCTCGGAATGGCCGACATTGGATTTCACAGCACCAATGTACAAGGGGTTCTTAGCACTGCGGCGCTTCGCCAATGGTGCGAACACATTGGTGACGGACTGGATCTCCTCCATGTCTCCGGCTTGAGTGCCAGTTCCGTGCATCTCGACGAATCCAACGTCAGTGGGGTTGATTGCTGCACGGTTGGAGACAAGGTTGCCCAAGTAGGCCTGGTGACCAGCGTGGGGGTGAGTGATGGAGATAGCCTCAGCGGAGTGGTTAGTTCCGGCAGCGAGAATGACGCCCAAGATGTTGTCATTGTCAGCCTCAGCATCTTCAAGACGCTTCAAGACAACGGAGGCAACCGCATCAGCTCCTAATAGATTGTCAGTATTGCGAAACAAAGATGTGGTGGATCACAACAAATAGGAAGTGGAATACTTACGGCAATAGCCGTCGGCCTCAGAATCCCAGGTCTTGCAAGCATTGGGTGTCTTGGTCAAGAAATGACCGTTACCAAGACCAGCGAAGGCATCAGAGTTGGAAAGCACGTTGGTGCCACCAGCAACAGCCATATCAATGTCTCCAGCCCAAAGAGAGGTGCAGGCGGTTTGTATGGTTGCCAAACTCGAGGAGCAAGCAGTATCAATGTTGTAGCTTGGTCCGGAGAACTTGAAGAAGTAGTTGATCCTGCCTGGTCCAAAGGCACGGCAACCACCGGGAATGAAGTAGGTGCTGATTTCCTGCGCGGAGTTGACCTCACGGTAGTCGTCACTAGCCTGTCCGTAGTAGGTACCGATACGGTGCAAGTCAGTGGAGGCAGTGCGGTTTCCAACGTATCCAGACCTCTCAAGTGCCTCGTAAGCGGTCACAAGACCAAGTCGCTGCATAGGGTCGGTCTGCTGAGCCTCACGTGGAGACATGTTGAAGAAGGGAGCATCGAATAGACCAGGCTCGTCGATGAAGCAGCCGTATGGAGTTGGCGAGGTGTTCATGCGCTTGCCAGTTGGGTCGTAGTGAGAGTCGACATCGAAACGATCAGCGGGAATCTTGCGGTGGACATCGAGTCCATCCTCAAGAAGCTGCCAGAACTTTTCGGTATCGGTGGCACCACCAGGCATTCTGCACGACATACCAACAATGGCGATCTTGGACTGGAGGGTATCGCGGTTGCTTGGGTCAAGCTCCTTGTTGATGGCGGGGTCCTTGCTGTTGAGCCACTGTCCGAGCTCTTGGGTAGAGACATTCAAGCCGGAGATCTTCTTGAGAGCTCCAGCGAGCTCGATGGTTGGGAGAGAGGATCGGTAGAGGACAACCTTTGCGCCCGCCTTAGCGTTCTTCTGGGCGCGCTGGGTGACAGCTTCCACGACCTTGTCCCACTGGATGGCCTGGGTCATGATCTCGTAGATGATGTGCTCGAAAAGCTCGGTTGCGGTCTTAGCAGGGTAAGGCTTTCCAGTGCTGGTAGAGAAGACGGGGACGCGAGGAGTGTATTGAGCGTTGATGCGCTCCATCGAAGGAGTCCTGACAATCTGGCGAACATGCTCTTCATTGTAGATGTGAGCGGCATGGCACAAGCCGGAGTACACGGGCAGGGCAATGGACCTGGTGTCACGGAAGAACTCGATGGTGCTGAAGAGAGTCTTTAATCTGGCAGGAGGGCCACTGATTGTGACAGAGGTGGCGCTGTATGCGCTGATGAAGATCTTAGCGGCCTCAGGAGTGCTTTCGCGCTTCTGGATGGTGTCGAGCTGCTCCTGGACGTTCTTGGGGGCGACATTGGGGAGGACGTATGCCCAAGAGTCCAATGGGCCATCATCGTTGGGGTCACGATGCTGCAAGTTCTCAGAGACTTGGTTGACGAAGACACCGAGACGGAAGGCCTGTCGAAGGACCTGAGCACCGATGACAGGGAGGTCAGCGACGGTTGCGGCCAATGAGATGGCAGGAGTTGCCAAAAGTCCAATACCCAATCCGGCAAGGTAGGTGTTGGTGTCAGTGCGGCCAAAAGCACTGGGATTAGATTCGTAGTAACTATGGAAAACATTAGATATTTGATTCTCTCGTCATCGTGAGAATAATCATGACATACGCAATGAGAGTTCCAAGCTCGGCGACGGCAAGGAGAATGCCATCAGCAGAGCCACCAAGAGCACCCTTGCGGAGTTCAGCAAACTCGACAAATGTAAGGATGCTCTCAAAGGTGGGAACAAGCTGCCTGAGCTCTGTTGGCAACTGCTTAACCTCCTCACGGATGGCTACAGTGCTCTCCCTCAAGAACCGTGCGAGGATGGGGTGTTGTCGGCTCTTGCTGCGCTGATGAAGCTCCCTGTAGATGTTTGGGAGTTCGTCGAATAGAAACTCGTTGCTGATGTAGATGAGCTCCATATTTCCTGATCGTGGTGATTCTGCCACGAGATCCTCTATAAATGGGTAAGTCTAAAAAATATTGAACAAGAAAGGTATAATGAGGTCGAGTAGGCGTGGTATGGTATGGTATGAGATGTCGAGAGGATGGAGAGTGTAAATGGAAAGAGGGCTGGTCGGTCTATAATGTGGAGAGGTATGGTATCAGCCTGGGGCTTTCGAATGATGTACCTTTGAACGAGGAGACACCTTTTAATTAAGAAGATGAATACCATATTCCATTATCGCCAATGGATAATAGAATCACCGACCCATCCGATGTATGATGTTGTTCGCCTCCATCGCATGTTTCTCTGCAAGGTCGGATCCCGAGTCCCGACCTATCGACGTCGAGCGGTCAGATGGGAAATGTCGGTGGACTTACAATCTGACGTGAGTACACAAAGTCGCACCAGCAATTATGTCAACGGGCGATCGGACGTCCAAGCTCTTTCCGGCCTCACTGCTTATGTTCCGATTCCCTATTCACCCATGGGGGCTTCACTCGGACCATGCGAAACCGAGTACCGGTTTGCAGTCGGTACAAAACCATTCTATTCCCGCAATATCAATTCCACGACTCAACGACAACATCATTTGTGCGAGTGACAGTTTCTTTCCTCAGGCTGTATATCTCTCTTTTTTTGTTGCATTTGCATTTGTACACTAAACCCTTTCTTTTTCAAAGTCTGACCCTCTTTTCAATCTTTTCGAGATGATCGCGCTGTCGTCTCTCCTCCTATTGGGTGGGCTATCCCTAAGCCATGCTCTTGCACTCCCTAAGTATGCTTCTCGAGTCAATGCGCGTGCTGTAAATACTACTAGCTATGATTTCATTATTGCCGGAGGTGGAGGTGCTGGTTTGTCAATCGCGGATCGATTGACCGAGGACCCCAACAGTACGTCGAAGGAACCTGATCAAGCCATTGAAAATCTGGCTATTATCTTCATATGCTAATAAACGAACAGTCAACGTGCTCGTCATTGAAGCTGGTCCATTCGACAAGGGCGACGACAGCGTCGAGATCCCTGGCGCCTGGAACCCTCTTCCATATGCATGGCCCAACCTGACTACGGAACCCCTGACTGCTCTCAACAACCGTGAAGAGATCGTCGTCTGCGCTAAGGTAGTCGGAGGAGGTAGTGTGATCAATGCTATGAACTTGCTCCGAGCTACCGTTGCCGACTATGATGCATGGGCTACGCTTACAGACGATGATTCTTACTCGTGGGATGCTGTCCAGCCCTACTTCATTAAGGTCAGTGTCTCCCGATTCAAAAATGATCCTTATCCAGCTCTAGACTCGCGACTAACATCTTACAGAGCGAGAACTTCACCGAGCCCGAAGCCGAATATGCTGCAGAGAACAACATCACTTGGGTTGACAACCTCCGAGGATACGAAGGGCCTGTCAGATACACCTACGCCAACTTCGGATACCCGGGTCAGGGCAACTGGTATTCGGCAGCGACCTCTGTCGGCATCAAGCCTGTTGAGGATCCCGCTACAGGAAAGAATGCTGGTATCTTCTGGGTGCCAGTCGCTTTGGACCCAGATGACTTGACTCGATGCAGTGCTCGTTGCAACCACTACGACCGCGTCTCGGACTCTCGACCAAACTACCATGTCATTGACAGCACGAGAGTGTCCAAGATTCTTTTCAACGGAACACAGGCCGTTGGTGTCGAATATCTTGTCAGTGCCGACGGTGAGGTCTCCCAAGCATTCGCTTCCAAGGAAGTGCTCGTCTCTGCCGGTGCCACCCACACTCCTCAGCTTCTCCAGCTCTCTGGTATCGGACCGAAGGCACTTCTCGATCAGTTCGGCATTCCCGTTGTTGTCGACCTTCCCGGTGTTGGACAAAACTTCCAGGATCACTCTTCCGTCAACATCCTCTACAACTTCACAGACGTTGTCACTCCCAACTCTGGATCCCTCATTACCAACGAAACCTTCAACGCTGAACAATTGGCAGCCTACCAGAACCTTGAGTCAAGCGCCTACACTATCATCAGGGGCCTCGGCTCGGTCTTCACCACCGTGTCCTACAGGGACGTCTTCGGCGACGACAACACCGTCCTCGACGAAGCCAAGGCGCGTGATCCCGCCGCGTCTCTCCCCGAAGGTACCGATCCCACTGTCATTGCTGGCTACGAAGCGCAGCGCAACATTCTTTTGGAACAAATGGACAACCGCGACATGGCTGTAGCCGTCATGGCCTTCGACACCTTCGCAGGCGTCATGGTCTCGCAGGTCAAGCCCTTCAGCCGTGGAAGCATCAACATCAAGTCTACCAACACCTTCGACGAGCCCGCAATGGACTTCCGTACCGCCACCGACCCTATCGACATCCCCACCTACGTCGCCATCATCAAGAAGCTCCGCCAGATCATGGCCGCCCCTGACATGGCTGCCATGGGACCCATCGAGGCCTTCCCTCTCTTGGGCGTCCAGAGCGACGAGGAAATCGCTGCCGCTCTTCGCGCTTCTCTCGCGCCTTCCTCCGCTCATCAGTGCTGCTCTGCTGCTATGTTGCCTCTGGAGCACGGTGGCGTCGTGGACAGCAACCGCAAGGTCTACGGCACCACTAACCTTCGTGTCATCGACATCAGTGCCTTCCCCATGGCCCTCTCCGGAGGCCCCATGGACAACATCTACGGAATCTCCGAGAAGGTAAACACTCCCCATTCCTCAGCATCCTACCTGAACCATTTCGCTAACATTTCTTTTAGGTCGCCGATGACATCAAGAAGGACTACTACTCCTACTAAATACTCCCTTCTAATGCTTCATTCACTTGAGGCTGTATAAACTGTAGACGTACGTATATGTTGTATTAGACATCTATATATGGTAGATAGACCTTTAGATCGTTTTATTGTTGTTGTTTTCTTTTGTTTTCTAGAGCCGTTACATTCGCCGCTCAAGACTGTGTTCGTTCCAGACATGAGCGGTTGAGCATTTACACTTCTATGTATATATATCTATGTATATGTGGTCCTTGCTGGCCCTACATCAATAGACTTATCTGTCTCAAAGAAGCTTGCGTTTGTTGCCTTTGTTCGTGTGAAATTCGCTCCAATTTGAGCATTTGCAGCAGTGGTTTTATTTTCTCCATTCATGGCAGGCATCCTTTCATGGAGTTATACTTTTTTTATTCAATCGAGAGATAGCAGTTTAATCGTAGTATATGCCTTGCCATAGATCAAATAACCTGTTTACATTAGGGACTTAGAATGTTCGAACAATGGAATCCAAACTTCCATATTTGGCCGCATTAACCTAACGTAGAACTCAACTTGCCAAATCCAGTAATAATTCAGTTGTAAACCCAATGGCCAATAGTTAAGTCATAGTCACTTGGTGAGGAAAGATAATAGAATTATTCATTGCGCAATCTTCTGAAATGCTTTCTTTCTATTCTAAATCTAATTCTATCCCAGCCAAATCTATCCCATCATCTCCCACAACCCTATCATAGATCCTCCTCCTTGCCGTGCTCAAAGATCTTATCGTGGTCATACTCAGACCAACGGATATTCGGCTCGACGCCCGCGAACTTCCAGACGCCCTCCACCTTGCGGTAGAAAATGGTGCTGCTGCCGTGCGCGTGGCCCTTGACAGAGACCTCCGTCAGGGCGTCGTCGGCGTACTTCTGATGCGCCACGCGCATTTGGTGGTACCCTTTGACCTCGTCATCGCTGACCTTCTCCCACTTGGACGCACCGACGAAGTGCTGCGTCTTCAGGCGAGGGTTGCCCAGGACATGGGGGTTGGAAGCCATGACGATGAATTCGGAGGCGGGCATGGCTTCCCAGAGTTTGTTGAGAAAGGCGCTGTAGTCGATCTAGGCAAGAGGGCGTTAATTATGGGGAGGAGGGGTGAGGACAATTGGATGGGTGTTGGTGTTGGTGGGTTCTTACGCGTAGAGTGGGGGAAATGCATTTGGTGAGGCGCTCCCAGTCTTTGCTGTCGTAGCTCTCAGCCCATTCGAAAAGGGCGGCCTGGCAGCCTAGGATGTCTGCGCAATCGTCGCATTCAGCATCTTGAACTTTTCATGATTTCCCTAGTGCAAGGGTAGGAAACAATACCCACCTTCAATTGATGGAAGCTTCGACATGGTTAAAATTTGATGTCGCTCGTAATACTCGTTGGGGAAAATGGGGTCAGCTGCTCAAAACAATAACGGGTTGGCAATCAAAAGATGATTTCCAAAAGTCAAAAGTGAAATCATTCAATTCGAGCCTGAAATTGGAAGGATCCCCATGCATTTCACATGTCCCACACACGCCATCTGACTTCCGTCTCGGAGCAGTCTGCATCGTAAGGCCAGCCATCGCTACGAGCGCTTTCGCGACTCCGCAGTGAACGCTCAATGGGGCATTGGACTTGGAGCTCGGAGGGCCGATGGGGGGGTGGTTGGTGCGTGGGCAGCGTGGCCGTCTCGGGGGTCTGACCATCTTACAATGTCGGTCGGAACGACCCTTGATCCTTACCGAATTCCGATCCTTTGAGAATCCTTCGTCGAGGGGGTTTCTCGCTACGATGCTGACATGATTTACGTAGGTGGCGATCTCGAGAGATTGCGGTGGCTGCTGCGAGACAGACTGGTAGGGAGGTAGGCACACAGTTATTTGTGTGTACAGCAATTGGGTGGTTGTCCTACGCGTGTACAACATTCTCACATTGCGTGAAGGAGATCATCAATGTGAGGGGTAATAAGCTGAAAACACACCGCCCACCCTGGCCAACCATCTGACCCGACATAGCATACCTCTGTCTTTCAATGCCTCAGGCGTAAATGGAAAATTGCCGGAAGGATTCGTCGATAGCATCATTGCACTTATGTTTCCCCACAAAAGCTTATACTTCTTGGGAAAGTTTTGCGTAAACGAACAGTCCCAACACATGAAGCAATAGAGTCGCATATTGTAGGATTTTTGTTCGCGTGCAATAATGTGGAACCAACAAGGCCATGCAAAATGTACGTTCCGTTGGCGAATTCGTCGCAAACGAGGTCTGAACGAATGCAAGTGCTGCATGAGATGATTTCGACCAGGCAGGGTAACAAGCATGCTAAGACAAAAGACAGCCTAATCTCTCGTTCATGGCGAATGATAGCGAATCGGTGCATTGCTTGCTCACCAATCGCTACAGCATATGATAAGAGCCATCAATCACAAGATCCATGGTAGGGAACCAAACATTGTGCGCAAAACAGCTTTGAATTGCTAACTCTCTTCGAAATATATATTTTATCTAAATGTATAACCATGCACAGCCCAAAAGATCTATAGTTCCAAAACAAAAGTGCTCATTATTACATGAAAGTGATCATGGGATGTAGCTGTTTATGCAGCACCACCGTCGATGGTGATGGTCTTGCCATTGACCCACTCGCCCTCCTTGGAGGCCAAGAAGCAGACGACGCGGGCAATGTCGAGAGGGTATCCGTTTCGGTGAAGAGGGGAGGCGTGAGCGGCCATCTAATTTCGTAATTGATTAGCTTTCAATGAATCACTTGTATTTCGAGCACCGGTGAGGTGTAAAACATCGCGCGTGAACTTACCTCCTGGAGCTGCTCGGCGTTGTAGTTCTCGCCACCTGGGATGTAGTGCTGGGCGACATCGTGGAACATGTCGGTGACGGTACCTCCGGGTGCGACAGCGTTGACGGTGATCTGCTTGTCACCGGCGTCCTTGGAGAAGACCTTGACGAAGGAGTCAATGGCGCCCTTGGAGCCAGCATAGACGGAGTGCCTGGGGACGGTGAAGTCCTTGGCAGTGTTGGACGACATGAGGACGATACGGCCACCCTTGTTGAGGTGACGGTAAGCTTCACGAGCAACGAAGAACTGGCCACGGGTGTTGATGTTGAAGACACGGTCGAACTCCTCCTATTGGTTGATCAGTAACTGTGTGTCAAGGATGCCTTCATGGAAGTGCCCATCTCATGCGCAACTACATGACATTGAACTTACCTCAGTAACCTCACCAAGATGTCCAAAGCTGACGACACCGGCGTTGCTGCAGACAATGTCGAGTCCGCCGAAGTGAGCGATAGCCTCGTCCATCAATTTGGCAGTCTCGGAAACGTTCTGGATGTTGGCCTTGAGGGCAATGGCCTCAGTGCCGAAGCTCTTGATGGTCTCAACGACCTTCTCAGCAGACTCCTTAGAGTTGGCGTAGTTGACGACAACTTTGGCACCGCAGCGGCCGAGCTCGGTGGCCATGGCAGCTCCAATGCCTCGTCCAGAGCCAGTGACGAGAGCGACCTTGCCATCAAGGCGGAAGGGGATGTAAGGGGCAGACATGTTTAAAGATTACGTGAAGAAGATGAAACTTTTCAAAGAAGATATCAAAGTAAGAAGTAGTTGTGAGGAGTAGCAATTGTATGAAAGTGCAGATGCTGAGTAGATGATCTATAACTCAGTTCCATGCATCTCACGATACCTTCAAATACACAACCATTTCTGCTGATCGGTAGTGACTGAGTCCGTAGGACCCCACACCGAACACGCTCTTACACCTAAGGACAATCGGACGTCGGGGTACCTATACCGAATCCTGTCACCTTGGCCGGTGCGCGTTACCCCGGGAGGCCACATGCGTGGCTGGTGGCGAGGTTTGAACCTCCGACCACATCGGCCTCGGGTGCTTAGCTATTGTTCTTCCGCCTTACGAGGCAAACTAGTCCTATGTTTGAACTGGCCTGAAAAGTGGAGATAGTTCGTCTTTTTTTTGTTTTGAGGATCTACAGGTACCTGTTTAATCTCCACATATCGTGAATCAAAGTTGGCCATGGTTCATTCGTTGAAAATGGATATTTGGTTTGCGCATAGCTAAATCAGTTCAGGCATACACAGCGAAATAAGGCAGCACTTGTAATGTAGAAAATTATGAAATTCTGATATCTCAGCGAAGTGTATATAGCAAAGGTCCGCACAATCCCATCTCAATCAAAAAATATCATCGCATCCGTAGCAGTGGTATCAAATCCCTGCTCATTAACTCCGTTCCCCGTTCCCAATGCAACGCTCTTCTATAAGGTTGATAATGCAGTTTGAAATCCGTAGAATCGTAACGCAAATGATCATGTGCCATGCAGTCAATGCGAGGCAAACTTGATTCGAGAATATCGTCGGTGAACTTATGCACTCGACGTCTCATGTCTTCAATTAGTCCCTCCTCAGGTACGAAGCCATCGACAGAGAGAGCTTCTTTAGTCTCCGCCTCATATCGGCTTCCAATTGTTCCAACATGTTTTCCGAAAATGGCATGGAGGCATCGCCCATGGGTTGATCGACACCAGCTTCGGCCTTGATCAAGTCCTTATTGGGAACAATTCCCGCCGCCCTGATGTGCTCCTTCATCTTCCCCGAGAGCTGATTGACCAGCCTTTGAACCCGGTGGAGCTCTCCGAGCACCAACTGAGCTGCCGTGTATCGCGAATCCTCATCCAACGGATTTTCCAGCCGTGGTTGAGTGGAGTTCGCAGCAGCATCATAGGAGTCTAGGGCTTTGAATACTATGAGTGACAAGATGGCAAGCAAATAACCGCTTTGTACGCATGAGCACTCGAGCATGGTGCCTACAGCATCAATTGCCTGCTTGTTTGTGGCAATGACGGCTTCCATTGGTGGTGCCATCTTCTCTGGGGGTGGTGAAGGGCTGTTCCCTGCACTCTTCATCTTGGTGTTTTCACAAGATGTCTCGGTAGTCGACATGGATTGGGGGAATAGCTGTTGGAGCAAGCACATGGCTTGCATCATGCAGCAGCCGAATGAACTGGAAAAGCCTTGAGTGAAGCTTGAGATGTCGAGGTTCAATTCGGGCATGGGCTTCTTCAAGTCGGTAATACCTGAATCAGGACTTGATACACTGTGGCTGGTCTTGATGTTGTCGTTGAAGGTTGGGTCCATGCCTCCACTTGGCATGTTGAAGAAGTCGGCGTCCAATGGAGCCAACATGTCGGTACCAGTAGAGTCAGGCATCCATAGACTTGTAGGAGAAAGGAAGTAGTCGTCGATATCAGTCATCATGTCGTTCAAGTCAACGGGTGTGAGCATGGTGGAGTCAAGCCCAGAGGAAGGGTTCGAGGCCGTTGTCGAGACCGATGACGCAGTCTTAGGCATGGGTGGAAAGTCATCTCCAGAGCTGGCTGCGGCTTCCGCAGCAAACCAACTGTTCAAGTCGAGAGGGTCCAATTGAGGTTCGGCAGGAAGGGAAAAGCTCTCAGGTCGTCTTCGCTCCGAGGGACGACGATTGTTGTCGTACCGACGGCCAGCACGCCTGGTTGCAAGATATTGACAGGTGATCCCACGCTTAGCACAGCGGGAACATGTAGGCTTTTGCTTGTGACATTTTAATTTCGATGCTGCACAAGCCTCACAGCTGTCACGCAGCTTCGGTGCAGGTGCAGGAGCAGGTGGGGTAGAAGCAGTGGTAGCGGGGTTTGAACTGAACATTTTGAATTGAGATGTGAATTGAATGTAGACTTTGATACAGGTAAAAGAACGAGCTGTCCATGCCTTTTGATATTTGATTCTGATGTTCCAACATCTGTTACGTCGAGCCATGCACGCGCAAGCCAGCTTAGACCTCTCAAGCACTATGCACAGCTGCTTATGGGCACAGACCTACAAGCCACTAACTCGGTGAGAGAGAATGCCCGTGGAAGTGGGTCTGCAGGGAGAGTGGGGATTACCACGAGCGTGAGAGACTGGAGAGCAGTCCGTGATCATCTAGGGATGGGCAGGTGGTACTGTGTCTGACAGGGTTCTAGCGGGGGGGAGGGAGGCATTTCACCCATTCCAATGCCACTTTTGCTATCAACCTCATTTTCAGGGTTCCGCACTTGCAGCATGGAGACATTTGCTCGTGGTCAAATCTCAGCCTCAAGTCGCACAACACCGTCTGCTCGCAAGGCTATTTGCCGAAATATATTAGGTGCCCTGCGTTTTGGGGTAAAGATCGTCGGTAGATCTTACAGAATCAAGCATCACGGCGCCAGGTTATTCTCCACCATGGATAGCTAAGTCCCCGGGAGGCTTTTGGAAAACAGGAAAGGCGGTGATGGATCTACAGAACCATGAAATGCAATCTTATCGTGTTTGAGATTGCGAGGATAATGCGAGATACATATGCACCCATATCAAATAGCATCTATACATGAAGCAATGTTACTGGTACAGCAACTTTGGTACTCATTCTTTTGGTACTAGATATCCCAATGCACTATTCGAAAGGAGTATGTCCCGTATTATTATGACATTGGAAACACTGGGTGGCTGTGACGCCAGTGCTTACTAGAGGTGAACCACTTTTGCAGTAGACACTGATCGTTTCCCTGCATACAACAACCTTGCGAGGGCCGTTGCCTGGCGGCCAATAGGAATATTAGCAAAAGCCACCCAAAGCGAAAGGGCAACGAGTCATTACATAGGTCATAGTAATGATTAGCTCCAATTTCCTGCACGTTCAATGGCGTCGCTTTCTATGCGATATCGACAAGATCATATCCCGGTTCCATTATGACCTACGCATGCATCGCACAGGCGTCAAATGAGCCTATTCTTAACGCATTAGGGTATGAAGCCCAAGGATTTGCACATCTATGGTTAGCCTTAGGGCATGAATCCGGCATTGGAGGAGAGATCTCGTAACCCAAAATACGCAAAGGTCAAGGAGAGGTTTCCATCTAGGGCCGTAAGGCAAGCTACTAGGGGAACGTTGAGGGAACTATCGATCATGCCATGCATGGAACATTTCTAGAAAAACCTAACTGTATTATCTAAAGCATTGCCCTAGTGGACACAACATCTAAGCTGCATTAAGTGGCCTCTCCGAGTGAGACTGATAACGAATCCCCAAAGCCACCACAGAAGAGTTCCGAGATCGGAGCTGTTTGATCACGACCAGGCGGCCGTTTGCATCATGAACACTGTCGACCAAATCCATAAGCTCCTGCATATTGAGGTCGCGTTCGTTCGCTAGTTGTAGCAGGGATAGGTCTCGTAAACGAGCCATGCTTTCAACCTGCACATCAACGGATCCTGGATCTGGTAGAAGACGCGGTGTGAGAATGAGCAGAGCTGATCTGTTCCCTTCCAGGACCCTGAGATGGGACCGGAGTTCAGATAGTATCCTCTCTCGGATTGGGACAATGGGTGGGGAGGAAGACGTGGAGAGGCGGACCATATAAACGGCAGCATCCTTGATCGTCTGCGGCGCGCCGTTGGGCCGCTTATGCACCGAGATCCTCCGACCAGGGTCAGGAAATGAAGGCGATATTGGAGCAGACGGATCCTCGGTCTGGACAGCAAACGATAGCGCGGGGTAGAGGTCTGCCAATGCCTGGATGGCACATCTGTTACCTGTGTTGGTTCTGCCTGGGATGGGGCCACCGACGTCAACGACGCATGAGTTCCCAAGACCTATCCAGTCCAACTGACCAAGCAACTCGGCGGCAGCGTCGTCGGTGTCTCCCACGCTATTGAGATAGGCGGGCCATTGACGCTGCAACCTCTTTCTCCGCTCAAATGCGAGTTGGAAGGTCGAATCCTCCGTTGGGGAGCCCCTTGTCGCGAGGGTATACGCGCTGTCACCTGCATCGCACGCGCTGCCATCGGCGCCGAAACCAAATGCTCGAGCCGTGGAATGCTGTCGCGATGCCGCTGCCATGTGTAACGCGGACGGTGCTATCGTCTCAGCGAGGAACATGGCGGCGTCCAAATGGGCTGGACGAGTGACAAAGCTCGCTGACAATGCGGTGTGTTCTATGTGGCCCGGTTGAGGTTCGCGCAGGAAGCCTGCGATAGCCATGATCCTCACCACTCGGCTCAAGTGAGCTTCGGGTACATCCGCAAGGTCAGCCACGTCCTTGATTGGCACACTGCAGTTTGCACCAAGTGGGACGAAGGCAAGAACTTGAAATTCTCCTAGCCATTGGAGACATGCGAGAAGTTGGTTCTATGCAAGTGTTAGAATCGGCTCGACTGAGGGTATTGTAGCGGCACGATGCGTTCCGTTCGTCATGTCATTGTGGCGTCTTCTGCATTCCTTCCGTTCCTCCATCATTTGGAATAATGGAAAAAAGCTTGACTGACGACGCCTCTCAGAAGAAGGCAAAAGGGGGGAAGATAACGGAGGAAGGAATATACTGACCTGGCTAGCGAGTTGTTGGAGGAAAAGTGTCGGCTCCAGTTGGAACAACAGAGTCTGAAGATGGCCCACCGTAGCAAGAATGCTCCCTACAGTGCGAGTGCGAGATTCGGGGGTTGCACCATTCGTAGAGCAATCCGATGCCCCAATGCCCGCGTCCCGACATTGGTCGGCAAGGACTTGAACCGCACTGCCCAAGTCGATAGCATGCGATTCCAGCTGTTTCTCGAAGACTGATTGCATGATGATATGATCGGATACGGACAACAATAATGGTAGAGAACGGACAAGATACAGATTGAACGAAACGGACAGTGAGCTTGTTCTTCAGGACTCTCCGACCTCCATCTCTCGAAACAAAGTTGAGCATTTCATGGTGGTCCGCAGCTTACGCAGTGGACATGCAAGGCCCGACTTGCCTGTAGATCGTATGATACCGTACTCACCGAGAACGGATGTCGGACCTGAGTATGCGCAGTCGCGTCAATGTGCAGGGTACAAACCTAAGGGCTGACTACCGATCCTGTGCTCGCTCCGACACATTGCCAAACATATCATGACCATATCTCAAAAGCCATCCCATTTAGCACAGTTCATAACCTATTCAAGCCAAGCACGGATGCGAATACGAAACCACAATGCGCCAATGCAAGTAATAGGTACCAACTACTCTTTAGGCACCTAACCCTCCATTGCCATCACCCTTCATGACAGCCAAGCTCATAACCCTGGCCCTAACTCTTTGACAGAGCAAGTTTATGTATGCATACCAATTTTGGGACGCGTTCAATAGTTTGCAACAAGTTTTACGGACGTTATTCTGTTACGGACGTTATTCCACCTCAGAAGGATTCACTTCCTGACTGCAACAGGCGCAAATTCATTTTTCCATCCTATGAAAAAATTAACTACCATCTTTGCCTGTCCAACCGAAAACTATGACATAACGAAGGAAGGCTTCTGTGCATCGCCAGCGTGCTTGGACACGACAAGGTTCATAATCCCCGAAGCTTATGCGCAACAACTCGGCGTTCAACTTTGGCGCCGACTCCCCATCTCAGCTTTCTAGTTTGTGGTATCTGCGCTGTACCTTGTAGCGAGAAGGCTGAAATGGAAGAGCTGCAATATGGTGTCGCAATCAACTGCCACTCTAAAACAACTCGTATAAACTACTCGAACCTAACTCTGCTGGTCCTCACCATTCCCCAGTGTTACAACCGCTAGCATCGACAATTTTGCCTCTGGCTAGTGTTGGTGGCGGTCTGGGGGATGCGCCAAAGTAATTTAAGCAATCAACCCCAAGCTGGAGATCGTGCTTACGTTGCGGTCGCTAGGGAGAAGCAGCCTCGAGGATATTTCTCAGGTTATAATCGGTAATAAAGATCTTTTGAAACTCTGACTACTGCAGGCTTCAAGCAGATTCTCCTTCTGAAATCCGACGTCGCATGTCTACATCGCAATGGACGAAATACTTGACGCTTCGACCATGAGCATTTGGAGCATAGCTGTGATTGCCGAGTACGAGGTTCCCGCAGTGGAGACTGCGGCGATGCCCGCAATGCCTTTGTGCAGGAGATCTACAAAGCGGGTGGCTTTTGCTGGAGATACAATCGAGGATTAGTAGCTGGATCTCATTGCCTCAATTAGGTTACCTCCATCGATCTATTAGCGTCGGGCAACATCTTTAGGACAGCCACATTGCGATCTCAAGACTCAAGAGCGACTTAGAATGCTTGTGGTGCTTAAAGTGCTTTTTGGCGTAGCTTCCATGCTGCTTATGCTAGGCGGCCTTTTGACCAGGACTTCAAACGGGCATTTCCAGGTCGGCAAGTCCGTCAAGTATAGAATTCTAGAAGATTAGTGCGCACGGCTAGTTTTCAAAAGTCTCTGTGGAATTTGGCAGCATTAATTGCAGATGGCGGATACCTGAAAGGAAAAACAATAAAGTTCTCCTCCCATCATTTGCAAGTTCAGTATGCTAAAGTCCGTCACTTTCATGTATAGAATGAAGGTGAGCACTGTTGAGAAGAAGGGATACATTCCTATCATTCTTTGTCGACAAGTACATCAATATCTATATGGAACCATTCACAAGACATGGCCCAGTTCCTCTAAAACTTGCACAACAAGAGGTAGTCAACGGTGACTTGGTTCATCTGTTTGGTAGTGGCATCAATACGGAAATAACTATCCCCAACCCAAATATTGAAGCAACTTGCTTCTTAATGGGGATGAGAGAGTCACTGCTAAGATACTATAAAATTAATGATTATTGAAGAAATTTTAATTACTGTCACCATTGGATAATCAGATTCAAAAAGGAAAATCACAAAATTTTATTTCAATTTGTGTCGTAATCTAAAAATCATAACCTTCGCTTGCACTTTGTGAACCCACCAACACCAAAGAAAAAAGAATCGACTTGGTTTTGCTGTAATGACCCGCACACAGATCAATACCACTCATCGCGCTTCAACGTGCCCCTTCGCTTTGGTGTCTGCTTTGGGGCGGTGCGTCCCTCATGGAACGCTTCAGCTCCTAGATAAGTCGTGACATCGAGCTCGCCCTTCTTGAACAAGCAGCTGACATACGACTGCAAGCCTTTGCCATCTTTCAAGTCTCTGTGACCGGCCAAGCCCTCCAACATGGACATGTACCTCTCACAATGTGCTCCTCTTCCGTTCTTCTCCATCCACTTGGTGAGAGACCTGGCAAGCGTGAGGTCGTCTCGGCCGTAGTACCTTGTTGGCACAAAGATCTTAACCTCTGGAGTCTCTTTGCCAGGGGCGATATCAAAGTAGTAGAGGTAACCCCTGAGGACTGAGGTCAAGTCACCGAAGTCGCAGGTGACCTCGAGTTCCGATCCTGCAGGAACCTCTGCATCCTCTGGGAAGTCTTCAGGCACACCGTTGGTGACGTTGACCAAGGTTCTCAAATCGTCGAGGAGTGCATCAACCTTAGCGCCTTTGATCAGGCCTCCCAAAGTCATGGTGTCGCGGACTGAAGCGTAGCTGGTCTGGGTGGTGTGGAAGTACCACTTCAGGCGAGACTTCTCAGGTGCTACATTGTCTATGGCCATGGAGATTGGGGTCAAATGCTTTCCGTAAGCGTTGTTAGCAAGGTAGTTGTCTAGTGCAGTTCGAGCGGGTGTCTGGAAGACAGCAGGTGCAGGGCTGCTCTGATCTTTAGGTTCGAATTCCAATGCATCAACTGAGGACTTCCAGTCACTCATAGGCATCAGGCCACCCTGTTCTAGTTTTCGGGGGAAGAAGTAAGTCTTGACGGCAGTGCCCTTGTCGTTGTATTCAACGGCGAGATGAATGGTGCTGGCCAAATGACCTCCAGCAGCCGCCTCCTTCATGATCCTGGCATTATCATGATCAAACAGGGTAGAGAAGAAGTGCTGAGCCCATGTGTTATCGAGGCCCTTCAGGATTGGCTTGAGGCGGTGGAGCAGGTCGAGTGATGCTTGTTGGTTCATCGGATCGACCTCTGTGCCTGCATACTCGCCGATAGGCTCAACGACATAGCGAATGCCGGGTTTGGAGTTGGGGGAGGCGGTATTCCATTTCCATGAGTACTCAATTGGGGTTCCGTCAAGACCTAGAAGCGATTTCCACTTGAGGTTTTCGGGGGCAACCAACCCAGGAGCCTGACCCATGTATGGAACGGTCCAGTGGTAATGGAATAGTAGCGCCTCGTACTGTTTCTCCATTGAGTAACCGGCAGCATCAACGAGGGAGGCGAGGTGTTGGCCGGTCAATTGCCACCAAGCCTCGTCATTGGCGTTGAGCTTAGGCAGGCAGTGCGACAAGGCTTTCCACGCTTCTGTCATCTTGAATATGGTTGGAATGGAATGAGGTGAAGGAATTAAGGCTGAAAAGTGTATCTAAAAATGAGAATGTGGACTAATTAATTTCTCCATTTGCTGGAAGGAAGCGCTCGATCTTATTCACATTCTGTATCGCAAGGCTCATATGTTTCGAAACACGCGTACGGACGGTCATCTTGGTACAATAAGCTTTGCAAGGTGCCACCAAGATCCGTCTGAATCACCCGACTGTAGATCAAAAATACAGCTCCAATCAAGCTGTACTACGCGGGCACCGTACGGTGCGTTGACACCCATATGACAGCCCCGTCCCGACCTCCGACCTCCGATTTCCGAGTGCTTACTCCCACCGCCTTTGGGGGCCTGAAGCGTGAATACATAAAAGTAGATTTACCCCCCAAGACTTGGAATCCTTACAAACCATCCAATAGCATACGAGCGTTGTTTATCAATCGTTTCACAGCATTGTTTTCGTTTTTCCATCATGTTTTCCAAGACTCTCTTTTTCCTTGCTGGAGCAACGCAAGTTGCAGCAGAGTATGCATCTTGCGTGCGTCAATTTCCTAAAGCGGTACTTACATACAGCTCGCTAATATGATTCACAGTGCCAAGCTCTGAAGAATGAATTGCCGGCTCAAGTCTTCACCACCAATGAGACGGGTTACATTGAGTTGAACACTCAACGATGGTCCAACACCAGCATCCTCGCACCTAGCTGCGTCTTCGAGCCCCAGTCTGCAGAGGATGTATCCAAGGGTGTTCAAACTCTTGCAGCAGGCTCTTGCCCCTTCTCCATCAAGTCAGGTGGACACAACCCCATCCCTGGCGCAAACAACATTGATGGAGGTGTCTCTATCGTTTTGGGTGCCTTGAACGAGATCGAACTCGACGAGGAGACCTTGGTAGTCCACCTTGGGCCTGGTGCCCGATGGGGTCAGGTTTACGAGAAGTTCTCTGGTGAGGGCAACTCGACTGATCCTGCTCTTCTCGTTCCCGGTGGTCTATGTGGAGGTACTGGTATCGGTGGGGTTTCCACTGGTGGCGGCGAGTCATACCTGCTGTCAAGCCACGGTTGGGTCGTTGACAACGTCGTAAACTACCAAGTTGTTTTGGCCTCTGGTGAAATCGTCGATGCCAACCAGGAGTCCAACCCTGACCTTTTCCGCGCCCTAAAGGGTGCAACCAACAACTTTGGAATCGTCACTCGTGTCGATGTTCAAGCGATCGACCAACCCCAGATCTGGGGAGGTGCCATCCTTGCGCCTTACATGCCTGATACCGCCTACGCCACCCTCGACGCTCTCACCAACTTCACTGAGATCGCAAACACTGAGCCCAGCAACGGCGCTCAAGTCATTGTCACATACACTGCTACTGGCCAAGCCATTATCGCTCTTTCAATCGCCAACGTCGAGAACGTTGCCAACGCCACCGGCTTGAAGCCCTTCACAGACATCCAACCCCAGATCGCAAACACCGTCGGCTCGCGTACTCTCAGCTCAATCGTCACTGAGCTCGACACCAATCAGGCTGATGGTTTCCGTGATACTTCCGCTACCATCACTTTCAAGAACGACCCCGAAACTTTGTACGCTGTGCACAACGCTTCCGACCAGGTCTACCTGAAGTACAACAAGACTGTCGATTACCTCGACTTTGTCCTCTTCTACGTTCCCACTTCCAAGATTGACGGTACCCACGCTGCTCTTCGTGGTGGAAACGTCCTCGGTCTCGAGGATGAGGAGGATGACTTGATGGTCGCGTTCATCACCCCCCGCTGGCTCGACGAGGCCCAGGACGCTGCTATGTACCAGATGGCCGAAGAGTGGGTCGCTGCCACCAAAGCCGTCACCGTCGAGAAGGGAACCGACCACCCCTTCTTGTACCAGAACTTCGCTACCCCTAACCAGAAGCCAATTTGCGGATACGGCGAGGAGAATGTCAACTTCTTGCAGGCCGTCTCTAAGAAGTACGACCCTGAGGGTGTTTTCCAGACCCTCGTGCCTGGTGGCTTCAAGGTCTCCAAGGCCTGCTAAGCACCTAGCCCCCAAAACACACATGGAACTTACACATTTGGAAATCCTATGTAAATAGAGCGTAAGGTTCGATAACCCATTATTATTCTGTCAGAGATCTCACCCCGGATCTACTGAACCCTTTTTAGAAATGTAGATAGAAGCATACAAAGTTACAGACGGGGATAGACTGTATTAGTACTTGGAGATAATAGAAATTTGCATACTCCATTGAAACTGGACCTTTTGATGTGACCCGCGATAGTGAACAAAATGATGTGTGTGAACGAACAGGACTACGCAGAAGCTTATCCTCTTCATCGCGGTGCAACATGATTTTGCGCAGAAACAGGTGCATAGCATTTTGAGAACACAAGTCTATGGATATGGCGTGGCATTCCGGGCGAGTTAAATTCTGTGAATGGTTCCATTAGTTACCAGTGTGAAAAACCAATCCACACAAGGCCTTAATATAGATACTATCAGATCCACACTTAGTTGGCAACAAATCTTACATATGCAAGACTAGATGTACTCTACCCCCGTGCGCTTTCGTCAATGCCGATTCGCCTGGTCATGATTTTTTGCGAGGCATTCTTGCACTAGTGTAGTCCCCTTTGATCCTTTCACAGAGAACCATATCGGTTCATCATGTAGGTATTGCATTCCTTTTTGGGGGAGAAATGCAGAATTATCTTGCAAGTATAGTGAACCGCGAATTCGTTGCATTATTTCGTCTTGGAGTAAGGAGCGCGATGACTCCCCAACTTCCAACAACCATACTGTTACAAATCGTACACGCCAAAGTATGATCCAAAACTCCTTTGAATGTTTTCCTTAATCAATGGTATCCTCCAGCATACGTCGTTCCAAGCCTAAAACACACCCTTTTCCTTCATTATTCGCGCACTGCTCTTTTCGATAACGTATCCTGGATCAGGTTTCCTTGATGCCTTGATCTGTTCTCTTGTGAAAGATTGGCTGACTTCCTTGACGTCCACCAATTCCTTAATTCGCATGATCTGACCGGCGACGGAGGGTGTAACAGGGTGGTATACGGTCGTCATTCGCTTTCGAAGGCCGAGTGCTTTGAGTACGCCTTGTGTTTTTGCTGGTAGGCCAATACCAGAGCGCATCAGAGTAATGCGAAAGAACGCCATCTTACGGAAGGGTACCGTCGTTGTTGGACCGTGAAGAAGCGGATGTGAAGAGAACCTGTTCGTTTGAGAGGCCTGGAACCGACAATGGGGCTGTCCACAGGTTAGGGAATATTCGTATTAACGGCTTGGACTAATTTTGGCGTACTATTGACGGTGTCGTGTGTGTTTGCAGCTGTCTGCGGTCTTGTTGGTGTGATCCTGTGCTCTTCTACAAAACTCTGGAGTGAGAAGCTCGAAATCCCTTTTAGGTTTAGTGCATTTGCGGAGGTCGAGCCAACTCACGTGGACATGACTTTCACCCAAAGTACACTGATGACTACTCCGTACGATCATCAGAAAAACGGTTTTTGGATTTATCCAATACCGCAGTTACACATTTCCTTTCTCCTGGGACGACATGCGGTGAAAGCTATCCCTCATCCCCGACCCAACGCCCAGGAAAGTGTAACAGTATCTTCCAAGATAGCTGCATGCTGCCATACGGGGGAAACGGGTTCACAGCGTGTTACCGCATATCAAAGCAGTACCGAATGCATCTCAACCCTTGTATGTCTAGCTTGTTTGATGTTGATTATTGGTTTGACAGGATTTGGGATTTCGGCCCCAAATCACTCTCGTCGTTTGTTTTGTACGACGCCACACCCAAGCGTCTAGGCAGTACAGAGGCGAGGCGACGATACTGTCTATAGATGAGCGGCACGCCCGGAACTAAGGTCCTTCTCCTGAGATTTTCATCACATATATGGCGGCTGCGATCGATAGGTGTACATGCGGCTGTTTGCTTTGTTGTACATGCAGTGCCCGGTTTTTTGTTTCCCTCACTGGTCCAAATTTGCTTCCACACTCGAGCATGGAGACAAGGCAACATGTCTCATTTCTCTCGGTAGTGTCCTAATCACTTTTCCCCCAAGAATCTTAAGATGCTGTTGCAACTTCCTCTGGTTTTTATAATATACAATGCCGTTATGCTCAAAGTTTCACATTCAGTTTCAGACTCCTCCACTTGACAACATGACTGATTCTTCTCTCTATGGACTAGTGATACTCTTTACTCAGAGATATCTACCGATATCCGGTACCATCGAACGATCAATTGGACCTAATGCACCTGCCACAGGCCGTCCCAAACTGCCAGATGCCTGCGCCGATCTGATCGTACATGTGTCAATCAGAAAATGGCACATCATGTTTCCTTTCTACCAGGAGTCGAAACGACACAACCTGTTTTGTTGTGTTAGAATTATTTGGAAAAATGGAATGCGATCCCCCCAGCATTCAGTCAAGAAGTCATAAATTGGGGTTATGGCTTCCACAAATGCAAGATTCGCCCTGTCATCACGGATCTTTTTCTCTTCTCCCTATTACCTGCTCCCTGGCTCAACGCGTTTGTCACATCTGCAGTCTATCCTCTCAATGCAGAAGATCGAGTAGAACAGCATGTTTCCATACTTGACTATCTGCTGGGAATTTTCGATCAATGCCGAGTAACTCTGCTCCACCAGTATCATTACCAACACAAGTTGCTGGAAGTTTGGCCCACTTATTCGGGATCTTGCGTTCTACGACCACAGTTGGTTTCTCAAGACAGAGTTCAATTGACCTAGGCAAGGTATATAGGATTGCTAAATTCTCTGGAGCTGCTTAAGTACTTATCTCGTCGCGGAACCTATATATGAGGTGGCTCTCCAAGCTTGAGTTTGAGATCAGAGTCAAGAATAGATCCACGGATAGAATCATATATATTCTATTCAAAGTCTTGTGAACTCTGCTTCAGTACGCAACACTTCGATTCATACATCATCTTCTTCTCTCAATTTCAGTATCAACACATTGCTCAACCAGTACCGTCTTTGGCCACAGCAATTTGAAAGTATGTCAATTCTACCAACCATTCGAACCGTTCTTAACACAATCAAACAGCAATGCATCATCATCGATCCACGTCCTACACTCCGCCATCGCCTACCTCACCACCACCAACCTCCGTCCCGGACCTAGTGTTCCGGGTACATCGTCCAGGAGCCCAAACCCGTTACTCCTTCGGCACAGGCTTCCGCTCCAAGAACCAAACCACCATCCTGAACCAGCTCGCCAACCTCAGCCAGTTCGCTCTCGCCCACCTCCTCGGCCAGACCAACATCTCTTCGCCACTCATCAGCGTGTACGACAACCAGGCCCACGCCGAATACATCGCACAGCGCTACGCACAGATGTACAACGAAGAAACCTTGGTCGTGACGATCGACACCAAATACTTTGCTCGCGGGCCTGTCTTCAGGGCTGCGGATTTGCTGGCGGGCCGGGACGAGAACTCCGCGCTCTCGGAGTGGGAGGAGCTGCTTCATAGGGGCGAGTATCTGATCATGTACAAGATTCCTCCGCAGGCCGTGAGGGTCGAGGTTAAGGTCGGTTGGGTAGGGAACAGCAAGCGTGATTCTGCTGGCTCGGTTGGGGTTGTTGGTAGTCGATGAGGTTCGTTAGAGACGGTGGTTGCATAGAATTTAGGCAGCAACCACATATGGTGTTTCTCGGATTTGGTGTGGTCTGGGCTGTCCGCAACGACGTATTCATTTCAGGGACTATCATAGCAATCGGTTCTTCCTTGGAGCATACATATGGGTAATAAAATGTTTGGGTTAATTGTGCCGCTCTAAGTGTGAATAACAATCGAAATTCCATGGAAGCCAAATGCCCTGAACATATTTGAAGATGGCTTCGTTTCGCTTGGCTCATATCTAGTAAGACTTACGGTAATTAGTTCGGTCCCTGTGCTGAGATGAAATCGAGTTTTGCTGCCAGTAGAACATTGAAGCAGGATGGAGGGCGAATTGTGAGCTTTCAGAGTTGGCTTGGTCAAATTGAGTGAGCAGAGTACCGACGTAAATTGTACACTACAAAGTTCATGAACTAGACGGTCTGGCGAGTCAAGAGTACTGTCAACTGGAATGGCAGGTCAGTCGACTCAGAGTCGTTGAACACTTTTGGTCCTCGTAGGATGATCACGAAACGGAGGGAGCTGGTAGGTAGAGCAACGTAGTGATGATTGTCATAAAATGCTACGCTACGAGCACACTGGAACGGCGATTGGGACCGGCATTGAAAGTTTGATGCAATTGCTATCGAGAAACCACTGCTCTCCGAGCATTCCCTGGTATGAAGCAGCCCCTAGAAATCCGGAATGTTCCAAGTTGGAGACCCCGGCACCACCTTTTTTTTCGAGCCGGACGCCGAGTATTTATCCAGCATAAATCATGCACTCATATCCTTCCCCTAATGCCTCATGGAAGAAGCCCTCCTCTTCTTGGCCTCATCATGGGCGGCCTTAGCATCGTGGATGCGCTTCTGGAGGACCTGAGCGTACTCGTTCTATACCATTTGTTAGTCAAAGGTTATAAGTCAAGTCAATTCGGTATACGTACGGCAGCATCCTTGGAAGCCTCCGCGCGACGGCGCTTGAGTGCAAGGCGGTGGCGCTTGTGCTGGAGACGCTGAGGAGTAACAAGACGCTGGATCTTGGGAGCCTTGGTGTATGGCTTCTTGCCCTCGCCCTTGGGCTGGACCTCACGGCGGATGACGAACTTGCGGACCTTCTCTGGTGTTAGATAATATCCCATAATATAAAATTTATACACAGTGCAACCCTCGAAATCGAGGGCTGACTGGCTCAACCCTTCGCGAGAAGGATTGGCGAGGAAGCTATGAGAAAACTCACATCATCCTCCTTGCTGAGGCCGAAGAAACGGCGGATCTTGGTAGCCCTCTTGGGACCGAGGCGCTTGGGGTGGACGGTATCGGTGAGACCGGGGATCTCAGCATCTCCAGCCTTGACGATGCTGAGAGCGAGGACGGAAAGGTCGGCGGCGACGATGCAACCACGGACACTCTTGCGCTTGCGCTCACCAGTGCGGCGGGGACGGTAGCAGGAGTGGCCAGTCGCGAGGAGAAGTCGGACACGGGTTGGGTGCATGACACCCTGCTTCATCGGGAAACCCTGCTTATCGTTTCCACCGGTGATTCTGAAGATGTATCCCTTTGAACAAGTCAGTATACCATTGATTTATCCTCTTGTTGTGGTTGTATCCACCTTGAACTCGTCGCCGACGCTGTCTCCAGGAACCTCCTGTCCCATACGGCGGTCCATGAAGACGCGGAGCTTGCGCTCATCCTCAACCTCGATCAACTTTTGGGTGCCATTGGCAGGGTAGGAAATGTTCAGCTTCATCTTGACCGGTTGTCGAGACGATAGGGTGCTGAAACGGAATTGGTTGTCGAAAAAGGTCGGCCGCTTGAAGTTGAAAATTGATGGTTCGAAAATGAGTAGCGCCTGATGTGCGAATTCCAACCGGATTAACTGTTACTCCATTTCCCGCTCGGCTGTTGGGTGTGTGTGTTAGTGCTGCATCACGTGCGTCCCCACCGATTGGTCGAACTTTGATCTAAGCCATTTCCACATTATTACATTCTTCGTTAGCAGAGAGTAACTAGGTAATTATTTGTTACTCGATTAGGGAAGAGAACCCTTCAGCATGTAGCTACATCGTTCTACCTCGTAGTTTGTGCGCTCTTAGTATCGTGCATACACTCCAGGTTAGTGGCGAGAGCTGCCTATCTTATCAAGACAGGATATTGTTCACAATGCTTCACATTCACAGACCGGAAATCCCGTTTTCTACGATTCAACAGTTCACACCTCAAGTTGGCGCTGGAAGTCTTAGATACCTTGCTCTCTATTAGATGTGCAAGGTCAAGTTTGCTATTATTTAGGCAGCACTGCTGCACCTACGTAATTTACTGTCTCTTTGGACACGTAGAAGGATATAAAATGTATCATATTTGATTCCCAATCAAGAATCCCGCACGACATGTAAGAGGTTCAATCCAAAAGAAAACCCACCAACGCCTTCGTATGCCCATGCCCTTTGAATCCTTATGACTTTTGTGGCAAGTAATACAAGTGCAGAGAAAACAATAGAAGCTGAAATCCGCGAGGACATTCAATGCATGAACTCAACAGGAGGTCTTGCGGTAGACACATTCTGACCCTGGGCTTTCTGTTGTGCAATTGGCCCTTCAACACCCTCCATGGCGTCCACAGAAGGCGATGCTGCTGCTGGGGAATCCGTCGTGTCTTCCACAGCAATGGCGGGTAATAGAGGGCTGTCGCCATGGTCCTCTGGGTGGTACACAATCGTCGAACTACCTGTCCGCCTTCTCCGCACAGCTGGGCTCCCGTCTTCGTTTGTTGGAGAGAAATCGATTGGGTCGTGATCGGCATGCAATTTGGCCAAGGCAGCTGCCAGATCCTCAGCGTGGACTAGTGTGTTTGGTGCTTCTTCATTGCGCATTTCCCAGCCCATAGGAGGCGATGGTGGTGGCGATATGAAAAACAGCTTATCGGATTGTGGCAGTGGCAGGTGCTGGTCCGTAGGATTGAGTGGCGTGTTGAGGCCAAAGTATACACGAATCCGGCTACCCATCAGGGTCTCTCCGTCGAGATTTTGGCGTATGCGAATGGCCGAGTCGATATCAAAGAAAGAGGTGACGATTCGGCGGAAGGATTTGAGTGGCGCCCAAGTATGGATCGCCGCATGTTGGTTGATGATTTCGCGGATTTGGACGAGGTTTGAGGGTTCGAAGATCTCAGGTTCTTGAAGGTTCTGCAGGATGTATTAGTATAGGCGAGATGAGATACCACTGCTTTAAACACTTACGGTTATTATCAATGTGTTCGACGGTGGTGATGGCTCCACCAGCGGGGGTAGATCTGAGAGGTCGATTGATAGCTGTGGCGATTTGGTTCTTGAGGATGCTCGAGAGCGGGTTGGTGTTTCCAGTCCTGCAGACATCGTGGCTAATAGAAAATGGTGATGATATCCAGAGAAGGACTTTATCGTTGATACTTGGAAATTGTTCCGTTGTCTTGTCACTTATGCGTCGAAGAAGTGGTGGAGGACGTTGTATCTTATGTATGTGAATGTCTGGATTGGGTCGGCAAGCATCTCGGTCTCCCGCAAGCGGCGTCAACCGTCGTTGCTCCGCCCCCTCTGCCAAGCACCTCTACGCCAGTCTCCTGTTCTCCCTTCCGTAGGCACAACCTACTGGCACCTTCTGGCCATTTGAGAGCGATACTGCACTGCCCGCTTGCAAATCTTTCATCATTCAACGAGTTTCTTCTTTGGTGGGAAGGGGCTGGGCACACACGCGGCGAGGAACTGAGGTCTGTCTGAGTGCTGTCCTGACTCCTGACAATCCACAGCCCACATGAGCAGCCTCGCGGTTAGACAATGTGTCTGTTGCAAGAGTCACAAGTGTTCTGCCCACGGCTTTCGGGCGCTCGTCTAGATGCCTGTCAACGAGGCACTCAAGACATCATGTCCTAACCAAGGACAGGAACTGTGGTCGGATAGTGCCACTTTGGTACCTAAAGTCCCAGGTGTGTTTATCAAGCGTCCACATGATGCCAGATTCCAAACATCTCACCTACGCATTTATCCAACTGGCAATTCCTTGCGGATCATTCCTCCTTTCAGATTCCATAAGTCTTCGTTCGAAAGTCGCGCTCGCCCCTCATCTGGAAAGCAGCGAATGCCTACCTAGTTGCAGACATAGCGTCTTGTGGAGGTGGATACTCGAGTCCTGTTACGATGTAGCTTACTCCATACGGACAAACAGGCCCAACTTCTCCATTGCTTGTATCTACGTGAACTGGAATTCGTTGCGCAAAGCTTACTCACTTAATTACTCACTTGATCCTGCAACACCGAGACATATTCAAGGCTGATTTGTTCGCAATATCACCGTATCCTTCTTATTTGCAGCTTATCACGAAATTAATACTTGAGTACCGCCAGCAGGGAGAGTGGCATCAAGATGTTGCCACTCCGATATGCAAAGAAGCGAGAGGGCATCTGCAATTAAGCCACCCATGCTGCTCTTACATCTCCGTTGTCGTTCTTCTCAAGTTTCATCACGAGGGAGAATGAGAAAGCCTTGCCTCAAAGCTGTGGTTGATCAGGGAAATACCGTGTCGTGAGATCTGTAGTTGTGGTCGATGTCGTAGGTCAAGACCCGTTCTCCGCAGCTCCGCCTTCGACAATACCACCGCGGCCGCAAGTCACGCACCGGGTCGGCTATGACAGCTCTCCGAAACCTCTCACAGAGGCGTGGCACTCTGCCACTCAGTAGCGAATGCGCAAAAAGAAGCACGGAGACTTACGAGTGTGGGGGAGTATCATTTGCCCGTATGTTCCATCTCGGCCGATTGCCCACCTGCTAAGCCCACTCCACGAACGCCGATATGCCAAGTATGCTATTGATTTTGTCTATCCCTACCATGTACTGCAGCATTCATTCTCAGGAGACTTTGGGGTGTTGATAACCTTGTAAGCATGCATGCAGTTAAACAGGCCTCTCGTCGGGTCGGTTTACGAATTACATCTAAAGCTTTGTTGTGAATTAATTCCTTCAAACACTGTTCGTATGAAATAATGCAGATCGTAGACTGATTTTATAATGGTCACACAGTCCTCGCATGATCGTTTTGCATTTATGTATCATGATTGAACATAGCCCCCTTTGAGATCTCAGAAATATTACGAATGATCTGTTGGCGAACAAAGGTGTAGATTTTTTTCAAAATCTACTGAAGGAGGTACCCAGGTGGATACGGGTAGGATTTCCAATAGAGTAATACAAGATCACAGAAGCAACAGCGAATGATTCAGAAATTCACCGAGCTTTCCCTACAGGATGTAGGCAGCAATCCTTGAGTTGAACAAAATTTAGTTGAGTAGAGACTGATATTACTTTATCTCGATTTGAATAGGTGGTCGACAACAAAGTCCACATGCTGCTCAATCAAGAAATACACGTAGACCATTTTTGGCCTAGTGCAAGGGATTGTGGCGCATGTAAGACTGTGGCTGTCGAAGATTGCACGTGACCTTAATCTGGCGCGAGGTTGCCTCCGGCTTCATCTCAAAGAAAATCAACCTCACAACAATAAAGCATCCGCACTGGCCACTCTCACCATTATACGCCCTAAAGTAATCTCACCTACTTACCCGACTCTTCGTTCAACCTTACTACTGCGCAATACACATAACCACCGCCCTGAAGACAATTCAGCAGAAAGATGGATCTCTATGATGGGGAAGGCGGCGCAATAAACGTGCGCTTTCTTGAAGTACGCTGCGCTTTGTCTGCTTGTTTCGCACGCGTAGCTGACACAGCCGCAGGCTAACAGTGTACGCGCACGCTTCATCGTCCAGAACTGGAACCTCGAGACCGCGAATTCGCTGCGGCGAGTGATGCTTGCGGAGATCCCGACAATCGCCATCGATGTCGTCGAAGTCCTCGATAACACCTCCGTACTCGCCGACGAATTCATCGTGCACCGCCTCGGACTCATACCGCTTGTCGCAAAGGGAGTGGAGGACCTGCTCTACAACAGAGACTGCGAATGTGAAGGCTACTGCGACCAATGTTCTGTAACGTTGACACTGAACGCAAAATGCACCTCGAGTGAAATCATGCGAGTGCACGCGCGCGATCTAGTACCATCGGCCGGAAGAATACATGAGGAGCTTGGGAATCCCGTAATCACAGATCCAGAGGGACTTGGAAGTTGCATAGTGAAACTGCGTAAAGGCCAAGCCATTCACATGCGCTGCATCGCGAAGAAGGGTATAGCAAAGGAACATGCAAAGTGGGCACCGAGCTCCGCAATCGGGTTTGAGTATGATCCCGGAAATAAACTGCGCCATCTGGATTACTGGTACGAGGAGGATCCCAAGAAGGAGTGGTAAGTGACCTTGTTCGGTGTATTTCAGGTTTGGAGCACTGATTTTCTTTTAGGCCGATCGACGAAGAGAATCTGAATCTCGATGGTGGCTTGCCTACCGAGGACGAGCCATTCGACTACAACGCTGTTCCAACGAAATTTTTCTTTGACGTAGAAACTGTTGGTGGCCTTGATCCCGACCAGATCGTACAGTTAGGCATTCAACATCTCCAAAAGAAACTCGCTGGTGTCATCGGTGAACTCCAAGGAGAAAGCGCAGACGGTGTGGACTTCGGCGGTGCACAGAGTCCAAATATGAATAATGGTTATGGAGGCCAGGACGCTGGCTACACAACACCCTACGGCGGCGGTCAAAACAGCGTATGGGGTAATGCTGGTCCAGGAGGAGGCACCACGCCTTACGGAGCTACACCCTACGGTGGCGGTCAACAATGGTGAGCCACTTCGCTGGAACAGTCATAAACGACTTCAATCGGCGTGGCTTGATTCATGCGAGTCCTCGTGACTACTCCTCGACATCGCCTACTCCGAAGATTTATTTTGGATGGACCATCTGCTCAGTGGCTGGGGAGACTGGATGTATGAGTACATGCATTAGCATTATATATGGAGTTGGTCAGGGAGGCGCTGGTGCATAATTTCCAGGCGAGCTTTAATTTCAAGACTGGCAACGAAACCGCACATATTACACCGAGTCCAGCATGGCACCGTACGCGTACGGAATCAGGGGCCTTTCAGAATACCAAAATCACAGTTTAAACCAAGCGCCGTAGAGGCGGAAGGTACAGAAAAGATGACCTGGTCATTTATTATCAAGTATCCTAAAAAAAAGAGGCAACTTCGATGAGAAGCTACCTAGGCAAGCAGTCAGGCAGATAGCTCGCTAATTCTCTTTAAAGAATGGATTTGATTTCCAAACTAAGCTCTTTTTTCTATCCATATATCGCTTTTTCTTCTTTCGTGACATTGCTACTTGTGACAAGGTATTATAGTATACATAAGGTCTTTTGGGTCGTCTGAACGTGTATCGCCGCCCAGAGCAACCGAAAGAAAGACATTTTTTTCCAAGACGTTTCTTCAGAGAGGGGAATATTCACACATGCTGAGAAGTGTTACGAACGCCATGCCCAACATTATAGTGTTTCGATCGATAGTCATACAGTGAGATGCTGAAAATGTTTAAAGATGCGAGGAGATCCAGCGCGGGGGAAGAAGGAGAGAGGGAGAGTCGTGAGCAGGCGTGTGAGGATTGTGGGGGTGGATATGGCAAGACACCTCTCTACGAGTTCTTGACAACGCCGACCTTGGCGGCCCTCAAGACACGTCCATTGAGCCTGAAGCCCTTCTGCTGGGTGTGGAACACGATACCGTCTTCCTTGTCCGGCTGGGGAGTCTGGAACACAGCCTCGTGGATGTTGGGGTTGAATTTCTCGCCCTCAACAGCAGGGTCGAACCTCTCTAGACCGTGCTTCTTGAGAGTGCTCATCAAAATGGTCTCGGTCAGCTTGAGACCGTCGTGGAGAGTGACGAGATCATTGTTATCCGCAACGAGCTTGTCCTTGGGAACGGTTTCAAGGGCGCGGTCCAAGTTGTCGACGGAGTCAATGAGGTCCTTTGCGAATCGTTGGAGGGCGAAGTCCTTTGCAGCCTGGATCTCGCGCTTTGTACGGTCTTGGAGGTTGCGGAACTCGGCTACTGAGCGAAGATATTTGTCCTGAAATAATGTTAATACATTTGCTTGCTCTTGGAACGAATTGATAGAAATACCTTGAGGTCAATGATTTCACGGTCCTTCTTCTCGAGCTGCTCCTTCAATTGCGCATCACCATTTGATGCCTTCTCTCCATTCTTCTTCTCGGCAGCCTCTCCTTCCTTGGGTGCGGGTGCCTCAGAATACCACCGTAGGCTTGCGGGAGCGACTCGTGCGCCACTAAGCTGTTGTCTTATAGGTGCAAGGCTGGTCTGTGGTGATGAGATAGGGCGCGATGCTTGCCTAGCAGCACGTAAGATGGTCCTCTGAAGCATGATGAATGGTGGGGGCAGGGGAGTAAATTTGGCGTGTTGGCGATGCGATTGATAACGGTGAATAATAGCGGGTGGTGGGAGAGCTTAGAAAAAATCGAGGTGAGGCATGCGTAGAACGCACGGACCCGATTGCGGAAAGGCCTCGGAAGTCGGCCTTGGTTCCGTAGAGAAGTTTACAATATGTTAGTCACAGTTTCGAGCTAATGTGTACTCTTACGTTCAATCAAGTGCTGTACATGCCAGCAAAATCATTCGAGGCTGATCATGAGATATCTTCGGGGATTACGACCAAAGCATTGTGGACAATCGATCGCGATTCGTAGCTTCAGTATCAGTGTTCGCTCTAGCGGATCATCAGACCAAGCCATGCAAAGACCAATAAAGGCAGCATATTATCGAGGTGGTACATCTCGAGCATTGATGATAAATCCTCGAGATCTACCAAAAAGCCGTGCAGAATGGCCAGATATTTTCAGACAAATCATGGGTACGCCAGATCCGAACGGCCGGCAGCTCGATGGTATGGGCGCGGGCATTTCCTCTTTGTCAAAGATCTGCCTGGTGGAACCCTTCAGGAAGCCAGTAGGAGAACACAAAGAAGATGTGTTTCTAGATTATACGTTTGTTGGCGTTGGAATCGAGTCAGATGAAGTTGACGTTGCCGGGAACTGTGGTAATATGAGCAGCGCCATCGCTCCCTACGCATATAATTCGAAAGAGCTATTCCCTGACCAACATCGACAAAAGGATGGCGAGGTTTCAGTAATGATCCGAAACACCAACACGGGAGCACTGATTCGTTCTACATTTAAGGTCGTGGGCGACCAGGCTGCTGTTCAAGGGAATTATGCAATTGATGGCGTAGCCGGCACTGCCTCTAAAATCAGACTCGATTTCTTACACCCATACGGTTCAAAGACTGGTAAAGTATTACCTACGGGAAACTTGATCGATCAAATTGCGGGGTTTCAAGTTACTTGCGTGGATGGTGCAAATCCAGCGGTCTTTATTCGCTCAGAAGACGTGGACGTCGATGGAACAATTTTGCCGAACGAATTCAATCGCCTGCCAGAGAAACTTGCAGTGTTGGAAAAGATACGTAGACGTGCTGCTGTTGCCATGGGCTTAACATCCACGGAGGATGATGTCCCAAGAGTTATACCCAAGATTGGGATTGTTTCCCGTTCTAAGACGCACAAAGTCCTCTCTGGCGAAAAGGTCAATGGCAATGATGTAGATGTTGTAGTGCGATTTATATCGGATGGTCAACCACATCGAGCCATCCCACTTACAATGGCATTGACCACCGCTGTTGCTGCCAGGATAGAAGGAACAATCGTCTACCAGCTTCTCGCCGAAACTCTCGTTGCGGACGATGCAATTACCATTGGGCATGCCAGTGGGAAGATTCAAGTCGATGCTACGATGAGTAGTGATGGGAAAACCCCCGAATCAGCTACTGTTCTGCGGACTGCAAAGCGAATCTTTGAGGGTGATGTCTTTTACACTTCAAATTTCGAAACCAACAGCCCTACCGAAGGAGGAAATTCAAGTGCGACTGAACTCGGTCTGTCTTTTGTGAACGAGAGAAGAGGACAGAGTTTGACGTCGAAGCCGGCTGAATAGCCTCCGAGCGTCACCGGTATTCTATATATTCAACGTATGAAGCACTATTGTATTCGTTCTTGTAGCTCGGCCTCTGAGGTTCTCAGATCTTTACTTGCTTTGACCGCAAATTTGTATTTACCTAGCAGTGCACGATTATGATCAGATTACTATGGTTGAGGGCCAGTGGTCCTCAAGGTCCATCGAAGACGCCACCAGGACTCTTGATAGATGATGACCGAATATAGAGAGCCAGAAGGTAAATCCACTATTGGCCATATTTGGAGAGGGGGGCTATATGTATTGGCAACGAGATGCATGATGATCCTGGATGATTGTCCTCACTTTTTTGTACCCACGCAAGCACCATGACCGAGCGGACTATTAAGTTAAGGTATAGTATTAGGTCTTTGATATTGACATCTTTGGAATTCAATTCTGAAATAGAAAAAGATAATCCCACAGTTTCTTCAAGCACTACATAAATAAGCAAAACATACTAATATTTCATTAATTATTTTTTTCATTTTAAAATAATGTGTATTAATAGTTTCTACCTTACAACATACAACATACAACCCATAACCCACCTAATCACGGATTCTGATCTCTACTGATCCTAATCGCTGGCGGCACGAACCCCTCCTGTTCCCTATCCCTTGCCTCGACTATCTGACTATGAGCGCTCTGTGAATACGCAACTTTTCTACTCTTATCATCGGCTTTCTTCCTCGCCTCTCGACGTGCCCGTCGCTCCTGCCTCCTCTTCAATTTAGCCCGCCGCTTTGATTCATACTTCACACACTCCTTTAGATACGTGCCCCAACCAAGGGTGAGGTTCCACTTGAGTTTGTAGACAGGAACGGGCACGGGGCTAGAGCGACGACGCCGATGTTTATGTTGAGATTCGGGGTCTGGTACATGGAGATGAATGCCGTCTGGAGAACCTGCTCCTCCGGACATGAGAGGGGGATCTTGGCCTTGGTAGACAAAGGAGGCAATTCGTCGAGGGGAGTGGCCATGTGCACTAGATGGGTGTTGGAGAGTGGGATCTAGTGGGCTTGATCGAAGATTACTGAAAGACCAGCCCGGGGTTCTATCTTGATGCTCTGACATGTATGTGGGGATAGCAGACGACGCCTGTATTTCTGAGCTAGGGTTGTTAGGTATATGTTCTTGAGACTCTTCCTTTTTGAATAGAAGCCTGCTCTGTGTTGTTGCGTCCTGCATGTGGGAACTGAAGACTCTCACATGGAATGTGCATCATCACTTCAATATGTGGACTCTGAACAAATGTTAGTTTACAGATATGGTATTGTGTGGGTCCTTTACTGTGATTAATTCCAGTCAATAGTATGATGGTGAGTGTGTGTGTATCTTGCAAGCGAAAGTCAATGACTCTACAAGTACATTTTGAATGTATGACCAGCACGTGTGTGTGCAACAGGTGAGCAGCAAGTGCCAATCACATCAACACGTTGATAAAAGGAGTCAAATGCACAGCATCGTGAACTACAGCGCTAAATGTATGAGCAAGGTGAACCTTCGGACGAAGCAGGTGAACGTTGCCGTTTCAGAAAAGGGGCACAGTGATCTAGCAGGACGTTTAGAGCTAGAAGACACTACATCCAACGTAGACGAAGCTATCACGCTTCACGCTCAAGGATCGTCAGACTCTCGCAAGCGCCATTTTCTTGAGCGCTTCGAAGATGGTCGGCTCGGCCTACCAGTTTAGCGTGGAGCCGCGCAGTTCACTATCCATCTCCCGTCTCAATTCGGAACTGTGCCGGAAAAGAAGCTGGTCATTTCTGAATCATGAGGGACAGTCAGGGTGAACGAAGTTCTGTGTGGAGTATGAAACATACATACACCTTGCTTGTGAACTCGAGATCTTCACCTTAGTACGACATTGCATCACACACACCTCAGTCACAGTACGGAGGAGTTGATTGCGGTGATGGACACGCCACGTGAAGATCGACAACGTGTTTAATATGGGAAGCGAAATTGAAGGTCTATGCCTCTGGGGCAGGGCAGCTTGTACTCGTACAGAGTGCATGGTACAATACGCAGTGGATAGTGGTTTATCAATTATTGGGATGGACAAAATAGTGTAATGGACGAGCGTTGAGGTCGGCGATTCGGTGGTTGGGTCAGGATTGGGGTAGCAAAGACTCGGTAGACCCCTGAAAAGGGTCGCGAAAAGAGGAAGAGCTGATCGGGACTTAGCGCTGTCGATAAGCGATGGACTCGGTGGAGATTGCAAGTCAATCGTTCAATCAAATCTCATCAACTCAACCTTTGTCGACTCACTATCCTTTCCCCCACACTACACACCGACCTCTTGCAATTCACCGTGAACACGACACGTACCTCGTTCTCGTCAAACTGCAGCAGGACGCGGCTTTTCTCTTCTTGTCCTCAAAGCTCTTGGCTCAGTCGTTGCATTGGTCAACTATCGACATATCCAGATGGAACAAGTTTCCCTTAGGATTCAGCTGTATGCAGTGCTTCTGCAGTGATGACCTTACGCGTGGAGTTTACACAGCATGAAGCCCACCCCAATGCTATCGTAATGACCTATCGTAACACACCTGTCCTACCCAGCCGTGGCTCCGGCGTCTCTCCTGGCACGTTGCGGCCCGGTCAAGAGAATATGAATCCGCGGGTCCTCGTTCACGCATCCACGTACCAATAACGTGGTAGCCTGTAGGCAAGGCAAGCCAGGGCGTTATATCATTGCCATCGAAAAAGAATCTCGAAGCGGGGCCCTTAGACTGTCTCCTGCCCCGTGTAACCACTTGGGAGTTCACTACTGTTCTTCTAGCTTCGTTTCTAGGGGGTCAACTACGGAGTACTCTGTACATACAAAACACACCTGCCATGTCCATCTATTTGTATTGCTCGTTCGCTTGAATAGTGGAGACCATTTCTGGCTGCTACCTTTTGACCTACGAGGCTACGAGCGGATGCAGCTGATTGGCAATCATCACGATTCGGTATGTACGTTCCCGAGCATCTCCTCCCGGGATACGCAATCTTCGTCATCCCGTGTGCCAGCCGTGCAATCCTGCGCCAGCCACATTCAGGCTGGCGGACTGTCTTGATGCTTTGACGCCGATCTGCCGCCAACTGTTCGCTCCACCTAAGTCTCCCAAATCGTCGCATAGGAGGCTAGAACTTTGCCGTTTGTGGAAGATCTATTCGAAGACTAAGTCCTAACAAGGCCGTCCTCCCTCTTAAAGGGTTCGCGTTGGATGTTGACAATGCCAGCCGTCTAACCCTCGCTCATGTATGCCATCCATATCATTCTCGGAGGAAATATATGACTAGACTCCACTCCTCTGGAACCGCTGCGTATGTCTTAGCACACCCTTTCTTTATGACTATGCGTCCTTGAATCCGCTGTGCAACTCGACGAGGCTGTAAACTCTGAGCTATTCGAAGAAGAGCAATTGCATGCAAGGTCGGTCGCACAACCGTACCCTAGAACTTTTTCACCACAGCGAGCATAACTTCCGATACGCGGAAACACTTCGAGTAATTCCATTGCAGAGCGACCTTGGCGGTCTCTCCGAAAAAGCGGACAATATTGAGGCGGAGAGCTACCCAGGACTCGGTACCTAGCGGGGCTCTCTCATTTACCTTTCCTTATGGCCAAATGCATTATCTACCCTGGCTAAGCTCTTAATCCCTGTTTCCAGAAATTCTATCTTCTACTTCACTGGAGCTCGTTGCTGGTTGCTCCCGAGCAACATTCCATAGACAACCTCACGATGCAGCTACACGAACAACATTCGCAGGGTTCGCTCAACCAGCAGAGTCGCAGCATGACCAGGAAGCAGATGCTACAGAATCGCCGGAAGACGCTTCAGACGGTTGATGAACTTTCATCACAACTGCCTGAATCTTCGGATTGGGACAGCGCGTCGCGCAGTGGGACCACCAACACCGGTAGCATGGATAGTCGAATCAGTCAAGGACTCAGCGACTCCTCAGAAAAGTCTCGGAGAGAACGACCGCGGACTTTTGGCTACGGACATGAGCTCCAATCCAAACCTTCAATTGTCATCACAGAAGCTGAGCCTTTGCCAGCTCGACGTTCGTTAACCGCTCCTGTGGACTGGCAACAGGAACAACCAAGGCCGGGCCAAACAAATGAGTCTGATCGTAATCGCCTATCCGCGAAGCATGCACCTGGAACTACATCAAAACAAGGCAATCCGAATCCAAATCAGCAGAGAAGGCATTCGGGACCTGGAAGTTTCTACACTTCGATTAGTTCAACTAGTCGCCAAAACCAGAGTACACAACAGATTCGCGCTTCACATAGCAAATCAATCCAACACCACAATCAATCAGCAGATAGACAAAGAAACCAAAATGCACAGGTCAAGCCTCACGCAGACAAACAGAGGCAGCGGATTCACACAGGCAGTTCCTCTGTTCTTCCTTCTCTGTCTCCGTTCCCAATCACGAAACCTAGTGCTGCCCAGATCAGAGGATACGGAAACCAGCAACAATTGTTGCAGAATAGTAGAAGCATGAATCAACTTCGCAGTCATCAGCATCTGAATAAACGAACCAGCCAAGCTAGACTTTCCAACCTGCAGTCTGGAAATGCAAGCGTGGATGCTCAACTGCTCCAACAGGCCAGTGGTAACAAGACGGCGAAATCAAAGATGCCTCAAGACCCAATCTCCCGACCTCGCTCTACCCAATATGCGACGCTTCCAATCCACCCCCAAGGGATCAACCAGAATCATCAAATGCCGCCGCTCTTCCGAACACCTCGATCAATGACTAGCCCTCCACCTGGTCAATACAACTTTCCTCTGCCACCAGCAAGTGCTGTCACTTCCAACCGAGCATCTCGTTCATCCCTCCCAGGTCGGTCGTCGAATGTTCGCTCATCATCCGCGCACTCCACTATGACCGCCGCCACATCCGCTTCAGCTGGCACCAACCGCTCCAGCAAATCACGAAAGTCCACCGGGTCCCGAAACAGCTATTCCGGACAGTCACACAGACACCAACAAGGAGTCACCCAAGAGCATCTCGAAGCCCTCGCTGCACTAACAGGGGCATCGCCAACACAATCACACGAGCCCACAACCCCAGAAAGCATCGCATTCCAGCGGAAACTGGACGAGAAGATGAGGAGAGCTAGCGTGGGCTCTGAACACCAGTCCCGCGCATCGTACGGCCAACAGACGAAACAGTCCTCCAAGGCCGGTTCGAGGGTGTCGGCGCACAGCTATGCGACGACCGCTGCTACCACTGCTACCAGAGCCAATGAACAGGCCATGACCCCGGAGAGTGTACGGCTACTGCGAGAGCGGGAGAAGCTCCTTCGGTGGAAAGCGGAAAGGGAGAAGAAAGAGTTCGAAAGGAGGGAGCGGGAGAAGATCAGAGAGAGGGTGAGGAGGGCGAATGCGTTGGAGTTGGAGAAAACGATTGAGCTGGAGAAACAACAGAAGAAAGAGAAAAGGAAGAGGGGTTGTTTGGGATTTCTGGGACTCTGATCATCAGGTGGTCATTCCCGGTCCTTTCTTCTGGATTCGTCCTCTTTCATACCACTGCCCTTACCACTTTTCTCCATTACTTGTCTGACTTATACATTTTCCTTGCAAGTTTCTACACAGCACCATCATCGACGATAACTTTTCCTTGAGTCACGATCTCCACGGCAGTATGTCCCTAGCTCGAATACATTTCATTCAAAATTAGATATTGTAATTAGACGTTCACATAGTATCGTTAGCTTTGATTCGCCACAGCGCTTTTCTCATCCATCTTACTCAATTTCGCTATTACGCTAATCAAATTCCACAACCTTTAAGGTCGAATTCTTGATGGACTCCTTCAGTCTACAACTCTAAGACCACCTCCGTCCATGTACATTACTCTCTACCTTACTTACCTTCCAATCCCTTCTAAACTCCACACCTCACAACTTCTCCTTCGCCCCCGCCAACTCCCCATCCAACCACCTCAACGACCTCTCCGCCCTCTCCGCACACTTCTCAACCCCAACCCCCTCCCCCCTCATCCTCCTATCAAACGTCTCAAACGAAACCCACCCCTCAAACCCCTTCTCGACCACCAACGCCCTCACCATCTCCTCCATCGGAAAGTACGCCCCCAGCTCACTCTCCCCAGGAAACGGCCTCCCATGCCTCGACCACGAAAACTCCATCGCCTCCCCCTCCACATACCACGGATGGCTTTTCGAGTACACATCCTCGAACCTCTCCCCGTCGGACAGCTGTATATAAAACAGCTTTTCTAGGGGGAAGTCCCTCACGAATCGCTCCAGCGAGTCCCGCAGCGCTTCGTCGGCGCCAGGATACTTCCCCGTGACCGCATCGCGGGGGTTCCCCCACAGCTTAGACGCGAGGTGAAACGTGTCGATGCACACGCCGAAGTTGGGGCGGTCGACTGCAGTGAGGAGCGGGATGAGGGATTCCCAGGTGGAGTGGTGGACGGACCAGGACATGGGTTCGTAGGCGATGCGGATGGCGGGGGATTCTGAGGCGGCGAGGTCGGCGAGGGCCTGGAGGTCGGAGACGATGGTTGAGAGGGGGGTTGAGGAGGTTTCCTGGGCGAATTGCGCGGGGACTTGGATGTGGGGGGTTTGGAGGGCGCGGGCGATGGTGAGCCAGGTGGAGGCGAGGGCGAGGCGGGAGGAGAGGGGGGAGAGGGCGCCTTCGTAGTTTTCGAAGGGGCAGAGGGAGAGGATGGTGAGGTTGAGGGTGGTGCAGAGGGTGTGGATGTGTTGGGCGGCTGTGAGGATGGGGAGAGAGTGGTGGGTGCTGTAGGTTGAGAGGTCCTGGTAGACGATTTCGACGCCTGTGAAGCCGTGTTTGGCGGCGGCGTGGAGCTTTTGGTCGAGGAGGTGGGTTGGGTGGAGGCCAAGGGATGAGGTGCCTATGGCGAATTTGTTCTTCTTGAGGACTTGCATTTTGTGAGGATGTTTGTGATTAGTAGTGTTGTACTTGTGGTTACACTCAATCTGGAGTTTCGATGGTTCTATATATCAACATCGGACGGCTTTTCCGAGATGCAGTCATGATATTGTGGAGAAGTTGTGGAGAAATGGAGGATCTAGTCATGATATCGTTCACGATGTTTTCAATTGAGGTAGTAGCCGGCGAAGTTTACTAGTTCAGGCGTGCAGATCGCTAGTAGTTCTAGCTATAATTCCGAAAATGTAGACTTGTCAGCCAATCAGGATTCGTGCTGGTATGGTCCAGTACATACCCTAAATGCATTTTGGATTTTAAGAAATTGGTAAATGTTCACAGGTCTAGGCCGATTGGAATATATATCGTGAACATGTGACAACCAACGTGGACGATCGTTGATATTGCTGGCGTAAGTTGTCCCCCACGATTCATATCTGTCGACGATAAGGATTGCTGCTTGCGGGACGAGGAGCCCTTACGTGACCATGATGGTGAATCATTTCTCAATCGCCTCTTTGGAAGTTGTGGCGTTTCCTCCGGCAGTACAGAAGAAGTGTTTATCGTTTAAGGTCCCTTTGGGAGTTGAACTCACACGTCTGATTTTTCCGTTGGATGCCTCCTTCTCTTCGATTGACACATTAGCATTGTGCTTGCAGCTACTGTCCAAATCTTCATCATTATCAAGTGGCTCATTGTGGGATATTCTGTAGCACTGTAGGCGTTTCCAGCGGAGCGATTGCGTACAGTACTGCAAATATGGAATGCTGGCTATGGCCTTTTGACATGAAAATACGATCATTTCTGAGAGATTGCATTCACTCCAGCATTAGCCCAACTGAAATGTTGTTTGACAGTATCGAAAGCATTGCGGAATGACTGAGTTGGATCATGATTGTTTCCGGCTTCATACCTATTCATATGACTGTATGTTGAGCTTGTAGTACTTGATGCCAGATTATAGGAAAATGGATGTATGAAACGGATCGAAGGATCGGCCGTAGGGGAATGGAGGAAAGCGTTCGTCTGGTTGTGACCAAATCAGCAGCGGTTCTGTCAGAGGAAAGAGTCTGCCCACTGCTGTGAAATGAATGTTTTGGCCATCCTGTAGTGCTCCAGGAAGTCGGTCTTCATCAATTCATGCTAATGACGTTGGTGTGGGGTTCGGATGAGATGGTTCAGCACTAGGAAGTCATGTCGTGCTGTTTGATTTGGAAAAATAGTCTTGGGCAATCATGGAAGAAGGGTTATAACCTTTAGAATCTCGAGGGACTTTGCTTCTACGAGGTGTACGGTATATTAACAGCATGGCTTCTATATCCACGAATGAGGACTCTTCATGAGAAAGCTACCGCAAGCTCAACCCAATCTACCAAACAAACCCTCTCCAATAAACAAACCAATACCGAATACGGACAAACATCAAATATACGATGTCTCGCGTATACCGTATCCCTCCATAGACACCACCCCCTCCACGAGCCTCACCTCACCTCAGCTCCCTCTCCCCTCGCCTCCCCTCTCAACCACAACCACAATCACATGTCTCAACACCCCCCACATCCCTACTTACCCATTACGCCCGACACCCTCCCCTCGCCTAACTCCCTCTCTTCGCACTCCCAAAACAGCACCTCATCCGTCGCGGGCAACGCCTCCGATTCGTCTAGCAGGCAGGCAGGCAGGCACTACGCCGCGATAACCAGACCAGCAACGAATGGTAGGTTCAGCCCCACGGGGCAGCCGAGATGGGGCAATGATCGGCGGGGCTGGTAGACGGGAAATTGTCCGAGCGTTCGGTACTTTTCTTTGGTATTGGTACGGTGCGGTGCGGTGCGTGTGCGGTGCGGTGCGACCTCGTGGGGAGGAGCGCGCGCAGGCGAGAGAGAGGGACTAGGCTAGGGTAGAGAGGGAGAGGTGGTACGGGGAGGTGATGGTGAGATTGCGGCACAGCAGGTAGATTGTATGTGGTCGTGCGGGGAGGAGGGGGAGGAGGGGGAGGAGGGGGAGGAGGCGAGAACAAAGGGAAGGGAGTTGCTGTATGATTATTGTGGACTTTTGTGAATGAGGATGCATATGTATCTGGGGAAGTGATGATGGTTCAATTGATTCCGTGTTTGAGGTTTAGCATGTGGATTGGAGAATGACAGTTTGTTGATTTTCATTCTCGCCGACAGCAGGACAGATATTCCAAATCTGGACGTAACTGGTAAACGCGGTGTAATCAATGGCAAATGGTTTACTTTGTAGGACGATGCATGGGCCGCATGAATGGGCTCATATCATGTCTCGATGCGGCGTGTCTTGCATAGACGGTGCTCGGATTGTACTGGGCGATTGCTTTCTTTTTCTTTCTTCTTTCTATGAACCTTTGGCGTTTGACGCTGTGATTATTTCAGAAAAGAGGATACGGGTCGGACAGAGGTACAGAGCGCAGTGAGGGAATGCAGTATGCAGGAGACGGGACGAAGATGCACAGGGTTATTATTGTCGTTTGCTGTTGTCTGTTTATGAATGGTGCTGTAAGCATTAGGGGAGGTGTACTTCGTACTGGTCGGCGAGAATGGAGCCAGTAGGAGATGCAAGGGCGGGAATGGGGAGCACAACAGGAGATATTATGGGAACAATTATAGATTTGGTACCGAATATCCGCCTTATGCCTACACAGTATGCTTCTCCCCGGAGGTAAAACGGGAATGGTTCTAGCTATGAGCTGTCTGATGTTGATTGTAGTAGTTGTTTCTTGCGGGTACCTTGTATGTACATGTACATGTACATGTACATGTAGGGATTCAATTATGCAAGGGATGCAGTGTACTCCATAGCGACATTTCAATAATTGATAGAGGAAGAAAAAGAAATCAAAGACAAAGACAAGGAAAGGAAAAGAAAATTCAACTTATGACACAAAATACCCTTGCCTCTGAGATTGTGGAGCTTGAGCTCTTGATTGGAATATTAAGAAAAATGACGGCGCGCGGGGACTGGATGCCGCCAGCCGGGTGGGATGATATAGATAGCTCGTAGCAAGACACAGAAACATACGAGTACTGGTCGTGAAAGGTGCATGCACTGTGAAGGAAATGATGGTAAGGAGAAATGAATGAGGATTTGTACTCGTCATTCGTAGTAAAATCTTTTACATTTGTTCTCATCTGATTGCCGATTCTTGCTCTACAAATAGGTATCTAATAGTTATACCAAGTAGGTTTGTAGTAAGTAGAGGTACTTCCAGGCGCTATGCTGTATGGCGACTAGCGACCATCACATCTTCCACTTCCCCGTCACAAACACTCTCTATTACGGCTCGTATCCCTTCCAGTCCCAGTCCCAGTCCAGTTCCCCCTCCCGCCCACCTTGACAGCTGAAATCTTCTTGATACAATTACGGGCCAGGTCGAGATCGTATTGATCTCCCTTTGTAATTCTGTTACCTCTCAACTCAAGAGAGAGAACACTACCTTACCTCCTCCTTCAATCCCTCTTCCTCTCTCCCAACTATCCTTGGGCATTAATTGATTGCTACACTCCAACCCCGTTCGACTGACCCGACGACCGCTGACCCCGATCATCCATCCCTCCCCCTTCTCGGCGCCCGCGAGTCTTCCAATGTCTGGCAGCAGCGCTGCAGCCAGTGGCCCGCTGTCACAAGCCCACCACCGCTTCCTCGACGTCGTACAAACCATTATTGCTTGAAAGCCCACCTACCACCTGATCCTCCCCCCCGAATCCACTCGACGAGACTCGATCTTTACGCCGCCATGCCTACCAACGGCAGAGCCGCGAGCTCTGCCGGCCAAACTCCCAAAAGTCCCAGGCCAGCAACGTCCGAGCACTCCACAAAACGTTCCGAAAAGGCCAGGAGTGCACAAAGCATGCAGCCACCGCGCAGAGAGAGCAGCTCCCTCCACTCCGCTGTTGCCTCTGCGCAACGTCCCGGTGCCCTCAAAAACCGTGCATACTCGGCGCCTATGATACCCAAGAACCGCCATGATGGAGGCGACGATGACCACATGGCCGACATGCTCGCTGGCGAAGCTTGCGACGAAGACGAAATTGCGGCCGATCCCTTCTTCCAGAGATACAACTTCCCCCAGTCCGACATTCCACACCAACAACAGGACGCTTCTTCCAGCTCCGTCGATAGCTCTTCCGACACAGAGGGCCCTCTCTCCCCTACCCACGTCAAGGGTCGCCAGCCAACAGCTGCCGAATATTCACAAAATTCCCCGCAGTCACCTGTTCTGTCTGTAGGAGTATGCCTTTCCTGATCTCATTTTCCTCAACTTTCTCTGCGCACTCGTGTGCTGGACGATTGCTAACCCGAATTTTGTCCAGTCTGGAGGAGGAAGCGATACAGCAACTGCCATGCACGACATCAACATCGCCGTTATTGGCGCCCGTGGAACTGGGAAATCCGTCTTCACGCAGCGCGCCCTCAATTTACAGCATCCTCCCTCTTCTCCCATATCGACCCGTAAAATGACCATTGACGGTGGATATTACGTTGTGCGCTTCCTAGAGATGAACTTCACAGACGTCCATGTAGACGATAGAAACGATATAAAATGGCCTGAGACGATTGATAGTCTGGCGACTCCGCGCATAGATGGAGCCGTCATAATTTACGACGTCACGAGTCGTGAGAGTCTTACCAGGGTGCCGGAGATGCTGAGTTAGTACATCTTTTGCTTTGCGGTCGTGGTTTCGTTTAATTTGTATTGCCGTGAATGGAAGGAGCTAACCATATTTTCTCTATAGATACATTGTCAAAGACAAGCCTGCCCTTTGTGCTAGTCGCCTGCAAATGCGATCATCACCCGGCTCATCGGGAGGTCCATCCTGAAACAATTGAGCAGAAAGCTAAGTCCTTTTTGGGAGACATCAACACCTTTCAGACATCGGAGGACAAACCAGAAACACAACGAGGGTGTCTCTCGGTTATCACACGTGCCGTTATCGCGGCTAAAAGACGTGAGTCTCCCTTTCCAATTGTTCATTATAATTGTTCGCAACCCCCGCGCCTATGTGCGCAGTTGCGCAGATCACAATAAAACCCCCCAACCAATGCAGAAAACACGCCACGATGCAAGACGAACCTCTAACAGTTGATACAGCCAGGTCGCAGGCTTCAATGGCACGGCGGCGAGCGAACTCTTCTGCCGTTAGGAGTATCACTGCGAAAGACCAATGGGCTGCTCGCAAACACGAACGCGCGAGTTCGGAATTTTCAGTATCGAGATATCGACCGCGGTCATCTGAAGTGAAAGGCCACTCTTACAAGTCGAGCGAAACGCCAGGCCATACATTCCTTGATCTCGAGGAGTCGCCTGGCTACGATTCTTACGATTCCGACGGACAAGCATCGGATACCGAACAGAGCATCATATCTGAGCAACCGTCTCCGGAGAATGGCTACACATTCGACCAGCTAGTGGATCGCCTCCTCTCGCAACCAATGTCAAAACATGACTCTAAATTCGTCGCTATCTTCCTTGCCCTGTACCGCCGATTCGCTGCCCCAAGTCAATTGCTCGAGGCAATTCTGAAGCGGTTCGAGGCACTGAAGCGCGACAAAAACCCACAAGTCATCCGCATCATCTCACAACTACGATACCTCGCAGTCCTTCAGCAATGGATAAGTCATTACCCCGGCGACTTTGCTTTTACTTCTACGCGTCGGGCCATTCGAAAATTCACCCAGGGACTAGCGAGCAATCGCGAATTCGCCGTGGCAGCAAAAGAGATAATGCAAGATCTCGAGATGGTCATGGAAGACGACGACACCGATTGGGCGTGCTGCGATCGACAAAGAAGTCAGGCCGAACAGATTCCAAATTTCAGAAATAACGTCTTAGACGAAGACTCCGAAGATGATGAATTTTCAAGGGCGATTGGCCACATGTCCATGACTTCGGACCGCTTCTCCATTGCCCAAAGCACCAGGACGAACGTTACAGGGACTTCAAGAACAACGGAATCCTCCGTCAGTTCGACCATACTTAACCAGGTCGAGCGTAATGAAAATTTGGCGAAGCTGCTGATACCCAATCCTATCAAACCATTGTCGAAAATCCAATGGCACCTATTGATCGCTGAGAGCGAGGAAGCAATCGCTAAAGAATTGACACGAATCGACTGGATCATGTTCTCCTCCATCCGGCCGAGAGATTTGGTCCGTCACGTTAGCATGAACCTCGAAGAGAAGCGAAAATGCAAGAGCTTGGAGAATGTCAATCGTATGATCGACCACTTCAACCACGTAGCGTATCTGGTTACGAATTACATCCTACTGAGAGACAAGCCGAAACACAGGGCGATGATGCTGGAGAAATGGATGAAGGTTGCACGAGCTGTCCGTCAGCTGAACAACTACAACGCGTTGGGTGCCGTGCTTGCAGGAATCAAAGGCACGGCCGTCCATCGTCTCTCCGCCACCCGCGAGCTCGTTTCCGAAAAGGCAGGCCTCGACTACTTGAAATTGGAACTCCTCATGAGCACCGACAAGTCCCACTTCTCGTATCGCCTAGCCTGGGAGAATAGCTCTGGTGAACGCATACCTTACATCCCCCTCCATCGACGAGATTTGGTTTCGGCATCAGAGGGAAACTCGACCTTTGTTGGCGACAAGAAACCTTCTCCAGCATTCACTCCACACCCTGGCGTCAGCGTGTTCCAAGGAGCTCCAGGCAACCGAGATTCAAGAGAGGCCCCGCCGGGCGGTGTTACCGGGAAAGAAAGGATCAATTGGCGCAAGTTCGAGATCATGGGCGAAGTGATTGTAGGTGTGCAGCGGGCACAGGGCACGCCATTCCCCGCTATGTCGAAGAACGAAGACATCCGGGCCCTCATCCTGGACATCAAGATTTTGAAAGACGACGATGTAAGTGATATCCTCCCACCCTCTGACGCCAGCCTGTTTACTGACATCTCCACGCAGGAACTGTACGAGCGAAGCACTCAGCTAGAAGCTGCTGGTGCGAGCGAGCGCCGTAGAATCTTTGACTGGTTCCGTGAGCGTTAGTGCTTCCATTCAGCATCATTGCCCTCCTTGCTTTTTGTCGTTGTTTCCCCCCGTAATTAGTTCGATTGTTTGCCCATTACCATTGGAACGTGAGCTAAGAGCAGGCGCAATAGCACGGCTCCCCCATCTACCCCCTGCCCAAAACTATCAAGTCGACGCCTCCCCAACGGCCTATATGCGGATATAGGACAACCCTCTTCCCATCCTACTAGAAAACCCCCTCCGAAATACCTCCCACCCTGCACACACACACACATACAAACTGATACACCTCTCGTCCCTCCCAGCGAACATTTAATGACTTCCCGCGAAATCTGCATTGCATTTTGTAAAGGCTGGCTGGCTGGGGGCTTCTTTGAATAATTTCCCTAAACGGACGGAAACACTACTTATTTACTACCAACTGCATGATACCTACCTGGCGACATTCGCGATATACCTTTTTTCCCCTTGTAGGCGATAACTTTTTTGTTCTTTTTGGATAATGACGATGATGATGACGGACGATGATGGTTGGATTGGATACTTTTGGTTTAAGTTATATTATATACCTACTACGGATGATGTGCCGATATATATATCTACCTACCCTACGTACGTACGAGTACCGATGTTAGTTGGGTGAGTAAGATGGACTGTGTTTTCTCGAATCATGTTAGGTCGAGGGCATCGTTTATGCTTCCTCTCTCGTCTTGAGCGTGTGTCTTGGTTACGATTGCCTACGTATGTCATTTCCATTGTCAGCATTCCTCGTTGTCATCAACGTCTTCATTGTTACCGGACGGGCATGTGAGGAGTACACGAGGAGTACATGAGCCACGAAACGACCACCCTTTCTTTTTCTGTGCTTGCGACCTCTCTCTCTCTCTCTTTCTCTCTGCCCTTTTCAACTTTTCAACAGCCTGGATTTGGCGGGGAGCGTGGGGTTGGATGATGGATGGTGCTGTGGGGAGGTATGCTTGACGTCCATGACTCTGGATTGGGGACTTGTGGTGTGTGGGGAGGGGTAAGGGCTGTGTTGGGTGGGAAGATTCATGTTTATCATTTTTCTCGAATGGACGGTGGAGAGAGGGGGACAGAGAGGAGGGGGCGTAATGGGTTCGAATGAATGAATGCATGAATGAATCTCCCATGTGTCAAGTCATACGCTTGTGCAGTATGTGGTGGTATGTTCAACGGCCGTAATGGGCTATTTGTTATTCTCCATAGGGCGAAAAGGATGAGGGGGATGAGGGAGGGATTGAAAGGGATGTAAGCAGTCATGTATCTCGTGTTTGTTTGGAGGTAAGAAACACGGATTCAGAGAGCTTAGCATGGCCTCGGTAGGTTCTTTCTGGTTGTTTAAATGATTGACAGGTTTACGAGTATGGTATGAATGAAGACATCACGTGTCATGTCATAACTATGCATGTGTGTAGATTGACGGGGAGAGAGGGAGTGTTTTATGCAAGTAAGAAAAATGAACATCTCGTCAGAGAGCTTTGCATTGCATTTGCCTTTGGTGGTGGGGTTTTTGTCTGCTTTTCGAATGATGGACGGTTTCAAATATGATACAAAAATCCACTCGAAAAATTCATGCCTTTGCCTTTGCCTGTATGGCGCACCACACACACAGCAGCCTATCTAATCTATCCTCCCAACTCACTCGTGCCCCTCCCTAATGATAAGGAAAATGCTTAGGGCAGGCGGAGACTGATCGGACGTCTACTGGTCAAGCTTGCAGGGGAAGTTTCCGGCCTCTGTGGGGTGGGGTGGTTAGTATGCGAACGAACTGATTGGGGGCACACCCGCGCTGCGGAGAGCTAGGGGTTGTAGGGGGAACATGAGAGGGGCGGTAAACTCACCACGCTGGTCGTCCCATCGCGAAGTCCAGCCGTTGGGGCAGAGGGATCGGTAGGCGTGGTAGAACTAGGGGGTATCAAATTAGTATCTCCATTTCTGATAGAAGAAGAACAACCGCCCAATTGGAATTTACATCCTCCTCACCGTCCCGGGAGATTTGAGCCGGGAACGAGGAGAGAGGATGCTGAAGGCGTTCATGGGAGATGTACCTGACGGCAAGGAGCGAAGTCCTCGCCCTTGGCGAGGATGCACTTGTGGTAGTCGACGTAGTTCTGCCAGCAGTGCTTGGTCTGGTTCTGGTTCGGGAAGCGGGCGTCGAAGCCTTTTGAGTTGCGCTGGTCAGTATACGTTCGAGTGGCTTGTTTTCAGAGAGCTTATATGCGGTGTCATATCGTATGTCATGTCATGTCATATGTGGTACATCTGACCGGAGATAGAGGGAGAGACGATTGTGCGGCAATTGCGATGGTAGGAGATTCGGAATGGAGGGAGGGAGAGTGTGTGAGGTCTAAGGCGTGGATCTGGGGGGTTGTGTGTGATATATCGGGTGAGAGGACGTACCGGCTACAAGTGCGCGTTAGCTATCTTTCGTTTCGGACAGAGGGTGTGAAAACTTACCAGTAACGAACTTGAAGGGCTTGGTCTCGGTCTCTCCGTCAGACATGGTTGCGGTATTGAATCCGGGGGGTTCCTGGAGGGGATTGATGGGATATCAATTGGGGCGCTGTCGAGAGCTCTGAGGAGGAGGTGGAGGTGGTGGTGGTAGTGGTTAGGTGGTGACGAAGACGAAGGTGTGAAGTTGGGTCGGTCGTTCGATCGCAACACAATGGAGGGCGCTTTGTCCACACGGGCTGGACCAGCCAATCACGAGTGTGGAATTGGGGTTAGTAGGGCAAAAGCCGAGCGAACGAGCAAGCTTCCCTTCCCTCTTTCCTTCTTGTCCTCCCTCTCTCCCTCTCCCGTGACTCGTCAGTTTGACTTACATAACCCTCTCTCTCCTCAATAATACTGATACTCTCTCTACCTCAATCGTCACACAACGACATCCCCCCGGCAGAGCACCACCTCTCACCCCCCAATTGCTACGACAACTCTCCACTCCTTTCCTTTTTTCCTTCGATATCCAACTACAATGGCCACCATGTTCCGCGCCACCCCGCGTTTCTACGCCGCCATGAGGCCCTCCAGCGCCATGTTCATGCGCCAGAGCCCGCAAATGTACATGAGGCAGACCTTGCGATTGAGGACCCCCGTCCCCGTACGTATCGAGCTTCCCACACCTTTCAGCCTTACATCATCAATCGGCTAACAAATTATTAGAAGGAGGAGCAGAGCGGTATGGAAACCCCATTCCAATTGGGTTGACGGCAGCTTCGAGAGTACGATGTGGTTATGTTTGACAAGAAACTGACGTGCCGGGAATAGCTCATACGATCTCCCAGCGCCTTCGCACCCTCAAGTCTCTCCCCGCTGAGTTGATCCCCCTCGGTAAGTTGTGGATGCCGGATCTATAACAATACAAGACGGCCTAATTTTTTCTTCTTTTATTTTGATATTGGAGTTCCAATTGCTAATTACTGACATAGGTATCGTCGTTGCGTATGTCATCCCACTCATTCCACCCACACTACCCTTCCATTCTATAGCATCCATGGCAACACCACTACCTCCACCACTTCCACCCATGCATATACGCAACGGTCTAACATTCATCACAGCATCGCCGTCGGTTTTGCCTGCTTCTCTCTGGGCAAGACGCTCATCGGTGACAAGACCCTTCGCCTCAAGCGCCAGGGTGCCGACAAATAGGAGATTTCGCCCGTTCGAAACAAATTGCGCCTTGGTATGCCTTGCGAAAGAGGCGGAAGGTCTTTGGATGGATAGATTGGAGGAGGTCGCGGGGTCTGATCTGAAAGACCAAAACTGTACAAAGCACTGGTTCAGATATTCACAAGAATCCGACGTTCGGTTTTCCTCAACTTTCCTTTGCGGCTCATGTTGACTACCTTATCAAAAAGGCATCATCTTCCTTGTTGTCATTAGGTGGCATGCTGTCACCACTGTGACCTCGTGCGTGGCAGAAGGTTCAGCACAGTGAGCTGCACCGGCTCTTTCATTTTCTTCCATTGCTTCGAGTATTCAACTGGAACATATGCATTGCTACACTGATTGTGACTACGGTTCTAACCCCTTTGCTATCGCCGAGTCTCATTCCCGATGCTTCCTGTCTCTGAGAACTGGCCATAAAAGTTGGATATAGTGAAACAAGACATGGCCTGATCCCTTCATGCCAAGCGCCCTGTAATGCTCTCGGAAACGGAATCCTAATGTGGTGCATTTCCAACACGCCGCAAATCTTCAATCTCATCCATAGCTTCCTGGAGATTCGATTTGGAGGCTTGCAACATCCTTTTGAGCCTTAGGAGGTCTTCTCGAATTCTTTGCAGCTGACGTTGAGTTGCCCGGAGCTGGTTTTGGAGGGCTGCGAGTTGGCCTTCTTCCCAGCGTGGCGAAGGCGTGCCATGTCGTGGTGGTATGTATGATGCGCCCATTTTGAAAGTGGTTGTTGGGGTAGTTGAAATGTGTAGTTTGAAAGTTGTTTGGAAGTTGGTATGTTGGACTTGAAGTTGCTAAAGTCTGCCAAAGGGATGTTCCGTTTTGGCGATGGAGGGGAACAGGATTGGACTTTAAGTATCTCGACAATGAAACCTGTTGAGCTGATACCTTGTAATGGTAGATGACTCCAAATCCACGGCACCATTGCTCGTTCTTAAAGCAATTCCATTCAGTCGGAAAGAGAAGAGCTTCCTGCCAATGTGCACAATCCAGGATACAGGACACAGAAAACGGGAAACGGGAAACGGGAAACGGGATACATCACCCATACAGTAAACAGTATCCAGTAATTGCGTTTACAGGCTCAAGCCTGCTTCGGTCCAGCTTCATCGAGACCTTCCAGCCCCTGCATTGGATCCATGGGTCCGTCATTCGCGACCTCTTGATTCTGCTCTGTGGCTTTGCGATCTTCTTCGCTCACGGCATGTTTTGCCAGCCAACCCTCCTACATCATGAGTTAGTTCTACTATACTTTTCGTCTCAAAATGCAAAATAATAAAAATGAACCTACCTGCTCCCAGACCGCAGTCTTGCTACCCAGACCTTCATTCGCCTGTTTCTGCGGCTTCGCAGCCGCAACCTTAACGACGTGGCCGTACAGCTCGCTGCGGTCCATGTTGTCGATAGCGTCCTTCGCGTCGCCTGCCTGCTCGAACTCGACGTAGCCGAAGCCCCTATGAATGTCGGTCGAATTGGGCGCCTCCGGCTTGGGGAGGTTGACCTCGACGATGTCGCCGAAGGGCAGGAATGCGTGGTACAGAGTCTGCTGGGTGACCGCTTGGTCGAGGCCGCCGACGAAGACGGTGGCTTTGAGGCGCGAGGTCTCTGCTGCCGCCATGGTGAATTTTGAAGATTCTTGCGTGGCGATGGATTATTTTCAACCAGGCAATGCTTTTCTTCGACAATGTGGCTGCTGTTTCGATAATGATTGATGATGGGGAAGAATTGAATCTCGAAGAAAAGCCATATCACGTGGGTGAAGGGTAACGAGTACCAGTTAGCAGGTGTGCCAAGACTTTGGAAACCCCCCCGAGGCGGCGGCGAGCGATGACGGTCGGTCAGAGGACAGGTGGTAGTTGAAAGCTACAGTGACCAGTTCCAGTCTACTCCTACCCAATCTACTCACAACCACCATATACTATACATATACCTAACACCTACTGGGCACAATAATCACAAAGGCACCCTCCCACCACATTAGCCATCCCATCTCCCTCTGGTGCCTTTCCCCTCCAATCTCTTTTCCTCTCTTTCCTCTCTTGTTCTTGTTGTTCTCTTTTTTGCTTGTTTTAAACCGCCCTCTCGCACCACGATTGTCTCCCGTCGCCCATCATGGTCCGCCTGAGAGAAATCCCCAGGACGGCCACCTTCGCCTGGTCGCCCGGCCCGACTGCACCATTGATTGCAACCGGTACCAAGGCTGGTGCCGTGGACGCTGATTTCTCAAATGATACCACCCTTGAGCTCTGGGAGCTCAATTTGGATGCTTCAGATCAGGGTGTCGAGCTTCAGCCCGTCGCTACGGTCCAGGCCGAATCGAGGTATGCAGGAGGAAGAATGGTCTTATTCGGACTCGGAATTGATCTCATGCTAACATGTCACTCAGATTCAATGACATCGCCTGGAGCCAACCGTGCGAGGACTATCCCCTAGGTATAATAGCTGGCGCACTGGACAGCGGGGCATTGGTACTGTGGGACGCAGAAAAGCTGAAGGCGGGTGCAAGGTACAACAACTACATCACGGCCGCAATCCCTTAATAAAGTGTGCATTGCGGCAATTGTAACTCGGGAAACTGACTGGAGAAATAGTGATCCCGTCATTGAGCAGATCGACAAACACACCGGGCCCATCACCGCCATCCAATTCAACCCCTTCCGACCGCACATCCTCGCCTCCGCGGGTGCCAAAGGAGAACTGTACATCCACGATCTCGACGATGATTCGAAATCGTTCCGCCTGGGGAAGGCCGGTGCGAATCCGGATGAGTACACGACATTGGACTGGAACAAGAAGGTTGCGCACATCCTCGCAACGGGAAGCAGCGGCGGCTTCGTCACAGTCTGGGACGTGAGGCAAAAGAAGGAGAACCTCACACTCAACAACTTTGGCAGGAAGTCTGTCAGCGCTGTGTCTTGGGACCCGGATGTTCCTACTAGGCTAGTGACTGCTATTCCAACGGACCAGAACCCGCTCGTCCTCGTGTGGGATCTCCGCAACTCCAACGCCCCCGAGAAGACGTTGCAGGCTCATGACCAGGGCGTTCTCTCGCTTTCGTGGTGTCTTCAGGATAGCGATATCCTTCTGTCCTGCGGAAAGGACAATCGCACAATTGCCTGGAACCCTCACACTGGCGAGACCCTCGGAGAATTCCCCGTCGTCACGAATTGGACTTTCCAGACAAGATTCAACCCCTCGAACCCCAACTTGCTTGCAACCGCTTCCTTCGATGGCAAGATCGCTGTTCAGACTCTCCAAAACACTGGCGCAGCCAGTGACACATCCAAGGGCGCAACCCAGGCTCTGGACGGCGAGGATTTCTTCTCGAAGACTCACGTAGAGCCCCAAGGTGCCTCGTTTTCGCTCCAGAAGCCACCCAAGTGGCTCCAACGACGAGCCGGTGTATCTTTCGGATTTGGAGGCAAGCTGGTTCGTTTCGGAATCGTTGACGGCAAATCGAGGATCAACATCTCTACGTTCGCGGTAGACTCCGATATCAGCACTGCCAGCGAGGAATTCGACAAGGCGCTCCAGAAGGGCGACCTTGCTGAGCTTTGCGAAGCGAAGATCGCAAAGGCGGATACCGATGAAGAGAAGGCTGACTGGACGGTCATCGAGACTTTGATCTCCGATAGCCCACGAAGGAAGTTGGTCGACTATCTAGGATTTGCAGACAAGCAGGAGGATGCTGCTGAGACCAAAGAGGAGCCCGCCGAGACCAATGGTGCTGGTGATGACGACGCATCATTCTTTGATCAATCACAGAGTGGCGGCAGTTTCCTCGGTGACCTGGCCGCTTCCAAGGGCGCGAAGACGAACAACCCATTCCAAGTGTACACAGGATCTGAGTCCGAGGCCGACAAGCAAATCACTCGCGCATTGCTCCTTGGAAATTTCGACACAGCTCTTGACGCTGCTCTCAAGGAGGACCGTTTGTCTGACGCTTTCATGATTGCCATCTGCGGAGGTGAGAAGGCCATCGCAAAGGCCCAGGCGGCATACTTCAAGAAGCGATCTGACGGACCCAATTATTTGAGACTGTTGGCTTCGGTTGTTGGCAAGAACCTCTGGGACGTAGTGTACAATGCCGACCTCAAGAACTGGAAAGAAGTCATGGCCACTTTGTGCACATATGCTGACGCCGCCGAGTTCCCCGACCTCTGCGAAGCTCTTGGAGACCGCTTGCAGGAAGGTATCGAGGGTGACAATGGCTCGCTACGAAAGGACGCGTCTTTCTGCTATTTGGCTGGCTCCAAGCTCGAGAAGGTGGTCGTCAACTGGGCACAAGAGCTTCAAGAGAGCGAGGCCGCTGGTGTGGAGAGTTCATCGGGAGACAACAGCTTCTCTATCCATGCCCGATCATTGCAAGATTTCATCGAGAAGGTTACTGTTTTCCGACAAGTCACTGGATTCAAGGATGCCGAGCAGCAAAAGGAGAACGATTGGAAGTTGAGCCCGCTTTACGCCAAGTACGTCGAGTATGCCGATATCGCCTCGTCTCATGGCCAACTGTCCATTGCTGAGAAGTACCTGGATCTACTACCCGAGAAGTACCCTGCTGCCGACGTTGCCAGGAACCGTGTTAAGAATGCGACGAAGAAGGCTGCCCCTCAGGCTCAGAGACAAGCTCAACCTTCGGCAGCTCAGCGACAAACCAGAGTCGTGCCAACATACAATACCCCACAGACTACCGCAGCGCCTGTACAACCAGCGGCCAACCCATACGCCCCGCCGAACCCGCTTGCTGCTCAGCCGCCAGCTCCCCAATTCGGAGGTGCTGCACCACCAGCACGCAACGCTTACACACCAGTTGGCTATCAACCACCGGCTTCTCAGCCATCAATCCCCCAGCCATCGATTCCTCAGCCTGGCTATGGAGGCTTCCAGCCTCAGCAGCAGCCTTTGGCTCCTCCTCCCCGGAACTTCTCGAACTCTCCCTCGATCGTACCTGCTGCTCAGCGAGGCCACATCGCTGCATGGAACGACACTCCAGACTTTGGCCCACCCAAACCCACTTCACGCCGTGGAACACCCGCTCAAGGTGTAGCCTCGCCCTTCCCCAACCAACAAGCCTACGGTCAAGCGTCTCCTACCTTTTCGTCAGCGAAGCCAACGCCGCCTCCTCCCCCGAAGGGACCTCCCCAAGGACCTCCTCGCATTGCATCCCCGGCGGCAGCTCCTCAATTCGAGCGACCATCGTCCTCTGCTGCTAGTCAATATGCTCCACCTCAGCCTACCGGATTTGCGCCTCCTCAACAACCTGTTGTGCCTCGAGGAACCTCTCCCTATCAACCACCACCATCAGCAGGACCCCCTTCGAACCGCTACGCTCCGGCCCCTGGCACTCAACCTTCAGCTCCTCAGGGACTTGGTGGAATGCCACCACCTCGCAACATTGCTCCCCCACCCGGTCAATTCACTCCTGCCAATTCGTACGCACCGTCGCATCAGCCACCGCAAGCAACCCCGCCGCCCCAGAGCTTCGCCGCGCCGCCCCCGCGGGGTCCCCCACAAGGCCCTCCTCGGGCTGGACCTCCACCAGGCGGCCCAGCAGGTGGAACACCACCCCAGCAAGTGGCACCCCCGCCCGCCGCGGCACCTCCTCCCAAGGCAGCATCGAAGCATCGTGAGTACCAATAATCCCCGTCCATGCATACCTTCACTAACATCTCTCTCCCTCCCCAGCCCCCGGTGACCGCAGCCACATTCCCCCTTCCTCGCAGCCCATCTACGACATCCTGAACGCCGACATGCAGCGCATCAAGGCGCGGGCGCCCGCCCAGTACAAGCAGCACATCGCGGACACGGAGAAGCGCCTCAACATCCTCTTCGACCACCTCAACAACGAGGACCTCCTCAAGCCCGACACCATCCAGGACATGATCGAGCTCTCCACCCACATCCAGTCCCGCAACTACGACCAGGCCGTCGCCCTGTTCACCGACCTCATGACCAACAAGAACGACGAGGGGAGCAACTGGATGGTAAGTCTACGCCCCCACCCTCCCTACTGGATAATGGGGTTATGTGGATGCTAACGTGATTAAATAGGTCGGTGTGAAGAGGTTGATCCAGTTCAGCAAGAGCACTCCTGCTTAAGAAGCGTTCTCGCTATACGCGAATGATAGAAAGAGAGAGAATATGGAATATGGAATACTGTAGACAAAAAAAGCAAGGCGGAGGAGGTGGCGGCAGAGGCGGCTATTTTCTCTTTTAGCAATTGGATGAACGAATTGGAAATGAATGAAAAAACTCATCTACATACAAATGAAAGTGCAAGCGTATTTTCCCCTCCCGCCCCTGAACATTCATGTTAGCAAGTACGATAAAAAAAAAAGACTTCACACAGTACAGAAGGGAAGAAAGAGAGAGAGTTATTTTGGGTTTATTAGATTGAAGAATGAGGAATGAGATATCATTTCTCATTTCTCTATTCCTTTCGCCTTTCCCTTAGTGTTGCTGCCTACGTGTCTATCCCGACTTATCTATGACTTGGTCACTGTATCCCATGTACCCTAACCTACTAATAACTAACTATTTGGAATCGATGTATAGCGAAGGTGGTAATGATGATGACGCAGGTCATCGACGACGTGGTCCGGTTCGGGCTCAACCCCCTTTAGGCCAAAACTCATGCTCGTCCATGGGCGGATTGCGCACTGGTTGCTTGCCTCTCGCGACTTCGCTCATCGGCTGTCTCGAAGATCCAGGTATACCCTCCAAGTGGCTCTCGTCTTCGGGCTCTTGCCAACTGGGCTTTTGCCAACTGGAAGCCAGAAGGGACTGTTCGAATTCGTATTCATGGCGCCGACTTCTTGTCCGATGCAGTTGTCCCATCCGCGGATCGCATTCATCATCCGATTCGGTATCGTCTTCATCGTAGCGCTGTACGGGAGAAGTTCTAGCTCGCTTTCTACCTCTTGGGGGCTCCCTCGGTGATTGTTCAGGCGAATCAGCTGCGCCCTCCCGTTCGTTCTCATCCTCTTGTCCAGAGTCGATCCTCTTGGCGGGAAAACTTATAGCCTGTTGTCTACCTCTTGGGGGATCCCTCGATGACGACGGTACGGACGAGCTAGATGCGGTCTGCAAGTCATTCCCATCCTCTGGTTCAGGCTCGACTCCCTCGATCACCTCAACCTCACAGTCCTCGAGAGATATTTCCAATTCTTCGGCGGACTCCTTCTCCTCTTTTTGCAGGGATTCTTCGCCCACCTCGTTCTCATCCTGGTCACCTTCATTGCCCTCGTCGTCCTCATAGTCATCGTTTGCGTCGTATCTTTTCCTACGTATCTGCCGCTTAGCGTTTCTTTTGGAGCTTTCGGCCTGAGGTGCATCGTGGGCTGTCTCATCACTCTTTGGATCCACATTACCATCCTTCTGTTGCGCTTCCGTCTTTTTCAAGGGGACTCGCCGGATTCCAGTAATGCATGTCATGTAACCAAACGGGAACGTGTGCATCTTTCTCTGGTACTCAAAGTACCAGTCTCTAATGCGACAGTCCTTAAATTGTGGTTGATCCGTTGAGACCGTAATCTCAGCCCTCGGATCCTCCATAGCCAGAATCACCACCCTCATCATCTCCTCAAATTCGCGTGTGTTCTTACAGCTAAATAGAGCATTGGTCATGAGCTGCAGGGAAATTAAAAGGCCGTACCGCCAGTGCAGCCTGTTCGAAGCCGTATTTGTCCTGGACCAGATAGGAAACCAGAAGATTGGGGCGTAAAAGAGGAAGAAGAAAAAGCTCAAGAGAGCCATGAGAAAGCACCCAACGCGCCGATCCCCAAGCTGTATGATTGCGAAGCCGTCGGACTTCTCTAGAGCTTCTGACATAGTACAGATAGCCTCAAGATTATCAAAGTCAGAGAATGTCTGGCAATACAATCTGAAAACCCGGTTCGCCCCAACCCTACTCTTTGGATACTCTCCATCGTCTGGCTGGAAGGAGTAGTTACGAAAATTATTGCTCCACAAGAAACGAGGTGTGTTCCATGCACCAATAGGCTGAGCAATAGAGGTGACGTTTTGCGAATGCGAGGTATGCTGATCCCAATACTCTGTTTTTGGAACGATGTCGGTCAATTTGAATTCGATGGGAACCGCACGGCTCATATTGGTGAGTTTCTCTAGCACAGGAGTCGGGCCTCCAACGCCGGAACCGATATCAACGACGACCAAAGGACGGTCGTCCTTGGTGAATCGTGAATAATCATCAGTCTTTTGGATTGAATCTCGAAGTAGTAATGCCGCTGTTTTTGCAGGGCATTGAGCCTGTAGGATGGGAATCCGGCGCGACCAGAATAAGAGCCCTATATTATCGCAGCATTGCTCGAATGCCTCACGGTCACTATTTCGACGTTAACATGCTACTAAGACAGATGGGGTTTCTGTGGAAGAGCTTGGCTGTAATGTCAAACGTCAACTGGGAAATTGTGTTCGGCAGTGCCTTACATAAACTTGTATACTAGAGACTGGAATTTATCCCAGAGATGATCGGCCATTAATTTGGGAGAATCGCAGTGGTCATCTATGAACTGTTCAACTTTACGACGGAAGTCTGTGAGTTCTTTGGCTGGTTCATCCGCCCACTCTAATACTGTATAGCGCGGTGGCCCTGGAGGAACTTCTACATCCGAGGAATCGTCGAGTCCATCGTACTCATCATCTTTACGAGAGTTGAATTTCACCATCCCGATTCGATCGCGCGTGTTGACTTTGCTTTCAGATTTGGGCTCGGCGACAGCGACATCCCACCTCAGGACTGTGGGAGAAAATTTGGCCGAGGGTTTCGATTCTGAAAGCGGAAATCGACGAGGGCTGATGGTGAGAACGTGTGCGAACTTTACAGCTGATGGTGGATGGAGAAATATGATACGGTATGGGACCTTCCTGGCATTAGTGTTTGTTTTACGTGAGTAGCACTCCTCCCCTCATGTATTTCACTTACCATTGCATCTCTCGTCCTGACATTCCATGCCGTACTTATAGGATCTTGCAGTGTTTGAGGAAAGTTGGTCCATTCTCGACGCCTCCGGCCCTTTACGGCTGGAATAGCTACTTGTCCGAAGGGATCTTGTGGAGCTTTGGGAAATTGTGGTGGTGGAACGCGAGAGAGCACTGGGTCTCCTGGCCCAAACTTGGATCGAGAACTGTACCAGCAACCTCTATCCGATTCCGCTTCGGCATAAAGAATCTGCTCGACGAAGTCCGCGTCGACGGTGGCTCCCTAATCACTTACCTTCATCCGAGCCAAGTATAGACGATTGTCAAGTTCTGCTTCTTCTTGGTCGAACTCCCATGGCTGGTCGTCTTCTGTGGGCTCAGTACAGGATTCTTCCGCGGCTGAGTGTTCTACGATCCATTCCCTGACCGTAACGACTGTGCCCGATGGTAGAACTACTCCCTCATTTGTGTTGGACGTCAAAGCTGAATCTGTTGTAGCCAAGGATGACTCTGTAGGCCCGTGGTCTTCATGAATGGTATTCCGTCGTGGTCTTCCATAGATTCCACTGGGCCCTGCTTCGGATTGCTCCTCCCATGTTTGAGTCTCAGGCGAGGATGATTTGTCCTGATCGTCTGGAACCGCCGCGTGGTCTCCAAATGGATCCTCGTCATCGTGGGCATCACCATCATCGTTCAGAGGTGTCTGTATACGCGGGTTTTCGTCGCACTCTGACGCATCGTTATCCGATACAGCTACAAGTCTCATCAACAAATATGCTCACACCCGCGCAATTCGAAAAGGAACAAACTCTGGGAATCCTTATTTTCCCCCTTGGCGGCTTCCTTGTCAACTTTCTTTTTAATATCTAGAAATTCCACATTAATGTCTGGAAGTTTGCTCTCCAGCATACAGAGGAAACTGACTGCTTGTCTCCGCCATATTGACCTGTTGTGTAAGGAAAGGATGGCAAGTTGATGGACGGAGTATAAGTTGATTAGCGATAGTAGAGATTGTAAATCTTAGCGATAGGGATATTTTGTTGTTAATGGTGTTGTGAGGGCGAGAGAGGTTGAGGGTTTTCCGTTTCGTTTGAAGGGGAGCTAGCTTCCAGATTAGTAGGAGCAAAGAAGTTTGGAAGGTGCCATGAGCTCGGCTGAAAATTTGAAGATGGGAAGGACCGAAGGATCTCTAGATGTATAGTATAGACCGTGCCTTTAAAATCATAAACAGACAGTGCTAAATGATGAAGTAAATTTCCTTTCGAACATTGCCCGAAGGCATTTGTGTCAGAATTCTCTATCAATTGTTCTGCGGACACACTCCGTGAAGGATCCGTCCGTCTTGTGGTAATATACTCTATTTTCGATTGTATGGGTATCTTAAACCTTGGACTTATCGTGAATTCCATCAATGCTGCTCATGCCAACGGTTATGCGCTTCAATGGCGAACAGCGGGAGTGTGGCACCGCACTGTGGACAATGAAACGTGTCGTCATCCGGCATATCTTCATCCTCTGATTCCCACAATGCACTGCCGCCACCGCCGCCTTGCTCTACATCCTCTTCCGTATTTACCAACGGGAAGGGCTTTGCCTCCACATCCTTCATAACCTCGTCCGGGATTTCAAACCTGTCGGCATCTCGGAGAATTTCCCCCTCGATCCTTACGGCATCTTCCCCCAGATCGATCTCGTCTTCCTCTTCGACCCTCCACTGCCGCAGGACGTCATCCTGGCGCTTGAACATCTTTGCAATGTTTCTTCCTACCCCACCCTTGGCTGTGTCGCTCGCTGCGTCGACCATATTGGTCGCCGCAACGTTGACCAGGGATAGATTCCACCCGCTCTTTTCTGGATGGAGTCTTCGAAACAAGGGGATCAATGTTTCCGACACCAGGCGATCCGCCAGAGAGTCTGTGGAATCCCGCAGGCTGAACACGAAGTTTGGCATCGCTGCGGAGCGAGAAATCCTAGCGAACGAGCGGTTTCGACTGCCGTCGGGGTTCTGTGGGGGTCGAGGTCGTGTGGAGAGTCGAATCGTCTTTGGGAATGCCATCCATCGCTTTTTAGTAGTGCTTTTTGGGTCTTGAGCCGCGGCATCTAGAACTGATTCGTTAGGAGTTTCATCGACGTCGTCGTCATCGTCGTCATCATCATTCAAGAGGTCTGTGTGCATGCGATTGAGCAAGCTCCTTGCCAGCATGTGTAGCTCTTTGAGCAGCTCGTCATACGTGTCGAGACGAATATAACTGTCTTCGATACTGATTTGTTTGGGAACTTCGCGCGCGAGACCGACTTCAGTATCGTCGAAACCATTGAGGAGGTTCCAAACCCTGGTCCCAATTCCGTGTGGTGTACCAGGTCCCCCCAGTAGGCGCTCGAGAACGTCGGCGCCCATCCCGGGGAAGGTTCGTACGTCTCTTACGAGTACATCTCTTTCATCTCGTAGCACGAGATTTTCTTTTGCAGAGAGATCGAGCTCCGAAGGCCGTCCTAGGATGTGGGTTCGGAGCTTCTGCGCCAGCTTGAAGCCAATTCCTGGAATCTTACCCACCTCATGGCCGTCGACAAAGGAAGTGACGTTGTCGACGACGACAGTATTCGTGTCAGATACATCGTACGGCGGTAGCAGGGTCGTCTGACCGTTTGGTTTGTGGAGATTGCCGACAAGCTTTGACAATAGCTTGTTTGTAGAAACGCCAACGGTGCACGTATACCCTTTCTGGGTTTCAAGCAACTGGCGCACGTGCCTGGCGTAGTGGGACCCAAGATGTAGTCGAAGAAGAAAGTCGTTACAATCTGAGGGGGCGCCTACGCGTCCTATTAGCTATACTGCATTCGAATTGAAATTCGTGCGAGAGAAAATAATGGCCGTAAGATTGAAACCCCATTTGGGCACGCCTCGGCGGTGTCTTCTTTGTGCTGCCCCAGACCAAATTTCGGGAGAAATATAGTAGGTCCAGCTCAACATCCCGAGTGTGTGGATAGCCAAATCACCGTACATGGATGCAAAAGGAAACAATAATTAAGCCTCATTGATGCCCGCCCAGGTTCGAGAATTTACCCCGTTAAATGACGTAGCCAATGTCGGAAAATATCTACTGCGTATGGAGCAGATTGCAGGCTTACCTGTCTTATTCATCGCTTGCGGATAAGTACCGCCAGCGACCAGCGCTGCATCAAAGGTGAAGCCCAGCGTTGGATCATCTTTGGAAAGACAAAAGAACGAGTTCGCGAGATCGTTGTGGTTCAGCAGGCTAAAATTATAGTCCACGATGTCCGAAATGTCCATAAAAACCTGTTTTGGGATTGTTCAATTCTCTGACTCTACGGCACGGACTGGAATAGACATGGCACGAGGGAATCAATAGGATGTCTCAAGATGACATAAGGAAGGGGTGGCAGTGTAAACGGACGATACCAGCCAGCTGACAGGGAATGAGACAAACGCACCTCGTCGAAACCCAGCCTGTCAACTTTTCCATTCCAAGAGAAGGACTTGAGGAAGGCATATAGCTCTTTCGAAGCGTCTCTGAAGCGTGTGAGGTCCTCACCCAGTACTATGACAACCTCTGGACATATTCGTTTTGCATCTTTGATAAGCTGCAGTTTGTAGAGGCCCTGGATAGACACCCGTCAGCGGATTGACGCCCGAGTGGAATGTCAGATGACAGGAGCGGTGGGGACGGCGTACTCGTCGGCGCGCCTCATAGTTGCAGGTGACCACGATCTGTTTCTGTTGCACAGCCAGTGGAAGATTCTTCAGCGATGGTGTTTCATTCTCTATGACGGAGGCATAAAAGCAGTCCTAAGTTGTTGCGAGAGAGGATGTAAGCTAAACCGGGTTCGGATTGGAGCGCGAAATCACTAGGGTGGAACGAGAAGGGCCTACATAATCCTGCGGTCGCAAGGCGGAACACGTTAGCAGCCATTCAACAACATAGATAGCATCATTGTTTTGTTATTGCGCAAAAAGATGCCCAAGTGAGATTGTAGTCGCGAGTAATTTCAATTAGGCCGAGCGGCCGCTGCGTATAACAGAGGAGCAGTTGGCGGAAGCGGACATAGCGTCCAGGCAGTGCAGAGCAGAACATAATAGAACAGAGGGCTTGGCCTTACAAAGTGCAGGATGACGGAGTCTAGCTGCCTCTCGAGCCTCTTCCTTCGTGGAAAATGATGGTGAGGATGATGTTGGTCCTCCATTGTGGGATTAGTTGAAGGGGAAGCGCTGGGCGAGGTTCAGTAAATTACAAAGACGGTACGAGGTTGAGTAGAGCGCCTGGCAGGCGGTGTTTGTTGGTGCGGCGTTCGCTACGATTGATTGATTGATTGCGTTTAGGAGGCCTGGCGCCTTGCAGACCGACCGACCAACCTGCATCTGGTTTCTTGACCATTAGTTACCTAGATGCCTAGGTGTGTAAGTATGACTAGTTAATCGATGGCTGCGGCGAGGTTTCACAACTGGCTTGCGAATGCTTCAGCGGAGACGCGCGGGTTTGAAACACAGCGATAGTGTTTGATGGATGCAGAATGGGATGGGTTGGAATGGAGTCGAAAACGAAACGGGCCTGAAGCAGTCCGATATCCGCAGCGGCTGATTGGCATGCCCAGTCGCCCGGACTAATTGGGTAGTACCGATACGGGGTGTTGGAGGGCGGATATTGGTTGAGCGTCTTATGAGGAAGCGCCGCACAATAGATCAATCACACAATACGCAATAGATGCAGCGGCTGCACGAGACAGGACAGGGTGGGTAGGAGTAGGAGTAGGAGTAGGAAACAGAAAGACAGGAACGGTAGGGGGTTATGCGACGGAAAAGGCCCAATCCAGTCCAGTCAGTAGAGTACCTAATGCTACAGGACGATACAATAGTGGTATGATGGTAAAATAGTGGTATATGGTGGGGTAGAGCAGGGTAGAATTTGATGATGACTGCACTACTACGGAGGGTACGTATTGATCAGTGATCAGAAGAGGTGACTAGGTGGACTATTGGAGTCTGGATGTGTAGACCGTACTACTTGTACGAGTAGGTAACAAAGTGGTCTGTGAACTATCTGTAGTGCACTGGTGTAGTGTGAGTGTACTCGTAAGTGTAAGTAAGTGTGTAAGGCTAGAAAGGGGACTTGGATTGGTATTCATTCATACAGTCAGGATTAGTAGAGAGGAATAAAAAGAGAATGACGGAGCTGATAATGATTATGAAAGACTAGATTTGAGTTTTTTTCGTTACCTGCATGAAAGAGGTACAGAGAAGAGCATGAGGGTGATGATTACGGTGGATGGTAATTATGGCAAACGGTGAATGGCGAAACGTTGTATGGTGAATGGTGGTGAATAGGTAGGTGAACTTGCAATGGATGATGGATGATGGGATGGTGGCGAAGAGCCGAAAATAGAGACTCTATTTCCGTCATTGGCCACGGAATCCAGACGACACACGGACCCAGTGTCTTGGCAAGTGGGTTTATGTAGGTGTAGGTGGGTGAGCAGGGATTGGGGGGGAAGGGACTAAGCAGGGGTGGATCCACTTATTCCTACAAGGGAACAAGGATCGGCCGTATCGACAGGACTCGTCCGTCTGTCTGGCGTTTGGCTGGCTGGTTGGCTGGTTGGTCTATTCTTCCTCTTCCTCCTCTTCCTTCTACTCCTCTACTCACTCCTCACTCACTCTTACGCTTCTAACTATTCTAATTACTACTATTACCTACATGGTCCTAATGCAATAATACACTGCAAAAGTAGATTCAAGGCGTGCGTAACTCTGCCTCCCCCAAGGGACCCACCCAGACTCTTCTTTCTTTATATCTCATCATGCCCCTCATGACTGCCCTCTTTTCGAGTTGATCGATCACCATCCCATACACACTACACTACTACCACCACTACCACCACTACTGCCACTTACTCACACCACACCACCCACCAACAACCTTACTCTTAACCCTACCTTATACTCGCTCTACCCTACCGCCGCCGTCAGCAGCCTTCATCAACCTCCCCCCAGTGGAAATAAAACAATACGAGTCTGAGACAGCTCAACTACACAACAAAATACGAATACACCCGGCTCCCCTCTCCAACCTCTCTCATTGCCAATAAAACAACTATCATCCACCACTACCACTACAACCACCATCACCACCAAAGGGAACACTGCACACACACACACACATACGGATCATCTGCGCAACCAACAAATTACTCATACCTTACCACCTGCTCCTAGAGCACTCGACACATGATGCTTTCGACTATATCACATTCCATGTCGCCGTCCTACCCGTCACCTCATGACCCCCCACCCAGCATGACCACCTCCCTCGCCTTATTACCCCAACGCCAGCCTGATTCTGCTGCCAGCAAAGTCAACCTTCCTCAACGACCTAGGCTCCAGATTGACACCCAGCAACTCTTCAAAAACCGCACTTTTGGCAAAGGTGGTTCAACAAGTCTGCGCCTGGATACGTTGAGTGCGGCCTCTCCTACCGTCCGAAACACTTTTTCGAATGCCTACGAGGCGCCTACATCTGCTGCGCCAACCCTCGACCGACCCTCCAAACCGCGACTAGGTCTATCAATCGACAGTTCAGTCACAAAACCTCTGGAATCCAACTCAAATCCACCTAGCTCCATCACACCGAACTCTGCTTCCACTTTCTCCTCTGTCCTGACTTCTGCATCTTCGAATGCGTCAGCCACCATCGCAATCCCATATAAGCAACCTCACAACCTCGCCTCGATTCTCAGCAACAGCCCTGCACGACAGTTGATTCCACGAAAGATGGCACCGGCACGCCCACTCTTCCCTGCGGAAAAGAAGGTCTCTTTCCGAACGCCGCTGGAGGAAGAAATCAAGACTACGAAGTACACTCTCGCGCATTCAGACCTCGAATCTTCAATCAGCTCCAACTCGACCATCTCAAGCATCGAGACGGCAACCTCCAGTTCCGACTCCTCGTCCGCGTCCCTTTCCATTCAAACCGCCTCGTCTTCAGAAGCCTCTTCATCATCCAATGCTTCTTCACCTCCACGTGGACAAGATGCACGATTTTCTTCTCTTGACACATCCCCACGACTGGGAGGACCTCGCACAGGTGACAAGCGGGACTCATCCGACTCTGACAGCGATTCATGCCCAGAGACTCCGGTGGCCGGACGAAGGAAGCGCAGGCGTGACTGGAGGTGGACGCTGGGCCCGCTGCCATCCAGTTCCGACAAGTCAACATCAACAAGCGACGCGACCACGAGCGACGACAGCAGTTAATTAATTTAATCAATCAACATTTCAAGGCAAGGCGTTCAGCAACAGGAACTAGATAATCCACAAGCACACATTGGCGGCATTGGATGGGCAAGATGGAGAGCATTTCACGATAACGGCGTTTTTTTAGCAAACAGAGCATTTTACTGGTGTTGTCGCATTTTATGATACCAAAGCATCAGAAAGGAGGGGTAACATTTTTTTCTATATAATCTCGACCACAATATACTATTGTACATACATACATACACATGACTAGGTGGGGTATAGTTCCTTACAGACATGTAGCAATGAATGAAGCATAGCATTTGCCGTACACACAACTACAGAGTACACCACACATGCAGTGCATACATACATACATACAGTTCACGGAGATAACATGCACAGCGGGGTCGCAGATCAGCCCAAAAGGGGGGTACGTACCCTTCTCTACCACATACCCTTTCGTCGTCGAACAGTTAATGAAAAGAGGGACGGACAGGTGGTCACTCCCTCGCTCGCGATCGTCGCATTGCATGGTATCCGCACCGCACCGGACTAGAGCGTTTGCGCTGGGTTCAGTCGCATCTCCGCACCCGCACCGCACCGCACGCACGTACGTGCATAGCGGGCGACCTTTGACATGGTAATCTCCCGCATTAAGACTGCTCTACACACTTAATCAACAATAATCAATCCGCGAGAAATCGAATTTTCATTTGCGTTGAACGGATGTGGGAATCTAACCGTAGATATACAGTACATATATGCGCCTATATTCATTCAACCAACCGTACGGAGTACAGAGGGATATGGGGGGGTTTTTCCCTGCTTTTGCGATCGGCGGAGGTGCTGCGGGCGGAATTGTTCCTGTTAGATCAGCTGGAATTGAGTGTGCGATGCCATGCTGTACGTAGGTGTATGTACCCAGAAAATGACTTTCTGTGTGAATAACAAGTCTGAACGTCTGCGTGGTGTAATTACTACATCTCGCAAGAGTGGATATGTTTCTACTCTGTACGTAGCTAAAGTCACGATAAATCAATCCATTATTCGATTCAACTTAATCAATCAATCAATCAAGGCATCCTCACCAACCGGTAGATACCATACCATACCGCACTCGTAGCACAAATCCCCCAACGGACCCTGAACCTGTTAATTAGGTAGCGATCGACCCATCCCACGGCCCTTCTTCTGTCACAACGACCGGCGATCCATTTCCCAGCCCGCCTAGTCTCTCAGCCCATCCTCTTCAAGTCAAGCCCCGTCTCTCCAAAGTTCCTCTTTCGATTTGCCATGAGCTCCGCTTTGGGTACACACCCTCCGTCGCGCGAACCCATTTCCAGCGCCCCATGTGGTGTGGGATATCGGTACATCCCGTGGGCACCGCGCACACGCTCGCTGGGGGGCTGGCTGGCTGGCTGGACTTGCTGGCTGCGCAGCCTGCGCTGCTGCGTGATGATGCAGATGCGAATCGGTCGTCGGAGCTTAATCTGATTTATTATTTGCCTCATCTATCATCAAACGCACACGCGCACACAATCCACATCCCATCTAAACGAGATCGCGCCCACACTCCACACCCTGCGCATGCACGCCCTCACGGATGTAGAATAGAGGTGGGGATCAGAAACAGGTTTACACATATACACTACTCACATGCGCTGCGTCGAATCGAAAGGAGTGCGCTCAAGCGACCACTTGAGCCTCGCTCGCTTCACACCGCAGCGATGATGGTATGAAAGAGAGCTAGGCTTGCTGCACTATAGCATCATAGTGGTTCTATTATAACACGGCGAGCAGGACAGGCGGCTGGGAATGCACTTACAGTTCCCGCCTTCTTGAGCTACAATTGCTATGCTATGCCATGACATGCTTCAAGGTTGATCTGTCTATCACAAGCGTGCGTTTCGACACTTCGGTACCGTAGATGCTGCTGAATACATGATACATCCAATCCATAGTTACGTATGCTTATGGCCACCTGTTAAGTGGTGGCACCGAGCACCAGCATCAAGTTTCGCCTCCCCAACCAAGCAGCACACGTAACATATATACATACTGTACTAAACACCAAACACACACGACGCAATTGCTATCCTGCGTCGCCATCGCATGTTGCGTTCACGATTCGAAAATAGCACCTCCTCGTACTCACCGTCCATCGGAGCCACAAATAGAGCAGCGGCATTAACACTCCCATACCCGATAGCGATACGCACCTCTCCTCCTCCCTCGTGTTCGCTCCGCTCCCCTCTCACCACGCACCACTTTAAATCAAAATCAAACTCAAAAGTAGAAACAAGAATCCACACATTTCGCAATTATATAACCCCGTGTAAGCAAGCAAAGCAACAGGCTTGTCTCTTTTTTGTTTGTCCGTTTTTCTCTTCGCTACACTTTCGCTACACCATTTGCGACTGCACTACACTACGCATCGTTAGCTTGCTCGTTTCCCCCTTCAAATGCGATTCAAGCAAGCCACCAGCGAACGCCATGGTTGAGTTGAGGGTATACGTACCGAGGCACGATTGTATGGGCTAGTTCGATGGGGGAAGGGAGAGGGGGGGAAATACACGTGTACACATGGTAATAGTTGGGTTACATGTTTTTGTAAACGCGCGTTTCGGAAGGCTTTGAGTGCTGCTGAAGTATTCGTAACAACCTGTCTCGAGATGGAAATAGAGGGCTAGTGTGGTCTATTTTTGTCTTCACCTTTTTTTTGAGATTCGGTGAGTGAAATGGTACACGATATGCGTTGCCAATTGGCAACGAGCGTATGTTACGAGTTGATCTTGTCTATGAGATGAATGTTTGAGTGGAACAGGGACGCTTTTGGTGGTGGTGGTGGTGGTGGTGGTTAAGCAGAGTGATCGTCTGCGGGTAGAGCTTGGTTGCTTGGTATTGCAGCTACTGAACGGCCTCGTACAGTTCGGATTCGTATCAACGGTCTAAGAGGGCAGCATTCGGTCCTTTCTGGTTAGCCGTTGTTACTTACTGTGCAATTGGAAATGTGAAGATCAATTGGACAGGTTTAAAGTATACATGGTGAGCAACCTCGAGAGATCACTTATTGTTCTTGTTGTTTGATCTCGTTCAGAGCCCAATGAGGTCGACCACGCATCATCAATGCCTCTGATGATTTTTTCATCAAGCCTTCAAATCCCTTACCCTCTCTTTCGTGTTAAAAATTAACTAAACACCAATAGATTTCCATACTCTCTCTTCTTGTCAAACAATTAAAAAGTCTACATAACGCCATCAGGTGGAACCCCTCCAGCCCCTTAAACAGAGGAACCACCACCTCGTAGCATCTCACCACAACTGGCCAAACCCCCGAACAAGTCTCGACTCCCTTAGTTTCCTACCTCCAATTCGAGCCTTTGACGTATCCCACCTACTAAACTAACACGCCCCGCTGAATTGGAGACCTAGTGATGATAGAAGCAGTTACGCGGAGAACGATTCGTGATGGGGACGACGACGGTTTTCTTCCAAATACCACAGGTAATTAAACTAAGCTCCACCGCACGACGGACGACTATTTTAGGAAATGCTCATCCCCCCGCTTGGCCTTCTAGAACAGAACGCCAAGGGATAAGGTATGGCATATCGACCTATGGTATGGCGATCATGTTTTCTTTCTTTTCTGGTGGTGGATGTTGGTTATCGTAATTACCTGCTTTGGGTGACGAAGCTAAAAATGCGATAATGGCCCTGCCCTCAATCGCCGATATCCTCCAGTTAGTTCCTCTTTCCTTTCTGACGAAGAAACAGGATGGTTGGAAAAGTGTACATATACATCCACGTCGTGAATGGCGGATCTTGAAAACCCCCGCTTTGTAAGAATGAAGTTGAATGTGTAGTTAGTTACCTCGTATGTATACTACTGTACGTACATCTTGCTTAGCATACATCCTCTCCATGTAACCCTCACTTCCTCTTCGTCTTCCCTCACCGCGTGGTTGATTCATAAGCATGCAGTATGCACCCTCATCCACGGCGAGCGTACGCGAGAGGATCGTAAGTCATATGCGTACTGGAGATAAAAACGAGCTTTCGTCCGTCTGGGATACGCTAGGGTAGCGAGGCATGCATAGATGCAGAAGTGTACATGTACTTGTATACCTACCTGTCGTATTATACATGCCATGCCATGCCGCCTACAAAGCACGTCTGCTGCTGCCGCGCTCGCTCCCGCTAACGAATACGTCCGTCGTCCCGTCGCTTGTCCCAGAGCCGAACGGTCCTAACGCAGGACGCCTGATGCTGTTGGAAAGCGAGCGTACTTGGTCGGGTTTGCGGGTTAGGCGGTGGGAGTGACGTCTTGTGTTATTTGGTTGTGTACGCCGGGTTGGGGTTCGCTTGTTTTGCTTCAATGGGGTTGCGGAGGGAGTGCACTGTTCTTGTTGCTATGAGAGGGGGGTCGCTCTATTTAGTTGTCTTCGCCTTGGTTCGTGGGGTAGTGGGAGAGAGTCGATTGTATCTGCGGCTTCGAGACTTCATGATGTGAGGTCTTGACGATTGTTATAGGTTCTCAGCTTCATTAACAAACAATTCGTCTTTAGTCTGGATTTTAAGAGGCACTATGAGAAAGATGCCCAGAATATGTAAGTATGATTGAGTTGTCACGGGAGTACAGTTTGCTTTGAACGTTGGTGGTCCGGTTAAGCTTTTATCTGGTAGGAAGGAATGTATGTGGGGATCTATGTTTACTGTGCATAGGGTGCAAGTTTGACGCCGCCTTGCACGTTACGATGAACAGGTTGATCGGCTTGCTGTGATGTGTTTGAGATTCGGCTAGGAGTCGTCTGGACAGCAAGCTTCGTTGAATGACGATGAGACTTAGGTGACAATGATACTTGGGACTAGGACGGCTGCCACCATCACGGTGAATCGACGAAAGGGTAAGTGAATGGCCAGATGACTTGTCTATCAGAAATCAAAATAGACGAGAATGCCGATTCAAAAACTTATGATATTTCTATATCTCTTTAATATGCCCTGTTCCCCCGAGCATTGCCTTCTGGAACTGAAAAATAGGTTGGTTCTGACAAACGAGTTGAGGATGTATGTGCTGAAGCAATCAGTACATAGATCTCTAGCGATTACAATTAGATATACTACTACAGTCGCCTGTTGCTATAGTATTCCACGGCCTACGCCCTGTGGGTTAAACGTCATGTTCAGTTGCAGTAACCGAACAAGATGCTACACTGCCGTAGAGATCTGCCGGGCATTTGTAGAAAGCTCGATATTCTGACTCGGTCTCTTCGCGGGGATATAAAACCCGGGATATAACGCAAGAATCTTGATATAATTGATTCTAGTGTTATCAGACTATACGGAGATTGTGCGATAAGATTCGAGGATACGATAGTCCTTCAGAACACATATGTACTCCTGAACAGTGGTTATGGCATGATTCTTCAATCGTGAGGTACTAAGCTCATCAAGTATCAAAGCTATCATGACATCAACTTAACCGATGTTGAAGATGTGATTCCTCTGCTTTTTAATATTTCCTCGCAAGCTCTCCCCAATTGGTTACGAGACCTTCCGTAAAAGGTAAGTTGACCTTACTACATTGGGTTAGCAGAAACCTCGGTTGCGCGCAGGGCAAGAGCATGTGAATGATGGTCAAGCAAGTCCCTGACGTATCTAATCACCAGTTCGTGTCAACCTTCTTTCGACTTCACTGCGATGCAATCTTTGCCCACCTCGACGCACTGAGTGAGTACAGCCATGCCGGGATCTTCACGCCTGCCTGTCAGTCTCCGCGAGACATTCAATGCGCGGAGGAGCTCTCCACGCGGACAGCTCGTCGCCCTCAATGTCGATGTGTATGTTTTCCACGCCACATGGAGCATTAATTATTCCCGGGCCAGATACTAACTGAGGCCGCCACAGTTTGCGAAACATAATCTTCATCCTCTTCCTGCTCCGCTGGACGCGCAAACTTTTCTACCAGCTCAAGGGCCGCGGCATCACCGGTTCTGTCGCCGACATCTACACCAACACGCGCCGCGTTCTCTATGGCATCTTTCTCGGTCTTCCTGGTGTGCGCACCAAGGTGCAAACACAAGTCGCAGAAACGATTTTGAAGTTGGAGCGAAAATTGGTGCCCTCTGGACCCGGTGTCGAGAGGACAGTTGCTCTCCCCGCGGAAGGATGGTCGGCAGAGCAGGTCCGCAAGGCGCTGGAGGATCTGGAGAATATGGAGCACACCAGGTGGGAAGATGGCAGGGTCAGCGGTGCAGTTTATCATGGAGGTGATGAGCTCATCAAATTACAAACGGAGGCATTTGGCAAATTCACCGTCTCAAACCCGATTCATCCGGATGTCTTCCCTGGCGTTAGGAAGATGGAGGCTGAGATCGTCGCAATGGTACGAGTTCCGCCAGCCAGTCGAAGGCTGTAATATCTAACATTTCTCAGGTCTTGTCACTGTTCAATGCCCCCGATGGCGCTGTAGGTGTCACCACCAGCGGAGGAACTGAGTCTATCTTGATGGCATGCTTGAGCGCACGCAACAAAGCCTACCAGGAGCGTGGCGTGACCGAACCTGAGATGATTCTCCCAGAAACTGCACACACGGCCTTCCGCAAGGCAGGCGAGTACTTCAAGATCAAGATTCACCTCGTATCATGCAAAGCACCTTCGTACAAGGTCCACCTTCAATCTGTCTCGCGCCTTATCAACCCCAACACAGTTCTCCTCGTAGGCTCGGCGCCAAACTTCCCTCACGGCATTATCGATGATATCTCCGGTCTCTCACGCCTCGCCCACAAGAAGAAGATTCCCCTTCACGTTGACTGCTGCCTTGGCTCGTTCCTGATTCCCCTGCTTGCGAAGGCGGGCTTCGAATCTGAAACTTTCGACTTCAAACTCAAGGGCGTTACTAGCATCTCCTGCGATACGCACAAGTATGGCTTTGCCCCTAAGGGCAACAGCACAGTTCTCTACCGATCAGATGAGTACCGCAAATACCAGTATTTCATCTCTCCTGATTGGTCTGGTGGCGTGTATGCGTCGCCTAGCATTGCCGGATCCCGACCAGGCGCGCTCATTGCAGGTTGCTGGGCCTCTCTTGTCAAGCAGGGCGAGAACGGCTACATCGACGCATGCCACAAGATTGTTGGTACTATGAAGAAGATCGAGTCTGCTATCCGCGAGAACCACTCTCTGTCTACTGACTTGAGGATTATTGGCCGCCCCTTGGTCTCCGTTGTTGCCTTCCACTCCCCAACGATCAACATCTACGACGTCGCGGACGCCATGGGTGAGAAGGGATGGCATCTCAACGCGCTGCAAAGCCCGCCAGCTATCCATATTGCGGTCACGCTGCCAATCGTCGCAGCAGTTGACCAATTGATTGCCGACTTGGTCGAAGTCGTCGAGGACGTCAAGGATAAGGAGAGGAAGAGGATCGCAGAGGGCAAGGGTGCGAAGGGCCAGGCCATGGGAGATTCCGCTGCGCTATATGGTGTTGCAGGAAGCTTGCCCAACAAGAGTGTTGTCGTGGACCTAGCCAAGGGTTTCTTGGATACGTTGTACAAAGCTTAGAATGCATATTCATATGGGGAAAGGAGAGAGAGTTGTAGTTTGATAGCGTTCGTTCATCTCCCTAAATACATTTAACATTGACAAATCATTTTGTAGCGTACGTGATGCCAATGACACATTGCTATGATGAACAGGATTTACAGGTGTCTTTTCACGACACAGATTGGTATAGTGTACAATTATGAGGGCGTGCTTGAGGGCAGGCTTGCAGCTGTTTCCTCCAAAGGCAGCTTCTTCCTTGGCCGCCTCAAGTCTGCCTCTGTGACGCCATTCACACCAACCTTGGTGATTCCCATGACTGGTGGGTCACCCTTCTTAACGAATTCATAAAGACCTATTGAATCCAGTATCAGCTTCGTTCCAGTTCATCCGTCTTGTCACGTCCTCAGTAGTCCGGTATATGGATGGACGATATGAACTTACCGGGCAACTTATTTCCAGCCAACCTAAAAGCATCCTTGACAACCTGCTCGTGCAAATCGCCCTTGATCTCAAACAAAATCTTACTAACAGCCACCCTGCTAGCCCAATGATCGAAACTTCCCTTTCCCTTACCCATACGGCTCTCATTTCCACTCGTATAGACACCAATATCCGCCGCAATCCTCGTATAGAACCTAAACTTCATACCACGGAGGCGCTTCTTGATGGTCTCCTCCGCGATCTTGAGCTGCTGCGAGGAGATGCGGCGGTCGTGGTCGCGCATCCGGAGGCCGTAGTCGCCCCAGATGACGGTCGTTCCGCGCATGCTGCCGCCGGTGGGCACGCGGCATCGTCCTTTGCGGGACTTGCTGGACTCGCCGGTCTTGGGGATCAGCCAGTTGGCGTGGGATGGCGTGCTGGAGAAGAATCGTGGGGTGCTGGTCTTGAGGGATGGTACGAGGAATGAGGGGATGTTCGGTTGGTTGAGTGCTGTCAGTTCAGGTTAGTTTTTGCTGGAATAAAATCTGAATATGTGAATTTCGTAATTGTTGAAGGGATTGGTTCTGCCGGCCTGAGCAAAACTCGCAGGTGTATAAGATGAGATTGAAGTGGTGAATCGTGTGATGCAGCAGGGCGTGGTGGAATGGAACACATACGTCGCGGTCTCGATGCCGACAGTGACATTTGACTCAATTGAGTCACCAGACTCGGTTGTATCCTTGGTGGCGGCATGGTGCTGTCGTTGGAATGCCGTGACAGCAAGAAAGCACCACGAACCTCAAGTTGAAGTCGGAAGTTTCGTGCCAAGAGATGTGGCTGCAATATGTGGCTGATAAGCCGCTAGTATGGATGCGGCATAGCGCGCTTATCGTTGCCTAAGTGCTTTACGCGGTTTCCGTCATAGAAGCGCGTCGCGCACGCCTTGCCCCCTCAGTACTTGTCCGTCTTGCTGCCTCGACCCTTTTTACACGACAACCGCACTGGATCTGACTACGACTACGAGAACATTCCAATTGTTATATTGTATGGTTCAGTGTTGATTTGTGTACAACATGCCGGCGGACATCAGGAGTTTCTTCGGCGGAGGTGCTGCAGCGATTAAAGCTTCGCAGAGTAAAGCTTTACAGGAAAGCCAGGAAAAAGATGAGGTATGACCATGTCATATAACAACCGTCCCTTGACAGCACATCATTTTCCGGAAGTACTTAAAACTTCAATTCAAAAGCCATGAATGTCATTTCCTTACAACGAATAACACTGGCTCTTTTCACACTTTTATCGTCCCACTATTGCACAGCATCATCTGAACTACTCCTCAATCCAATCAACACTGCATAGCCATCTGCCCCCGGCGCTTCATTATAGCCAGACAAGGACGTGCCTTTGGTCCTGGGAAGAGACTACTTCTTAGAACTTGGAGAGCTAACAGACCGTCACAGAAGACACCAGCAAAGAAGCAAGCACCTAAGAGGGCTGGCCGAGCAAGCAGAGTGGTTATGGACAGTGAGTCAGAAGAAGAAGTCAAGTGAGTGAGAGATATCCTCTATTACAATATTCGATCTAATTCAAGTGATAGACCTAAGAAAGCAACTCCCAAGAAGCCTCCACCGAAAAAAGCCAAACGCGAACCTACTCCCGAACCCGTACTCGAAGAAACCACCACATCCGAATTCTTCGGCAGCAAGAAAAAGCCCAAGCGCTCCGAGCCCGTGAAGACAAGACCAGTCGATTCTACACCAAAGGCTACACCAAAATCTACCCCGAAGAAGGCCACACCAGCGAAGGCAAACGGGATGAGTACCAAAGTAGCTACACCTGCCACGAACGGTAGGAGCTCCACACGAGGAAGGAAGCCTGTCACATATGCGGAAAGAGACGACGATGAAGATTTCCCCGATGATGATCTTGACGGAGCTGATGATATTTTTGGTGACAACTTCAAGCGCAACGGCAAGAAAGACGATTACGCAGAGAGCGATCAAAGTGATGATGACATGCCCATTGCCTTGCCACACCGCGGAACGCCTGCAAAACCTACCAAACGTCAAAAGAAAGCTCGAGATGACGATGACTTCGACCCGGAAGAGGAGGATGTGGATATGAAGGATGTAGACCAAGAAGATGACCTGGCAGAGCTAGAAGAAGAGCCAGTCACCAAGGGCAGATCGAAGACTGCTGGTCGAAAGCGCAAGACGCCGGAGCTCGACGACGACGATGATGAAGAGGATGAAGAAGACGTGCCAAAGAAAGGCCGAGCAAAGAAGCCAGCCGCTGCGAAAAAGTCGCCGGTAAAGAAAAAGGCAAAGAAGGACGATGCACCAGAAGATACTAAAGTGCAAGATATCTACGACAGCATCGACTTAGTCAGGCCCCCAACTCCTCCACCAAAAGATCCAGATGGTGCAAAGTTCAATTGGAGAGCAAATGCAGGACGTGCCAATGCAGGCCCAAGTGGGGGATCTACTGATGACATGCCTTCTGGTAATCCAACATGTCTTGCAGGCTTGTCCTTCTTGTTCACTGGGATCCTAGAGAAATGGGGGCGTCCCGAAGCTCAAGAACTCGTCAAGCGGCACGGGGGCAAGGTCGTCAGTGCCCCAAGTAAGAAAACTAGCTTTGTTGTCCTAGGCTCAGACGCCGGACCCAGTAAACTCAGAAGGATCCAGGAATTTAGTCTCAAGACCATCAATGAAGATGGCCTCTCACAGCTCATCACACGACTATCAGCTAGTGGGCACGCAGGCGACTCGAAAGCACAAGCTGCACATAAAGAGAAGGAGAAGAAGGAACAAGAGAAGATCGAAAAGGCCGCTGCAGAGATGGAGGCAGAGGAGAAGCGTCGCCTGAAGGCAGAAAAGGCCGCACAAGCTGCAGCGAGCAGCAAAGGCGCAACGGGTGCTGCGTCATCAGCAGCTAAGAAGACATCTGATCCTTTAGTCGAAGACCGCTTATGGACTACCAAATATGCTCCGACCAGCCTTGCTCAAATCTGCGGTAATAAAACCACAGTCGAAAAGCTCCAGCGCTGGCTACAAAGATTCCCTAAAAGCCAAAAAACCGGTTTCAAGCTTGCTGGTCCTGATGGCAGTGGAGTCTTCAGAGCTGTGATGCTGCATGGGCCTCCAGGTATCGGAAAGACTACAGCAGCACATCTTGTTGCTAAGATGGAAGGTTACGATATCGTTGAAAGCAACGCCAGTGATACCCGTAGCAAGAAGTTGGTGGAAGAGGGTCTACGAGGCGTACTAAGCACAACATCCTTGCATGGGTACTTTTCTGGCGATGGCAAGCAAGTCGAGAAGTCGAAGAAGAAACTCGTCTTGATCATGGACGAGGTCGACGGCATGTCTGCAGGAGACAGAGGCGGTGTGGGAGCTCTCGCAGCAGTTTGCAAGAAGTCGGACGTGCCAATGATACTGATCTGTAACGAAAGAAGACAGCCAAAGATGAAACCCTTCGACTTCGTAACGTTCGATCTACCCTTCCGACGACCTACCGTGGATCAAATCCGGTCTCGCATCATGACGATAGCCTTCCGCGAGGGACTGAAGATGCCGGCACCTGTCGTCAATGCGCTCATCGAGGGCAGCCGTGCCGACATACGACAAGTTGTCAATATGATATCAACCGCGAAGATGGATCAAGAAATTATGGACTTCGATAAGGGGAAGCAGATGTCAAAGTCATGGGAGAAACATGTGATCTTGAAGCCCTGGGATATTACATCAAAGATCCTGGGTGGAGGCATGTTTGCTGCGAGCAGCAAAGCTACTCTGAATGAGAAGATTGAGCTCTATTTCAACGACCACGAGTTCAGCCCTCTCATGTTACAAGAGAACTACCTCGGGACCAACCCTATTCGTGCTTCAAGCTACGCCGGTAAGGAGCACAATTTGAAGCTCCTGGAACTCACATCCGAGGCTGCAGACAGCATTAGTGACGGCGATCTCGTGGATCGAATGATCCATGGCTCACAACAACACTGGAGCCTCATGCCCACACATGCTGTTTTCAGCTTCGTGAGGCCTGCCAGCTTCGTTTCAGGTAGCATGGCTGGTCATCAGACTCGATTCACGTCTTGGCTCGGCAAGAATAGCAATCAGCAAAAGTTGACACGCATGGTAAAAGAAATCCAGTCTCACATGCGATTGCGATCCTCCGGCGATAGACACGAAGTTCGTCAACAATATGTTCCAATTTTTTGGGCACAGCTTGTCAAGAAATTAGAGGAGGAGGGCAAAGAAGCTGTTCCAGAAATCATAGACCTCCTGGACAGCTACTTCTTGACGAAGGAAGACTTTGATGCCATTATGGAACTAGGTGTTGGGCCAATGGACCAGGACAAGGTCAAAATAGACACGCAAGCCAAAGCGACCTTCACGAGGCTGTAAGTGACGATGGGCTCGTAACCAATATCACAAGCTGACAGACGAAACAGATATAATAAGCAAACGCACCCTCTTCCCTTCATGAAAGCTAGCAACGTGTTTGCACCAAAGAGCTCAACAAAGGTGAAGCCCGATTTGGAAGAAGCCATTGATGAATCGGACGATGGTGAAGTTATAGAAGAAGGGAAGGACGACGATGAAGAAACGGACTTGTCCAAGGACAAGTATGTGAAACAGCCCAAAAAGAAGTCTGCTGCAAAGAAGGCGCAGCCACAGAAGCCTCGAGGCAAAAAGCGGGCTGCTTCTGATGAGGACGACGAGAGTGCGGAAGATGTCAAGCCCAAGGGTCGTGGAAAGGCCAAAGCTGCAGCCAGCAAGGGACGCAAGAAGTGAGCACGGAGTGCTATCTGTGCCGGGTAATTGGATGAGCTAGATTCCTATTAGCATTTGCATGTTTTTACTAGACTTCACTGATGGTTTATCCAGCATTTCAATGGGAATTGCAAAGGGTACGCTCTTTTGGGAATATTCACATCTCATGGCTGCTTATGCGTAGTAGCCTCAATAAACATACTATTCTCTTTGATGGTCTTCAAGCTCTACTTGATTCGCTCATTTGTCGTTTCAGCCTCTGATAAAATACGTGTGCGTGTGAATAGACCTTGGATGCTGTACTGCTGACGATAGAAATAAGAGAGGTACAATACAATATCAAGGTCTCCGATCTGTTTACTATTATCACTGTGTTTTCCAGACGGTTACTGGGGATCCAGGCAGCCAACGAGCTAGTGGCCCTGATGTTGTGAGTATATCTTTCCCACTTCTCTCTCACTTACTCTCTCTCACCTTTCCACCCACAACCCCTCACATCCGCTGCTTTCGCGCCCTTAAAAAGGCCATGTTTCGCTCACATTCAAGCAGTTCCGAGTCCCAGAGCGGCGATGAATCCACGAGGGATTTCTCAACATCGCGCCACGGCCGCCGCCGATACCGAAACATGACGCCCGAACGTTCGGCGGAGAACTTGCCCACAGAGCAAAACAACGTCCCGCGTATCTCAACCTTCAATCCCGTCGGCGAGGCACCCAGCACTCCGCCACCTACACTACCTGAGAACTATCAGCAAGCTCGTGATGATCACGATCACCCTGATCTAGAATTTCAGGGTTCAGCAGCGGGAAGTTCCTTCAGCAGCGAAGCTTCGCGCAGTCCCCAGGCGCGCAGCCTATCACTTGGACAGAGCGAGACTGACACTCCAACCCAGCAGATTGCTATTCCACAGCATCTTCGCCGCTCTCCGTTCATGGCAGACCTACGAGGCAGTGCTGCTTCATTGAGACTCTCGGATCTGAATTCGTGGGCGAGCAGCAGCAACGCCACGACCGAAATTAGATTCCCATTGCCGCAGCCGAACAGTAGGGAAGTCAACCCCAACGATGACGCAGGCTTCGTACGCCCCGCCCCGCAAGAAGCGTCTGAAGATGGCAGTACGCCTGGCGGCTCGGTTGAGGGCATCTATGTTGTCGACGAGGAGCGCATCAGGCGTTGGAGACTTACCGCCTCGGTACTCCCTCAAGGAAACATTCCTAGCCCACTTAGCCCAAGGCCCTTCAACCAGCAAGAGTTGTCATCTATGGGTATGTCCGTCTATGGTTCCTCGAGTGACGACAGCAGCAGCACCGAGGGTTATGTCCCAGGAATGAGTGAAGAACTGTTCGGTTCTGAAGCTGGTCCTTCGTACATGCCTTTGTCTCAAATGCACATGCTCCAAGAAGCTTCACGAAACTTCAAAGCACAGGAAGGGCAGTCCAAATCGCAAATTTTTCAGAAGGTCAACAAGAATAATACTGATGAGCTTGGTCACGCCACGAACAGCTCCCCTGACAAGAAAGGTGAAAATAAGGGCAGAGATCGTTCAGATACTGTCAAGGTATGTTGTAACCATCCCAGTGACGATTGACATCATCTCACATATCCATAGCCAAAACCCCCGCCACTGTTCATTCCTCCTACACACGCAGCAGACGGTCACGGACAGCAACCTCAGCTAGGGCCCTCCCCCGACCTACAGACCTATACTACTGAAGGCTTGGTTCGCATCCTGCAATCCATGTATATGCCCGCCGCAGTTCCCTCTCTGGTCACCGATGCTCTTCCCTCGCCGGAGTTTCTTATCAATCTTTCCAACCCCAGCACACCCGTTGGCCTGGAAGCTCATCAGCGGGCACTCACTTCACCGAACGCCATACAAGTCACAACAAAAGATCGCAACTACATAGCTTTCTTCATTGACACCCTCATCAAAGACTCGCAGAAGATCAGAAAGGAGATCGAAGCCCTCGAAGAAGAAGTGGACGACAAGGAAGTTGAGAAAGCCAACATGCAGGGCGACATCACGTTCTACTACTCTCAGAGCACACAGTATCTCAAGAAGAAGGAGGTCCTAGAGAGATTGGTAGCGTACATGTACGCCTACGTGACTCCCAGCATGAAGCAAAGCGTCATCACCGTAGCAGGCGACTGGGCAATCGATATCTTGGAGATCTATCAACGGCTTGGAACGACGACCGAGATTCCTCCACCTGGCACCCGTGGCAACACTGCGGAATGCAACGAGGAGGACGAGCCCGAGAGGATTGAGAGGATACATAAAAAGAATCGAGAAGCCCCCAAGATATATGTCGACGAGCAGGATCGAGAACCCGAACAGGTTGAGGAAGTTCCTCCGAAACTCGTGCTAGCAGAAATGAAGGTCCGCCTGAAGAAAAGCGAGTTCACTGCGGCTTATTGGAGGTCCCGCGCCATGGCTGCCGAGCAGTTCATCGCTCTTGCACAAGCACCCGATAGGCAGTGAGCGAAAGTCTGGTTGACAGTGGCTCACTTACATGACTGGCTGATTATACGATAATGATTACGACGATGGGATGCTTCTATGATTATGATTACGACAATGGGCTGGTTTGATGATAATGATTACGACTTTGGGCTGGCTTGGTGATGGCGTTTATGACTTTGGGCTGGTCTATGCACACCTTTGGGATAAGGTTTGCTGGCTTTGTCGGTTGGACAGTGTTTTCAGGGTGAACGTATACAGTCGAGGCTCTTGCATTCATGATCACTGTACCAGGCTTAGTAAATGCCAACCAGACCCAGATAATGGATTAAAATTCTTGTAACTCTTCTTCTTCTCCACGTGCATGCAAGTGAACAACATGATACATGCTCACTTTCGACATCCGTCGAACGATGGAACCCTTCAGATCAGTTTGTGTATCCCCGCTTGTCGCATTTTCACGTGTGAGAGTAATTTCGATAACCCTCTCGATTTGATTTTTTCCTACGTCATATATAGGATCACCTACTAGTCTGCCTCCTTCACTTCCCTCACATTAAAAAGTCGCCCCACGCATAGCAGCTACATTTGCCACCTTTCTTTCCCCCAAAAGTAGCATCGCCCGTTCATCTTCTTAGTATAACGCTTGGGACAATTACATTCTTCAAGAAGAGCTTCACACAGGACATCAGGTTCTTACAAGCAGCCACCTCCCATCTGCCAACACACAAGACACAATAAAGCAGAAGAACGATACTCATATAGTAAAACAGGAGAGCGACATGCAACTTCAGCTCTATCCCAAGAAAAGACGTACGGTAGTAAGTAGGCAATACAGTTGCTTCTAACCTTAGTAATAAGTTCAATTTAATATTAAAGATAGATCAAAAGTAGCCCACCAGCATTGCAATAGCTTGTCTGTGCAGATACAACAAGCTCTGCAGTCTTAAGGGATAACATCTACACGTCTCTCTCCACTCTCATCAACCAGAACAAAGAACTCGAAGGTGGCTCAGAGGATTTAGTTGCTAAGTTAAAGTCGAAAGACAAAGTCATTCAAAACCTGAAATCAACGAACCTAGCCCTGCAAGATACCATCGCCCAGCTCAAAAAGAACGTTAAGAAAGCCCAGAACAAGACCACTTAGGCAAATTCCTCCCTAGCCGCGTACAAAGAGCAGCAAAAGTTATTCATAAGTGCCAAGGAGTTAGACTTTGTAGCAAATAGCAGCATCATAGAGGATCTTTTACATATAGGAGATGTAGTAAGGAAGATCAAGGTCAAAGTAGAAGCTGCTACTAAGGCAGTATCACAACACAGGTCCAAAGTCTTCAGCAGCAGACTTAATTAAACCAAACAGAGAACATGTAGAATACGAGAACTAAATAAGAAGGAAACGCTGCCAAATAAGGTTTCAGTCACTTAGCCTGTCATTGCACTGATAGAACAGAGTTGCAGATAAGATGTCAATTAATAATAGATATGCTACTTAATCACTTCCCAGTACAACAGAATCAAAATCCTTTAAGAAACAAAATAATTTACCTTAAATTTAACGCATGACCACTATTAGAGTTTCCCATGTTCAAAGCACTTGCCTCCTTTACCTTCATCCCTCTAGGTGGCTCATAACACTAATCACACCTCCACTAACCAGTAACAACCCCAACCACAAAAACCACAATCACGCCAGAGAGCACCAACAGGCCCATTTATCTAAAAACACCCTACACGAGAACTCGTCATGACGCGAATTAAGCAGGAAAACCCCAAGGAACCTCGCCGAGGCAGCAAACGAGCTGCAGATCATTCAGCCGCTAAGCCCAAACGCAAATCAACTCGTCTCAGTGTACCCATCTCCCAACTTCCCTGCATCTCATCACTTTCAACTGACCATACTGTAGGATGCTTCAACTGCCCAAGACCTGCTTACTCGCGATGTTAAGCGCTTAAGACAGAGGCTTAGAGAAGTAGAACAACATAACAACAAGCTGAGTTCCCAGGCCTCGGACCTACAGACCAAACTAGATCACTCCAAGTCTTAGGGTCAGTTCCTCTCCAATTCCAAAGACCTACTTGAGGGCAAACTTGGCAAACTCAAGGAAGAGTTGCAGGCAGCAAAGGAGCCGCCAAACCCCTTCAATGGCGTGTTCATACCCTATAAGCAGAAGGCGAGGCAGGAGGTCCAGAACGCAAAGGCCAAATTAGATTTCGTCAAAAAACTACTGAACACCGCGATCAAGGAACGCAAGAAGACAAAGGCTAAAAATAACCAGTCCGCAAGCATAATACAGGATTTGCAAGCTGAGCTCAAGCAGGAGAAGGAAAAGTCAAAGGCAGTCAATGCAGCTTTCGCGAAGTTCGAAGCTGCTTTCACTAGCATCCAAGGATAATTGTGCCTTGTAAAGTTCGTCAGTTTATTATTAGACTCCATCACTAAGATAGGGACAACTAAGTAACGAGTTAGATGGGATAAAGCTCAATTAGCGTAAGGCTCATGCTAACTGCAGGCCATTATAGATAGGAAATGCAACAGGTTTTATAGCTGCTGCATAGTCATGCATCTTTCCTCATACATCAACATAAAGTTAAGGGGACATAGTAAGAAGTTGCACTCAGTCTGTATATGCCTTCATCTAGACAGTTCATCAAGCTAAAATTAAACCTAACGCAACATGTTCCTCTGACATGCTGTAAAGCCAGGCCAACCTTATTAACCTCGCAGACTGCTGACTTCACTCTCGAGGAATGATAACGATGAACCGAAAGGAGAAACACTTCTTCCCATAATGCCAACAGCGATACCCACCCGAGATAGCATGAATCACGAACTTCATATCCAACGATAATCACATGACCAAGTATACTATCTATAAAAGGATTGAATCTCGGGCCTCAAACTTCAACCTAACCATCGCTTCTTCGGACTTTACATGAAGTCGGCCTGCTGGTCAAACTCACTTGAAGCTGTCTAACAGAAGCCGATTAGCGTATCTTTTTGACGCTATATCAGGCTCAGCCATACTGATTTGCTCCTTCACTCTCTCACTCAACTCTTGATCGATCATCCCCCGACTCTGCCCAACTTTCGAGCCAACAGAAGCGTCATGTTTTCTTCGGCAAAGATCCAACCTTATCGAACGCAGCCAAAAAGAAAATATTCAGCCCAGTCCAAAAGCATGGTGGATCCGCTTATGAAACCCTACTCTGATTCCTCCTCTGATTCCTCATCTGATTCCTACTCTGATGAAGTGGGTGTCGTGCTACGGCCAATAAAGCGAGCTCGCTTTCCAGTTCGTCTAAAGTATGGTACCAGCACAGAGAAGACTGAGAGATCGGATACATCCGTTGAACAGCATAGTCGGTCCCGTGCTACAGTGAGTAAGAAACGAGGCTGGCTTTGAGAATATTACTGATACAGTGGAGACGCTGGGATTAGTTGCAGCTATTGATCGTTACAATCGAAACATGCGAGGCCACTTGAAAGACCTCGGTACCGCCAAAAGTGGACTTGCAACCAGCGAGCGACATGTTTCAACCTTCACGCATGATTTAGAAATCGATTTCGTGTTTGAGGAGCGCGACATGAGCGAGCGAGAAGAGGTGAAACGGAAACTGAGTATTCAATTGGGATTGATCGAGAGGCATAAGAAAGAGGTCTTGAGAGTGACGACGGCGATAGAGAAGCTCACTCTCAACTTTCAAGGTCTGGCCGACTATCCTGTAGATTCCGCTTCTTCAGAAGATGCAGAGGAGTCAGAGGAAGAGAAGTCACAAAGCGAGTCACTCGAAGAGAAACTGCTCAAAGATGAGTCACAAGAAGAACATAAGGCGTCTATCACTGCAGATTCGAAATGCAAGTATATCGACAGTTTTCAACAGACGCTAGAGCATTACGCCGACACCGAGGAATCGAGACTGAAGATGGACGCGCTTCAAGAAGCTATGTTAGAGCGACTTTTAGCTGCAAGTGAGCTGATACAGCAGCGCGACATTGAGCTCGCATCATCGAAGAAAGAGATCAATGCGCTCAGGAAAGACGTGGAACAGCAGAAGAAGAAAGCAAAAGATGCCGTGGCTGCTCTCGATCACATCAAAGGAGCAGCAATGGATGCTGCAAACATACTGCTGAAGGAATAAGCACCGCGTCGGCTGGCTCTCTGGTGCAGATTGTCGGACATTGCCCTCTGATAGGTAGTACTGCTCAAGCTTACAGCCCAACACGGACTTATTTCAAACATTTCGATTTACGCCCATGAATGTCATCTATTCGGATGAACATCTCGAAAACAGAACCTAGTCAGCTCCAATGGAAAAAGCAGCAGATACGTTCTCTCAAACGAAAATGTTTATTGCAGAAGGTCAGAGTTCAGAAGACAGACGGACCACATGCCATCTAAACGGTTTCTCGCACATCATATCAATCATCATTTTTCTAATCTACAACGCCCCCAAAGCTTATATTCCAACATGGACTTCTCCCACACATTTCGGTCTCCCTGCTCGACATGTCTTCTTCCCACCTAAGGACCCAACATATCGAAAAGAAACACATATTTGCAGGACTAAGTCACTTATGACAGCGCCAGCCGCTCTATCTGAACGGTAAATTTTCTGCGGAAGGTCAGGATGAAGATAGGCGGAACATATGATATTTAGAACAGATAATCCATTAGCATCTAGGAAACAAAATATGGCTCATTTCTCACTGTCTAGGATCGAACTTATTCGTGAATATCTACTGATTGTCTCGACCACCGTTGACCTAACAGTGACACTGAAGCTCGAACAGACCATAACGCTCACCCCAAGAATCATTTAAAAAGAATAAGAAATTTCATTTCATTTAATATCACACCACCCTATATCGTACAAATCTAAACCTCTTCTCACGACAAAGTCCTCCCATCCCAGTCATCCTTCTCCCTCTCCCCCTCACTCCTCCGCCCCTCTTCATCCCCCTCCCCATGAACCCTAACCACAATCTCCCTCCGCACCGTAATCCCCATAACCCCCCTCTCGGCCACCTCACCCGCATGCACCGTACTCTTCTCCACCGACCCCCTCCTCACCTCATTGAACCTCGGCTGCGGCGGCTGCAACGTCTCCGCCACCCCTGTCGTCGAAGGGGGTGGACGCAAGAGGTCGCGGTTCCACATCGCCTCGCGAACGCGGTCGATGCCGCGCTCGATGGGGGAGCGGGAGGGGGTGAGCGGGGAGGCGATGGAGGTGTTGACGGTGTAGACGGAGGTTAGGGGGGCGAGGTCTGGTGGGGAGGGTGGGGAGTCGGGCAGTTTTGTGAATTTGCCGTGGCAGGGGGAGAGGGTTGTGTTTGTGCGGGCGCTGCGGGCGCTGGAGATGGTTGTGGTTGTGGTCGTTGTGTTGGTGGAGGAGAATTGGGTTCGGAAGGATGGGAGGGCGGGGAGGGGTTTGCTGCTTGTGGGTTTTGAGGCGCGGCGCGAGGTGGATGATGTGTTGGCTGTTGAGGTCCGGGAGGTGGTGCGGGTGTAGAATGTGCCGAGTTTGGAGTTGTGGAAGGAGGAGCGGAAGTATTTGAAGAGGGGGAGGGTGATGGGGACGCAGCCGGCGACGATGCCGAGGGAGGGCTCCGGGACCGTGAAGAGGATGATCGGGGAGGCGGTCCAGGTGAGGTCGTCGAAGGAGAGGAATTCGTCGTAGATTGTACGGCAGATGGAGATTATGCATATGCTGTTTTGGTCGAGAAGTGTCAGTAGGAGAATGATATCGAGATGTAGGGGATGGGGCTTGCATGATAAACTTACAAGAATCCGAGACCGAAGATGAAAGTCAATTTGACCTTCTTCATCGTCGTCGTCTGCAACCGCCAGAAAGTCGGGATGGGCAACACGACGCAGCTGAGGTCGAAGAACAGTGCTATGATACTCGACCCGAGCCAGAACTTCTTGACGTCAAAGCACTTCCCTTTGATGGTTGGATCCCACATCTTTGCCAGTGGGACGCAGACGAAGAAACATGGAAGCACCAGGGCGAACCAGGAGATCACCAGAGCGACGAGTTGGATCTTACATAGTCGGGAGAGGGCTGTGTGAGGGAAGAGGGCGATGTAGAAGTGTGTGATGGACATCTTTACGAAGATGCTGGAAGATATCAAGAGCGGGGGGATGGCTACGACGATCTGATGGACGTCAGTGAGCGTTTGCACCACACTACCAACACCGAGACAATGTCTATTGTGATGTGCAAATACAGGTGGAGATTCATACCTTCATATTGAGGGGCATGAGTTCCAATTGTCGTTCTAATGGAATGTCTTTTTGGTGAGCGCCCAATTCACCCTTGACGACCGCAATGATTGCGGCAATGACCAGACCGACTACATTGGACTACATGTATTGTCAGCTACACAATGACTTGAATTATAGAGCAAGCAAGTAAAGTACATACATACGCAGCAAGCATAAGATAATCATTAGCCTGCCATCTCGTCTGCGTGATCTTCCTCGCCCATAATCGAGCTATGATCCCCAACGTCGCGACGACTAGCGAAAACGTATACAGCGCCAACTGACCTTTTTGTCGTGCTGTTCCGATCATGATAGTATCACATGGAGCTTGAAGTCAAACAGGATTTGAGTTCACAACAAGCAAAAGACAATCATAAAAAACGAACGGAGTTCAGGTAAAAACCTCAAGAACGAGAGAGCGAGTGCGAGACAAGCACCGTATAAACAACATGACATGACATCGAATATGCCTGCCTGCCACCCACAGCGTGGGCGAGCGCCCACCCTGTTGGATTGATTTCACAAAGACAATGGAAAGGGTGCTATCTATGGATAAGCATGCCAAAAAAGTCCGTCGAGCAAAATGCATGTCTGCGTGGTACTGTTACTGATGGCGTGCCACCACCATGACCTAGGTGACGTATTCCGCTTCATGCCCTCTCAAGAAGCGTGTGTGGGAGGACAATTGTCCCATGCGGAGTGATAAAAAAAAGTTGATTTGGAAGAACGGAGTTTCTAGATCATGGATGTCCTGCGGGCATTTCTTTGGTCTCTCTGGCTTTCGATTTCGCATAGAGTGCTGTGGATAATGGGTGCCTGATGTGTACGCGGTGGGGGAAAAGCCTCCCCGGACTTCGTGGGCGAGTCAGCATGCTGTAATCCCACCGCCGACGTTTCAGCCCTAACTCTACACATGCTCGAGAATGGCGGTAGTTGAGTAGGCGAGAGATTGTAAAACGCGATAACGCAAGCCTGAGAGTGCGCGCCATGTTCGGCGTGGAATGGCCCATGGGTCGAGATGCTTAGAGGCGTACGGTGGTAGGTCTGTTCGGAGTCCATAGCAATGTGATGGGAATTTAGATGGTACATACATGGACCAATCCAATGTAATGCGCAACACATGGACGAAATACAATTGTATCATCGCAAGACGAGTTCCTCAACGCTTCATAGCAAAGACAATGTTGATGTGCCCACCAAAACAAACAATAGGATCTCATCTCGATCTAAATTGATCTTAAAACAGATACACCCAACCACACCACCCTCAATCGCATAACAACATAGATGAGAACCCTGTATCTACCCATCCCATCGTCCAACTCAATCACGCCTGTACGCACGGTCGGACTTCGTCAAACGCACCCGCGGGCATACAAACAGTCCTCGCGCATATATCTTCCGCACGAATGCCTTTCGGGCGAGAGACAAGCTCGCTTCCTGCTACTCGCTACTTACACAATTTTCCGCCCCCATAAATGTAGATCATCGTAGTAGTGCGTCTTGCTAAGCCCATGTGTTCAGAGAACGGCCCCGTTTGTGAGGCCGAGTGAATGGAAGAACGAATGAGCGAGTGGGCACAGGGTACACTGGTCACTGTAAATATGGTGGCATACAACTATTGATCACTCTAAGTTACGGCTGCGGCTGCGCCATCCACAATCACCCTATGCCGTCCCACCTCCCGTTCCGTTGCGTAGCGAGACGCCTTCCTTCCATAGTGTAGATCGAACGAACGAACGGGTTCAGGGTCCTCGCATCGTATTCGACGGTACACACACTCTCAACCTAAGAAAGTCGGGAATAGTTCTGGCCACCCACTATTGTTATGATCACCACTCAAGCACCGTTGTATCCAGTAAATAATATCATAGCATTTGGTATTTAGATTTAATAGCAATATTGCGAAGCCTTAAGAAGTGTTTTTAATATAATGTTATTCTGCCCTCTGAAGTGTCTCTGTAGTCAATCAAATAGCCTCACGAGGCTTCCTAGGACTATTTCCGACTTCTCCCTTAGGTTGAGAGGCATATCCGATTAGAGAAATAACTACATAAAGTATGATTACTAAAACGGCGCATCACAACTATCTCATTTCGTCCTTCCCTATGCCCTCTAAGTAACACCGGCAAGTGCAAAGGTAGCATGTTGGATGTGCTTTGCGAGAGGTTAGACAGTTGGCAGTATGGTGCACCTTTGGTTACAGTTAATTTCCTCTAGACAGGAATAATAGGCGGCTCAGGGCCGCATTGGTGGACATGTAGGTTGAGACTTCGATACTCCTCTCAGACGGGATACAGTGTATCAACAGCCGAGAAGACAAGCTCAACTTTATTCTGCGAACACGCAAATGGGCGAAAGTCCAAGGAAGACGTATCGCAGCATGCCTTTCTCATGTCTTGAGCCGAGCAAACCTTTGACCTTTCCAGAGAACCACTACTCATTCGTTTCGTTGCGCTCGGATCAAAGCTAGCTTACCTTTTCACCTCAATTCATCTCTTCTTCCATAATGTTTGGATTCTCCTTGTGGCCTTGATCTACCCACATTCGCCCTGACTTTGGCTCCCTCAGTCGGTACACTCAGATGTACATACCTGTTCCATGACAGTGGTTCATTTGGCAGACCAGGTGACGAACTGTTTGAACCCTTGAAAGTTCCAGAAGATTCACGTCTTGATCGTAGACGATCGCATTCTGGCGTGGTCTTCCGCTTAGAGCTTCGTTGAAATAAGATGCAATGACGAATCGTGCGCAGCATCATGATCTTTCTGCTGCTGGAGCTGACAACTCTCCTCGTCCACAAGAATAGAGACCACTTCCGCATGCCCATTCTTTTCTGCCCAGAAATGCGGCGTCCGTCCCCTGCTGTCCAACTTCAGAGGGTCGGCGCCCACCTTCAAAAGGTACCTCACGACCTCCACCTTCCCGAACTCCGCCGCCCGATGAAGCGGCGTCCCGAGACCAAAAGGCTCGCGTTCCCAATACGTCCTTGGCTCCTTCTCATACTTGACCTCGTTGGCCGGTGCGCCTTTCTCCACGAGCTGTTGGACGACCTGCAAGACGTTGGGCTTATCTCGTATAACGGCGTAGTGGAGGAGTTGGCCACGGTGGACGCTCGCTCCTCGTTGAAAAAGCATATCGATGATTGGTAGAGGAGCCATGTACATAGCGTATGAAGTCGGTGTGAAGTCCCACTCGCACTGGGCGTTGGGATCGGCGCCGTGGTCTAGCAACCAAGTAACCATCTCTGCATCAGCGGTGCACACTGGAGTACTACGCCTTGTGAGTAGTTCGTGCCTAGTATAGAGTAGAGACAGTACCTCAACGCAGCAGGCGAGTTTCGCCCATATTGTTCATTGATATTCCAACCATAGCGAAGGAACAATTCTAGTATTTCGTACGCTCGGCAGCGCACGGCTACGTCGACTGGAAGTTTGCCGTTCCCGACATTTTCGTCAAGCAGATACTGTACCATTTCGACATTCTTTTGCCGGATCGCTTCGCCGAGTGATGAGAATAACCACGCTGGATGCGGTTCTACGTCTCCCGCAGATGCTTCCTTTCGGTTGTGGAGAAGCTGCTCGACCTGTTCTTTGACACCATTGAAATCATTATTACAAGCAGCCTGGTAACATCGAGCTACTTGTTCGGGCCTGAACTACTGGGGAAGGTTGATGTCAATGGGTGCAGGGGATTGCATATTGCATATCAGTTGTGTTGCGGAGGATGAGTATATGGCGAAGGGAGGTCCGAACTATCTCTGATATATATGTGGACAAAGAGTGGGGAATTTAGCTCCCGTTAATGCTGCTTAAGTGCTCCCGGCTCCCCAAAGAAACTGACCTACAATGCTAACCTCGTTAAACAGCATGACGAAAGAAGAGATGGAGAAGCAGCAGGCTCAAGAAATCAAGATCATGGAGGCGGCCCAAAAAGCGCTGGCGACACAACAGGCACAAGCAGGTGGTCAACGGCGCTCAGGATCGTGAAACGGAGTCAGTCCACTTGGCACCAATGTCTAGCATTACCTTCAGCCATAAACAAGTGTCTCACAACTAAGAAGCCTGCCAGAGATCTCCCTTTATCTGGCGACCCTGGGCCACTGTATGCATCTACAATACCACCCATCTCAACACAACCTCCCCCTCCCGCCCTCGTGCACAACTTCTTTGCGTGAACATCCCGATCGCATTCAATGCCACGCCTCGCAATCCAAATCTCCATCTCTGATGCAAGTCCCCGAAAGTAGCGCTCGAGAAACCAGCGTGATAATTAAATGCCGTGCACCGGGTGTCCGCAAGAGCAACACATAGCCATCTTATACAATAAAGCAGTAACCACACCTCAAGTCCGCCTATGTGAACTTTAAGAGTCTCCTAGCATTCGGAAACCCAATACCTAGATACTAGACTACTGACACAGTAGTTGAGAGATCCATGCCACTTTGTGTCCATGTGATTACATCGTTGCCTTCAGCCCGCTGTCATTGGCTGTAGGGTTGGAGTGCCGATGCATTGTGGTTTACTACGGTGAGCAGAGAACTTCCTACCTGTGACGCTTGATCGATCACTGATCAGGTATGAGATAACTCTTACCAAGACGTGGGTAGATAGATGGTATTCAGTGACTATATGCATGTGTATGGTAGTAGGAATGTATGTAGGAATGTTGATTATTATATATCTCACAATCTCCCAGTGAATAACGATCGTACTCTTCGTGAAGGGTAGGTAAGAAGAGAGATGTTTTCCTCGCAAGCATAAACAAAAAGGTTTCCTTTTTCCCAACCAAGAAAAGTTTTTCCAAAACAACGCCAAAGTTCGTAACCAAAAACAGATGTACTGAGAAATAATAGCCCATTAGTAGTACTACAGCGACGTTGGGCTGATGCGGGATGCTAACAATGCTCTAACGCGTAATCTAATCCATGGGTCGTTCGTTTCATTCATTTCATTCGTAAGTCTTCCATTCTTCGTCGGCGACTCTCAGCTGCCTTCTCAGCCTCTCGAATTCGGCCTCTCTGTACCCGCCTGTGGCGTTCATGGTGTCGAGCCAGCGGTTGATCTCTGACTTCTCCCGCCCAACTCTCGACTCCACCCTCTTTCTCTCCATGGCTTTGCGCTTCAGATAATTGAAATCATTGTCGTCAGATGCTCGGGAGAAGATGCGTCGCATGCGTGGAGAGTATAGACAGCAGCTCGATCCCGATGGCTCCTCCCCTTTGACGAGCTGAGTGTTGCGACTGAAGAGTTTGGCAATGGGCGACCGCTCCTGGATGGCAGGCCAGACAACTTCGGAGTAGCACTCCTCGCAGACTGTAAACTCGGGAAGCGAAGGAATGTAGTGCCATGGCTTGTTAGCAATGGCCTGGTCGCGCGGACACTCCTCTCGAAAGGCATTGTCACGAGCCATAGCGATGAAGCGTTGGATGTCTGGGTCGCGGGATTTGCGTCGCGCCTCTTCGTCTATCTCAACTAGAAGATCAAGATACTTGGGAAAGCGTTCGGAGTCGACACGTAGAGAGCAGAGGGTTGGACGAGTACTGCCATATTGGCTGGCTCTGGGTAGTCGGGTCATATAGCCATAGATGCTGGGAAAGAGCGCTTCTGTCATCTTCAGATCGCAAGGACACACGCGGAAGTTCCTAACATGTAGCCCATCCCTTGGATCAGCTATTCCGTACCATTCCACGCCAGCGAGCTCGCGATCGTTGGGACAAGGGGGGTTCATGTCGGCAATCGCAGAAAGTGAATACAGGAGATCGGGCTCCTTTCGTCCCTGCTTGGTGGTCAAAAGCCACGCTAGTCGCATCCATGGAGAGGAAAAGTCGCAGAACCGTGCATTGTAGCGCCGGACAGGTCTAAAGTAAGAAGAGAATCTGGTGTCGGCAAAAACCCCGTTGTAACAGTCGGGGCATATGTCGAAGTTCGGGCAGCCTTCTAGGGTGTACCAGTCATCGTGTTTAGATGGCAACCTGCGCGAGCAAGACGGCAGCCTCCCGTCGACGCTCTTCGTCCTCCGTTCGCTGCGGTGGCTATCATTACTTTCTTGACCTCTCACGCTGCTAGGCCTTCCCCTTGCGGATCGCCCAAGGTCTTCCGGTGCGGTGTGACGGCTAGGTGCTAATGGTCTCTGGAAGGTCGATGAAGGGCGTTCGCGCGGAGACCCAGCGGTTGGCGATGACGAAAGTTTTGGGGAGTCTGGGTACGGCGATGTAGGCATCCTGGGGGAGTCTGGGTAAGATGCATTCATATTGGTGGTGGAATACGGCGAGGAGGTAGGATTGGAATGATCATATTGGAAGGCTTCTTCGGGGGGCATGAAAGCGTCAATTTGACGATCATCCACGGGGTATGGCAGAGCGCTGCTATGCTGAGGGGGTCTTGACGGGGAAGGGGACTGCACGTCGATACGTGGCATCGGTACAGGCATGGTTTCGTGCCGAGAGAAGCGAGAAGGTGGCCTTGATCGATCGGTGGAAGAGACTGGGGGATAGGTAGCATGCCAATCTGCCTCCGTGATCGGTACATGTGGAGGCAGCGTAGAAGAGGACAGAGGAGATGGTGGCCTTGGTGCACCCGACCGGGAGGATGGCCTCGACGGTAGGTTGGATTCGGCAGGACGGCGTGGTGGAAGCTTAGGTGACCGGGGAGGGGAGGGTGGAGCTTCACGGGATAGAGGCGAGCTGGGTCTGATGGGCGACTCTGGACGAGATGGGCGGGAATTGGAGTACGTCCTTACATGTCTCGGGGGGCTTCTCTCTACGCGGGCCGGCTTGGGTTGAGGTGCATAACCATTGAATGACGAGTTTGATGACCGGGGAGACTCAGAATTGGAGGATTGGTTCTTTGGGGAGCCAGAGTTCGAGTGGTACCTATCCCGTAGTGAATCAGACCTTGGTGGATCGGGCCTTGGTGGATCAGGCCGCTTCCTGCCAATGTCACTCTGAGAGTTCATGAGATCAGTACGGAGGTCCTCCTTTTGGAGATCGCTCTTAACGAAGCTGTACCGGGCAGGTTTCCGTTCTGTACGAAGCAACGCTGGGTCCTCGTCGACGTCGGAGTCCTCGAAGACATCATTTCTTGGGGCACGAGGAGATTGATTGAAAGAATCATAGCGACTGTGAACTGGACTGACCCTAGGAGGCTTTGCGTTTTGGTCCCGTGGAGGATCAACGATCGTGGTGCTCGGAACTGATCTCGGAATGGAGGTGTTGGTTGGCGCGATGGATTCTGGAGATAGAAAGTATTCGTCGGCAGAAGGGCGAATAGACTCTCGCTGTGGCTTGGTGGATGCGTAGGGCGTGGAGGTTCGCTCCGTGTAAACGGGAGGGTCGCTAATGTTGGTCTTGATGTAAGGCATGTTGCCGCGCTCCGCGAAGCTCTTGCGCCTTTCCGAGGTGGCCGACTTGGGATGCGACTTTGGCTTTCGCCGGGTCTGGGCGTCTTCGCTATCGCTGGGATCGGAGACGAGAACGAATCGACGGTCGTCGTTGGTTACACTTGGCTGCTCGACCTGCTCGACCTCCTCGATGATAGGGTACTGATCGACGCTGCCCCGCGCCTTCGCTTCTTCATCGTCGACATGTTGGGTGTCCGAGATTGTGTGGGACGAATATTCTTTTGCGAGTGCGGCGACCTCATCTTCGACGGTTGGCGCAGGCGGCCATGACTTTGGGTCGGCGCGACGGCGAGTGGTGCGATAGGCGGAGGGGTAGGACGAAGGAGGGGAGGAGGAGTAGGAGGAGTTTTGGGCGGAGGAGCGCTTAGGGAGCGGAGGTTGTGCGGCGTAGCGGCGTTCGTAGGAGGAGGTATACCCGCTCAGATTTGGGGAGCTGGACATTGCTGTTAGCCTGGGTGAAGAGGGATGAAAGGGAAGGAAAGAAGAACAAAACATACCTTGGGTAGCCATCTTGGGCGTAGGACCTGGGGTCGTAATGATCCGGTCGAGAAGAAGAGTAATTGTGACGGGTATCACGGTCGTAGTAAGCCATGCAAAGTAGTTGGAGAGGTCGAGGTGGTCTAGGTGGTCGAGGTCCAATGTCATACGAAGGAAGGTGGGGGAGGTAGAAGGATAGATATCTGACAGTATGGGATGAGAGGTGTGGTGCGTAGTTATTCAGAGGGAAGTGAAGAAGCTGTCAAGTTGAGTGAGTGTGAGTATGAGTGCGAGAATGAGTGCGAGAATGAGCGAGTGAGTGAGTGAGTGAGTGAGTGCGGAGTATGATCACATTATGTGTGTCAGTGTGTGTGTCTGTATGCAGGTGAGTCTGTACCTAATGCATGGCCCATCATGGATTGTTTGTGTTAGTAGGGCTAGTGACGGTACCTTTGGGGTACTTTCGAGTCCATAGTGGGCAAGATGGAAATCGCAGTACATTGACGGTACCTGTTGCTAGTTCTGTAACAGGTTACGGTTGGCGCCACTTTCCCTGCCCATCGCCCCGTTCCTTCCCCCGAGACCGCCAGTTCACCGTCTCTCCTCTCTACCAAACATTCAATCTTCGCCTACCTAGGTATTCCTTCGCTAGGTATTCACACCTCATGCCTCATACCTCATACCTCATACTCTTACTCTTATTGTATCTAACGTCATATCACGATATTCATATCTTCTTCTATTTTGACAGTGTTCGCCACAATATCGTGTACCCATCCCATGTATGCAGCTTAACTCGGACTATGACAAACCCATCTCGGCCGCACGACATCTACGCTTGGGTCGTTGCCGTCGAACCGAATTCCATCTCACTTGATTGCACAAAGCCTGTGAACTACTATGTCACCCTGGTATTTCATTACATGTGTAGTTACGGTTGCATACCTTTAGGATACAAACAGAACGACCGAACAGAATCCTCAACCCCGGTAGCCTCCGAAAGAGCGGTGGGACGGCCAAAGAGGAACTGTACACAGCCACCGCACATCGTTCGCCTCACCTCACCTCACCATTCCACCATTCGGCACCCGCAACCACTCTTGGCCACCACCAACTACCATTACATATGGAAGAATACTGTACTTACTGAGCCCTACGACAGAGCCGCATCCGCTTATCCTGCCACTACTGCATCTTTTTCGATGACTCGCGCCCTGTCTTCCGCGCTTCTTGACATGCCAACCTCTGGCCTGCGTACCATCTCTTGTTTGCTTGCGGGGAGGGGAGCTAAACGGTAAACCCTCTCCAGCCAAGGCAGACACACTCTCCAGCAGTGCCTTCGAACTCACCACCTCCTCCACCTTTGTGCCAGCTGACCACCTCGCATCCTGTACCTACATGTGCCCAAGGTCCCGACTCATCCGACCGCAAACAACAAAAATGAAGAGTGACATTCGAACCACTTTCTAGCATCACGCCTACTCTATTGCTGTATGTATATGTTCTCGCCGGTCAGCGCCTTAGATATGCGGCTGTCACCATGCGTGTGTGTGTGCTGCTGTCGTCTTTGTGAAAGCAACCGCCTCACTCATGGCGGCCACGCTTCTCTGAGATCTTTGTCGTCCATTTCTCTTACCAAATGTCTGCAACTCTTCACATGATGATGCGCTGGGCCTCAAACCCCTTCAGCTTCCCTCCTCGTGACCTCCCCTTCCTTCCACCTACCCCACCAGCTCCTTGACGACTTGCTTCATACGCGCGTCTCACTTCTCAACCAATCTGCCTGCATATCTCTCGGCGTGCCTTGCGCTCCACATATCGATCTTGAGAATGTCCACAACGCTAGACGCACATTAGAAAGGTCAACCGCGCTTCCGCTCTTCCCGCTTGGCGAAGGGAAACCCCCATCTTGGCCTGTCGAGAGTGTGGAGTAAATTGTGGCTGAGGGGTCATTTAGCTCGAGAGGGGCTTCTGGAAGGCTTAGTACTTTGCTGACTGGACAGGAGGTGGAGTAACAAGTTGAAGTGGTGATCTCGTCTTCGGAAAGATGGATGCCGGATATCGGATGCCGGACTATAGCGATTGCATACTCGCACTGGTGATGATATCCACCTACCTAAACTCCATAGGCGCCGCAACATTCCAGATGAGTACTTATCTTCGTGCATAGCAATCCACTGGCAGAAAAGAACAGGAAATGTGCACTACTATAACCAATTGATACCCCATCACAAGTATCATCTCTCCGCATATCAGAATCCTAATCACAGCTCCTCCATCCAGCTCTTCCACAGAAGACATACACATATAAAAATTTGTTTCCTAATCAGGCAAGTTTAAGCAAACACAGGCGAGAAAGGTAACAAAGAGGCCAAAAAGAGTGTCGATGTCTGCTTTGTCACTGGCGGAAAGGGACAAAGACGGTAGTGTGGCTTTAGCGTGGCGCACCGTCTCTAGATAACTGCTAGGTATAGGTACGTGATGCGGAGCAATGGATGGGATGAGTAAAGGAATCACACGACCAGGCATCCATTTCTCCACCTGTACTGTATATACATACAGTGTTCTTCCAAGCATACACACATTTGGCGATGACAAAAAGCCAAGCATGGAAGCATGTCAGATTTCCCATCTAGGAAGGTTCCAGGAAAAAGTGTCGATGACGGTGGTTTTAACACTACTCCTCAGCCAGTCGTTCTTCCTTGGCCTTGGGACCGGGAGGGGGAGCGTGAGAGGTGGTTGTGAGTCTTGTGACTTTTGCGGGCGCCTGACGAGGGAACCAGTTTCGGCAGTCAGCAATATGTGCCTTATACTAGGTACACATACACATACGAACGTATGAATGTATGTACATACATACCTAGGTAGATGCAATACATTAGATACACAAACCACAACAACAATAATCACAATCAAACCCCCCCCGTTCACATCCCGCCCTCACGGAGCACAATCCCGAACACCACCTCCAGCAGAGGACTCCGAGTACCATGTTAACACCTCTCCTTCTCAAATTACCCAATGCGGTATGTCCCCTCCATTCCCATCGATCGCGGCTCACAAATCGCCCATCGTAATGCTTTCCCCTTCCTCCCTCTTATCTCACAACCTCACACAAATACTCTTTCCAATCGTCCGAGTCATGTACCTTATCTGCCACCACACCGCGCTCCATCAGTCAATCTCACGATAATTCTCGCCGCGGGGAAGTTCCATTTGCCGTTTCTCTCCAGAAATGGTAGGAGAAGTGTTTTTGTGTCGATCGCTGGGGTTTATTTGTGTGTAATGGATTTGTCGTAACGTGTGAGCAAAGGGGATCTTTTTGCGATATCGAGACGCGCGCGCCCCGCTGAGGGTCGTCGGGGTGGGAGATGCGTTGATGCCATAGATTTCACAGGACAGCATGCCTCGAAGAAGGACTGCGTGCAGAGTGATCAACAGAGATCGTACCAATATCCTCCCATCAATTACTGAATGCTCATGTTGACTACACGACGACAAGAAAGAGCATTCAGCCAATCTCCACGTTCGTATCACTTCGTAATACCATAACCAAATTCCCAATTTCCTAAAACAGTAACTCAGACATTTTCTATCGATCACTGCAGAAATAAAAAAGTTCAGTCGACCCTACCTTTTCCAACCTAACCGCATTCGAGGGCGCGAAGAAGTTCACCCAACCACACCTCAGCGTTTTATGCGCACGACAGCGTTTTATAAGAGTTTGCACATGGCTGCTAATTCTAGTGCTCTCGTAAATATATACTTTAGGTAGAAAAGATGTGTGAAGCGCGCAGGTGGGCAGATTGACGAGCCACCGCTCTGGAAAATGCGAAAGCTAGCAAATTCAATGACCTAAAACGGCAGGTTGTGGTGTTTTCTATCGATCACTGCAGAAATAAAAAGTTCACACGACCTTACTAACCGCATTGAAGGGGGGCAAAGCAGCTCGCCCGACCATGCTTTTTAGTTCATCCGACCACACCTCAGGGAAGTATGTAATGGGGCTAGGCGTGATTGGGGGAGGAGGCATGTGCTTTGGAGGCCATTGTGGACTGTACCGTGTACGTATCTACCATGATAGAAGAAGGACACTGTTTTCGTTTTCGTTTTCGTTTTCGTTTTCGTTTTCGTTTCTTTGGCCAGGAGAGTATGTTCTCTCAATGCATCGACCGCGCATCGTCTTCCCCGTGGAAATACTCGTACCTATGTGTGACCAAGCCCCGTCCTATTACCAACGAATCCTCCCCTTGAGCCCCAGCGGCTGAAGATTAGATAACCAGATAATCCTCACACCTCGAGCCTTAACCCGAGGTAAACCACCATTCCTTCCCAAAGCAGTAGGTTCGCACGTTTTCCGTCGATCGATGCGCGTTGTCTCTGTGTAACACGTTTACCACATCGTTAACAGGTCCTTACGATAAACCAACGCCTGGGCGGGCTACGGCTACGGGGACGGAAGAGGGGAGGGTCGGTGGCCGCCGCCGCCGCCGCCGCCGCAGCAACGGACGTGCACCTATCTGTCTATCTATCAATTGCGACTATGTTATTCTATGTGTAGTGTCGAGTGCACTTGGGCCCGGAGATGCAATTGTTGGAGCACATTGATGGGCTGGGTTGGGGTTGGAGAGACTAAGGAGGTGGAAGTGTGCTATCTTATCGATAGGGGGGTTTACTTAATGCATTTACAAGTACTAATGGGTACACGTCCACACGCGTTACTCGCCGAGTCGATGGATAGGTCTACTTTACACATCTAACTAACGAGGATTACCCAATCTCATCCATCATAATCACCATCATCGTTGGAGGGAGAGGAACAGTGTTTCGTTGCCTAACAAACATAATTGCGGTCCTTCGCTCCGGCACGGCTGATCGGGCCAGATTCTTAAGGATTAGACTTGGAGATAGGCGTAGGTCTAGAGATAGAAATACTACTGCTTAGAGAATATATCACAAAGGTAGCGCAGGTATATGTCGAAAAGGACATGACCCTTGTGAAAGATCTCAACCTCTTTCAATGGGTCTTCCATGCTGTTGGCGGAGCTAAAGCATCTAGAAGCATGACACGAGTACTGAGTTTTACCTCGAATCTCATAGAGCCTACTTACTCTTCCAGTACTTTTCTATCATGTTTCTAACATCCAAACATTGGATGTCCGGGAATCTCTCATTCAAAGTCCCCTCCACAAAGCCCACATTCTCATCCGCCGTCCACCTCGAAAAGATGCTCATAAACCACTGAAACTGCGGCTTAGGAAACGTCTCATAACACTCCACCTGACTCGGCAATTCCGTCATCCTCCCTTCCTTAAGCTCTTCAACACTGTCATACGTAACCTTAAACTTCTCACCTACTTCCGTTAGCTGCATGCACCCATTCGTCCGACCTCCAACCAAAACATAAACATACCAATAACCCCCTCCGCAATCCCCACAAACTCATTCCACGTCTTCACATCGCCAGCGACCTTACTCACCGGCTCCCACTCCTCCTCGCCCAGCAACCGCACCACAAACCGCGCAACGTCGTAGCTATACGTAAACGTGACCCTCGCCTCGCCGTCCCCCGGAATCGCAGCCGTCCGACTCGCCACATCGACTGCAAACGGCGCTGGAGACAGGTGCGTCTTGATGTGCGGCATCGCCCAGTAGTCTAAGAAACAGCCGTTCAGGAAGACGGTGTACTGCAGGTCAGACGACTCGAGGAGGTCGATGGCCGCGAAGTAGTGGGTCAGCGTGGAAAGTTCTTTTACTGATCTGTCCGTGGTTGTCAGTGGGCTGTGTGTGTGTATGTGTGTATGTACGTACTCTCTCGGGTAGGAGATGGCAAAGGTACTCGGTACAAACCGCCTCGTCGTCCGACTCGCCATCGCAGCGCGGATGAGGTTCATCTGCGCGACCTCGAGCGAGTTACCGTGGTACCCGATTGTGCATATCACGGTATCGATACGGTTCTCTTCGAGGGTCTGCGTCATGGACTCGATGTCCGTGTAGTCGACTTGGAGAACGGCAGCGCCGTGTTTGCGGTCTTGTGATGCCTGCAAAGCGAAAAGAAAAAGGAAATGTTAGCAGATGTAGGGCAATGGGGTTTTCGCAACCCAGCGACGGACCTTTCTGCTGAGAACGAACGCTTCGTGCTCGTCTTGCTCGGATAGGACGTCGAGGATCGTGCGGCCGAGCTTGCCGCCTCCGCCGGCGATTGCTACGCGGACCATTGTTATCGCTATGGGATGAAAAGATGATTCCTGAGTTTTTGCCCCAGCTTACGAACGCATGTCTCTCGTCCAGTTATACAAGTTTGACCTGGAGTCCGCGGACACCGCGAGAGCGGGCGGCCATGCATTAGTCTAGCGCGCTGTGGAGAACAACTAGGCTGCGTTTCGAGAGATGTCCATAATTAGGTACATGGGCACACTGACGTCTGATCATCATGTTCTTATCAGCTGCGAGATATGAGTTCACAATGAGGCCTGGAAGCTTTTGACACAAGGCGGGTGTGACAGAGGAAGCCTTGCTTGGCGGCTCATTTGACGTGACGTGCTCACCTGTCTCCCCGCTGGCTATCGTGCAAGGCATTCGCTTTGATCATACCGGAACGTGGAATAAAAGTATTATCACATCAATTCATCTACTACCATGAAATAACCATCCCCATCACAAACCCTCCAATCCCAAACCCCATCGTCTCGCTGGGTTAGGTATGCATACCCCGCCACGTGTCCACCGTGCCCGCCTATTGGTCCGTCCCAGCGCCAAGGTTCCAAACTCAGCCTAGCATAGGGTTAGGGTTAGGGATAAAAACTGCTAGAATCGACACTTTTTGACCTTCGCCTTCCGCATTGGGAAGGTTGCGGGTGAGTCCAGCCTTGCGGTTGCGGGTCACGTGATGGGTTGGAAACGTCGAGGATGGATTGTACGGCCCGCGGTTTTGCATTTTGGTGTGGTGTGAAGGGTTATTGTGCTGTGGTTTTGTTTTGGCATCTCTCGCGAGTGTGGTTTTTTGAATTGTTGATTGGGTATAGAATCTGGGGACGATATATGTATGCATTCTTCGCAACGACATTGTAGAGGCATATACCCGCAAGCTACACCCCTTCTTCATGAAAGCCTTTCGAACACTTCTTGCACTTCATATCATCGGCCCTGAGTTGAAGTAGACGTCTTTTACAAGCGAGCGGCTCATCTTCTCACGACCCGCTCTCTCCAGCACCACCACCACCACCGCCCAAATCCAAACCCCCGAGCCCATCCAGACCCCCCAGGACCCCCAAATCCACCCCCAACCCACCATCCCAGTCCGCGCCCCAGTCCATCGACTCCGCCGCTGGAAACGCCCACCCAAACATCGTCTTCAGGTGGTCGTGCTCGCCGCCGCCGCCGACGACGCCCGCGTCCGAGCTGTGGAAGTCGGAGGCCGCGGTGAAGTTCAGGGGCGTTGGGTAGGAGAGGTAGTCTGTTGGATCTGTTTCCATGTCTGTGGGAAAGGAGGATGAGGTGTCGTATTCTGGGAGTTGATTTGGTAGGGTTGAGAGGGATGGGGGGAAGAGGGGGAGTTGGGTTTGGGGCTGTGAGGGTTGTTGAGAGGGTTGAGGCTGGGGTGTAATGTTAGATTTAAGGACTTTGCGGGTGAAGTTTATGTATGGGACGAATAGGGCGACTCACAACATCCGGCTCAACCTTCACCCTGACCTCCGCCTCTCGTTCTCCCCCCTCTTCACCAACCGCCATCTTCGTCGTCTTCAAGCCTACGGCCGGCGGCACCGGCGGCGGCTTCATCGACTGAGCCTGGAGGTAGTACTCCCTGGCGATCTGCGCGAACTCCGCCAGCACGCTGCCCGGCAGCGCGCGCTGCGACGCCATCTCGATGAGGCTGAAGTACCCCGCCGCGGACTCGAGGAGCGAGAGGTTGGTGCGTGATTCCCTATGGTGCGGGTTATGCACGACGAAGTCGAAGAGGATGAATATCGCGGAGATAGGGAGGACGGCGAGGATGCTGTTGGTCTTGTTAGTCTCCGGGTCAAAGAAGATGGATTGTCGTGTTTAGTTAGTTCTAAGGGACGAAAATGAAGGGACGTACAAAACAGGCGTATACGGTTGCACGTCGATGAACTTCGTCAGCTCGAGTATCGTCCTCGCGGTATCCATGAGCCGCTGCCTACTCATCTGCGCCTCGGCGCCATCCTCCGTGTCCAAATGCAGCGTGAGGCGCTCGAGTCCAATGACAATCTGATAGTAACTGAAGTGCACCTGCAGCGCGGCGAGCGCGACGCCCGTGGACGCCGCCTTCGGGAAGTTGTCTGCGCTGCCGGGGCGCAGGTCCGCGGGGATGGAGAGGCGCCATTCCTCGAGGATGCGGCGGACGTGGGCGATGGCGGCTTGGTAGGAGGAAGGGGAGCGTAGGGTCGCGCTGATGGAGAAGAGCGAGTTGTAGACTATGGAGCTGATGCGGCCGATGCGGATGAAGGTGACGAAGAGGTTGCAGTCGGCGTGCTGGGCTTCGGGGAAGGAGGGGAGTACGCAGCAGATGTCGTCGTCGGGGATGATCTTTGTGCATGGGATTAGCATCTGTCGTATAGATATGAACATGGGATGAGTGAGTACGCACTGAAGAGGTCCGACTGTGCATCGACTGCTGCTTCTCCAAGGCGTATATCACCCAGAACACCTTCAAGTGCTTCGGATCCGAGAACACGCTCTTGTGGTACCGGAGCGGAATCAGCATCCGCGCAGCCTGCGATATGATGCAGTCGTCGAGCTGGAGACTGCACGGATTGAGCGTGTATATCGACTACCAATCTTCATCAGCCCATCTATTCATCTTAACATTCACTCCAGCACGCATACATACCATCGCAGCCAAAGCCTACCACCCAATCTCATTAGCCATCCCAAGTAGTCCGTCAAGCAAAGAACTCAAAACGCACCTGCACATTCTCCAACCCCTCCCGCGGCAGCAAAATCTCCGACATATGCCCCAACGCCATCTGATACAGCTCCCACGACTTCCCCCTCCCAGGCTCGTACGTCCCCTCACCCAAGAACTGGCTGCCCAGCGCCAGCACCGTGTAGTACAGCGCCGAGAACGACGGGTTCTGCGCCATGAGGCTACGGAGATCGGGCCTGCTGATCTGCGCTTCGAAGTCCTGTCTGTCGAGGAATGGGTACACCGGGTGTACATTCGCGAAGAACGCTATCCGATCAATTATCAGCGAGTCCCCGTTTCCACACATACACATCATCATTCTCCGTCTGGGGTAAAGGGTAAGGTAGCAAAACGTAACATACCGTCAACATACGCCCCCGCCTCCTCATCACCCAACCACTCAATCGCGCCCCCCGGCTTCTCGAAGTTCACCCGCGGGAGACTCGACCCCTCCATGTACCCCAGCCGATCCAAGATGATGCCGTCGAGCCGCTGCACGAGCTCCCGCAGCCGCGACGTCCCGAGCTTCTCTGTCAGCGACGCGACTTTCTGCTCTGAGAAGAAGGCTAGGCCTGACGAGGGTACTGCCGCACGTCCATTAACATCAATTCAAGTAAACGTAGATGCGGACTCACCTTCATCATCGCCCGTCTACACGCACCCGCAAACGTGCTCAAACTCATCAGCCCAGTCCTCCAAACACCCCCCACGTCACGGGATCATTGGAACAAACACATACCGTAAACACGCTGAAATCACTCGGCGGCTTCACATCCTGCTGTCCGCACTGCAGAATACGATCGATGAACGTGTCGCCCAGCGCCATCTTGTCTGCTACGCCTCCTTCCCCTTCTCCCCTGAAGCCGCCGTGGCTGGGGAGAGCTGCTCCTCCGCCGGGGACTGGGGGGATGTTAGTATAAATGTATGGTCTTTTAATGGGGAGAGGAGAGGGGGGGATGTACCTCTGACGCGGATTTTCCGACGGAAGATGCTGAAGTGGCAGATTTGGCCGCGTTTCTGGGACGGACGACGCGCCCGCTGGTGTCAGCCACGCACACAGAACACAAAATGATCAAACTTGAAAGGTTCACGGTGGAGAGGAAGGGGGATGGACGTACCGTGCATGAGATACATATCGGCGCCGTTGTCGTTGTGCTTGCTGTGTCGGGGACTATTCACGCGCTCAGTAAGTAGTTCTTAGAGGTGAAAAGGAGAGCAATCGCCCAATCCCTCCGAACAGAGGAACGAAAGAAATGCAGAAATTGAACAATCGAATTGAACTAAGTTGAAGAGAAAGAATGAAGGGCTGAGTGGATGACAGTAACGTGAAACGTACTTATACACCGTATCTTACGACTCCGGCACTGGTCGCACGTCTTGTTTAGGCGTGGGCCTGTGCTACTGCTGCTGGTAGGTCGGGGTAAGGAGTCCATGGTGGGTGGACGGATATGTAGCTTCTGTGTGGTGTTTGGTATTATTGGTGTCGTTAATGTTGACGTTGAATGTTGATGTTGCGTGGTAGTCAGATAGCGTGCTGATGCCTGTCAAAGGGCGAGCGGGGGGAGGTTATGATGCTGGTGATGACGACCTCTTTATCAATCAAGGGCACACATGGAGTTTCTCAATCATCGAGGCCAGGATTTCCGTTCAGGCAAGTTCGTTTAGAGGAAGGTGAGATTAAAGTTCCTGAGACTGGTAGTCATCATTGACAATGAGGCTCTACGGAACGTCCGACAACCCAAGGAGCTAGTTTGGGCACGGCGTTGACTCGAGCGGCCAATGAACGTCGCATGTTCGCAACTGGCCGGCCTTGCATAACTCCTTGTGGTATCTGGGTGGAATTCCACCCTCCAAGACTTAACACATCACGTAAGTGGGTAAGATTTGAAGTTTCCAAAGGTTTGCATTCAATTATCATTTCCTTTCCTCCCCATTTCGCTCTCTTCTTCTGTAGATAATCCATGATGGCCGCCAATTCGTGGGGTCGGCCCACCCGGATGATTTTTCCATTCCCAGCGCGCCCTGATGTTGTTGTTTTTTTGTTCGATCTCGTTTGTTTCAAATGCATTGCATGCTCGTATCGTCTCGGCGTGGTGCTGTTTTTTTGTGGTGGTACCTTGTTTCCTCCGCTGTCCTTCGCACGTTTCGCACCCGTTTACAGAGTGCACCACCTTCGCGATTCCCATCGTCCCATGAACACCCGCTCCTCAATGTGGAAATAAAGCAAAACAATGCCAGACTGGGGTGCATCAAACGCATCCCCGAATTAGAGAAAAGAAAATGACTCCCCCCGATCAATAATTAACTCCGCGGCAGCTCTCCAATGATATGAGAAAAAAGGAAAGGGAGCGCCAACCCCAAAACCCGAGGCCAAACCGTCGGGTGCAGTAATAAAAGGACGAGCTCCATCCAACGCCGTGCTGTGTGACGAGCGGAAAGAAAAGAAAGGCACGCAGGCATTAAAGGCAGGCAAGGGGGCTGATCCAGTCAACTTACAAGAATGGAAAAATGAAAGTTGTAGACAGATGTACAGGCGAAATATATCAATGGCGTTTGATATACAAAGAAGATTGCGTCGTTCCTCGATGGATCAGCCGTGAATTCAAAATGCCCGCTCGTGGCGAAGACGAATCGGTTCGACGAAGGAGCGCAGTCAAAATGTTGTCGGCAAAGCAATGTCCGGTAGGATGACCAACGGTTGGTGACGAATCAAAAATCAGATGGGAGGTGAAAATGCCTGTAGAAGAGGCGCCAAGTGACTCCGTGCTGCCGTATGCATATGCATCGATAGGGTGCTGCTAAAAAGTGCAGGCGAAAAGCACACCGAATCGGAAATGAAGTAGTCTATGGGTTTATGCCGAACTGTAACGGTGAAAGAAAAGGTTGATCGCGAAATCATTTGCAACCATGCATGAGAGTGTTCTTGGGAACATCATAACCAGCTTGTTTCCTAAGAGAAGTCAGTATAATGAGTTTGACCTAGTGCAGGTGGTACGAACCATTGAGTGATGTTAGGATTTGCGTAGGGCTCAGGATGCTTCTTGATGTAGCCGGTCGTCTCGTATCCCTCAGGATCGCAAGTGACGATCTCATTGCCCTCGTCCTGGTAGATGCGGATGTAGTCGATTCGCATCGTGGCAGGAATGGTCTTGTTGATGAGGTCCCAGTTGATGTACGCAAAACTGTTCGAGATACCAAAGTTGGCGATGATGGACAATGGTTCCTCGGGAATGACTCGACGTCCGACGTTTCCGTTGGGTCCCAAAGCACGTGCATCCAGCGTCCAGGTCTTGTCGTCACCGACATACCAGGTGATCCATCCATTCTTGCCGGTCTTGTAGTCGAAAGCATACTTCTGATACTGCTTGCCGTTGTACCAGTCGTTGTTCAAATTGGTGAGACCGGACACGGCCTGCTGGAAGGGTCCTCCTTGGTAGGCATTGATCTCGGTGATGGAATGGTCGTAGACTTCCATGAAATCTGTTTTACGGTTAGTAGCTGAGTAGACGTAGTCCGAGAGTGTTCTCACCTGAATCGGCTCGGTACCAGATATCAAAAGGCGCAGTCTGGTAACTCTGGGAGACCTGACCAACACCCCGGGTGCTGTCCGGCCCCAAGAATCGAACGGATCCCTCGAGTGCGTCAATCTCGGGAGCGCTGCGAGATTTGCCCGGGGTGGGGTGGTCCTCGTTCTTGCATGTGCAGGCGGGGAGTCGCATTCCGGGGAGGTAGCTGAGGCCGTCGTAGGAACTCTGGTTGGGAGTGATGCCGTAGTCGCATTCGTCATGGTAGCTGTATGGCCACAGTCCATCTGTTGACGCCAAGTAGCCGGGACGAGCAAGATTACCCATCGTCCAGAAACCGGGCCAGAATCCAATGGTGTCGCCTCGTCCAGGAAGCGAAATACTAGCTTCTAAATGTCCACCCTTGTAGCAGAGCTTGTTCCACGACTGGATCATGCCGGAGCGGAAGTCGAGGCCGTGGTTCCTGATGTTATCGAATTGGAGCTCGAGAACGCCGTCTTTCGTAATCACTGCATCGGGATCATACCACTGTACATTCGTCAGTCGCCATTCCCAATTTTGAGTCCCGTTATTGCCTTACCTCCAAATCCTGTGTCGCACCGTACCAGATATCGACGGCCTGAAAGTATGGGTCGTCGCCGTCGTAGAACGTCCGGCCGGCCTTGTTGAATTCGTCGGAGAACTATGCCAGTCAGCTAATTGTACCTCTCCCGCCGTCGCATCCCTAGAACTGACCACAAGCACCTGCTTGGTTCCATCTGACGATGTTCGCGTCCTGAATTCTTTCGGCGTATCTGGGTCAATGAGGCTGGTGCGCAGACCCTTCAGATTCGGCTGGTCTTGCATTCCCTCAATGCACAGTGGGTTGCGGGTGCAGGGTCCAATCTCGGGTTCGGTGAGTTTGTGAACGAAGGTACTGCAAAAAAAATTAGCTACACGAATTCACGACTGATCTGTGTTCCAGGTTCCAAAACTTACAGTACGGGATAACCGATGAACAACACCAGCAGCCCCAGGGAAAGAATGACCAGAGCTCCGACATTGACGAAACCACGTTTGGTGAAGACATTGCAATCTCTGTCCTTGTCGTTGGGGTCAGGATTGTGCAGATAATCGTCCTTCTCTACATCCTCGGGAAACAACAAGAGTCCAGCGGAGGGAAGAATATTGTACTTTTCCGACACCGTCTGCGTGTTCAGCTCCTCATCGCTGCCTGCGCGCGAGGGGGCGCGCGAGTCGTCGAAGGGCGAAGCGAATGGGCTCATCCTCGAATCGTGGCTATGGATGGACTCGGAACTCCAGCTGGTGCGCCTCGACATTGTAGGTGATCGCAATGGCGACTCGTCGCGATACGCTTTCGACCTCGACTTCTTGGGCGGGAGCAGCAGTTCAGCGGATTCTGCGACGCCTGCATTTCGATAGAGCGAAGGGGAGCCTAGGGGTGACGGCAGGCCAGGACTTTGAACGGAGCCGGGAGCGGTGCCTGGGCGGTAGGGAGCGGCGGTCAAGGACCTTGGAGGGTTTTTCCGTGAGTGTGAGGAGGTGGGTCGCTGTGCTTCGACGTCGTGGGCTATGTTGTGCGTGCCTGAATTGAGGCGGATGTGTGGAGGAGCATTTCCTCGAGCCGACTGAGGCGGCGACATGGTGTGAGCGAAAGTATGGGGTGAGTGGAACAAAACAAATCAAGGCAGGCAGAGGGCGATCGTGATAATGCGTGAAATCGGCAGGGTCAAGATTGGTGGTGGTAGGCGGTCGGGAAAAGCGAGTGTTGTTGTGTAGCTGTGGCACGCAAACGAGGGTTGAATTCCAGTGACGTTTTGGGAGGTGGTAGTGGTGGTCGGTCTCGTGGATGGCGGTGACGGGGCAACGAGGGTGAGGATGTCGGAATTCAAACGTTCTCGCAGGGCCAGTTGGTGGGATCGCGAACCAAACGAGTGAGGTGGTGAGTGAGGTACTCGGTAGAGAAAAGGAAAGGAAAAGGAAAAGAAGGAGAGGCGGAGGATGTTTCGCGGTGAGTGAGTAATGGTAGGAGGTAGGAGTAGTAGGAGTAGTAGGAGTAGTAGGAGTAGTAGGAGGAGGCGGAGGGAGTAGGATCCTTGTGGTGTGGGCGGGTGTATGTGCGTGCGTGCGTGCGTGCGTGCGTGCGAGGGTGTGGGTGTGTAAGTGAGAGACAAGTAGAGACAGGTAGAGAGACACAGGGGGTGTACTGGACTGGTACTTGCTGGTAGGGAGGGAAGGAGGTGGATCAGAGAAAGTCCTCCGTAGCTACAGGCAGAACAGGGGGTTTGTAGCCTGTAGGTAGCTTGTGAGTGAATGACCTTGACAGTTGACTACTCCGTTCCGTTCAGTACTGTGTATGGAGGATATGGGCGAAGCTGTTAATAGAAACTCGGAGTGGTCAGAGGCCAAAAAAAAAAAAAGTGAGAGAGAAGAGACGAGACGAGACGAGACGGCTCCTGTCCGAATTAGGCTGTGTTGTGTACACACCCTGCCAGCACCAGCCAACCTAGAACTTACATCCAAGAGCTTAATCCTTTACAATAGTTACAACCAAGAGCAACCTAGAACCATTCAATCTAGTCTCTCTCTTCTCTCTGCCCTACCGTCTACCGCACCTGAACAGGAGAGGAAGAGGTACGAAAAATGGGCCAGGAACGCGCAATGCACGATCAACTTGGCGCTTCCTCTTCGACCAACCCAAACCTGAACGATTTGCTTGGCTGCCTGTATCGAGCGAGCTTAGTGGCTTTTTGCTTTGCTTGCTTTTCTCAGCTTTGCTTTTGAGGATGTTCGACGAGTAATGGAATAATGGTAATGTTGTTGAAGGCAGGTAGGTAGGTAGTACGTATTGTTTGAGTAAAGGTCAAAGGTGAAGGAGGAGAGAGGAGAGGGAAATGCCACCCGATACAGCAAAGATGGGCGGTGTTGGTGGGCGAAAGGGTACGAGACGAGTACGGGTACTGTGGCAATGGGAATGGCTACGCTCCAGCACACACATAGAGGGAATACGGAATGATGTGTCGTTCTATTCGGATCGGAGCAGCATTGCGTGTACACTCGTGTAGTAGTCCTAGTTGCAGTGCTTGTATGTAGTGTATGGATGGTATGTGCGACAGCTACGAATACGGGCAGACTATCGGAGAGGAGAGAGCACGAGTTACTATTAGAGATTGCAGATTGCACTACACTCACTCTACGGCGACAATGACGATCGATGATCATGACGATGATGTGTAGCCTGTTAGCTCTACTAAAACCTAGAGAGAGAAATCAAGAAAATGTAAAGAAAAAAAAAAGCGTTGCCGATCCCCTGTCTTGTCTTGTCTTGTCTTGTCTTGTCTTGACTTGAACTTGTTTAAACCCCCGAGAAACTCGCCAGGGGGTTATGGAACATCTCGACATTCGGCACCCTTTCCATCTTCATCCTTTCTTTCCAGCTTCCGGCGCAAGATGGACGAATCAACACCTCTGCAGCGAGAGTTTCCAGCTCTTGTGTCTCCATTAACTAATACCCCTTACACAGTAACTACTCTTCAAGTGTCCATAGTGACATAGAGTGACAAGCTGGGTGGCGGGCGATTCTCGACTACGGACGCTTGTGGCACCAGCTAACAATATCCGCCCATCCCATCCCATGATCCATCCCATGATCCATCCCATGATCCATCCCATGGTCCCATGTCATTTCTTGCCCTCCCCTTTCCTCATTTGCTCGTCCCTTGTTGGCTATTCACTCCGACCCACTTGAGGCGTTTTACCTCGCTTCTGGTCTGCTTCCGTTCTTACGAATTAGCACTGCCATCAGCTTTCCATCCGGGCGATCAACAGCGAATTTCCTTGCTCGACCGTTGTCTCTTGTATCATATGTAACCGTAGATCATCTCTCAAATGCATCCAATCCAAACGACACAATCTCGATGCGACAGAAACATTCGGTGCGACAATCTCAGACGAAACAAGAGCATGACGATGGTAATATTAACGTTGAGTGGGTTGTGGATGCACTTTATTTCCCTGCGCCTGGGCATACCGAAAATGAATCGAATGCATGATGGTCGAGTCTTGCTTCTTCCTTTCATTGTATTAATTGTAGTAACTCTACTGTACTGTGCGGCGTGCCTGGCCTGGATACCTAGGTAGGCTGTAGTTACCCCTGACGAGGTTCTCGACCAACCCAATAGTCTCCCCCATGGACTCCATCCATCCAATAATACAATAATAACCTCAACGCCCCATCTCTCGCCAATGCATTCTAGCCTGTGCCGTAGCTACACCCGTAAGCCTGTGGCCTGTAAGGTGTACCTAATTGTAGACTTGCTGTCGAGAGAGATCCGATCCGCCAGCCTCATCCAACGCCATCGATGCAGCCACATCCACCAACCAACCTGAACCCCCTTCTCATCCATCATCACCACCTTGCACCTGTCAGCCTCTATCCAAAAGACCACATACATCCAACGCCCTGTGCTCCTATTCCATCCATGTCCGGAGATACCCAGAAAACACCATCCATCTATCGATAAAAATCTCCACCCGCCCGAGCACGTTATTCCCTCCTAGCCTGCCCTCCCCCCCTGACAGCCGGCCACCGACCCCGAATAGATCGATCTGCCCGTTACGCGGCCACGGCAGACACAGTATGTGACTAACCAATACATGGGAGAATTAACCGCCCGACCGTACCCACGGACAGTTAAGCACCCAGGTAGGTCGTTATTATTATGGAGTTTGCTGTGTCGAACGAACGGTCGTAATTTCTATTTCGCACATCGCCATTTGGGGATGGGGTGAGAGGTTGACTCCTTAATTAGGGATGTTATGCCTCGGTATGTTGGATGAGTGCAGTAATGGTGCTTGGGATATAGTCGTAGCATGCGCTTAGATGCATACATACCGTGTGCATCCATCCAAAGTTGAAAGAACTCGACTTCGATGGCTCGTATTTCCCCATTCTTTCCCCTGGTGGCATCTATCCTTATCCATCGCACCGTTTCTATCGTGTCCAGTTATCGATAAACAGCGGGAAGGGACATAATCCTATCGCACCTCGTATTGCCCTGAACCCTGGATTTTTGTTTCGCTGGGGTCGCCGCACACGCGCTTGATGTCTGCATTTCACGGGGGCTTGAAGCTTGATGAACGGGTAGGTATATCACTGGGTACTTAGGTATAGGTAGGTGCTTGGGAGTTTTATACAAAACGCTTGACGTGTCTGTCATAAACACCACTCACCCGCCAAACGTCAAATGTCAAATGTCAAACGACAAACGTCCCTTCGTTCGTACATTCATCCGTCCATCCACCCGTGACTAACGATATACAATGCCATAACCCGATCGATCAACCGATTTATATCTCATACACCGTCAAACACCCCCCTCTCATAATCCCATTCACCATCATAATGTTCGCCTTGACCCGCCATCATCGCCGCCGTTCCAAATAGACACACATAGAGACAGTTACATACCTCCACAACCTCACAAGTGCATCCTCGCACAAGCACCATTTACTCCATCTAATCGACACCTGTGAACGGCGATACACAGGAATCCTCCATATACGCCTGATACTAGGACTACCCCATATGTATAACCCACAAACCCAGTCCATACAAATCGCACTGCAGAGAGGGTGGGATACACTGTGTTGGTGGGGGACGACGAGGCCTTTCTTCTCTACTCTCTGCGTGGATGTGTGATGTGAACTGGATATGATTGATTGACTGACGACGGAGAGGAGACGGTTGGGCATGTGTCCCCGTTCATCGCAGCAGTGATTCGCGTAGCTCTGAAAGAGATTGGTAGCAAACTCTCTCGACGGAGGTATGATGTCTGAGACCGGGGCATGTTGCATGTATATCATGTCAACTCTCCTGACACCTCAACATTTCGTTCTCCCACATGTTCACCCGACAACCTCACGAAGCATCAGACTTACACATTCCTTCTTCGTGAAGAGCTTCCCCCAGGCAACATAGTTAGACTAGGACATCGCCTCACTGTAAGTCCTCGAAAAGAAGCCCATCCCCTTGGAATGTGCTTCAATACGTACGTACCTCAAGTATCGTGCACATATCTCATTACCCCGACGAAACCCTCATATCTCACATCGCGTACTCTTCCTCTACTTTCCCCGTAACAGACCACCGTTCGTAAGGTATCATAACCAAAACCTTCATTTGAAAATGAACAGACAAACACGAAGAAGGAGTATATCCACCAACACTATCAAAATAGGTACTAGACAGTTCCAGCGGTATGACGGCATAGAATCGCTCAAACTCCTAGGAAGGGAAAGTAACGTTCAAACGATTCAATTCGCATTCTTACCTATCTGCACATAGAGGGGGGATGACTGTTTTGTTGGATGTTGATGCCATGGCTACTGTATAGCATGGATCTTTGGCGTAGGTTGAAGTAGGCCCACATGTCGAGTCACTTGAATCCGCCTTCCCCTGAGACGGTCAAATCCGAGATCATACATCCCAAATGCACACACATCATACGTCGTTCATTTCAAAATACCCCAACACATGCAGAACAACACCTAGAAAGCGACACAGAGCTTATGTATTCATATCCTACCAACACCCCAACCTACGACTCCACCGCCAAAGCCTTCAACCCCACGAGTCGCCCCTCCCCCTCATCAACACTAACGACGTAATACTCGGTGCGGGTGCCCCCCAGCTCGACCCGGAAGTACGCCACCTTCCCATTGCCCGCCTTCTTCACCGCCTCGATGACCTTCTTGTAACCCGAGAGCTGTTTCTCGTCGGCGGGCGTGACGGCGGATGCGTGGCTGAGGAGGGATTTGAGGTCGTCTGTTAAGGAGGGTTGCGTTAGCATTCCGACTGTAAGATATATAGAAAGAGACAGGATAATGGGTGGGAAATATGGGAGGGAGAAGACGACATACCAGCGCTAACACTCCCCTTCCCATCGAACTTCAGCGCAACAGGCTCAAACGGCTCATCCGCGTCGCTGACGAAGTACTCCTCGACCTCCTGAAGCGGCTGCGGCACCGCTGTGTTGACGCTCTTGGTGCCGACGTCTTTCTTGCTTGATGCGGACGCCGAGCCGTCGTTGGTGGATTGGTTTGCTTTGTCGAGGAAGGAGGCGTAGTCTGCGTCTGAGGACATGGCGGGTGTGGGTGTGGTGTGGAGGGTTCGTGAGGATGTGGTGGTGGTGGTGGTGGTGGTGGTGGGGTAGGATGTCGTAGTGGATTTGCGTGAGGATGGGTTTGCGAGGATAGGTGGGGTGAGGCGACGTGTGATATTGTTCGTGTGAGGTTTTGTTCGGGAGAAGAGCTGACCTGTGAGTGTGAACCTAAAGCTGCGTTGTATGTTGCTGGACATGGCTTTGGATGGAGGTTGTCGAGTATGATGTTTTCCAGCCAATGACGCAACCACCATCGAAGGCGCCAGGCGGGTCGCGGCGGGGAAGCTTGACGCGTGAGTGACACCAAGAGCTTAAGCACATCTGCAGATCCCCGCCATCCACTTGGCAACTATGTACTCCATTTTACGATGCTTCGATTGGGAATCAAACATGCATACAATTCCTTTAAACTATAACAATTTGCAATCGAAAAGTAGAGAGGAAAAGCAATTCCGTCTGTAGCTCTGTATACGAGAAAGCCCAAGAAAACATACCAGGAATCGAATGCTCTACTAACGTTAGATAAGGTTCTTGAGCATCATCTCTAGTGAACGCAAGTATGTCGATAGGGGAAGAGTCTGACGTGACAATACTCTGTCCATCATTTATCCTTGTGGTGTTACCCTTACTAAGTAACATAAAGAAGTTGAATTTTGTTCTTGGAAACCCTTCCAATCCTGCATATGTATTGAGCGATGTGATCAAGCCATCATAGGACGAGAAGACAACGTTGACTTGAACTGTTCCCCATGAGTGTATTGTAGCCAGTAAACAGTCTTAACTCCTTGCGATTAAATCTCGCGAATGCACTGTTGTAGGCATAAAATACTCTCGAAGGGCAACGTGCCAACCCTCTGTACCATAAAACAGAGCTGCTCTGGGCATAGAGAATCTATACAGTGTAATTTTGCTCTTGAGGGGGAGAGCGTACATCTGAATACGATTTGCCACCTGGTAGGATTCCAAATTCATCCAACTCTTTATCCGATAATGGGGCAACAAGCTTTGGCGGTTCTTTTGCTTTGTATGAGTGTACGCTCTTGTCCTTTCTTCCTCCAGTACAGAAGCTCCGAATTTGGTAGAGAACGTTTGCCTGGAACACCCGAAATCGAAATAAGGTAATCTGCAACCTCCGTGGATGACCGTGGTGCCCGATCCCACAAGGCTCTGCGGAACATGTACGTCGTGTGGCTTATTCCAAGATCGTTCAGGTTGCGTATAAATTCGTCTTTTCCAACGCGGATCCCATTGCCTTTAGACGCACCATTCTCTGATTTTCTCCCTGTAGCAGACAGAGCACGAATTGCCTCGACTCGGGCGTTTTGAAGAGCAGCAAGTACTGCAGAGGTTTAGCATGTCGGGCTGGCCACCTGCTAGCTTCATGTATCATCTATACCTACAGTGTCTACTTAAGAATGTACTGTAGCCAGTAAACAATCCTAACTGCTTGCAAAAAAACCTCGCTAAGGCACTGTTGTCGGCATAGAAGACTAGCATGGGGCCAGCCTGACGTGCCAACTCTCTGTATCCATTAGAGTCGCCCTAGCTCAAAGATTTGCTATCACTGCCGCAATCATCACCCACTGACTCTTCTTCACTGTTGTTGAGGAAGATTTCCTGTGGTGGTGGTGGTAAACATTGAACGCACCTTCCTTGTTGGTTTCCGAAACGCAAACGGATGGATGGAGCACAATCATGCGCCATCGGTCTTATTGTCCCCACGTAATATAAGTTCTCATATCTCTTAATAAACCTCATGTAGACGATTGAGCGTTGCCATAGAAAGCTCAAGTGAACCTTCGTATTTCATTAAACAGATTTTTTGGAGCATCCTCAAGGAAGCTCAAGTAAGCCTTCGAGCACGGGCAGCGACAATTCCATTGGATCATGAGTGAAGAAGGTTGCTGCTAGTTGTCTGTAGTGGTAGGTACTTATCTTGTTTATGTCCGGTTAGTCCATAGACTTATCTAAGCTCTCTTGCTGCTTTGTTGGCGACATCTGGCTGTTGTATGAGATAAATAGAACAACGCTGCATACAACTTCTTTAAACTACTAGTATTCATTTGATAACAATTTGCAATCGAAAAGTAGAGAGGAAAAGCTAGTCCGCCTGGATATCGTCGTCCCCTCCCTCCCGAAACATGTGATCATGGCGAGTCCTTCTGCCACCCGGAACTCCAAATTTTCCTCACAACAACATCGTCCAGTGTGGTATTGGATCTTCGTCTTCGTACATGTCAACAAGAAAAATAAGATTATGTACCACCGCGCCAGATGATTCCTCGAAAATCGTAGCAAAGGCGAATAGGGAACAAAGGGGGACAAAAGAAATGACATGACAAGTGGATGACACGGACAGTAAGAGTACTTGCCCAACTATCGTTGCACTATAATTTCAACACAACTTCTGATAAGGAAAAACAGTATCGATCCTTCAAGACTTCTGCTCAACCGGAGTGGGCGCATGGGGAACGCCATTTGTAGGAGCATTGCGAGGGCTGGATCGCTCGGACTTGGGTGCATTGGGCTTGCTCTCTTCGCCCTCATCGTCGTAGTTCTCATCCACATCCACGCGACGAGCAGCAGGCTCGTGGTGCTCTGGTCGCTCTTGTTTTGGGGTTTCTGTCATCCGGGGCAGCGGCGGTGGAGCGGCGGTCATCGGAGGCAGCGAGGGAGGGTGGTGAGCAGCCTCAGATGGGTGGTAGCCATCGTTGAAGCGACGAGCATCAGGAGCATCCTGTGGGCTGTGACGCTGAATCTGCGGAGAAGAGATGCGATGCGGTGGAGGAGAGGGGCGACGGCTGTGGGGCTCCTCGAGCTTCTGGCGCTTCTCGTCGTTGGCTGGAGGCTTGGGGTGATGCTCTGCCTCCTCCCACTCCCGATGTCGCTTCGGTGGAGCAGTGGGAGGGCGATCTTCCCGTTCGCGGGCGGCAGCTTCGGCAGCAGCAAGTGCGGAAGCTGGGGCCGGGGCACCGCTTGCGATTCCGCTTCCACCAGAGGGATCCGGGTGATGCTGTTGGTAGGGGCCTTGGTACGCGTTTCGAGGAGATCCTGCGCGGGGTTCCACGATCGGGCGGACCTCTGGTGCAGGGCTACTGACCCGTCCACCGTATGAAGGGGGAGGTCCCTGAGTCGCCGGGCCGCCCAGACCGGTAGGTGGCGGGGGAGGTGGAGGAGGTACATTGGCAGCGTGGGGACCGTAGTTAGGGTTAGAAATACGGTTTGGCTGCAGGGGTTGCTGCTGTTGCTGTTGCTGCTGAGGCGGCTGAGGTTGGGAAGGCTGCTGCTGCGGTGTCTGCTGTTGAGACGGCGGCTGAGGAGGGGGCTGATGAGGGGGAGCGTGCGATTGCGACGGCGTACCCTGAGGAGGCAACTGAGGAGGAGCGGGCGCATGGTATGGGCTGGGCACAACGCTGTGTGTCTTTGGCGAAGGAGACATGCCGCGACGCAGAGGAGCAGGCGCTGGAGGTCCTGGTGGATGAGAAGGCCCGCCAGGTGCAGGACCGTTAGTAGGAGGACGGGGAGGCTCCTGGTAGGGTCGCAATGGTTCCTGCCTGGGGCTGGCAGGTCGTTGGGCGTGCTGGGTGGGAGGTCGAACACCTTCGCGCTGGTCGTAAGGGTTGAGCTGTTGGGGAGGAAGTCCTGGATCGCGGATCTGAGCGAGAGGGCGGCTCCACTCCGAAGCAGATCCCAGCGGGGGCGGAGGCGGCCCCTGCGGCGGCTGCTGAGGTGTTGTTCCCCATTGAGGGGCAGCAGGTCCGTGGAGACCAGCAGGCTGGTATGCCTGAGGGTGCACATCCTGTGGCACGGGAGCGCTTGCTTGGTTCGGAACGCCATTCGAGGTCTGGCCGTTTTGGAGAAGTTGCAGGCGAGCCTTGATGTGTACGTTGGACGGGTCAAGATCAGCTGCACGCTGATAGGCGTCCAGAGCATCCGCAGTTTGGTTATTGCAAGACTCATACTACATTGTCCGTCAGCTGTGATGGCGCAGGGGTGAGTGGGCATGGAGCTACTTACGAGAGTACCAAGGTCGTACCAGACCTCCGAGATGTTGGGATTCAGGCGAATGGCTCGGGAGTATGCATCAAGTGCATCGCGGTACTGGTTGATCTGGTAGTAGAGGACACCAATCGAGCACCAGAACGTTGGGTTCCTGCCGTCGCGGTAGACAGCCTGCTGGTAGGCCTCGTACGCTTTGGGATACTTCTGCTGTGACATGTAGCAGCGTCCCAATAGATACCAGCTCTGTGCATCGGTTTGGTCTAATCAGGGTTGTTAGTTTTGCGGGTGTGATGTTGGTGGAAGGGGTAACGTACCAGAAGCCACTGATTTCTCAAGATACTCGATGGCCTGCTCTTGGCTTGCGTAATTTGTGCTCTGCTGGTGATGCAGCCAACCGAGCTGCTGGAGAACTTTGGCGTGATTGGGGTCACGCTCGAGAACCCGGCGGTAGGCACCCTTTGCAGCATCGAACTCCTTCTGTTGCTCATACACGTGACCAATCTGGAACCAGATGTCTTCTTCGGTCAGTGGTCGAGGAGGGTTCTGCACAATGTATTTGAAGCACTAGTCGTGCCACGTTAGCAGTGGTTTTGGCATGGGTGGGACAACAACTTACATCCAAACTCTGGTTGAACTTCTGCTGTTGCTTGTATATTATACCGAGGCGGAAGTAGATCTCGTTCGCCTTTTCGAAGTTGGGCTCCATCCTCATGACTTGAGAGAAGGCCTCTTCAGCGTGCTCGAGAGAGCCATAGCGATCGTACAAGATTCCAATACCATACCAGAGTTTTGGCTCCTAGAGGTCGGAGGTCAGCAATGGCAATCATGGGCGCGCGATGGTTTATTTTGTCCTACCTTGGGGTCGGAGAGATGGTAGAGGGCCTGCTGGTAGGCGGAATAAGCCTGCTGGAGATCATCCATCATGAGGTAGCAGTGGCCTAGTTTCCAAGATTAGTTACATGTTCCAGGTCGGGATCATCTCAGAAGAAGTACGTACCGAGGCTTCCCCATACTTCGCCGTTGGCGGGATCGACCTTCAGGATGGTTCGCAGATACTCGACAGCTTGCGGGAAGTGGTCCTTTGTGCGAAGGATGCACGCAATGCCCTGCATAGCGGGGATTGACCACGAGTTGAACTTCAATGCCTGTTCGTAGCATTGGACGGCCCCGTCCAAGTCGTTCATTTGTTCAGACAGAGAGCCTACGGGTCGGTTAGTGATCGGGGAGCGTGGCAGAGGTACAGCATTGTGGCAGAGCTATATCATTAAGGTACCTACCCATTTGGTTCCATACAGATTCGGTCAAGTGTGTAAGGTACTGCGAAGATGTCTTGGCCTGGTTTAAGGGCGGCGGATGGCCGTTGACCTGACCGTGGACGGGATGAGGAGCACCATGATGCGGTGGTATTCCCGCGGTGGGCGAAGGCTGCTGATGGCTCGCCATGGCCGGGAAACGCGACTACGAATGGACGTCCTCGAGGTAGGAATATGCGCCTTGTCGTTCTTGTGGAGCGACGGCACGAGCGATGCCTGAAGAGAAGGATTCGAAAGCAATCTCGATTACGTGCGATCAAGCTCGAGTACGTCGAGTCTGGGATGGTCAGTGTCTATGTAGATGATGATGATCGCGCATGTACATGTATGTATCCTTTGCGAAAGGGCATTGGGAGGGAACGTACTTGGTGTGACCACAGGCCCGAAGAATGGAAGGCCAGCGCGCGTGGGCGGTGTTGGCAAGAGAGGATGCGCCCGGGGGGGGCCAAGAAGGGTGGTGGTGAGTGATAGTGGATGATGGATCAAAGGAGTGACGATGATGTTTGTTTGGAGATGCGGAGTTGATGATGGAAGAAGGGGGGAAGGTGTGAAGGGGGACAGACTTCAGATGGTGATGAAGAGTGAGAGAGTGAGAGAGAGAAGAAGAGAAGAGGAGAGAAGGAGGATGTGGATGGAGGTTGGGACGGGAGGAGCGGGCGGGCAAAGAGGAGTCGAGGAAGAGCAGGAGAAAATGGGGGAATACCGCCTTCCATTACCAGGGCCTGGGTTAGGGGAGTTATTTTCGAGAGCAACTGAACGTTTTGAAAGGGACAGAAGCCATGACAGGGATCTGGGGGCTTGGTGGGCTTGGGATGGGTCAAGGATGGTGTGGGTGGAGTGTGCACTGTAGTGTATGTGCACTGTGTGTATGGGTGTGTGTGTGTGTGTGTGTGTGTGTGTGTGTGTGTGTGTGTGTGTATGGGTGGGTGGTAACTGGTAAGGGTGGTGAATGGATAGATATGGATTAGGGTTAGGTGGGAGAGTAACGAGTTGTCTATGGTTTGTGGTCCGTGGCCCTTGTACGCCGTAGGTACCGTGTGTACATAGAGAGTGAGAGTGTGGGTGACGGTAGTGCCGATGCGTCGTATGTCCTTGTGGGACGGGATCTGGGCGCAGCTAAATCGTATGTAGTGGGCCGTTAATGGGTTTTAAGTGGGAATTAGGGTTAAGGAACATGCATGGGTGTGGCGGCTTGTAACGACCTGACCTCTTTTGGGTCTGGGGGTGGATGGATCATGGATGGATGTTCGAAGATGAGATGATGAGGATGAGGCGTGTGTGAGGATGGGAGGGGATGGGAGGATGCATTGGGACACACTGGAAGGACAGCACAAGCGAGAATGGCGGACCGAGGCTTGAGCGCTAATCACCCTTTGGGTTTAGTGTTGAGATACTTAAAGAGAGCAGGCTTTTTTTGCCCGCCGCCTGCCATTGCGGTTTACCCTACCATACCCTGACCCTTGCACGCCACGCTTCTCCTTCTGCTCTCTTCCGTTTCCACCTCATCCATCTCATCCATCTCATCCTCCCCACTACTACTCGGTAAATTACGATCAAGAGATCATTCATTATGTATTTCCTATCCTCCTCACCATCCCATCATCGTCATCATCACAACCAGGGAAGTAGAACATTCCACTCATCTTTGCATAAAACACCCTCCTCTTGTCCATCACCTGCTCCATCCACCTGTTGTTCTACTCTACTCTAATCCCCCTCAGAAACAACGTAATAGTCCCCTTCCCCATGGTATGCCTGCCACGCCATGTGCCATGCAACCCGACCCGTCATCTGTATTCGCGCCACAAGCCGCAACCTGCCGTCTTCCCCTCGCCTGCTCAACCAATCAGCCCCTCCAACCGTCTTATTCCCCACTTTTCTTGCTGACTTATCCTCCCACTCCCCTCACTCTCACACACACACTCTCTCTCTCTTCATTCCATCTGTCTACATACGTGTGTCATTGTGTCCACAAAGTTCGTATTCAGCCTCACCGTCCTCATCTCTCCCCCGCGGCCTTCCCAATCGGATGCACCCGCCCATCATCATGTTTTCTGATACCAGGTTTTGCCAGTCGAAACATTTCCATGCATGCACATGTCTACGGACTACAAACGGCGCGCACTCATCGACAATCGTGTTGATTGTGCCAACACTGTCCAGCTAGATGTGTACAGAGTTGCATACCGGTCGGAAACCAGGGCAAAGGAAAGGGTGTCCTTCGTGCATGATGAAAGCCTATCGCATCCGGTTCCGTGCATTATCCAGAGCCTGCCTCTGGCACGCATATCGGTCCCACCCGCAATAAATCATTCTTAATTACTGAAGACAGTTTGGTATCTAACCGTAAGTTACTACGACGGTCGTGGTGGCTCCCATCCGGATCTTTCTCGACCACCCGTAAAACAATGAACCGTCCCAGCGGTTTAGTGGGAACGCGTTCTTCCCCATCGGCCTTCCTTGGTTCGCCTCCGCGCCGGTCATTTCGTCACATTTCGTTCGACCCTTTTTCTCTCTTATTTTTCATTCCCGCTGGAATGTGTCTCTCGCAATAGTTGCTTCTCTATTTCCTCAACAAGTGCAAAGTGACAACCGGCGGGGCGGCGAATTTCCTGCATTCTCCCCATTTAGGCCTACCCGATCGCCCCTAGCCCATGCCTGTGTGATCACCTGTCCCGAACGAGAGCCTCCTACAATCGCCCTCGTTTGCTGTCGAACCTCACGTTCTTCGTCCCCGTGGAACGGTGAGTTGCGCATAATGAATCGATCATCACTGAACTGGGGATGACTGTGAGACATATCTCTGTCCCTGGGGCTATAAGAAGGTGAATCTTAAGAGAGAAGGTCACGCGCTTTGCTCAACATGATTGGTCACGGGCAGGGCAATAGCTGGTCCTCATCTAGCTGAGAACAGGCGCGCGGCCAGTGAGGGTGTCAGAACCAGGAAATGGCATGCTTCATTTCTAACCTTACGGGGCAGATCGCCCAGCTTCCGCTTTACTCCCGGGCGAGTGACTCCACACCAACACACCACACCGAGCAGCAATATCCCTTTATTGCTTGCTATCGCTCCTGAAGATTCAATGCAAGTCCACTGCAAGTAATTACTTGGCCATACCCCGCTCAGGGGAAGGTAATATTCGTGTTTGCATGCTGTTCATGTCAACCTTTCGTCTCTGGCCGGCATCGCATCAACCGCCGTTAGCACGTCTCTTCCGACGAAGATGCCACCACTCCGACATTACGGGTACAACTGGCAGGTAGCAGCTGGGAGCTGGGGAGTGGCTTTTAGAGGCACGCAATGGACGACTGGACTTCTAAGTAAGGTATCTGTCGTGTTGTGCTGACCTGCAGCATGAGTAAAGCACTCTGGTGCGTGGGCGCCTGTTCGGTGTACCTGTGTGTCTGGTTACGTTGATGCAACCAACCTTCCAACCAGGCCAGCGGCCGCACGTTGAAACCACCTTTGATCAAGACGAGAAAAACGAGAGATATGGGAGACGACAATACTAGCATATCGTTCGAACTTCCCAAATTCTCCAGCAGTACAAAGTCCCGTGACGAATGGGTGGTGGGTGGTAGAGGCAGTTGTAATCGGTTGAATGCAGCCAGCCAGCCAGCAGCAGCCTTCGGCGCTATGGGTGCGGAAGACCCAGATCTGCGCATCTGCACGAGAGCACCGCTAAAAAGCTCAATGTCTCTCCACACTCCGGTCTTAGCTTCGCTGGGCATGCAGCCATGCTGTGACGCAAAAAACCTCCATCCCCCCCCCCCCCCCCCCCCCCCCCCCCCCCCCCCCCCCCCCCCCCCCCCCATCCGCTCCCGCTCGGCAGAAAAAAAAGCCCTGGGCTCGTGTCACACTGGAAGCCCTGCCGCCCACCCTTGGTTGCCTGGCCTGGCCCGGCCTGGCTTTGGATAGCTCGTCTGGTGCGATGCAATAAATAATCTGACAACAGCCGGTCAATTTGCGGCCGCCTTGTCAAGTTTAGCACGTACCGCGCAGCACCACCATCATGCCCATCACCATCATCCTCGGTTGATGGCATCGTTCACGACGAGCGAATGAGCACAGCCTTATGCTCCTTCGTCAGGAACTACTCCGTAAATCCATTTCTTCTTCTGCAACGACATTCCTGGCCGTTCGCCCTGGCTGTAATCAGTCATGGAGTGTTCTTCGCACATGCGTGACGAAGGCGCATCGTCGAAGGGACACGATGGCGATCGGCTGGACATGGAATGCGGTACCGTCCGGTATCGTCCATGGCTCTACGCGGTGTGCTTCGTACAGAATGCCAGGGAAGTAGGTGGGAGAAGGACACAAGACAGGCACACACAGGACAAGTAGGTCAGGACGGACCGTCAGGTAAGGTAAGGGTAAGGTACTGTAAGACCAGAGAAGCAACGAAGCTTAAGCCCAGCACGCGCCTACGGACCCAATACCCACAAATCTGCACTCTTCTCCATCCATCATCTACAAATTCGTATCCAGACAATCTTCCCAGTATCCATCCCATCATCCACTCACCTACTCCACTCCACTCCACTCACACCAACCCATGTCAGCTCCCCCTTGCCCAAACACACAGACGAGCAAATCAAAAGAAAAAAGGGAACCCTAGCAGGAGCAACAGGAGCAGCATGATGATGTCCGGCCCGCCACTAATGATTTGTTCGGTTGGTTGGGGGCCATCCCCTTCCCTTATTGTACAGCCCTTACAGTTTCCAACCGCAGCCACGTGAAACGATTTGGATGGCTGAACCAGCGCCACACCTCGCGACCTGATCCAGGGGCTGCGCGTCATAAACGAGCGGATGTGCCGAGAAGCGAACGCGTCGTGATTCTGTTCCGCTGTCTGGTCACTCTGTTGGGCTGTCTGTCTCTGCCATCTGGCTGTCCGTCTGCTCGCTGCTCCGGGGTTCCTCACCGTATCTTAAGTTATAACCGCCGTCTACTTTATTGCCCTCCTCACTCTCTCGCTGGTTCTCTTGACTCGATCTCCCACCCATCGGCATAATAATGCTTGTCAATTCAACTAATTACCCCGTTATCGCTCACTTATGCCATTTCCTATTAGACTTTACGATACGGAGTACTCGAGAACAGAACACCTGTTGACAAAAGAGCACAGTCCAGAGCAAAAGGCATGCCACCGTTCTCCCCTTCCTTCAGTCTGAAGCAAGCGCGCGCTCTCTCTTCCATCAGCACCCACCCACACCGACATAGCCCACCGGGCACATTCTTGATTACTTCATGCAGTGTCGCCGGTGTCCTTTCTACGATGCCAAACTAGGGTATGCCCCGATGTGTCTGTGAAACAGCCCTCACCCCAACATGGCCATTCTCGGGGTCGTATTTTCTGGCGATGCGCCGAGATGGGAATTAGCGCGTGGATTGATCAGATCCCTATTGATCCTTCTGCGGCCCTCGAGCGGTCGAAGTCGCCCTATATATCCTAGACCACTTCAGAATGAATCCGTCCTTGGCAGCTTCGTCTGATCATGAGTGGCTGGTCCTGCCCGGGAGCTGCCAAGGGACACCCGCTGGGATCCCGGGGGCTTGCTTGCCTGACATAATAAGAGAGAGCTTATGTATTACCTCTTCCTGTCGCTCCCCCGGGCAAGCCAGGGATTGGCAGATCCCTTTCAACCCATCCAAGCACAACTGGCTGCAATCATCACACATTCAGCAGTTTGCTTGGTCGAGATTGGCCTCGCCGCACGGTGAGGATCTTTCGTATTTGTTCTGCACGGCCGTAACATGTCTACGAGGTATGATGAAACTCGCGGTCCTTTGACCGACTTGCCTTGCCTTTCCTTTGCCTAGCACACAGGACAGCAAGATCACCACGGAAGCCGGCATGTGGTTTAGGCGGCCCTCTTTCCCAGTGACATGCTATTGTATGCTCCCGAAGGGTATCCAACACGCCGACCTTAAAGCTTCTCTGCCGCCGGGTGCAGTCGTTGGATGAGGCTTTCGCATCGTGCACCAAGTCCCGTCACACCAGCCCCTTCGTATTATGGTGCTGTGCCCCGGCGACGACACCTGTACGTCCATCCATCCAACCATCCATCTCATGTCCCACGGCCCTGCGTAGCCGCCAACACGAGGGCGTTCTATCATCAATAATTATAAATCACACAACCCTCAAAAAGCTTAAACCATGCGACGATGACCGTACCGGTATACAAGCCCCTGCGCACCCGAATCCCGTTTGTCTCAGAGCAAGCACAAAGTGTCTTCAGAGAGCATCAACCCATTTATCCAGACTCCTCTCTCATTCTTTTCCCAGATATTCGGGAACCGCCAATCACCTGCCCAGCATGCATCGTCTTCTCGATCGGTCGTATTCCTTATTTCCCTATAATACCCATCCATCTTTCGCGTCCCCAATCTCATTCCATGGGCCCATATCATATATATCCGAGCGTTACACTACTCTCAGATGGGGATGCTTGTCCTGGCCTGGCCTGACCGCATGCCCAAGCAACGCTAATCTACATACCGCAGCTTAATATGCTGTGGTCCGGGAAAAAGAACACTGCATCTCATATCACCGCAATCAGCGTTTCGCCTGCTTGGTGTTCCCGCAGAAAGTGTCCGTGGACACATGCTCCTCCAGGCTGCCACACAGCGGCATTCTCCTCCCCCAGGGAGAGACCACGGAGTAAACACTACGCCTCACCCACCAACGTTATGTAGGCGTACTGTATCTGCATATTCTACCTTGCCTCACCCGGATCAGTCTTGGTCCTACCCTTTGCCCTCGTCTCCCCTCCCTCAACCTGCGACAACATCAGCCCTCCCGATGCATGGCCTGCTCTCGCGCCACCGATCACAGGGCAAAAACGCAAAGGAAAAAGCAAAAAGCCCCGCGTGGCCCTCAACCAAACAGCACCAACCATTCCATTAACCTTTCCCTCACATAACCATCTAGGTATGCACCACCGCCTGTAGTTACCGTTCTGCTGCTGACATGCCTGCCTGCGTGTGTGTGCGTGTGCGCGCGCGCCCGCATGCATGCATGACGCCTGCGATGAGCGAGCGAGCGAGCGAGCGAGTTGGACGAACGAACGAACGCCAAGTCTGTACTCCGTGAGTCCCCTTTATCGAGCCAACGAAGATGTATTCCAAGGTGTCGGTTCGCGAACATCCATACAGTAAGTGTGTGCGTAGTTATCTCGATCGACAATAAGCTTTTGGGGTTAATATCGTCGCTCTTCTCTCCACAATCCCGCTTCCCCTCTTCTTATGCACGGAGATTGGTTACACGAAATGCTATTTCAGATAGAATGATTCCGTGACGTGTGGGGTTGCTGGCTGGCTGGAGGCGTGAGGTACGTACGTATACACGTACACTGCTGTAGTTGTTGCGTCCACCAGTAAGTATGTGTACATGTAGTTACATACAGCGCAGGATATGTATCTACACGTATGTCAGTTTGGATGTACCCGTATGTACATATTCAGACCTAGTCTACCAATCATGCTCTACGTCTACTTTAGGTAATGACCGACTACAACCCATCAAACGCAACAATGACTCACAATCTGCTTTCCGCTACCACGGAGTGTTCAAGTCATATCAAATCCAAAAGAGCTATGAATGCAGATGTACATCACCATATGGTTTTCCTTCTCACTTCAGGTGCCCATAACCCCCCCATTACCCTTTACAATACAAAGGGTTTTGAACTAAACATGTCAACAAGCCTTATCAACGCGATGACACCGTACTCCTAGATCGTGCTGGGTTGGATTCCGTTTCCTCGCGTAGAAAGGAGACGTCGATGTCTCGGTTCCAGCCTCGCGGAGAGGGTGGAGAGCGAATTGACGGGTACCGGCCTCGAAACAAATGCCTCCCAAGATTTTCTTTTGCATTGCTGCTACTCGAAATCTTGTCATGATAGCAATATTACCAATTCAATTATCAACTTTATGATCTTCCTACACAGCGAGTGCCTCCGCATTTATATAAGAAACCACAATCCCATTAAATTCAACCAATAATTCCCATCTCATTCCTACCACTACATACGACACTCTACAAAACATACCCAATCCGTACATACAACTGGCTCGTATACAAAATGTTTCGGATATGGCCACTATACCATGGCACTTTTCCCCTTTTTGGTGGGGCGTTACCAGTGGCTGGGGACGGGCAGAGGAGTCAAGGCGGTACCGGCTCAACAGTTCTTGCCCCGCTGTGGTTGGGGAAAGAGATATAAAGGCGGGTTGAAAGGGTTGAAAGGGGGGTGGCTTCGTTCGTCTCCACTACATAAAACTTTTGATAGGTTGGATTGACTGGAAGAGATTGGATATTGAATAAGAAGGCCATTGAAGTCTGCGGGCAGTTCGACCTCAAAGACAGCATATCTGGGATCACTGAGGAACTCAACAACATTACACACATCAAAAAGCCAACACCACAACAATACCACGCCAAATCCGAAATCCGAAATCTCAAATCCTAGATCTCAAATCTCCCAACTCACCACCTCAAAAAAGAAAACAATATGTCCTCCAAGCCCCTCGCCGCCGAGGCAACAACCACCCTCCACGACAACCCAACCCTCAACTACAAACTCCACGTCTTCCTCTACGACCTCCGACACTTCCGCTCCTCGCCCTCCAGCCGCTCCCGCCTCGACGCCGTCGTCGACACCCACTACCTCGGCGCGCCCTACTTCGACCCCGTGGAGCGATCTCTGCTCCTCTCCTCCCTCATCATCCCCTCTTTCCCATCTTCCTCTTCCTCGACCACGACAACCGACACCCTGCAAGACACCCTCGACGACTTCTTCCGCCGCAAACTAGAAAAAAGGGTGAAAGGAAGGATTGAGAAGGAAGGCGATGGACGCATCTGCGCGGCGCACGACCTAGCGCCTGTGTTTGAGAGGGCGTTTGGGGTGCGGATGAAGGAGTTGGAGAAGAATAGGGGGTTTATGAAACTGCTGAGGACGAGGGGGTTGGAGTTGAGGGAGGGGCAGGTGTGGTGTGGGCTTGGGAAGGGGAGGGGAAAGGACAGAAGGGAGGGGAAAGGGGAGAGGGGGTAGTATGGGGCACTATGTATTCATTTTCAAAGAGTTTACTACTCGGTGTCTATCATATGACGGTGGTGTATGACAAAGGAGGTAAAGACAGTCTACGGGTCTGTTTGTATTCAAAGGTAGGAGGCGAAGTGCATCAAAGCGAGACAGTCCTGACAAAGATGTGTGTTCTGAGTTGGACAATAGACAAAGAGAAGGTCGGGTGAGATATATAAAATGTAAAATTCATTTTTTAGGGAGTGCCTACTCACTACCTGTTGTAGTTTCATGAATGTTGAAACATAGAAGTCCACCATCAGACAGCCATATACTAAGCCCATCAATCTCCCGCCTCAAAAAAACAAAACCAACAAAATGCAAATCCCAAAACTTATCCCGCTCCTCTTCCCCCTCCTCCTCACTCCCGCCTCCGCCCTCATCGGCGAACACTACGCCTGCAACGACTCCTTGTACGGCGGCCCATGCGAGACCTTCGCCACACGGCTCGGCGTCTGCGCGAACTACCCTCCCGGCTTCAGCGATAAGATCACCTCGATCAAGATCAGCAAGGGGCAGTTCTGCAACTTCTACGACAAGCTGGATTGCTATGGCACCGCTCTGAGGGTGGATCACCCAGGGACGGCGAATCTTAGGGGGAAGAGGTTCGATAATAGGGCTAGGAGTTGGAAGTGTTGGGAATTGTAATTGAGTTAGTGGTCAGAGCAATTTCGAATGATATGAGTTTAGATGTTAGATCGTCAGTTCTTGGTCGTTATGACACCTTTTCTTCATCTTTGCATGGATTTGAGAATTCATTGTTCGCTACGTTCGTTGAGGCATAGCTGATATCTTTTGTCTTAGTGTCGACAATACAAAACCCCGTTAATAAGGAGTCTTCCGTAACTGCGCGCCTGAGATGTGAACGAATCGATACGAGTCGCCTTCTCCTAGACGTACTATGAGAATTCGAGAGTCTCGAGAGCAGCTCATAGCTCGAGGCTCTCTCCTTCATTCTCGTCTTCATTCGCCTTCATCCATGGCTTCGTTCTCTCCTCCGTCCACATACTCATCTTCATCAATACCATGCTCCTCTAGCACCTTCTTCATCCTCTCGTACCTCTCATTCAACTCTGCATTTTCCATCTCTAATAGAGTCCTCGCCTCCTCACTTCTCTTCACCTCCGCCTCAAGCCCCGCAATCTTCTTCTTCAACCGATCCATCCGAAGCTTAAAGATATCTCTCATTAGGGTATCTTGTTCCTCTGTATCTGGCGACTCGGTCACCTATATTTGTTCGCTTCATGAGTATATTTGCATGTCGAAATGGGAAAGGAGGGCATTAGACTTACGCGACGCTGGCGCTTCCTCGATCCGGTACCGTACACTCCGGGTGAGGAGTTTGAAGACGAGAACGAGTTGGATGGCGGCGGCGAGGCTCTGGTCTCGCGGCTGAAGCCGAATTTAGCAAGCGTCTTCTGCTTAGAGCTTGGCTTTGGAGACGCCATCTTGGTGTTAGCTTGGGTTTCTTGGGTGACTGACTTGTCGCTGATGATGAGGTTGCTGTAGAGCGTGTGTGTGTGTGGTGGAGTGGGAGAGGATTTGAGGATTGAAGCTGTGATGTTTGGAAGTTGAAGGAGCGGGTGAGCAGGAAGGCTAAGTGAGAGTAGAGATTTGTTTAGGTACGCCGTGGGCGGTGGAGGCGTTGCTGCATGTGAAGGTGAGATTGGACATAAGGGATCTCTCGAATATCACTTGTGCTGTCAGAACTTTTTTGCTTCGGGTCTCGGGTCCATCACAACAAGGAACTTCTCCGACCTTCCTCGGGGATACCTGAAAACTTCTCTAACCTCCCTTGAGAATGCTCTACAACAATTTCAACTTTCCCCAAGGATGCTTCAAAACTCTTTTAAGCTTCGGCGCCAGTGAAATACCACTACTGCCATTATCGCTTCTTCGCTTCTTTGGTGAAGCGGGACTGGGCCTCTTCTCTAAGGATGCTCGAAAACGCTTTTGATATTTTTCGAAGATGTCCGAAACTTTTTCGACCTTTGTGAGGAGAAGACATGAAGACTTCTTCGACTTCCTCCGGGGATGCCCAATCATTTGCATGAGCTTCATTGGGGAGATATGGGGATTCATATTCTCTATGAAATGAGAACGGATTGCACAGGACATCTTTTCTGTGTTCCATTCCATCCATTCACATTTCTTGGATTAGGTAGATATTTGGCCTGTAGTGTAGAGCACTAACAAGGAAGGTGCATTCAACGATGAGTGTCCACCACGAGCGATCAACCTCACTCTCCCTTTTTACTTCTTCTACATCCACGAAGACGCCACACAACCCCAACTGCCGCCCGAGACGAAGCGAGCAACCATGTCTGACACACGCGTGCCACCAAATCCACTGCCTAGCCTAGTAGGCAAGAAGACGTCGCGCGCAGATTTCGAAGAGTTGGACTCGCACGCAGATGAGGATCAACCTGAGAAGGAGCCTGATCTGGAACAACCGGCAAAGAAGAAGAAAAAACGAAGGGGCAAACCAAGAAATGGCTCTGCAGCTGAACGTAGGTTTAAACGCGAGTATAGAGAGTACAAGAAACAACCAGCAGCTACGGCATCCGAGGGTGATGGCAATCCGCCCCTTGTAATTAATCCAATGCTGCAATTCCTACAAGCTCTGACTGGCAAGTACCCTATCTGTTTCTATATGCTATCTTACGACACCTTAGCTTATATGCCTTGTTTTAGCTATACGCGAAAGCAGCAATGCATCATCGCATTATGTGTCGATAGGAACACAGACACAGTCAACCGTACTCCTTTCTACCTCGAGCACTCAGACGGAGTGGAGCCTGTTCTCGTCGAGCACCCAGACAATTGCTACCTTTCCCAGTTCATCAACAATAAGTCTAAGCATCGTTGCTGAGACACATACGCCTGTCAATGGCGACGATGCTGACGTTGGTATCAAACGAATTCAGCGATCATGAAGGAGAACTAGACAAGAACACCAGTGATGGCACGCCTTAGAACTATGACGACTCTGATAGCAACACTGGCGGGTAGTGCAATTTGTCTGCTTAAGATGTTCAGCGCGTGGGGAACAGTCAAAGTTAACGTTGTATGCCCTTCGTACGATGGCCTTTGCATGTCACTTGAAACATACGAAGAATTGGAGCGAATCCCAAGGACTAAGTTTACGTTTTTATGTTGCTCTCAAAGAGTAACGCTATGTCGATGAATGATGGAGAGAGCGTTCTTGACATAGTTCAATTTTCTCAATCACACCAAAATTGTGCTCTCCACTGACGGCGCCCATGCTTCCTTCACCGTGCTGCCACTCTCTGCCATCGAACACATGAGCACAGACACATCCAGCCTTCCTTTCGATCTCATCAAGGCACGTGAAGTCATCTCCGGCAATGTGGACTAACTGCTACACAGCGCCCAGCCCGCCGTTACTCGGACTTTCAAGTCGACCACCTCGAGCAGCGAAATCGATACACTGCCTCTAGTGACAGCAAACAGGTTGCAAGATAAGCTTCGTTTCGTCGTTGATGTAGTAGGACATTGGACCCCTGGGCGCGGGCTTGGGTGCAGGCCTATAAGAGCGAAGGTCCCGGATTGGAGAGGCCCGACGCTAGATGATGCTTGGGGGAGAAAGTTGGATTGGGTCACGGTGGGAAGATTCGGAGGCGATGAGCGATCAAGAGCGGAGTAGAAGAGAGGGAAGGGGAGGGATGTTGGGTAGAATCTTTCCCAATAGCAGATTGCATCGTGATGGTAGTTGCACTACTCCAGAAACGACTCTCTTCTACTCCACAAACCATACGACATAAGTAATTCATCATGTCTCAGTCTATATAAAATCGTGCCAATGGTAAACAAACAAGCAAGATGGTGTCACTCAGCTTTCCCATTGAACGTAGATTGCGATGATGTTGACTAGTCTGCCATAAGATAAAGATAACGCGTTCAACACGTATCTTCCCTTACGCAAAAGAAATGTCTCCTATTGTGGATCGGAACGTGCTATTGGTACCTGTGCTTCGTCCTCAGGCCCCGGAGAGACCCGTCTCCATCGTCTGGCGCGCCAGCACGTGGCGAGGCAACAACGGAAGCGGAACTACGATGAGCCGGCATGGTCCGAGCGCCGCCTCCCCCCAGGGTATAAGAACCCTTCCTCCCCCCGTCCCCTTCGTAAAAAATCATTCGAGTGCAAGTGAGTATTCCCCTACTGGCATTGTGCCATTCTCCCCTTCTGCCATCCCTCCGCCTGCCACCCCTCCGTCTACCATCCGCCATCCTATCCACATCACCATCACACAAAAAAAACATTCATCCTAACCGAATCGCAGGGGCATCACGTATATCAGTGAGGATTCGTCCGAGATTACGTTTTTGCTAGTTGAAAACTACAACTATGACCGCTCGCGCTTGCCTTCTGGTGAGTGCGGAATTTTTGACAAACCTTTACCATACTTTTCATTGATCTTTCGCGGCTGGCTCTGCGAGATTGAGGAAGAGAGTGTTTTGATTTGGTCATAGGCCGTCGCGTCAAGGTAAGTCTTCCAACTGCGCGCTGCACCCAAGGAGATGAGGCTGACAGAACGACTGTCATCAGCTCTACCCTGCATGCCTTCACGCGCAAGGCGATGTAAGAGCTCTTCGCGATAATGGATTGATGAAGCAACCAAGCACCTATGTCCATCGATGCGCCTACTGTACCCTCTTGCGCGATCCGACCGTCCTAAGGTTATCCAACCTAATCCTCGTCGATCCTTATCATCGCGCATGCGTATACATCACCTGTACTCTACGGAGCCATCGATCATCTAACAATATACTTCGCGATCGTGTCTCGACTCTTGATTGCTTCGTCGCGTCGCCCGATCCATCCATGCTGCGCACTCGGAGGGGAACACCTGAGATCTGGAGGGCGCAACCCGTAGCCAATACAAGAGTGACTTGAGGATAATGTGAGGGCTAAGAGCTATTGCTGTATGGTACTGTTCTTGTGCGCGGCGTCCTGCAACGAAGCTATCCCACGCTGGCATTCCTCCCAGGGCATCTGCGACAGTATGCGCGTTGCACCAGGTACGGCTTCGTTGGGTATCGACCTCAATGCGAGATGGCGACGACGAATACCTGGCCACTTAGCCTTAAACCTTGAAGGATGGTTACTATTCCCGATGATAGCTGAATTGTCATCATGCTACTCTCATGGACCATCCACGGGTTAAGTTATGGTCATCGGGCCTCTGGTAGGCGCGTCTTCCTCGACGGAGCTCAGCCGGCTACCTTCAGCCTCCAATATTGAGTCACTCATCTTCATGATCATTTCTCTACGAGTCACGAATTATCGCCTTGGGAATGCATTCCCTCCAATACCACTGCGCGCGACCTGGATACACTGCATGGACAAACGATATGCGATCACGTGCCTCTTCGCTGCCTAGTTGGGCGTGCATTGTGTATAACGGCTTGGAAGTTCTCATAGGCCGAGAAACCGCCCAGGAAAGCCTTGTGAATTCATGGGATACTTGTCCCAACCGGATTTGGCACATCACGGTGTATCGAGAAAACAAGTCTCACCAGTTGTACAATGTTTGTATTGTCGCATCACTCATGCATCACCTACTCTATTCAGACACCGCCTACCCCAATCGACTCCTTTCCTTCCCAACAATCACCAAACACTACCAAAAGCACAGCGCAAGGCAGGCACCCACCACAGTCACGTGCGCTCACGTGCCGCCCGCTGCTGCCTCCACGACCATCGTACTATATAATCCCCCAACCCGCCTCGCAACTTTTCTCTTCTTCTTTTTTTTCTTTTCTTCTTCATCCCGGTGCATGGGCATTAGCTGCAGCAGTGAAGATTCGTCTGAGCTCAGCTTTTTGCTAGTTGAAAACTACAACTATGACCACTCGCACTTGCCCACGGGCGGGTGCGGAATTTTTGACAAACTCCCTGATCAACATACATTTCTTCATTGATGCCCTTTTGACTTGGTCGGGGTGTTGAGGAAGGTGCTGTTGTTTGTTTGTTTGGCTGTTTGTTTGAGTGTTTGCTTGCTTGGAAAGGTGGGTTGGAGATGCGTTTGCATACGGTGTGGCTTCTGTAGATATCGATTCGTGGGTAGATTCATTTACATTCACGTCCTTGATATATACAACTCTCTCTCGCTCACACTCCCTCTATCTTCTCTCACTAAGCTGTGTTGACAATGATGTGAGATCCACCTTCTAATTGTTCGCCGTCTTATCATTATAATAATGAATCGTCTGATCCGCACACCCCTTCGGAGTCTGATACAAGTAATTCCCCAGATTAATATACATCTTCTGGCCCTCACACACATACCACGCCGCAGCATTCGGCCTCTGCACCCCAGCAACGCTCCACACCAACCCATCGCCATTCCACGCAAACTTTCCGTACGCATTCTTCGCCTCGCTCCACGTCACGCCCAGGCTGTTATTATTGATCACCCTCTCCTCGCCCACGACACCGTACAGCAACTTCTCCGGCTTCTCGCCGGGACCCGACACAAGTTGCACGAGCTGGTCACCCACGACTTGGAACTGCCCTGCCGTCGTGTAGTCGCCCAGCACCGCGGGGCCCGTGGCGTACAGCGGCTTCGACTGCATGTACTTGTGGAAGTTGGGCGCCGCGACGCCCCGGATCCAGTAGTAGCCTGTCTGGAGTTGCTTTCCGGGGCCGGAGCCCGCGGGCACGCCTGTTGCGATTGGCGTGCCGGGGAGGACTTCGGTTGCGGCGGGGGGTTCTGGGGCGGGTTCTTCGGGGATGGGCTCGGGGGATGAGGCGCCCGGTTGGCATTGGTGGTAGTAGTCGCTGTGTGAGGAGGTGGGTTGTTAGGTGGGATGGACTGGTGGATTGGTGGATAGGGTAGGGGAGGGTTGGGTTTACTTGACTTTGACGCAGCCGGCTCCGGAGCCGCAGACTGTGTCGCCTTTCCAGGTGATTCCGCCGCCTGAGAGAGTGTGTGTTGAGCATTGAGAAGAAAGATGGTATGTCATGATCTACTGGTGTAGTACGTACACTGTTGCCAGTCTTGGACGACCGCGGATGCGGTGCCAGTGAGAAGCGCAACGGCGGCTGCGGTAAGGTAATGCATTTTCTACTGTCGCGGAGGGAGTGGCAGAACTCAAGGTCTAGATGTTTGTGATTCTTCGGGGGAGAGCGTATACTAACTATCATATATAGATAGCTATGTATTCCACGTCTCCCTTCATCATGCCATTCGATTCTAGAGCGCCCAAACTCATGTGATGTGATGTCGATATTGCATTGTGGCCAATGCAGACAGGTATGTTATATATAAACCGTCGGACCGAGGAAACCGCACCCTTGAGTGGTGTTAAATTAATTGCAAGGGACCCAATAGGGATGTTGACCACAAGCGAATAATCAAGCTCGTAAAACCCTTAATATCTCTTCTTGTTCAGACCAAGATTGGTCGTCTATAGTGGGATCGAGAAGCTTGGAGTAGAGTGCGACGTTGGGAAGGGGCCTGGCGCCAGGATGTCCTGTTTGTAGAAGTCTCTGTTGCCGGCATAGGCGCATCGCTTCGATGCACTCCGCAGCTAGCTCAGCAAGGCTCGATGATATGATCGCGGCCCCGTATTGCTCGATAGCATGCTGGGTTGAAATCCGGAGTACCGCAACCGGTCCCGGGTTCCTGGAAGTCCAATGGTCGCAACCGACGTCTCTTCGACGACGCCCCAGCAAGCGGACCGGGAGCCCACCCTCTCCAACAGCAACAACAACGGCGCAAAGCCATCTCCTTCTCCATCACTCGTCCTCCGCGCGCGAAGAAATCGGCTCCGGCCTCGTCGAAAACACAATCTTGTACCTGACGATCTCCGCGATCTCCAACTCTTCCCTTCCCCCCTCCCCACCCTCCATATCCACATCCTCTCCTTCACCCCCGCCGGCACCACCGCTCGTACCCCTCTTCCTCACGACCGCGAACGGCTTCGCAAGCTTCTTGCACTCGCCTGCCATCCGCTGGTTCTTGCCGATATAGAAGTAGACTCTCTTCATCCACTTCGTGTCTTTGGGGTCGGCGTCGGGTTTGTAGTGGGGGAAGACGATGTTGCCGACGAGCGTGGAGGGTTGTGCGTCGGGAACGGGTGTTGGGAAGTGGATTGTGCCTTGAAGTTCGAGGATTGCGAGGCCCGAGGGCGTGTGGAGGAGTGGAGGGAGGGGGTTGTCTTGGGATGAGGTTGTGCGGTCGGGGAGGTGGAGGGGTATTGTTGGCATTGTTTCTTTCTTTCTTTTTCGAAAGATAGGGGTTTTATGATTTGGAACGGAAAAGGGGGAGGAATTGGTGTCAAGGGTTTCGAATTGGTGGGATGGGAAGCTGTTGTCGTCTGGTGGTTAGTGAACAGGTACCGCTCTCCAGCTCTGGTTGTAGGATCGGCATGGAAATTCTGGCGGGGCAGAAGCTTCGGCGGCGCGACGTGTTTTGGTCCGTGCATATTCACAGTATATCTATTGTGAATCTTGTCATCAACTACGTATTTTCAAGAATTACAGTATTTTTATTTATGGAGGCTCTTTTATAGTATATTTATGTGTTTCTATATACTCTTGTCTTATGTATATTATATTTTGAATGGTGATTCTCTCCGGTGTGAGTGCAGAGCAATAATTTTATGGCTCAAAACTTTGGAATCCCCTGACATCAATCGTACAGTCTCACAAAATCAGAATTAATATCTGAATCCAAGCAGAAGAAATCAATATTGATGATTTTCATGTCTATCGTTGGTAATTAAAATATTTTGTCATTAAGTAAAAGGTCATTCAATCTTCATCATATCTTTCAACAACGAATCTATGACCTCTTGCCGAAGACCTTGTCGTAGCCGACCAAGGTGAACCTGAACCTGACATTATCGTTCTTGTAGACACGCTCGACAGCCTCCTTGCAGCCAGCCTCGCTGATGTCAATAGTCTCGACCCAGCTCTTGATGTCCTGCTTGGCCGCAAGCTCCAGCATCTCGATCATCTCGGGGCGGTTACCGATGTGGCTGGCGCCCATGGAGCAACCGTTGGGAGCGAAGACCTGGGCCTGGATCTGGGGGAGAGGCTTGTCGGGGAAGCCGACCATGTGGAAGACGCCGCTAACCTTGAGGGTGGAGAAGTAGTCGGCGAGGTTGAAGCGGTCGGTCGCGTCGGCGGTGTTGATGATGAAGTCGAAGGTGAACTTCCAGGGCTCGGCCCAGCCCTCCTTGCTGGTGACGATGAAGTCTTTGGCGCCGAGCTTGAGTGCGTCCTCCTTCTTGCTCGGGGAGTGCGAGATCACGTAGACCTCAGCGCCGAGGGCCTTGGCCCATAGCACACCAAAGTGACCGAGTCCTCCCCTGATTGTCAATTAGCCTTCATTCAGGTGTGAATTCAGGTAACGTAGTAGACTTACAATCCGACAATGGCGACCTTCTTGCCGGGACCGGCCCCTAACCGCTTGATTGGGGCGTATGTGGTCAAACCGGCGCAAAGCATTGGTGCGGCGATGGCAGTGTCGAGCGCATCCGGGATCTTGAAGGTAAAGTACTCGTGTGCTCGCACGTGGCTGGAGTAACCACCCTGTGCAATGGTTCCATCGTCGTGCTTCGCTCCGTAGGTGTCGATCTGGTTGGGGCAGTAGTTCTCGTTGTCAGACTTGCACTGGGCGCAAGTGAGATCGGCTCCCTTCTGTGCGCCGAGACCGACACGGTCGCCAACCTTGATGGTGGTGACCTTGGGTCCGACCTTGACGGCCTTTCCGATGATCTCGTGTCCGACGCAGAGAGGGAGGGGAATGTCCTCGCCCCATCCGCCGGTGATGGTGTGAACGTCAGAAGCGCAGACACCGCATGCGTCTACGGCGATATCGACATCATAGTCTTCGAACTTCTTGAGGGGAAGCTGGTTGTTGTTAGCAATTGCGTAAGAATGGAGGAAAAGGGAACAGAAACGTACTTCTTGACGTTTGAATGTGCTCCAGTTCTTGATGTCAGTGACAGCGAATGCGTCGGTGGTCTCTGGGTAAGGCATCTTGGTTTTGGAATTGGCACTTTAGTTTTCTGTGATAGACAATTCGGAAGTGCAGTGAGAAAAGCTTGAGGACAATGGAGGGGCGCAACAGTATGGGAGGGGGGAATGTCCTATTTCTATGCCGACAGCTAATTTCTCTCAATGTTTCTAAGACTCGGCCCACGTCGCTCCGCCAGTGAGGTCATGAAATTCTCAAAGAATGGAGCTGCCCCCCGCTATGCGAGGGACTGGAGACGCCAATGATTAGTCTGATTGGTTGGTACTTGAGCCGCTACTGGTCTTATAGTTGGGGTTCCTGATTGGGGTATTCTGCGCTATCCGCCGCGGTCGTCTCCAGATAACATCGTCACCAAATCGTCAATGATTCGACGGCAGCGATGGAGCTCACTGTGACGTGTAAGGAACTGATCAATTCTAGTAGAGAAGAGTCTAGAGCATTTGAATTAATAATGAAGCAACAGTCAATGATGCGTGAAATCTCCACTGCAATCCTACTGCCTGCTGGTGAGAATCTTCGAAATTCTAATCATGGGGAAGCAAATCTTTTCTGGCAACGCACGCGGGGCTACAGTCCACCGTTAGCTACCCACGTTTCGTCCCCTCTCTAGTTGTGGCGTTCAGACAACAATTGGCAAGCCATCGTCGCCAACGTTTGCGAAATAAGCTCTGTCGTCGGCTTTATTTCCGATGAAAACCAGCAGGTCCAGCCTATTAGATGCGTAAGATGTGCTTCTTTGGGAGTCGCCCAATTTCTGCTTTGGTGGATCCGACGCGACAGCCGACGAAAAAGCCGACGTGCATGTGTGGAGGAACTCCCAGAAGACGACAAGGAGAACAACAGTAAAGAATAATTAGGATAGATTCCCTTTACACAAACGAAGAACTTTGCAGCGTTTGATATTCTCTGTTGCCACGGATTAATTGTTGTTTTCTCCATGTCACGCAACTCGGCTTCACCCGAATGAGCAATGCTTTCGGGATCTTCTGCACCGATAAGCCTCTGCCAGTGTGGATCTGCGACAGTGCGATACAATCCTGATCACACCTTCCGTGTGATCTGGTAGCCAGATATCTCCTGAGCGTTACCGTGCATCGTACCTTCACGTATACGTTTTTCCATGATCACCTGTTCGAACAGGAGGAGTACCCCGCTACGACCGCGATGGGATGCGGGGTGATCTACCGCGGCACTACCGAATCCGGCAATCCGCTTCCCTGAGATGTTTGTGAATATACGTAGCCCCTTCTCGTAACGGAGTCGAAGGTGATGGCCGGACAGGTAGAATAAGTGCTGTTCTAGGCATTTCCGTAAAAGAGCTCGGTTGAGATGAGGCGTTGTTAGCCATGGACGGCGGCCAGTATAAGGTTGGCGTTTCCACTCTTGATCAACGTAGTTATTTTGAAGCTGTAGACGTGCTTTTGCGACTGTGTTGTTGCGAATTTTTTTTGCTTGTTGATCGATTGTACCTGTGATCTGCAATTTTCATCATGCCTTTGAATGAGACATACATACCCCCGCCTCCGAGTGGCAAGTCAATGAAGGCTGTGCGATTCCACGGAGAGCGTGACCTGAGATATGAAGACATCCCCGTACCACAGGTCGGGAAGGGCCAGGTCAAGCTTCGGCCATCTTGGGTGGGAATTTGTGGAAGTGGTCAGTCTCCTGAACCAAATTGTGAAGTCGTAGCTCAATAGTCTAGATCTGCACGAGTATCTCGGAGGACCGAATCTCTGTCCCACGACCCCTCACCCCATCACTGGAGAGACAGTGCCCTTGACCTTCGGCCACGAATTCAGCGGTGTTGTCGAAGAGGTTGGTGAGGGCGTGACAGATTATAAACCCGGCGATCGAGTAGTTGTACAGCCCATCATTTACGACGGTACATGCGGTGCATGCAAAGAGGGTCTTCATAACTGCTGCTGGAGTAATGGATTTGTAGGCTTGAGCGGTGGGTCTTCGTCTACTAGCAAATACGTGATTACAAGGCATTCTGACATCAAACAGGTTGGGGCGGAGGCTTGGCCGAGCACATTGTCGTGCCAACTTCGACGTTATATCATCTTCCGGATAATGTTCCTCTTGAGATTGGAGGTCAGTTGTTTCCCTTATGACATATTCAGCTCGGAACTGATTATAGCCAAGCGCTTGTTGAGCCTCTCGCGGTCGGATGGCATGCTGTCAAGATTAGCCCGTTCAAGAAGGGAGATGCTGTACTGATCCTCGGAGGCGGCCCCATTGGCATATCGGTTATACTTGCGCTCAAAGCTAGAGGTGCCGATAAGATCATAGTTTCTGAGATCAGTCGACGAAGGCAGGAGTTCGCAAAGAAGTTTGGGGCCCACTATGTCATTGATCCCACCACAGAAGATGTCGTTAAGCGATGCCGGGAGCTGTGCGATGGCCAAGGCGTGCATGTAGTCTACGATTGTGCTGGTGTGCAGGCTGGGTTGGATCAAGGCGTCCATGCTACTCGCGCTCGAGGAACTATTGTCAACATCGCAATCTGGGAGAAAGCCTGCTCGATTGTACCGAACGACTTGACCTTCAAGGAGAGGAAGTATATGGGAGTTGCAACATATCAGATTGGCGATTTCGAGGAAGTGATTGTAAGTGGTTGTAGTAGTGAAGACATCGTAACGGAACTAATGTGAAGTGTAGAATGCGATATCGTCGGGTAGCATGAAGCCGCATGACATGATTACGCAGAAGATAGAGCTGACGGAGGTGGAAGAGAAAGGATTCAAGTCGTTGATCAATGACAAGGACAATCAAGTCAAGATTCTGGTGAAAGTGGGAGGGGAAGATTGAGGATCCCCAAGGTTGATAGTGTATACCCTGAGCACCCTGATGTCGGACTAGGAGGTTGTTGATTCCTGACGTAGGTTCAAGGAGATGGAAAGTATCTTTCAAGCAATAAAAATCATTTAAAAAGTGTTTGGATGACAATGGTGATCTATATTATATCGAAATGGGCCAATAGTTAGTTTGTCAATTAAGAGGTCGTCACTTCATTTGGTTTGAGCACGAAAGATATCAAGCTAGATACCTTCTCATGTCCCACAACGGAACCCAGGGGAAATGAATGCATATACTATCTGGATTGGGATGACGGTTACTTATTAAGGCTTCACGGCTTGTATGGTTGGAAGAACTACTTACTGTGCAAAAATATCTCCCTACGATATTTGACGAGTAGAGCTTACTGTTGATGACCGGCGAGTACGCAATCGGAAACGAGATACAAGATGGGTCCGTGCAGAGCAAGACGAAAAGAAAAAGCATTAGTTAGCAAATATGAGCATCGTAATAGAATCAGATGCCGAGGCTCGAGTAGAAAAATTAGGAACAATGCTATGAGTCAATTCAAAGTTCCGGTCCTTGTGAAATGGTGATCGTCTGTGGCTGTGCCGGCTACCGTCCTCGATCCGCTGAGCCACTCGAGAAGATCCAGAAGATCCACAGAAGACCGTTCAGGATCGTGATGCAAGCCTTGCCTTGGAAATTAACGACCCTGAAAACTTGATGTAACTACATTTTCTAGTCGTAGGGGTCTGGCCCGCAAAAATGGCCGATCTGTACTTGCTGGACATGCCCCATTTCGTAAAGCTACGGGAGGCAGTGGTAGTGCACCCATTGCTTCGATCGCGGCTTTGATCTCAGTGGCTTGGAGGATGACGAACGGTAGGCCTTCGCTTGCTTGGTTTAGACCGATTGAAGGAAGATGCTAGCTGATCCAATGCACGATCTTGGATATACTGATGCATAAGAGGCAAGGTTATTACATCCGAGAGCTGTGACTGGTTGATGCGGGATGGATAGAATACTGGGCAGGGCCGTGTGGCCTTTTTTCCCTGCCCACAGTTCGGATGACGTCGCAGTCTCGACCCACTCACACCACAGTAATCGTGACCACACAGCCAAGACAGAACGGAACAGGACAGGGCAGGGCAGGCCTGCGTGCGTCATCGCCCTCACCCCGTCTGTAAAATAAAATGGTCCCCTCCCAACAACCTCAACCGGAATCAGATTTGATCAATTCAACAAAGGGAGGCAAACTCTTTGCACTAACACCTACTACCTCCCTAACAAACTCTTTCCTTCTTCTTCCATCTCGTTTGCGCCTCTACACTCTTCTTGCATCTTTGCCGTCCTATTATACACCACCACCAACCTCAACCATGGCTTTCGGCAGTGCTGCGCTGAAGTTCTTTCAAACTTTCCTCTATGCCCTAGAGTTCTGCTGCTCAGGTATCATCCTCGGTATCTACAGTTACTTTCTCTCTGTCCTTGCCGACCGTAATGCACCCATTTACACTTGGGTTAAGGCTGTCGAGGGTATCTCTGGTGCTGCCGTCCTCTACACCATCTGCGCAGTCCTCTTCACATGCTGCCTTGGCGGCAAGACTTTCTTCGCATTCCTTGCTATCATCTTTGACCTCCTTTTCACCGGAGGTTTGATTGCCATTGCCGTTCTCACTCGCGACGGTGCCGGTAGCTGCCGGGGAAATGTTGACACTCCTCTTGGAAATGGTCCAGCCGACTCCAAGCAGGGCTTTGGCAGCAATGGCCAGGGAAGGCAAATCACTTACTCTGTCTCTCTCCACACTGCATGCCGTCTGAACACCGCTGTCTTTGCCGTTGCCATCATTGGAGCGTAAGTAAATCCATACCAGCAATCATGCTACAATTTGCTGACCTTTTCACTCTAGTTTCCTCTTCGCCATCTCCGCCATTGTCCAGCTCTTCCTTGGCCGTAACCACCGCAAGGAGAAGCGTTTTGGCCCTAGCCCTGCCAACAACTACACTCGTGGCAGCGGTATCAAGTTCTGGCAGCGCAACCGTAAGGCCCGCGGAGGCCTTCGTGATCCTGAGATGACCGCTGGTGCTGGCCCAGCTCCCGGTACTCTTGCTCCTGGTGCTGGCCGTGACTACCGCCCCTCTCACGATACTGCCTACACCGGTTCTACTGTTGCACCTAACTCAGCATATGAGAACCCTCACAAGCCACTGGTGGGCGGTTACCACACCGCCCCAACTGGCACCTACAACAATGCCACTCCGGCCACCAACTACTAGAGGCTTAATAAACAAGTCAATGAAGAATCATGCATCGGCATTGATTGAATTAGTACGGGGATGAAGAAGTTCTTTTCACCTCTCATAATTGTGTACTACCACCCAACATGATACCAAGATCGATTACGACATTTTCTTTACCCAGGACTTCCAACGGAAGTGGAGAGTCTGATGCTTTTAGCAATGTACAATAACCCATTACATACCTAATAATACATAATGAACATGAACATATACGCATTACGTTGCACATGCTCCACTGTGACTGACTACTGTTGGCATAATTCCCATATCTGAATTGGTGGAAACAATAGATAACTATATGAAGGGTATTCTCAACGCCCAAAACTCCGTCAAGCAACATTTACCATCAACGAAGAAGAATTTAAGATGATTTCTTCCCCTTCCCTTTCGTTACAGTGGCGCCTGACGGCCGCCCTCGAGGCTTCTTCTGGGCTACTGTGCGACTCTCTGAAGCCTTGATCTCATCCAGCTTCTGCTTTAGCACCGTCTCTAGGCCTTCGTTCCGCCTTGACAAGAGCATCACGTCTTCCGTCTGGATCACTCGTCGACCAGCATGTTTGGCGAATGTTTCCAGATCGCGAGATGTATTTGCTAACAGAATGATGAGCCAAACCTGACCAGACACACTGGACAACATGATGAGATTAGATTACTTACAGATCTGCGTGTACACGAGCTCTGTCAACGCAGCGATGAATTGTGGTGTTGCATTTAAGTTCTGGTCTAGGGACTCTTCATCGATGAACTGCCCGATTGAGTACCAAAGGGAGGATTTGAGACGCTATTCGGATGGTCAATCATAGCAACGAAACCAGGGAATGAAAGAGCCTTACCTCTTCCTGCTCAGCATCGGCGTCGTTTGAAGCCATCTTTCAATACCCTTCAGCGAGCGCGAATTAATTGTAGATAGATACTGTTCTGTTTCATCTACTGCCGGTAGACGTCGGACGCGACGTAGACTGTTAGCGGAAGTCGCGCTTTGCGGGCATCTTCGGCGCATGGACCGTGCGCACCTTTCCGATTGAACTAGTTAGCTCACCGAGCCCTCCGTTTTCCTTCTCCAAAGACGACAGAGCGCGATTTTTCAAATATATTTCATCCGGAGTACCATTGGAACCCGCGCAATTTAATATTCCTTTTTTTTTTGCAACATTTCCTTGAAATCTTCTACTACTTAAAGAGCCATCCGTCACACATTGCTCAAAACTTCTGCAAAACTCTCGCAATCACACAGAATTGGAGAAACATCCGGGAAACCCCCCACCCAATCCATCAACCACAAGCACGAACTTGGTCCTCAATTCCCAACCCTTCTCGCACCCGGCTGCACGGATAGACAGGACACCCACCCACCTACAAACTCCCTTCGCAGCACCTCGAACGGTTGCAAAGAATTGTCGATCACTCATCCACTCACACCTACACCACCCACCCGCACACCACCACCACCATGTCTCTCGAGGGAGAAAGCATCGGCGACACGCTCTCTCGATGGGGAGGCAACCTCACGCGCAACACATCTGCCGCATTCACAGACCTACGGCCGAAGGACTACATCCGGCTTGTCATCATCGTGGGCACATACTCGCTCATCCGGCCGTGGCTCGTGAAGCTGGGCCAGAAGCTGCAGACCAAGGCGCACGAGAATGACGCCGCGGAGACGGGGGAGATATCCGCCAACGAGCTCAGAGGCAAGATTGAGATCCCCGGCGTGGGTGACAGCGACGAGGACGAGGAGGAGGAAGCCAAGCCTGGGGACTGGGGACGGAATGCTAGGGTCAGGCAGAGGAAATTCGTCAGAGAGGCTTTGCAGAAGGAGGAGGATAGGCTGAGGGATGAGCAGGCCGACGAGAGCGACAAGGAGATTGAGCAATTTTTGGTTGACTAGAAGGGGGAATCGATTGGTCGCGTCACACGTCTTCCTTGTTCTACTGCTTGCTGTCTGTCTAGCCACAGGCAAGTGGGTTCGGCGCGCATTGAGAGAGCGAGAGGGGGGTGGGCAGAAGAGAGAATACCATCAACAGCCACCGCGGCAACGCGTGCCGCCCACATACGGAATAATTATGACGTTCCAGCATTCCGACGTCTTGCACGATTGCTAATGAACTCTTCGTGACAAGCTTCACGAAGCTTTTAGCCGTTTCACAGTACATGCCCCTGACGTGTGAGTTCCCTGGGTGACACTTGCGTGATCACGCTGATTTAGGAGAAAAGCCTCGCAATGCATTCCTCATGTCCTTGTTCCAGCATCCCCAGAATGTGGCAGCGAGACTCTCAACGAGGTCGCGAGACTGCCGTTTCGACAATACTGAGTCAATTTGTATTCTGAAACAGAGTACCAAAGGCGTTTTTCGTTGACGGAAAGTTTCCTTTCAAATCTCTACTTTTTTCTTGATATTAAAAATCAAATGGATATTCGATATTTGACGCTTTCCATTGTTGAGTCGCAAAAGGGAGCCGGTAGACGCATGAATAGACGCGCCTCTTGAGGAATCCACGCGCCCATCACCTGGAGAACAGCGCGTCCATTCCCTTGCTTGCTACATTAACCTTTACAATGCCCGCGAACCCTCGAGTTGACAGCCTCAGCAGTGGTTTCCCTTGGTTTCCACCATGGCTCCACACTCGTTCGCGCGTACACTATGTACGCTTCCAATCTTTCTCTCCGGGGCTCTCTCCCATATGCAAATGAAAGAGCCCTCACCACTACGAGACCCTCACAGCAACAGAAAAGATGAGCCGAAGGACTGGAACATCCTCACGCCTCTCAAGTCAGATGGCAGTGATTTTGCCTGCAAAGGCTACCAATACAACACACCTCTCACCTCCGTCGCAGAGTATGAAGCTGGCGAGACCTATCAGTTGACCACGATGGGCCATGCTACCCATGGTGGTGGCTCTTGCCAGATCTCGCTCTCCTGCGACAACGGATCAAACTTTAAAGTGCTGAAGAGCATGATGGGAGGTTGCCCGGATCCCGATAGGGAATATGACTTTACGATTCCAGAGTATGCAGAGACTGCACAGTGTCTTCTCGCCTGGACCTGGTACGTTTAGCAGTCATCAGATGTTTGTGTGCATGAAAACGCCTGCTGATCTACCTAAAGGTTCAATAGAATTGGAAACCGCGAGATGTATATGAATTGTGCTGTCGTTGACATTATTGGTGCGGGAGACTCTACCAAGAGATCTGCCTCTGCCTCTGCCGCAGTGGCTCAAGCCGCTTTATCTGACCTACCTGACCTCTACGTTGCCAACCTTGCGGGTATCAACAGTTGCAAGGTCGACGAGATCACTGATGCTGTGTTCGACAGACCAGGTGACGATGTTGAGTACGGTGATGAATTCAAAGCCTCGACTTCCAAGAAATCCAAAGGCAACAAGTGCGTCGGCGTTGGCCGTAAGCACTCCGACAGTGATTCGTCTTCGTCTAGCGATTCTGGTAAGAGCAAGAGTAAGGGCTCTGGATCATCCAAGTCTGCTTGTAACTCCAGCAGCGGCCAATGGAATCCTGACTGTCTTGGTCTGCCGGCCGGTTCGGCTTCCAAGCCCAAGAAGGGATCTCCCAAGAAGGGCGGCATTAGTGAGGCAGATATCCAGAAGGCGGTTGCAGAACTGACCAAAGGACTTCGAGAGAGCGATTCTGATGATGAGGAGCGTACCGTGGAGCTGGTCTTCGCAAGCTCCTACGATGACGAAGAAGAAGCATCTCCCAAGGATTTCCATCAATTCGCAAAGCCAAATTACTACAACGATTACGATGATGTTGACGGCGATGAGTACGAACACGAGCATTTTGGCCTCTACCGCCAGCTCAAGGCTCGTCAAGCCCCCGAGGAGGACTTCGCGTCTACCGACAGGAGCGAGTTCTTCGCTTCCGATGAAGATCTAGTTCCCGGACTCGAGCTCGTCTCCGACGAGAGCACCACGTTCCTGGCCATCGACCAAGCAACTGGCACCGTGATCGCAGCCATCCCCACGGACGAGCCCGTCGTCAACGATGACGGCTTCGTGCTCGTTGATGCGCCGTTCGGCACAGCCGACCCGCTTGGCTTTTTGGTGCCTGGCCCACTTAAGCCAGCTGCACCTACAGAGGTTCCGGCTGTCCCGAGTGAACCTGTTGCTATCGTCGCTTCTGAGGTGGTTCCTACAGGCGTTGCTAGCGGCCTTGAGGAGTTCGTTTGGCCCACTGACTCGGCTGCCCCAGCCGCTGTCATCGGAGAGGCCGTTGCAACAGAAGTACCTGGCGTTCCTGAACCTGCCATCGAGGTACCGGCGGTCGAACCAGCAGTAGAGCCCGTTGCCCCCGTCGAGCCTGTACCTGCACCAGCAATCGAACCAGTCGCTCCCGTTGAGCCAGCCGCTCCCGCTGTTGAGCCTGTCGCTCCTGTCGAACCTGTCGCTCCCGTCGAGCCAGTTGCTCCTGTTGAGCCAGCTGCCCCCGTCGAGCCCGCAGTTGCACCAGCAGTCGAGCCTATTCCTCTCGAGCCAGCCGTTGACCCAGCGCTTGTTGATCCTGTTCCCAATCCCGCCCCTGAAGCCCCAGTCGATCCTGCTGTCGATGTAGCTCCTGCTCCTATCGAGCCAGTCCCAGTTCCTGGTGAAGTCCCCGCTGCCGATCCTGCTCGAATTGACATTCCTGGACTTGCGCCTAAACTTCCTTTGCTAGCACCGGCACCCGCGCTCCCCATCGTTCCGGGCATTTCTGTCCTTGGCGCTCCACTGATTTCGATCGACCCATCGATCTTGCCAGTCGGCCAACCGGTTGCCATTCCAGGTGTTCCTGAGATCTCGATTGATGTCCCCGCGATTCCCCCCGCCCCGACTCCTCCTGAGGTCTTCATCGACCCCATTCTTCCTGTGGAGACGCCCGCTGTGCCGATTGATATTGCTACTCCTGCCATTCCTCCAATTGAGCCAGTCATCCCCCCAGTTGAACCGGTCATTCCTCCGGTCGAACCCGTCATTCCTGCGGTCGAGCCAGTCATCCCTCCTGTGGAACCAGTCGTTCCTCCAGTCGAGCCCGTCATTCCTCCAGTCGAACCAGTTATCCCCCCAGTCGAGCCAGTTATCCCCCCAGTCGAGCCAGTTATCCCTCCGGTCGAGCCAGTCGTTCCCGTGGACCTTCCTGTGTCCATTCTTCCTGCTCCTCCTGTTGATCCTTTGGCAGCAATTCCTCCAGCTACTCCTCTGCCGATTGAACCAGTTCTGCCCATCGACCCTCTTGCAGCAGTTCCTGCTGTTGCTCCCGTCGAACTTCCTGCACCAATTCTACCCGTCGATCCGCTCGCAGCAGTACCACCAGTTGCCCCAGTCGATCCTCTTGCTGTGGTCCCTATCGATCCAACTGTGCCAGCTGTGCCTGAAGCGCCTGTGGTTGATCCACTCGTACCTGCTGTGCCCGCTCTACCTATCGACCCGCTTGCGCCAGTTCCTCCCCTTGCTCCCATTCTCCCAGCTGCCCCTGTCGAGCCTGCAGCACCGGCCCCATCTGTGGGATGGCCGTGGGTGATCCCAAGTCTCGCCAATGCCACAGTCAACGAGACTGCTCCAGCAGTTGTGCTTCCTCTTATTTTGAATGGCACCACCAACAGCACTGCCAACGCGACCACGCTTGAGGCACCGGCACCGGCACCAGTAATCGATGAAATCGCTGAAGATTTGGATACCGTTGGCTCAGACGACGACTTCACTGACACCGAGCTTCCTGATTTGGAAGAGGATTTCGCTCGTGATGAAGATATATTCTCCGATTCGGTTGATGATGACGACGACGATGATGATGACGAAGACGACGAAGACTTGAAGGGGCTCTTCCCTCCTCGCTCAGTTTCATATGGCATTCGTGGCCGTGGATTCCCCGGTGACCGATTCAAGGCAGTCAAACGAGAAGTTCCTGCTGGCGATGGTGTTGACACCGCTGCTGAGTTCTGGTTCCCTGCATCCAGCAAATGGGACGGAGATAACGTCGAGGATCTTCCGTCCTTTGAGGAGTTTGAGCATGCATTGAAAGCATCAAAACAGCCCAAGAAGTCCCACGACGACGGACACCGCAGTGGAAGTGGAGACAACGGGAAGAGCGGTGGCAAGGGCGAAGGTGGAGGTTCTGGAGGAGGTGAAGGTCAAGGTGGCAAGGGCGGCCAAGGTGGAGGTAACTCTGAAGGAGGCGGAGAGGGCGGCAATAAGCCTCAAATCCCCAGTTTGGGCAGCGACGTCAAGGCTCCTTCTACTGATACCCAAAAGAGCTCTGGTGGTTCTTCCAGTTCCAGCTCCAAGAGTAGCTCAGGAGCAGCGTCTTCTGCCAAACCTGAGGAGAGTTCCGATGATTCATCTAAGCCAGAGGAAGAATCCAGTGAAGAAAGTGCCGCTCCCGAAGAAGAAGAGGACACTTCCACGGAAAAGAGTTCCGGCGAATTCCAACTCGAAGAAACCTCCGACGAAGACACGTCTGAGGAGGCTACAGCGACCTCTGAGGAAAGCAAGCCTGAAGAGACTGGAGAAGGCAAGCCAGAAGCAAGCACCGAAGAGGAAAAACCTGAAGAGAGCACCGAAGAAAGCACTGAAGAAGAAAAACCTGCGGAAGAATCGTCCGAATCTTCTGAATCTTCCGACTCCAGCGAGGCCAAGTCTGAGGAGGAAGACACTTCCACTGATGGTGAGGCTGCTGATGGCTGGCCTTCCGAGGACTCTCGCCGCAAGCGTCAGTACTATGAAGGATATGATAGTGGGTACGGTTCCGGTTCCTACGATAAGTCTATCTACGGCATCAAGGACAATGGTGTTGGCGCAGGATCTACTTTTGAATTGGTCTATGGACACAAGGATCCGTATGGCAAGGGCTATTCTGATTCTAAGAGCTACAGCGACCCCTATGGCCAAAGCTACGAAGATCCGTACAGCTCCAAGTATGGCAGCAGCAGCAGTCATGATCACGGCAAAGGTGGCAGTGGCCATGGTTCATCTGATCACCAAGGCGGCGGGGGCGAGTCTGGAGGTGGAAAGTCTGAAGGCGGACCTCCAGAAGGTGCCGGAGGCAAGCCATCTGGTGGGCAAGGAGGACCCTCTCAAGGCGAACAAGGCGGAAAACCCTCAGGCGGTCCTCCATCCGAAGGCGAGGGTGGAGAATCCGGCCAGCATCAAGGAGGACCTCCCTCCGGAGGACCTCCCTCTGAAGGTGGCGACCAATCCGGAAAGCCCCAAGGCGGCCCTCAAGGCGGTGGGCCTGGCGGACAAGGTGGTCCCCCATCATGGGTTTCGAGCGGCGGATCACCACCATGGGGCTCAGGACCACCACCGTGGGTTAACGGCGGCGGCCAAGGAGGCCATGGCGGTCAGGGCGGTCAGGGCGGTCAAGGCGGTCATGGTTTTGGAGGACAGTCCAACTCAGGCGAGTCTGTTGATGGGCATTCGCCTGTAGATGGATTCCCGGATGACTGGAGCGCTGGCGGCGACGACAGCCATGACGAATCTTCCGACGACTCTTCCGAAGATAAGCCTGAGGAAAACGAAGAGAAATCCGAGAAGATGAAGCGTCAGTTTGGGTTCCCCTCTCTTTTCCCACCACGTTTCCCTCCACTCGCACCTACTTTCCCTCCACCTGCTGTCCCAGGCCTTGGTCCATTGCCAGGATTGCCTCCATTCATCCCAGGTTTACCACCCGTTGCGCCCCCCGTTGCCCCCGTTGCACCCAGCAGTGCACCTGTTGCTCCAGGACTTGGTCCATTGCCCGGACTGCCTCCATTGGCCCCAGGCCTACCTCCTGTTACGCCTAGCAATCTACCTGCTGCTCCAGGGCTTGGTCCATTGCCCGGACTACCTCCATTCATTCCAGGCCTCTCTCCATACCCATATTTCCCGGCACCGCCTCCATTTGGATTGCCATCTCTGCCTCTGCCAACTGTTGCTGTAACGCTGCCAGCAAAGCCACTTCCTATCCCAGATACTTCATCGATTGAAGTCGTCCCTGTCCCCTCCGAGATACCTATCGAACTTCTTGACGAGGCGCCTGTCGATGCTATCCCCGAGCCAACTGCGCTACCCATCGAGCTTATTGACACAGTACCCGTTGAAGCTGTTCCGGAGCCGACTGAGATTGCCTTTCTTGATGAGGCCCCTGAGTTGATTTTCCCAACAGAGCTTGAGTCTATAGTTCCATCCGTCTCTTTAGTAGAGATTTCCTTACCAGCTACAGACGTTCCAGTTGCGGCTGCCACTAACCAGCTCCCAGCTCAGCCAATCGCCTCGGCAATCGTATCACTAGTCCCAATTCCTGCCGTTACTTTGGCCGCTGAAGTTCCGTTGCCGTCTGTAGTCAATGAAGTGATTGCAGCTGCTCCAGGGCTAGATGTTATCGTACCAACAGTTCTAGCAGAGGCTCCTGTGCTCGACACGATCAAGCTTCCGCAACCGGTTCTTCCCCCAACCCTTGCCGATCTGTTGAAGGCCTCCGTACCTGCTGCCAACAAACCAGAGCTCCCTGTCATTCCGCTTCGGGAAGATGAAGACGAAGAAGGAGCCGGTCAAGATGCTGATAGCGACGTTGTTGCCACTCTTTTCGATGATGATGTTGAAGAAGTTGCTGATGTAGTCGAACGAGGTAGCTTCCAGCTCAGACGACGCAAGCGACTTGCCAAGGCGATGATGCAACATGCTGAAGCAAATAATGCTCGGCCAGCCCCTGAACTCGCCCTATCGAAGGAACTCGTGGCTATGATTGAGAAATCCAAGGCTGTTGCACCGAAACCAGTTACTCAAGAAAAGCCAGCTACCAACTTTGACGACAAGCTTCCTGCTGGTGGAGACGGCGTTGATGAAGATGTAAATGCCATTTTTGGCAAAGAGCCTGCTGGCTTTGAGCAAAAGTGGAAGGTAGAGAACGTTGAACCGAGCGATCCTTCGCCTCAGAAGGCTCCTGCTTCCACTGGATCAACACAGAAGCCAAGCAAGATGATGATGGCACACTCAGCGAAGCACATGCACAGGCGTCAGCGTCTCCCTGCCGCACCAGTTGCTCCAGCCGCCGCAAAGCTTCCAGGTCCTTCCTTTTCTAGTCCCAAGACACCATCCTTTAGTCCACCAAACATTCTAGATGCTCCACCCCCACCTAGCCCTTGGGGTTTGGAAGGTGGAGGTAGCGAAGGAGGGGGCGGTGATGGAGGTGAAGGTACAGATGTTGATGCTGAGGCTTTGTGGCCCGAGGAAGATTCTACCGGAGGACGACAACAAGGTGATGATAGAATTGTGCCAACCGACAGCTTTGACCCACAGGGACCTAGTAATGGTGAACGTCCTGCTAGCCGTCCTCGACCTCAAGAGCAGGGCTCATGGCCCGCCGAGGAGAGCCATGGACCCTCCCGGCCAGAGCAGAGTGGTGAATCCACCGAAGAAGAAAGCTTTGGAGCTCCTTCTTCCAGGCCCTCCAAGTCATCCGGATCCTCCACGACATCGAGGCCATCGAGACCATCAAGGCCATCTAAAGCTCCCGTAGTCTCCGAGGCTCCAGAGGAACCTGAGGAGCCCGAAGCAACCGAGGAGCCCGAAGCCCCAGAATCATCTGAAGAATCCAAAGATGCAGAGGCGGAGGCAACTGAAGAGGCACCTGCCCCTGAAGCCGCCCCAGAAGAGACCGAAGAGACTACGGAAAAGCCAGAAGAGGAAGCATCCACCACCGAGTCTGTCGAAGAGCCCGCCGAAGAATCCACCGCAGCCCCCGTCGCTGAAGAAGGGGAAGCAAAGGAGGAGACCTCTACCGAGGCTTCCGATGAAGACATCCGCGAGAAAGTCGAAGAACTTGGCCTAGACGTGGATACCGAGACTGAGTCTGAATCTGAGCCCGAGTCTGAGCCCGAGCCAGCGACTCCTACCACCACCGTCTCTGAAGAGGCATCAACCGATATTCCGACTGATATCCCGGCCGATGTCCCGACCGAAGTCCCAACCGGCATCCCAACTGATATCCCGGATGAAGCTCTTCCGTTCATCCTGGGCCCTGGTCCCGTCTTGCCGTCTGGTGTGACTTGGACCTGGCCCAGCCCAACACCTACTGAGGGTTCTCGCAGAGTGAAGCGTGGACGACTTGGATGGTAAAGAACACGCTACTCTCAAAACAATAAAAAAACATAAACACGTATACAAAGTGTTGGAGAAGAAGAAGACGACAAAGGAGGATAGATGGGTTGGAAATAGGATAAGAGAATGATGGAAAGTGGATTTCGGATTTGGTTTCCTTGTTTCTGCTCTCTTTCTCTGGTTAGGAGGGGGTGGTGTCTCTTTATGTATTCCCTTTTTTTCTTTTTACAGACAGTCTGTCAGGTAGTGAAATTCATCGTTTTTGTGGTTTTATTGCACCTTACTTGTGCCGTTACTATTGTGAAGTGATTTATGATGTTGGTGTAGTATTGGATTGCCTAGGTAGAAAGTGCAGTCTGTGGTATAGATGAGTACTATACTTTGACTTTGAGTACATTCGAATGTTTGGAAAGATGGAGTATAGAAAAAGGGATGATCGATAAAAATGCAGGAATGAGTGGGAAAGGCGGCCGCAACTCCACTATGTTATTCGGCCCATCATGTATGTACCTAGGTATCCATACATATACAACTCTGAACAACAACCTCTCCACCGTACCTGATAGCCTCACAACCTACCCACCCAACTCATGCCTCCTTTGCCCACTCCCCCACTGATTCTGCCCACCGTCGACCTCATACCGCTGACCCCACCCTTGCTGCTGTTGCTGCCCACCCGCATCCATCTCCTGCCTCGGCCACTGGTTCTGTCCGCCGGGCACTTCATGCGCTCCACTCGGATACTGCTGCTGTTGCTGATAATGACCCCACTGTCCCTGGCCACTTTGCTGGTACCCAGCGCCGCCCTGGTGTTGCGGATTTGCAGGTAGTTCCGCGCCGGCACCAGGAGGAGGAGTAGAGTACTGATACCCACTCGGACGCTGCGAGGCGTCTAGTTCCATGCCCCTCGTCGTGACGGTGTTCGTGATCTCGCCGTCGGTCGGGATCTCGTGTCTCGGCGGCGGGTCGTCGCCTTGGATCTCTGTCGGACCTGTTGCCGCGACGTTTGCGGCTGCCAGGGTGGGTGACACGGAGGAGGGAGTCGTGTTGCTGGTAATTTCCTTGGAGACGGAGGTCGTGCTGATTTCCTTGCGGGGAATGGCGCTGGCGCTGGTGGTGGCGGGGAAGGGGGGGGCTTTCTCTTCGATGGGGCTGACGTCGCCTTTTGTGTAGCTGGGGTAGATTTGCTGCTGTTGGTGCTGTTGGGGGATGTGGAGGGGAGATGGTTGCTGGAGGGGTGGCGGGTTGAAGGGACCGTGGTTGGAGTAGGGGGTTGGTGCCATTGGGGCGCCGCCGTTGGGGAAGTTGTTGAGCATGGATGGGTTTTGGTTTTGGGGTGGTGGTGGTTGCGGGTAGAATTGGGTTTTGTGGCGACGGCGGCGGAGGAGCAGGACGATGACGATGAGGAGGAGGACGCAGAAGGCGGCGCCGATGGCGATGCCGGCTTTGGTTGCTACGGTCATGCCGCCTGAGCTGGTGTTTGTGGATGTGTTGGTGTTTGGGGGATCTGATAGGGTGATTAGTCGCGCGGTTCATTGTTATGGTGAGATGATAGGTTATGTTGGGAAGGGTTTCGAAGGTGGATGAAGACATACTGGTCGAAGTAGATGTAGGCCCAGACGTCGGTCTACTCCTGGTTTCTGAACCAGTCGTAAGTGGTCCATTGGTCGTGAAAGGATCACTGCTGGCAGTGGGATTGGCTTCAGCGGTCGAAGGTAAAGTCATGCCTGCCGGACTGAAGCCGCGATCTGCGCAGTACTCTACGTGGACGCCAGAAGCAAGGTCCAAGTCTGTTTGCGTGTTCTGAATGAAGTTGAAGATGTCAGTGATACCGCTTTACACTTTTGGAACAAGGTTCACAATCTTGAAGTCAGTGGAGGGCATGCGCCCGTCACTTCGCTTCTGAAGGATGAAGACGCGGGCAAAAACATGTCCAAATTGAGTTTACGTACCATATTCTGAAATGTACATCTTGACGATGCACATCTAGCCATGCCCGTCATATACAGATCCAGATTGGGTTTTGTACACCAGCAACGAGCTTGGTCGCAGCCCTAGAAAGATCAACAAACAATCCACATAAGGGTCAGATAGAACACGAAACTTACGTTGAAGCCCTGGTTCTCGTCGCATGCCCGCATACAAGGAGCCATGCTAGAAAAGCCTGGGTAGCTTTTGAAGGGAGAGTATGTGCCATCGATTGAAGACATGTTGGCGGCACCGAAGGAATTCGATTCCTGGATCAAAATCGAAAGTTCGAGGACAATGCAGTCGATACCGGTCAGTGGAGGCTCGAGTGGGTTCGAGTCCTTCCTCAGATGCGCACCTTGGGGGCCCGATCTGGTTATTAAGACGCCTGCTTTCTTACCTAGACAGTCTTGTCACAAGCTTCGAAGCTTGATGGGATCTGGACGTACGGCATATGGTCGAGTAGTGCGGGAAAAACTCCATTTCAGGGCATGATGTGAGAATCACAACGCAGTCTGATAGGTCGAGGGCAAGTCTGTACATTGATGAGACCCCATCTATGAACCATAAATAGCGAGGAGCGGTTGGGCTGCAGGGGTAGCTCAGTTCCAAAGGACTAGGGTTCAAGATTCATTTCCACCGTGAGCATACAGCAATGAAAGAGAGCATTGCAGCTGTAATACCGAGAAGTCACTGGAACATGACAGATATCTCTTGTTCGTTGATTTGTTTTAATAAGGATTGCAAACATTCTGCGCATACACAAGCCCCTATTGAAGGTCCAAATCAGTAGTTACAAAGTCTGTTGTTGAAGGCACGGAGTAGTCCAGCCTCATATCGTGGTGCGACCGCTTCGTTTAGATTTGGATGCACTGTTTACCCGGGGTGTATGCAGCCACATTCGCTTTGATTGGTTCTACCGCCGTATTCTTGACCACATCAGAAGTCACGAATGCGAAGCATAGAATCCATCTCGCACGGCCCTTCTTCGGAATGGCCAGGGTTGGAGAAAAGCAATTATGATCAACATTTGGGGGCGGAAACAACTGATGCCGTCCTGTGTTCGGAGTACAATCCTCGGTTCAGTCCTCTGCAATCTTTTACGTGCTATTATGTACTGTCAAATATGCACCACGTTTTCCCACTGCTCTTCACTACCAAATATGTACTTCTATTTTCTAGGCAGCATTGGTTGCAACGTTTCCCATGGCGATCCAAACTATTGATCTCTGTGCTCTCTGTTAGGTTCGGTTCCAATGATTCGGTTTTATTCAAACGTGAAACTACTCCAAGAGGCGTATTATGTATAAATCAGTCGTCGATTTCAGGTAGCAACATGTCTTCGAGATCTTCGTCCACTTTAGATCCAAAATCGGAATCTTCCAGAAATTGTCGGTCCTTCAGCTCCTCTGGAAGGTATTCTTGGTTGACTCTACCATCCACATAGTCTGGGTTATATTTATATTCTGCCCCATATCCCATCTCTTTCATCAATCTAGTAGGTGCGTTCCGTAGGTGGATAGGTACGGGCAGCCCTGCGACCCCAGGCTCCTTGAGAGCCCGTTCAACATTCATGGCTGCTCGATAGGCCCGCGTAGATTTAGGACTCAAGCTCAAAGCAGTAACACAGTGGGCCAAGTTGATTTGACATTCGGGCATTCCAACATGCTGGCAAGCAAAATAGGTTGCTGTTGCAAGCGGAAGCATGGTATTGTCGGCGAGTCCAATATCCTCGGAAGCTACGACAATCAGCCGCCGGCCGATGTATAGCGGATCCTCGCCTGAATTAAGCATACGCTTGAGATAGAACATGGCCGCATGTGGATCTGATCCGCGAATCGATTTATGCAAAGCGGAAATATTATCGTAGTGTTTGTCTCCCTTTCGATCATAAAGGAGAGTTTTTGCCATCTCTTTCTTGATGTCTGCTGAAGTCATATTGGGTACTTCTGCGAGACTGATCCCGAGTGAGAGGAAATTCAATGCTGTTCTAGCGTCACCGTCGGCACAGGCAGCGAAGCACATCAACATATCGGTATCCAAAAGAGCTGATGTGCAGTTCTCTTCCTCGAGGGCTCGCCGTAGTATGCTCACTATATCATTCTGGTTCAGTTTTGCAAGCTGAAATGTCCGACACCGAGATAGTATGGCGTTATTGACTTTGAAAGATGGATTTTCTGTTGTGGCGCCAATGAGAATGATCTGCCCGGTTTCTATGGGTCCGAGGAATATGTCTTGCTGGTCTTTCTTGTATCGATGAATCTCATCACAGAAAAGAACAGTCTTCCGACCGGTCAGTTGGGCTTCGCCTGCTGCTTGCTGAAATATCTTCCTGATATCTGGCAGTCCGTGTGTTGCGCTATTGATCTCTTCATATCGTGCGCCAGAAGCGCTGGCTACGATGCGAGCGATGGTCGTCTTTCCTGTCCCTGGATCTCCCCAGAGGATCATGGACTGTAGAGAATTTGTTTCCAACATCTTCCGAATTATTCCATTCTTGTCCACTAATTCCTGGCCTTGCACATCGTCAAAAGATGACGGGCGCATGCGCTCCGCGAGAGGTGCGTTCTTCAGTGGCACGCCGGTCTTTGTGAATTTGGGACGTTTCGGTTGTGGAGGGGACGAAGGAGGTTCGCCGTTGATCTGCCCATCCTCTGCATCTTCGAGAGTTCGTTTCGTTGCACCTGGAGAGGTTTGTGACTGCCCAGCGGAGGATTTCCCGCTCGCAGGAGGTGTCTTCGGCCGTCTCACAGTCTGTGTAGCTGTTTGGAGTGCATTGCTTCTGGGAGTTGAGCTGGACGCTTTCCGGGCGCCTCCGGGGGTAAAGAAACTGTGTGAAGCATTCTGAGGTTTGGAAGTGCTGGCGGGAATATTGTCTTTGGCGTCTCCCTCTACCAAATAAGAGCTACAACCATCGTCTAGGTGCTCATTTATTTTGTTAGAGTGGACCTGTTTCTGACACAGTGGGCACTCGACCATGTCGATGACGGAGGTATAGCAGAATGTGGCCAATAGGCCCAATGGGAAAAGTACCCAAAGAAAGTCGAAGAGGAAGAGGAAGCCTGACGCGTCGCGTAGATTAATCGAGGAATCCGGGGTAGCGAAAGCACGTCCCCAACGCGACCAACGACCAATGAACATGTGAGTATCATTGCTTAACAGACATACGAGAAGGGTTTGGCTCTGCCGAAGTTCGCAGGCGGTAGAAACTCGGAGGAAAGGCTTATGACGGCATCTTGCGGGACAACAGTCATTGAGGGGGGGAAGGGCAGAGACGAGACACCGCGACGACCTCCGAGAGCTGCAAAAAATACCGAATTGTCATGTATCCTAGGAAAAGCACGCAATAGCGAATTTACTCGTAATACTACACTCTCGTTGGGCTGGCTTGCTGGCTAGCTGACTCACTCACACATACAAGCGACTTTTCGTCCATTACAATCATCTACCAGAATTAGCTGGTGGTGCCGCTTGTAGATTCTCCGAGTCTGAACATGCGCTCATTGATTACTCCCACATCAAAATTATTACTCTCGTCTAAGCCAGTATACAAGTTCGCTTCAACCTCATCCGCCCTACGACGAAACCCCGCAACAAGCTGTACCCCTCTCCGCGCAATGTCAGCAACGGCCAGGCGCGAAGATCCCTTCAAGCCAGCGGCGAGAGTCGCTGGGCAGAGACAGGATGTCTGGTAAGTCGAAATGACCTCGTTTTATGTCTCAACATCTGGCTGATCAGCCATTACAGGTCTATTGTCAATGAAGCCGCCGCTGCTTCTCCCGTTCAACCCATTGTGAACATGGGCCAGGGTTTCTTCGGCTACAATCCCCCTCAGTTCGTCGTCGATGCTGCCAAATCAGCTTTGGATAAAGTAGATTGCAATCAGTACTCTCCCACCAAGGGACGTCCGCGATTAAAGAAGGCTATCGCAGATGCCTACTCTCCATTCTTCGGCCACAAGCTCGACCCCGAGAAGGAGGTTACAATTACAACTGGCGCAAATGAGGGTATGTTGAGCGCGTTTATGGCATTCCTGGAGCAAGGCGACGAGGTCATCGTCTTTGAGCCCTTCTTCGATCAGTACATCTCCAACATCGAGATGCCCGGCGGGAAAGTCGTGTACGTGCCTATGCAGCCACCCAAGGAGGGAGCCACAAAGACAACCTCTGCAGGAGAGTGGTCTATCAACATAGAAGACTTCAAGAAGGCGATTACGCCTAAGACGCGCATGATTGTCCTCAATTCTCCACACAACCCCATTGGCAAAGTCTTCTCGAAGGATGAATTGAAGGCCATTGCCGACATCTGCGTCGAACACAACATCATCATCCTCTCCGACGAGGTCTACGACCGCTTATACTATGTCCCCTTCACCCGCATCGCGACACTTTCGCCCGAAGTTGCCAAACTCACGCTCACTGTGGGCTCCGGTGGCAAGATCTTCTATGCGACCGGCTGGAGAGTAGGCTGGCTTATCGGACCAGAACATCTGATTAAATATGTCAGTGCCGCACACACACGAATTTGCTACAGCAGTGTCTCGCCGCTTCAGGAAGCCACCGCCATTGGCCTCGAACAAGCTGATGCGCACAACTTCTTCGACGAGTCAAAGAAGGAGATGAAGGCGAAGATGGACAAATTCAACACTATCTGGGACGAGCTAGGCTTGCCGTACTCGGATCCTGAAGGCGGATACTTCGTGTTGGTCAACATGTCGAAAGTGAAACTACCGGAGGATTATGACTTCCCTCCACACGTTGCGGAGCGACCACGGGATTTCAAACTGGCGTGGTTCTTGATTACAGAAGTTGGCGTCGCGGCAATCCCACCGACCGAGTTCTTTACCCCGGAGAACGCGCATATTGTCGAGGATTGGCTACGGTTCGCTGTGTGCAAGAACGATGATATCCTTGAAACAGCGCAGGAGAGATTGAGGGGCTTGAAGAAGTATATCCAGTAGTTGTAGAGATCAACCCCTTTCAAGAGGCAGTGTACCTTATTATCACGATTCGAAAACTTCTCAAGATGTAGACATACCAATATCAAGAACTGAATTATTTGAATTACAATCTACTTTCTTTCAATTTTGCATCTTCGGTATCTCATCTCACATCACCACACACTCTCTCTCGTGGCGTCTTGAACACCCCTCTTTACTCAACGGCATCATGCCAATCGTCTTCACTCTCATCTTCCTCGCTGCCTTCCCCTTCTCTATCATGCTGCCGAGTTTCAACAGACACATCTCCTGTACTATCGGTGTCCATGGTATTCTCCATCTCCTCTTCCAGAATCTTACACGCCCCCCACGCCGCAATCGTCTCAGCATTGAGCTTCTTCACCCCCTCCACCACCCCTCCCACATCCTCGCCCCCGACCTGAACCTGCACTCTCGTGAAGCCCTTCTTTCCGCCTACTCCATCCCCATCCCCATCCCCAGCACCTACACTAACATACCTAACCTCCTTCTCCCTCGCCAAAATCCCCAACCTCTCCTTCGGATGCAAACAATCGACCCCATCCCTCAGAATCCTCTCCATCAACCCCACAACCCCAAACCTCCCCAGCAACCCCTCACAAGCCTCAACATCCCCCTGACTATCTACCCACACCGCCCCAAGGATACTCTCCACAATGTCGCTCAGGAACTTCGGTGCGTCGTTCAGCACGAGCAAGTGCCACGGATACCTGTCGTCGCATTCCAGCGCCGCGAGGATGCGTCCGCGCGTGCGGTCGTGCTGGGCGAGCGCCTCGTCGCGGCAGGCGACCAGCTGTTGGGACCCGTGGCGGAGGTAGTGGTGTAAGGCTCTAGGGGTGGGTTCCTCGGGCTGAAAGGTCGTTTTGTTGGTTATCGGGGGCGCCGGGATCGTGTTTTCGAACATGAGGAAGGTGAGTATAGAGGCGTTGACGAGGCTTGTGCGGATGGAGTGCATGGTGTGATGGGGGAGTGGCGGGTGGTGGGCGAAGAGGCGGCGGGACACGATGTAGTCGAGGATGGCGTCGCCGAGGAACTCGAGGCGCTCGTAGGACCGGATGGTGGTTATGGGGCCGGTGTAGGAGCCGTGGGTTAGGGATTCGAGGAGGAGGTACGGCTTGCTAAAGGTGTGGCCGGTGAGGGTTTCGAGGGCCGTGATGTCTTGCGGGATGGTGTCTGATGGGGCGGCGTTGTAGAGGGCGGTGTTGGCTTCAGGGACGGTCGTCCATGGTTCTTGGTGGATGATGGTTTGTGTGCACTGGACGGCGGCTGAAAGACCTCCTAGGACGTAGGATGTGCCGATGAGAGATTCGACGACGTCAGCAAGGACTTTGGAAGAGCACTGTGTCGATTGGGGCGGGTGAGATCGGTCCAATATGTCGTTCACGTATCGTGGCGCCCATTTCGACCCTGTGAAGCGCTTCCTGATGATGAATCTGTACAACGAAGACGCCATGTTGACTTTAGTGAGGAACTTATTGTTGACAATCTTTTCCTTCTTGCTGGTCAAGAATTGCTCTGGCCAGGTCGGGTGTACGGCCATTACGTGAAGAGTGGCAATCAATTTGAGTAAGCAGTCTCCTAGGAACTCTAATCTCTCATAATTCTCTTCCTCCCCAGTGGAGGTCGATTTGATCGCTTGGACGATCAATGGAAGGTTTCCGGCCGTAAAAGAAAGAGGCCTCATGATATCTTTGCAGAGGCGCTCTGCTATCATGTAATTTTCCGTTTTTGATAAGATGGACGGTAGGAACAGGGCAAATATGGAGAAGGAAAGTGGCACTTTTCTCACAGTACAGCTTTGAGTGTTTGCAAGTTCGATTCTGGTGTATGCGCTGTTCTGTGCCACAGCTTGGTACACTGGATGCAGAAAGTCTCGTCGTTTGGGTGCTCTGATAAGCTGTAACTGACCTGCCCCTGTCTCAGCTGTTGCTCTCGACCTCTCAGCAAGCATCCAGTTTCGCGGATCCCCCTCAACTGATATCCATCCCCACTCAGATGCTACCTTATCAGTCATGTGGATCGCACTCTGTGACCCGGTGATATGTTCAAGCCATAGTTGAAGCTTCGGAAGGTTCCATGCCAGTCCATCCGCGTCGCAAGGTGCCAGAAGCCAGAGGAAGTCATATCTCTCGTCTGGCATTCTTCTCTGGAACACGGAGTAGAGTAGTTCCCTGGTCACTCTTCTCATAACCCGAATCATGTCCTGATTGTACGTAGACCTTGGCAAAGGAGTAGTCGTGACTTTGTAATACTTCGTCGAGTTCCAGTACAGTGGGAAATCGGGGATCACTGGCAGCAAGCATGCTGTTGATAGGGTCATATAAACAGGCTGCTCGCCTGTGGTTTCCAACATTATCAGCACTCGATCATAAGTATGCGGTTCCTGTGCCTGGCACTCGGCTAGCGGAATCCAAGGATCAAAAGGAGGTCCTATCTGGATCAAGGATGATCTTTGATCAAACTCAGCAGTCTCCTCAACTTCCACTGAGTGGGCTGGGAGGAGATTATCATTGACCAAACCTGCCTTGTGTAAAGCTACATAGGCTTGGAAGGAAACATCCTTTTTGGCTGCGCGCTCCGTTACCCATGATTTTTCGCTGTGTGCTTTTCGCAAAGAAGATTCTATGGAAATGGGTAGTGTGACTGTTGCCGTAATGGTGCCTACTGTAGATTCGTGGAATTCAAATTGGGGCCTCGAGTCCACAAAAGGTCCTGCAGCAACAACCGCGCAGAAGTGATGGAGATGTTGGGATGCATTGTCGCCTGTGAGAAGGGCGCTATGATATGTCAGCCTTTGGGCTCTCAAACATAAAAGGGAATCGGGGCAGTATACTCACCCAGTACTAGGAACCTTGTAGCGGAATGGGCAATCTTCTTCAAGCATTTCCTTTGCCTCCGCTTGTTCGATTTCTCTTCTATCTTCCAGATATGCTCTTCTCATCTCTTCTTCTAGTTCTTCCCATGATCTAGGGGATCGTTTAGTACTAGTTGCTGGAGTGAAGATGATGTACTTCGATCGACTTTTCCTTGCCCGGCCCCGACGTTGAACGAAAGACTTGAGGTTCTTCGGACTCTCGAAGCATATCACAAGATTGCAACTAGAGACGTCAATCCCTTCTTCAAGCACACTAGTGGCGAGGATGAGATTTTTCGCTCCATTCCGGAACTCATCGAGAGTATTCTTCTGGTTTCGAGACTCGACGAGATCTGCTATGTTCTTCTTTCGTCTCGTGGACGTGGACGTTCCCGTGAAGGTACTGATGTTGAAGGAGTCCTTGATGCGAGGATGATTGGAAAGCGTTTCAGCTAGAGTTGCAACCCAGACACGTTGTTCTACGAAGACGAGACCCGTGAATCCATCACCTGCCTCAGCTTCAAGTAAGTTTATCAGAGCTTCGACTTTGGGTGATAGGCCATCTGGTGCAACGGCACTGGACTTAGCAGGGAATGTGTGCTGGATGTTTGTCAGTATTTTCGTCAAATGCTGTCTCTCACTCTCTCTTGCGTGGAACAATTGGTCGTCTGAGGTCTGAACAGCCTCGAAGAATCGCGAAAGGCACTTATCAAGATACCAATTCGTGGGTGACAGTCCAAGTTCGTCTTGCATAGCTTTACCTTTTTCCGCTAAGCCTTTGAGCTGTTGCGTGCAGTATGTGTCTCTGCCGATAGACACCTTCTCCAACTGTTTCGAGCGGTCATAGCCACTGTGGTGCTGCTGGAGAAGGTCCAAGACATATGGATCGGTCATAATGTCGTATGACAGAAACGCATTGAACAATGAGTCGAGAAGCGGAGACTGGGTGTATGCTAGGTCGACCAACGGATAGATGATGTTTTGAATCTGAGGTTGGTAGACAAACCGAATCAGTTCCGAGCGGTGGAGCTTCGGCGTCTTTGCAGTCGCATTCATGTTTCTTTCAAGTTCCCTAGTGCTGTCAGTTTGAAAGAAATGCATAAGTCATCCAATACATGTAGCATACTGAAGGTCATTTTTGGTTGCTCTGGCTTTCATCACTGGACTAGCGCTCAATCCCAAAATCTTTGGGAGGACAGATCTATCTATACCCACACGTGGAATATAGAAGTCTGCCATAATGCGGTTGGCAGGGTGATTTGAGGTACAATGATGAGCTTGAACTAACGTTAGTAAACCTTACCATGTTGCGTATCCAGTTCACTTAGTGACGTACCTTCGTCAAAGATGATCAATGCGAGCTTTTCCATTCTGACAAAAGCGTGAGTGAGTGCATCACAAAGTACTTGATGCGTCGAAATGACCACTCGAACATTTCTCAGAACATCGTCCCAGGTGCTTTGATCAGTCCAGCGATCTACATTGTCCTTGCCAGAGAGAATCTGGATATTGTATTGTGGTAAGTTGACTTTGAACACTTCAAATTGTTGTTCACACAGAGTGACTGTAGGTGCCAAAAACCAAACCAGCTCGTAAAAGTCAGTATAGGTAATAGCTGAAAGGTAACTTTAAGATTGCATACCTGCTCGGGCTTACACAGTTCCAACTCAGCAGCTGTACGCGCTAACGCTCTGTATGAATTGTGAGACTTGCTTAACTCAAGGAGCAATGGGAGATTACATATGAGTTTTGCCGGCGCCTGTATCCATCGCAACTATAATGTTGGCCTTCAAGCTTTCCTTCACCATCTCAGCCTGATAGGAGCGGAGACGGAAAGTCTCATCTCGAAATCCGGCTTCGACTGTGACGCCATCACCGGCGGTATCTCCAAGGTTGTTTAGATCGGATTCCATGGTAATCGAAAAGATAAGATATCATAGTATGATAAACTTCCAAATTTCCTCTCGCCAGGCAACTCTTTAAGTACGCAGGTAGGTTCCACTGCTTTGGTACTCAGCAATGTAAACGAACTAATCGATGATGTTTGCGCTAGGCCTCTTTTAGCGACGAGGGACCAGAGGCGTCAGTCAGTGGTAGCTGGAGGTAAAAGTAATCGGAGTAAACAATAGCTTCAAATCTCCATATATCGAGTATTCAGACATGGTCAAATTATCAGATGAAGATCGTAGTCATGATCATAACATAATTCATACATATGATCGTCTAGGAGCAGCTGAAGGGCCTGCATGATGTGTGTTTGGTCATATGCTCTTAGGGCAATGCAGCGTAAGCGCTGATAGCCTCTCTATGAAGTCACCAACTCCTCATGATAGTGCGTCAACCCGTAGCTCACAAATTCGTCAGGTAGTCCTCGACCTCTTGGGAGCTGAGCTTTCTGAATCGCGGGCCCACTGCGCCTTCGACACCTTCAATCCCCAACAGCCTCTCCTCGGGAGGACCAACAATGCCAATCTCCACTGTCTCACCGTTCATCTCTCCTTCTATCGTCTCTTTCAAGGTGAGGAGGGCGATGTGGATCGCATCTTCGAGTTCTAAGCCTTCGGTGTACCTCTTCTCGAGGAACGTCTTTGCGCTAGTTGCACTCTTGCCGATAGCGGTGGCCTTCCAGGGAAAGTAGCTACCACTGGGGTCGACTTGATACAGACTTGGGCCACCTTTGAGGATGCCACCAGTCTTGCCACTAACCTTCTTCTTCTCAGGGTCTGTCATCTCCTCGTCCTTCTCCTCCTTCTCGGGCTCAATGCCATCATCCCATCCAGCAATAAGCAAGCTAACACCGTACGGTCGGACACCACCGGACTGCGTAGCCTCCTGCATGACTCTGGCAACGTCCTGTACCAATATCCTCGTGGGTGGGTATTCGTTGTAGATGCGTTTGTAGCCAGTATGTGACACCTTTCGTGCCTTGTCGACGAGAACTCGATAGTCCGGTCCCATTCCCGAGTAAACCATGCCAATATTGGGTGTTATGAGGCTCACTTTGGATGAAGACTGGGAGTCGATGAGCGGTGATGAAGACTTCTTCTCGGTGGCGAGCACGATTCCATTGGTAGCTGTTTTTGTTAATAGGATATTCATAATGGAAACCATGGGTCCCACGCACCTTTGATTCCTAAAGAGGTGACACCTTGGTTGACGGCATTCAAGGCATATTCTACGCTCAGTTAATATCTACACTGCAGGCCAAGTAGACGCATGGCCATGACAGGATGATATAGCATACCAATTTGAACCAGTTTGCCACTGTTGACATGTTAGCATTACATTATGCCCCTCATATGCTGCCGGAGGAGATGTTTACCTGGGGGAGAAAGTGGTGAGCGAGAACGAGTACCGATCCGCCATCTTGGAGTGATTTTAATATTTGAGCGACAGCGATTCAAATGCACGAGACCAAGTCGCTGTGAGGAGTTGTTGAATGAGGCTGGTGTAGATTGGTGATATTGGAGAAGGTCGGAGCTACGAGCTTCAGTCAGGCAAGCTTGAGGATGCGCGGCGTCCAAATGCCAAGAATCTGGACAGTTCAAGATCACGTGCAAATCTAGGAGCTTGGGCCTTCGTCGTCTTCCAACTCAATTTTGAGCCTCTGATCTTCCACCACTTTCCACCATACTTCGTCCGTTGCTCATGCGACCACCTAGGTCTGCAAACGTGTCCTGTCGAAGTGTCAGGTCTACTCATGTAGTGCAATATCAAATTGATCTGCAGCAGGTTTGCGCCTGGCAACTACAATCCAGTTTCATCCATTGATTGCCCTGCCCTGTCTTTGGCATGCTCAAACACCAGCACCCTTCCTAGGCTTTGCACTCCCGCTCTTTTACCTCCGCCATCATGTCATCTTCTGGCTTTCAAGCCATGCCAGGTTGGTACTGGCCAGACGACGTACCGAAGAATGAAGCAACCCAGGACGCATCACAATCCTCTCGAGCGCAAACGCAATCCCCTCCAGATGCTTCAGCTTCCGGCACGACTCCACGGGCGGGACAAGGCGCGCAATCTTCTAGACGTCGAACACATTGGCCGCCTAGACAATGCAGGATATGTCTAGAAACCGTGCAGCCGACCACCCATGTCCCCTCCGAGAATCTGCCTGGCTTCCTACAATCCCCACCGAATGTTACATATGAAGACGAGGGTGGTCGCTTGATCAGACCATGCCTTTGCAAAGGTTCTTCTAAGTATGTTCATGACAATTGTTTGCAAGCATGGCGCCATGCCGATCCTAGCTATGGTCGCCGTAACTACTGGCAATGCCCGACTTGTGGCTTCAAGTACCGGCTCGCGCGCCTTGGATGGGGTAGATGGGTGGCAAGCACAAGTAGGTTTCTCGAGGCTTGTAGATCCCTCTTGAATCGCTAACAGACCTAGCTGCCCAAGTATCATTGACAGTCATCATTCTTTTTGCAGTAGTTTTCATACTTGGATTCATCGCAGATCCCATCATCAACTTGTATGTTGACCCATGGAGCTTCTTTCCACCATGGTCTAGTCAAGAATATGACTATTATTATGAGGATGACGAGCCAGTTGGATGGTTTGAGCACTTTGCGAAAGGATTTGCCAGTATGGGTGTGATCGGATTTCTCAAAATGCTTATCGCAAGTCCCCTTGCTTACTTTAGGATTGGCGGTGGAGGCAGAAGAAACACAGGACGTGATCGATATGAGCAAATCAGCTGGATCATCATTCTTATAGGCGTCTTTACATTTTTGGCGGTATGTATCACTCGTCTTCCTTTCAGCCGCTCTAACACAATGCTAATTACCTTAGGCAATCTTTAAAGGTGTGCGTGCGTGGAGTCGACGTACCCTTGAACGTGCTGGAGAACGTGTTGTTGATGTTCAAGGCGACGATGACGATGACGATTGACGATGACCCTCCGTAGCACACGAGGATTGTGTCCACCCCAGAATGGAGTGCAATACTGCATTCATACACTACAGAGTTTCATTGCCTCAGCAGCCCTACTACCGTTCGATCCCGGTCATCTCGCACTACCTTTTTAAGTGGCCACATGGTTTAGCCAGCCGTGTCCATTAGTCTACGTGCGTATATCAAACAGCCTACGAATGTTATGATATCTTGTCACGTTTTGTGCGGATGTTAAGACCCGTAGCGCTTCCGCCAACCACTCCCTCAGTACAGCTTCACTACTCCGGTGACCTTACACAGCTGTAATGTGGGGCTTCAAGCTCAATGTGAATGGTACATCTTCATGTAGATAATAATATAATTTCTCTCTATGTTTATTGCTTGCAACGTATCGTTTCCAAACGTGATCATCCTACCCCACAACAAACCCTTGCCGGGAGTAATACATTGCTGATGTCTGGCCTGTCGCCAAATTCATCACCAAACTTTTCCAGACAAGGAAATACACAGAATGCAAATCGACGGTCAAGGAAGACATCTCCATCCTCATCAAGAGCGTCGAAATTGTTCACATCCTCCATTCTCTGTCCATCAAATGGTTGTGCCTTTCCATCTTGACTCCGGAAAAAGAGTACTGCGTACTGAGCCTTCTGCATTAGGAGCAAATGTTGTAAATCTGCTGCCGCCAAAATAATACTATGGAGGGTCGTCTCCGCCTGTGGCGTTAGATTCATCGAAGTAAGCGTGAAAAGCTGGTGCTGTATGTTATTGGCGATTCGGTGGACAATGTTCTGACGCTCTTGTCGAAGAGTTGGTTCACCCGTGCTCTTCTCTAAGGCGCGTACTGTGGCTCGTCGCCACTCGTGATACTCTGCGGTATTGCTGCAGATACATGACGCCAATTGCCGGGCTGCTGAAAGGGGACCCGTCTCGGGCAACCCTACGTATATAGCTTCCCGGAAAATAGGCATTATTGCGTTAGAAACGAGAGCTTGGCAGAAGCCGAGCCGGTCAGATGAAGCAATCTCCTCAAAGCGAGGATATATGAAGTGGAGAATTTTCTTCAACTCCGAATCTGCATTATTGAAATTCAATTTCGTACGGCGATAGTTTGAAACGACAAACTCGCGTATACGATGGTACAGCTGGTCGACACGCTCGGTAAAGTCACTGTCCGTGACTTGATTGTCCACTCGAGTCATAGCGGAGATACTATGCTTAAGATCTAGAAGCTGTTGTAGCCTTTGTTGGGACTCCTTTTCGGTATTGTGAAGGCGAGATGTAAGCTCTTGCCACTCAATAGAGGTTCGAGATGGTGTTTGGAAATCAGCGCTCCTCCGTGCATCATGCTGCGGGTACTGGAGCCCAGCGACTTGTCCCTGAAAGGTGTGGGTTTCATCCAGCAGGTCATGATCCCGATAGCTAGAAGTTGACCGATGCGGAGATGATTTGTTCAAATGATCACGATGATCTTCGATACTACGTCGACCGATTGAGATTTGCTCTAAGCTCCTGCGATCTGTTGGCTGTAAGGAGTTTGGGTGTTCTTCGATCGTTTCTCGATAGGTTTCATCATGGTGCCTGGCTTTCTCCAGCTGCTCCCGGAGTCTATCTTGTTCCTCTTTAGCAAACGCTAGTGCTTTTTCAAGCTCCGCTATCCGGTCAATTGCTCGAGTATCCTGACTACTCGCTATGCTTTCGGGGGTTGTGTGCTCCGCCGTTGTCTCGTCACGGTCCTGCTCATCCGCCGCCGGATGAGGACTGATAGGATCCGGGTCTTTTGTAGATCTTGATCGAAGCATATCATTGAAGGGAATTTTTCGTCGGTGCAGGTCATCCTTGGTTTTGGGCGTTGCAACTGCGACCTTGGGAGGTGCGCTGATGGTGGAGGGAGCTTGTGCCTTGGAACTACGCGATGCACCTTTGAGAGGTCGCTTAAGCCGATTGGAAAAGTCTGGAGGCGTTAGATATGTGTAGAATGGACTTAAGCCTCTCTCAGACGGGAACCGGTATAATGTCAAAGCGAAGAGACGACGAGCTTACCGGAGGCTTTTCCCTTCGTTTCGGTCATGCCTGCTGCGCATCTGGCGGAATTCAGATGAACGGTAATGAGGGAGCACTTTGCTTTGCCATGTTGGCTTTGCAACCACTTCTCAACGACTTCAAAGCCTTTATCGAGGCGACCAGCGGGTGATGTTATGGATGCCTGGGAACGGGCCGGGGCGGGTGGACTGGTTTATTGGCGGGGTAAACATGAAATCTCACCGCCACAAACACAGTTAGCCACGCGACGACGATCTATCGCCGAACCTCATCCTTCTGCCAGGCGTCAGAGTCTGAGCATGCATAACACGTGCCAAGGCTGTTTCAATGCTCTTCAGGCACCCATCTGAATGACCTCGAGGTTGTACCTCTCCTTAACTTTACGAAGGACACTTTTTCGCACATTCTTTTGGTTCAAATAGCCTACGACATCGTTTCGCGCGGGGCCCCTTAGCACCCTTGCATACGAGCATTGCATAATTATCTTTCGCGTTTATACCGAACCTATTTAAGCAGGATGAACAGCGGTTACATAACAAGGAGTGCGAATACTCCTTATACATTCAATCCCACTACCAATCATAGCACAGCCCCTGTACCAAGTGACCCCAAGGCTCCACAGGATCGGCTGATTGTTGGTGTGGACTTTGGGACTACATACAGTGGTGCGTTCAGATAAAAACTCCCGATGACTATTTGGTCGATAGGATTTTGCTGATATAGGAATAGGCGTAGCTGCTGTTTATTCTGCAACACCAGAAGATGTCGATATCATCAAAACATGGCCGGGTGGGAACGGTATAGATTCTCCATTAATAACCAGCGATATTTGAAACTAAGATTCATGATATAGGAATTACATCCGATAAAGTTCCCACTGAGATAGCCTATCAAACTCCACCACCAAATGGATCGAATTCATCAGTGGACACAACCTCCGCAAAACAAGCCACCGTAAAGTGGGGGTTTCAATTCAAACCTGAGGAGACACGACTTCGATGCGTGAAGTTGTTTCTAGATCGGAATCAGAAGCTTCCACATTTTGTATCACCTCTCGAAACTGCTGCACAGCTCAAAAAGTATGGGAAAACCGTGAATGAAGCTGTATCAGATTACTTGAGCCAAATATACAAGCACACGATGGAGACTCTAACCAAAAGGTACGGGGAGACATTTATGGGCTTGACGAAAGTCCAGTTCGTTTTGACGGTACCTGCGGTGTGGTCAGATGCCGCGAAGGATGCCACTCTGAAGGCCGCAGAGAAAGCGGGCATGGGAAATAGACATGACCTCAAGTTGATTTCTGAGCCCGAGGCTGCCGCTGTATATACGCTGAAAGCAATTCAGCCCAACCATCTTAGTGTTGGAGACAACTTCATTGTGTGCGACGCTGGTATGTATAATTGTCTGTAAACCTACCAGCATACTAATCCCAAGATGTAGGCGGCGGAACGGTGGACTTAATAGCCTACAAGATTACGCAGCTAAATCCCCTTCGTGTCGAAGAATCAGCAGTAGGTACCGGCGGCCTCTGTGGTTCCGCTTTTCTGAACTACCGCTTTGAGGATCATGTAAAGAGCCGAATTGGCACAGAGAGGTACAATACGATGCGGGAAAAGAAAGCGAAAACCTGGAACATGGGCCTCAAATACTTTGAAGAGTTCGTCAAGCGAAATTTTAATGAGGACGAGCACAACGAAGTCAATGTGCCATTCCCTGGACTCCCTGACGATGAGGAGGCTGGCCTCGACTCCGGATTTCTTGTCATGAGTGCGGAGCAGGTAAAGGATATCTTTGAGCCAGTGGTGCAAGAAGTTATCGATCTGGTCGAGGGCCAAGTGCAAAGTATCCGACAAAAAGGAGGGCTTGTGTGTGGCATTGTGCTGGTGGGTGGCTTTGGCCAAAGCAATTATCTGTACAGCAGAATGAAGGCACACTTTAACAGCGCTCCACCACCTCCATATACAGAGCGACCAACACATGCGGTCGCACTGAGCGCACCGCAATCGATTGAGGTCATGCACCCAATGTATGCATGGACAGCGGTAGTCCGAGGCGCGGTTCTCAGAGGCTTGGAAGGAAGTATGGTGGTTAGTCGACGAAGTAGGTGGCACTATGGGACCTCTTATGCGACGGTGTTCGACGAAGCAAAGCATCCCATTTCCGATCGATACTGGAGTCCCTTATGGGAGAGATGGATGGTCAGCGATCGTTTACAATGGCACATTTCAAAGGTAGAAATCTTCTCCTTGCTCATTAGCAGCATGTACTAATATCATCCAGGGTGCTCAAGTCTCAGCTGATCAGCCGATATCCTTCCATTACACACGCAATTTCCGTCCAGGGCAGTCGTTAGTAGTAGAAGACGACTTGATAGCATGCGACCTGGACACTGCTCCTGATTCATACCGGAAAGGCCTCATAAATGTCTGTACTTTGACGACAGATCTGAACGCCGTACCTAAAAGTCTCTTCACACGTCTTACTACGACCAAAGGTGTCGAATTTGACAATCTCGATTTCACGCTGGATATGAAGATCGAGAGCGCAGGGCTAGTGTTTGAGTTGAAAGTGGATGGAGTCCGATACGGCGCTGTCAGTGCCAAATTTCATTGAGTAGGAGGTCGGTAATCTTTACACATTTTGAGTTGCCTAGGCGCTCAGGAGCTCCAGCAACATCGTGAGTTTAGCTAGCTTCTTAGTAGGATAGTACCTCGTAAGATTTGGCATCTGTTGTAAATGTAGATATATATGGATGATGATGCATATAGGATGAACATTGGCAAAGCTACGTTGCATGACACTTCTTGACGCCTGTGTGAAATTATGCAACATCATGTTCTCCACATACTCTCACTCATGTGTGGTTCTGAGTGTTACGCAATATTAATAGACTTTGTAGGTTCTGATAAATGATAAGATCTGCGCTATCCCTATTATGGATAGCACTGTAGTCATGCTTGACTTCCCCAGAGGTAAACACGTCCGCGACAGCACGCGATACCCCACCACCACCGACGTAATGGTGAGTATTAAAAAATATGTTGCACGTTCAGAGATACTAATTGTAATAGGCACCAGCGCGTCCAAGTGGAATCGCCAAAAGAGGGAGGGGTAGACCGAGGAAGGACGATGTCAACAAACCCTCTCAAAGCCGAACGTCGAAAACCAAACCACATCCACAACCACGAAAAGCTACGAAAAGGCGGTCTTCCCAGAGAATTTCTAGCATTGCGACTCCGAAATCACTAAGGAATGAAACTACGGAAGGCCGAGGGCGTAAGCGTAAGGCGCAAGCGACGGACGAGGATGAAATCGACGAAGTAGCACCCGGGAACAGCTCATCTAGAGGACGGAAACGCAAAGCCAAAGACACAGACATCGATGAGCTGGAACAAGCGACGGCAGAAACGGGGACGACGCGCAAATACGTGCAGTTGGCTCCCACCACGAAGCGCATCCGTCAGGAAGTCCTACAAACATGGCCAGAGATATCATCACATGTGTTGGAGCAAATTGGATTCGTGTTGAGGCGTGCGAAGGACGAAGTTGTCTATACGCGACGCGATCCTCGTCGTGCAGATGAAGCCCAAGACGTCCTAGGGGTGACAATTCGACAACTTGAGCGGTCCCTTGCGACTATGAAAATCCCCCCACAAACAAAAGCGCTACATTTCAACCTTGACCGCCTGACAGAAAGTAACGAACACGTATATCGCGAGGTTACCATGGCACGCCATTCGAAGCAACTATTGGGAGAGCAAGTCGACATTGCCCAGAAAAAGCTGGAGGCCGAACAAGAGTCGGTGAACCGGCTGGAAAAGAACGCGCAACAATGGAGGAATCGTTGGAGGACCCAAGAAAAGAAACAGGTAAGTCGATTGTGTGGGCTGTGTCTCAGCTGAATCGTAGGCTGACGATGATGATCAGCTTCATCCACTGTTAGATTCGACAGTGCGCACCGAGACTATCGACGACATGCCTGATGAAATCGGCCTGAAAGCATCTGAAGTATTGGATGTTTCCTTATTGGATACCCCTGATTCTGACTTGGCACCATTGCTCGAACAACTCCGGCGCAGTTTAGATACAATGCAGGGCAATCATGCACAGGTCGAAGGAATTAGTGAAGCGGTACGGTATGCGCAGGTAGCACTGGACGAAGTTCTGTTCAGACACGCCAACGCACAGCAGTATGATGCATTATGATCTATTGATATGCGAATTCGGTTCGGCGTTCGGGGAAGTGCATGCTCTTTCAATGTTCCTCACATGGCTTGGCGTCCGGGAGTAATGCATGAAGGCGTCCGTAGACATGGTACTGGGTCTGTATTCCAAGGATATTGTCTCAGGTTTTGAAGGTTTAGCACGAGGAACCAATACCCTGGGTGTACATGATATATGTACGAAAAAGGGGATGTGTGGGGGATATCGATAGGTCTGAGATGCCCTATGACGCTATCGATAGGCTGGCTTGGACACGCGTTACTGCACGATCACCAGATGAAACTTGTTTGTACAGCACGTACATACATGCATACATACATCAATATCGTATGTACGAATGCGGTACGTGGGCCATGTACCTGCGGCGATGCCGATACGCGGACGGTTGGCCTAGGATTCAAGCGAGTCTCCCGTAATGGCAAACATCTGGAGCCGAATATAGAAGTAAAAGAACCCAATGTCGCGGTCCTCGGAGCTGTGCATATAGACCTCTCAAGCCTCAATGGACCGCACGTACGGCTAAACCACATACGCTTCTGGGTGGTGTAGTGCGGCGAAATCTGTCCCTGATTGGCTCGGACGAAGAGCTTGGGATGTAAAAGGAAGAGATTGTCGGTGTTCGTCCTTGGATTACCTGACCCTGCGTGCCCTGTTAGTTGTTGAGAGAAGACTGCCTTCTGCTTTCTCTTGGGGGAATTTCGGATGTCGAACAACTCTTCAACCATCAGCTGCAACTTCTCTTTCTCTCGTTGACTCAACTTAGCTATCTTCTTGCTCCCCCTTCAGTTCGCTTGCACAAGTTTAGGTACCTCACTAGATATGTTAGCCTCCGCGCCGGCTGAAGGTTGGATTAGGATTTGGGGGACACCGGCCGACACAGCTGTCAGAAATCGTCTTGGTTGTCTTGGAGGAAAGCCATGCCCATACAGGTTAAGGTCAATAATCATCATCGAATAATGAACTGAACTCGGAGGCTCGCTGTTCTCGAAATCCCCTCACTCCATCCATCCCTACTCTTCCCGTACTTTTCATTTGCCTCCAGATCCTCCACCTTAATCCTCTTCCTACTTTCCCCACGGGCCGAGCTCCACCCCGCCGGCCTCGGCTAGTGGCGTCTTAGTGACTACGGACCTTCCAACATCACATCACGTCTTTCAGACATTTCCTTCTCGAAGGAACTTACACAAGACTCGCGTGCTCAACTGAACAAACACCTCCGAACAACACCAATTGCCCCAATCGCGATCTTAGCTGACCAATTCTCGGACGTGCTCGTGCTAGCGCATTTGGTTCTAGCTCTTTTCAGCATTCTATTTGTACCCACCCTCGCATGTGCCAGTGCCGGTTGTAGAACATATCACAGTATCCCAGCTTGCAGAATTCCGACAATTCACCCCAGCCAGCGCTGAAACTCTTTCACACCACTAACGTTGATGACGGAAGCGACCAAAACGTCCAATGAAGCATCCACCCATGGTATGACGACGTCCAGGTCCGCGGATCAGGGGAAAGATGTCGACAAACCAGATGCCTCCAAGAAAAGTCCTTCGCAAAAGGATAGGGCGCCTCCCGCGTCCTCCTCCGGGGGGCCGACGAAAACTCAGAAGAAGCGTAGAAAAGTCAATCATGGTAAGATTCCTGTTGTGTACCCATACCCGTGTCAGTGCATCTGCTCACCTCATTCTAGCGTGTATTTACTGCAGACGTTCGGTGAGCCGCAGCACCTATCCGACCTTCGATCGTCCCTATGCGCCTGAATTCAAGCCATTGTTGACATTCTGTGCTAACTAATTTTTGATCAGCATATGACCTGCGACCTTGTAAGTATACACCGTGGGCCCTGTTTGCGCCTCCACGCTAACCGCACTCCTCTATCGCACAGGAACGTCCCTGTACACGGTGCATCAAGCGAAATATTGGCCATCTCTGCCACGATGAACCTCGAGAGAATGTCAAGAAGTCCAAGACAGAGCCAGAAGCTACCAACGGCGACGATGATGCCCACAAGCGCGATGCGCCCCCATCCGATTCTTCCAGGAACTCCGTTGACCTGAGGCCAAATGGTCCAGATACAGGCCTGACCCTTGCGCCGCCTCCTGTACCTGTGAATAGAGGTGCCAACGCACCAGCGATCGCCCAGCCCACGCCCGTATCTGCGCCACAGCTGCCAGGCCTAGCTTCTGGCAGTCCCTCCCGTAAGTTACACACTCGTACAACAAGCGCCAAGCCAGGAGCATACTGAAGTATCGTATAGTTATCAACTACAACAATGACTGGGCTTCGTCTTCTCAGAACAATTTCCAGGACATGCACCACTACCATCCATCCTTTATGTTCAACACTTCCGAAGTCAGTAGCGAGTATAATCTCCTCAACGATTTCCTCAGCAACAGCCTGATGGATGACGGTGGCTTCTATGGTGGTAGTGAATTCCACCAACTCTTCTCCGACCCTTCTTTGGCAAATCCCATGGGCAACCTCACCAATGATTCTGTCTACAATCCCAATACGACCCAGTTGCTGCCGCCACCCGCGCAGACAGCCGCAGGCAATGCCATCCAAAGGCCAGCTAGCGGATTTCCCATGGACAAGGCGCGCGAGAAGTACCTCATGACAGCCGCGGATAATGCTGGTAATGAAAGTCCCGAAGACCGATTGAATAAACTCCTCAAGGCGAAAATGGACGCCGGTCTTTTGAAGCCTTTCAACTATGTCAAGGGGTACGCGCGCTTGAATCAATACATGGAGCAAAACCTCCAGCAGCTCTCGCGAGTGCGGATCCTGCGTCAGCTGGATCGTTTCAGACCAAAGTTCCGTGAAAGAATGCAAGCCTTGACGGATATGGAGCTGGTGCGAGTGGAGATGTGGTTCGACACAAGCCTAATGGACTACGATCGTGTCTTCGCCAGTATGGCCATTCCGGCTTGCTGCTGGCGCAGGACTGGAGAGATATATCGGGGAAACAAGGAAATGGCAGAACTGATACATGCACCCATGTCGAAGTTGCGAGATGTAAATGACCTCGACCCCCTATTCCGATAATTTGCTGATGACAACAGGGTCAAATCGCCCTCCATGAAATTATTGCAGAGCCTTCGTTGGTTTCATACTGGGAGAAATTTGGAGCCATCGCTTTCGACCATACCCAGAAAGCCATTTTGACGAGCTGCTCCCTCAAGAACCCTGATCCAAACTCGAAGGATCCCGAGATTCGATGTTGCTTTTCCTTTACTGTGAAGCGCGATATGTACAACATGTAAGTTTGAAACTACAGTGACGGTCCACAGTCACTAATATGTGTGTACAGCCCTGCATTGATCGTTGGTAATTTCCTACCGATAGCCGAACCTTCGTCGGGCCCCTTGTAACCCCAAGTGGCGAGTAATGCGTGCCAGAATCGAGTGGCATACTGTACCACTATGTGCGGATATGTCGGTTGCACGTAATAACAGTAATGATGTGCATGTAACACTGGGATTGGAGTTATGGCTTGAGACAACATGGACGGATTGGGACGGACATTTGGCACGTCACTGGGTCGCACCTATCCTTGCGCTTGTATTTGGTTTACATGCACTTTTTTTTCTTGGAAATATGCTCCCAAAAAAACCCAATTGTTTGCACTGACTGATATCGTCAGTCTAATAAGATTGCTCATACTACCTTTTCATAATTCCGAGTTCTGTTGTGATTGACATGCATGATTCGCAGGTGCTAGGAGCCACGAGAATGGCAGGTACGCGGTCCTCCACCACACGAAATCTGCCACCCTATCGCTCTCGCTCACTCCACAAGCATCTTCGTTCAAAAATTCAATAAGCCAGCATTTATCCCAGCAGCATGCCACCAAATCGTTCGGCCAAAGCTGAACGCGATAGAAAAGTCATTTCCCTTTTATGTGAGTTGGTTCGATTTGATGCTCAAAATCCATTTGAATCCTAACGTTCACTCGGTAGCATTTGCATCAACGCTCGAACATCGATTCAATACTCTCCGCGATGCCTCGCTTGTGTCTGACCTGCAGAGTCAAGTCAATGGCCTTCCGCTGACCTCGTCGCCTTCCGCCACCGCACAACAAGACGAGCTAGACCGACTAGGCACAGAGCTCTGGAACCTCTCCACACGTACACGAGATGATGGGCCGCCTCCCAATGGAAATAGAAAGGACGATACACAAACCTCAAAGCGAGCTTCATGCCTTTTACGCGTCTTCGCTTTCTTCCTTCTGGATTCTGCAAGCGCTCACTCTACCAAAGCTCACGAGCGAAAGAGCTGTATCCGGCTTACCAAAGTTGCCGTCAAAGCTGCTAAAAAGTGTATCGATAGCAATGACTTGATGCTTGCTACAAAGGTTCTTGAACGAGCAGCGGATTATCATGATGGCCTGGACAAATCCCTTCAGAGTGAGGTTGAAGAGGAAGCAGGCATAGCAAGGCGGCTACGGGTGGAATATATTGCGGTCAGAATGGCTTTGGTACGTATCTATTGGCCGTCTCGAAGTTTTATAGCCGACTATCGGTGAGTATGTTAGGAATCGTACTAACCTATCGCGCCTGTAGGCATGGCGTCAAGACCGCATGGATAGCGCAGAGCATTTATTTGCCAATATGAGAAAATCTTGCATCAATCTTGATAATCTCATGACAGAGAGTGTGGCGGATCTGCTTTACGAGATGGGAAAGAGCTTACTGGAGAAGAGAAAATACGAAGGATCAATCATATGGCTGGAGCGAGCGTTCGACGTACTCTCGGAGAAAGAGATTGGGTATCTGAGTTCAGAAGCAGGCGAATTGCGCCAAAGTACCATGCAACTGATAGGTTCGTGCTGTTCTACTCTCAAAACAGACACCTATTAATCGATTGCTCAAGTGCAGGCCTACATGAAGCTCGGCGACTCAGAATCCACGGGAAAAGCTTGGAACATGATGGGTCTATTGAAATCCGTAAGAGATCACATAACCATCTCGCATGTGCTCACTAGCTTAAATTCATAGGAATTCTCAGAGAAAACGGCAGTCAGCTGGCTCGAGATGGAGCTGTTATCGGCGGCAGACACCTTCGACTGTGATCAGTACTCACTCGGTCTGTGGCATATCTCTTTTACAACTCCCCGACTGACGCATATCAGTGCTCAATCGTATGGCTCGAATAATCGTGTTGAACGATACCAATTTCAAAACGTAAGCACACTGGCCCTTTCCCTCTGATCTTCGAGCTGATAGCGTGTAGTATTTTGCATTGTATTCACCAATTGAAAAGTAAAAGGTGAGTTCAACTTGGGACACGTATTACCTAGACCTCCCTAATATGAGCAGTCCAGCAAGTGCCTGCATGGCATTGAACAATCTTATCAATTCAAGACTCTTGCGTGAAGAGAATCAGACATGGATCGAAAGAGCGGTCATAATGCGAATTTGGATGGGTACACCTGATTGCACCGCTGAAAAGCAGCATGAGCAGCTACAAGTGCTTCTTGATGTTGTTTCGGATAATATGAAGCAGCCGTTCTCTGCCCCTGCGACCCACGCTGCTCAGACAGTAGGTGCATTCATTGTGAGAAGCTAATATACTATCATATCTAATTGATTTGTTGTAGCTTTTGTGGAAACAGGTTGAAGCAGCTTGCGCACAAGAAAATTGGTCTTTGGCAGAGGCCTGGTGTCACATCTGCCTGCAACGGATATTCAGCACGTCCGGTGAGGTCAACAGGTCCAAAATTGCAAGGTGAGTTCTTCATGATACTCAGCATAAGAGAGGTCTAATCTTGCCCAGGAAGGTGATTACATGCACTTTAGCTCGGCAAGACTACCAAGCGGCTCTACAAGTGTATGAAGATATGTCAAGTCTAAGTAAGGACGATTTTATGACGCGATATCTCATGTACAAAGTTGCCCTTCGGGTGGGAGATCATGATTTGGGTTTGTGCAACCCCATTTGGTAATGTCCATGACTGACTGACCTGTCAGCGGTGACTTGTCTCGACTCGGTATGTCGACAAACAGTCAAAGACCCCACCTTATTATACTCTTGTGTCGTTGAAGCCCAGAATGCTGGAGATCGTCGCATTGCCATCACAGCATTGGGAAGGGTAATAGACAAATATGACTCCAAGACGACTGGAAACATTCACTACCCTGCCCTTTTACGGTAAGCTTCTTCAAGCAGATACTGAACTCTGCTTATATTAGCTAGGTGTACGGCGAGACTCTTAAAGCAAGAACTTGTGAGAGACGGAAAATTGGTGGATGATGTTCTTGATGAAATATGTAAAGTTTTCGAAGCAGGTGAGTCGCAAAGTTGATCTTGATTGACGTAGAGAACAGTACTGAGCGAGTAAAGCATGCGCGCAGGCTAGATCATCTCGCAATCGACCACATGGTCCGAAGAAAGGAGATTTCGATGAATCAGAGCTTGAATGGTTTTCCAAAACCACGTACAACCTTGCTTTGACCCATTGCACTGAAATGCATCCACATATTTTGGTCCGATTACTGGATTCGTGCATAGAGGTATGACATCCATAATTCCGAAGAGTTACACTAACAAATGCATAGTTCATCCGGCTTCTTACATCCCATGAGAAGACTGGCGACAGTGTTCGTCAGGATGTGAATTTACGGTTGATATTCTGTTATTTCCTGGCCACATGCGGCCTGACTACTTTAGCTCGCTCCGAAGATAACAATCAACACCGTGTGAGTGGCGATTGAAACATTGAAGCACTGAATTGATACTGATATAGGATAGCTTCAATACTATTTAGATGTGCGCAAACGTTGCCAAAATTTTCGAAAACTTATAGACGAAGAGCTAGGGAAAGAGAGCTACAGCGAGTCAGCTCGAGACGATCTGCTCGCTAAACACTCTCAAGTCATCAAACTTGAACTCGAGGCTGTGCTCAAGCTGAAGAAGTGGGACGAGTTCGAGGAGGTATTTGGTGCTTGTTGGAAATACAAAGCAAATGGGCAACATCATACACTCGCAGATCTGGCGTTGGTGATCTTCGCAAGCGCCGATGAAGAAGGTGCAGGAAGAACCTATAAGAATAGTAAGTGAGGCGCTTCAATGACCATGACCTCGCTAATTCGAGATTAAAATAGATATTCTCACATTTCTGCAGAAGATAATCAACCACTGCGTACTCCAAAGCGACAACGATATCACCGTCTTGTCGCGCTGGATCCGCTGTCTGTTCCAGCTTGCTCTCGAATTCGATGAAACAATTAGCCTCAGGTGCCTTGAGCAAGCCGCACAGATCGCTGCTGGAAGACAAGGTGTAAGCCATCACCCTCCAACCCCCTCTCCAACCGTCTTCAGTTCCTCGTCACCGTCCTCAACGCCGATGAAGTACGCTGATCAGGAACGTAAGGCATCCAATGCATACCCGCGTGTTGAATTGGAGTGGATGGCAACGACCAGCTTCAACCGTGCAATTGATTACTACATGCAAGAGGAGGATGGGAAATGCAAGAAATGGGCGGAGAAGGCGCTCTCTTTGGCACAGTGGAGCGACGACAATGGCTCACTGAGAGCCATGCTAATGGAAAGATTCTCGGGACTGACGTGGGAAAATTGATCAACTAAAGCTACCACGAGAGGGATTGTGCATTGCAGCCATAATTTGGACATAAAATGTATTTGATAGCTATATCGGTGCTGGGTTCATAAATCATCAAGTTCGACATTCAGCTACATACCGTTCATGAGAGACATGTAGTAAAGGAGTTCCGGAAATCATACTAGCACCATACCCAGTGACATAAGAAAACCAATGCCTGAGAGTCCATTCACAGCACTTTTTCAGTGAGAACATCTAAATCTCTTCCCACAAAGCCTCCTCTTCGCCTGCACGACATCCTTCCTCTCCACTCCTCCCTCCCCTCCAGCCACCCCATCCACAACCACAACCCCCGACATCTCCCCTCCCCTCTTCCACCCCCTCGCCTCCCTTTCCTCTCGCCCCTCAACCGCACCCGTTTCCCGCGGCCTCGCAACCCGCTCCTGCACAACCCTACTCCAGAACTTCTCCTTCGGGCCCCTCCTCTCATGAGCGTCCTTCTTCCTCTGCGGCGCCTTGCTAACACTCGGCCCATCCGGCGTTGCATCTGGCGGCGTGAGCGCCGGCGCAGCCGTCGTACCCGGATTCCCATTCTCTTGCCCCCCTACTCCACGTGTCGCCGTCGTCGTAGGCGTGGGCGCCAACGTAACGACAGACATAGAGACCCTCGGATCGCGCGAGAAGTCGACGCCGTTGATCTGGATGTTGATCTCGGCGGCGCCGATGGGCGATGACGAGGGCTGTAGGATGTGGATTAGGAGACGCGAGCCGAGGGCTATGGAGATGAACCAGAGGGTTGTGAGGAAGAAGATGAGGGTTAGGAGCCAGGGGATCCAGGGGGCGAGGCGGGGGGTGCGGGAGCGTTTGGGAGGAGATGGAGATGGGAAGGGTGGTGATGGGGGAGGGGGAGGGGATTTGGGAGGGGCGTAGTGTGGGTGGGATTTGTCGAAGGGTTCGGCGGTGGGGGTGAATGTGTGATCGTGTTCTTTTTCTTTGTAGTCTTGGTGGTGATGATGTTTGCTGTCGAGGGCGTATGATAGATGGTCGAGGGGGGTTTTGGAGGAAGAGGATGGAGTGAATACATCATCTTTGGGTTCCAGAGTTGAACGGTAGGTTGGTGCTGGTGAGGGACTTCGAGTCCGCTTCGACAGTTCGATGGGCTGTTTCTCTTGGGACATTGTGAGGGTTTCGTGATATTGGTATGTGGGTGGATATATGAGAAGATGATGCCAAGGTTAGGAGAGAAGTCCAGCTTTTTGCATGTATGTTGTACCTTTGTATGGCCAAATGGTAAATGGAAGTAATAGGGAGCCGGCCCTGAAGACTCTGCGAGGAGGAAGAAAGGATCTTGTTTATTTGTGTATTATCATATACTCATAAAGAAAAGTGACTCAAGGAGGAAGAGTACACAAGGAAGGAAAAGAAAAAGAGATTCAGCGAAGCAAAGACAGAAATGCAAACTATGTCAGTACAAACGGACAAAGAAAGCGAATCGAGCTGTTCATGTGCACATGTGTTTCAGGCATTTCGTGCCACTATCCATACCTATTCCGATGTCTTTGGTGAACAAGTGGTGACCATGATTCTGATCATGGTTGATCGACTGTCTTGACTCTGTCGGGTGTTCTGGATCGATTGGGCGAGCATGAGTCGGAGGGAAACGGACTAGTCCCTTTGTGGGTTAGCATGCCACAGGGATCTGGAGCGGTCATGAAATCGTGGCCTCCCAGTGAACTCTGTGATGGGAAAAGGGAGACCGATACAACTGTCGCCACGTCTTTCTGAGTCGATGTCCTCGAGGAATGCATGGCAAGATTTCTCTGACTGAACTTCTCGATATCGCTCTAACGATGTAAATTTGTTTGTCGTCCATGGGTTGGCAAATGTTCATATCGGAGCAGCTGGGGATCCTGGTAGCCTTCATTCCAGATTCCCAGGTACTGGTCTCCCGCGATGGTTACCATGATGCCCGTGCTGAAGCCCTGCTCTTTGCGGAAGGACTACAAGTCGGTGATGATGTTATGCTGATTCTATTCGCGAGGAGTTAGGTCTGTTAGGTTGACGGGGCAGATATGGATAGAACTGGTCTTGCTTTGCATAGAGCTACCCGTAAGGTTGAAGATTGAAGGGTCTCCATTATTTCCCGTTGGGGAATATAAGTGAAATGGTCTTGCGGAGACATAACGCAAGGCAGTCTGCAAAGGGGGCAGCGGGATCAAATGCAGGTATTCGTCTTCTATTATCAGTAGGGCCGAGGCCAGCTGTTGCAGACATGGTACACAGTGCACACAGTACACAGAACACAGTATAATTAGGCTACCGGGACCAACAGCCGAACATAAATATGCGGCGGGATGAGATGCATGGCTTCTCTTTTGCAAGGGAGCTGAGGGAGGAAGATACGAGTGGCATGGCATGCTATGCCATATCCCTTTCGTGCCTCCGATGCTGCTCGTCTACCTTATCTTTTTAAGTGCATAGATTCTGGAGCCCAAGATCGGCGCATTGAGGGTGTCATGATACTATGCCGGCCTGCTGGCAATGGAGGGAAGATGTCGCGTGACGATGCAGCCGATGTAGAGGCAAAAAGGGTTTGCCCATCCATCCCATGGAAGAAATGACAATACCGTAGGCTTTTACGAGGAACGAAATGTGTGTCCAGTAGTAGCCACAGCACGGCACAGAACATCACATAGTAGGGGGGAGCCGGACAGGGTCTGGCAGCTGGCTGTGGACGCCGCGCATCTCATTTGTGTGGGCATCCTTAGCCGTTGTTTCAGGTTGCAGTCGAATCAAACCAACCCTCGCCCTGGCGGAGAAAGAGGCTGTTGGTGTCAGCTCATGCAACATCAGCAGTGATATAAAATCCAGAAGGCAGCAGTGGGTTGCAACAGGTCCATGGTTACAAGATAGTAGTTGAACTATAGCGAACTCTAGTGTAGTAAGAGCGAGCATAGCTTGAGCAGGCGGTGAACTCTGCTGAATCTACACCTCTGTGAACAGTAATGGTATCTTGTAGAAGTTAGGGCAGCACTGGGGCAGCAGAACGGTGATTGGTGAATGGTGGATGGCGAATCTATTTTTGAGAAGAAACGGTGTGGATGATGGTGATGGTGGCCGTTTGTCGGTGTTGGGGGGTGTTTTAGTGGCTGCCGCGCCACTCCAACAAGGAGAATAGTTTGGAACTTTAGGGAGTAATAAACAGCCAACTCTCCCCTACTGAGGGTGATCGTCGAGATATACTAATTGTGTGTGTGTGTAACTCCTCTTGGTTGCAAAGGAAGAGACATCCACTCTGTTTGAACAGAACTGAATTGAATTGAACAGAGTGGACATTGGACAAGGAACAAGGACAGACTTGCAGGAGCGGGTCTCCCCTACAGCAGCCTACAGTAGAGCCTACAGAAAGCCTACGACAGCCTACACTACCTACATACGACTGCGTACATGGATGCAACAGCCTCGACATAGGTAATTCCGACCTTTAATAATTCGATTCGATTCGATCCCCTCAGCAACAACACCGCCAATCCCCCGACCGAAAGAAAAAGTGTATCCTCTTTCCCTCTAATCAGTGAACCAAGACCTTCAGCGTTCACTCTCTTTCACTTTCACTTTCACTTTCACCTTCTCTCCACTCCTAGTGCGTAATTACGATACCTGGACCGGTCCACCGACTTCATCTTTCACACACACACGCACATACGTACCCACCCTCCTCCTCTCTCTCCCCTTCTCCTTCTTCTCCTTCCCCTCAATTCAATTCAATTCCCGTACATTCAACAAATGCAACGTTTGACAACGAATCCGCTTCCTTCAATCTGTACCGCCTCTTATCAACCCCGATCGCTACATCGACTGTAGCTTCCCGTTTGAGACACCTCCGTCGCCGTCCCCGTCGCCGCACCCCCAGACTGACTGACTAACGACTCGACACGACACACATATCTATCCACTTCCTCCATAAAACTTCCCTTTTCCCCACACAAGGCAGATCGACCACCTCTTACTGTTGTTGATCACCCTATATCATTACACCATACGTGCGCACTCTACGGGTCAAGATCTGCTCATCCTCCGCGCTGGTACGGTAAAGAGTCGGTGTTGTCAAGCTACCCGTGGCCCCTGCGATGGCCGAACAACAACCCGTACGTCCTGCAAGCAGGAGTAGCTCTCCTGACCGAGGGGTAAGTGCAAATATATACATACAAGATGGCGATCCAACGCCGCCTTGGGAAAGCATTGCTTTGCTAACCATTATCGGCTGTTCACATAGGAAACTTTTGAAGATGCCACTACCGGCATAACCCCACGTCCGAACTCACAATCTGGCTCCCGATCCCGATCCCTCCTAAGTCGACGAACGTCCTCTTCTTCCACCATGACGAAGGACACAGCTCCTGATTCGCCGATCCCAGATATGCCAGAAAATGCTGCAGCTGCTCTAGCGGCGGAGAAGGATAAAGGGAAGGGAATCGAGAGTCTCGACGGCGCTGAAGACCAGCCTGCACCCGAGAAATCGCCCTTGCTCACGGCACATAGAATATCAGTCACCTCGGACATGGACGATGTGTCACTAGAAGAAGGTAGGCACGCCAATCTCTTCACCAAAAATATACCTTATTGGCAGCTCTGGGGTTGCACCATGCCTTGGAATGTGGCTAGACTCTGTTTGCCGGGCATGGCATCTTGCAAGGTGCTTTACAAAGGAATTCTCACTAACGACTCGTAGAAGACAACAAAAGTCCAGGACTACTCCCCAAGCTACCTCCTCGCGAAAACTCCACCAGCGGTTCAGGCCTCCAGGGCCTCTCGGGCAAAATGTCCCCCGTCAAATTCCCACCGCCACCACCCCCTCCGGCCGCTCAAGAGAAACACACCTCACTGCCCCCACCGCCTGCACCGACGAGAAAGCTGACGAGCCCATTCTCATGGTTATCCCGCAACAGCTCAAGCAAGAAACCCGAATCCCCGCCCCTAGCTACAACTACCAGAAGAAATACCAATGCATCTATCGCGACAGTTGGGAGCAACCCGGAGCTCATGCTCAGCAAGATTGATGACGAAGGTGACCAATCATCGAACAACCGCTCGAGCCAGACCAGTCTCCGTGATAGGTTTAAGCTCCTCCGAATGAGGGAAGAGGCTGGAATCACTTTAAATGAGGAAGGTGCTGCTGAGGTAGGCCAGCCAGGTGGAGCTCTTGCGGGCCTCTTGGGCAGAACTACAAGTATTGGGCTTGGTGTTGGGAGCCCGGGTGGCATCCTCGATGATAAAGATGAGCATGGGCATGGAACTGCCTCTGGCCCTACAAGCCCTCGCCCCGGATCCCTCGGGAAACAATCCACGATCAATCCGAGCTTAGCACCCGGGACAGCATCGGGAATTGCTGTCGGACCAGCAGAGGATGCTGAACCAGTTGATTGGGATCTTTGGCAGTCAGTCGTCAACGAGGGGCCCGCTGCAGTCGCTCGCACGAGCTCAGAAGAGTTGAACAGGGCCATCGCTAGTGGCATTCCCCAGGCTATCCGCGGTGTGATCTGGCAGGTCCTGGCTCAGAGTAAGAGTGAGGAGCTGGAACAGACGTATAAGGAGCTGGTGGTTCGTGGTACCGATAAAGAGCACACAATTGCACGCAGTCCGCTCTTACCCAACGGACAGTCAAACAGTAATGGGAAAGAGAAGGACTCAATTGCTTCATCGTCTTCTTCTGTTCATTCGGATTATTCTACGCCAGCAACTACCAACGGAAGCAACGCACCTTTGGCTTCACCGTCAATCACAACGGACAGCACCGAGGATTTGGTAAAGTTGCAAGCTAAGCCCACGGAGCAGAAGAAGACCACCAAAGATGACGCTGCCGCCATCCAGAAGTTGGAAAAGGTGATCAAACGCGATTTGGGTGCTCGGACAAGCTACTCTAAGTATCTCATGGCGGCTGGCCTCCAAGACGGCCTCTTCGGTATCTGCAAAGCGTACGCACTATACGACGAGTCGGTGGGATATGCACAAGGCATGAACTTCATCGCCATGCCTCTCTTGTTCAATGTAAGTATGCAGGTGGCTCTATCTCGTGAGATAACTAACCAAGATGTCAGATGCCAGAGGAGGAGGCGTTTTCGCTGTTTGTGACTTTGATGAACAAGTACCATCTCAGAGATCTGTTTATTCAGGACATGCCGGGCCTCCATCTCCATCTATACCAGTTCGAGCGCCTTTTGGAAGATTTTGAGCCTGCGCTGTATTGCCACCTTCGCCGAAGAGAAGTGAAGCCGCAGCTCTATGCAACACAGTGGTTCCTGACCTTGTTCGCTTATCGATTCCCCCTCCAATTGGTTCTTCGCATCTACGATCTTATCTTGAGCGAGGGTTTGGAGGGAGCCATTCTCAAATTCGGGCTTGTTCTCATGCAGAAGAATGCGGAAACATTGCTCGGTATGAAAGATATGGCTACTCTTACGACTTTCCTAAAGGAACGTCTCTTCGACGTCTATATTGACAAGGCTCCTTCCGCGTCTTCCATTCTGGAAAGTGGCTTTTTCGGATCTGCGGGTGGGGTTGACAAAGAGGTTTACCGTGCCGATATGCTTGTCAGGGATGCTGTATCTGTCAAAATCACTTCAGATATGCTCAAGCAATACACTGCTGAGTGGAAAGAGCAACAGCGAGCCGAGAAAGAACGCGAGACTGAGCTTCACGGCCTCAAAGAAAAGACTGCAACCTTGGAGGTTAAGGTCCGGCAACTTGAACGCCGGGCTGAACAGTCCGACACCGAGCATGTACAGGTTGCCTCTGAACTTGTCAAGACCAAGGTCGAAAATGAGAACCTTGCCGACGAGAATGAAACTCTCAAGACGAAGGTTGAGGAGTTGCAAAAGATTGTGGACACGCAACCTGCAGAGGTCGAAGCCAAAATGAAGCAAGACATTGACAGCATAATGGAAAAGAATCTCGTGGTCCATAACGAGAACAGGGCTCTAGAGGAACAGCTAGCTGAGATGGAGAAGGAATTAGTCGCAACGAAGATGCAATGGGCAACGGTAAGTCCAACCTCTACTATAGTGAAGAGCAAATACTGACTCACACATCTAGATCAACGAGGAATACGAAACCCTCAAGCAAAAGTGGAATAACATTACCCAGATGATGAACAGATAGGGCGGTTGACTCTATCAGTGGGCTCAACACCAAATCTGCTACAGTTCTGGTCTGATTGCTTGCGTGGCAGGCTTGCATTCTCACTCCGCAGAAGATAAAGGTTTCACTGAAATTTTATCTACGACCGTATCCTAACTTCTCTCGCGTCGACCGCGCCCTTTACTTCACGTTCATCTTGTCTATATTCAAAGGGCCTTGTTCACTATGGAAGTGAAGGCGTTTCTTTTTTCCCTTGGTATACCACGACGCGCTCCTGCGTCGACGAAGACTTGATTATGATTTGTAGCTATCGAATACCCCTAGGTTTTAGTGCTGGGATTCAAACGATGTAAATCGTCCCTGTTCTTGTCATAGAGTAATATTGCATTGGCGGGTTGGCTCCCCACGGGCCATTTATTTTAATGAAATCAAGGAAATTTCCCACATAAGAAACCCACCAAGCTCTTATGCTCGTGCGTTTATCGTTATTGGTGCTGGCAAGAGCAAGTTCCCGAGCGCAATATCGAGTGTTGAACGGAACCGGTATGCTGCAGGTAATAGAGGAAGAAAGCCTCGAAGTAAACATGGACCCTGACAACAATGTGTGCACTGTTCAACAAAGACAAAAAACCATTGTTGCTGATCAAAGGGTCTTCAGTATATATATAGCATCAACTATCGCCATCCGTCTGCGATCGTCTTCTGAGTTCTGTGATCACATGCGCTAATCTAGTATTGGTGTAGCGTAGCTCTTCACTTGCGTTTTGCCAAGAACTCTTTGCGACTCCGGTTCTTTCTTCCTCGAACCACGCTTGGAGAGAAAACCTCCACAACACCCAACCGACCAACAACTATTTTGACGCAAGCGTCCTACAACCCTTCCATTTACGCTTCAGAGCCCGTCGTGCGCATCATAGTAAAGTTCGGATCCCATTTCTAAGCGCAGGCAACATGGCTGCCCCCGCTCCCGATATCTCTGCCATTTTGGCAGCACTAGGTAGGACTTTTTCCATTGGGAACGACTTAGGAAACCCTTGGTTAACGATCGCGACAGCTTCACATCAATCTACAACACCGTCACAAACACCACAACAACCGCCACCCGGTCAGCAACCCCCTCTGGCATTGCCTCCAGGTTTCCCGGGCGCGTTGCACAACCCTACTCCACCAGCCATTCCTGGATTCAACCTCCCGCAGCCCACGAACTCCGGAAGCCTTGATTTGAGCGCGATAAGGCCCACTAACAGCGGGTCGGTCAGTATACAGGATGCGCTAGCAAAGGCGCGTGGATTCGCTGCTGAAAAAGGCCTTTCGTACAGTGCTGCGCGACCAGGTAAGCTCTTTCCTTCCCCAAACCTTGATTCCCAGGTATGCTAACTGACTATCCAGGCTCAGCTGAAGATCCTCGGCTAGGCGGACATTCGTATCAACGCTCGCGCTCGCGCTCACGATCTCCTGGACGAGGACATCGTGACAGTTACAATCCATATCGTGATGAGCGTCGTGAAGACCCGCGCCGTGGTGGAACTGGATATGGTAGAGATCGTTCCCGCTCACCACGCGGACGCAATACATTCTCTCCCACCCACCAGTACGGTGGGCGTGACCGTACCCCTCCCGCTAATGACAACTCAGAGGTTATACTGATTGATTCTTCGTTGGTTGGTCTCGTGATTGGGCGTCAAGGAGAGAGCCTTCGTCGCATTGAGCAGCAATCAGGAACTAGGATTCAATTCATCAATGGTCCAGACAGCGGTCCTCAACGTCAGTGTCGCATTACTGGTAGCCCTAGTGCTCGGATTGCTGCAAAGCGGGAGATCAATCGTATCATCGAGGAAAATGGAGGAAATCCAGCCCGGGAAACAGGGCGTAATGCGAGGGGTCCAGCCAAAGTCGGCCAGCAGCAACAGCCTGCTCTGCGTGATGGTGAACAGTCTTCCCAGATCATGGTGCCTGACCGAACCGTCGGACTTATCATTGGCCGTGGAGGTGAAACCATTCGTGATCTTCAAGAACGAAGTGGCTGCCATGTTAACATCGTTGGCGAAAATAAGAGCGTCAATGGCCTTCGCCCTGTGAACCTGATTGGAAGTCCCACCGCTGCTGCGCGAGCCAAAGAGCTCATCATGGAGATTGTTGACAGCGACACAAAGACCATGGGAGACGCCGCCCCTGCCCAACAGAACACCAACAGGCGTGACAACTTCGACCAATATGGTGGTGGCGCTGGCGCTGGTGCAGGTGCAGGAAAAATCAACGATACCATCATGGTTCCGTCAGACGCCGTGGGAATGATTATCGGTAAAGGTAAGGGGGAAATGTGCTGTATGTGTTAAGAGTGATACTAACTACTTCAAGGCGGTGAAACTATCAAAGATATGCAGTCTACGACCGGGTGCAAAATCAATGTCTCTCAGGCATCTGGTGCTGATATCGAGCGCGAAATCGGCTTAGTCGGAACAGCACAAGCGATTGCCGACGCAAAACGAGCGATCTGGGATAAGGTTGATTCTGTGGTAAGTGTTGACCTTGGAACTTCGTTGTTACGCACGGTATTGACACGCATGCAGAAGGAAAAGAACCGTGAGCGAGCCGGTGGATACAGCGGCAATAACCAGCGTGGTGGACGTGATAACGGGAGTTATAATGACAGCTATACTCACCAACAGTCAAGCTACGGGCAGGCAGGAGCCGGGCAGGCAGCAGCGCCGGCGAACCCGCCGGCTACAGGAGATGCTGCTGCTGCCGATCCTTATGCCATCTATGGAGGGTACCAGAACTATCTGGCCATGTGGTACTCATCGTTTGCGCAACAGCAGCAGCAACAAGCGGGAGGACAAGGAGCTCCACCTCCGGGAGCTGCATGAGGCAGATCTATCTGCTGTGACGGTGATGCACATTTTGCTGAGACCTTGCCGATTGATGCGTGCCTGACCAATCTCCGGAAGTATCGTTCATGTGGCTTGACTTTGCTCGACACGCCGTTTCCACGACTGGATAGTCTTTCCGATTCTGACTCTCGACGATTGATTTGACATGTGCACGAACAAAGCCGTGCTGATCGTTTGCATTGATTTTCCCGGACGGACTTCACACATTGCTCTCAACGCTGTCGTCTCGACCGTGAAAGACATGCTGCTGCACTTTTGGACCATTTTCTACTGAACAGCCATCTTGGCGGGATACCTTCTCGCAACCCCTTCTATGCTACCACGATGCAAGATGCAACCGTCATCTTCGCGGATTGAACGACCGTTCAGCCATGCTACAGCTTTATGTCACAACTTGCCCTAACCCATTGCACTCTGGAACCCTGATTATCACTGGGAATGGCAAGATGCGGGTTGAATGCACCCTAAATCTTACCACTTTGAAAGCTTCATGTCTATAGTTTGGGCGGCCTTTTGACGACCGCAACCGCATATTTCAGGTTACGTTGACCCATGATTGGCGAGATGAATTGGTAGGGACCTAGTCCTTCCTGCCTGCATGCAAGTGTCTTAGGTGTAGTTTGACGGCTTGGGTGGACATTGACTGCATTTCTCCCGACATGTGCGTCCAAAGTGTATTTGTATTTTGTCTTAGCAGTATTACCTCGTTAGGTTACTTTTCTTTCCATAAAATAACAATATGAAAAAAAAACCTTCTTTGGAATTTCGTCTCTGCAATCTTCTAAGTATGATTGCATTGACCATAGTGATGGCTTTGAACTTTTGAGATATGGGATACGGTTGTCTTAAAGATGGCAGCGTTTGTCCGTATGCTTTGGCCCCAATCATCGTGGAATTAGATCATGGTATTACCAATATCAACTGTTAGTGATGGATAGTAAAAGATGGAAAAGCGGAGTGCGCCGACATGAGAGTCTAGTGACGGTCAAGTGCGACGATGCTTGGCGTGGTGGAGCACATACAGCACATACACAGCGAGTGAAATGGAAAGGGTGTGAAAAAGAAAAGGCAAGAGTAACAGGCTGAACCAGGAAAGTATATACTTCTCATCTCATCATACAAAAGCAGAGTTAACCCGGAAGACAGTACTTGTAGGTACTTGAACAGATGTATATCTCTTCCACAAAAGATGAAAGGTTGTCCTCGCGACACAAGCCGAGGCTTGAGCGACGCTGCCCCTCTCGCTCTCGTCTAGCCAGTAATGTAGCCAGGAACGAGGGACTAAACACTATGAACTAGGAACTAGGTAGCAGGTAGTAACAAGGTACACTCTAAGTACCTGATAGTAGTATGTATTAGGTATTATTTGGTGTAAGGTACATTGTAGATTCACTCATCACTGTGTGCATGGTCGCGGGGTTCGCCGCTTTCCTGCGGACATCTCGATAAGGAAGATGCAATGTCTCCCCTCTGATTCGTCAATGTCCTCCGTTTACTACTTCTTTGCCCCTCTCACAGCTTCTAAGAGCTACTGTCTAAAGTCCCGTATCTTAAAGCTTACGTTTTCCCCACATCATTTGCATCTACTTAGTTTGGTAGTTATCTAGATCCGACGTTGGTAACACCATCAGAAGGGATGAGAGCGAATTCTAGTTTCTTTTCTCTCTAAACATTCTGGTCTTCTTCTTCTGCCTTCACGCGTCATTTCACACAGCGGAATCGTTTGGGTTTCTTTATTTCCCTTCCAGTTGGGATTCTTTGCATTTGTACTCTTAACGTCCACGCTTAGTCGTACATTCGCCACCATCTCGATCCCCATGTGCATTTAAACCCAGCAAAAGGGGAAAAGAAAACCACAAATCATACTGGAATCATAACCAAAAAGCGGACGAACATCTGGAGTAACCATGGCTCCCGGCCTCGTTATTCCGGACCCCGCGGTCCCAGACCAGCAATCGCACTCCCTCTCCTCCCTTACATCCACCTACGACGACACCCTCCGCTTCTACCTCAACGGCACAAAAGTCGTCCTCGACGATGCAGACCCGGAAGTCACGCTGCTCGAATACCTGCGCGGCATAGGGCTCACGGGCACGAAGCTGGGCTGCGCGGAGGGCGGCTGCGGCGCCTGCACGGTCGTCGTCTCGCAGTTCAATCCCACGACCAAGGAGATCTACCACGCGAGTGTGAACGCCTGCCTCGCGCCCCTGGTGAGCGTCGATGGTAAGCATGTCATCACGGTCGAGGGCATCGGGAACGTAAAGAGGCCGCATCCTGCGCAGGAGAGGATTGCGAAGGGGAATGGGAGTCAGTGTGGGTTTTGTACGCCGGGTATTGTCATGGTGAGTTCATGGGAGAACGATTCTATTCACATTGTATGTATGTGTGTGTGCTAACTTCGAACATAGAGCCTGTACGCTCTTCTGCGAAATAACGAAGCTCCCAGCGAACACGATGTCGAAGAAGCGTTCGACGGCAACCTCTGCCGATGCACAGGATACAGGCCGATTCTAGATGCTGCACAGAGCTTCAGCGTGAAGAAGGGCTGCGGGCAAGCGACTGCGACCGGCGGAGGTGGATGCTGCATGGAGAAGAACGGCAATGGAGGCGGCTGTTGCAAGAGCGGCGGTTCCGATGGAGGAGAAGTGCAACCCATTAAACGATTCACTCCCCCAGGATTCATCGAATACAAACCGGACACTGAGCTCATTTTCCCTCCGTCCCTGCGCAAGTACGATTTCAAGCCGCTCGCGTTTGGAAACAAGAGGAAGAGGTGGTATAGGCCGGTGACTCTACAGCAATTGCTCGAGATCAAGAGTGTGTATCCTTCCGCTAAAGTCATCGGTGGCAGCACAGAAACACAGATCGAGACAAAGTTCAAGGGATTGAACTACACCGCTTCGGTTTTCGTCGGCGACATCGCAGAGCTGAGGCAATACTCTTTCAAAGACGACTACCTAGAAATAGGAGGAAACGTCGTCTTGACGGATCTAGAGAAGATATGCAAGGAGGCCATCGACCACTACGGAGAGACTCGGGGTCAGCCCTTCGCCGCGATCCTAAAGCAGATCCGTTACTTCGCTGGTCGCCAGATCCGGAACGTGGGTACGCCAGCAGGAAACTTGGCTACGGCCTCCCCGATCTCAGATCTGAACCCCGTGTTCGTTGCGAGTAACACGACGCTCGTCGCGAAGAGCCTGGACAAGACGACCGAGATCCCAATGTCGACATTCTTCAAAGGCTACAGACAGACTGCGCTTCCGCCGGACGGGATCGTCGCGAGTCTGAGGATCCCCGTGGCGAGCGAGAAGGGCGAATTCATGCGTGCGTACAAGCAGGCGAAGAGGAAAGATGACGATATCGCGATCGTGAATGCTGCCCTGCGGGTGTCGCTCGGGGAGGACGATGTGGTGGAAAGCGTAGATCTTGTGTATGGTGGTATGGCGCCGACGACCATCGCTGCAAAGAAGGCAATGGAGTTCCTCCAAGGGAAGAAGTTCACTGAGCTCAAGACGCTCGAAGGTGTCATGGATGCCCTCGAGGAGGACTTCGATCTCAGGTTCGGGGTGCCTGGTGGCATGGCGACGTATCGGAAGTCGCTTGCACTCAGCTTCTTCTACAAGTTTTACCACGAAGTCCTTGGCTCACTGCATACTAAAGAAGTGGATGTCGATACCCAGGCTGTCGGCGAGATCGAGAGAGAAATTTCCGTCGGAGCTAAGGACCACAAGGTTGCGGAGGCGTACGAGCAGAAGATTCTCGGAAAGGAACGACCGCATGTTGCCGCGCTGAAACAAACCACTGGAGAAGCACAGTACACGGACGACATACCCGTGCAGAAGAACGAACTCTATGGATGCCTGGTGCTTTCTACGAAAGCACATGCTAAACTGTTGAGCGTAGATCCAGAGCCTGCGTTGGACCTTCCAGGAGTCGCAGCATGGGTGGACCACCGGGATCTTCCATCTCCAGAGGCCAACTGGTGGGGAGCACCTAATTGCGATGAGCTGTTCTTCGCCGTTGACGAAGTTGTCACCGCCGGGCAGCCCATAGGAATCATCCTTGCCGATACTGCCAAACGTGCAGAGCAAGCAGCCCGCGCAGTCAAAGTCGAGTATGAGGATCTGCCCGCGATCTTCACCATCGAAGAAGCTATCGAGAAAGAAAGTTACTTCCCGCACTTCCGATATATCAAGAATGGAGATCCAGACAAGGCTTTCGCTGAGGCAGACCATGTCATCACTGGTATTGCACGCATGGGCGGCCAGGAGCACTTCTACCTCGAGACGCAGGCTTGCGTTGCCATTCCCAAGCTTGAGGATGGTGAGATGGAAGTGTTCAGCAGCACACAAAACCCGACCGAGACTCAGGCATACGTTTCGAAGGTCACGGGCGTCGCTGCAAACAAGATCGTGTCCCGTGTCAAGCGCATGGGAGGTGGGTTTGGAGGAAAGGAGACGAGGTCAATACAGCTTGCGGGTATTGTGGCGTGTGCTGCGAATAAGGTTCGACGACCGGTGAGGTGCATGCTGAATCGAGACGAAGATATCATAACGTCTGGACAACGCCATCCTTTCCTTGCGCGGTGGAAGGTAGCCGTCAACAATGATGGAAGGTTGCAGGCCCTAGACGCAGACGTCTTCTGCAATGGCGGTTGCACTCAAGATCTCTCAGGTGCCGTCGTCGAACGGTCATTGTCACATATCGACAATGTTTATTCGATACCAAACATTCACGTCAGGGGACGGGTAGCAAAGACGAACACAGTATCAAACACAGCTTTCCGAGGGTTTGGCGGTCCCCAAGGCATGTTCATTGCAGAGACGTATATGGAGGAAGTAGCAGATCACCTCAAGATCCCTGTGGAAAGACTCAGGGAGATCAACATGTACGGACCCAACACCAGCATGACGACACATTTCAACCAGACGATGAAGGATTGGTTTGTACCACTCATGTACAAGCAAGTCATGGATGAGAGCGAATACAGTCGCAGACGGCAGGAAATTGAGGAGTTCAACAAGACACACAAATGGAACAAGAGGGGTCTAGCCATCATCCCTACGAAGTTTGGTATCTCCTTCACAGCACTGTTCCTCAATCAAGCAGGCGCCCTCGTACATATCTACCACGACGGATCCGTCCTTGTAGCCCACGGTGGCACTGAGATGGGCCAGGGACTACACACCAAGATGATAATGATCGCAGCCGAAGCACTCAAAGTGCCCCAGGACAACGTCTTCATCTCGGAAACAGCAACCAACACCGTAGCCAACACCTCCTCAACCGCCGCCTCCGCCTCCTCCGATCTCAACGGCTACGCCATCTGGAATGCCTGCGAACAACTCAATGAGCGCCTCCAGCCATACCGCGAGAAACTCGGTCCCGACGCAACCATGAAAGACATCGCCCACGCCGCCTACTTCGACCGCGTGAACCTCTCCGCCCAAGGGTTCTACAAAACCCCCGACATCGGGTACGTCTGGGGCGAGAACACAGGTCAAATGTTCTTCTACTTCACGCAGGGCGTGGCCGCGGCGGAAGTCGAGATCGACACGCTGACGGGCGACTTCACGTGCCGGCGCGCGGACATCAAGATGGACGTCGGCCGCAGCATCAACCCCAGCATCGACTACGGGCAGATCGAGGGCGCCTTCGTCCAGGGCCAGGGCCTCTTCACCATCGAAGAGAGCCTCTGGCACCGCGCCAGCGGCCAGATCTTCACGAAGGGACCCGGCGCTTACAAGATCCCGGGATTCAGGGACATCCCCCAGGTCTTCAATGTCAGTCTCCTCAAGGACGTCCAGTGGGAGAATTTGAGAACCATCCAGAGGAGTAGGGGTGTTGGTAAGTTCAATTTTTTTCTCCTCATACCCGGCTTTGATGTATCCCGCGACAGATATCTAACCGTGTGTCCGCAGGTGAACCCCCACTCTTCATGGGCAGCGTCGTCTTCTTCGCCATCCGCGACGCCCTCAAGGCCGCACGAGCAGAGTTCGGCGAGCACGACGTCCTCAAGCTGCAGAGTCCCGCTACCCCCGAGAGGATCAGGATCTCGTGCGCCGATCCGATTCTCAAGAGGGCTTGGGTGGAGCCGAAGGAGGGGGAGAAGAGCTTCTTTGTTGCTATTTGATGATGTTGCTTTTGTTTTGAGTTTGGGGTCTATGAGTGTCTTTTTGGGGATCAAGGGAAGTGGGCAAATGGATATACGGGAATTCTTTGGACAGTCAAAATTTCTGGCAAGATACCATGCATACGTAACCGTAACGAAATGAACTTGAACTTAAATCTTGAATCGCTTATTGGTGGTTGATATCTCTGTGATATATTTGTGTAAGATGTAATGTGCTACCTTACGTCAAATCATCTATCATAACTTTTCTTAAATATCGTTTGGGTACTCAAAAGGTCACCCCTTTGATGTATGCTATTTTTCGCTTTTCATACAAGATTCCTTTTTCGTCATTCAACTTCTCTTCCTCAGCTGTGCCAATGTCGCCTTCCCCGCCCTACTCTCGTTCCCTCTGCTCAGCTCCCCAGATATCCACTCCCCGACCTCAGCCAACTTCTCGATGTCGACGCCCGTCTTCGCGCCCAGGCTGTGGAAACAATGCACCAGGTCCTCCGTCGCCACATTGCCGGTGGCACCGGGGCTGAACGGGCAGCCACCTAGACCGCCCACAGCGGCGTCGAACGTCCTGATGCCGTGCTCGAGGGCGACGACGGAGTTGACGAGAGCCTGGCCGTAGGTGTCGTGGAAGTGCAGCGCGAGGTCGCTCTTCTCGATGCCTGCAGCGCTGAGCGTCTTGAGGAGCTCTGCGGTCTTGGGCGCCGTGCCCATGCCCGTGGTGTCGGCCACGGAGATCTCGTCGGCGCCCATCTCGAGGAGGGAGACGGCGAGCTCGGCGACCTTGTGCGGGTCGACGTTGGGGCCCTCGTACGGGCAGCCTAGCGCGACGGAGATGTAGGCGCGGACGGGCAGATTGAGGTCCTTGGCTCGGGTGAGGATGGGCTCGAAGCGTTTGAGGGACTCGGCGATCGAGCAGTTCGTGTTCTTCTGCGTGAAGGATTCGGTTGCGGCGGTGAAGATGGAGATTTCGTGCTTGGGTGTCTGGTCTGCGGCGTCGGAGGGAACAGCGTCGGGATCTATGTTGCCTGGGCCTGGGGACGGTGGTGGTGTTGGGTAGCCGTTATTTTGCTGTGCGGAGGAGGAGGAGGGCGACGACGTCCTGGCCTCCCAGGTTTTGAGGAAGTTGTCTAGGCCTTTGACATTCGGGAGTAGCCATTGGTATGTTATGGGCACGGGAGACTGCGGCGGAGCTTGTAGGACCCGTTCCAGTATCTCTGAAGAGTTCGCCATCTACATTTCAATCTTCTTTTAGCTTTCATCATCTTCCATCGCGACGTATCCATGGTGTAGCTAGCTAACCTGAGGAACCCATTTCGGCGCAACGAACGACCCAGCCTCGATAGTCTTGAGACCTGTCTGTGCCAGTCTTTCCACGAGCTCTATCTTTGTGGCCACTGGTATGCTCTGCTTCTCGTTTTGCAACCCATCTCGTGGGCCGACTTCCACGATGCGGACGTGGTCGCCTCCGCGGTTAGGCACGGCTGTTGCAAAGGTCTGGCGGCGGGGACGGAGGTGGTGATGGGGATGCCGAGCAGCGAGCCGGGCGGCGCGGAGGCAGGTGAATTTCGAATTCATGGTGAGGAGAGTGTGTGGGAATAGGAAGACTCGCTGGAGGGTCTCGAGCTGTGTCCGTGACACAGGTAACCTGGAGAGAATGAATGTAAGTAACTACTGTGGTATGAGCGACAGAGAGTGGTGTGGGGAGCGGGAGGGAGCCACTGGAGCTTAACACCGAGGTCTTAAGCTGAATTAAGTAATGACAACCAAGGCAGTTCTTGCCGAAGGTACCCTCTACCATTCATTCACGACTAAATACCTACCAGAGGTACCTGTAGGCAGGTTGATATTCAGTACGTACCTCAATTATAAGTACAATGGCTACAAGATCTTATTAAAATTTCAAGAAGAATTTACGCCAAAGAGCATTTTATTAAGTAATGTTGGTTTAGTTGATTACCTACCTGTAGGTAATGAAGACTAAGGAAACAATAACATAAAGAAACAATAGGGAATAGGGTATAAACGATCAGACATGGAGATGAGAAAAAGAAATGATAAGAAATGATGGGTAACAGACCAGACATAGAATGAAAATATTGGGGAAAATGAAGTCACCAAGCAGTTGAATGCAGGTGATTTGAACAACAACAAAGGAAATATGTCGAGCCATCCAACATCAGTCCCCATCCTCCATAACCCATCCTATCGTCGCAAGAGGCACGCAAGGCGGTTCAAGGGCCTCTACGCGGTAGAATGCTCGTCTGCGGACCACTTGGCCTTTTCCTCAACTCATCTTGCTTTTTCAACGCCGGTTCGACTTCTTTCTGGTACCACTTTGCTCTTGCCTCAGACATCTTTTTCGGAGTCCAGTACTCGTTGTCCTCAGGCGCTGGTGCATCCTCTTTCTTCTTCAGATCAACTTTCGTGACCGTCACGATAGCAGTCACGGGTAGCAGCTCCGTTTGCTCTGTTACGAAATACGACAGTCGACAAGGGTCTTGGTGTCCTAATTTTGTCCCCTCTGGCCCATCTTTAAGCATACTGTTACACCATTTGGTTGCCAAACGCGCCATTTTCATGTCGCAGAGACCATACAAATGGGGCTTCAACTCTTTTACAGGCAATTCATAGGGCATGTAATCCTTCACCTGCTCCCATATCGTTACCCCGCCCTTCCGAGTCTCGCCAATTGCTGTGATATTGGTTGCAATAGGTGTCAGCTCCCGAAGAGCATAGACATATTCGACTGGACTGCCCTTCTTCCGGGCCTCCTCGATGGCTTCCACCACATCTAGTGCATCCGGATTCATCTCTGTGGTGAACTGCAGGGTGCTACCGTCGGACGTTTTTGCTTCGTAGCCGGTGATGAGACTAAGGAACAAGCCATTTTGGGTAACTCTCGTGAATTTGGTGACTGCTTCGGCTCCACCGCAATGGTCCTTCAGGATTCGTTTGCACCTTTCGACCAAAAGTTTGCCTTCTCCCGGTAGGAATGGTCCGTGTACTCGGATGACGTTGGTTGATTTGAAATGGACTTTCAGGTCAACATACACGTCAGGTCCTATGATATCCCCAGTTCCGCTGGACGAAGATGGGGAGTCTGAGTGATATCCTGAAGCCTTATCCATTTGTACGTCTGACATTGCTCAAATGTATTTGTCGTGGACAGTATGGTTTGAGTATGGAATGAGTGAAATTGAGTATGAAAACAGTGTTGATTGAGTAAGGACTGAGTATAAAATCAATGTAGATACTGAGTACGAATTCAATGTAGATCGAATGTGGAATGCAGCATTGTAGAAAGTTATGTGAAAATGACTTCTTATATACATACTTCAGAAAGCGATCCGGGCCCTCTATGACTGTTCTCTATATCAAAGCTCTATCAGCACGGTCGGGGGCAATCTGTTGGTGCAACCTACCTACTATATATGCTACCAAATCATGGCCTCTGGTAATTCCAGATATGGGTACGTGCGAGAGAGAAGACAATGGAAACAGGCAATGAAGTAATAGAAGATATTTGGTATAGTTAGATAACGAATTTAAGACAATAATTATGTAGAGAACATAAGATGTAGAGACCTAAGATATAAAGCTAAGATATATGAGAAAACAGAAATAGGATTGAAAGAATACAGGAAACAGGGGAAGCAGGTCACAGAAGACAAGAAAAACAACATGAATAGGAGGCACATCCAGCCTTCTAGCAGTGATAGTCCCGGGCACCTGGCAGATTCTATGAAGAAGGGTACTAGACAACTCGTTCGCTTGTCTCCCCAATGACACATTATTCCGAAGCGGTGTCTGAGCTGGAAGAGTCCCAGAAGCTCCAGTATCCAGTCTTAGCATCATGCCTCGCTCCCAATTCGCGTTGGGTGATTGTCATGATGGAGGTCACTTCGCGGGCCTGGACTCCCTTGTCTCTGTAGTTATAATAAAGGAGTTTGTGCGGGCTCGCTTGCCCAAATTCTCTGTTGTCTCCATCTTTGTGAGAAGCCTTGATAAGAATGGCCTGTCCCCCCCTCGCTACGTCCTCGAGGACGCTGGTACTGAAAGATGTGCCTTTGACTTTCAATGATTTGACGGGGAGTTTGTCTGGCAAGTCCTTTTGAATTTGAGCCTCAAATTTATCGTAATCTTCGATGATGATTGGCTCCAAAAGTTCAAGTACTCGAAGAGAATAATAAGGAGGGTATTGCGCACTCTCCGGTAGGTTAGCCCAAAACTCGTCCCTTTTTTGTTTGAAATCCTCCGACAATTTCAGATTTTCTTCTACCTGTATCTGAAGTCGCACAGAGCTACCTTCAGGTAATTTGGCTTCGTACCCATCGACGGTATCGAGAGATAAATTCCGAACCATGCTTTGCTCGAATGCGTCGCCGTAGGCCTCCCCACCTTGATCCCTCAAGACCTTCTCGCATTGTTTCAAGAGACGACCTCCCTCATTTCCCGTGTAGGGCCCGAATACCTGAACAAGTGAGGTCGACTTCTGCATCACGACCAGATGCACGAGCTTTCTGGGCATCATAAAGGAAAGGTTTGGCATTTTTGGAGTGTGTATGCAGACGTGGATGCTTTAGTGAGGAAGAATATTGTGTGGACTTGAGTTAATGGTGAATACATCGAAGAAAAGATTTTATATCTGCAGACTCAGGTGGTGAGTCGAGTTCTTTTGACTGCGTTCTATATCAAAGCTCGCTATCTGTGCATCATATTCTACGTGCTACCTAGTCATATCCATCAGTGACTCCGGGCTGTGGTAGTTCCCATAGTCATACGCTGAGTTTGGCATTCCTTTTAGTTACTCACATCCGGCCGCGCGGTCGCATCGTGGTTGACCTGTAGGCATCGCGGAATGCCCTTCTGCGGCAAGACTGCGCCAGCAAGCATGTCCTCGTCGTGGGTGTTGCTGTCAACCTTGGCTCCCTCCCCGGACTCCTTCTTCCACTCCTGCAATAGGTCCTTCGCAGTCTGGTTGGCCTCGTCCTTGCTCAGGAAGGTCTTGTAGATATCTTGCTCATCGACCAGCACGTGATCGTGTGACTTGGGATTGTTGAAGGCGGCGAAGTTGGGGCGCATAGTCATGACGTTGTATGTGTCTACCGACGCTCCGGGTTTGCGTGACTGTAAAGCTTTCGTGACCTCTGGATTCGATTCGTTTGTGAAGGTGACACGTAGATGATTTCCCTCCGCAAGAGCTGCGGTTTGTGCAATGACGCTAGACATCCCAGTGGTGTTGAATAGGAAATCGAAGATCTTAAGACCATCTTGGCTGTTCTCTCTTTCTAATCTCTCTCTTATGCTGACTGCGGCATCTTCTATGGGGTGGAAAGGTCCAATGAGGTCGATATCCTTGGCGTGAGGTTTCGAGAACTTGATGTAGTGGAGGAAGTCGGGCCCCGTAGTTGACGTGAAGGAACTCTTGTCCGCTAGGATTTTGCAATCGGGTTTGTGCAGTTTCCAAGCGCTCTTTTGGCACTCCTTGGAGCAGTACCAGTAAAGTCTGCAGTTACCGCAACACAGCAATTGGTCGCCATTGGCGCTCTGCTGCTTCTGGCAAACGAAACAAAACGGTGTGGGAGCCATGGCGCTACAGGTGGATCCTTGAGGTAGGAATAGTATGGCAAAAAAGAAAAGAAAAGAGAGAACGATGTACAATTGGAATTTCTGGTAAATGGGCGATGGTGTTTGAGCGATTGAGATAATTTTCGCTTGCTGGCATCAATAGGTACGAGTTAGATCTGACGACGTTGCAGTCTCCTGGTGGAAATCTGTAACGAAGCTCCGACTGCTGCGCGCTAAAACATTAGCTACATTCCCATATAACCTGGCTGAGCTGCACTTTCAAAACCTAGCCAATCCAATACCCAAATATTCTTTTCATTTGATAGATAATTATGTAAATACAACAATAAGGAACCATTGAACCCGTGCTGAAGTCTGTCAACGTCGTCAAGAGTTGACCAGACTCAACAGTCCATGGACCGACCACTTAAAAGGCGGTGAACCATCTCAATTCCAACGCCAAACCCCGCCGGCCAATTGGCGTGTCATGCCAACCTAAGCCGATTTTCTTAACGATACTATGTAGGGATGATGATGATGATAATAATAATACAAAATGACCTATCCGCCATGAACATCGCACTCATAAAAATGTCCAGCCGTTATCGTTTACTCCATCATGAAAAGACTTTTTTGGTGCAACTCTTACTTCTTCCTCATTAGTTCTCCACGGTGTCAAGGCTTCCCTTTCCCACCGTTGATGCTGTGGCATTGGGACCTTTCTGTTGTCGCAGCTTCTCTTCAAATTTCGCGAACTCCGACATGGCAATTTCCTCTTCTTGGTCAAGGACTTGTTGTACGCCTTGGACTTCCTCGATGTAGTGCCTGATTCCACGTTAGGTTTTCTCGGCCTCTGTTTCGCGCACGTAACTTACATGAGCATGCTCTCGATGCCGTTCTTCAACGTCACTACGCTCGAATCACAAGTTCGGCATGCGCCACGCAACTTGAGCAGGACCTGGCCATCGATAAAGCCTCGGAACTCAATGTCACCACCATCCTCCTGAATGGCGGGGCGGACTCTGGTCTCCAACAGTTCCTTGATCATCCCTACAACTTCGTCGTCATTCTCGTCATAGGCCAAACTGTCGATCTCCGTGCCTTCTTGGCCACCTTCGCCGGCCTTGTCTTCCACAGTGCTGACAATTGTCTGTCCCGAAAGCATGAACTCATTGATTATAGCGAAGACCTCGGGTTTGACATGCGCCCACGGGGTACCACTGTCCTTGGTGACGGTGAGAAAGTCGATACCAAGGAAGACAGAAGTAACTCCATCGATGTTCAAAAGCTTTGCGGCGAGAGGGGAAGGATGAGGTGGGGCAAGTGTGGAACGTGGAGAAAGATATTCGAGGAAGGGCGAGGAAATGGTTTCGGGGAGGACTCTTTGATTGGGATTGAATTTAAGTGCCTTCGGGAGTCAGCGACACTGTGATCCTTTTTGTTGGAGCAGAACTTACATCTGGATTCGGAGTAGACTCTGTCTGGATGAACATTGTCCTGCGCGCTACTGAAACGACCGGCAGAGGTACTTGTTGAGACCATAGCTGTGTACTGGGTCTGTGTCGTAGAGGAGAGGAGGTTATGGGCGAAGGGGATTGATGTAGGTATCTTGTGGCAACTCTAGATTGTATTCGGATGGTTGGAACCGTCCGTGAAAGGCTGCGCAGAGCAGAGCGTGGGAGAGTGCTTGTCAGCATAGTGCCTTTCGACCGGGAGCAAGTATGGGAGGGGAAGTAAATGTAGGAGTAGTAAGGACGAGTCAAAAGTTTGAAGATGGAGGGTTCGCGATGATGTGGATTAGCGAGCATGGTTCAGAGCAAACATCCGCCGCTGCAAATGACGTTCGTGCATTATTCAGCTCAAGTCTTGGCAGCTACGAATGGACCCGACGTCGGAGGACTTTAGTGGTACATATGTTGAAGAACGTAACAACTTCGGGTGAACCATCACTTCGGAATGATCAAATTTACAACCAAGAAAGACTAGCAATTTTGCATACCTGGTTACTGAATTGAACATTCTGTAAAGCTTCCAATCGCTTGGTTATAAACTACCTCATCATTTCGCCGTCCAAGTTTTGTGTCCAAGTATCTGATATGATCAAGATACCTAACCCAAGGGAGATAGAGCTCTCAAGATATTGGGCAAAAGTACCTCGGGTCATAAGATAAGATATTGAGGATCGTCTCATATGGGTGGCTCGGTGGGCCTGTAGAGCGATTACTCCAGTGTCCTCGTCCTTCCATGAATATCATTCTGGTAGATGTGGCCAAGAAGCTCGTGATACTATTTGAGAACTGCATCGTGATGGAGGTGGAAAGCAGAAGATGCGCGTTAGCTAGTCAAGTTACAAGGGTTGATGATATAACTATTCGTACTGCATTGTTGCTATTGTAGTTTTAGTTGAGCTCGATCTAATTGACGGATTCTGTCAGACAATTATTCGCTTTCTTATTGTACATCTAGAAGAGAAAGGGTACTTGATGAAGCATATAGTCTTAGCTTTATTGAATACATGTCCGTATTTCACTCATTTGCTCCGCATCCCGTGGTACTTTCGAAATACCATGAGGCTCTCATCTCGTTCCATAACTCACTGTTGACATACAAGTTATTTGCACCAATATATCTGCTCTGAAGATTGAAAGACCTATTCCACTCTTACAGCTTCACCCTGATCATCACATGTTGCCAGTCTTCAGGCGTGTGGTTCACGGCAGATATCATCACCTCTCGGTCGCACTAGGCCACTCTTATGTTGCCAGAATCACCACGACGTCAATATCACCTTGTTCGCAACCAAAACGTCCCTTCACCTCTCGCGTAATTTTATCCGCGTCTTTCCTCGCGCCTCTGCTCACAAACACAACGCCTCTTCCTATTTCCACCTTTCCGCCTGCACGTCGAGATCCCAACCCGCCAACACCATCAACCCCATTGTCCTTCAGTGGTAGAAACCATGGGTAGGATCACTAGGTCTTCCGCCTCCAAGCAGGTAGATGGGGCTAGGAAAACACGATCCACCTATCTTTGGAGACAAGCTCGAAAGAGTCCATTTCCCTTGCGACCAACCCGTCGCGTCATCCTGTCCGTATCTGCGGAGAAGCTGAAAGCCTTGTTGATGAACAACGAGCAAAAAGCTGGCGAATCTATCAATTTACAGTCGACTGAAGCGGGTGAAGGCAGAGAACAGGTAAGACAGCCGCCCATCTGAGCAAGCAGATAACTCACTAATTCGTCACAGGAGCAGCCAACCTCACACAAAATCTTCCTAAAGCTTTCGGCCGAGAAGATCAGAGTTTCGGCGTCGATCGACAGAGAGTCAGATACAGGTATCCCAGCGAAAGATCAATCTCCAACTGAGCCGCTCACTGTCGCTGAGACCGCGACCACTAAGGTATGATAGTCATCAGAACTAAACGAGAATGGTATGCTAAAACATTGAAGGCCGTTGATACCGCTGCGACCAAAGAAACTTTGGACTCGGTGCCTGGGCTAAAGAGCACGATAGAAACGCTCCAGACTACAATGGGCCTGCAGGCCGCCAAAATCGAGGAACTTAAAGACCAGAACCAGTGTATCCAGGAAAGAGTCGGAGAACTAGCATTCGCGAACGACACCTTGAAAATGCAAAATGAAGGGCTGGTCCTCATGCAATCTCGTCACGAAGATCAAATGCGAGCGATCACCGGGAATCTCAACCAAGAGAGAAGTCGCTTCCTCCACAAATTGACAACCTGGGAGAGGACAATAAGCTTTCACAAAAGAGCATTTCGGGGGCCAAGCGCACAACGCGCAATTTCATTTCAATGGCTGGTGCTAAACCTCCAGGAGATCAAGACAACAATAGAAGAACTCCAAACTCAAGTTCATCGTCGCCAAAGCCCAGGTAGCTTGAGTTCGATTCGGGGGTAAAGTTCTTGATGGTACTCGAGCGAAACCATAACAACAGCTTCAGTTGTTAGTTCACGGGTTTAATCATGTGGCAAAGTGTTTGAAAACAACGGATGTAGGTCGGGTTCAAGAACACTCAGTTAGTCTATGTACTCTCTGTCGTGTCCAAATAATGTAACGACCGTGTCCGGTTTGGTTTAACTAGAAAGAAGTCTGTTTCCTCCTATGTTCTCAGGACCTCCTTGTGCTTCTCAAAGTGATGTAAATATTAAAATTCGAATCCAAACCGGTGGGTTTTGTGTCCACATGTTTGTCATTCAAATCTCTGATTCCAGTCACTACATCTACCAAACTTTGCTCCAGGATTGTTGGAAGTTTACAATACGTTCAATGATCAGTGAGGATCTACCATGTGTATTTCCAGAATGAACCCTCGGTTTATTTCAACACTCGAGAGGGAGAAATTGATGATCTTCTGTGCTATCATTGAAGTGCGTGTACTTGATGCACCTGGTACTATTATCGATCACCCCACCCAGCCTACTCTTTTGACAGTCCAAAAATAAGAAGCGGAAAAGAAACAAAAGAAACCCATATTTGATGCAAACTCGTCCAAGGAGATGATGTAAATGATGCTTTCAGGTGCCGAGAGTATATGAATCACTTTGTATAATTGATGGGATGGTACAACGAACCCATCAGTACTAGGATGAAGGTAGGCATCAAAGAAATTGACTGTTAATAGGTGAGACTGAACGAACGACTGCGAACTATAACTAATGGCAATCGTTCAGCTTGAACCTTCCATATACCTAGGTATAGGTTATGATTACGATGTTCGCTAATTTTGTTGTGATAACGAAGCATCGATTTCCTGATAATGCTATTTCACTGTTATATAAAATGCCTGTGAACCACCCTTTCTGTCTGGAGATTTTCAAAGTCGTTGATAATGGCTGAACCTAAAGCTGGGGCAAAACTCGACCACCGTATAATCGCTTACCCATGCGAGCGCCACTTCAGCTTTTTATAGAATCACTACATCTTCTCATGATTTCTAGACAATCTACTTGTAGGCCAGCCGCAATCCGGGAAACCGGAAGTACTTAATGACTCAATGACTGTGCTGGCCGAGTATCGCAGCGATAACGGCTGGCATATTCGCGACTTTAAGTTGTAGGAGTACATTAATATTATGCGTCTTGTGAATGGACAAATTTGAGAGAGAGCGCACAGTGACGAAACACTGCCCTTTCAAAGAGACGGAAATTGTGAAATCCCTTATCTTTCTATTATTATTATCCCCGGCAGGAGCACGCGTGTCATCAATCGCGTGCTCGACCGCTTATGGTATCAAGATACTTAAGGACGACATCTCCTTGCTGGATTGCATTCCCCTTTCCCAACCACTCTCTCCAGACCCATAATTCAAGCGAGCGAATACGACTTCACAACCTTCCAGATGAAGACTTAAAGCATACAAACACCCAACTGTGTTATCGATGATGTTTAAGAGTAGTAGCTAAAGATAGGTCTGATTCATGAGTGCAATTGTTTTGATAGTCCGTGCGCTCCGAGATCGGCATAGAGATGCTGCATTTAACCACGCGTCCTGCTCCGAAGGGTGAATGTCAGAGGTACCGCAGGCCTCCAGGGCTGAATGTACCACCGACATCGACGAATCACGAGCGAATCATTATCCATCGAATATAATCCTCACGTACGAGAGCAACCGAATATTTTCGCAACGTGGATGCGTTTTTGGGATGGATAGTGTACTGGCAGCATGCAGGAGCTGGGACCACGAGAGCGCAACTCGAACTACACCTCGAACTCTAACGATCTCCTCCTCACGATACCTACGTCGTCGCTTCACCAATCTCTTTGTCATAGTAACTCATATGGCTCTCACATGCCCTCGCCAACTCATCAATGCATCGAGTTTACGAAAGTATCTTTTGATGCTAATCTCCTTTTCGCGCCAAACTATTACATGAGATGAGGCCTTTTATTTCTCAGGATGAGACAGCGTTCTCCGCATTTCTCCACACTGGCGTTTCTCCACATGGACCCTTCGTTACCGACTTCTCGTATGTTATTCCTGCGGAATGGGTCCGCGAAGCAAACTTTCCCCAGCCGTTCATGCACGGACAGCGATGTTACGTGTTGGGCATCAACGATGTGCTTTGCGGGGGATTGTTTGCGATGTCTTGAGCTTCGAGTGTCAAGTGTCAAGCATCAAGCATCATACAGCAATTTGTTTGCACGGGTCCATAACGATCCAGCTTCCTGATCGACGCAGTTACCGCCGCCTTATCTCGCACATCCCTTCTTGTGGAATTCTAGCTTCCACTTTCGAGCTGCAGTACCTGGACGAGCCTTCTCTGCATGCGAGAGAATGATCAGAGAATGTGCACGCATAAGCTAGCACGCAAGATAAATCGATAGTCTGGATGGTCAGGGACAAGGTTTCAGGGCGGCATACACAGCACATGAGGAGAAAGAGACGGCGTGGAGTAGCCAGCATGCAGGCCTAGTGCCTATCGTGCCGTTCTGGCTTGCGGAAACGATTGGGGTATGGGGTTGGCGTGCGGATAGGATCGAAGATGGAGAGAGTGGGAGGGAGCAGGAAAGAGAAGGCAAGTCTGATAGCCGATCCTACCCGGGTGCTTACCCGCGGCAAAGAAGAAACGAATCGTCCAGAACGAAGGAACACATCACACACGAATGTAGAGCGAGTGGCATGGAAGATAGTGAAGACTGAACAGAGAAGTTGGAGGCGCAGGCACGCAAGCAAACATCCCACGCCGGGCCGCCTTTGTGGGAGACGTTATCGCATACAGGACGCAGAAGAACGAAAACCGCAGAGCCTAGCCTCGTTACCCGAACGCACTGCTCACGCACCATCGAAAATTGCTGGAAAGCAGAACACTCCATGGAGGAAATACGCGCAACCAACCGGAAATGTACTTGGCTGGATATCATCGACGATAGCAATACGACAAGGCAGAAATAGGCGATGAAAGAATGGATAAGGGACCAGGACACGACTTTGTGTAACTCTACAAAGGGTATCACGATTGACGAACCGCCTGGGGGACACTCAAGGGACAGAACGACATCCGCGGATGCTGACCAGTCAGTGGCAGAAACAATCACACGTGGGATACGAATAGTCTTGGCCAACTATTAGGATGCAAGTTTTTTTACCACCTTGAAGGGGTGATTAGAGAATAAGGCACTTAAGGGTAGGGTTACTTGCTAACTTACAGTGCTACTGGTGTCTATTGCACTAATTCACGGGGCTAGACTACTGCGGACTAGGGTGACCTTTCACGCCTATTTAGCTGCAGGACGCACGCATCACGCTAGCGAACAACGCTAATAGACGCTAACTCTACACCTGCATGGCACCAACGCACGATCCTACACCTAGCCACTAGCAAGTGTACCAGTCCCAGTACTGTAGCCAAACCGTCCAGCCATCAGCCTCCTACCTCGTACCTTCATGCATGTACGGACGGGAAGCCAGCATCCACACCGAGTCTGCATCGTTATTGCTTGCTTGCTTGCTTGTCTGCCTGCCCGCTTTCTTTCCTGCTTGCTTTGCTCTATCCATTGGCGAACCGATCCCTTTCTTGGACCGACTTCCTATCATCGCCATCCTCCCTCCTCCTTGAAACTCCAACCAGTTCCAATAGAATGTTCCATGCAGGTCCACCACTGGTGCCGGATTTGCTTCCGAATCGAGACAAGACTTGGGGGTGGAGCCCGCATCGCATCCCGCCCTGTAGCCGTCCTAGGTGAATTATTGTCTGACTTCTGTATACGGCCGCCGGCCTGTCCCCTCCCATTCCTCTATCGAACCTTCAAATACGATTGCAAGAGTGGGGAATACTTGCGACCCATTTCCACTTCCAATGGATGAGGGGAAGAGCTATGGTAATGACGAGCGATAAGCGGTGTGGAGACCGTCATCGTTTACGGTCTTGCTTCCAGGTGCACGAGCGCACGCACGCACGCACGGGGAGCAGATAGATATCACCAATTCTCATCTCGTCAAGGAAAAAAAGAGGGCTTCGAGGGGGAGAGCTGATAACGATGGCATGTTTTCGGAATCTGGAACCGCGGGCTTTTGCTTTCTTTTTTGTTGAGACGATGGGTCTCGAGCATCGGAATGATTATCCTGCGGCTGCTGCGGGTGATGATGATGACGATTGACCATCGTGATGGCGATGCAGGATGCTGGAACGATGAGCAACAGCATCGTCTTCATAGGCCTCAATCGTCTCCATCTACATGAGTATCTGACTAACCCCCCTTTCTCCCTTCCTCTCTCCGCGGGGGATATGCTGCCATGCCTTGGACTCTGGAGTGCGAGGGTCCAATTCGCCTTGTCGCGGGAATTCCTTAGGCGAGATTTTCCCACCCGGTGGAGCATATGCCCTGGGCTCGGATCGGAAATATGAACCGGTTCGTCGAATTCTCCTTGAAACGAGAGACCCTGCCCTGCCCTGTCGTGCGTTGGCGATACGACCAGCAACTAACTTTGACTATTTGACTTGGAGTAAAGCGTGATCAACTGAGACAAAGGTAATTATATTGAATTCGATAGTTGTTTGACTTAATTCTCGTCCATATATTAATTCTATAATATACACTGCTATTAGATTTCCTGAATCGTGTGAAAGGTCCGTCGTTAGATGCTCAACTCCGCGTCTTCCTCCTTGTAGCTCACTCTGCCGACCCGGCCTGATCTCTGGCGAGTCGGTGCAGAACGACCAGCAGCACGCGCCTTCGCCTTCGCGGGGGCACTGTCCTCCAGCTCCACCACCTCCTCATCGTCATCCCCGCCAAGATCGCTGAGCGCAGAGCTATCGTCGTCTTCGTGCTCAGACGGTGAAGGCGTGGGCACAGACTTCGGGGCCTTCTTCTTTACCGACCTGCCGCCAGATCGTTTAGGTGCTGGCTTCTTGACGGGCTCCACTACCTCCTCATCGTCGGCTATAGACACATCATCAGCGGGATTAGCACATGCGGCAGATGCGCCCGTCTTCCTCTTCTTCTTTGCCGGCGTGGATGTCGTCGCCGTCGCACTCGTGCCCTCTTCCTTCTTCTTGATTACTCTCTTTGGGGGCCTGAGCCATTCTTCCTGGCCTGGCGGCCAGTAGACTCGATTCTCAGGTCCGCCCATGCTGACCTCTTCATCGGGTATCACGGCGGGAGCATTCTCCTCCTCCTCGGCATCTTCGATCTTTTCGTCGAGGGCGTCGAGGTCATCATCTGCAGTCTTCTTTTTCTTCTTGCCTTTTGTAGCAGCTTTCTTGGGCTTTGCTTTGACGGGTCTATTCTCATCTTGACGAACGTGCGGGACAACGTCGTTGAATAAGTGGAACCCGGGGAGCTTGAATGTGCGCATCAGTTCGAATACGGCCTGCTCCTTGTCCTTCGCCTCGATCATCAAGTCCATGGTATCGGGACAAGGAGGGAGCGTCTTTACACGAGGAGAATGCTTCCTTCGCGACCTACCAGTGATTGCATCAGGGCAAGGCTCTGAGTAGTGCATCTTTGGTGTGATGTTCTTGCGTTTCCATGTCTCGATGATGGCTGGGAAGTAGTCCATGACGTCTTTGGTCCCCTCGCGAATCTTGCTAGAATCAAATACAATGTTGTGATGATGAAAGTCAAGGACAAATGGTATGTTGAGCTCTTGACAGAGAGGTAATAGCTCATGCATGGACCAAACTACGTCGTCGTTCTCAAGAACAAGCCGTCTCTTCACGGAATCTGATAGCCTGGCATAATTTTGGCGGAAGCGATCAAGTGTGGCAGGCTTATCTCCAAACGCACCGCCTAGATGAAGGATCATGACAGCATCGCGGTCTTGCTGAGGTGGCAGTTTCAATAGCGATAGCATCTCATCGTGATAATCCAAATCTCGAATTGCAGCATCAATGACCTCTTTACGGGGCGAGCCGAGCTGTGTGAACTGGCCGGGGTGGGTGGTTACCCTATGGCCTAGCTGGGCAACCACCTTGCCTACTTCGGCTAGAGTCTCTGCAGCAAATGGTGCAAGTTTGTACCCATAGACATCATGGCTAGCAAAGGGGAACATCTCACTACTCAGTCGCATGAATTTAATTCCATATTTGTCGTTCCAGCGAACCATTTTTATGAGATCACGTGCATTGGCGAGGCCGAGCTGTTCGACATATCTTTGACCACGAGCGATGTCAGCGGGTTGGTCCTTGTCCGGCCGGTTCTTTGTGGGATGCTCAGGCTGGGATGGGTCCTTCAAAGGGTGCCTATGCTCAATAATGCTTGCGATGCGACATGTACGGGAGCTAAACACTGGGATGAAAGCATTGCGAAGATAGGTATTCAGACAGGCCTAAACATAGGATGTTAGCTCGAGTACTACTGTAGATGGGAATATCTCTAGGTTGCGTACGTATCCTAATCGGCCTTTCCATGGCAGGGGAAGATAGTCGGAATTGACCGGTGGTGGCCTTGATAATGCATCTCTAACTTCATCTTCTTCATTTTCACCGTCCGGTTCCTCGTTGAAATCTGGAGCGATCGTCACCCCCACGTCCTCTTCTTCGACCTTGACAGCATCGTGAGAGGAGTGGAGGGCCGCTCCACCCGCGGCATTAACAGAACTACCACCCCGCGTAGCATTCTTTCTCTTAGTTGTACCGGGTTTTGTAGAAGGGTGGACGGCGACAGACCCTGTCATCGGCTTGCCCGTACCTGACGGTTTCTGTCCATTGAATATCTCCGATGTTACATTTTCGACGCTTTCAGATGTGTCCTTTGCTTCCCCTGCATACCCATTGAGGTCTACATCTCCGGTGTTATTTTTGTCCTTGAGGGATTTGGGGACAGGGGCGGGTTCCTGGCGATCATGACTGATGGCGTCTGGCGAAGCCCGGAGTGCGGATACGCCATCTAAGACATCAGGATTCGCATTTGGATTTGTCGGCGGAGAGGGCTGCGTGCGGGTGGATTGACGACGCGATAATTGGGGCCCTTGGCCAGCGATATCCGTAGGCAGCGGAATCTCTGAGCGGCGTCCCCGGGGGATGCCTCTAGGTACGGGTCCTGCAGAAACAGCTGTAGATGGAGCGGCCGCCGCGATGGACCGTTTTCGCTTGGCCACCATGGCTGCTGACGAAGGATGTGTGAGGACAGACGCGCGAACGCGTAAGGAGCCTTGTGAGCCTGGTAAGGATGCTCGGGGTGCAATTCGGAGACTGGAAGAGTGAACAAAGTGTATCATCAAAGTCCGAAGGATGATACCATCAAGAATTGATTCAATGTCGTTGGAGATTAGATGGAAGAAGAAATCGATCTCGCTGTTGTTTTCTCATGATGAAATTCTTGGCGCGCTCAAGCCAGAGAACATTTGAACAGTACGAGTAATTCTGATCGAAAACATAGACAGAAAACGATGGATATCGATGATGACGATGATGTCGCGTGCAAGTCGATGATGGTTGGCGTTGCGGATGGCGTTAGCGCGATCGAACGAGTGGTGGGTAGATCTGGCTAGTCCGAGCGGGTGCCGAGATCCAATGAGTGGGCCGCCCTTCCCCTTCTTCCCCCTTCCTCCCTTCCTTTCCTTTCTTTTGCTGGCTGCGTCATCGGTACGTACCGCCACCATACATGCACAGCACAGTATCTAGGTACACGGTACACGGTACTCGTACTCAGCCCAGCTACGAGTATCCTTACACTGTATGTACGAGGTATGTATGTAAGGAGTACATACATCCATACAGATATGTCCATAGCAATATCCTCATCCCTACACACCATGTGTTCCTAATAACAACAATACATATCCTCAGTAATCCAGGTACAGTTACTACTAGTGCCGACCATGCATCCATTCAGTATTCATTATTCATTCAGACGATCCATTAACCATCCCACAACCTACAACTTCTGCATATCAAATCAGTACCCAAAATAGTGACCTCTTCCCTGAAGCCCTACGGGAAACACAGCCAGCACCTAATCGTGATAACACCCTCAATGATTATACCAATTACTCTTTCCGGAAGTCTGTCAATCCAGCCCAGACTCTTCCCCTGGAGATGATGATCCCTTCAATATTGAGAAAGGGTTACAATCCCCTCCACACCCTTTTTCGTCCGAGGCATACTCAGGCTCCCACGGTGTCTCGCAACTCGCTCCCCCAGGGGAGGGGGAGGAGGAGGAGGAGGAGGAGGGAGGGGTGAGATATAGCCGTTCCTGAGTGTCGGGTACGGTATCCTGGAGGGGTTACGGGATTAACGGCAAGGAGACGGGAAGAACCAGCGACTGAAGGGCCGCCACTCACATACGTGAGTTGCGACTATCATACCTGGAACCACAGCCTATCCAACTGTACGTATGTACGGACTACAGCTCTTGGTACACTTGCTTGCAGCTGCATACCATTATTACTGAGATTAGGATAATGACTAAAGGATCGGAATAACCAAAATGGCCGCTGGCCCTACTAATCATGCCAATCCTTCATTCTACTATCGCACGGTTTCCCCATGTCCGAAATAGACCTCTACATGTCGCGCGGATGATTTGCAGGATTGGGAAGATCCTATCAATCCACACATAAGCACCTTCTGTTCCATGTCATTAACCGGCTGTACTGTATGATGCTATGAATGTAGAGAATAGGAAATCTCGCCCCGCGTGTGGCGGTGGTGGTCACTGGTGGTCGTGAGGTTTCAAGTATTATGCAGGCACGGAGATTTAGGGGTTTAGTCAGTGTCTATGCCATGGATGCACGTCAAAGGAGATAGACCAAAAGAATGGCCTGTAGTTAGACAAGACAGCACGGAGTAGAAGGCTGAGAATCATTCTCGCGAACCCTTGACGGTGAAGGCAATACATTTGGTGTTGATCGTGTAATCGTGGCATTTTCTCGCGTCGGCCCTTTGGGGGGGAAAAAGCAAGTCTTTGAGCGTTTTGGTAACTTTCGCCGTACTCCGACTATCTTCTTATGCAAGGCACGGACCTTCCAGCGTACAGTTACTGTGTACAGTAGGAGTTGTAAACATCCTGTCTTAAGATACACTACTATTACACTCTCCGAGTACTCCGTGCTGTGTATATTGGCATGTGTGGGACAAGAGTACAGTCCTGACTCGTATCTTTGCACAGACGCTCGGGCATTCTGTGCTTAGGAATCCAGACAGATCATTAGTTAGTTACTCATAGGTACGGAGTACATAGTAGGGTAGTTAGACACTATCAAAAGGCAAATAGAATCTTCACGCAAAGACAATAGTATACTTAGGTAGGTGTTAAACTAAAATAATACATGTAACTAGGAGAGGGTGCATCTGCCAAAATGCAAAAGCGCGCAACGGAAAAATAATGGACGAATAGCCCGTCGATCGTACCCGTTTTCCGTTAACAATAGGTAGACGGAACCCTGATCCCACCCCTCCCAAGTATACTTGTAGGTACCTAGAGTGCCTAGGTAGATACGAGTATCCTTCGTGATCCGAACCAGCTGTATCATGTTACCATGATCCCCAGAACTAGTACCCTACATCAAACCTCTTGTACACTAGATACTGTATTCTACTTTGGGGTTGCTGTGCTAATCAATGGTCACGCTATTTTGGTCAGAGGGTTTAGGGAAGGAAAAAAGGGCCACCACCACCACCCCTCACGCCCCTCTCCCGGACCCCAAAGGACCAAAGAGCGACAATCGACTTCAGGGGACAACCCGTTTCCCATGGTCATCCTTCTCTCTTGCTAGAGGTCGTCTCTCACGAACCGGCGACCCCGATACAAAAGGTACCCCGCGAATCCCCCTTCGCCAGCACCCGTCGAAAACCTGACCAATCGTGAATGCCGACTCCGCCTTGGCCTGGAGCCGTGAAACCAACCACCCTTTCCACTGAGGAAGCTTATCATTCCTTGAACGTTTTTTTCTTCCTCTGTGCGCTCTTCTAGGTGGCTTTTTTTTGGGGCGGCGGGATGATCAGCGGGCGTCAGCAGCGCGAAGTGGTGGCTGGTTGGTAGCCGTGGGGAGATGATGGATGTCTCGAGCGGGTGGGCAGGGGGAGGCTTGCAGCATGCGGATGTAGGATGTAGGTGGTCTCATTTATTCAGGCCCTCTCAGGTCTACACACAGACATGGCCATAGCCCATCTTCGTCTCTTTCAGAAAGACGAATGGCAAAAAAATGGCATGTGAACGTGGGTAGTTATGGTATGTTCGTGAAATTGCTACTCCGTACAGGACGCACCAATGTGTTTGTAGTACCTGCGAGTTGGGCGTTATTGTGATAGCCCATCGTCCGTCCCAGCTCGAACATTGCTGCAGGTCGATTGTCCAACCGGTCATCTGGGTTTTCCCTTGCAACATTCTAAAACGATCCTTCCTCGTGCACCCACGCGTTCATGCCTCGTGGTCCAATATTCTGAAGGAATATGCCCTACCATTGTTTGCTGCGGTCTCAAATTCGCTTCTGACTTATTACGTTCACATGACATTAATGAGACAAGGCGATATAGATTGAAAAATGGTCAGCGTCATCAAGAATAAGTCAAGCGTGAGCAGAGCATAAGTCAGGTTTTTTGAGTGAAGTGAGCGCGCTGCTGCCAATAGCGCCTTTTATTGCATGCATTCATGACTGTGCTTTTGTGTGTCGTACTATGAGGAGAGATCCGAGGCACTTAAGAGCCTGGTCGCTGACGCCATAACAAGCATGAGATTATTAAAACATGTCAAAGAAAAAAAAGAACTGCCCCATCGTGGGTCTGGAAAGTAGAGAAAATGACAATCGTTACGCAGAACCATGCCTCCTGCGGCTCCGATACATATGTGAGAGAGACTTAGTCCGATACTCCGATACATGTCCAGAATGAAAAGAAAAAACCCATTACCCTTTTCCTGACCAATAATGCATGGGTAAAAAAACAAGTGCGTGATGCAGTTAGATCATAATATATTCACCATCCACACGGTCCATGGCCTTTCTCCACCGAAACGCCTGCTGCTGTGCACCGTAGGACCCATGCCACTGTGACTGTACCTCATCATTGATACCCCTCTCGTCATCTTCCTGCCACACCCTCTCTAGTACCTCCAGACCGCTGAGATTGTTGAAGAAACCACTCTCGCGCTGGATCTCAACGCATCGCTGTCGCACGATGGCACGGTGCGCGGGATCCACGCACTCAGTTCCGATCATGAACAGAGGCCAGAGTAGGAACTTGTTGACGCAGCTTGTGATTCCAATCTGCGAGATGTGGAAGAGACCCTGGCCAACCAGTGTCTGGAAGTTGGGCGCACTGGACCGCGGTGTGGGGTACGCAAGGCGTTCGGTGTAGAGCAGTGCAGCGTATCTGAAGCTCTCGCTGATGTGCAGCAGCGCAGCCTGTTCTTGTGATAGAGTGAGCAAGGATCTCGACCGGTTGCATGCATCTGCCTGCATCTCATTGGTCGAATCGAATTTCCAGGTCTCGAGTCGACTGCGTACGTCCGTCCACTCTACCCAGAACTCTGATCGCAATTCGTTACCAGAAACTGAGTTCAGTGGATCCAGGCATTCGTGCACAGGTGTACCCCAGCCGTTTCCATCCAGACGGTCGAAATTGAAGGAGTAGAAGTCTCTCTGCTGTTTCGGCTGAGGAGAGGCGCGTGGTGTATCTTTGCTTTCCCGGACCGGTCGATTCTGGCTTAACAGGTTGAGTCTCCCAAGCCTAGCAATCAGCTTGAACAGACGGCCTTCACAACCCGAATAATGCTCCAATGCGCCCAAATTTGTAGTAACATTCATCATGTCCAGCGAGTCGCCCTGGACCTCAGTCTCCCTATCATTAAGCGTACTAGTCATAACGTCGAACCAAGTGAAAAAGACCTCGATCCATCCAATGAAATTTGATTGCACACTCCTATCCCTCATGCTCAGTAGCTTTTGCACGCCGGCAAGCTGAGTCTTAAATTTCGTAAAGCCCGAATCACACACATGGAAAAGACAAAGAACAAGAAGTGTGGCGAGCACCGAGTCGTCATGCGCACCTGCAGGGTCCGCAAGTTGCTGGTTGAGGAAAGTGATTGAGTTGGCCTTGTAATGCTTCTCCTCATTGGTAGCCTCGCCGTGCATTTCCCGGAGCTCAAACGTCGTCATCTGAGAGAATGCATGATCTGGCAGTAGCTGAGAATTTTGAGGTAGACTGAGTCGTCTTCCCTCGATGCCACCGCGCATACGCATGTTGTTTGTGGCGAGTGCGGCAATGGCATTCTGGAGACCCTCACTCCTCATGGCCAGGGGAATGACGTGCGTCCGATAGGGATTCGTTCCCGGTGTGTCGTCAAAAGCGACCAGTACATGGCATATAAATTTGTCGTAGTAGTCCAGCAGGAATTGCATCCGCGGGGAAAGGGGTGAAGCGATAAGACTCTGGGGAATGGAAGTGGTGAGTTGGGATTCGTTCAAAATTAGGGGGCCTGAACCAACGGAAGACATACCCTCGGAGGGGACAAAAGGAAAACCAGACTGAGGTAGACCATTGACACTAGAACTCAATTCCCCCTCAATAAAAATATCTGGAAAAGCAGGTGGGCCCATATTGTGCTGCCCGGCAGTGACTTCGGTGTAATCTTGTACACTTTGGTCAGAGCTAATGCTAGAGCTCATGTCGTCTGCCATCGGTAACGATCGAGGCGCTTCGTGGAAATGAAGACATTCGGAAGAACTCATAGGCGTTTGATCGTGAAAGATAAGAGATTGATACTGAGGAACAGAAGACTCGGCGAAAGGAAATTCATCATGAGGAGTATGGGGAAACTCTCCCGGAGACGGGAAATCACTATCGCTATATGTGCCAAGAGAAGCAGAAGAAGCAGAAAGACCCATCTCCTCGTAAGGGACATGGAGTGAAGTCTGGAGCCGTTGCAGAGGACCCCTGTGGATGTGTGTCCGCCTCAATTTGGATGAATGGTGGGTGAACGGGTCCATATGTTCCCCATAATTTGGAATGGAGAATCCCATTGGAGTGGTCGGTGAAGGAATCGGGATTGGGCTTGTCGATGTGAGGTATTGATACTCCTGTGGAGCGGAAAACAGATTGGGGCTAGTAGGACTCATTGGAGATGTTGCTCCAAAGTCTACGCTACCTCTGCTTTCAAGCTTGATGGGACCTGACGGGGCAGTGGTTACGGGAGTGGCTGCAGTGGTGACCGAGGAGGATGTCGTTTGGGACTTAGAATCCCGTGCAGTGTTCGTGGTTTGGGTAGGTGATTTGGGAACGGGCAGAGACATGCCTCGAAGCTTCCCACGACTGGCAACCCCTACACCCCAGGTGAGGGTAGTGCGGTAGCCAGAACATTCTTTCCCTATTTCTATGCATTGTCCACAGTAGGGTCTGCGGCGATCGCATTTTATTTGGCGTTTTCTGCATGTAAAGCAATCTTCACTGGCACCGGTGGCAGGCGCTCTTCTTCTACGCTTCCTTGGGGCAGCGGCAGCATTGTTGTTGGTGTTCTCCGGCTTCTGGACATCGGCTGGTTGGGTGGTAGGTGACGACATGGTAACGGCGGTGGGAAGGGTATAGAGATGTGGTAAATGGATATTGCAAAACGTCAACAGCGTAGCATCTGCAAATGGTTGGACGGTTGTATAGTGTGCGTAAAAAGAATAAACAAAGTGATGAGGGGCAAATCTTAATGGAGGATAGAAAGGCACGTCTGGGTGGGTATTATTTAGTTGAAGAGGGAGCTTGGTCCTGGTTTTGATAAGATCAGGGCCGCCTCGGACAGGGCACTGATATGCCAAGGGGTTGCATCCAAAATACCGCGGCAGGATGCACGCTAGGATAATAAGAGCGTGAGGATGGTGGTCATCTTAGATATGGTGCTGGGGGGTGTTGACGGGTGACGGGGGAGCAGGAGGAGCAGCAGAAGCTGTAGGACTGTAGGAGTGCGGAGGAGTGCTGGCAAGCCTATGCCCGCATGTTCGGCGGGCGTTGCGAAGCTTCAGGCTGTGGCAAGCAACGAGACGCCTTGGAAGCAGATGCAGGAGCCCCAACCGCCGCCAGCACCCCACACGCAGCGGCGAATTGGCAGGCCGAGAGTTGCTAGAGAGACAGGCCTGAGGGTTACATCGCCTTCGCTTCACTGCACCCTGGACATGTTGGATGGGTGGATGGTGGATGCACACAGCACGGAGCACGATTTGCCAAAGAATACGGCGACGGCGACGGCGGAGGGCTTGTACGCCACCGTCCGGAGGGCCAATCAAGAGCATTATGCGAAGTGATCTACTGCTTGCCAGCGGCCGCTTGCCTCGGAGCACATAACGGCCTTCAGCCATAGAGAGGTCTTGTTTCGAGTCCGCTGCCGGGCAGGGTTCATGGGCCCTGTTGTAGTCTTGCTGGGGTTGTTCGGTCTGTGTGTTGCGAGCCTCTGCAAAGCCACCGCTGCTCTCTAGTCCTCTTATTCCTCTAGCGGCGGCACACCCTCCTCTAGCATCTTGAACGAATAATATCCTATCTGATGCCAGCGGAGCCGACCGAAAACAGAGATGGAGTTGGGCAACGAGGGCATTAGGGCCTGCACCGAACGCTGTATAGAATCCGCTGCCCTCTTCTAGCTCTGGAGGGCAAGCCAAGTGAACGCCGCTCCCATGCGGTACGTACTGTGTGTGGAAAGATTGGCAGCACAGTACGTGCTGCGTGCTTGATTCGCCATTCATCGTCTCTGTTGTGCTCGATCTTGGGCTTCTGAGACCCCGCAGAGCAGCTCCCGTCGCGTCCCAGCTGTGGGATCACGTAGGGAACGTGAGGGCGGGGCGAGGATGTAGGATGTATGTACATGGGTGGAGAGAGCTGTCTGTATGCGCATGAGGAAGGGCACTGCAAAGGGGGGTCTTTCGCAAAATCCACTAAGCACTCCTCCAATTTGCCGCAAAAAAACACCACAATGGTTGGCGCAACTTGCGATCGATTACTGTCATGTCCGACGGACCATGCGCGTGGTGATGGCACGATGACAGGATGGCGTTGAACCCGTGTGCGGTATGCCGTATGGGTAGGCAAGGTATGGTGGGCAACACTGTAAAATAGTGTGTGCAAAGCAAGTGTTGCGTAGTTTATGGCGCCTCGGGACCGGGAAAAGGGTGGTGCATGGTTATTATCATAGCCGTCAACATCATCTTTCCTTCACGACGGCCAACGTGCTATTCAACGATGACGACGGTTGCAACATTTATGATGATGTCGATGATTAGTGACAGCAGCACCACCACAACCACATATTGTAAGGCACAGTGCAGCAAGGACTGATGGGAAAGGCGGTCGCATCCACCGCTATCGTGAAGCCAAAAGGCCTAGGTAGTGTAGGAGCCAGGCATACCAGGTTCTGCTCGACCGGTGCTGTTCCTGCTCCGTATGCTCCGCAAACCATCTTGGCAAATCCGCTCCGCTGGGTCCCTACACAGTGAGTGATAACGCGAGAGGAGCGTGATGCAGGAAAGATATGATCTTGTCATCATCACAAGCAATCGCAACCCCCACGTCTCCCAGACCAGAGTGATTTCTCGCTCACTCGTGGCGATAAAGGCGGATTCAAACAGGATCGAAAGATCCGCAGGCGCTGCCCTTCGTCATCGATCATTCCAAACAATGAACAGACGAGTTCTGCCTGCCTTGAGCGCATGCCGTTGGTGGTGCCTGAAATTGGAACACATGTGTAGCGCGTGCGCAAGGTCGAAAGACAAGAATTAAGCAGAATGATGATCGATGGCCTCGTGGCCAACCAGAGATGGGCCCAGGCAATTTACGGGACCTCTGCCCAGACATGGGTGACGGGTGGATGATGATGTGTGTGCTCGCTGGAGTGGAGTGGAGTGTAGTTCAATGCAGTGTAGTGTAGAGTAGTGAGTAGTTAGTGTGCTGTGGTATGGTGTGCTATGGCAGCGCTTGTTCTGCTCCTACTTATTACTCGTAGTATAGTTAATAGGAGCTAGTCATCACTGTGTCCTACGAGTTAGTACTAGATAACACTGTGTGTAGAGTAGCCGTAGGGGTAGACTGTAGAGACCAGAGAGAGAGAGAGAGAGAGAGAGAGAGAGTGTGTGTGTGTGTGTGTCTCTATCTGGTTTCTGCGCTGGGCTGCGCTGTGCTGCGCTGCTTGCCCATCAACCCTGTAGATTTCATGCATCACTTTTTGGGCGCACGGTTCTCGTCTGTCATCGTTTGTACAGTCGTGCAGCAGCCACTCCGTGCGCCGCGTTAGATGTGTACTTGTATTGCATCTACCCTACCATAGGGTAGAATGCAGATATACTTTTCGACTTTTCGACGGCGCATTTCTCGAATGGGATCCACAGCCGGCATAGTGGAACCATTCCGCCCATGTCCAGCACGTGAGCACCTGTCCCGGCACAGCGTACTGTAATACTTGTTGTAAGACGCGCATCGGCGACAGGTACCACTTAGGCACGCCCTCTTTGTGGGGGAGGATACGCTACCAGATCAGCAGCATTTTCCTTACTTAATAGAACAATGGCAGAGCCAGTCAAAACTGCTCCTGCTCACAGGTGTGCAATGTGCGGGCGCCTCTCGTTTCGTGTAAGATCCCGGTGCCCCAGTTCACGCTGTACTTGAACAACGATTTGGAACGGTGATTTCTTTTGACCTTGCGGGGTAAATAAACGGATGACCGCTAGGGGGTGGGTCCGATTCTATCGCCATTGTATTGAGCGATTGGCAATATTCCCAACGACTTCCGTTTCCTGCGTATGTACAGTGCAGTGATCTGGTGTTGTCGTTCTACGTTGTTTTCTCGGTTTACATCAGAGATTTCGCGCCAAGTTTGTGTGCCAGACATTGCTGTGTAGAGCAAAGCGCCAGCGCCGAGAAGCCGACAGGCTACTGTAGACACCATCGAGTTCTAGTTTTGGACCTGCCAGCACAGCATTGTCCGGACTTTGACTCGTTATCTCTGAGAGCCTCATGCTGCGGGGGATGCCGGCCCAAGAATGCCGGCAACCACGGCAGCTAGAGCAGAGTCAACGAGGGTGCGAGGGATAGGGAGCATCCGCGCTTACTAGAGCCTCTAGAACTCTCCCTTTCCTACCTTGCCCGGTGTGCATTGTACTTCATTTCCATACTCGATCCTGCGCGCCGAACCCTACAGTGTCGCTCTTTTGAAGATCAGAGCCAGGGAAGACCAGTATTGGAGATTGAGATGGAATTCGAGTGCTCTAGACAGATATGACCCTTGCTGGAGAGCTGGCTCCACTGCACTAAGATTGCGACGGAGCTGCTACCGTATTGACCCTGCGTGCCTATGAATCTAGGTGCCTGCATTATTCGGACAATCTCCGGAGGCCTCTGAAATAATTCTTCCGGCGGGAGTAGTCTGATATACTGGCACAGGTATTTGTGATGGATCTGCTTCGTCACCGTGTTATTATTATCTCTGGAATGATAGAACGTTATGGTCGAGTACACTACGCATTTAGCAGATGAATAGCGCCGTTGTCGTCCGCGGATCAGAAGCATGGAACGATTATTGGAAAACTCGAGAATCACGGTGGTTCTTCATCCGCTATGGACATTAGCCGCAGAAGGGCGGTCAACTGTGCTCCGTAGTAGCAGTGTAGTGTAGGTAGTGCCTCTAATAACAGCCAGTACGCACCCGCTCCCGCACCAACGACAGGAGCAGGAACAGGAGTAGGAACGGGAACAGGAACAGGAACCATTGAACCACGCCTCTGCCTGCCTAAGCAACAGGTCAGGCGTCATTCATGCCTGGTTCTGCTGCCCTAGAACTGGATAGAATCGCAAAAGGTGAACGAGGCCCTACACAGTACAATTTAGTAGCTCAGGCACTCCAGGCGAGCAAAGCAAACAACTGACGATGATTTGGTTTTGGTTGAAGAGCGGGAAACATAGGGATGCCCAGGCACGCCAGTTTTGCCTAGAAACTTAGACTGAGCGTTCCATGGCTCACGTGATCTGCCCCAACTGCTCTAACTGATCCGGGCATAATAGGATATGCTTTCCCAGTTCTTTAATTCGACTACATCGTGCTTAGCTTCGTGTCGTTCGTATTCTGACAGTGGTGGCTTCCTCCATCTAGCTATGTACTCGTACTTGTACGGAGTAGTAACAAGTCATTTGAGACGGTTGTCGTATTTCCTATCTGAAGACAAGGTTCGCTTTGTCTGCCCATGACGTGAACCTCTTTTCCTCAGGTTTCATTCCATCATTCAGTAGTGTCTGTGGCGAGGACCATTGTGCCCATATACCTTTACCGCCGCCATGCGCCCTCTGGAGGAACGCCGCAATTTTTCTTTGCGCGTGGCACATTGTTGGGCACCTCAGGATCCAAGGCTAAGAATGCCTCCAGCTGGCTTAGTGTCATCCTCACTGTGCAGTGAAACCATTTTATCGCCCCCAAGTATTCCCGTGAACTAGTCTCCTCGACAGAAACATAACGTCTTCCCTCCACCGCTTTGCTGAACTATGGGAGGATTACCCCGAGACTGCTCCTCAGCCAACTTTGTGAATCTGGGTACTGTGAAAGGGCGGGAATGTGTGGCGAGCAATCCTCCCTGTCGTCAAGTTCTTTCTGGTCGGGAGCGATGTTGGTACTGCTTATGGGGTATTGCCTATCTTGCCAATTCCATCCATGTTACTATGCAACGAATTCATACAGTGAAAATATGGTATGCTTTCCAAAAATGATATGTCGATGGCAATTCAGCTTGCTTGCTCTACTCGTGATTTTGTTTCGTGTGCTTGCAAGATCGATTTCACCACTTACTAAGTAGTCGTATAGAAACATCAAACAAGTCACTTTGTAATGATATCCATTGAAAGCTGAAGTGATCTGATAGTATAAAAAATGCACAATTTGATGCCATCGCACATCCTCCATTGTCTCCATCCGCGTGAGACATGATCGGTATTTCATCGCTCATGCCGTTCCACTACCATGCTCAAAGGAGGAACGGAAGGTATTTCAGAATCCCGCATATGGCCCCTAGTCCAGGTAGAAGAGAAGACATATTCGTGAATGCATTCAAGCATAGTTTTCGATCGACGTTGAGTTCCGGAGCCAGACTAGATCAAAGAGGAATATGACAGGTAGGGTGCTGAGGCACAGGAACCATCTGAACACCAGAGCGCCACGCGGCACTTGCAGGTGTAGACGCTCCGCTGCCGACAGTTCTGCGGTAGTTCGACTTCGCCGTAAAACTCAGGATATTCAAGCGCTTCCGCGTAATGAAGTGTGACGATGTTGTCTCGATTCTGGAGTCACTCATCCTGGCCCCGAAAGGTGATTCTATGGCTGCCTTTCTGCGGCGTAGGTGTCTCTCAGTTGGATGAAGATGCTTTGATAGATTATAAAAGCCTTTCACTGGTACTCAATTTCGATATTCAACAGCATACAATCTACAGCTTCTCATCGTTCCATCATCGACGCTTCTATCAATCTTTCTCAACACAATACACACTTCCACATTCTCGCAGTTTCACGCAAAGTCTTCCGACACAATGAGTTCTCGCGGCCGCGGTCAAAACGTCCCTGCTGGTTCTTCATCTACACCAGGAACTGGCGCAACGGGAGGAGCCCTCCATACACATCCATGCCGTAACTACACTCAACCTGGGCACAGTACGAACTATACATTTCGATATGGCAAGGATGAGCTCTGTGAGAACTGCCTGGTAAGTCTTTCCCTGCTTCGTTCGTTTCTGTGTCGAGACTGATTGGATATTTCAATATCAGAGTGCATTGAGCCAACAGGGCAAGCGTTAATTGCCTAACGGCGCCCAGGGACGACTGTGGGATGATCATCTTCATTCCTCGCCACATTGATTTACTTTGATATCACTCGATTAGCTTCGGCTTTATTAACGGGTGTACTTTGTGGCTTCAAATTGCTTATTTGTTTTGCTTGGAACGTGCAGGTTGGATGCTCAGTGATACGAGATGGTTTCGTTCTTTCATTGTATTTTCTTTTCTCCGGGCGTATGCGCCCTCTTAAACTCCACTGTCTTTATCGAACTTTCTGCTTGATTAGCAAGTCATAGACCAATCCTACACAGGACGCTACTTTCTGAACCTTCTTCATCAGCTTTGGTGCCTATAATGTTGCATGTAAGAGCTCACGAAAGGGTGGAAACCTGAATGTGATGCCTAGCCATCGGCAGAGCACCTGACCTCGAAGCCCCTTAATGGAAACTCTATACCCCATATTCCTGATGAACATATGAACATGAGCCCTGTTGTGAGACCCTTAGTACTTGCCAGATATCTCGTGTAATGCACTGGTGGAGACAATCGCCCCCATCACCGGACTTCGGTGGTTCTTCACGAGGAGGACTATGAGGGGAAGGCGGGATGACTTCAGAATACCGCAGAAAAGTGATTATGGACCCAGGCAACCCATTTAGATGTTCAAGTTGAGGATGGTCCATCATTATGCATAATTGGCCATAGTGTTGATAACGCTCAATAAGGACCATACACCAAGTCATATTAGAGAAACTCAGACCAGATGCAGGCTGGATTGACTGACCCTTACTATGGGTTCATAATATCCTAAATTACGCTGATAGAAAAAGATATGGGCTTCTGACTTGATGTTGGAAGAAGGTCAAGATGTTTCATGCATTGAACGGTGAGCAGGTGCCCAGTGGTGCACCGGTTCGCGGGGACGAATCCTCCCGTTCTCTCGATGAAACTACGATGCTGACATTCACAAGCGTGCTCATGGCCCGATATGTTCATAGCAAACTTTATCGATGCCACCTTTTGTTTGCCTGACGGAAGGAGGAGTGGCTCCCGTCTTGCTCCCACGCAGCGCCTCCACTCCGTCTCATTGTAGGCAACAGGTTACACTAAAGCCGTTGTTGGCCTTTTGGTTCGTGAGGCGAATTAATGCTTGGTATTTGCTGTGCCGCTGATGACGCTGCACAGTAGGTGACCCAAACGTTGGTGTAGGAAAGTTCGATCGATTCATCAGAAAACATATTACTATTACCACGGAAAAGCTTTTCGCACAAGTGCCTCTAGTGACTTTACTGAATTTTCACTGACCGTTTAGTTCATCGTGTGGAGAAAGTTCTTTGGATGCGATGACATCCACGTATCCTGCGGCGTAGCTGCCATGTTTATTAGTCAACGCCACAATTGTAGCCAATTCTTCGACTCATTCTGGCAACTCGCTCTGAACTGATTCAATTGATACCAATATAGGTTATTCCACCGCTTTTACATCATTTGACCATCTCGGGTAACGCCCAAGGACCGTTCCGGTACCACTGCTGCCACACAAGCAACTTTGCTTTTTGAGTTCCTCTCTTCAGGCTTTGCAAAGTTCCACTGTATCTACTTCGTTCCGATGTGGAATGGTCAAGGCATAAAAATTTTTGGACTGTACCGAACCATATAGTGGGCTTTGGTGGCTCACTGTTGTGCTCAATGAAGCCTTCCGGTGCGTCGTTGTCCCGCCTAACCGTGACCAAAGACTTGCGAGATTCCTCGCCACGTTCGCCCCAACATTTGACAGGAGCATCTTTGCGCCCCCATGGATATTTGATCTTTCAAACACATTATAGCGTCCATATTCCACGTATAAGCGCCCAAGCTTGCTTAGGGTCAGTACTGAATGCTCCCGACTTACAAAAGAAAAGGAATGACAACGTCTCAATCCTAGGATTACAATATTGTCTCAAATAATTATCTCCTGAAGGTATCCACCGCTAACCTGCGATGATGCAGAATCTGATGGCGTCCACTGGAATTCGATTCATAGTCAGGTGATCATATCAACATGCATGCAAGACGCATGACACATCTGGAAGGTCGTGGATTCATTTGTCCGAATGTACGAGATCATGCGCAATGATTTTTGCATTGTTGGATCGACGTGCATTCATTGGGACTGCAGGCGCCAGGTACACGTAGAGTGCTGCACACAGCATCATTGTCCTGCAACTTTCTTTCCAAATCTAGCCATCAACAACAATCAACTGCTGAAATATTCCAAAGAAATGAGTCTGAGCAGTACACATTTCGAGAATGTACCCCTTACTCCCGCTTGTACACCACAACATATTCTTCTGCTTCACTTTTTCTTCTGTGCCTCAGTCCTGCATGCATCCACTTTCCAAACCTGGGTACTCCTCTTAACACGGGCTGGATGTTCTGAACCACCCCCAGACCTCTTTGATACCCAATTGCCCAACGCTGAACTCCAAACAGAAAAGAACAACAACTACTAGTAACGCACACCTAGCTGACACCGCATCATCGACAATTCCTCCACCAATATAACTCGCTTTCCCCGGCGTCCTTCCCGCAGAACTCCCCCCCAATGTATCAAGCTTCCGCCTACCCACGGCACAGCGAGGCACAAAAAATTCTATTCTGCAAACGTACACACACATTGCTCTCTTCTCCCCGGTTCCTTCACTCACAGTGCCCCATCTGTCCAGAATTCTTACCGCCGGGCGTAGCGAAAACCGTGCCGCATACGCCACATAGATACACACATCGTGAACGCAAGTTCACCAATCGCACTCCCCCGAAACACAATTCAAGCACTAATATCGCCCGAGCAGAAACAATGACATCTACGGCCAATCGATACTCGCTTATCGTTGGGTTTTCCGCCTCGAGGTTTTGCTAGTGAAGGTTTGGGGGGAGAGTCGGTGGGAAGGATGATGAGGTAAGCGCGGAATCGTGTATGTGGCGTGGGCAGGATAGATGTGCATGCGCATCGCAAGGAGGGGATTTGGGAATGGAGCTGGGGCCGCCGGGAACGGGAGGATCGTCGTACGAGGATCGGGGGGAGCGAGTTGAGATTCAGGGTGTTTTGATGTGAATGTTTGTGATCTGGAGGAGAAGAGATGTTGGAATCAATAGTACGAATGCAAGTCTCACACTTGTTTCTGAGGGCCTTGTCATTATGTTTGCGAAGGATGGGGTGGGAATATTTATTCATTTGGTATTGGATAATTGATACATTAATCGTAGACGGTCGTGGTACTTTTGTTTCTCGAGAGCTCCCATAGAAGAAAGCCCAGTGCACCCGCGAGAATACACGTATTATGCTGAATAACAATTACAAGATGAGCAACCTTATGCCAATTACACGTTGCCTCCACTGATTCAGGTCCCTTTTGACCGTGTCGACCGTGATTCCGGATTTGAAATGTTGACGGAGAGATTGTGGGAAGGGACTTGGGAATCATTACGTTCCGGTTTCTATCCATGTTAGTCAAGTGCTAGTAGACGTGATCGACACTGAGAGTACTTACCGGTTTCGACACCAGGCTGCCTTCCATCAAGACCGCCGGTAAACTTCTTCTTCAACTTGCTGATTCCAATGCGACCTTGACTTTTCGCAAAACGTGCATTTCTTGCCGGCTTCCACTGCATCAGGCCTCGCTGCTTTCGCTCCTCGGTCCTTTTGTTCTGTCTCTTTGTGTCCTTCTCACTCAATGTCGAAGACCTGTCTACGGAGCCATTCGTGCCACTAGTGGTATACGTGGTCTGGGTCCTAGCAGTGCTTTGTGATACACGGGGCGCTGAAGGAGAAAGATCGGTGCCGGCGTGTTTGAGCTCACCATTGGGACTCTCCGCGTTTCCGGTAGTCTCAGCATCTTGAATGCCGAGGTCAGACGAGCTATCAGAAGAACCATAGTCATCATCGTCATCGTCATTGTCCGGGTCATCACTGGGGTGATGCGGGTCGTGTAGAGGCTCATCCACTCCAGGTTCGCGTCTTTTCTTTCCCTTCGTGTCCATGTAGGCCTTAGGATCGTGCCCAAACGCGCCAGACCAGTCCTCCCCAGTCTTTGACAGCCATCTCTCCTTCTCGTTGTCATCAGTGTGGTTCTTGAGGATGTCCCGGCCTTCCGTAAGTGATTCATCGTGCAGTTGCTTAACGCGATCGGGTAGCTCCTTGTCCACCTTGCGGTTACGAACACCCTCTGTCAAGCATGCTTCCCAGGTTTGATAGGTTTCTCTTGAATCATTATCAACGATGAAGGCCTCATGGGATTCATCGGTGCCAGCTTTGAACCGTGCAGTGAACTGCAGACGGCCGATCTCCTTCAAATCCTCAAGACCGGGCTCTTTGCTGCAATTGTCCTCTGTGATATAGTTTTGCCTCAAACGAGCCGGATGAGCAGTAGTCCAAATGGGGATGTTGATGTCCTGATCTTCATTATCGACGAAATGCTGCAGCCAGATGATAGCGTATGCATCTGCCTTCCGCTTATTCGCGATATGGAATTCGAATACGATGGGCGATCTATATCGGTATTTGACTGGTAGACGAACATTGTTCTTACCCTCGTTTGCGTCCAAATCCCAGAAATAGCCGTCCTTCTCGTCAAGTTTCTGCGCTGCATTGCGTGGTATCTTTCCTGAGCTACCACCTGTGCGAAGCTTAAGCTTCGCGGCGTGGTTGTAGCCTACAGCTAGAATTCGTTCGGAGCGGAACTCGAATGTGCCTACAGACCAGCCCAAAAGATTCGGCGGAAGTCGAGTTTCAATAGAGCGGAAGACCAAGGAGATTCGAATGCGGCCAAATCCAATTCCACCATCGAGAGGATACCATCGAGTAACCTGAGATGACGTCTCCATGATGTCCGAAAGCTTCAAAGGTACAACACCGAGGATTGGGTCGTGCTCGCGATTGCGTTGATCGCGAACAGTGACAGTTATGATCGCAGAGCGCCAGTCTCGAATAAATTGTTCTGTACCAGCATTGAAAATTGGCTGCGATGAGACCGCCTTCGAACGAGTCCGGTAAACCAGCTGGTCATTGAAGAGAATGGTACAGTAACTAGTGGGTAAGTTCCCACCCGTCTCCTCCGTTGGTTCACCGTATGGCTTGGCGGGCTCATATTCTCTTCCTTTACGGTTGCCATTGCTACCTTTGACATTTTCTAACTCGAGATTGACGATTTGATGAACGATGATGCTACAGATTCCGCTCGGCCACAGTGGATCCGGAGGTGTATGCATAACCGCATCGTCCTGTTCGGTGTTGATTACACCCTTCTCATCTTGCAGGGCAGGGTCATCCTTTAGTTCATCTGGAAGAGCCCTATTCTTTCCATCGGTTCGGAGAGCCGGTCGGAATTGAGGCTTGCCGAAATAGCCAATTTCCCAATGCAATTCGCCGGGCATTTCGCTTCCCGCATCCAATCCACTCAACTTCGAGACTTGAGGATACATTTTGCCCGGATGCTGAATCATCTTCTGCATGGAGAGCTCGACTTTTCCGACAATGTCATCGGCAGTATGGCGATCCGAATCCCATAGCTCAACAGACAAGTTCTCGTCAGCCTTGATCAGTTCGGGAGTTACCAATAGAGCAGCAGTTTCCTCCCAGATAGGATTGAGGTCGTCAGTAATGACTCTAGTGCAATACATCGGTTTGCCGTATTTCGAGAACGCGAGCGTGATATAGGGGTCACTTCCGCCGTGTTCGGAGCCACGCCTGTCCTGCTTAGACAGTCCCACAGCGCGGTGTATACGGATCCATAATATTCCCAGTGCCTCAACATCCTTTTGGATCGAATCTCCTTGCAAAATAGCTCGCATGTCGATTGACATGCTTTTGGGAGCGACGTACATGGATGAGGCGGCTTTGATAGCATAGTTGACGAAGTTTGATATCAGGGGAAGGTTCAAAATGTTTACTCCCTTCTCAAGCATAGGAATACAGCCTGCTTGCACCTGGGGTGTGCCCATCAAGGTGAACGTGAGCGTTTTCAAAAATGGTGGCTCTGGTGTCATGGCCATACGCAACCGAACGGTTCCGACAAGACCTTGAAGTTCCACAAAGATGGGTAGAGGAACACCAAAGAGGCCCTTGATACCAAGATAAAAAACTAGCTGCATGTGCATGTTGCGAGCCTTGTCAGAGGCACGCTTTCCAGTTGGCTGAGCATGGTAGGCAAAGGAACATTCCAGGTTGTAGTAATCACCCCCCTCCTCATCTGCAGCAGCTTCTTGGGGGTCCTTGGTCTTCTTGTTCTCTTCATGAATGGCCTGTTTCATGTCCTTCATATGTGTATCGGGAAGGGCTCTCAAGCTGAGGATGCGAAGAGGGTTCGAGCCTTGGTTGATCTCGGCGACTCTGACATTCTCGATAATTCCCGGGACTGAAGCCTGCATGACATCCTCGAGAGTGTCGGCAACTCCCTGGAACATGTCTGGGTTGATCAGTCCCCAAACAATGGACAAGAGTGTATTCATCCACTCCACGCTCTCCGGTAACAGGTTAGCCGTGGCGATTTGGCCACGGGTCTGTTCGCTGTGCCATTCTACCTCTCTACCGCTTCTCACGACTTCTTTCATCCACAGCCAGACTCCTGAGGAAAGACACATTCCCAAGGGAATCAACCCTTTCAAGGCTCCGCCAAACATCTTTCCTACAATGACTGTAGCAGCCAGTATAGCGATAGACAGCACGCCTGCCCTCTTCTCGATCTCAACGAACATTGGTTCGTAGCTGACTGCAGGTGTAGGGTGGAACAGGATATTCGTCTTCTCGCCGTGAATAGGAACGTCGGACGTACTACCCTCAGCAATTGGGTCAGGTGGTGCGGTGACATCTTGGTTGTATTTGTACTCCTCTAGGGACTGTTTATGGTCTGTCTTGATAGGCTATAACATGTCAGAGAGTTATTTCAAACAGTGAGACGATAGAAGATATCTTACAGTGTCCTTCTCAAGATTGGCGTTAGGTACAGATAGCTAAATGGTTAGACACATGACGCGTTGACAATGGATGCAGGCTGTCTTACTGTTGGGTTTTCGACCTGGTGTACCATATCCTTACTGACATCTTCAATTACTACCTGTTTGCCAGTAGTCGGATCGGTGACAGTTTTCTGTGTGCCTTTTACGCCATGTTTCGTAGGCTTGTGGGGAGCAACTTTGCTGGTAGCACCTCCACCTGCAGCGCTCATACCCTGTTCGTCTATTTTGCGGTCTCTCTCGGCCTTGTCTTTGTCAAGATTCTGGATGAATTTCTTCACCGTGGGTACCGGGTTCGCACCGGAATAGTGCCCCCCTGGCGCGTGCTGTTGCTGTTGTTCAGCCATGTTGTTTATGATTGTTCCCTCGTCCACGAGGCAGCACCTGGGGAGATAGAAGTCAATGGCAAGATGCCACGAGACGATAGAGGAGAGTGGGTGTCTAGTAGACGTCGCAGACGCGGCTGGGAGGGGTGAGATACTAAGTAGCGCTGTGGCTGCCCTCACACGGTTTGTGTGGTACGATAAAATCAAGGCGACGCGTTCAGTGCGTCCAGCTGTGTCCACTGAGAAGGGCAAGATGAGGTTCTAGCATAGGATATGATGTCATCCAAGCCGTACTCTCCGCCCGTGCATTTCAGATCAGGAGCAAGGCAAGGTCAAGAGCAAGCGGGAGAGATAGCAGTAGCTCCACTTGGTTCCCACATGTGTAGCGAAGGGATACGCCAGTTGAGCAATTCTAGCAAGTTTGCATGGTGCTAACAGCCACCAAAAGGCCTAAAGAGGGTGCGAGATGCGTGCGGCAGTAATATGACAATGAACTTTGACTTTTTGCGCCTAATGCTTGTTGGCAATCACCAAGAGGGGAAGGGTGGAACACTGGAAATAAGGGAAGGAGGACGAAAGGATTGCGAAATCGAAGATGAATCTGGTGATCGACGTCATGGACATGAATCTTGATCGGTCGCAGATGCTCCCCAGCCAATCAGAAAGCTCGCGCCACAGCTCATTCGGGCATGGCTTGTCCGCAGCTGACAAGTGGGGAGAAGAGGCTGGGCTGGCCCGTCTCCCGCCAACTCCCTCCCCCGCGATCCATTCTCACCAATTCATCATCATCATCATTACTCGTACCATCATTTTCACTCAACGCTCCAAGCCAAGTAAACATCAGCCAATCACGAGTGCCACTGCATTTCTGTTTCAATCGATTGTGATCATTGCCAGGACGCTGTCGTTGCTGCTGCTACTGTTGCTACGAAGTACTCCTAGTGATACTATTCTTAGGTACCTAGCTACCACAGGTGCCACAGTAAACATTTTCGTTTGTTTTGTTTATCGTCTCGTATTGCGATCAGCACATCCAAACGTACTTAGTCTGATCAACTTTACCATGTCCGGCTGGTTTACACTTTTCACCAATTGTCGCTATGTCGTCGATGGTGGTCTTGTTGATGATCATCTAGTCATATCGGACGAGACAGGCTTGATCTTAAAAAGAGACGGCTATATCGGAGGCGAGGCTGTCGATCTTGAAGACAACATTATAGCTCCGGGTTTCCTAGAGCTTCACACAAATGGCGTCAAAGGTTTTCACTTTACACAATTTAAGGATGAGACGAGCTATGCAACGAGAATCGATGATACTGCAACGCATTACGCTACACAAGGAGTGACAGGGTTTTGGGCTACTATACCCACCGTCAAAGGCGAGGAATTCCAGTCAGTAGGTGGAATTCCCTTATCCCAGACAGTTGCGCTGGCTCATTCATATGCACACATTGATACACCGTGACGGAGCCGCGTATGAGGTCCAAATTCATGTTCACTACTTTTCCGCAACGTGATCTACGTTCTTTATCGTGTGCTAACTTGAAAGATCCTGCCTTCCTTGAAACCGCGCGACATCCCCAACGCTGCATCCCTTCTTGGAGCGCACGTTGAAGGCCCCTTTCTACATCCGACCAAAAAAGGTGCTCACAATGCATCTCTTTTCCAAGACTGCAGTGCTTCAGCGAGCTCGATCTATGGCTTGTCAAACCTACAAGATTCGGTCAAGCTTATCACAGCAGCACCAGAACTTCCACAGTCGGGCGAATTCTTCAGATCCCTATCCTCTCAAGGTATCAGAGTATCAATGGGGCATTCGAATGCCACCTACGAGGAAGGTTTATCGGGACTTTTCGCTGGGGCCACTTGCTTAACACATACCTTGAACGGAATGTCGGGCTTCACGTCTCGAGCACCTGGCCTCGCAGGATTGACAGCGCTGCCATCTACAAATAACCCAGCTCCTCCTTACTACACTATAATCCCTGATGGCGAGCATTTACACCCAGCAACAGTCTCACATCTTTATCGTACGAACACGAAGAAGGCAATTCTAATTACGGATAGTATCGAGCTCGCAGATCTGCCCGATGGTACTTATCCTGGCCATGCGCAAATACCATTCGAGCAGACAAAGAAAGGTACACGCGCAACGATCGCTGGAACTGACACGCTGATAGGTGGATGCATACCACTGCAACAGGGAGTAAGAAACCTCATGGAATGGAGCGGCTGTGGTCTAGCCGAGGCTGTGGGTACTGTCACTGAAAATATTGCTTCTTTTATGGGCATCGATGGAAAGGGCGGAAGAGGCGTATTGAAAGAAGGTCGAAGGGCTGACCTCTGCGTCTTGAACGAGACGGGAGAAGTGTTGCAAACATGGGTGAAGGGGGTAAAGGTTTGGGATAAGGAGGAGGATCTGCGGGCTACAGAAGACAGCGGTGATTCTCGCGGGTAGTGGTCGAGGACTTGTTAACAAGATGAAAGGAGGAACGTCTTTTGTGAGAACAAATGCACTCAAGCAGGATTACTCAATATGAACATGCTCCAACTGGTTACCAATAATGAGTCCAGAAGATTTCTTTTGTCGCTTTCGCCGTTCCTTGGCTCTTTTAGGATATTGGCTCTTATGGGATATATAGAAGGTTGCCATTGACTAGAATTGTGATTACATTATATTTGATAATTGTATGCTATGAGATAATGCCTCCCCAGTTTCGGGCTCTGATTACTTCGTGTTATCGAACTTGATGTTCTTCGAAAATTGCCGCCACTTGACATTCAACTGGTCCAGGTTCGTTGCTGCGGTCTTGTTCTCCAACATGAAGACATCCGAGAACGTGACGGTGTCAACCATGGATTTCTCATCAACGCCAGCAAGCTTAGCCTGGTATTTTCCTAGTTTGCGGGCTCGAATATTCTTGACATAGACATTTTGGATAGGGCCAACACCCTTGCCGTTGTCATGGACGAATACGGCAAGCCACGCTCCAGTACCGCCAGGCTCACCCTCAACCCTTTCTAGATCCATGTTCTCAAATCGAACGTTCTTGGCCGCAGCAGTGCCAAATAAGTGATGAATACCGAGGCCTACACCCGCACGGTAGACCACTCCATTCTTGAAAGTGACACCGTCCTGTTCCTGGTAGACGCCCTGGCCAACCTTGAAGGCGTAGCAGTAGGTCCACGCAAAGCAGTCATCGAAGATCACGTCACGAAGTGGTCGAGGAGGGTAAGGGTATGGAACCGTAGTACCAACATCCTGCGGCCAAGTCTTCGTGGAGAAGCTGTCATCGTTGGCCACAGCAATCGCTCTCCTTACTCTGACTTTCGTGGACTCATTGACGTCGATGCCATCATTCTGCTTCACGTCGAAGCGATCGAAGATCTTGATGTTTGTGATAGTAGCATCGGTGACTTGGATCAACGATACAGCCCAGAACGAACTATCACGGACGAGAATACCGTCGCACTTGAAGTTTGTCGTGCCAACTGGTACCAATATATCTGCGACGAGTTTTGGCGACGCTCCCACTGAAGCCTTGCCGTTGCCGTCTAAGGTTCCTCGACCATAAACTTTGATGTCTTGAGAGTCAAACTCCGTCTGAATCCACCATGTCCCGTCACCAAGGTCGGACTTGGTCCAAAGTACTTTGTAGTCAGATTTCTTCGCCGTATTCCTCAGCACAGATCCACCTGCAAGGTAGAGCGATGTGCGATTGCGCAGCATTAGGTTGCCGATAAGATACAAGCCCGGGGGTACGTAGACAATACTTCCGGGTTTCTTTGCTGCCGCATCCATAGCTTTCTGAATTCCAGTAGTGACTCCCTTTCCTTTGTTGTCTGCACCGTAGTCGAGTACATTGAAGATTCCATCTCCTTTCGATGGAGGCACATCCGTCTCGAGAGGATCAATCGCGATGATCAGTTCCTTCTTGTCTTTGAACTTGATAATGAGATAATGGACCTTCTTGAGCGAGAAGATCAGCTCATTGCCTTCGATTCTGGATACGATTGGGAGTTGTTTTGGCGAAATCACTGGCTGTTCTGTAATCTTTTGTCCATCAACGGCTGCGACTCGGAACTCGGTACTGGGGCCTTCGCTCATCGATATATGAAGATAGTCGTACTGATTATAGCTGACCGTCTTCGCATATGTTCCGTTGACCTTAACGGAGTACATCCCGGATTTGGCATAGATGTCTTCTGGGCGATCATAGTCCACCCATTTGGCAGAAACGAGTGAGATAGCAGACAGCGCCGCTAGCAAAAGAGTAGACCTGACCATAGTCGCGGTGGTGGATGACAATCAATGGAATAGATGGTCGCACCTACAGCATCAAACCATGGGAAGTTGCACACGATATAATTATATGTCCAAAGGTCTATCAGTTGCTATTTTTAATGTGGTGCGTTTAGTATAGACTGGGGGCTGTACCAATACCAATTTTGTCTGGAGGCACCATGGATTTCAATCCCAGCATTCAATGTCGAAAACACGAGGCGAGCACCGCAAGTTCGTTTAGATCTCCCCGCTTAGCCGTCCAAATGATCCTTGCAAATGTTCCTGGAATCGGCCCAACTGGTGCCAAAACGCGAACTTTTCCCCCATAATGGAATGGGCTGACGGTTAGAAGTGCGAGCTGCATACCCGTCGCAGGGCAAGTCTTGGAAAAATTAGGGACGCATTCGAGATTACAGGACATCACTCGAAAGGGCTCGAAGACAAGGCCTCCCAGTACCAACACACGGACAATACGGGACATTTACCCATGGCTCAGCCTCGATGTTGATCATGAGAGCGACGTTGCAAATCACATTGGGAGGCCCAATTCATTTAGAAACCTCTCACGACCATTGGCGGAAACGCACAATTGAACAAACATGATTCCCGCCTCGTAGGTATAATAATCAAATAGCTTTCGTATGATCAAAAACATCATGATGTCTGCACTGTCGATATGGCATTTTGTACAGCGCTACGATGCCTGTCCAGATCACCATCATTGTCCTAGACTGTCTTCCTCGGTCCGCCGTGGCCGAGCCTACCGTGTTCCACAACCTAATTGAGCGCCATCCCGCGAGCTCGCCCTAATTCAGGACCATTATTCAGATACTGTCACAACATGCTAACCGACTTGTAGCTACTTCAATTTGTCTTTCTCTTACGGTGTGGAGTGTTACATTCCCAGAAGTCAACTGCCTAGCTAGTGAGACATAAATGCACATGGTTCATCCGTGGTAGGTCACAGGCGCAAAGTCGCGTTTCAATTGAGTGTTGCATAGCAGATGTCCATAAATTTTAGCTTGTCATGTAGGGAGGGTAATGTACGGGGATACACTGCAGTTTTGGTAATACAGTGCTACAGAAGAGCCTTAAGAATACAATACCCATTATATTTCTGCATTAAAGATGCAATGCTCCAGGTATATCCGTACAAATGCTACCCGTTTTGAGTCATGCTTCGGTTGCGATCCAACTTTTCTCGAGTCAAGGTCGATCTGGTTTGGTTCACATTTGGAAAATCTGCCAAAATTGGGACGTAGTGATATAGATATAATACAACACCAAGAACACACACGTGCACTTGTATGGACATTTGTACTTGCCGTATACACAATTTGATTAAAGTTTATTCATTTTGTACTTTCTTCCATTCTGAGTACATCGTTTGTCGGGACTTAGCATTGTATAATCTAAACCATGACAAGAAGGTTAAACATACCATATCTAGAATCTTATAAAGGAAATAAACTCACAACCTAGGGATCGAAAGTGTATTGGTGATACGGCCGTGCGCCCATTGGTGACGTTTTGTTATCCACGATCATGCATACTAGCTCCCTACATGTTTGCTCAGATTCTTAACAAAGTAGAACAAGTACTAGTCATCGTGCTCAATGATGATCATCTTGAAGGGTTTCAATGAAATATGTTTCAGGCTGGACTACCGTCACTAGCTGACCCCTTCGCAGCCATTCTTCAATTGAGCGCTGGATCTACAAGAGAAAATGGCAAAGACCATGGTAGGGCGTGACCTCAACGATATTAAGTAAATTTTATTTAGGTTTTAACTATATCTAATGCTGTAGCTCTATCGAACCGGCCGCAAAAGCCAGACGGGTTCCATCACATATATTGTCATTATTTCCAGTTTGATCGTAACATCATATCGGATATATCAGGAACTACCAAGTCGACTTCGCCCATATCGCCGCACAACATCCCTTGGCTGCCTACATGACTTATCGATCAGTTTTGGTGATGACATCCTCTCGCGTGCCCGCACCAGGAGCTGCCATTGACGCAATGAACAGCTTCGAAGGGTGGGAGTACGCGTCAAATTGCCTTCTACTGGTTTCTTTGATAGTTGGACTGTTGATGATGAACGCCCGTGATCTGGTATGTCTTACAGGGCAATGTACGCCTGTCTACTGCATGGCTTTGTTGGGGACATTGGGATTTCTAGATTGGTAGTAGGATCATGCGATGAAGCTCTTGGCGGGCATGATTTTCTGGGCTCTCCTTCACCGTCTGTTTTACGTTTTGAATGACAATCATGATAGTCTTCCCCTTCACATCCACTAAACTATCAACGACTGTCTGATTATCACCTGAACGCAACATTCCTAGTTCCACCAAGTTCAATATGCAAAACCTTATAACACCAGTGTTTCCGAGATCTGAATGATATTATACATAGAAGCAGAAGCATCACTAACGAAATGGATGATAGAGTACATTCCAACTAGGCCCAGTGCAGTGATCTCAACAATGACGGTGACTATCTTCGCACTTCGTTACCTTCAACAGAAATTTGATATCGAATGATGTTCTTGTTATAGCCCTTATAAGATATTGAGCCACTTTTTGACAATTAACAATTATTTTGTATAGAACAGAAGGTCTAGTTTGCAAAGCACAGAGTCGCTAAGCAAGGTTTGCCGAGCGGTCATATCTTCGCGATTTAGCGTGTTGAGCTTATACCATATGGGACGGGAAAATTTTTCCAACCCATTCCAGGGGTGAACCGTGGAAACGTATCCACACCAGAAACAGCAACATAATTGCTGAATACAGATCGATATCCCTTAGGCAAGTACTGTCACAATTGTCTCCCGACTTGCATTCAATATATTGTCGTCATATTCATAATAATTCACGAATCTTCCATCAAATCATCTAGCATCAGATGGTTCTTGACCGGGCTTGTGGTTTAGTGGTATAATTTTCCCTTAGCATGGGAAAGGTCCTGGGTTCGATTCCCAGCAAGTCCAGTTTTTTTGCGGATTGATATGACATGACGTTGTGGATGAAGAATCTTTTTTTTTGGGCGGGTGGCAGCGAAGAAACATCTGTGTCCGCGATATTATCGCCAGTCTTGGCGTAGCCATCCACCCTGTCCCCGACGCCAGAACCAAGGTACTTATTTTTGTGCTAGGACAGGTCGAACAATAGGTACAATAGCTACGAATGGTATATCGAATCGCAGTAATGCCGAATTGATGGAATATCGGGTCAAGTTGGAGCACTGTACCGTAAGTAATCATTTCACGACAGATCGAAATCTATCGCCCAACTTGCCACACAAACCATTACCTGCAGTGAGAGAGAGAATGGCAACAAGTAGTATAGTATATACATCCACGCGTAACCAATGCCCACGCGTAACTAATGCTCAAGTCTAGCATCAAGTTCGCATACATTGTTGTCCTTAATGTAGCTAAGACGACAGGACTCAGATATGTTCGATAGCAACGTTGAATCAGTCCAAATGCAAACAGATCAGAAATGGTTGCAGAGGGGCAGATGGCTGATCAGTCTGCTAGAGCGAGAGAGAGAATGATGTTCAAATTTCCGGACTATTCTATGGGCAAGTTATGATACCCGCGCCGATGTGAGTTCTACAATCCTTCACCGACCCCATTGCATTGCCCCAGAACAAGCATGACCTCGCGCAGACCATTCTCTCTTTCGGTTTCTGCCTGAGACGAACTTGTGCCACGAGCCTCCCATGTGCTTGATTGCAAGGTTAGAGTAACGTTCCGTGTGATTTTGCGATGCATCGGCCTAGATCCAAACACTTCATCTAGTTCCAGAGTCTTTCAACAGTGCTTACGCCACGACTAAATACGTTTTCACACGCTATCGTTCTATACTAACTAAATGTCACTATCAGGTGTAAATGTAGTATCAAGCATCTTGAGATTGTATTCTATCTCGTCCACCTATCTGCATCCGTTCACATGCCCCTAGGTATGATATGTCTATTTCCGACATACTTAACATAAGCTTTGGTTTTGCTCACCCATCAAAGTATCCAATTGCATTTGTTGATATGGTGAAAACTCACATTGTAGCAAATGAGTCTTCCTTTACGCGAAGTCATTGTCACCCGAGTTAGAGGGTTCGGCTTCTTCCTCCTCCTCGTACAGATCTAAATCCAGTTCCTTATCGTATTTGAAATAGTCTCTGTCGATGAGCTCACCCAACTCGAGATCGTACCGCAAGGGGGTGAGGCGGGCCCGGGCATCGAATTTCAATTCAAAATTACCTCCCTGGTCACATTAGCAACGATTGAGTTCAAAGTTCGGGGATAAACTAACCAAGTGGTCATCGGGTATATTGAATCGATACAATAGGACTGGAGCTAGCCAATTCGCTGTGTGCAGCAGCGGATTGCTTTTGTCCTCAGTTTCCGTAGTCACAACTACAGTCTTGTCCTTGTGTATAACATAGTGCTTGATAAGCTGTTCAACTCTGTCGTAGGGTTAGAAAGTTCCTAACATTACGAACAATATACAAACCTGAGCATGGCCGTGTTTGTCGCTTTTGTGCCGAGAAAAAGGTTCTTAAGATCCTGCGACGACTCTAACCTGAGACCAGCACCTAACCCGCCGTATGAGAATGCGGAACGATGGAGCCACTAAGAAAGATTAATTTGTCTTTCCCATAGCATACTGTGCGAGAATCTTACTTCAACATCGGTAATAGTCGTCTTGGGGCCGTTCTCTGGTTTGAAAGTCGGCTGTGCGGCCTGCAGCAAAGTAAGCAATTGCCACATTCGCAAATACTTATTTGAATTGCTCACAGCATTGGATCCAATGCGCATTGCCCGCGCCTGGGTCGGGTTTCGGGGTTTTCCACGGGCGGCATTGAGCTTGAGCTTGGTAATTTCTGTCCTGGTTGTGTCCCCGATATCTGCAAGAGGTAGTTCAATCTCCTCATTACCCCCGGGTCCGCCTGTCAAAAATGACAAGAAGTACGAGTTACCAATCTTCTCCACGCGATTAAAGCTGGTATCCGAGTACACATAGCGTTCTTCAATTGCCTTGGCAGCTTTCAGTATCGCATAATGGTCCCTAGTGACCCATGTATAGTAGTGCAACATGGGATGTGTACCGATGACTTCAAAACTTTTAGTTTTCTTCTCTTCCTCCATCTCTTTCTGAGACTTTACATAGCAATTCCGAGGCACGAATCTACGCTTGGTGGTCTTCTCTTGCAATTTTTTGAGGTTGGACTCGAGCACCTCCTTCTCCAGCTTCTCGCCGAGCACGAAGTAAAGATCAATCCCTTCGACCTTGACGTCAAAAAATCGAGAAATTACCGAATAAGGTTCTTTGGGGGGGAAAGAAGCTGCCGACCCCATTTCTATGCATCGAATTAGTTCATTGAGCCGAGTCGAGATCACGAGTTGACGTACCGATATAACGAATGAATATCTTCTCAGCATATTCCACAGAGTTTGGATCCTCGCGGGAAAATAAAAGCTCGGAAAAGAAATTTTCTGGAGAGTCGAATGGCGTGTTGCCCAATATTACACCCTCGGTATCCCAAACTCGGAATGGTAACAGGCTGGCATCCCGATGATCTGCCGCCTGATTGTAATTCTGAATATCTTTTTTACACTGCTTTCGATCCGGACACAGAAGCCTTTCTGCGAGATCTCGAGCACGCATGAACTTGTTTTCGCGAGATTTGTAAACACCGGGCCCTGGGCCGATGAGTACAAAACGGTGCTTGTTGTCGGCGGTGGGATTATTATGTATTCTTGCTCTGTATAAGATAACACCGAGCTGAAGGTGTTTCACCTCCCCAGGCACTTTGTCTCCATGTTCCAATGCCTTCACTCTTGGCCGGCTTCGGTAGATTGTCCAGCTAAATGTACTGTCTAGGACATTCAAGGCAGGAGAAACATCCAAGTACGCAAAACTCTCGGGCACAAATCCATCTGCGGGAAATAGTCACATCGAAGCAGCATTCAACTTTTGTACGGCGTTCTCCTACCATAGTCAACATATATATCACGAGAAATGTTATGTTCGCCCAAATTATCTTCTGATTTCGGGGGATCGGAGGGAAAGATGTATTCTGCTTTTGGCATTGTATCGAATCGGTAAATTGACAAAGAGTGATGAAGTGATGAAGCGATAAAGTGATGAAGTGATGCAATTGTCAGGACTGCCTTTATACCATTCCCACCCAATTCCGCTTAGTTGGCGCGGAAACGAGATTCCAGCAAGCCATGAACAGCACCTCTTCTTGCCAGCCAGCCACCAGTTGGGCCAGATCTACTGTACACGAAGCCACAGAGTTGATCTGGTTCCCGAAAAGAACCCGTAACCTATCCAAGGAATTTAATTGTGGGTATCTCCAAAGCCTCGCGGAACGCTGCGTTGTTGGTTCGTGGTTCATCCTCAAATGGGGTAATCACAACACAAACCAGAGCTAATACAGTCGAATGGGCGGTTGACAAAACACGAAAAAGCATGCAAGGAGGGTAAGACAGAAGCTGAATGAGGGGTTGTGTATGCAGAATGTCGCGTATCGATGCTAATCCCTGCAGGTCTGGCCATTTGTTCTGTGCGCTATGAGAATAAACGTTCTATCCATAAAGTTATACATCAAGCAATAACTTACGACTTTTGCACCAGAATGCTCGACTACAGTTCCAATAAACTTCACATGTACCCAAGGGCATTGGTTGTATTGTGAGAGGAAATTTATCGAGCCATTTGTATTATTTATCACCCATTGTTTGTGCTTGAAGCTATGTATTGCCTGACCAAGCATTGCTGATCTTTTACTCATTACCATGTAGTTGGAGACCTATGCATCCAGAATCTAGTCTGGCCTTAATTCGCGCTCAAACTCACGAAATCCAATACCCACTCGTTAATAAACTCTTCTTTCGGAAACCAATATGTCGCCAATTTCTGCAAAGTCAATGGCTGTTTTTCAAGAGCTGTCAGTCACACTCGGCCAATAGATGCGCCAGATATTGCAGAAAGCTGGTTTTGTTTTTCCCCTTCAAATATCTCAGATGGCGCAATCATGATTGGCATAGTATGCTCCATCAGCTATCGAAAAGCACATGATAATTCGGCGACATAACTCCAATCGTGGGCCTGTAAACTCAAAATGATTTCCACGCATACTGTGCAAGGATCTGGCACTCGACACCCACAATTCCATATCTCTTTATTGTAATCTTGAACCACCAAGGCCCAAGCAAAGCCACATGAGCTGGTGACCTTCGAAACAAATAGGGATGTTGTAGTAGATGCACGTGGTCATCAGACCCTAAAGCTCCTAAGAGGCTGTTCATTGTGGAATATTGTAGCTTGACTGTCGTCTCTGAATTGACGCTTTTACAATATCGAGAAGTTGTGGGCTTCGACTCTACCCATGAACATTCTCTGCGGTTCAACGTAATAAGCGTCGTTGATATCTATGGGTTGCGAAGCCAGGTGGATTTTCGGTTTCTAGGTGTACTACACTGGCGAAAGTTATTTAGATTAGACTTTATGTCTGAATCGACCGTCAGAAAACCGAGATGGTGAGGTTTTCGTCCAAGAATGCCTTTTGGTTGTGACTTCCTTTTGGCCGCTGGATGATAGGTTTTGACGGCGAGCAGCTGCTTTGTATTTCGGGAAGATCAGCATGATGGCTTGATGAGTGATCGATGCGACGACTTCGGTTTTCACAGTTCTGCCTAAATTTATTGGACAAGGAGCGCTACGGATTTCCATAATTCGTCCATATCTATTGTGAAAGTTTTGTAAGTATTTGCCTTGATAATTTTGATTTGGGGCATTCATCTTCACTCTCATCTCCGTTCTAAAGTCCCTTGAATTTTTTATTATCAAGCGTTCAATGAAGTGTATCTTGCATCCTTATTTCAAACCGATCACTCGGGTGTCGATCTGTAAACTGACTTGATCTTGTTTATATCTGCACGCCAGTTGAAACTTGTCGGGGATTCCCAACATGGTTACGTATAGTAGGCTGAAGAAGGTGGTTTCTCCCATGAAGAGGACTTCTGAAACGTAAAGGATACAGCTCCGGACTATTCGCTGAACTCGCTGTTGATATAGAGGAAAGATCTTGTTCACTGGAAATGAATGCCTCGTCTGGACATCGCCAGCATCCAATCCATAAAATTGCCATCTGAAGACATTTATCATCTAATCGGTCAGCATTTCTAGACTATTTTAAGGATAGGTTGTCGACTAGAGCAATTTGAATATCGGATGGGCCGACAGAAGAGGAGCACAGCGCGCGCTGGTCAGAGAAAACATTCATTGAGAGAGCCTCAATTGTTCTTAGTCTAGCAGAGGAGATGGCCATGGAGTTATTTTATGATACGTTAGGTACACGTCTAATTTGTTTGTTAGCAGATTGATGACGGAACGAATCAGATTGAGAAGTACCGTTGTGTTCGTCTATGAGTAAATATCATAATCTAACGGCCGGACCTACCCGGCGCAGGATTTGGAATGGGACTATGGAGAGGAATTCCTTCAGATGATGATTATTACCTCGAGATATATGCAGACGGCCAAAGAAACCCCACAGGCATCGATCACTCATGTGTATAGCTCCGATGTAGCAGGCGATTTGGCCTAGAGTGGGCTAGTCTGTTCCCCCAAGTACGCATTTCGAAATGTGGGACCCTAACGAATTGGTGCGTCTTCCGTCTCCATTCGTCACGCAGGGCTTATCCAAGTCCTTTAGTCAATTCACATCCGATGCAAACTGATAAGAAACAACCGTTGCGTTGCGCCAATAATGAATCTCCTTTTAGCTGATTCCAGACAACACTCAATGCTATGACCTGTCAGAGGCAATTTAGAACGCTTCGGAAGAACGAGATGCATGGCCCGCAGTGGTGGCGGCAGCGCATGCAATCGCCGCTCATCGAAGAACAATCATTGATTCCTCCGCCTCCGGTATCTGAGGGATCCGCGTTTTTACGCATTGTCATCTGTGCTGTCATCAAGCCGCCTATCAACTTCAATGCGTGATTCTGGAGGATTTTTCCCTGCTCCCGGGTGCAGGTGGGCCTCTTATCTTGGGCACAGTACTGTGATGTCCATTGGCTGCACGAAGCCTGTCATAGAACCGTTAAATATCATGTCTGGAATGCTACACTGGGGAGCTCGCGATCATCTTCAACACTAAGACATTTACTGGAATCGACATCATGGGGAGTGACGCACGAAAATGGTCCTGGAAACCTTCGTTTTTGAAGAAGTCAAGTGGACCAACGCAGGACTCTACCCCCAACGAGAGGACATCTTTACTGCCTCCATCGGACGCTTACGATGACGGAGATACTTACGAAAATGAAGCCAAAGAAACTGAATTCCAACTCATTCTCAGAGAGCTCTGGATACTTTTCAAGGGATCCATTCCAGTCGTCCTTGCTTATGCACTCCAGAATTCACTCCAGACGGTGTCTGTCCTGATCGTTGGACGACTATCTCCGGAAGCCCTAGCCACTGCTGCATTTTCATACATGTTTGCAATGGCAACGGCCTGGCTGGTGGCATTGGGTGGTACCACAGCTATTGACACCCTGGCATCCGCAAGTTTCACCGGCAGCAAAAACCGACATGACCTTGGTATCATCCTGCAACGTTCGTTCGTTGTTCTCACATTGATTTATATCCCAATTGCCATCCTCTGGATCTTTTCAGCACCACTATTCAGAGCACTCGGCCAAGAAGAGTATATTGCGAGAGATTCCGCCAAATTCCTGACTGCTTTAGTTCCTGGTGGATTTGGATACATTTACTTCGAAGCAATGAAGAAATACCTCCAAGCTCAAGGTTTGTGCGCCATTCTTCAAGTAATCTTTCCAACCCAAAGCTAAACAAACGCAGCTATCATGAGACCTGGTACCTACGTTCTTCTGATCACTTCTCCGATGAGCGCTGGCCTCAACTATCTATTTGTTTATACGTTCAAGTTCGGTCTCCTGGGCGCACCACTTGCCACCGGCGTTGCATACTGGGCTTCATTCCTTCTCCTCCTCGCCTACGCTCGCTTTGTTGATGGTTGGGAATGTTGGGGAGGATGGAGCCGCGCATGTCTCCAAAACATTTGGACATTTGCACGACTTGCACTGATGGGAGTCATACATGTTGGAACTGAGTGGTGGGCATTTGAGGTCGTTGCTCTGGCGGCAGGAAGACTTGGAACGATTCCACTCGCATCGCAGAGTGTTATCATGACCACGGACCAGGTCATGAACACGATCCCATTTGGTGTCGGTGTTGCTACAAGTGCCCGCGTTGGAAACCTTCTCGGTGCACGCAATGCTAAAGGTGCTGCGAGGTCTGCTAATACCGCTGCTATGCTCAGTGTGATTCTGGGAGTTGTCGTCCTGGTTGTTCTCATGGCGGTCAAGGATTTCTATGCAAAGATCTTCAACGATGACGTTCGAGTCATCAAGTTGACCGCTGAGGTCATGCCCTATGTCGCCTTGTTCCAGATTGCGGATGGTCTGAACGGCAGCTGTGGAGGGTCATTGCGAGGCATGGGTCGGCAGCACATTGGGGCGACAGTCAATTTGCTTTCCTACTATGGAGGTGCTCTACCTCTTGGAATCTGGCTCGCATTCCACGGATGGGGGTTGGCCGGTCTATGGGTTGGACAATGCATAGCTCTCTATCTGGTCGGCATAGCTGAATGGGTGATCGTGGCCTGGAGCAACTGGGAGCACCAGGTGGACAAGGCATTTGCTCGGATGGACTCGGGTGAACAAGCAGAGAGCGGTCTCGCAAGCGGAGATGCGCTATTCAGAGATGGATCTTGATCTGTGTTGTGTTATTACAGTTCGTCTTTGGCATTGACCAGAGATAGTTATGGGGATATGTGACAAAGACGAGTATGCAATGGAATGTGTTAGAGAATTGACAAAACAAAGGCGAGATAGAACCGACCACCCATAATAAGGCGAATGTACGAAATGTCAAATAGTGACTACATTGAGTTAGATCCCTTTCGCTTAGCAATGATTAACCCAGCCGATTGGATTGCTGTGGATCCAACCCGTAATCCCCTGGAACGCTCGTGCAGAGAGTCAGGAATAGGCTCATAGCCTACAGGTAATGCCCTACCCTAATAGCAGCCTTCCCCACGCTCGATCTAGCTCGTACTTGTACGGGGCGGATGGATTTATACACTGCAGTCGAGTTGTATTCAGAAGATGTACATACAGTTGTTGCAGTGCTACCAATCAAGCATCAAGTTGCTTTTCTTTGCCAAATCCGAGAACGAATCCTAGGGTTCATCGGGGCAGGAATCGAATGTCCTTTACAACCTTATCATTTGAGAACAAAAGCATCTATCTCGTACTTTACGGAGAGACTGCTTGGTCTCACGTAGCCTTCTCTTACTTGTATGATGACTGTACTGTGTATATGTAGCATCTGGCACATACGCAGCTGGGGGTTATACACAGATAACGAAATTACACATTTCCAGGGTTTGAGGGCGCACCAAGCATTCGTTAGGATGCACGCTAATTTGGCGATACGTAAAAAGGAGCGGGGATCAAGGAAGTAGTGCAGCTTTACGAGGACTTGTCCTGAGTAATTCGGTCATAACCTGATAAGACGATGGTGGAAGCTATGCGCGTGCGATGAGTGTCGCGTTTACGAAACTGCACGGAATGCTCCCATTGGTCAATTGGTATCGATAGAGCCGACCATCGCCAATACCGGCAGCTCAACCGCAAGCATGCACTTCACATCTCTATTATTTCCATAGTTGAATGGCGAATGGCCGCTTCAGAGTACGATGATTAGGCATAACGGCGCCTTCTGCGGTCCGATGATGTACAGCAAATGACCTAATTCACGCCTGGATTATACCAGGACAGCTCCGAGCTGTTTACCTAAAATGCATAGGTCAAGATGCACGCCGATCCAACTGGGAGTGAATATTTACCAGCTCTTGTCCGCTCTTTTTTCTTCTCTTTCATTGCATCCTCACTCTCCTCAATTCATTTGCTCTCAGTCATCATGAAGTTCCCTAGCACTTTGGTAGGCCTCGCCGCTGTGGTTGCTGCCCACGGCGACCACGACCATCAAGAGGTTTTCGAAGGCCCTCACAACGGCCTGTGGTACAACACATTGCCCGGTGACGGTGGCACTCAAGTATGTAAACCCTTCGTTATATGAGATTGTTGAATGAAAGCCATTGACATAAGTGTAGGCCGATGCCGTCTTCTCTGGAATCTCTACCTTCGGTCGCATCCCGTACAGCCCGTGCCTTTCCTCCCACGCCGCTGACTACGATATTGCTTTCCTTGGTATGTTCTCCAGTTTGATCCAGTTTCCTCGATGATGTTTGTGCTAACAGTATGATTCTAGGTGCTCCCTTCGACACTGGAACTTCTTACCGTCCCGGAGCTCGTTTCGGTCCTAGCGGTATCAGACAAGGTTCTCGCCGTCTCAATCTCTAGTACGTTTACACTCAAGACCCCATGCTTATTATTTGCTCTTTGTGAGTCCAAAGGCTCACGAAGGGTTGGATTTAGTGGCGGATACAACGTTCCTTTGGCTGCGAACCCTTTCAACTCTTGGGCCAAGGTCATTGACTGCGGTGACATCCCAGTTACCTCGTAAGTTTGTGCAAGAGATTCAAACTAGGAAGATCAATGCTAAACAATAACTCAGATACGACAATGCCTACGCTCTGCAGCAGATCGAGGAGGGTCACAACTTGGTTCTCTCCCGCAAGCCTCACACCCATGCGAACCAGCCTGGTCCTTCCAAGAAGGGCAGGACTCTCCCTCGTGTCATCACTCTCGGAGGGTAAGCAAAATCAACTAGCTCCAGTATCGCGTAACTCATACTAATTGATATGTAGTGACCACACTATTACTCTCCCATTGTTGAGGTCGATCAACCGTGAGTACGGCCCAGTCACCGTCATTCACTTCGACAGCCATCTGTAAGTACAAACATCCACACTTGACTCATATTGGACGCATTGTTAATCCCATGTTAGCGACACCTGGAAGCCCAAGGTCTTCGGTGGATCTCCTTCCGAGCAGGCCAGTATCAACCACGGTACCTACTTCTTCCACGCCGCACAGGAGGGACTCCTTGCCAACGACACCAATATCCACGCCGGTATCCGCACGACACTGTCTGGACCCTCCGACTACGAGAACGACGGATACTGCGGTTTCTCCATCGTTGAGGCTAGGGAGATTGACAAGATTGGCATTGACGGCATCATCAAGAAGATCAAGGAGCGTGTCGGCACCACCAACCCCGTCTACCTCAGTATCGATATCGACACTCTTGACCCAGCTTGTAGGTTACATATCTACTATATTCATGTGCATTGACTAACGGGATGATGACAGTCGCCCCTGCTACCGGTACCCCCGAGACTGGTGGATGGACCACCCGTGAGCTCCGCACCATCATCCGTGGTCTTGAGGGCGTTAACCTCATCGCTGCCGATATTGTCGAGGTCGCTCCTGCCTACGACACTAACGCCGAGTTGACCACCATGGCCGCTGCTGTAAGTTTTCATAGCTCCATACATGTATTCATAAGAAACTAATTCGTGAAACAGGATGTCTTGTACGAGGTCATGACCCTCATGGTCAAGAAGGGGCCCCTCAGCCTCATGGAGAAGGGCGAGACCCTCGAGCTCAAGTAGAGCTTTGAGAAGAAGCAGTATACCCAACTATCGTAGAGATCTGTGAGGGGGTAGCACGAAGAGATTTGAGGAGTTACGAGGAAAAGCATGAGTGGCTTAGTGAACATTTAGATGCATCATATCATGTATCAGTTGGAATGATTTAGGATGATGCGCTTGTATGGTGGATCTATCAATGAATTAGCAATGACAATGTAAATTGAACGATGAACAAGATGTGCCGTAAAATGTCGTATCAGATCAAATCAGATCAGATCATAAAGTGATGAAACTTTATTAGCCAGACCAGGCCAGTCCAGATGAGACCAGAGAAGTACATCTAGAAATCTGGCACCAAGTGTTTTGGTTGTCATTTGATGCGCTGACTGATACGAGATGGAACAGGTGATGGTAGAAAATACATTCTAGAAGTGCGCAGGGAACCAGGTTGCAGCAAATCGGGATCGGAGCTACCTAAATAGGCATCGGAGTGTTGGCCAATCAGCGACAGGCATTGGTAATCCGCTTGTACGGGATTCTCCGTTCCAGAGCCATATGACATCGACATTAGCACCGCAGGCGAACACAAATACACTTCAACATTCTCACTCAACTACTCACCATCACTACTCACCTACACTTGCCCTTTTACACGCCTAAGAACGTCTTCACCGTTAACAACAGTTCATTTTGAGATCTTACATCATGGCCTTGCCTCGGACAGCGGGGACGTTCAGCGCCATGTCCACCTCCGCTTTTAACAGATTTGCCGCCTCAACCTCCTCCGCCGCACGAAACTGTCCGCAATGCTCACGAGCCTTCTCATCATTCACACCATACCGACAGTCCTCCAAGCGTCAACTACAAACAGCGACTGCATACCGACCCTCGTCGTTGGGTCTGGAGCCGCCGCCACGGAATTTTGGGGTGCCGAACACGTCGATAGCGGGCGGAATACCCGAGGTCCGCAATTCAATGCCATCACAATCGTCGCAAGAGCAACGAGATATTCCTACGTGGAACCAATACAAGAGCACCAAAATTTCGGAAGGCGAGGCTCAGAAATCCCAACCGCAACAGCCAGCCAAACCTCTCAGGCCGCGCAGATACAAATTCGGCCCACGCAAAGCGACCATCACCCTGTCTCCATCCGCCGTTTCACATCTTAGAGAGCTATTGAATCAACCAGAACCAAAGTTGATAAGAATCGGCACCAAGGCCAAAGGTTGCTCAGGATTGGCGTATCACTTGGAGTACGTGGACAAGCCATCTAAGTTGGATGAACAAGTGGATCAGGATGGCGTCAAGGTCCTCATCGACAACAAGGCCCTTCTGAATATTATTGGCAGCGAGATGGATTGGCTCGAGGACAAGCTTAATCAGAGATTTGTCTTCAAGAACCCTAATATGAGTGAGTCATCTGCAAATCATACACTTTACAAAACTAACAAATAAACAGCGGAACAATGCGGATGTGGAGAGTCGTTCAGTGTCGGATAATTACAATACTGATCACTCGAAACTTTCTTTCTCATTCTTCTAATCATGTTTCTCTGGCTTGTCCGATGCATCTCCGGCTAAGGCATTTGAGGATTACAAATCCACATTCGATGACCGTTGGGATCAAAACTTTCCAGGAGTAAAGTCAAGAACCCGAACATTCTGTACTACGGCGCCAACACTCTTTACAAAGGCCAGGTGGGCAGGATCTTTGTTCAAATAATACTCGCGATCCTCCTCGTTGTCAAACTCGGCGACGAAGCCATGACTCAATCCACCCTATACATTTTTAGATCGGGACACATTTTTATAGAAATATTGGTGGTAATTACTGCATGCCCTTCAGGACTATTATTTCTCCCACCAACGAGCGACTTCACATATGGTTGTTGGGTCGTTGGGTGGATGCACTGCTCTCGCAGTGCCATCATGCTTTTGCATGTCTTTATGGATACCAACATATATAACGTCAGTGTATATTAGTGAAGCATAATTAATGAAACATACCTCATCTATCAACTCTGTGGGTATCCCTGATTTGAATTCAAAGAGAACAATGTGAACGATTGCCATTTTTCACGTTAAGATGTTAGTTTGATTTCAAATGCAAGTGTGGGGTAGTAGTGTCCAGTTTATGTACATGAATCTCCGTTGGATTTGCTAAAAACGCTAGCACACATGACCCGACTTGATTACCATCTGTATACAATAGCAATAGGGCCTGTTCGGAAACGTCCATGTCATCCGGAAAAGTGGCATTTTTCAGCCCTCAGCACTTTGTCAAATGGAGAAATGGATGTCGTGTTTGATAGAAATGGCATTTTTCGGGCATAAGTTGAGCTGCCATTTGGCTAGCGACGTCACCTAAGTATGTCTCTTCAGCTCCTAATTCCCCTATTGCAAGACCGAAAGATATCAGGAAGTCATTTCTGAAATCGAAAGGTAACAATCCTATCGATCCTAGTTATCTAAGGCGAGCAAGTTGATTCAGAATGAAAGTTGTATTTCGACTTGCTGTATTATGTGATCGAATAATTGATAGAACGGAATATCAAACAGCAAACTCCATTTCCTAGTGGAATCTATTTCTGGCTGACTCTGTTATCTTCTAGAAAATGATATTTTGAAATGGAGAGCCGAACAAGCACATAGTATCACTAAAGGCATATGGTAGAGCTCGGAAATAGTGCTTCGGATATAGTACCCGGCGCGATCAATGACGCTCCGCATCCGCCAAGCTCTAGTATCGGATCATCGTTTATCAAGAACAACAAGATCCCTTCCCCACAACCATGCACATACACTCGATAAGGGTTAATGCCCTTGATTAATTGCAACTAACTAGCACCTCGATCGATCTCCGCATAGTCTCATGTCGTGTGTCCATTGACGACGACGTCGTCACTCCATGACGCATTCCCCGTCCTGAACACGCCTGCCTGTCACCATAATCCCTATCACCATCCTCACCACCACCACGATGGCAGCGCCAGATCTGAACCCTCTGCCAGACCAGCTTGTCCACCTAATCGTGCGCTTCGCAGCTTCGATACCGGACCTTTCGCTTCCTATACCATCACCACGAACGACAACGACCCTGTCACTCAAGCAACTGATCAGGCCAAACCTCCCCCCCTCGCTCGCCGCCTCGCGCCTGCGTCTTATTTATGCAGGAAAGGTCCTGGCAGATGCTGCACCTCTGAGTACATCACTCCGCCTACCGCCACCGCCTCCGTCTCGAGATAGAACACACATTTATCAGGATCCGGGCAGCAATGACAATGGCAAAGGCAAAGGGAAATTGCCGGTGAAAGATACGGCTGGTGTTTCGCCGAATGTGCATTTACAACAAGAGGCAAAGAAATACTATATACACTGCTCACTGGGTGATGCGCTATCTGCCAGTGAATTGTCTGCAGAAGCTAGTACTGCGCATGCGTCTGAACTATCTCTTCAGCACGAGCTGGAGTCATCCGATACTAAGGCGCATCGCCGGTCGATTAGCGGTGGCATCAGCGGGAGAAATGATGGCCGAAGAAGGGGGAGCACAACCACTGCGCCTGCACCGCAAGGCTTCGACAGATTGCTTGCATCCGGGTTCACTGCCCAGGAGGTGGCATCTCTGCGATCCCATTTCCAGACCAACCTGAGCTATACACATACACCGGACACCATGCCGAGTCAAACAGAGATGCGCGCTTTGGAAGATAGATGGCTTGACTCCACGGCTACAGACCCCTCGCCAGCACTCACGGGCGAGGCAGATGCTGGCTGGGGTGCTGGGTTTACAGTGGAGGAGGGCGGGTTAGATGATATGCTATATGGATACTTGACTGGATTCTTCTGGCCGCTAGGAGCCCTGATCTGGGGTTTTAGAGAAGAGGGCGTCTGGCCGAGGAGACGGCAACTAGCGGTCGCGATGGGAGTGGTGCTGAATGCCGCATTTGGTTTCATGAGGTGGAGCTCGTGAGGAATCGAGGTGCTCGACAGCACGTCGCCATACAGACTTCAATTGCGGACTTCGAATAACGGCAAATTCTGAACCACGTTCGCCATATTGTGCCGTATTGCACTCGGTGTACATGCGTGTACCTGAAAATCTCTCCACCACTCCGTCGGCATTGAAAGCCCGATTGTATCCACGAAATGCCTCATCACGAGCTCAATGTATCACCGCAGTTGGCATCGTGAGATTTATGGTGGATCTCATTACCCCCTCGAAATGCTCGATCCTTCCAGTCATTTCGTGCGACCACGACCATCGAAGGTATCGTGATGCGACCGGCCCTGGGCCTAGCACGTTAAAGGCTAAAGAGGTACGCAGGGGGGTGCTATGGAACATCAGAATTTGAGATCGCGAGTCGGTATGAAATTTTCAGCAATAGTTCAACAGCAAAGCAAGAAAATCCCCCAGCCTGTCGTTGCCCACGTTGTGGGCCTCTGCGGACCTTGAACAATGGTGATGAGGCTCTGGATTTGCGGCTACTTGCGGTACTAGGGCGAAAAGCTGGCCCGACCATTCGTCCAATGGCCGAATATAGTAGACATTATGTCAGAGAAACTAAATTTTCATCAAGAGCCTCACGGGCCGTCACGCCACAGCCGATGGAAACTGGATTTGCATCACGAACGGCGTCGGAATGGATCCTGATCACGGAATTTGCGTGGCCACGAGGTTTCGAATGTGCCAGAGTCACTCCTGTACAGGGATGCATGCAAACTTCTACCAAATTCTTTCCCGCCGGGAAACGGGGATTCGTCCCTGGTAGGATGCACTGTTTGGTCAGCCAATACAATTATTCAGCCATTCCAACCAATCACTTGCTTGTCCCGCTACCACGTTACCTGACATAACGCCGGATATGGTCTAGCCTAGCCGTTTTGAATTACTGTACCATTGCAACATCGTCACTCCCTTTGTGCTGTGTCACCCGAACATATTGACATCTCCCGGTGTAGGGCGTGCGCTGACCAACAGAAGATTTTGTAAGCTAGTCCAGGGACGAAGGGACGACGATGTCATGACGATGTTGCCAGGCCAGGGTCACATTCAAAATGTTTGCGGCCACCAGACCACATATATAAAGAGACGGAGCTACTCCACGAAATTACTCCTCATCAGCCTAGCATTCCACACCATCGAACAACAGCAATCAACAGCTATTCAAACGAACATCATCGATTCCAATTGAACGTCTCGAATTCTACTCGAACCACCAATCACATTCTCCGCTACCAACCAATCAACAACCACAACATCAACCACCAAACATTACAATGGCCACCACCAACACCCCATCTTTCATCTCCACCCTCGCCCACAAGGCCAAGGCTCACCATGACGGTCTCAACGCTGCCTTCAACACCTACTACGGCGGAGCTTACGGATCCAACCCCAGCTCTCAGGCTACCTCCAGGCGCGCTAGCCATGACTCCGTCGAGCACAAGGAGCCCAAGGAGCACAAGTCCAACAAGACCTGGAAGTCCATCAAGAAGGCCGTTGTCGAGCACCACCGAAGCATGAACGCCGCATACAGCGCCTACTACGGCGGCGGCTCCAGCCCCAACCAGTCCAGGGTCAACTCCACCTACGTTACTCCCAGGGCTTCCGTCGAGTGCTAGACATCTTGAAAGCACTCGAGAATTGATTCTCCTTGAGACATTTCATTCATCAGCACATTCGGCTTAGCAACAAACACACCATGGAGGATCTTTAATTAGGGGAACTTACACGGGACGATATCACGACACACATCTACCGAGATGGGAAGAAAAAAGTTATTTGGATTTATTTTTGGATTGGATTAAAAAGCAAGATACCACCTTTTGCTTTCTGAGTAAATATTTATTTTCGACAAGCGGGAAAGAGAGAGAGAGAGGGAGAAGGAAATATCTTCGATTCTTCTACTTCTACTTCTTTTGTCTAATAGAACCTTTATAATGTAATAATCAACAACTTGAAATCATCATCAACTAGATTCAAACAACTTTCTTGTATACTCTGTGACATATGTACAACTACAAATCCTAAAAGATGAATTTCAATTCTATCAACCAGAGATTATCTACCTATCCGCATAGGAAACACTTGTTCGACGTCTTGTGCTCTGTTCCTGACCAAAACCATAAAACCTAGCGCGCGAATCTGCCCGAGACTAACGGTCGATCATCTCCAGGGATCAATACAACCTCGCATGTAACCTAACTTAACTTACAAAAAACTCAAAAAACACTGCATGGTCTATTTTAAGCGACTTTTCTCGAAGCCAGTTTTCTCTCTCTACTTTTTTCTCTTAATACGAGTAATGCAGGGGGGAGCCAATTACTGAAAATCACGGTACTCGGAATGGACACGAGCTTCCCACAAGTTCCGTCGCGCAGGCATGCTCTTGGAAGGCGAAAGGAATTAATTCGCTACCCGCCGGAAAAACCCTGATGGGTTTTCTAATTTTACAAGTGAGTAACATGGCTAATCGAGTCTAGGTAGGTGAGGGTCTACTATTCAGTATTCAACTGTCCGTGGTGGAAGATGGCGGATGCGGCGCGGTGAGGCGTGTACCTTAACATGGGAGAGAGTGACGTTGTAATGCTTCGTGATGCACGATCTTTGAGAGTGGAGGGAGCTATGGCCGGGCGGGCCGGGGCCGACGATGGAAAGAAGGGAAGAAGGCGTTCACGTCATAGAGAGTGTAAGGTCAATTTGCGTCGGATGATATCATGGTCATTTGCATGTCTGCATGTCTGCGTGTCTGTCTGTTGCACCACCGCGCATTAGAACCCATGTTCATACACATGTCGCTCGCGTGACTGAGACCCAACACCAATTGGATTGGTATCCTGATCCAACTGATCACAACCGCTCTCTGAGCGGTCTGTCCAGTACTCTAGGTGTCTCAAGTCGCTCTCCAGTACTTCCATCCACAAAGGGTATAATGCTCTCCCGATCCTCCACCATACTGTCGTTAACAGCAACCGAGTTCCTGCCCCTAGATTTCCACTTCGGCACCTGTCCCCTCGCTGCTCTCCCCACCCCCATCTCCCTCCACCTCTTCGGCGGCTTGACCCCAAGCTCCACGAGATTCGACCAGATCCTCTCCCCGCGCTTATCCCACCTTGCCAGCCTCTCCTCCTGCTCCTCTTCTGACGGCCTCCACTTGCTCTTCAGAATCCGCCGCACGGCCTCCGGAGAGACTTTGAAGTGGTCCGCGAGCAGGCCCAGCGTGAAGCGCTCAGGCTGCGAGAAGTGTAGGTGTCGAATCCCTTCCATAGTGTCCGGGGAGAGCTTCTTGCGCGGATTCCAGGCTTCGCCGCCGAGTTTCTCCTTCAGAGCTGCCTTTTGTATTTGCCATCTTTCCATCTTTTTCTTGGGCGGTGTGGGTTGCGGTGGTTCTTGAGTTGAAGGGGTTTTTGTGGTCGTGGATTGCTTGGCTACGCGCTGCGAGGTCTCTGGAGGAGAGGGCGTAGTGGAGGATTTCTTGCGGTGTCTTCGAGGGGTCTGCTCGGACGGGTTTGCATCTTCTAGCCGCACAGCTGCGGAGTGGAATCGTGCGAATTGTGCCGTTCGGAATGCATTCGGAGGCGTGTGTAGAGTAGATTTGATAGGTACGAAAGCAGAGATAAATGAATTCAGAACATTCCGTGAACAAGAAGTGCAAGTCATGGCTGTATCGAATTGGAATGGCTACAAGACAGACGGAACGGGGCGTTGTTGTGTTTTGTATGGCGAGAGTTGCAGGACTTTTGGAGAATGAAATCTTTAGCGTAGGCGTTTTGGCGGCGGTATCAAGCCACACTTGTAGCAGCCACAGAAGGAACTATTTCCGCCGATTCTATTAGTTAGTCCATGCGTCACCATTTGAATGCTAAACGAAATCCAAGAATCTTCAGAGAACGTGATACATAACTTGCATATCAGCACGTATAGATTATTCTGTATCTGCGACTCGCAAAAAGTCAAATTATCCGAAGTAACCAAACATCCCTACCGAAGACCACTCGTTCTCCTCTCCACCGCATTGGGGGAGGGACACTGCCGATCCAACATTCATGGTCCAAGCGCCTCGGCTTCATATGACTTCAGTAGTTTCGTCTTCGATCTATTTATGAAGTACTTATCTCATCTTTAGACCCTTTTGGCAGTTTTCGCACAAGGAGAGAATTAATTGCATGAAGCCTTTTTAGTCTTGTTTGTGTTGGACCGTTTTTCAAGTTACAACATGGCGTGGCGAAGTCTAAATCCTTTCCGAAGGCAGACAGAGAATACTCGATAGTAAGATCCAAAATAACAATTTAAATTCAGACTCAAAAGAACTACCATTCTAACTATCGCACACAGTTGCTGGGGCTACGAATTTGAATGGACAGAAGACCACTTCACACCTGAGCGCTCGGAAAAGCTCAAGCACTCCTACGATGTCCTCGCAGAAGAATGTCTGGACCGCTTGAATGCTATTTCGCCACCAGCGAATAAGGGATCACTGCCCAGAAGCAATAGCAGCCAGCAAAACCAAGCACCCGACACAACTGTAAACGGAGAGAAGTCTAAAGAGCCACTATTGGTGCCGCAAAGAGACCTTTATGCATTACTCGTGGAACATCACGAGTCCGATCCGAAGCTGCAAGAGCTCTGGGACGAAGTGAACACCATCCCAGAATGGGTCGATTGGGAGCAGCTCGAACGGGGCCAGGATGTTTTCTATCGGTATGGAGGACCAGCTTTGACGGGTCTCACGTTCCAATCCCTACTCGGCGGGATGGGTGCTGCCCGAGTTGTAGAAACGCTCGCCCGCACCGGTGGCTTCTCGACGAAAGTGGCAAGAAGACGACTATTCGAGACGACACAGCATATACTTCAATGCACCCGCTCCCTCGAATCTCTCAAGCCGGGAGGAGAGGGACATGCTTCATCCGTTCGCGTTCGACTCCTGCACGCCGCGGTCCGCCAACGCATCCTCAAGCTCGCCAAACAACGCCCGAGCTACTACAACGTCGAGGAATGGGGAGTCCCCGTCAACGACCTCGACCAGATGGCAACCATCGGCACCTTCTGCGCGACACTGATCTGGATCAGTTTCCCCCGCCAGGGCATCTACCTCCGCGAGCAGGAAAAGACCGACTACGTCGCGCTCTGGCGCTACATCGGCTACCTCCTCGGCACGCCGCACGAAGACTTCTCCACGGCTGCCAAAGCAAAAGCCGTCATGGAATCCCTCTTCTACAACGAAGTCCACCCGTCCGACATGTCCAAAGTGCTCGCCAACAACATCATCCACGCGCTCGAGAAACAGCCACCAACCTACGTCTCAGCGGACATGCTGATCGCCAGTGCGCGCTGGCTGAACGGCAATGAGCTTGCCGACGCCCTCGACCTCCCGCGCGTGTCGTTTTACTACTGGGCGCTCATGGCGGGGCAGTGTCTGTTCTTCATTACGCTTTGCTACATTTACCGCGCGATCCCATACCTCGACCGCCGTAAGATTGCCCGCCTGAAGAAATTGTTCTACGCCGTCATTGTCGAGGCGAAGTGGGGTCTCGCGGGTACGGAGACCATGTTTGAGTTCAAGTACGTGCCCGAGTACGAGACAGTGACGGACATGGGCAAGATGAGTGGTTCCAAGCTTGTGGGGTCGAGTATTGAGTGGAGGAACCTGAGGACGTTGGGGATCTTTCTGGGGGTTGTGGGGTTGTCGGCTTGGACTTCTGTTCGCGTTGCTTCGGCGGCGTTGGGGAGGATCTTTTGATGCGTTACCCAGGGAGCTGTCGTTGGCTTTTCGATGGATCCATTGTTTCTTTTATGGGGGAGGGGTGGTTTCTCGTCTCTTTGCCTGTTAGCACAGCGTTCTTGCCACGAAATTGATGTACTCGACTCGACTTTGAAGTAGCGGGATCGGAAATGGCTTCATGACTCTTTGATATTGAAATTAATGCATTCATCATGGGTTTGCATGACTTCGAACCGACCGGGCAGTTGTCGATTTATTAATATTGTGAAGAAAGCGAAAGTGAGACGAAACGGCTAGTTCCCATGCATTTAGAGGCGCAACTCCATTGGATTAGTGAGAGAATTGCATGCAACTGCCCAAGGATGTACGGATTCCTCCAGGTGTGTATCGTTACGCAGGCACCGGCGGAATTTTAATATATCCATGGAAATAGGAGATCCTCGAGTCTCGTGTGTCTCCAAGAAGCGTTGAGAAAAGGGGTTTACTGTTTCATCTTTTGAAGAGATGAGGCACCCAGGAACGGATCATCCCTAAGACGGACGGATTGGAAGACATTTTGGTTCTCCGGTTTTGCAGTGCTTATTTAGGGATCCTGGTACATTTGGCTGAACTCTTTAATGAGAAAAGGTGACACGATCGTAGGCGACTTTTGGTGGATTTGTTCTGGCGCGCAAAGGGCAAGAAATGAATGTTTGAGTTTGAGGTCCCCTAGGTCCTTGTTTTGTTGTTTTCCGAGTCATAGTCAACACTGACATCGACATTGGGCCAAGAGAGTACCGCTGGCTGTTGATCCCTCATCATCGGACCATTTGTTGGCATGCACTCGAAGCTCAGCCCCAACTAACCAAGCACATCTGTCTGTACTCATTGATAGACAAGAAAATCATAGTATGTAGCAACTAAAGATCTGGGAAGTTATCAGAAGAGTCATTGTATATTTTTGTGAGCCTCAAGTGGGTATCATGTTAAGTGCTATCTTGCTCAAACGTATACTGAGGCATACCATTTTGCCTTCGTGTTCTGAAAGAGGCGGAAAAGATGATGAGGAAGGGTATTTCGGGGTAGGGAACGGAAAAGCGTGAATACTTTGTTCCCATTGTCACCAGACGTAAGGCTACGCACGCGCAGATGTTAGCGTGTGTTCATGGAATCATTTGGTTGCGATATATTACCTTATCTTCATATGTCCAAAACGTTCCACTGTGCTGGATGCCTTTGCTTTGTATCACGTCAATCATTCGACGAACGGACTCTTCAGGCGTGATGATTCCATGGACCTCCCAAGGGAGGTTGATGTTTGCCATGTCACTAGGAGCAAGTTAATTTGGGTGCTCAAGAGATACGACAGGTAGACTCACGTGGCGACTTCGCCAGGATGCATGGCTAAGATGATAGTGTCGTCATCTTTTCTCTTCAATTCAGCAGCCATGTGTCTCACTGCCATGTTGAGGGCGGCCTTCGATGCTGCGTATGCGGCGAAACCGTCCTCCATCTCTCGGAAATTACCATGTGAGCCAGAGTCACTGGACATGAAGACGATGGTACCAATGGGGATGTTGGTTTGCAGCAGTTTCTGTGCGGTGATGATGGGGCCTATGGTATTTGTGTGGAGATGGAAGGCGAACTCGTCAAATGACCTGTTGAACAGAGCATCAGTATGATAGGACCAAGGGGTGCAATTATGTACATGGAGGTACAGGGCGCGGCATTGAACATAACAGCCGGAGGTAGTGGATTGGTGGGAGACACACAGTTCAGTCGATCTCTGTCAGGGCAGGATTAGCGGCAGCCCCCAGACGACGATACATGTGGCTTACATTAGGGTATCTCAGCACTCCGGCATTGATGACAACATAATCAATCTTGAAGTTTGGTATGGCGGCTATCTGGGCGACAAATTTCTGAGGCGGAAGTCAATAAAATGATTGGTCGAATGGTTGTATAACGAGGGCATGCTGTATCTGTGCTGTGTAAAAGTGATGTAGGCGTGGATGCAACAACGACGGCAAATAGCGACAAAATCGACAGCGATTATGAAGAAGAAGGCGAAGGCGAAGAATGGTAGATAGCAAAATGGGAGGACATACGATGATGCTCTCTTCGGATAGAATGTCACATATGTACATCTGACAACGGCCGTGGTCGCTACCAGCCTGACCCCACAAACCTGACGCATGGGAGGCCCAAGGCTCGCGGACCGTTGCAACGATCCGCTCTTCCCTGGCTAAGAGCTGCCGCACGAATTCGAGACCGATGCCTCTGCTGGCGCCCACGATCAACCAAGTGGTAAAATCTTGCTCAGAGTATAGGATATCGGGGATCTGGTTCATGATAGAGCGATGGAGCGTTGCAGGGAAGGGGAGTATAGGTGGGAAAGCAGACCGAGGTGCGGTGCGGTGCGGTGCAAGCAAGATGATACTCGTGTCTACCTTTCTTTTCCACGGTATGTATGTAAGAGGGCAATTACAGAAAGGTTGGCCGGGTACGTAGGTGTACTTGAACCGACCGTTGCTCAGTCAATAATACGAGTAGAGAGTTATGGTACGGAGTTAAGGTGCCCCTCATGTAGAGTTGATGAAGAAGAAGGATCACGAGACTCGAGGCAGGGCGACAAGTACGAATATGTAATAGGTGGTATTGAAGAGAGAGTCTGGAACATTGGTTGATGACAGGGCATCAAATGTGTGAAGACATGATGAGCAGCAATAAGGCTGTGACGACAAAGGTGGGGGTGTTTGTTCATTAGGTTTAGGTGGTGGGAGGAGGGGACAACTCTAGGTACTTACATGGCAGACAAGGCGATGTCGTCAATATGATAATTATAGTAATAATTATACTCATGAATGGAAGAGATAAACAGGTAAACAAATACTGAATAAATACAACTAGACATCCATATATACCGATGCATACGGCTTGAAGCCAACAGTCTTATCGGGGTGAATGACTAGGTACCTAGGTACGAGTACTCCGAAAGTACCTGTACAAAAGGATACTGCATGAACGCACCCTAAAAGGAAGTATATACAAGTACTGCGGGTACCAGCAACCGAAAAGTGCGACTGTTCAGTATGGGTGTTGAATGCTATAATAAATAATGGATTCCTTCATCTGATGTCTGTCTGGCATCTGATAGGCCATAGATGATACTATATACTCCGTAGATGAACCTCTATAATCAGACGGGTACCTTACTACTGTCTGTCTGTCTGTCTGTATATGGCAAATGAAGCCACTTAACTATGAGGTACCTCGTGACGATCGATTTCCTGGCCCAAGCGTGGCCCGAGATCGCCCGAGGAGTTCCGAGTGAAGAGACGGAATTGCACCAATCAGATGGGAGTTGTTGAGGCTGACGACCACGTGACGCTAAGACTAACCCTAATCCCGAAAACCTGGCAAAAATGACGGCGGAAGTGGCAGCCACGGAGCCCCAGCGACCAACAAATCCCAGGACCCCAAGGGAAAGCGCCTTTTTCTTCTCACCCATCCTCCTCCGACTTTTTCACTCCTCCTATCTTCTACTTCTACTCTTCAACTCACTCTTCTACTTCCACTTCAACTACAGTCCTTCGTCGACTATACTCTCTCTCTACCTTTAACTCAAACTCCATATCCACCTCCATCATTCACAATGGGTGTCGAAAAGGGTACGCTCCTCCTGGCAATCATCTTCGCCGTCCAACGTCATCCACTCTTCAGAACTTGCCACGCCATCCTCCGTCTCAATTGAACTCGTTCCCTATGACTAGACATCTTCAGAAGGCATGGAAAGTGATCATTGAGCGATCCACTATCCATCGCCAACTTTTGGTCACCGCCACCCCACGGGTGCCTGTCTGTCGTAGTTTGCGATCAGGAGAGAAAGAGGATAGCTGAGGCGCGTTTCCCGAGTGATCTCGCTCCGGCGACGTCAACATCATCTACAATATGTTGTACATCCTACTGACACGATACCTACAGGCGATGCTAAGAAGGGTGCCAACCTCTTCAAGGTACGTTCTATTCACAATTTAATTCTTCGCACGACGGCAATGGCTCTGCCCTGACCGGCGTCTTCTCCGAAACCCTGCTAACAGAATCTTCAATAGACCCGTTGCGCACAGTGCCACACCTTGAAGGAGGGTGAGGGTAACAAGATCGGCCCCATGCTCCACGGTCTCTTCGGCCGCAAGACTGGCCAGGTTGAGGGTTACTCCTACACCGACGCCAACAAGCAGAAGGGCATTGAGTGGAACGACGAGACTCTCGTAAGCTTTTTACCTTCCTTTCAGCGACGAGATCAGTCGTAGTTGTGATTAGAATGAGCCCAATGCTAACCACTGCATAGTTCGAGTACCTCGAGAACCCCAAGAAGTACATCCCCGGTACCAAGATGGCCTTCGGTGGTCTCAAGAAGCCCAAGGACCGTAACGACCTCATCACTTTCCTCAAGGAGGAGACCTCATAGACGCCCTACCAACACTCCCACTCCTAGGGCGCTAGGATTCTCTCTCTCGTTCTCTACCACCCGACACGACGAACCACCTTTTACTCTTACTCTTCCAAGACCCTTTGACGCAAACTCTTCTTCCATTTTGTACCATCAGACAGGCATGATAGACGTACGATAGGGAGATTGGCGCGGTCTGCTTCCTGTGTAAATTATTTATTGTGCTACTCAAAAAGGAGCGGTCTCTTTTTGAATTACGGGTGCTGCATATGACTGGAATATGTCATAGCGGCGCAATAGAAACACATTCTCCACACTCTCGAAACAATTTTTTTTGGACCGGATGTTCTTTGACTATTTGATGGTGATGACGATAGTGATACTTTGGTGCACGTGGGAGCTGGACAAGATTTGACTGCGAGACTAACGCTCATCATTGCAAGGATCATGCCAGGATGGAGTTGCATCTCCACGCTCAAGTTCCCCTGTGCTTGATGATCGGCCTGCCGTGCTGCCAAATGATGTCGATGAGGATGATCCCGCTGGGCCTTTACATGCGGGCTCGTCTTCAATGCCAGATGGAGAAGCAATAAAAGCCTATCATATAAATACTCTTGAACGAACTGGAACTTCTAGTGCGGAACCGCCCACAAAGTCAACGATCGCATGATTGATTCCCTCCTCTCATAAAGAGATACACACATTCAATAGACGAAGAGCGGGAGGAAGACATCCTTTTCTCTATGGCTGAAGGATGTGTCTTCTCACGCGAGCATTTACGTTCGGAGCTATGGAAACGTCCCAGGTACTCTCCCTCGTATGAGCAGGCAGGTAGAGCGAACAACCAAGGCTCCCGGTCGCTGCCGAGGAGGATGGGGGATGGCCGCCGGCTGTTTTGCCGAGGGGCATGCACGCACACGACACACCGCGTAGAAGTCAGATGGTAATGTAGGTGCGTGTCTATGGAGTCGAATCATCGATCACATCCGTCCGTCCATCCCATCTGTCCATCTGCCCATCTAGCTTGCTGTAGGTAGTGCGAATTCGGTAGTAGTGTGTGTGTGCAAGGTGCATGCGAGTCCCCACGGCACCTACAATCCCGAGTATGGAGTATGTACATAGTTTGATACTATTAGGGTACATAGTTATTAACATGATTGCCAAAGAGGAAGACAATAAAAAAGCAAAAGACAGAAAAGTGGACTGCGGGATTGTGGGTGTCCTTTGCGGGCTGAATTACCAAATTCCGTAGTGTCATGTGCAGCAATTAGGTACCTCTAGCTCTGGGGGTGGTGATGGTAACTACGGAGCATACCAAACAGTCTGGACTGATGGATGGATGGAGCAGATACCTCTAGATGGATGGATTGGGTGAAAGGAAGGCTGCATAGTTAGTGGATAGGTTTACATGTAGTGTAAAGTAGTGTATTCACATCTTTTCTCCTTTCTTCCCATAGAGTCAATCCCATGTGAAAGCTCTCTCTTGACCTGTGATCTGCTTTGTTGCTTGATGTGGGAGCTGCTTGCTTGCTTGCTTGCTTGCTTGCTTGATGAACTGGCGCGGGAGAGACCAAGACAAAGTGTGGAGATCGAATTGCATACGTAGCAGAGAGATTGGAAGAGCAATGATAATAATGATGAAATGCAATAATGGATTCGAGTTTCCATCTGGCTGTAAAGATCAATCTTATTAGTTCATTCATTGATGTTCAGTCCCAGTCACTTGTCACCTCACCAAATCCGTCCTTCTTTACTCATCAATCCTCCCACACACTTGACACTTACTCACACACACACGTCTCTCTCTCTCCCCACGCATTTCTTGCTGGGTACTCGCATGTCTTACCTTCTCCTCCCATCTATTCTTATTTCATACACACATCATTCTCCCCCTTTGCCATTGCCAATCCTACGAGTACCATCAATATATCATATCCTCCCGTCCCCGTGCTGTTGAATAACCAGGCGTTACCTCGGCCTCTACATTCCCTTCCCCATTAGCGTCATAGCGGGGCGGAAACCCATCTACGAACGAGCTTTGTCCACCGCCCATTCGACTCACCTCTTCATACATTAACTTGCTTCATATCACTTTGGCGGCAGTATCAGCGAACGAGGCCGTTTTGGCCTTGAGCAATTGGCCATCATGTCGTGGAAACGATCAGAGAAGCTGATGGACACCATCAAGGTACGTCATCTCCCCGATCCTTTCCCATCATCTCCATCTTCGAGTCGTCCCAGGCCAATGCTAACATCTTGTTCCATAGCACTACAGCAATTTCCCTGCGACCGGTACGGCCGTCCCACATACTTCCATGCCATCTTCACATTTCTGATTTTATGATACAGGTGTCTCATTACGGCAGATGGTACAGTTCGGGGAGAGACCATCCACCGGAACTCTCTTCCGCGCGTCACAGTTTCTCTCCGAAGAGCTCCCCATACGACTTGCACATCGCGTGCAAGAATTACACGACCTCCCCGATGGCCTCAACGAGATGCCCTCCATCCAACGGGTGAGGGATTGGTATGCACAGTCATTCGAGGTAAGTCCGCACAAAAGTCTGCAGCGCACCTTCCTCGTGACACCTTGCTCACCCGCACCGCCCACCACAGGAGCTCGTCACCCTTCCCCGACCGAACCTTTCGTCCGATATCAAAGACCGGCTCCTGCGGCCTGCAAAGAGCAATGGCAAGACTTCACAGATGGTTAGCAAGGCGACTCAAAATCCCAGCATTGTTAAGGGCCAATACCGTTCGGCGCCGGAGCATCACGATAATGGAAATGGAAACGGAAACGGGAATGGCAACGGCAACGGCGGCCTCCACGGTCCTGGACGACAGGTCAAGGGCGCAACTGCGAACAGACGGTACTTTGTCGCAGCCGATGACGCGCAGGAATGGCCGCCGGAGCTGGCCGCATACAACACCAAGTTCGCCGAGTCGCTGGAGAAGATCAAGAGGAGGCACGACAGTGTCGTGACGACGGTCGCACAGGGCATTTTGGAGTGGAAGAGGAAGAAGCAGCGCATGCAGATCGACCACAACATCCAGGCCTTCCTCGACCGGTTCTACATGTCGCGCATCGGCATCCGCATGCTTATCGGCCAGCACATCGCCCTTACCGACCAGAAGTTGCGCTCCGACCCGAACTACGTCGGTATCATTTGCACGCGGACCAACGTTCGCGAGCTCGCAATGGAGGCCATTGAGAACGCGCGATTCGTCTGCGAGGACCACTATGGACTCTTCGACGCGCCCAAGGTCCAGCTCGTTTGCAACCCGGACATCAGCTTCATGTACGTCCCTGGCCATTTGTCGCATATGCTCTTCGAGACTCTCAAGAACTCGCTCCGAGCCGTCGTGGAGAGACACGGACAGGACAAGGACGAGTTTCCCGTGACGAAGGTGATCGTAGCCGAAGGCAAGGAAGACATCACGATCAAGGTGTCTGACGAGGGAGGGGGAATCCCGCGCTCCTCAATCCCGCTCGTCTGGACGTACATGTACACGACGGTGGATCAGACACCCAGCCTGGACCCGGATTTCAACAAGAGTGACTTCAAGGCGCCGATGGCAGGGTTCGGGTACGGACTGCCGATATCAAGACTGTACGCAAGGTACTTTGGCGGCGACCTGAAGCTGATCAGCATGGAGGGGTGAGTTTTATTTCTCTTCTATTTTTCTGTCTATCTACACTGCACACATGCATATTGTCATTTCCTCCCCAGTCCCTTACAACTTTTGGAGAGCACAAACACATAAAGCAACCCCCACAGCATATTATGCACATACTGACCACCAAGCAGCTACGGAACCGACGTTTACCTCCACCTCAACCGGCTGAGCTCGTCCTCGGAACCCTTGCAATAGCAATTACCAGTCATGAGGGACGAATGGAAGAACGCGATTCGCTCCCAAGGATTGGCGCCGGGTATTTCTACATACAGCAACAGAAACAACAGTAACGAATTCATTCGCTCCAGCTCGAACAGGCGGCACGGCAACAACCTGATGGCGTTGCGGGCCATGCGGTCGAAGCTCAAGGGCAGCGGCCACGGCCACGGGCTGTCGAGCATGGAGGTCAGCGAGAGGAGGCAGGTCGGCGATGCGGAGGAGATGTTCGCCGAGAGCGGCGAGAAGCCTTGGTGGAGGAACGTCGGCATGGAGGAGGGCATGTAAACTCGACGATCTGCCTTCCTCCTTGTCCCATCTCCCTACACGGTGTGCGATACAGCTCTTTTGGATGCCGTGTCCTACTAGGCGGGTAGGGGGAAAGAAGTCGACGTGAGTGAGTGAACGAGTAAAGACTCGAACACCGCTTGTGTCGAGCAGCGTGTATTTTTTTTGGGGTTTCCCGTTTCGTTTTCCAAAAGCTTCTCTCCGAGAAGCAAAAGGCGATTATTGGAGTATATGGGAGGGGTTGCATCATTTTCCCTTGACGGACCGCATCGTCGTTGTTCGTCATTACCATCTACCATTTGTCAATCGTCATTCGACGCGAAAAACCGTCGTTCGTCACGAATCGGAGGAGTCGTAATACGTGTTTTACCATGTATCTATCTATCTACCCTATCTACCTGCCTTCCTACGTATCACGACGGATATGGATGGGGTCGGAGGTTGGGACGAGCATCTTTTCTTGTACTATGTATAAACGGGAGGAGTGGCCACGAGGGAAGAAATGAATGGTTTTGCTTTTTTTTTTGGAATGATGTCTTTTTTTTTGTATGGTTTCTCTCGATTGTTTACCACGTTCCGACCTTTCGTTTCGGCAACATTTGGGTAGAGGGTTGTTCAGAGAAGGGGACGAGAATCGATATGATGCAATCAAATGATACTCATAGACCAGATATTCGAATCGACAACGAATCCATTCATTCACTCGTACACTCATCCATCTATCTAATCAACCCAATATCCATTTGTATCATAGAACCCATAGCCACACGATAGCAATCCATAATCCTAAAAGAGCCATAAAGTCGTACACCGTACATCCATATCAACGACGAAACAGTGACGGGGTATCAATATCGCCTCCTCTTCCTCCACCCCCTTGCTCTCCTCCCCGTACCCTACACTCCTATTATTATGTCCTCCTCTTCCCCTTCACACCGCCCCTGCCAAAGCCCCCAGGACTCGCGCCCCCGGGACTCCCCTGCGGCAGAACGGCCCTCTCTTCAACGGGCATCTCCCACTCCTCCCTCCACGCATCGACGCCGGCGCCTGGTCCAAAACGCCCTCCACCGCCGCCACTTTGTTGTTTCTGGCGTCCTGGACCCCCATCACCGTCCACCGCGGAGGAAGAAGCCAACCCGAGGAGTATGTTCTGATAGTGCCGTCTCGTCTGCGGTACGCTCTGTCCACGATTGTTAGATAAACTCCTTCCAAGGAAGGGAGAGCTCGTCTAAAGAGAGAAGAGCATGAAAAACGTACCTCATTCCTTGCCCCAGCGTACCACACAAGCAGCTCCGCGCTCGCCAGGATGTCCGCGGCGCGCGCGCGACTCTGCCGCGTCTCGAAGGACTCGGTGGCGGGTTGCTCCCTCGACGATGGGGATGTCGTGGTGTTGTAGGGTTTGTTGCGGGCTTGGAGGGATTGCTGGGCGCTTGTGAAGGGCTGGGTCGCGGTGGAGGGTTGTTTCGTGCGGGAGGATGGGCGGGAAGGGGTGGATGGGTGGGGGGAGGATGGTGTGGGTGCTGCGGTCGAGGTTGAGGGGTTGAGGACGGTGGAGAGGAAGGGCGAGGTTTGGAGGGTTTGGCTGGTGGTTGGTGGTGGCATTGTGGTTGATAGGGTTGGGGAGTTCGGGGGCGGCATTGTGGTGGGTTGCTAGGTGTGAGGGTGTAGGATATATTTGATGAGGGTGTATCGGAATGGAGGTTTGTTTGTTGTAGGTAGCACGGGAAGGAAGAATTGTCAGATCTCGGGGTTCTATTATGGTGGTAGTACGGTGATTGGTCTGATATCAGTACTCCGTAGACTGTACGAGTACGAAAAGATGACGGCTGTATGCATGGCACTTGAACGTACGAGTGTGTAGTGTTCGAGTTATGAGGATGTAATGATGTTGGTAGCGTAGCGGGGTTGTCTGGAAAGCTTAACCCCGACTTGTGTCCGTGCGATTTCTAGGACATCATCTTATTCATCGAACCGCTCTCCTCTCAATCTGTATAAGGATGTTGGTCAATTGAAACTATAAATACGGGTATTTCTTGGATCTTAATCTCTACATTTATTTTGCTAATATGTGAGCCGTGCGGTGTATGGATTGCGAGGAAACTTCGCATATCATATGATAAAGGAATGACTGCTCACGTCGCAACGGGCATGCCTGTGAATGATGGTAGACGGAGAAGTGACAGCTCACTCCCGAGAGCTCCGTTTGATGGCGAAGCTGACATTGGACATACCACATCACGTAAACATATCGAACAGGACCACCAGGCAAGGAAAAAGATTGGCTTACGACCAAATTCATTCAATTTCGTGGTTTCCCAAAATGTGCCTCTCAACTCATGAAGAGGCAACACTCTGGCATCAACCTAAAAGTGCGGAAAATACCTTCCAAAGAGATCGCGTTCCAGTGATATACTCGGCAGAAGCCCAAACTTCCGTTGCCCGCCGTGATGCAGTCCGTTAGTTGTCGTTATGATTCCGTGCCACCCCTCCCTTCTCTACCCTCGCGAGAGGCGTACATCCAGGCGGGTAGCTCGATCTAATGCCATGACGCCCATGATGCTCGTTAAATCTAAAACAAGAGACTATGTAAAACCCGAAACTTTTGACCGAAAAGGAAAAGATACAATGTGCAAATGATCCATACTCATTGCACCAGGAGGGTATAGGGATAAAAGGCAATGCAGGAGCACTAGCAAGGCACATGTCATGCAGTGCTCCATTCCGCGCAAGATTGTTCATTGTCGTTGGAAATCCAGCCCAGCGTTGGTGCTCGGACTAGGTGCTTTCCGCCACCTCTTGATGCTTAGCACTGCTGCCTTTGCCCCTCCAGGTGCTGACAGCCGGAATGTCTGCCTTCAGCCTCTCCTCATCTGTCCCGTAGGCCTTTGGCGTGAGCTTGATAAGAGTGTGGAGGGGCACCTCCATCCACGGACTCTGATCCTGGGGAACGTTCTTGAAATAGGCGTAGATGCATCGCAAAATAGCCTGGTGAGTGACAATGAGGATGTTCTCACTCCTCTCCAGTTCCATGATGATGGGCTCAAGTCGAATTACCACGTCCCGGTAAGACTCGCCACCAAGGTATCGGTAGTTGTACTTGTCTTCATCACGCTGCGCGAAATCCTCGGGGTATTTCTCCTCGATCTCGCCATAAGTTAAGCCATCGCAAACGCCCGAGTCGAGTTCATCCAACGCTTTCCACTCAAGCTTCTCGAACGATAGGAAACGGGCGGTCTGGATTGTTCGTTTCAAGGTAGATGTCCATACTGTGAGCTTGCGGCCGTCGCCAACGGATTTCGCAACGAGCCCTGGAAGTGCATGGGCGTAAGCTTCGCCACGCTCCGACAAATTGGCGTCTCCTCCGATTTGTCCCGACAAGTTGAATTGCGATTCTCCGTGCTAAAGAAAAATGTCAGTTGTAGATAGAACAAGAGACTTTATGCTCTTACCCTGGACAGCCAAATGGATCTTGGCTTGATGTGGAGATTCATCAAATAGTAGACAACGCGACTTTGGAGGTAATCTTGAATACGGTTGATGATGACCTGCTTGCCCACATCGATCAACTTGACGTATGTGAGATCTTGCTCGTCCTCGTCGACAGTCTGGTACACTTTTTCGTAATTCCGTATGCGGTTTCGGAAGTCGGCTGCTGCAACCTCGGGATCCTGCCCCACGTAATCTGGTGACGTCGTCTTCACTTCCAGGATATTGCTCATGATCAGGTCCTCATCGTCGCATTTGGATTCAACAAATAGCGTTTCGATGTTTTCTGCTGAGCAGCGCTCCTGAATCCAACGACGACGGGTTTTTGTCGAATTGGTCGCATCCAGTATGGCAATGAGGCCCCGCCCCTCGGCGAACCACTGGCACATGTCGTTGACTGCGGCCTCGGCGGCAGCTTTCCGAAGGCGCTCTCCTTCTGGATTCGAGGTATCGAAAAACTCGGCGGAGGGATTGGGGGTTGCATTGCGGCGATATTGGCCCACGTTGAAGACCTTTGCGGTGATCGACAGCCAGTGCAAGTAACGGACAACTAGTAGACCGGTGAGTAGGAAAAAAATGACGCACACGACTGAGAAACCTCTTCTTACCTTTTTGTGCGATGAGACTCTTCCCGCGGGCGGGCAAACCCACCATGACGACGCATATGCGCGTGTCTTCAGCCTGGACACCGACTCCATTAGTCTTTCTGTGCGGTTGCATCAATTCGCCTGTCGAAACTTTGCGCATGTTGGGCGCGAAAACACCATTGGAAGCCATTGTGATGGGGAGTAGTGAGAGAGCAAGCCCAAGGCCGTGGGCATCCAGTGGGCGATCCAATCGAGGTAACCCCAAAGGTGTTTCGTGAGATCAAGAGGGAATGCGAATCGGAATCCTGGTAGATGTTCCTTTCCACTATGCGGCGGCCCGCGGCGGGTCTATTTCTAAAGCAATGAAGACCAGTGGTCGATAAGACAGTGTGCGTTGGAGGGGGCTCAGTACAACTGATGATTCTATAGGATGATGCTATGACAAGTGTCGTGTATGGAGTGTTGCACGGGCAGGAGGGGTGGTGTTGCAAAGCTTTGAACTCGGCTCGGCTTTCGTCAAGCGGAAGGGTGAAGCTTGGAGGTCGACAATTCCCCGCATTTAGAGCCGCTCTTTGTAGTAGATATGCCCGGGCAGGCGTGTATGACACGGGGCCTGCTGGTTCTGCTGACGCTGCTGGCCCTTTTGGCTAGGGTGTCCGATGGGGGCAATTGCAGCAGTTTGGCCTTGACCAACCGGCTAGCGTTTTGCTGGTGGCTGCTACGTTCCACTTGCCCGACCGAAAAATGCACGAATGGGCAAGACGGGTAGGGCTTCCCGATGAATGTAGAGATGCTAAATGGTGACCATGTGCGATCCAGACAGCTGCTAGCAAGCACAGATGTATGCTAACATGCGTTCCTGGAATTGGAAAGTGTTGGCAGAGTTAAATGGCTGTGAAGTGCAGTGCAGTGCAGCAGCATGTGTCTTTGATGCGCCAAGGTGAGATGGTGACGGCGACTGAAAGACCTTTCAGGGTGTTCGTTTGGCGGCTTGCCTAGTTGGCAGGTTGTGTGTAATGGAAAAGTCCATGTCCGCCCGTGGCACGAGACGAGGAACAAACGAACGAACAACCGACGGATCGTGAGATTTGTGTGTGAGAAAAATTGAGAGAGTGCATGACGCCACTCCACACGCACAGGACTTGCAAGCTTGCAAGTGTATTATTTGTAGCGGAGCCAGCACGCCAGACCAGCCAGACCAGCCAGACCGGAGTCAGTTGCACCTAGACCTTAAGCCGGTGGTTTCCAGATTGAAATGTGTGGACTCGCCGAATGCCGGCAGGGGCGGCGCGGTGTTGATGCATATTGATTTGTTTGTTGTTCGTTGAGATCAACAATAATGGATCTCGAATATGGACGGTAGTTCCAATAATAGTGGTGGTGGATAGCCGTGGCGGTGAATTGAGAACAGATGGTAATAGGAAAATCGATGCGCTTGCACAAAAAGATACTTACCGTGGAAATGGAGTAATTCCTGACTCGGGGACTCATCGTAGAGGCGAGTACGATGCAGATCAATAACGAAGGCGGCGGACAATTATTTCTTCAATTCCCAGCAAAATTACGGAATATTGTTGACGGGGATTGGGTTGGGACTTGGGAGGTCCGATAGCGGTTGCGACTCTACTGGGATGGTGTTGCGGTGGTGGTGGTGGTGGTGGGTGCGGGTGGGCGTGTGTTTACGACGATGGTGGGGTCGTGTAGAGTGAGGGTATGTTGCCGTAGAATTGGTGGGTGGATGGAAGTCGAATTGATTTGTAGAAGTGATTGTAAGAGACGAGGAACGAGGAACGAGGAGAGGAAGTGATGATAGAGAAGAGAAGGAAGAGGAGATGGAAGGGACAATGGGCGTGTGGGAAGTATATGAAGAGGAAGATGATGGTGATGATCGGAGTGAGAAGAGAGGTAGTAGTGATGATGCTTATGGCGGCGATGGCGATGATGGGAGGAAGAGGCTGATTGATTGATTGTATTGTATCGGGAAGCTGCCTATCAAATTATATGTTGTTCTCTTATCGGGGACGAGGGAGGGGGAAGGAACGAACGACTAATTACGGAGTACATCTATTATCTCTGTCTGTCTGTCTGTCTGTCTGTCTGTCTCTCTGCTGTCTACTGTCTACGGGAGTGAGTAGTGATTGCTGGGAAGGGCAATCGGACAGTATCATTATGATTGGAATGGCGTGTCCGGTTCCATGAGCACGACAGACATACGCACAAACAGGGACAGGCAATTGACCAGCTGGATGGTAACGGGAAGGCCGTAAACATGTTCATGGGGGCCCAGTACACATCATGTCCCATCCCACCCGCTAACTTAGAGAACTTAGTCGCTGCTCCCCCACCAAACTCTCCCGCCGAAGCTCAATAACTGGCATATGCAAACAAAGTGACCAACGAACAAGAATCATAGTCAGACCCTCCCTTGATCCATCGACAATCAAAAGCAACCATATCTTGTCTGCCTTCCCTACTTCTCTGATTGATAATATGAAAACTTCAATACGTATCATCACCTACCCTGTTGGTTGTACTGTATGTTCACAGCAGGAATCGTATGTACAAGTAATACTACGTGGGGCATTACCGTCCCATCATTCGTCCACATCTGCATGGAATGGTATCTCTTGGTCTCAATCTCTGATCAAGCATGTATAGGAAATCACTCATGACTGTCGAGTCCTTTCTTATTGGAGTTTAGAATTATTTAAATATGGTTTGATTCCACCACTCTGCATCTCAACCCTCTGTGTCCAGATACCTAATGTCCGATGCCAGATTCCTCTTCCCCCCAAGCTGGTATTTTCCACAATGACCGTCACAGTCGTAAAAGTACTATGGGTATATAGCAATGCTGAACTCATTCACAACAAGCCAAACAAAAAATTCATCCCCTTCCCACGGTCGTTATTGATACATGGATAGGCCTAGCTCTCCGAAGTCTTTTACTTCCACGCCTCTCCTATCGTCAATGTTTCTTTCGCTCGCGATCGAATTCATGATCGGGGTTCCTTCTTTTTCTCCTACTCCTTCTCTTATTGTAGGAAAACGTTACTCCAAGATGAATTCCGTCTAATCCTCGCCCAATTAACGAGCTTGAAGCTCTGTCGTCTTCATTCCATTCAGCATGCTCAGAGGGTCCTCGCCGCCGTTTGTCAGGCTCAGGAGCGCTCGACTGGCATCCAGCCTGCGTTTCATTGCCGCCGCAGTCCGCTCTTGTCCTCGGCTCCCGACATCATCCTCCACCCATCGAATCTTGTTGATCATGAAGCTCAGTCCGTCATGCGTCCGACTCTTCCTACTCGACATACCGTATTCCACTGTCCCTTCGTACTTGTCGATCTTGGGGAGAATCAAAAGTTCCACCTGCAATTCCATGTCTGCCGGGGGTGTTACAGGGGCCGCAGGGAGTTTGTCCAACGTGTCGGCCGCATCCGAAGGGTCATTGGGCGCCGTAATGCGCGGATCTAGCATGCCCACATCCACAGTATCATCCCATTCGCCGCGAATCCACCCTGAGTGGATTGCTGCTGCTATCGGATCGGAATCGTCTCGGTAGATGCGTGCGCCCCAAAGATGATGTTGCAACACAATCTGCTGTCTCTGTCGTGGTTTCAGATAGTATCGATGTATCCTGCAAGTAACCGTGCAATTGATCGGGTTCCTCTCGAACACTGGCATTGGCTTGGGCTTGGAGGCATAACTGAATTGATCGTCCAGCGCAGAGTTAGGCTTGGGCAGCTCAGGTTTCGCCTCGTATAGGTAGGATCCGAGATGGTGACGGGGATGCTTGGCAGCTTCCTCTAGTACAGCCGAAATGTCGTGAACTCTTGAGGAAAATTTTGGCGAGGGAAGAGGAGCTGGTTGGCCAGGCCGGCCTCCGTGGTGATGGTGATGGTGGGGAGCAGCGTGGTAATGATGGTGGTGATGGGACGGTTGCGGTGTATTTCCATTTGGAGGCGGATTTGGGTATTTACCAGGGAAAGGTGTAGTTGTCGCTGAGTGAGGTTGCTGGGCCTCCTCGTCCTGTTTGTGATGATGATGGTGATGGTGACTGCCAAGGTTAGTCTTGATGCCGTACTCAGACCATGGGAGAACTTACTGGTGCACATGATGGTGGTGGTGACCAGGATGGTTGTGCTTGTTGCGCTTGGACCCACGCCCTGAAGGCGTTCCCCTGCCATCAACACTTTCATTTTCGAAGACAAGTTCCTCATCCTTCACCCTCTTCGCTTTTCTGCCATTCTGAGAGTTGACTCTCTGGAGCCGCAATTCGTTCAGGTCCAGCCCCTGAGGTGGAGGCTCTATCCCGTTTCCAGGCATCGGGCTCTGTCGCGAAGGAGTAGAGCTGCCCAGTCCGCTTCCCAGCCCCGAAAACATGCGTCCAAATTCACTCTTGATACTGGGGTCTTTCCCAATCGATAACGGCTGGCTCTGCGCACCCTGGACGGCCTGGGGGAGTGGCGAGGCGCGCCCCGTCCGCCTGTTAGCCTCTGGGCCAAGCGCGAGTAAAGCTTTCGAGTGTTGGTCATATAGCAATCGATTGCCATACGCAGATCCTCCAGATGACAAAGATCGTGATAGCTGCTCTCCTTTCAACTTGTCGCTTGAATTCGGATCTGACGTTGGAGGAGCGTGGTACTGCTCCAATACCCGATGGCTTAGATGATCTAGGCTGCGGCCGCGCACCATATCCTCCGCACCAGGACCTGAATACGTCGGCGGGCCCTGTGAGGGGTGTGGGTATCCATACCCTCTGTACATGGGAGCCGTCTCCTCCCTTCGTGGCTCGCCGGTCTCTCGTGGGGCTTCCTCAGGCACGGTATGGCGCCATATATTGCGTTCAGGAGGAAGCGGGCCACCTCCAGGTCGCTGATCCCGGGGAGGGCTATACGGCGCCTGTGTGACTGGCTGCACTGTGACAGGCCGATCTCTTTCGCTGGTCGGCTGCCCAAGAAGTTCGGCGGCATTGGGCCTAGTATGATGCGACTCCCCCAAAGTACGGCGTCGTTCCTCGGGTTGGCCATAAGCAGTGCGTCGCGCTCCTGGCGCATCGTACAGCGCACGCACATCTTGCTCGGGCTGAACTGCGGGTTGACTATTGGGTCTTGGAGGCATGCCCGTACCCTGTCGCGGGTCCCTCGGTGATACATCATGAGGAGCGTTTGCGAATGCACGCGCGCCTTGAAAAACCATTGGTCTGTACGGTTGTGTGTTTGGGGGAGGGGCCTGGCGTCCTTGTAGCTCAGGGGAGCCGTGAGCGCTGTATGAGCGAGACGGGGATGCAGCGGAATATCCGTATCCTTCTGGCGCTTTATGGGCACCACCAGGGAACACATGTCTCTCAGGGGATGGTTGGCGACGGAAAGGTTGGAACTCAGATCTGGAACCCGATGATAGGTTGCGCCGGGGGGAGGGTGGTTGCATGCTGTGACTGCTCGGCGGAGGCACGCTCCCTGGCGCACTGGACGGCGACGATTGTGAATGTGAGTGTGTGTGAGAGTGTGATTGTGATTGCGACGGTGGATTGGGTGCACCCGTGTCACCACCGCCGATGATCGAAGAGATGGACATGCTGCTTCCCGGACGGTGTCCCGGCCCTAGCGCTAGCCCGGGCAGCTCACGCGCAGGTCCAAAAGCCGACGAAAAGGGAGGTCGCGGACCCTGTGAACCATGCAGGTGTTGTTGTTGTTGTTGTTGATGTTGTTGTTGCTGTTGTGGAGACGAAGGGGGCGGCATGTGGGAGCGCGGGTACGAAGGAGGAGGGGGTGGTTCATGCGAGGGAGCTGCAGAAAGTGTTAGCAATGATGAGCTGTGATGGAAGGACGCGATGAAATGCAGCTACGGGAGCTGGCTTCCGTCACAAGGACGCGGGGAAGGTATTACCTCCGAAGGGATTAGGGGGGCTTGCGCCCCCAAGCGATCGCCTACGTGAAGCATCGAAGCCATACGGCTGGTGACCGGGAGCGTTGTGTGAGCCGCTCATGGACGGCGGGCCAGCTTGAGGTGGAGGCGGAGGTTGAGGTTGGGGTTGAGCGACGGAAGGATGAGGTTGAGGATGAGGATGAGGTTGAGAATGAGGATTGGAAACATGCAAGTGATTCGAAGCTACGGCTAGAAGAAGACATGGTCGATCAGCGGATGCTACAGAGTTAGCGCGACAGGGGGGATACATTCGCTTAACACGCGCCACCTCTGCGGGCGGTGGACAGCGAAAAGTGATGATGTGTGCGTGTGCGGTGCGGTGCAGTATGGGGAAAAAATGCGCCAAACGTAGCCAGGGTCTCAGCGTGGCGAACTCGGAGAGACTGAACAGTTGGGATACCGGGACGGAGAAGAGCAGTATTTCGTCTCCGAATGTCTGGCGTCATGACAGCGCAGCTTCGCATGGAGCTCCAGGCGCGAAGCGCTAGCTAGTAGAGCCGCTGCTCCAGAGCTTCTTCGCCCTAGCCGCTGCCTCCCATTGCGAGCTGTAGCCAGCCAGAATGGGAGCCAGAGAACCAGAAAGTATGGCGAGCTGAGCCGAACTGCCTCCCGCATCCCCAGTATCCGCGCAACTAATGTCTCTCCAAGTGTTGAGGGCCGCCCACGCGAGCGGGTCTCACTCCAATCGTAAGACATATTGCTGGGTACTGTTTTGGCTGCACCTTACATTGCAGTATGCAATGCACCGCGATGGAATAGACTCGCAAACACGTAGAGCGTACCTGAATTTGTATTTCCCCACGATGTATGTCTGTCGCCTTGTCCTGCCGGAGCACCTGTGCCAATTTCAGGTGCCGTGTGCAAACCATGACTGCTTTTCCGTGCATGTGTCTGCGCAGTATTAGGAAGGAATGGATCTCGTCGCGGTGGAGGATATGGATCGGTCGCGAAGGGTGCGTGGACGGGAGGCTGGAGCTGAGGTTGTGAATGCGAAGCGGCCGGAGGATAGCTCGAGTACGGAGGTTGCGTTGTCTGAGGGTTTGGGTGATTCGGATTGTGAATGAAAGGTCGCTCCTGTCGCGTGTAGGGCTGCTGAGGCTGGCGTGGATCCATCTTGACTTTTCGCACGGAAGGAGGAATGGAGGAGCGTAGGAAGGAATGATGCGCTGATGGGTGCGAACAGACGGGTTAGTAATGGACGGGACGGGTTGACATAGTGACTCGACCAGCGTGTGAGGCTGGAGGGAGTGGAGGAGGTCGAGGTAGAAGAGGAGGAAGAAGAAGAGTGGAAGAATGGACAAGAAAGTGACAGCTCGAGGAAGAATAGGTGAGGAGAATTGCTGAAATGGGCATGGGCATGGGCATGGGCATGGGCCATTAGGGCATTTGACCTTAGGTAGACCCCGGGCGAGTGCGTGTGCTCAAGTGCTTAGAGCTCAGATGCTTAAGGTAGCGGTAGATTTGTACAAGGACTAGCCTCTACCTACGAGTAGGCCGGGGCCAGGATTAGGGCTGTTCAGAACAACAGGTAGAACCTACACATACACATACACATACACATACACAGTACTCCGTACACCCACCGAATAGATATCTAAGCACCGAGTAGATACTTACTACTCCGTACACCTACTCTTATTCTCACTCTCACTCCTCCATAATATGCACCTCCATTACAGAATACCCTGTACTGTCATTACTGTACCTTAAACCCATATCTCACTGCACATATTCCCTGCACTGGCAAGCCACAATTAACGCCCTCGACCAGATCGTCGTTTTTGGGGTAGCACCACGGAGTGCTGGCAATGCAAACCATTGGTAACTGTCTCTCCCGCAAAGATGCTGGTATCCTACGGACTACATGATGACTGCTAATAATGCGACGGGTACTGGTAACTGTTTGCTTCCCTCCTGCTTGAATGCGCTGGCTCCCTCCACCGCTCCGACGACCAGGGCACACGCATATCATACACCTAGATGCGCACACATGCGCACACAGGTCAGGCACGAAAATGTGCAGACACTGCGGTCAACCTTCAGGTCGGCCACCTGGTGCAATCAATCAACTCAGTCAGTCAATCAATCAATCAACCGAGACGTGAACACACCATCGGGTCTTGACGGCACACACGATGTGCACCCATCACCCCGAGGTAGCATTGATATTGTACTTTTGTGCGCGGTTGCAGCTCATCGAAAGTAGGCACGGAGTACCCCATAGAAAGAGGCTAAATCTAGCTGGAAGCCCGGGATGGATTCCTCTGTCCTTCAGCTTCGGGAGCTTTGCGCACCCGGAAGGTAGTCCTTTTCCTGTTCCTGTCTGATCGGTCTAGAGGACGACGGCTGTCTAACGGCGCACAAGCCCTTGTCCTTATAGACTGGACTATGTAAAATGTTCTGTGTGGTAGGTTGTGCTCCGTACTCCGTGTCATAAGGCACAGAACATATCGTAAGTAGATTGTTATTGTGGATGTAAGATGCGGATCATCCTTGTCTGGTCCTTGGTGTCCTTGGTGTGTTCTTCGGTGTGGAGAGTTACATATGTACACAGTACAGTAACTACGGGTAACACAGGTCCACCTAAATAAAGACGCACGCCAAACCCCCACACCCGTTGGTTTGTTACGATAATTAATACGAGTCCATCTATAGGACGCCAGCTGTATTCCCTAGGCATAACAACAACTGCCAGACTCAATGCCAATTAATCCTTTAAAACATTTATTCACTGGCCAACTCTTGTGAAAGATACTAGTATGGAGTAGCTCAAAGTTGAACATATTCGTATCAAGTTGACATCCACTCCATTACACAGTATGTACTCGGTAGACACTCACATGCGCATGCTAGGACTGGGTGACTGGCTACGTAAGAGGCTAAGCTGGTTCTGTCGATCCGATAATCTTCCGACGAGTACATACAGATGCCATCACAGATGCCATCACAGTACTAACATTACATATATACCTACTATACCTAGGTATCTATCTTTCCTTCTCTTTCCTTCAAATATTCCCCTCAACGCTCGATAATATCAACAGGCAGAGAGATAGTAGCTGCATGATGCCATCGTTGTCTTTCTCCACATAACCTAGCTCCCAGCCCTTCCTATCCACCTCCGGTGCAGCAACATCATCGTCACCGCCTTGACTCGAGACAATCTCACATCCGAACCCTCTTCAGAGTCAAGTCATACGCCCATCTCAACTCCACCACGTGCACTATACGCACCCCTCTCTCCACGACTGCTTCGTTATGTAAATAAGTCTACATTATCCCCTACAACGCCGCAAGCAAATGCCTCTCCCAATGCCTGGATCACCCGCAGCCTCATGGGCCATGTACCGGGCTCGTCTGAAGGCAGTCTTCGATGGTGCCGACCCTCGTGTACTTGCGGCGTTTTGGTTGTTTGGTATGTAACTGCTCTTGCATATAAATCATGGAACTCCATATAAACATTTGACTTGTCATCGTTGACCACAGTCCCGCTCACGCTCCCCCATAGGCCTTATCAATAACGTCCTCTACGTTATCATACTTTCCTCTGCGCTCGATCTCGTCGGCCCCAACGTCCCCAAGGGAGTCGTACTCCTTGCCGATGTCATTCCGTCCTTCGTAACAAAGCTGTGCGCTCCCTACTTCATACATAAGATCCCATACAACATTCGCGTCGTCATCTTCGTTGCCTTGTCTGTGGTCGGCATGCTCGTCGTAGCCCTCACGCCCGGCACACAAGACCCGCGTACAATTAGCATCAAATTGTGTGGCGTGATGTTGGCGAGCTTGAGTAGTGGTGGAGGTGAATTGAGTTTCCTGGGTCTTACTCATTATTACGGACACTTCGCCCTGGCAGCTTGGGGGAGCGGCACTGGTGGCGCAGGTCTGATTGGCGCGGGAGCATACGCCATCGCTACAACGACACTCAAGATCGATGCACGAACCAGCCTATTGGCCTTCTCCTTCTTGCCTGTGATTATGCTCATGAGCTTCTTTCTCATACTTCCCTTGGAGCCACTCCGTAAATCTTCTGCGAAACATGCCGAGTATGAAGCCATCGAGAGTGATGAGCCGGATCAACGAAATGATGCATTGAATGACGATAGTCGCCGTGAAGAACACGAGGGACTCCTTTCGTCCTCGATGCTCTCTGAATCGGGACGCAGCTTTGGGAATGTTGGCACCAAGCAGAAAGTCGGCAATGCCTTGAACAACTTCACAGCGAATCTTCGACGGTCCAAGGCGCTTTTCTTCCCTTACATGCTACCTCTGCTCTTGGTCTACATCGCCGAGTACACGATTAATCAGGGTGTCGCACCCACGCTTCTGTTTCCGCTCTCTGAGAGTCCGTTTGATGAGTATCGATCGTTCTATTCAACGTACGGTGCCATCTACCAGGTTGGTGTTTTCATTTCCCGGTCGTCGACGCCATTTATCCGAGTGCACCACCTATATTTTCCATCTTTCTTGCAGGTGGTGAATCTGATACTTCTGACGCTGCATGCAATGTTCGATTTCATCCCCAGCTTCTACATTGTGTGCATCATCATCTTCTGGGAGGGGCTTCTTGGCGGATTGGTGTACGTGAGTACCTTTGCGGAGATCACGGATAACGTCCCGCGAGAGGATCGAGAATTCAGTTTGGGGGCAACCAGTGTAAGCGACTCGGGTGGAATCTGCGCGGCAGGGTTCATTAGCATGGCCTTTGAAGTATGGTTGTGCTCATGGCAAGTGAGCCACGGCAGAGACTACTGCAAACAGCAGTAATTAGGTGATGATTTGCATGTATGTACATGTGTAAGTGTAAGTGGTAATAGTACACGGTACACCTAGGTCGAACCAGAAGAAGACGTGTTGTTTTTCTTTATTATATCTATAACTATGTACGACGGTTCTTTCGACCATTTTCTCTTGATTTACATGTGTTACGAGCAATTTAACCACCTCCCTGACTTCCCCCCCCTCCTCCCACTATCAGCTAACTACAACTCGTAATGTTATGTTACTATGTTACTATGTTACTGTGTCAGTAGATAGTAGTGACTACAGTGACCTCATCAGACTCTCTCAACACTCCACCTCCACCTCACCCGACAACTAAGCCGAGCTCGGGAAACCTCACCGCCTTGGATCGTGATCGCGGAAGCGTCCGTGGGTCATGGTTTAGGTACAGTAGTTAAGAAGTTTAGGACTGAACGAGTAGGTTAAGAAGTTAAGTTACGTTACTTTGCCTAGGTACAGAGTAGCGGAGCGGGGGAAAAGCAAGAAAAAAATCGAATAGTCCCCCTCTTCACCCCCCGTCTCTCCCCCCAGCCAGGCCTTGCCTTGCCTTGCAGTTGCACTTGCAGGCTTGCACTCCCCCAATAATCCAATAATCCAATCCCACTTAACTCCCACTTCCCTCCCACTTCGCTCTCACTCGAAAAAGGTCACACACCGTTCTTTGACCGCCAAGGAGGGGGAAGAGGGAAAAAAAAGGTTCAAGGTCGTTCGTTGCCCGTTGCAGTGCAGAACCCGTCAGGCGTCCGCCACACAATTCCACTCCCCTCACGTTCGTGAGCTCACCTCTCACTGTGACCGGAAAAATTACTTCGAGGCCCTGCGCGACCGCGACCAAGTGTCGATTATCTTCATCCTCATAGATATTCGATGCCGAACGGTCGCCCACCGCCGCCGTCGTCGCTGTGTGAAAATCCGATCCAAGCAAGCGCCAGCTCGCTTACTATTTCGGGAACTAGCAGCAGGTCAACACCACTGAAGCCCGAGTTAGCCACGAGGAGGGTCACGATAGCAGCTACAGGTTACGATAGCGTCACAACGTTATTGACGTATGAGCCTGGAAAGGGCCCGTCGTCTACCTCTAAACCTGTGCCAAGTGAGCGGGAATCAGCCATCATTACATTATCATCAGGGCCGACAGGAGGAGGAGCAGCAGCAGCAGCAGTAGCAGCAGCCGCTTCCTCGCCCGCGCCTGGTGTCCCCGCCCCCCGTGAGATGTTCAAGCAATTCCTGACACGGGCATTTCAACTTCGGGCGAATGGCTCTGATCTTCCCATGGATCAGCGCTCTCTGTCGCCCGAGTCTGTCAAAAGGGCACTCGAGGACTCTCAAGGAGAGTTCATCCAGGTGCAAGTCAAGATAGAACCGGGCCTGCCCCAACCTCCTCCGGGAGGAGGCCACCGTAGGAAGAGATCCAGGACGTCGGCCGCCAGTCTCTCCAAGGTCGGCAAGACACGCAACAGCCCCAATGGACGTCCGACACCCACTCCACGGTTGAAGAGAAGAGGTAGTTCCTCTGAAAGCACCCAGACCCTTGGGTTGTCACCAGCATCGCCCCGAAACACGAGATCAAACACCCAACTCGTCAGCAACCTCGTCGGCAAGGGAATCCGTCCCAGCCAGGCGGAACACGCCAGCTTCTTCACCATGCCACAGGGACAGGAGTACTTGCCAGAACATCCCAACATCGTGGAAGACCCCACCAAGATCACCGACTTCGACGCCCTCACCTACCCGGTCGAGGTCCCCAGCGGGAAACGGGGCGTGAACAAGCAATGCGTAAACGCAGAAGCACTTCGCCAACTGGCCGACGAGATGCGCGGATATCCACTGGTCGACTACGACGCACAACTAGACGAGGCCGTCCAAGCACTTACCGACACCGTGGCCTCCATCAACAAAGCCAAAGAGCTAAGCCTAGAGAAGGCCCAAAAAGACAACCTGAAGAGACTAAGCATCCAATTCGTCCGGGACATCAAAAGAGCGCAAAAAAGTTACTTAAACGGACTCGATGACGTGGGGTTATGAGAGAGAGAGGGGGTATATGTGTCTCTCCAGTGATTTCCAGGTGAAGAAGGGGAGAGGGCCGGGGAGGAAGCTAATTGTCAATATGTCCGGGGAAGAAGATCATCACATATCAAAGAGGAGGATATTTTAAAGTACTTACACACATTTCTTTTGCGTTCCATTGCTTATACGAAGAGGGCGGCATTTTGATATCCCCTAGGCCCATCATGTTAGGTTGCTCAGTCTCTCTGGGGCTTGGCTATCAACGATGGGCTTGTGATGCCGCTCCAAACAGAGGAGGAGTTCTATGTGCCAATTGGTTTTGTTTTCCCTTTTTTTTTCTGGTTTGCTCTCCCGTCTCCCCTTTTCCTATTCATTTCCCCCCACTTCGCAATTCTAGTAGTAGATATAGCTACAGCATGTTGAAGCCATGAGCCAAATCGGCCATACGCATTATGAGAGGTTCATGAGCTTTACGACCTTAACGATTCCTGTCAATATTTTCAATCATTGAGTATACATTATTATATTACTTTGTTCTGAGTTCATCGTGCGGATTGAAATGTCGACATCCTGAGTCAGCTAAGCTCTGCACTCGGCCACCGGGAACAGATGGATTGCTCGAGCCGTAGCGAGACAAACCATGTTGTCTCACGCATCAAAATAAATCACAATGTCTCCCGCGGTGATTGGTTCTCAGAGGCGCGCAAGTAAGGGTGGTGGAACATTTGCAGATTGTCTTTTTCACGAATCTTCTAAAGTACACAAGCCCAAGTACCCGTCACATTCATCTCTACCGCGCCAGATATAGGAGTGGTATATATTTACAAAGTGTCCTTGAGGAGCTTGTTCATCTTGGCCATCTTGGAGGAGACGGAAAGATCAATGGTACGGTCGCCAATCTCAACGACGAGTCCACCCTTGATCTCAGGGTTGACCTTGGAGACGACCTTGAGTCTCTGGCCGTTGGCAACGTAGTCGGACTTGTGGACGGCAGCCTCGAGGCGGGAGAGGGTCTTGTTGTCGAGCGGCTGATGTTCATTCACGTTAGCATGTTGTCCTTTCAATCTGGGGATTCGGTCTCTCGACGCCAAGAGCTCCACATACCGCAGCGCTTGTGACGGTCAATTCGATCTCGCCCCTGTGTGCTCCCATCAAGATGCTGAACTTCTCCACGACACCCTCCAAGGCACCCAATCGGTTGTTCTCAGCCAACGTGGAGAGGAAGTTCTTGACAACACCCTCCTTGTCCTGGGTACCGATGTGCTTGGTCAATTCCGCAATGATCTGGTCCTTGTCCGCGGCGCTGAGAGTGGGAGCGGAGAGGACCTCGGCGAGCTTAGCATCCTTCTTGAAGACGCTGGAGAGGGCCTCGAGAGACTTGGCGGTGGGTTCGAGCGTGCTGGTCTTTGCGGCGGCAGTGAACTGTACGGAAGAGAAAAAAAATCATAACTGTCAGCGAATGGTCCAATTCTTTCAATTGCGCAAACAATCCATCTCCGAATCATTCGGCATGACTCGGGATGGACCATGGACATGTCGTACCAGAGCGCTAGCATAGGTTCCATCAATGCCAAAGAGGGCAACGGGAGGTCTCGTCGATGTGTTGGTGCTGGCGGGCGCCGCTGGGGCAGCAGCTGCGTAGCTTCGGACGGCGGCGACGCGGGCAACAATGGGTGCGCGGGGGGCACCAGCTCGGAGAGCGGTGGTGAGAGCTCTGCTCGCGAACATTTTGGGCGGAGAGGAGATGGATTGCGGATGGAGGAGCTGGGGGAGGTGGTGGTGATGGGCGGCCGGAGGTTGTGAGGTTTGGACGATTGTCGGCTGCAAAATGGCTTGGCAAGAAGTTCGATTTTGCTGGCCCAAGCTTTGGGTCATTTGGTGCGTGGGTGCGCGGCTTCATCCGTGATATCTTTAATCCAATATCGAGTACCCAACAACCTACGTATTTGAAGAAGTTCACCGCTTTCAAAAGTCAAGATTTGATATCAATTAATGCACACGAATACTAAACCTGATCTCAACATCGATCCGAGACTGAAAGCATATACTGACAGTAGCGCCAATTACTTCCAGGACTGTCTTCTCTTACCTTTTACATGCCATGCTCAGGTAAACATTCGGGAGGCTTCATCTTATTAAAAGCCTTCAATTATTGGAAAAGAGCTATTCAAGTAAACCGAAAAAATGAAATCACCTTTCGCTACTATCGTACAGTATCCTCGTACCCTCCCAGGTGCGAAGACATAAAAACTCAGACGCTACACATGCATGTACATCTCCTATGCAGATCGAAATTCTCACTCTCAGGTAGATGAATCCTATTTTGATACATTCAGTGAACGACCGGCCATATGATGAACGCCCACCTTCACCTGCCCTTGCCAACACTTCATAAAGCGGTGAACACAGGAGAGAGCATCACTCTTTGCGATGGCCAGTTCACCTTCACCCCGATTCTCTATATAAGATGAAGTCGTCCAATTGCTTCTTCGTCCAACTTGACTTCTCAAGCCCTTCATCCACATCGCCAGTTCTGAGCCTCTCTGCAACATTACCCTTGAGCATTCCACAATGGCTTCCTTTGTAAGGGCGAAAACACCAGACAACGTCAATGCTACCCAGCTACTCACCCCTCCACCCACAGCAGGCCTTCCGAAGCGCGTGCGTTTCAGTGGCGAGCACGACGACGAGCGGGAGATGAAGAGAATAATGCTGGACTTGGATGGAGAAGGAGAACAAAATTTCGCCTCATCGGCAGGAAGCTCAGCATATCTTGATGGAGGATTTGGTGGCCCGCTCGAGGATATGCAGATAAAGACGATCTATGGGGCTCATACTCATGATGTCAAAAATCCTCTACGGCGCCCAAAAAGAGCATTCCCGACTCCGCCGATCAGCCCTTGCAGCAACGAGGGAGACTTTGATGCGGCACCTCCAAGCCTTGATCGCAAATCTCAGTCAATCCAAGCTTCCAAACTATTCAACTTCATGGGTTTACCATTGAAGGTAAGAGAGATCATATACGGAGATCTTCTTACCGTGCCGAGCCTGATCTGTCTTCGTCAAAACCAGACCGTGCACTCCAAGGAAGACGGTGCCTATGTGTTCGCTGAGCACAGAGAGTTGCTGTCGGGGATCTCATTTGCGCTCACTCAAACTGCCGTTGACGGCTTGAAGTCGCGAGTCCACCGTCACGAGTCCTTCAATATCGCCATTCTTCGCGTCAGTCGGCAAGTCTTCACTGAGACTCGAAAGGTCTTCTACGGATGTAATGAGTTCCAGCTCTTCAATCGCACTCCGGAGACATCCCCTCCAGTTGACTTCTCCGTTCCCCTGTTTCCGCCTGGCTATGCGAGATTCGTCAAGAACATCACAATCTGCGCGCATCATGTCTATGGCCTAGGTTATCTTCTAAAAGGGGGTCATAAAGACCTGAAGAACCGCTACAGGAATCTACAAAGGCTGACCCTGGTTCTGGAATTAGAAAGCAGCATCAAGAACTACGGGAAGCAGTTCACACGTGCTCGTAGCGAAGACTGGCCGACGTATGTAGCGCGTGTCCAAGCCATTCTCCAGCAGGAGACATACAATTGTCAAGGCATCTCGAAGTCGGTCCCGTCATGGGTTGAATTGAAGGCACTCTTCATCGGCGACAGATACATTGAAGGCCACAAGAATTCGAACATCAACCGGCCTACTCTAGTGGCCAGTGACGAACTAACCAGACGGGCAGAGATCAAGAGCGCTATCACAGACGCCTTCAACCATTTCAAACGGTCTTATTGAATTTGTATCGCAAATCCACCCCCTTCACTCGGGGTCAGACGACACTTCTTTGACGTGGGGCACTCGATATGTTTGCAGAGTGCCTTCGAACTTTTGACGGAGACGGTTTTGAACGTTGCGGATCGCGCCTAGTAATAGCGGGCTTCCCTATCCGCTAAGGTAGGTGGATCGAATTTGAGTTAACGGAAAAGATTTCACGGAAAACAGCACTGGGAGAAATTTGAGCAAAGGGCGAGTGCATTCTGCACATCATTCCGTCGTGTCTATGATGGTTTCGCCAAGTACTCCCTTTCGGCAATGAGCTGAAGAAAGGTAAAGTGGCATCGAATTAGGGGATATAGATCTTCAGGAAAGTAGTTCGTTCAAAGTAAGAAAAATAAGCAATGGTCAGATCAATGGCGAGGTAACGTCTTTATCACGTAATTCAGATTTCATGATTGCATATCCGTGGTATCTAGAGAAATGGCATTACTCTGCCAGGTTCATTCATGGCATTGAGACTATGCAGACCAGATACCGAAATGAAGACCCAATTTTTTGCCCCGACCGATGCACCGAGACCTACCAAAAACATTCCTCTACTTCCTGAGGAGACGCTGGTAGAAGGCGAGCTCTTCACCCTCGAGGATGTATCCATCGACACGACCGCTCTGGCCGGGCCTGGAAGAGACAACGGCGTAGAGACGACCGGCCTCGAACTGGCGCTCGAGAGCGGACTCGGCCTTGCCGGACTCCTTGAAGCGGTCGGCCTGCTTCTTCTCGACGCTCTTGGACTTCTTCTTGTCCTCCTCCTTCTCGCCGGACTTGGCCTGCCTCCTGCGGCCAAGAGAGGAACCGTAGTGGGCCTCGTACCATTGACGGAAAGGAGCGGCGTCGACCTGGACGACGGCAGACTTGGTGAGGGAGTTTGTGCGGACGAGCTCGTTGTTGGAAGGGTCTAAGGAAAAGATTGTTTGTTAGTATGCACATTGATGATAAAATGTTGATTTTCGTCTCCAGTTCGACATGCAATCCAACGTATATGGCAGATAAGTAAATGCGTCACTCGGGAAGTCGTTTGCCTGTGACTGCCTTGTATGGTGCATGCGATCGAGAGACGACGGAATATAGGGATTTCACGTACGGTAGACGACACCGATCACACGGGTCTTCTTGGCGACACCCTCGGAACCCCAGGAGAAGTTACCGGAGTCGAGACGGAGGGCTGGTCAAGAGTTAGTTGACAGAACTACGAAGTACAATCATATAGTACTGACCTCGGAATTTGCGGTTTCCACCACGGGTGCGGACAAGATGGATACGCTTGGCACCAATACGGGTGGCAGCGGGCTGGCGGCCCTTCTCGAAAGCCCTTCGCTGATTTAGCAAAGGGTCTCAAAAGCGCAGTGATTCTTTTTCAAGAAATCAAAGAGCGATTGGGTTATGCATACCTCTTCTTGCGGTAGTAGGCACGCTTAGCACCAGAGGCGCTTCGCTTATGGCGAGTGTCGCGTGAGATACTATGGGATGTTAGCAATGCTAGATGCAATGCGTTTGGACTATGAGTTCAAATACCCCATGATTACGTTCGGCTAGAAGACTAAATGTGACTGTTAGCATATGTTGGCGGTAGAAAGAAGGTCGCCATCGTTCAGCATGCAAGCTTTGCACAAGTAGCAAGAGATATCCCTAATGGTACGACCACCGAAGCTTTTTTTACAACCATATCCCCATATCCCAATTGACAGTCGTCGAAAATTTACGGCTTCGCTGTCGAGGTTGGTGGGAAGGTGTGGGAAGGTGGACATATAGAAAGCGACGGTAGAAGCCCGCTGGCTATGATCTCGAGCTCGTGTGCTGCTTGATGCTTCGATGCGACGTTTGACGATGAGTACTAACCTGCGTGTCGGGGTCTTCTGGGCGATCGGGTGTGTTGTTGTCGATGGTCTCGTGGAAGTTCTACAGTCGAAGTTCTCAAATTCAAACTCGGTGGGATTTCTCGCTTACTGGATACCACGCCTTTCCACAAACATGCTAGCCCCGCGCTAGTCTCGTTTTGGACTGCACTTATACCCTCCCATCTGGCATCTACACAGTCACGACAGCACAGTAGAGACAGAAATTATCGAACATCGTGTTCTAGTTCTCTCGATTGTTCGGATACCATTGCACGACCTTCTAATGTATTGGTCACGGTTTTCATCTCATTTCTTCCAGGAACATTTGCCTCTTTGTCGTTGTCCACTTTCAGTCTCATGTCACCAGAATCGACGCTGACCTGCAAATCTACCACTTTCTTCTTTAGCCGCCATCATGATTCACACCACGACCTCATTGGGGTCGGCTTAAAGGTGAAGTCTCTCGGAACTTTTCCATAATCCAAATCACGGCATCTGCTCGGAACAGAGGACGCTTGCCCCTTCTCACCAATATTAGCTACGTGCTCACAAGGACACCAATGCCAGTTGTATATGGTAGGATACGGATCGTTGGGGACTTGCTTACATGCAAGGCATAGAACTCATGCACAAGCTACTGTCTAGAAATATTATGCAATTGCAGTGCGAGTCACTACGAATAACTAGAATCACCAAGCTTCATTTACCGCTCCACACGCCAGCGATGGCAACACGCGCCCTACCAATCTGGAGCAAGCCACAGGCAGTTTCATGAGTACTAGTAACACCCAGTATATCCTCTGTAGAACACACTGTTGATTTCAATAAGTGTGGATTCGTGTAGGAGCATTACTACAGAACGACACAGTTTCACAATCACGGTCAAGTGCATACTCTAAACATCAATTCCCTCCCTTGCCTGCGACTGTGGAGAGATGTTCGCCGTACACTCCAATACATATCTCGTATTTCAATCTTCTCATGGAATTTTCAACAAATAGTCCAAACCCTTCCTCATTATTTAATCGCATCCCTCTGACAGCGACATGATAGACCCAATGACATGTGAACTCGAGGTGCCATCAATTGGTCGATTGCGATGCTGACTTTGCAACGTTTCTGGCCTGTCCCACACCATCATTGGACTATCTACCGGCTGATTGTCTGGTAATTCCTTCCAGCGGTCCGGAAAGCCCGCACCCGGGCATTGGCGTCGCCAGTATTTCACAAAAGCTCCCGTTCTGCCCAAAAAGATCAGCCTTTGATGGACTGGGCAAAGTCTGGGTTTCACAAGTTGCTAAAAGAGTCAGCTTTAAGTGCTGTACCGAACTCTAGATTATTTTGTTACAGACATCAAAGAACGGGGCACCGCAATGTATAGAAGAATGAAGAGAGAATTGTTACACCTTTCGTAAGTGTTCGTGCTCCTCACTTGTTACCGTTCAACCAGGCCATGATATGCCGGGCTCTTTGCTCGCACTTGCGTCTCATCTGATACATAACTATCATCTCTTCACCCGCCGCCACGCAACCAAATGTTTGGTAGAAGCTATTGATTCCATGACCACTCAGACAGCGATCAAGGTGCCATAGTTCGCTAATGTACATATCACGGGGTAAAGCCCTTGAGATCGATCGGAGGACGTATCACAGCACGATCTGGCTCGCTTGTAATTTATCCCATGCAACACCAAACCCCCCCATGCTCGGGATAATCCTACTCGACAGTGCCCCTCTTCGAGATTATCATGCCGGAATAATAAATAGCAATCTATGTAATCTCTATATAATGTTGTTCTCGACTCGACTTTCTATCATCAGCCGACAGCTTGTTATTGCAGCGTGAGATGGAAGACGGAGATTTCTCATTCACTATGTATTGATTGCACACCCTTGGCCCAAGACAGTCTGGGCACATACTGCTCATTGAACGTGTTCTCCTTAACTATCTGTAAGAATCTCGCTTTTGTTCGTGGTCGATGTCTTGACCGTCTTTCCCGCCAGTGTATTTCGTTTGCCTGTTCCCCAATCCCAATATGTCGGCAGACCGTCATAGAATTGCCTGCCGGCCCACCACACAATCTCTGTTGTGGTCACTATGTTTGTGGACATCATGGGCACAAGGCACTGCAGCCGTGGCCCAAGGAGGTACGCGTCTTACAGAATGTTTCACAATCACTGTACATGGGACCCATAGATGCGGGACCCAGGTCAAACAGCGAGGAGGAAGCAGGACCATTCTTCTGAACATTCTTATCCGCTGTATATATCGTGGCCGGTTGTGGAGAGACGACACTGGTGAAGCATGAAATTGACTCTAACATTTATAGGCCTCATACCGTCTGCACCACCTATCGAATCCCGTCCTCAAGGCCTGATACCCTCACAGCCTCCAGGCATCATACCTTCTCAACCTCCCCCTGAAGTCATCCCTTCTCAACCTCCTCCAGGAATAATACCTTCGCAGTCTCCTCCAGGATTAATACCTTCACAATCTCCCCCAGGCATAATACCTTCCCAACCACCTCCAGAGATAATACCATCTCAGCGACCACCTGGAATCATTCCATCTCAGCCTGTACCACAAATCACATCCTCTCCCCCACAACCTAGTCTGATACCATCTGCCCCAATTCCATCAGACCCGATACCTTCACAACCGGTACCGACATTCTTGTCTTCTGGAAGCTTACCAGGTCTCATACCAACTGCAGCTCCATCGCCAAGCGGCACTCATGTAGTGACAACGACCAGCGCCTCGATGGTATCGACCGATAACTGGGTTCGACCGATACCACCTGCCGAAACAACTCCAGGGAATCCTAATGGCCATCATGAGGTTTCGGCACCAAATTTCTCCAAAACCGCATCGTGCAAAGGTTGCTCACCATTAATCGAAGTTCCCGCCACGGGCTGGTTTGACTGGCCTTCTACTCCCATACCTGAACATGCTGGCTCTTCTACCACCCCGTCACCTAACAAGGCAACTGTCATTGCTGGTACATCGGCGGTTATCGTCGACCAAGATCCCTCGTCCAGTGGGAACTTCATTATTGGGGGTTCCACGACAGTAAGAGCAGGCCAAACTGTAATTGTGGACAACACACCAATCGCAGTTCACACATCATCGGGCCATACGGCAATAGTGGTTGGCGATTCCACTACATTACCGTTCGTCCCAAGCCCCCCACAAGTCCCGCAAAGTCAAATCACCGAAGCACCATTGCTCCTGCCCGTTACCGTTGGGGACAAAACCATTACTGCAAATCCGCAATCTGAGTACATCATAGAAGGGCAAACATTACAGCCTGGAGGTGCCCCTATTACTGTCGATGGAAGTACGGTGTCACTGGCTCCATCCGCTACAGCCATTGTCATCAATGGCGTTACCAGCACCATTGCTCAGGTCTATGGCGCGGTGTATACCACTATCGAATACCCTTTCCTGACGCTGAATAACCAAGTGTTTACTGCGAACCGGGCCGGCTACTATGTTCTCGCGCCGGGCACAACCCTCATTCCTGGGGGATCACCGGTGACTGTTTCTGGGACAGTCGTTAGTCTCGAACCGTACGGCACAGTTGCTGTCATTCAAGGCTCACAGAGCACACTGGCTCCAGTCACGACGATAGTCACACTGACTCGGGGGGGCGGTTTCGGGGGTGGAGGCAATGGAGTGGGGGCGACGTCAGATGGAGGTGTTCCATTGCCTTTTCCAACGGGCAGCGCTGCCAATGTGATCCGTGTACCAACAACAATAGACGCCCACGGATGGCCAGAAGGCATTTTCGTGATGTTTGTTATAGCGCTCGGCTGGTTGACCGTGTGGCTCTGAGTAAGTTCTCACACGCAAGTCAATTTGCTATGAACCCAAAACTGCAGATCATGTATTATGAAGAATACCCAATTCACGGTGACAGTATATATTTATTTGAAGGATTCATATCACACCAAGGCATTAGCATTGGGCAGTTGATGCCATTACAAGAATAGATTAAAGGAATTGTATATATCTGGAACAGGTTCCCGATCGTCTGACTATGCATTTAGACCCTTCATTAGTGATAGTTAAGCTGTTTATACAATAATTTTGCCTTCAAAAATGCCATGAGCTACCCCAATAAGAAAGCGCCACACCACTTTTCTGGCGTGGCTAGATCAATCTTAAAGGGAAACGCTGGAGTTCCATATAGCCATGCACGGATTCCCAACTGCTAACCATCACTTGTGACAAACTGCGAGAATGGTTCCGTAGGGGAGGCTTCAGATTGACCCCAGCAATGGGAAGAGGCCTATCAAAACGATGGGACTGTCGCTTGGCCCGGAATGTCTGCTGGTATCCGCCGGTCTGCATTCTCTCAGGTCCCTAACCCGTTCAACGAGTGAGTGTAGGGGGCAATGGTCAGATACCTAGATGTTGCTACATCGCTTCACTAGCAGACAAATTCGACACTGTAGATGTGTACGTTTACGTTTGATAGACCGGGAAAGACCATACAGAGACCTAGGTCCAACAAGACTGGAGGTGTGACGGTAATGCATTTATTCAAGATTTTCGTGCCTCAGAGTTTCCTAAAGTTTCCCGGGTATCTATGGCGCCATATAGAAACATTATGATTTTGATGGGATGTTCCAAGAGTGAGCGATCCGGCTCAACTCGCTTGGACATGCGCAAGTGTTGTCCTGCCCAGGCCCTCCCGCGCGTAAAAGTCCATTGGGTATAGATTTCTCCTTTGCTCAATTTTCTGCCCAGGATCTTCCTCTTCTAACCACGGCGCATCTTTCACGCCTAACGCAACCAGGGCCTCGTAAGGACTTAGAAGAGGTCGGGGGAATGCATATCCCCAGTCAATACTTAATCGTGGGCACGCAATCTGTACCCAGGCTTCGACGTCCGACATCATTCCCAATTTACCGGGGAAAATCTCCGACAATAGCAGATTTACGGATTTGAGCCCTTGGCGCTTCAATTCTTTTTCGATGAGTGTCAATGTGTGCGGATTTCCCTGGCGGCCAAGAGAGCCAAGTATAATTCCCCATGTACGTGCCTTACGAGCAGTGAGAATCGCTGTACGTCGCAAAGAGTAAAGAGATTCATGTTCGTAAGTTTCGTGAGTGAGTCGCCGCGAGTAAGGATCATATCGATAGGCTGGCAAGGACGGATTGGCGATCATGGCACTTTCAAGATGGAATCTGCCATCTCCTAGATATAGTAGCAGATCAGGGACTTCTTGTTCCCTGCCTTTCGCATCAAACTGGCCAGGCTTTATGGCCATCGAAGGTGATGTACAACCTAAAATCTCTCCTTTCGAAAGCGGCGCGATTTGTGGAACGATTGGATTGTAGCCCTCACGGCGAAGGATAGATACGATTCCATGGATAGTGGCGTTGAATTGAATAGTACCAACCAGGGCTATTGTCTTTCCCGTTGGGAAATTCTGAGTTATGGTGTTGAGAAGATGTTGGGTATCAATACTGATTGCAACAAATATGTATAGAGTTGCGATTTTTGTCACGGCCACTGGTATCAGACAACTATGAGCGTAGTGTATGAGCAGATCACAGCCCAATGCACGAGCTGTGAAGTCATCTATACAGCATGCTCCGTAGGTCACATCCCCCATTATCAGCGTGGTCGTACCCGGACAGAATTGTGTGAGGATATCGGAAATGGTGGTCGCGAAAAGGAGAAGGCCTTCAGGAAATTGTAGGGCAATGGATTTCGCGCCCGACGATCGGATACGGTGTATACACTTGTGGATCTCGAAATTATAGTTAGGCGGGAGCAACGCGATTGCATCGTTTATGTCTTTGTCGTGGAGGATGGACTCGGGTATGGCATTCAAAGCGCGGGCGCTGCGTCGTGGTTGAGCAACTATATTCGATGTTAGCACTATGAAGGGCATAAAAGGGGTTTCAACAAGTCTTCGAACCTTGTATAGCACTACTATCTTCGATATTTGCATTTGGATCTGATGCTTGCTCAGTTGCGACCCCAGCGGCCTTTCGCCCCACAAAGCGACGCTTCGGCTGCTTGGACACAACAGGAGGCTCTTCTGTAATGTCATTCTCTAACTCAGGGCCAAGATTAGTCGCTGCCCTGTCTTCCTCCATTTTTTCGAGCGATCCGTCGTCAGTTGGTGGTGGGGTGATGGTGATGATGATGGGACATCCGTTGCGGGCATGGCGGGGCTCAAAAAAAAGTTCCGCCTCTCAAATACCTGTTGCAGTGGTCTACAGTTCCCCATAGTGAATAATACCAACATTGCGTAAATTACTCATTATATATTTGCCTGTAACTCAGTAGTTTTCAAGAACTCCAGTACGTATTGAATTGCAATTTCGATAGGATGATGTTGGTTTAATGCGTCAATGTCCAGTTCTATGAAACATGGATCATGTGATCACGCGAAGTCCACTTGTGAAGATTCACGCGAACGAACCCATTTATGCATTCTCCCTTTCTTCCGATTCCTCATCGCTTGAAGATGAGTCGAGATTGTAGCGGCTAATTCTCGATTGATCTTTCGCCTGATGGATGCAATATCACTGTCTGAATCATATGTGCGACATGTCTTCAATGCGATCTTCTTCACAAAGTTTGATCTGTTTACTACATAATGGAGCGAGTATAGCCAATGAACCAAAAATTACTTACGTAGAGCTTTAGAACACTTATGTTTGAAATTAGCTACACGCCAAAGGCCTAATGTGACCGAGGAAAAGTTGTGGATAATGGTTTTCCGCCAATTTTCTAGCATCGGTTGTCATTTTCCGTAATGACGATGTTCCAACAGTTAAGCTCCCATACACCACCCATCTCCAATTTCATGCAAACTTTACGTTCGCTACCTCGCAAAATCGAGTAACAGTCATCCTTCGGCCGAGCTGCTTTGATTAACCCCGCTGCAATCGTTTCTGTGGTTTGTGCCTTGCCCCTGTGGCCCTTGTATACTCCGTCTTTCACTCTTATTATGAGTAAAGGCACAGACTCTTTTCCAGGCCATACAACATGCCTGATGAGAAGCCTAGAGTCAAACATGGCTCAGAGCATAGTTTGCCCGGTGGCGTGAACGAAGATATCGTAGCACTGCCCGCCACAGATAGCGATAGTATACGGGGCGAGAAGTCGAATCCGGCTACCTCTACGAGCGGAGACCGGGCTCTCGTGTTGATGGACTTGGAGAATGGACTCGTTGGTTGGGAAAATGCTGAAGATCCTGAAAACCCACAGTATGTGTCTTCTTCAGCCGGACACGAGAATTGATCAGATTTTAATTTGCTACAGGAATTGGACTTTGAAAAAGAAATGGATGCTTATGTTTTGGATGGGCTCCATGTCAACCTTTTCACCTATGATGTCTTCCTTGTGTGCACCGGGAACATCATTGACTCTCGATGAGTATGGAATAAGCTCAAGGACCCTCGGAACTCTCATGATCTCCATCTTCGTCCTTGGTTATGCTGTTGGACCTTTGTTCCTAGCACCTTTATCAGAGATGTATGGTCGTGTTCCCGTAATCAATGCTTCAAGTGCATTCTTCAATCTTTTCATTCTTGGATGTAGCTTTGCACCGAACATGCCGAGTCTGATCATCATGCGTCTTCTATCTGGAATAGGAGGCTCGGCAGTAATGACAATTGTTTCAGCTGTGATAGGAGATGCTTTCCGAGTACACGAGCGTGCTGCAGTATCGTCCGTTGTGATCGGAACACCCTCGTTGGCCCCTATAGGTACGTGTCATATGCCCACTTCTTCTTTTGCAGACCTAACACCTAGACAGTGGGTCCAATTGCAGGAGGATTCATATCACAGCACCTTGGATGGCGTTGGGGTATGTCATGTGCAGGCTTCTATTACCTACAATAATAGCTGACACCGGAAAGCTTACTGGATTCTCCTCATGGCAAGTGGACCACTCAACATCTTTATGATATTTCTCATGAAAGAGTCCAATCATCCTACTATTCTTCAGAAGAAGACGAATCGATTAAAGAAAGAACTTGGCCGCGATGATTTGCGGTCTCAATTAGAAATGCCTCTGCCTCCGCGAGCTATCCTTACGCGAAGCATTGTTCGCCCAATCAAGGTATTTTGAAGTATTCACAACACAGGGCCACGTTCCTAACTGTGGTTATAGTTTCTCTTTAGGTCACCCATAGCATTCCTTATCTCGTTGTATGTCAGCATTGTCTATGGTACTTTATGTGAGTAAACCCTGGGCAAGGATTCCGGCGCAAGCTGAACTGAAAAGATTTGTTATTCACTTCTATACCCGACGTCTTTCAAGATACATACGACTTTGGTATACAGTACACTGGGCTCGCATATCTCGGACGTAGGTCATTTTACTTGTATTCATAAGCTTTCTACACGTATCTCTGCTAACCATTAGATAGTTGGCTTAGGCATGTTTGTAAGTTTATCATATCAATATCTGGCTGACAATCTTAGTAACACGAACAGATTGCTTTAGGTTTCATCATGAAGTACAACGATCGCACTGTTGTTTGCCTGCGCGAAAGGAATGGTGGTGTTTTCGAGCGTAAGTATCTTCATATAGTTCTCCGCTAAAGTAGCTTCTGACATGAGCAGCCGAAATGCGTCTCGCAACAACCATCTATTTTGCCCCATTCATGCCCGTCTCCCTCTTCATCTACGGCTGGACTGCCAGACAGAATATACACTGGATTGTTCCATGTCTCTCCTTCATACTGTACGGCTTTGGCATACTAGGGATCTTCGTTCCGTGTCAGACATACATGGTCGACGCCTTCCTGACCACTGCCGCCTCCGCAGTTGCTGCATTGGTATGCTTGAGAAGTGTTTTCGGCGCCTTCTTGCCACTGATTGGCCCTAAAGTCTACGAGAGTCTAGGAATGGGATGGGGCAATAGTCTCTTAGGATTTGTAACTATTGCCGTCACACCTGTTCCATTCATGTTCTTAAAATGGGGTGGTTATATTAGGAAAAAGTATCCGGTCGATGTGTAAAAGTCTCCAATGGATACCCCTATCACCACTTCTGGTCCAGTAATTAACCTCTCTGATCTTATTTTCCAATACTCTATTTCCCTCCTGTGCTCGGCTTTATAATATTTTTACTCAGAGCCTCGTCGATGAATCCCTTCCAAAAGGCTTCAATAGCTTCCCATGCCACACCCCTTCTCATCCCAGTCTGATCATCCCAACTAGAGTGCAAGCCAACCAACTCGCCACGCTTTTCATCTACGAGAGGTGCACCTGAATGTCCCCAGTACGTCCAACAATCGTGCATCAACGCCCCGATTTCGCTATTGTCATGCACATCCTGTCCTTTGGCGATCCCTCTGTATCTGCCTTCGCTGATATGTAAGACATCATATCCTGTTGGCACTCCTTTTTGTGCAAGCTCCAGATCCTCAGCACCTGGGTGTCCAATGCAGAGTAGACGAGCCCTGAGTGATGGAGCAATAGAGGTGAGAGAGATGAAAGGGAAGTTGGGTTCCGCCGTTGACTGTGCACTTTCTTCGTTGAGCGACTGGGCCGCCACTACTTGAAGGAGGGCAAGGTCACGTTTAGAATCCCATTTGATAGGTTTTGCTTGCACGACACGGCCGGAGGCAAAAATAAGCCAAGATACTTTTTCCATATCAAGCTCATCCTCGGTTTCGGCAACACAATGTGAGCATGTCAATAAAAGACCACTTGAAGATATGCAAACAGCAGTCCCCTGGAGAGAGTCAACATCATCGATCCGTGTATACATTCAATTTGACTAGCATAATCATATATATTTCAACCAACTTACAGCTGCTTCTTGAGCGAATATTAGTGTAGCATCAACAGCTAATCTCAGTTGTGAATATGAAGTAGAGGATGGCGAGCAGTAACTTAAGAGACCGTGCACACCGGTCTCTCGTTTTGTAAGTGCCTGTCGCTTATGATCAAGCAGTTTGCGAGCTTTCCCTTTGAGACCAGGAAGTTGGGTCGGAAGCTTCCACGGGATCACATCAATTGCATTGCTGCGAAGAATTGTCGTGAAAGGCTCCTCGCTGTTGGTGCTAGATTGTGAGGCAGATGATACATTTGTGGCAATTTTGTTCTCAGAATCTTCTTCGATATTTTGCTCGACCCTCTGCTTTTGGTGTCGAGCACTCCTCCGCAGCGGCAAAGTAATATTAGTTGCCATGGTAAATTGCGGTGCTTGTAAGTTCTTTCCAGGTACGATTCACGATGGGGATAAACGGAATGTGGATAGATGTGGTAGCAGACAAAGTCGGAAAATATACAAGCGCGGAACTCATCACTCTCATAGAAAAGGTTTTATAGGGAAAGAAAGCAAGGCATTAGGCAGCCATCTCTTTCGGCAGATATTTTATAATGGTGGTTGGTGGCTGTGTCAATCGATAGCTGCACTAACAGTGTATTTACAACTAGGCCAAAATATATCTATATACTGTTGTTATACATAGACCAAGTTCCACATCCAAGCAATGCATGAGCCAAAAAAAAACCTATGCCAAATACCCATTTGATTGAGATATCTTGACAAGACATTGATTGCAAAGGCAAAAAAAGATACGACGTGGGCCAGATTCGAACTGACGCTCCCGAAGGAACAAGATTTCTAGTCTTGCGCGATAACCACTCCGCCACCACGCCGAAAGGGGTCTTGAAAGATCTTAAAGGACTCTCATCCTCAAGATTTAGTGACTCAGCCGAGGTTTGAACTCGGGACCTTCAGTGTGCTAATCGAATGTTAGACTGACGTGATAACCAACTACACCACCGAGCCATTTGATTGATGAAGATTTTGAAACTTAGTCAAGATATATAGTAGTCAAAAGTGTAGCAAACAGAAATTGATACTCAATCGTTCACTCAAGGCATTCTCGCAAAGGGTTGCAGGTCGGGCAATGAGTCTGTGTGAGAAAAATTATCTAGCGAGATCGCCAATTTCGGACTCAGTGGCAGATCATTGGAAGAAGTCTAGGCCAGACAGGCAAGCACTAATAGTTTAGCGCCAGTGATTGCCAACAGCGAAAGTAGGGAGCGCAAGTCAGTTCACGGTGAGATATAACATAGCTAAGCATCGAAAAATCCATATTATGTATAAAACTACAGTTTCGCCAGAAAGAAAAGGCATTACAACGTAAACTACTATTCTGTTACAGTGGGTGAATGCTTTTCATCATTCAAGGGCAACCACACTACAGGAAACCTGTGGAGCCCGAAGCAAAACGCCATCCAGTCGATGCCTTCGACATGGAAATCCCTACCCGTGAAAGAAATGCCGCCTGTAACGCCATGAAAATGCTGGATTCCTACGACCTAGCGCACGAGCTTGACAGGCTCTCCTGATAATACTTGCCTCACGGTATCTTAGGAGTCTGCGTTTGATGCAGCAGGGGGTGGCGATCGTCCGTCTCCTTTACCCATGGAGAGTTTGATCTTCTTCGCCTTGGGCGCGCCGTCTTCATTATCCTCGCGCTCTCTCTTCTCAGGCTTTGCTGACCCTTCCCTGCCCTTTCTCTCGGCATTTTTAAGGTTCTCTTTGCTTGAATTGGTCTTCAACTTGACTTTCAACGATCCTGAATCTTTCGATAACCGGTCGGCCTTTTTGATGTACGAGCTTTTCTTCTTTTTCTTCTTATCTGGCGTATCATTGTCTCCCTCATCGTCATCGTCTGGCATTTTCTTCACAGGGCTCACACCTTTACTCTTCACTTTCGAAGAGCCTTCGGCTTGCGATCCTGGAGCAGGGGTGCCCATCCGGCTTCCCAGAGGTGTGTTACCCGCTCCAGTCCCTGTACCGTTCTGACCGGCGAGTTTTGCCATGGCATTGCGAGAGCTCTGTCGCCCGCTAATACCAAGACATTTCTCAAGATGCTGCGCAAATCTTGTAATAAGAAGACTCCTCTTACAACTTGGACACGTGTGCCATGGGACGTATGACGCTGGCTTTCCTCCTGTATTGAGCTTGATCTCTTTGCCCTGGGTGTCACCACCTGCCATATCTGTGTCTTGCGAATTCGGGGTGCCGACACTCTCCTTTTCCGCATTCTTTTGTTGTTGTTTTATCAATTCTCGCTCCTTCTTGCTCTTCGCCATGTCGGTCGGGAACGGGTTTCCGTAAACATCGTGCCCCGTTTGTTGCACGAACGGATACAGTTTACAATACTCTCGTGTCAGATCTGGGTTCTGCATGCCCTTTCCCATGATCGGATGCATCAGCCGTGGCAGTTTGCAATGCGGACACACGATCTCCGGTGTAGTCTTGAGAGGATTGCCTTTCAAGTAGACCTGTCCATTCTCGTACTTCGCAGCCGGGGTCTCTGCAGTGGGAACTGAGCTCTGGCTACTCGATCCTTTCACTTGTGATGACGGTTCGAGTGTAGATAGTGCGATCGACTCGGCCTGGGTCGCAGCGGACTGCATTCGGAGCAGCTTTTCTGAACGATGGCATGATAGCGCTGTGTTGAATATGATGTTTTGAACTGTTTCTTCGAGTACGTCCGCCGTCTATATAGATGACCGTCATTCAGCAATGGCCTTTAATAGCTCTTGAGTTGTGAGGCTCGTCTTACCAAGTCTGCCAGCGCGCCCGGCGACAGGGCTCCAAGCGCTGCGCCGCCGTCGGTCTTGCCGTCGGCTGCTCTGTCCTCAGACATACTGCTGAGCGACAGCTTTGAGCGCTTCGCAAAGTTTATTATATGGCAGGAGAACTGCCCTGACACGAAACGTGAAGTGGTTGTAAAGGGTTCGGAACGGGGAGATGAAGATGTGCTCTAGCTGTTCCTGGATTAGCTCCGGATGTCGCAAGGCTGATGCTGACTACAACAAGCCTTGTGAGTGACGATGGATGTGGCTATCAACGATCAAATCAGTACTGTGCAGTCATTGCGCCATAAGACGTGAAAGACATCAAGTATAGATGTAAAACTTGGTTGACATCAGGGACATTACACAAATTCAGATGTAGCGGTTGGAATCATCTTGGTTTGCAATTGCACTACTTCAGGCTATTTTCCATGTTCCCAACCTGCCTAGAGCCTGTCCAGCTTCTCTCACGATACAGATATGCCCTTTGTTAGGTGATAGCCCGTCTTTATCATACAAATCGACGCTTTCCATTACTTTCTGAATAGATAAATTGGCGATCGCACACGGTCGACCTTCTGCGAGATTATAATTGCCCGTCGTTACAAAGCCAATCAGATCGACCTCATCCGGGACGATGGGGTAGTTTGGACTGTTTGCGTTGATGACTCTGTCAGTACTATCCATAGATTCAAGTAGGTTAGCAGCCAGTTTCTTATTACGCGCATTCTTTGATGAAATAGCACTCTGTAGGCTAGCATTCGTGCGCTTTCCTGTAGGTCGTTGTGACTTGCTCGCAGGCTCCGGCAAAAGTGACAGCCATCTTTTCCTCATATCTGGATCAGTCGTTGGTAGCCTGTAAATGCGAGCGCAGGTCTGAGGTGTACCACGTTCGACCATTCGGATACTAGTCGTGAGGAGATATGGCGAGGAAGATATAATGCGCGATGAAGATTGGTCTTCAAGTATGGTGGCAGCAGTTTGGGATGTTGGGTATTGGAACGGTGAGGAAAATTCGTCAGCGTCATTTTTGGGATTTTCCGCGGTCTGTGTCCTCTTTGGTAACAGAGTCTCCCAATGACAAGCCCAAGGATCTCCTATCTCGCCTTTTCTGCCATTACCAAGGTCGAGCGTTTTCCATTCGATCCTTTTTCCCTTGGGCCTCCTGACCCAATCCTGTTGTCGAGCTTGCCGTTCCTGAAGCTCCCATGACCAGCCTGCATCAGTGCCCGGAAAATCTCGGGGGAATGAGGGCTCAGATCGCTCGAATTCAACCTGCTGCCTTTGGAGGAGACCTCCAAGGCGCGGATTGCCTCCACTGGAAATCGGGTAGCGCATCAGGCATCTCCAGACAGGCATGACACATTTCCAAGGCAGCAGAACTGTCCATGTTTTGGATCTTTTGGATGTATAGACCATCATGGGGATTTGGGGATCTGTTGGGCGTGCTTCTGGACATAGACCCGGAGGTGCTGCGCTCTTTCGCCGATTGATTGATTTCTGCGATGGCAGGGACCTCCCAGCTGCCAATCTGTTATCGCGATGAAATATGCCTGGACACCCTTGAGTGTGATCGATCGGCCAGGTTGCAAGGATTTGTAGGAGCTGGTTCTCATGCTCGGATGTTTGACTGATTGATGAAGTGGTCAATGGATCTCGAAGACGCGGATCAGATACTGGAAATGCCAACATTGCCCCATTCGGTAGCATGCCAATATCGGTGACTCCTGCGAGCAAAGGCCATAGCGATGAAGGGGACTCAATGCCTTCGTCTGACGCTCCGCCGGGTTTCAAGACTGCGCTGAGAGTCTCTGCTGCTGCGGGACCCATGATCTCTATTGACCCTATCTCAAATCGAAGGTCCTCTACTTTGACGATTGGTTTCTGAATTTTCGAGGCCGCAACAATCCTGTTCCAAACCTGCATAAATGCACTTGGATGAACACGAACAAAGGCCCTTCTGGTTTCATTTTCGGCATTGGGTACATCCCATATGACCGTAACAGGTGCTACCTTGCTTGAAGAATCACCTCCTCTTCTATGAACCCAACCCTCCCAGGCGCGAGAACCAGACTTCCACTTTTTGCTTCGTCTATCGGAGATCCATGGATCTTCCGATTCAGCAGTTGTAAATTGCAAAGTTTGAAGGAGACCCGAAATGCTCGCCTCTGTACCTTCTAGACGGATAGTAGCTATGTAGCTCATGTCCCACGCAACAGCACCTCGTTGAGTCACCGCTCGGTGTGTCAATCGATAAGCTTTTGTAGCTGGCGCTAACGGAATCGCAAATCTCCACATGGGCTCTTTAAAGGGAGTCATCGTGGCACGTTTTGCATGCCACACGTGTGTCGGAAGCCAGGTCTTGTTCAATTGCCGCCTTCGGAATCGCGAAGGCGGTGTTGGAGGTTTCGCCAGCAATACCTTGGTACGCAGTTTCCTCGAGGGTCCAGCAACTGGAGACATTTTGTTTGACGACCCTTTCGATTGTGCACCAAGGCTAGAATGCTCTACTCCTTCCATCTCAGACGTGACTGTCACCTTATTCGCTTCCCCCGCAGCCCTCCTCTTTTCACGATGTTCCCTCGCTTTCTTGGCCTTATCGATGCTCTCTTTTCTCAGCCATTTCTGTTTATTTCCTTTGCCAATACCGCTACCACTTCGATCCTTATGCAATGGCGTATTATCATCGTTTGCTTCCCGTTTAGCCCTAGCCCTTAATCTTTTGGGTACCCGCTGAGGATTATGACTTCCGGTACGTCGTCGCATCTCTCTCGGAACGTCCTGGAATGCCCTGCGAGAGAGTCCTTTCTTCGCAGCCTTGATTCCATTTTCCAGAGCTTTAATCTCATTTTCGTGTGCGCGTAGGAATTTCGATACACTGAGCTCGCCGCCGGGGTACGCGGTTGTTGTGGGCATCGTCGCGATAGTAGGTTTCTGTTTAAGCGGAAATCGTGGTTTTTTGGCGGAGGGTCCGGTCGGTTGCCCATTGGTCTTGCGTTTCTTCATGTTATCCGCCATTTCGGCGTTTTCTTTGGGCAGATTGTAAAGGCCCCAGACCTCTGGGTATGTCGAGTAACTAGGGCACAACCAAAGTGGATTGGCGATTTTCTTGGGCGTCTTTTCGGTGCACGGGCATCTCGCGAACGCACGTGCGGGATGCTACCCCAGATTTTGGAAGACTGAGGACCAAGAGCAGAGTCAACACAAGGAAAAACATATATTGCTATCATCTAATACTACTCATTTATCTACGGTGTTATAATCGGAGGAAAACACGTAATTTATGAGAGAGTTACCAACGCGCATTCCGTGAGTATATGATGCATACATGCTTTTAGATGCATGTAACATTAATGTTAATTGAAAACGAAGTCGATACTTAGCAATAAACACCTAAAAAATCAACGACACAACCTTAGTATAACATCTCCCTTATCACATCATCTAACGAGTTGGGTAGCATTCTTAAGCCTCAGATAGCTCAAATTATCTTCTCAACAGTCTCTTGTCTCTGCATAGCATATGAGATCAAACAGCATCGTAATTCACCGGACCGCGTATTTATCAATGCTCTTTCTTTTTCGCCTACTGCTTACTACGAAATCACGGTCTTGGTGGTATTCCGATTCCAACGCACCTTACTATATAGTCTTTTCGTAGTAGTATTGTCACATGCTATCAATGCATTGACATGATCAATTTAGGGTACATACGGCTTAGAGATAGATCGGCGTAATGCATGAGACACCCTCAATATAAAAAGTATAAAGGTTAGCAGGTGAAATATTACTTGACACCACAGCTGCCTTTTCTAGCCCTGTTCATGAGTTTGTGCAGTCTAAAAAATTTGGTGAGGTTGGAAGGGAGTATTGTCTTAGTGTGACGCAGAACGAGCATTGAAAGTGGTGCCAGAAAAGGAAAGTAACTTGCAGGAAGTATGAAGCGCAGACGATAAAATGGTGTGTATGTGAGGCCGAAAATTTCCAGATCGAAAGTTCTTGAGTCGATGATGTCAAGAAGGTCATATTGTTGATCCTGGATAGATGTCATTGAGCGAGGCGGATGGGCCACGCCTTTTGACACCATCGAGGTCCTATATGCATGAATGATGTGACACCCTTCGAAATTTTACCCTAACATGTGCACTATCAACGGCCATGGAACCATGTGAACATGAAAGATATAGTCATTCTGGTACCATGTTTATCAGTATATATTTGATGTACACTAATAGTAGTTGTGTCGGATACCAATAATGGATCTCTATATACACCGAGTATTAATGTTACTAAAGGTACAGTCAAGCGAAAAATTGGTATAGTGCCCAATGGCAAGAGCCAGATGAAAGGTCCGTCTATATGAGGCTTGGGATGTGCTGTGGTAATTCAGCGACGTAGACCTGATGCAAGAATTGGCATATCAACCAGTGCCAGAGAAGTAAAGAGTAGTATGAACATGATTTGTATGCGGCCAAAGGACCCGTTCGATTCGTCTTGAATCCACGTCCGGTGGTGCATGTGAACTAAAATTGTGAAGCAGCGACCAAGGCATCCATGCCAGAGGAATGGCTGGTGGTGCTGAAAGATCCACCACCCTGCCACTTGGTTCCTAGAGTTGTCATTAGTAGGGCTCACAAGATATCGCCATTTCTTAATGACTTACCGATCACACCATCATTATTCCTAGCCTTCTCCAACACCGACTTGGCGTTCTTCTTCAAGAAATCGACGTAGGCGCCATTTGGAGACTGATGTTGAAGAGCAGCAAGGCCACGAACGAAAACACCTTTGAACTGGGCACCCTGCTCATCGAGGTTCTCAAATAATTCAGTGAGAATGCCATCCTGGGTGAGCGCACCGAAAGCGCCATTTACGATCTTGTTGGCCTCCTCAAGGTACCTGCCATCCCCGGTTGCTCTCGAGAGCTCGGCAAGACCACCTAGGATGACACCTTGATTGTAAGTGAAAACAGGCTTTCCGTCGTTTTTGCAAGTGTTCTTATCAAGGCCGTCGTTGATCGTGTTCTGATCATTGACCACTCCCGAGTTCTTGAACCACTCCCATGTCCTGTAAGCCCAGTCGACGTAGATGTCTCTCACGTTGTCGCCAACACGATTGGCGATATGGGCGGCGACCGAGATGAAAAGTTCGTTCGAAATAGCTGGAACCGATGTATGCCCTTTGTCCCACCAAATTCCACCATTGCATGGAGTTGAGTACCCAGTTGTCATGTCATTGAAGATGTCGATCGCAGTGTTGAGATACTTAATGTCGCCCGTGAGATCGAAACTTGCAATCCAACCAAGCGCCCACCAGCCTTCATCATCATAATAGTCATTCAGCCACTTATTTGCGCCAAGCTGATTCCCTGACTTCTCAAAGGTATTGCCAACAATATTGGCAGCATGTTGCTTGAAATCTGCATCGTATTGTCCGAACCTTGCAATTGTCTCCACAATGTTTCCTGATTGCCACCAGAGATTGTTCCTTTACGAAGTGAGTCCAGTGTCGACCTTAACTGATAACGTTAACCTACCATAAGCCGGTCTCGGTATTATACCATTGCCTTTGTATCAGGTCAATTGCGGCGTGTGCTTCGTTATCATATTCGGCCACGATTTGCTGTGAAAATAGAAGCGGCAAGAGAGCGATGGACCGTTGAAATTTCATTGTGAAGAAACTTAAGCTGTATAGACTGTAGAAGATGAAAGGAATATATTACGAGTAGCAATAGCTAGGTCTGTGAAAAGCAACGAATGGATGAAGCAGGGGCGATGGGTGCTTTGGACTATAAGATGCTTTCGACGATCGACCCCAGAGCTTGCTGCGCCCGATGTACATAAAAGGACATCATGGACTACCAACACTAATGGTGTGTTGATTGTTGGGGAAGCTCTATAAATTTGGTCAAATTCGACTTAGTCTGGCATATATTTCTCATGGCAGGGCCCGCTAGGCAGGGCAAACGAAGGATTGCCCAGGATCTGGTTAAGATGATTGCGGCTCGTGGCGTTGCTGACCTGCACCCGGGCGTATTGTGGACCTTGCAAGATCATGTTCATGTCGCGCGAGAAGTGATCTTCGGACAATATGGAAGTCATTGATTGGATAGTGGTTGAACAGACCCCAAATAAACAGCTATGGCCAGAAAATTAGTGCGGTGAGACTTTGAAACAGAAGCGGTTCTTGAATGGACGTGGCATAGAGGGAAGACAAGGTGAGTCTACGGGCGCTTTTTCGAAACAGACTGATTAAAGTTGCTTGCCCCAGTACGGGTTGGTATGTATCTATATCCGGTATGAAGCACTGCCCATTAGTTCCCAGGTCGGGTATTGTTTGACGATGGAGCAGGTACGGCGCTTACGGGAATCTCCAAGTCGTCGTTCTTAATTGAGACCTGCCAGGGACGCATACCAGTCGGGCGATTTCATAGCACAGGAGAATGTTATGTCCATAGGTTCCAGGGTTGAGGGCTCGTGGTCCGTGTATTGGCAGGATAATGAGAACATAACAACATCTAATGGTCACAAGTTCACAACTAGTTACTTGTAAACCACCTGCAATTGCATACAATACTTCACCCACTTTTCAAAGTTACGAGTAAATTTCCAACACTGGGCTGTGCTCATCAACACAACAGATCCCGGGCCGTTGCCGCTAACGCAGGTGCAGAGAACGCAAAGCGCGTACTGTCTCCGTAGACTAGGCTGCTTCGCAGCTTGACTAATACAGGAACAGATGGTCCAGGCAGTCATATAACCGTGACATTACCTCCATTCAGCCTCGCTGTGGGGGCGAAAGAAGGCGTCGCCAGAGTGCATTAGGCGTAATATCGGTTCGGTATTGCAGTCGGGCGAGAAATAGGAGACCCCAGCATTTCGGGCGAAAGTGACTGCCCAGGGACAAAACAGAAGGTTGCAAAACAGAATCTTGAATCGTGACCCATCAGCACTCGCGCGATGAGCATGAAGCTACTTGCATAGGTCGAAGCTGTATCGTAAGTTGTGTGCTTAAAAGCACTCGTGTGATTGCAAAATGTCTGTTCGGTGCAAATAATGGGTGGGATTGTTTGGTATTGGTGGACGGGCCTCCTCTGATTATTGTGTTAGTAGTACTCGTAGGCAAGATGACGAGCAATCCATTCAACGTTTTTGCCCGTGATCCTTAGATAATAATTCGCCGGTCCAGGATGGACTAATATTGAACGTGACTAGAGGGGTGCTCGGTAGGTCCTCCAGGAGGACTGGATGGCGCATCTCCAACAAGAGAGTGAAATCAGTGAAAGGTGGTGACGGGGGGTTGACGCATGTCCCTTATTGCTTGGGCTCGTGATCACGTGATGGACATCTCACCCAAGCTGCGAGGATGCGCGTAGTTACTCCCATCGATGACCTCCATCTGACTAGTCTACTACTGTGTATAGATATGACGTCGGTGGGGCGGTCGAGCAGATACCACGGGACGGGGTGGGGTGGAATTGTACCTCGTGGGATGGAAAACATGATGGGATTCTTAGCAAATTCGCATCCACGGCACTAGAGGCCGCCAATCGAGATCGCCATGCCTAGAAGGAAAGGGAATCTCATACATTTGCTGTTGTGCCATAGGCTACATTGCTACAGCGAGTGGCAGATGTGACGCGTAGGGCCAGTGGCATCGTCTTGCCGTTTGTTCTACTCCCCAGCAGATTGGCTAGAATGCCACCAAGTCACTGTCACAAGCCAGATTCAATGCCACAGCCGCGAGCGAAACAAGAAACCCACCCACCCACTCTCTCTAAACCTCTATGATCCAAAACTTTGCTCTGCATCGGCTTACCAGTAGGAGAAGGTGTAAGAAGGAGAGAGGAGAGCCCGCCACTCTGCTCCTTCTCATGTTTGTGTTTGCTTGCTGGTCATACACAGCAACTACGCCAGAACGACGTCACTTGCAAACAATAACCACACACACATTCTCTCTCGCACCCGGTGACTTTACTACAAGTACCCCATAAGCTGCTCCTCTCAACCGTCTTTCCTACAACACAACAGCTTGACCACTTCACCTCAATCTTAAAAACTTCTTCTCAAATCAAACCACCAACTACCATCCACCTCTTTACCAAACATGTCTGATCTCGGGTAAGCAACTCTTCGAAAACCTTTACATACCCCTACCCCATCTGTCGTGTACGTGTGACTCTTGAACATAAAGCTGATTTGGAGATAGCCGCAAGGGACTCGGAGACCAGGTCCAGGAGAAGGTCACTCCCGACTCTCAGAAGTCGACTCTCGACCAAGCCAAGGAGGGCGTCACTGGAGCATATGATCGCGTTGCAGGAGCTGCTCAGCCTGGTACGTCCACAAGCATCGTCTCCCTAGTTTTACCGTATAATGGTGACTAACATTTCACCCACAGAGGGCAACAAGTCTGCCGCCCAGAAGCTTGGTGACTCCACTCGCTCTGGCACTGACGATGCCTCCAACCAGGGCCAGGGTATCCTCGATTCTGCTCAGCAGACTCTCGGCAATGCTGCGCAGTCCGTCCAGGACACCCTCGGTGGTGGCCAGAAGAAGTAAATAGCTTCTCTACTATGCCCAACTCTATTCGACTTCCACAATCCCATCTCGGTCTTCTCTTAGGCGGAATTCCTGAGTCACGATGAGATCGGCGGATGCTTGTATGATTATACCCTACATAGCTAGTGAATGAAATGACGTCCTGAATGACCATACAACTCCCTTGCATTGCTCGATGGATTGTGATGTTGCCCTCGTGCGGTCTGTAACGATTCCTGGAACGGTTGTGCATATGCCATATGGTAAACAATCAGGTTCCAGACAAGATATTGTTGGCGTGCAGTATTACCAGTGTACTTATGGAGTTATCGGACGTGAAATGTTATGTATCATAATGGGTGGGTATATTTGGTTGTTGTTCTCTGCATCCTTCAATACTCCTCGTCTTCTACCTCTTCGATCTCGACTTGACGCAACTTTCGTTCAGCCACCTTGTGTTCCGTTTCGAGACTAGTAATCTCTCCCGCAGCTTCTGCTGCAAGCATTTCATGCTGTGCTTCCTCAATCGCCGCGTTGGCTGCTTTCTCTGCAATGTTGTTGGCAGCGTCTACATCCGCGGACCCGATCAGTGCGTCAAGTTCTGCGTCGGACTGCAGAGCCTGCGGCCCAGTTCCATTTCCTGTATTCAAATAACCCTCTCGCTCTAGCTTGTCAAATTCCTCCTCTTCCAACAAGCCTCCTTCTCCCTTTGCTTGTTTCATCTTCAGTGCCACAGCAGCCGGAACAAATCTTGCAGCCTCCTTTCGCAGGTTCCGTATCTCTGGTGCAGCTTCGTAAACAAGCGTTGGCTTCTTTGGTTCCGGCGGGGCCTCGTCTTCTCCGGTTGCCTTTCGCTGGTGTCGTCGAGGAATCGGCGGAGGTGTATCTCGAGGCATTGGAATATCACCAACGTCAGAATCCGTGTCGCTACTTTCTTCCCCATCTCCCCCTTTCCAACTTCCATCGCGAGATCTCTTTCCTAGTACACCTCCCCTGCCTCCGCCCCGGCCACCTCGACCTCCCCTTTCGCCTGCATCATCTCTCCTCTCTCGGAACTGGGGAGCTTTGTCCCCTAGCGCCGCTCGCGCCTTGTTGACAGCCGCGAGATCCTTTTCAAGCTCCGATAATCGCTGCCTTTCGTGAGGTCTAATTTCTCCGCTTTCTGAGATAGCCTTGAGTGCATCGATGTCTCGCTGGATTCGGACGGGATTGCGCCGCGCAAGTTTCTCGTTCCTTTGTGCTTGGAGGTTTGCCTTCTGTTTTTTTAATTGCTTCTGCTTTTCGGCCTTCTTCGCAGCTTGAACCGGATTGAAATTCTTTTCTTTGGCCATGGTGTCGAACTGGATACCTCTGCGGTGGTAGGTTTCTGTTCTGGTCAACCTCTGAGTTGTGGTTTTCGCAATGTCTAATCGGCGGTAGAATTGTCGCCAAGCCGCTAAGATAACGATAAAGCTACCTGGACGCGTTCGCGTGTAACTAAATGTAAATCTGCTTGCTCAGCTCCGCTCCGCAATCAAGCAGATCTAGTTGCTGATTTCGGGTCATTGGGACACTCACTTCCGCATGTTTGTTCCACGGTCTGTCAGATCTAAAGGTGCCCCATTCCAGAAAAAGTCTGAGCCTCCTGCGACGAAAACAAACTCAGGCAATGATTATGGTGCATCGGCGAAGAATGAAACATCGCGGAAGTCTGCCCCGACAGTCAATGACCTCAAGATACCAAAAGATGCAACGATAAACACCGATAGCGAGAACCTGGATACCTTGCTCTCCGGAATAGAATTAATCTTCACTGATTATGCTCAGCAAGATCCCGAAGGTAGCAAATGGCTATCGCAACACTATAGAAGTGTAGGGAGCGAAGAGAACTGTGAGCCCTGCAACCTTCAAGTCGATCCTTAGCTACAAATATTGATTTTAACTAGATATCCACTTCTCTGCGATACTTGAACACCCAAATATCTCCACTCTGAAGCCAGCACCTTCTCAGCTTTCCCTCCGGCAAGCGATCGAAAGCGGACAAACGAAGACGCTCGAACTTGCCGCTGGCGGATACCATGTACGCCGCAAACCATCTACATATCCTCTCTCACACATACCACCAGGCGCATCTTCGCTTTGTAACGATGATGGCGTGAAGTACTGGGACGAGCGAACGATCTATGTCGAGCCTCACTCGCGCCACTTTTGCAGGACCCCGGCTCGAGTCGCCTACTGGTTAAGTCACCACGGACAGTTACGGGAGAAATGGCTTCCTATACAAGCTGTTCTGCCTCTATACAACAGTTGCGCATTTGTTGTACTAAGTGGCAATGTCACACATGCCGATATGTTGCAGAAATGGATAGGTAAAGGCGTCCCGAAAGATTGGAGGATCCTCAGCAAGGCGGAGCATTCGAAACGCACCGAGGAGTATCTGGAATTGTTGCAGAACCGGAACTCAAAACACACCGGAGGTAACGCAAAGGTGGTTCAGGATGAAGCAGCTACAAGGGAACGTACACACATGAAATTCTCGGATCATCTAAAGTCAAAAGCAGATTCGGGAGACAAGGAAAAGTACTCTGAACCAGATCGGGATTCAAATGATGTAGATGATGTATCCCCAGTCATTCCTCCCACGACTGAGAAGAAGAAACGGAAAAGAACCGCGAAGAAGAAGTCGTCGGCCAGTAAACCCGTGTCTGCGAATGACTCTGAGCAAGGAGAATCATTAGCGACAAGCGCCGACCTAGAGACAGATAATCCAAAGTCGCTGCGAAAGCACATTAAGCTCTCTCATCATAACGCACCGGAGCACATAAGTGAGCCAAGTGCAAAGAGCGCAAAGGTCACGAAATCAAAAGAGCATGTTTTTCGCGGCAAGAAAATGAAATTCGATGATTGAGAGTACCACATTTTGGCCATGGAGAAAATAACTGCATCTGCGACGTTGAATTGGACTTGTGTACGATTACGAGGTAGATCATGCATGCATGGTTTCCAAACGGGCATGGTAGCGCAAATCCACCCCTAGATCACCAAATCTGCAACTGACTAGCAGTGTCTGACATTGAGGAACATCTACGACCGAAGCCTGGGTCATGTGAGAAAGCCGAGGAACTTCCAATGAGATTGACAGCCACAGTGAGGGGAAGCTGGCCCAAGCCCAGAGTAAACACCGACACGGCGATTCGTAGTATATCTACCGCTCCAGCTACTTGTACAATAACCAGACGGCAAAGTTAATTTCTGCCTTGCGTTGTGTTGTTTGTTCCCTCAATCCTTCCCTAGTCGTTACAACCAGCATCAAACGCTTAACCTAATTGAGCAGGCATTGAAGGGAAGGACATAAGACGTCGTTTCGTGAAGATGACCACAATTGTTGAAAAGACGAGTGATGGCACAATTTATAGAGCAGCGAAGACCTATCCAGTACCTGACTTAGACATCCTCACCCTATTGTTTGGTAAGTCGTTTGGTCTTTGTGAAGCATCATTGACGCCTGCGCACGTGACGTCGCGTTTCTCTCCAAACCAACTCCACAAATGCAGAACTAACGAGGATCAGATTCTGAACACTCGTCAGCCAAAGAAGATACAACGATACATTGCTCAGCCGCAGATCCAAGCCTAGAACTCAAAGTTTCTCGAGCCCGGAATCTCACAGAAGCAACATCGGCTGCCCTACGAAAACACTTCAAGATTGGCGCTGATGGCGCTGGCAAAGATGTGGTCTCGGTGATTTCCACTGGCCACTACCTGTTGCCTGTCTTGACATATGGCATAATCGGCGCTGGCGGTATCTTCTCTGCCGCATCTGCCGCAAGTACAGGTAGCGAGTTGAGCAAGCAGATTCAAGGTGCTGAGTCAAAGGTACTGTTCGCCGTAGAAGCCACAAAAGCTGTTGCTGTAGCGGCAGCAGAAGAAGCTGGATGGGGCAAGAATGGAGGAGGAAGAGTGCTTGTAATGAGTGAGGGCAGAGACTGGAGTATCAACATCGTACAGGAAGACGGAAGCCTCGGACCCAACCTTATAGACGAGACCCAGCGATTGTCATGGGAGCGCATTACGGACCCGAAAGCCTTGGCTGATAGTCTTGTAATTCTCATCTACAGCAGTGGCACCACAGGTCTGCCAAAGGGTACGTTCAGCAAAAGTCATCCAGTAATGATTTCCATGTAATAACGGGAACAGGAGTGAAGCTCTCCCATAGGAACCTGGTCGCAGAAGCCGTCATTCCTGGAGATATGTTCAAAGCTTGGGCAGCCACCGAGAGACCGGACTTCGAATACCGCACCTTAGCCCATTTGCCCACCGCACACATTGCCGGTATCCAAGGCTACCTGATCAACCCCTTCTACATGGGCGGACCCGTATACTGGATGCCACGATTCTCGTTCCCGGAGTTCCTCGAGTACAACAAGAGATACCGCATAACGTTCTTCTTCACTGTTCCGCCAATCTATCTCCTCATCGCCAAATCCCCCGAAGTTACCGACCAGTTCAAGACCCTCGAAGTTGCCATATCCGGCGCCGCACCCCTCGGGAAAGAGCTTCAACACGCCGCCTCTGTGAAGCTGGGCGGCCCGAACTGCTTCATTTCGCAGACCTGGGGTCTCTCAGAGACGACTGGGTCCGCGACCATCATGCCAATTGGCATCAACGACGACACGGGCTCTGTGTCCCCACTGATGCCCAACATGCTCGCACGCATGGTCGACGACGACGGCCGAGACGTCGAGCCTGGAAAGCCGGGCGAAGTGCTCATCAAGGGCCCCGTGGTCTGCAATGGATACTACAAGAACGAGGCCGCGGACCGCGAGTCGTTCACCAACGGCCGAGAATGGTTCCACACGGGCGACATCGCAGAGTTTCGGAACGGCCTGCTCTACATCGTTGACCGCAAGAAGGAATTGATTAAGTACAAGGGGCTGCAGGTCGCGCCGGCGGAGCTCGAAGCGCTGCTATTGAGCCACGAGGATATACTCGACGCGGCTGTCATTGGCGTGGATACTGATGATGGTACGAATGAGGTTCCGAGGGCTTATGTAGTTGCCGACCAGAAAAAGATAAGTGGCGAGGCGATTCAGGAGTGGGTCAAGGGACGAGTGGCTAGCCACAAGCAATTGCGGGGAGGCGTCGTGTTTTTGGATGCGATCCCGAAGAGCCCTAGTGGGAAGATCTTGAGGAAGGACCTCAGGGTCTTGGCTAAGAGGGGGCAAGGCGCGAAGCTGTAGAACGACACGGTGCCTTTGTATAGCGAGTCGTGCAGTTGTCCGAATTATATCACGTGCGAAGCAGGTAGAGGTCAAAATACAATCCAGAGCAGTTTGCTTGACGGTACATTTATGCTACGTGCGAAGTTTCATTGCCAGAATGGAAAGATCGTGGAGTTCGCTACCTGTTCAATACCACCAATACATACTTTAGCCTGACTATGTATCTGTGGCTGTGTCGTTGCTATAGCAAAAACACCAAGCACCTTTCTTCTCATTTTCTCGGATCACAGAAGCTTACAATTCTAAGTTCTCGTCGTCGAAAATGTAAGGTTCGAGTCTGCCCTTGAATTCTTCAACAGTCATCTCCTCGCCCTTCCAAAAAGCCTCTTCGCCTGCTGCATTCTTCGGAGGGATGAGCACATTCGACACAACCTGGATGACACCATCGCTGGCAACGCCATCGTGGACAGTGACACGAGAAAACCCATTGATTCTAATACCAATGAAAGGGCCATATCTGGACACATCAACAGCCAAAGGCTTGCCGTCCAGTGCGGTCGGTAAGTCGAAGTGGTAGTATGGTGGTCGATCGGCCTCCTCCACGGTCTCTTCTTTGTCTGTATCATCGAAGAATGCGTCCGAGTAGAGAGTCTCACTGACGACGATGTGGTATTTCAATAGAGCCTTCAAGTACTTCTCGCCGTACTTGCTGAAGAGGAAGGCGTTGATCTTGGGGCCGAGTTTCTGGAACGCGAAGTTCGACGGCGCGAAGAATGTTCCACCGGTATGCGGGTACTTGTCTGAGTCGTTTATCTTTTGAAAGAGGCCAGTCTTCTCGAGACCGAGTTCGAGAGTGCTGAACTCTCCCGGGAGGAGATCAATGATGGCGGCGACTTTGGGTGGTGGCACGAGGATGGAGTCAATGCCGTGGATGACACCGTTTGTGCCGAATATGTTGACGGCGACTACCTTTGCGTAGAAATTGATGGCAGGACCTTTGAGGGTAACGCGTACGGTGAGACGTTGAGCATGGCCGAGCTTCTCGGGCTTGTAGAGGGTAGGAATTGTGTAGCTGTGCAAAACACGGCCAGCAGGGTAGAAGTCATCGCTCACATGGTAGAGTAGTAAGTCCTTAAGAAACTCCTTTGAAGGCTTATGACCATGGTGGGGGATCTTTTCGAAGGCGGCGTCTGTAGGGGCAAATACTGTGTAGTTGGCCTTGGTGCTGTTCAGGGTCTTTACCAGATCATCATACTCGTCGATCAATTTGGCCAGTTTCGTTGTGTACTTGCTCTTGCTGATTAGCTCGTATACCGTCTGATTCGGCTTCGGGTGGTCGTGGTGTGGGTCTTTGTGATGGGGTGGTTTATGATGAGGCGGTTTGCGATGAGGCGGATGATGAGGATCCTCCTCAGTGTCTCCAGAGGTGACGTCGAGAGCGCCCTCGAGCCACGATTCGACATCGCACCCTGCTTTATGAACCTTGTGATAGAAGTCATCACCAACATGCTTGACGGATTCGACCGTCTTTCCTAGAGCATCATCGAGCACATTCTGCGAGTTCTTCAAAACCTTTCTTCCCGAATTCTCGATCTTGGAAAGCTTATCGAAAACGGCATCTTCAGTAATGACAAAGGCAGATGCCAGTGGCAACAATGGTAATAGCTGCTGGAACCTCATTTTTGCGCGTTCACGATTGGATTGCAGTAGAGGAAAAGGTTCATACGAGAAGGTAGTGGTTAATGTACGAGTATTATATCGATGACAACACCACTACGAGGCAGTGTAATGCACGAATTGGCTGGGTATTTGCCGCTTCACAAGCCCTGAAACACGGACGAAATACGAGCGAGTACGGCGACACGGTACTTGCACGCAATAGGAGTACTTGATGGTGTGAGTGGTGAAGAGCTTATTCCCTTTCCCCTCCCTCTAAGCTTGTTCGATTGAGGCTGCTCTCGATTCACGAATGACACGCGGCAGAGCGTATCAGGCTACCGTGCGTCGTCAGCAAAACGGATAGCGTCATTACGACGCAGTGAGCATGGGAGGAGTGGACTGCACTGTACAGCAGCAAGCAGCAACCAGCCAGCCAGCCAGCTAGCCAGCAGAGGAGGCGTGGAGGGGTAACTTGGCGGTTAACTTCTACTCAGACGGTGTTTCGGGGTTGAATATTCGCCGATGGAACAATGCAGTCATTAAATGCCCTCATCTTCATGATGCCAACAGATTGGTGAGCAACTGGTTTATGAGGTATGTGCTTGTTTGAATTAGCTAGGTAAGTAGATATGGACTTTCTGAGTTGTGTTATCGAGTAAGTATGCAGAGGATTTATTGCTCAACAGGGTACAAAGGATTGAGAAAGTACGTGTTCATAAGAGAAGGGTGTGGATATGTCTTTTAATATGGAGAGAGAACTCGGGAACACATAATACCAAAATCGTACTCATATACTCATACTCGTATCATGAGCTGCGCGAGCGGGAGTGCCGGAGTTTGTACTGTGAGGTACCTAGTTATTGGACATGACATGACATGGTCGAGGATCAAAGAATTGAGGATGCAGAGCTTGAGCATAGACCATGCCCAAATCCCTCTCTTATCGATAGAACATTCACATCGGATTCTGGACCGACCAAGCCACCAAGCGCAACAAAAGAACAAAAGAACAACAACCATTGTCGTCATCTTCCACAGCATCCGGGAGAAATCATGCACAGTTCTTTTAGCTCTTTGATACCTGCCAATGATGAAGTCGATTAGCATGACCAAGGTGACACGACCGAATCTCATGCCACTTGATTTTGAGTTCCCCTTACCAATTGAGCCACATTTCATCCATTCGTATGTGTCAATTCATGCCCATCACGTCACAGCCGTAGCTGTCCGATAGTCTGCGATCCACAATTCACCCTACTGATTATTGGCCATACCCTAAATGGGTTTCCCATGGGCATTTTGCTGAGAAAGATCGTAAACAAGCTTTCCCAAGCCTTCAAGCAAGCTTTCTAAATTTGAAGTGAAGGCGGGGCAGGAAGGCCAATGGTACGGTACACAGCTGTTGTCCTGTCCTGCCCTGTTATGTTCAAGGATGCAAGATGTGTACTTCCGGGGGCATCTGTGGTAACGTTTGCGTCACTCCTGCTTCTATTTATCTCCTTGCCTTCCCGTGGGCCCCGAGACTCAGCATTCCCATCAATTAGCCTCACCCTGAGAACTCAATATCCAATTCATTAAACACAATGGCAGGCCTTGCAAGACACATCGACCCAGATGAGCTGGTCGAAAAGCTTCACGACCATCCCTTCCACAAGGCTGGGCACAGGAGTGACCGGGCTGCCACCCACAGTACACCTTATTCCAGTCGGTATGCTAGTTCCACCCAGTTGTCCAAATTTCGAATCCCCCACGACGGAGCGCCTGCAGATGCTGTACATCAATTGCTCAAGGATGAGTTGGACTTGGACGGACGACCAAGTCTAAATCTTGCATCCTTCGTGGGAACATACATGGAGCGTGATGCAGACCAGCTTATACTGGAGAATATTTCCAAGAACATGTCTGACGCGGACGAGTATCCTGCTATGATGAACATGCACACTCGATGCGTGTCCATCATTGCACACTTATGGGGAGTTCAGAAGGGGGAAACTGCCATTGGAAGCGCTTGCACTGGCTCGAGCGAAGCAATTCATCTAGGTGGTTTGGCCATGAAGCGGAGGTGGCAGGAGAGAAGACAAGCAGAAGGCAAAGATACCTCAAAGCCGAACATCATCATGGGTGCCAATGCCCAGGTTGCCCTTGAGAAATTCGCGCGGTATTTCGAGGTCGAAGCCAGGATCCTTCCAGTTTCTGAAGATAGCTCCTATCGTTTGGACCCAGAGTTGGTCAAGAAAAATATTGACGAAAACACGATTGGCGTCTTCGTTATCCTTGGCTCAACATACACTGGTCATTATGAGCCAGTCGAAGAAATCTCCAACATTCTCGATGAGTACGAAAAGAAGACTGGTGTCTCAATCGATATTCATGTGGATGTGAGTAAACAAAGTGTTTCAGATAAATGCTTCTATCACTAATTTATTTTTTTGCCTAGGCGGCCTCTGGCGGCTTCATTGCGCCTTTCACCCATGCCGGAGCTGGCGCAAAATGGAACTTCGAGCTCCCTCGCGTCAAATCAATCAACACATCGGGACACAAATTTGGATTGGTCTACGCCGGTGTAGGTTGGATCATTTGGAGAGATGAAAGCCAGCTTCCCAAACATCTGATATTCGAGCTACACTATCTGGGAGGCACCGAAGAATCGTACACACTAAACTTCTCTCGTCCAGGAGCGCAGGTCATTGCTCAGTACTATAACTTGATTCATCTTGGATTCACTGGGTATCGTAACATCATGGAAAATATGTTGTCCAATGCAAGACTGCTAAGCCGAGCATTGGAGGAAACCGGCTGGTACCGATGTGTAAGTCCATGCAGACATCTTTTCATGACCCGTGTGCTGCGGTTAAGTCCATGACGCTTGCTCAGCGTCGTTTCCTCTGAACCATGATTGTTCTGACTAGCCTACAGGTCAGCGAGATCCATAGGAAGAAAGGTGACCACAAATTTGTGAAGGGTAAAAAGCAGTACGATGAAAGCGAGAATAGCGCGGAGTACAATCCTGGTCTACCCGTTGTCGCTTTCACATTCTCAGACGATTTCAAGAAACAATATCCCCATGTCAAGCAAGAGAGTGTATCGAACCTACTGAGAGCAAAGCAGTACATTATTCCAAGTGAGTAATCCACTAAAGAGTATAGCTCCTGTGTGCCCGCGTTATTGACTAGATCAGACTACCCATTGCCGCCGAACGAGGAGAAGACAGAGATCCTACGGGTCGTGGTGCGGGAGACCTTATCGATGCACATGATAGAGAGACTCGTGACCGACATTGCCCAAGTCACCGAGACATTGATGGAGACTGACGCAGTAGATTTGGCTGCCTGGCAACCAGGCGTTGTGAGTGTCGAAAAGCAACATGGCTCCCAGGGCTTGGAGGCGAAACATAAGCACAAGGCACGCCGACCTATGCATAAGGGTGTCCACCGAACGGTGTGCTAGATGTGGGATGATGGAGGGAGGCGACTATGGGGTTTTAATTAAATGGAGTAGAAAAAGTGGTCTGCATGACATTGATCGATCGATCCTATCTCGTTTTTCGTACCACGAGTCCTTACCGGGTCCTGGGTACCTGCTCGGTAATAGCAGCATCTACTACCAGTAACTATCTGCACAGGTAACAGGAGTAATTGAATGCAAGGTGCAGGCGTTTTCAATAGCTGTACGGGGTACCTGTAGCTGTAGCTGCAGCTGTAGCTGTAATTGTTGTATGCAGTATGCATTATGCAGTGTGTGTGCCTCGTACCTGAATGAAACTTCGTTCCACCGATCCCCATGTCCTATCAATGTATCGAATACTTGCATGCTCCCGCAAATATCTCGATAAGCGCACCTTGTGTTGCAACATGTCTCCATCTTGGCTCCCCTGGTTTTCCAGATTTGCGGATGAGATCAGATCTGAGCTAGTCCCCAAATGGACTAAATCATCAACAAGCGTCGCGATCCAAAGAACTTCTATGACAACACCACCATCGTCACCATACACATCACCCGAATTGGTCTGCAAAATACACCGTTTTGCTCTCCTTCTGATATCCCCCGAGCTCCCTTACAGCCAATGATGTTGCTACCCAAGCCATGGTCAACGTCATGCCTGTCTATGGGCTCCCTACCCACCCTTGAACGATCAGGGAAAGCCCATGCCCATGCCTTTGACGCCGGTCACCTGTTACCCGTACCTGCAATGCTGCAGCCATAACACTTAGTCGAATGGCGAGTTCTGTTCTCTTCTAGTGCACGATACTGCCATTCCAGCAGGCAGAATCTTCGGTGGTGAGACAGTCTGGTTACTTCAATTCTCCTCCATATCATGACGTCCCCTGAAGCTCGCCACCTCTCTCCTTCTCCATCTTTCGTGCAATTGTCAGGCATGGCCCTCGTGTTTAACTCTTAATGAGGTACTTGTCTTCAATGATCCGTCGAAATTCCTGGCCACTATTCCACTCTCCTTCATGTCACACTTGTCTCTCCCACGAACTCAGCTCCTCAGAAGATAATTATCACGCGATGGCCCGACGGGTCACAAAACCTCGCATCCTCATATGCATCCTTCGCCGCGATGTACGATTGTCTGACAACCCTATATTCCATCATGCATCGCAAGCGTTTATCGACTACGACAGTCACCCAGAAACACCAGATACGAACAGTAGAGAAGATTCAATGATCTCGGACACAGAAGTTCCAGATTTCACCCATCTTCTTCCCGTCTACATCTTCCCTGCGAATCAGGTAGAAGTGTCTGGCTTTCTAGCGTCGGACTCGAAACGTTCGCCCTATCCTGAGGCTCGAAGTCAAATCGCTGGCGTATGGAGGACTGGGCCACATCGCGCCAAGTTCATGGCAGAGGGGGCATGGAATTTGAAGGAGCGATTAGAAGGTTTGGAATGTGGATCTGGCCTAGATCTAAGAGTAGGTATGATCGGGGATGTGGTTGAAAATATGTTACAATGGTACGCAAAAGAGAAGGATGACGATGGTAACACAGCGGAAGTCTCGGCCATTTGGATGACTGCAGATGATGGAACCGAGGAACGAGCAGACGAGCGGGATGTGAAAGGAATCGCTGCACACTACGGGGTCAATGTGCGTGTTTGGGAAGACGAGAAATACTTCGTGGATGAGTATGTTTCCCTTGGACCTTTTCGGTCTGATTGATGTTTGCTCTACACTGCTGACTGTCGATAGTCGAGATCTTCCACTCGACATGCGAAGTATGTCCGACCTTCCTAATGTCTACACAACATTTCGAAAATCTCTTGAACCGCTTCGTGAATGCCCTCGCCAGATCTTACCAGCCCCTACCAAACTTCCACCTCTTCCGCCACATTCACCTCCTCAAATGGGACCTTTCGAGATTCCAAACAGCTTGCAAGCATTGATAGAGCGCCTGCTTGCGCCACTTAATGAAGACCCATCATTTGGTCTTTCGTCGCCTCCGCAATGGCCGGGAAACGTGGAATCTGCGCATCCCTTCATGGGAGGAGAGTCTGCAGCACAAGACCGACTATCGCATCTCATCGTCAGTGGTGCAATGTCCTCTTATAAAGCTACTAGGAACGGCATGCTGGGTCTGGATTTCAGTACAAAGCTGTCCGCATATCTTGCACAGGGCCATCTAACAGCACGTCAAGTACATTGGGCGATGGCAGACTTCGAGGGAGGCAACGGCGAGGGTAGGGGGGTTCAAGGCTATGGCAAAGGGGAAAACGAAGGAACAGCTGCGGTACGCTTTGAGCTACTCTGGCGAGACTACATGAGACTGTGCGCACGTAAGTTTGGATCACGGATGTTCCACGTCGACGGAATCAGGGATACCACATCATCGAAGCGTAGAGAAGGCCAAGACTCTTACAACAGTGACCAAGACCAATCATCCGCGAAACGATGGAGATACATACATAAGGATGGCAAAGCTGGTGACGATCCAGCAAAGACGGCAGAAGTATTCGATCGCTTTCGGTCAGGACTCACCGGCATCGGGTTAATCGACGCTTCGAACCGCGAACTATTCCTTACCGGCTATACCTCGAATCGTGCTCGACAGAACGTGGCATCTTTCCTTGCCTCTCACCTCGGTATTGACTGGAGGATCGGCGCAGAGTGGTACGAATTTCTTCTTGTCGATTACGATGTGGGCAGCAACTGGGGCAATTGGCAGTACGTGGCTGGCGTAGGCAACGATCCCCGGCAGGGCAGAGTCTTCAATCCCATCAAACAAGCCCTTGACTACGACCCAAAAGGCGAATATATCACTGCTTGGGTGCCTGAACTCCGCAAACTTCAAATAACAAAGGGCATCGGCCCAAATAAAGAGGAGGTGGATCAGCAGCGTCTCATGGGTCTCTTCCAGGCGTGGAGACTTGAAGGCTCCGAGAAGGCTCAATTAGGTCTGCAAGGACTAGAATGGGTGGAGCATCCACTCGTTCGGATTCAGTTCTCGGTCAACAGGAGAAGGGGCCAGGGCAACGATGGCAGAGGGAAAGACAGAGGAAGTTGGAGAGGAGGACGAGGGAAAGGGAAAGGGAATCGAAGGCTGGGAAACGAAGAGAAATTGGGCAACTCTGGTCACGGTGACCAAATGTAAATGAACTCTACCAATCTAGAAGCATCAAGAGTGTAGTATTTGACAAGATTCCCACATTCTATTTAGCGATTATTGCATCGAATGACAAATGATAGTTTACTTTTGGAGCCCTTTCATTGCTGAAGTCAAATGTCCAGTCTTGATTGCCTCTCTTTTCCGTTGCTTGTCTATGGTGTCTGCACAACTCTATTGTAAAACATGCACGCATGCCTGCATTGTTAAGACATCACCACAGATGTACGCTTCACAATGCAAACTCCTTGTCTCATACATAACTACCCCTCTCGAACTCTCCCCGTTCAAGAGGGATTGGCTTGGCTTGCTTTTCCTCATAGTGTTTCTGGACCAAATGACGTCCCCTTTCTGGCATTCACAGTTGTCTTCCCACGCCCGCCTTCACATCTTGCATCGAACCTGCCGAAAACACCTTCAACTTCCAGTTCCACCCTCAATTCCACCAGAGGACTTAGGTTGTATGTCGGGCGTCTACCTCAGTCCCGCGTCTCTCAACATCATCCCCTCACAACTTCACACACTGCCTTTGATAACCCCATCCACAACCCCATACACGTCCAACCTCCTTGCCTTCCAAGACCACTACGCTATTCTACAACTGGACAATCGGGCCACGCCCGAGGAGATCAAGGCCGCGTACCGCAAACTGCGCAGTCTCTATTTCCGTACCGACGCCGCGAAGTATCGCGCATTGCAGGCGGCGTTTGATGTACTGGCAGATAAGGACGCGAGGTGGATGTACGACAGAGTTTGGAGGAATAGGATGGGAATTCTGGGACCGCCGTCACCAATGCGTGTTGTGGACAGGCGGATGTGTGCTCTAAAGAGGCTTGACAATGATGCTGTCGACTTATTGGGGAAGCGTGATGGGCCGACTGAAAGGAAAACTGATTCTAAATGCCCAGGTCCGCGTCCTCTAAGACTCTCGACGACGACTCATTCTTGAAAGAACGACGATTATTGTTTTCTAGTAGCGGACGTACGCTAGATGAAAGTTTGAAATACAGTGCTGTAAGATCCGCAGAAGAAAGTTATAGCAGACTGCTACGAACGCAATCGTATCAAAATCTTATACGGATTTCGACGCTGTATTGCAATGGAAAGAGGCGATTAGAGCGGCGGTTGAAGAGTCGGAGACCTCGTCACATACTTCAGATGACAAAGAATTGGAAGCCTGCATGAGTGATGGACTCTAGTTGGCTGGATCTACCGACTGGGAGTCTATACTATTGTAGAGGTTATTTGAATGATAGAGCATGTAATGTGAACGCTTGCACAACGACATGGACTATATGCGTTTTGCTAGAACCAATGAATATAAAAGTCTGACTAGTTGTCGAAACCATGAGCCGACCGGAAATTCTAGCAAGGTGAACACTGAGAGTGTAGAGTATTCTATATACTCTTTATTTTATTGTACCGTACATTCATTTCCATCAAGGACAAGATCATGGCGCCAACCCGATGGTGACATGCAATAGCCAGCCTTCTCGACAATACTGACATGATACCTACAATAGTAAGACGACCCTTTAGTACAGTGGAATGTTGCACGGTATTCCAGATTCCGCTTATTACCACGGGGTAGACAATGCACGACTTAGACAATGCACGACTACACATAACGTACTGAACGAATACTTCTATACGGTATATACTGTCGCCCTCGCCAAGGATTGAAAACAAAGAAAACAAAGACATGAAGGCACTATATGTATACTTACGCTGAGTCTCTAACGATTCAGAAAATACTTGGTTTAATCGATCGTTAACTGCATCGCACTTCGAGAATGATTTCATGTTGTGCCGTAACACTGGCAACCAACCGAGCTATGGCTATACCGCCGAGATGTGTACACTACCTGCACCAATTTGACCCGTTCTATCCATGGAACCGAGCACATACGACCAAAGGCCTGAGAAAGCGAGGAAACCCGTCTGATCTTCTTTATCTAAGCTCATGACCGGCCGGCCAGTAGCCACGTGGGTGACCAGTGGCGAATCCCGGCTGTTGTATGTTTTTCTTTTTTGCTCATGTATATGAATGTAAAGAGAAGAAGAAACACGGGGGCACGTGTATTGGGTATGAGTCGGTTGTAATGTGTTGTTAGATGCGAGTTGTGTGCTTGCACTCGTCAAAATGGTGGACGAGAAAGGTTAGAATAAAGTTTTGCCTCGGACCGTGCAAGGTACATGGGGAGATTCCTATAGACTTCTCGAACTGTGCTAGAGCACCTGAAACGGGACTTTCTGGAGCAATTGGGTTTGCCTATCAGGTTACGAGGAGGTTAGTCCATTATCAAAACGGCTTTGGTACCGGTTAGAGCTATAGGACAAAAATATTAACGGCTAGGATGATAAACAACATCAACCTGAAACATTAGTCGGATTGCCTCACTCGCAGTTACGAGCTCTACTCTCCCGAATAGGTGCCTGGTCTTTGCGTATATGAACATTATGGAATAGCGCTGTAGTTCAGGTACGAGTGCTTACATTGGATCATGCGCTTGGGATCCCATATCGCACTCGCACTCGAGTCCGGACCGCCCCGTCGGTACATTAAATGGGGCATGTGTCTCGTATAACTTTGTACGACTCAGTACGAGACTATAAAAGTCTCCAGAAATTCGATTGTTAGCCGGTGCCAACGGTAAATGAGGAACTCGGCTGACGCGGATGATTTGTCTGCAACTCGCATCGTGATTCATGAATCGCGTAGGTCAACAGACAACAATAACATTCGAGATACGAAAATCTATCGAATGGGACTGTTGGCCGTGCGCGAGCAATGGTGACACTTTCGCAATGGCAAGGCAGCACAGGAAAGTGCGAATAGTCTACTCCGTACAAAAGTAGACTGAAAATGACTGTCCAGATAAGCTTCGGGGTATACTTTAAAATTCCCAAGATAGTCGGCATTGTGCCACAAAAGAAGTAGAGTATCCGCTATGAACATTATCATCCTCACCGATGAGGAATGGTAAAAACGACATCCTCAAGTTACAAGCGGCCAAAGTAGGCAACATAACTGACGCTCTTCTTCAGAAATGTCTAGACGTATCACAGACACTTCCCTGGCACATGCTTCCCTACATGTTCATACCATGGCCGGCCATGGTCTCTTGTGGATCCTTCGCAGCGGAGAACGACTTGGAAGCCGAGCTTTGGGCACCAACAGCAGCGATAGCGGAAAATTATCTCTCCAGAACATATGAAGAAACTCCAGGAATCATGCTAAGTAGAACATCTGATCGAGGCAATAATGTTACCATTGCACGGGACACACATGCGCGTATCAGGGAAGTGGTGTGTTGTCTTACGATTCTGACTACCTTCCTCATGGACAACTAGTCCTCCACCAGCCCACCTCACACACCCATGTGTTTCCCATCCAACGTACCTATCTTTCCTTCATCATTACGCAGTAGACTTTCTCGGATGTTGCTCGAGTCGCACTAGACTGATCCAGGCCGCTGGGATTGTATAGTCGGAAATATCAGGAGCGGGAGGAGAGGGTGCCATAACAACATAACATAACATGACACAAGCGAGCCTCGGAAAAAAAAAAGGAACTGGACATTTTGCTGTCTCGAGTCAGGCGTGTAACTTATTGGGTTTCTCCGCCCAATCGACACTATCTTCTGACAGTTCACTACATTTAACGATCGGGAGATTTCCTCTCTCTTGGCGACAATGCACAAGTAAGAAAAGTGCGTGCGAATGGGAAAAAAAAGTAAAGGATTGAAATCCTTATTGTGTTGGATCAACGGGCTTTTTTCTCTTTCTTGGATGCATGTGGATATTGTAAGAGCCTAGGCTTCATGTTGTTGGATCGGATGTCTACAACCTCGTTCCCTATCTACCCGGCAGGTTTGCTCATGTGGACCCCTCTAACCTTGCATGCTGTCCATGTTGATGATATGCAAGTTTTCAACCATAATCCCAATGCGCGGTGCCCATCTACCATTTGTTGACCCCTTTGGTGTGCACAAAGAGGGCCAACTTGCAAGGACCAAGGAAGAGAAAGAGAGATGACACGGCTTGCCTAAGTAAATGAATACTACTCCGTAATCGCTTTGTACTTGTAGAATGTGCCTGAGGCTAGAGTGCTCGGAGCAAAAGAAACGAAGCACGCAAAGCGAAGAGCAAATCGCAACAGATGTGATTATACTGAGTACTGCAAATGACGGATGGGCTCCCAGTCCCTCCAGAGTTATTACGTGGCCCAAATGAATGATTAGGTCAACGAATCCTGTTCTAATAATTCATCGTTAGAGATTCCCGTCGTAGAAGAGTAACAAGTAGTGCTAGCTAGTCACTTTTGGTAGAGGTGTTCGTCTGAAACCCCATGTAATCAAACCTTTTTCGTATTTGGGGAATGGATCGAGCAAGTAGACACAGCTAATTAGGGAACGCTGGGTGTGAACGGCTATCCCGACCCCTCACGCATACAGACTACCGAGGCGAAGACTACGACGACCACGCGTTGAATCTTCATCCGAGCCCAGTCAAGTCGTAATCCTGTCGAAAAAATGGCTCTAAATGTGCAAGGATAGCCCGAACGCAACAATGCCCTTCTACCTAGTCAATGGGAACTGGACCGGTAGGGATGGGTGGTGTACAACTCCCTGGACCCTAGGAGGTAATTGCACGCACGAGAAACGAGCGAGCAGCAATGGCTAGGTATGTTAGGCCAGGCTTTTGGTAATTGGTACTCCGTACGGAGTACTGGTATTTGGACCCGAGGGTTAGTTAGCTGCTTGTTCGCGCTGTGCAGTGCAGTGCAGCGCAGCGCAGCGATTCCCTTCCCATTGTCCCCTTCGTGTTTGGGATTTAGGTTTCCGACAAAAGCATGCGGGACATGCAAGCACTACATTGCGCACAGTACGCTGCGCTCCGGAGCCGCGTCCCGGGCGTCTAACGTTTAAGCGGCGCATATACGTATGCAAGGACCAGGAAACCCGGGCAAGATGCTGGGAAATAAGGTTTCCTGCAATGTGTTACGGGTTGATTGGCGTCAGCTGGAGGATGGGGTCATGAACAATAAATACTATGGATGGATAGTAGAAAGGTATTCAGTATTACTGTGCATGTGTGCAGGGGAGAAATTTAACAGTGATACGGAGTAGATGAAGGGGCTATATCGGGAGTGCAATGCAGTAGGTAAGTAAGCCAAAGTGTCCGAAGACCGGAGCTCAACTTGCATAGGTAGACAGTACGAGCATGTACGGAGTACAGTAGAAGTACATAGCTCACTCAATGCCCAGGGCCCCTGTAGGTCAAAGGGTATTTGCGGGGTCTCTGCCCTGTCCTTTTTGTCTCTGGCAGGTCGCAGTTGCGCAAGTAGCGAGCGAGCTTAGTCCTTGAGTCCTTTTTCAGTTGAGAGATGTTATGATGGATGGACGGATGGATGGATGGATGGCTAGACGGTGGCTTTTCGATCGATGATGGGGAAGGCTGGGGTCTTGGGTACTGGGAACGGTGGAATCCGGAGTAGACAAATCCATAGCGCGCAATCAGCATTCAGCATTTCCCCCTGGAAAATCGTCTCGTGTGGAAGCGCTGTTTCTAAGGTTTCGGTACGTTTTTCTCCTGCATGTGTTTGCTGCACTGCACCTTTGCGCATGCGCACGAATGCATGTGTTCTTTCTAATGCTGCGTCTGGCCGAAAGTGGTGGCCGTTCGCATTGCTGGGTGGACTATTAACGATGCTAGGGAGGAAATGGACATATCTCCGTCCTACTAAGCGACCTTATTGAACAACCCCAGATGACAGTGGACCTAAGACAACGAGGATGCAACGTCCTCAAGAGTGCGGGGTGGGAGATTTCGGTAATGCAAAAATTGTCATGGAAAGACTCTGGTGCGTGCTGGAAGCGCCCGTAGTCATGCGTGCACCCTCCCTATCTACAGACTGCCGTGGACGAGGATGAATCGCTGCCGAGAAGCAAATGTTTCCGGTGCATGAGAATAGGGTTGCCTCGTGAAATGAACCTAAATCATGAAGAGAAGATGCTGTTGCGAACGGAATGAGGCATTGATATCAATTCCACAATGAAACAGCGCGGGTATCGGAGCTGTCCAAGTTAACAACTTGTGGAGATGGGAAAACCCCCACCCCCCGCTAAATGAGATGAAATGCTGCGAAAAGAGGCGACAAGCTGTCTGATGAACTTCCTGAATGCTGAATTCGGCGACGTCCCGCGGATAGCTTCGCGAGTTACTCTTACAAGTGCGGATGCGGTCGGTGGCAGCTATCAGACTGCACACAATGCAAAGCCTTCTTCTAGTCATACATAAGCAATCCCTGAAATTCGAGAAATGCTCGGAAACTGAGGATAGAAAGAAAATATGAATCGAGTCTCAAAATGTGATGGAACCGAAAAGTCCGACAGTCGTACCCCGGAAAAGGAGGTTCCGAAAACTACAATTCTCAGTAGTGGAACGAGTCCGAACCGCTATACGGGCTTTACTGCGGCCGTGAAGGAGGTGAAAATATGCCTCTGGCTGAGCGGCTTAGGTGCTTTTATGTCTCCCGTTGTTCCATCATCCTGTTTCCAACCAAATCAATAAATCCGAAAGCATGTATAACGCCATGTGTTCCAACCCTAACCCAAGAATAACCAAAATAAAATACCGCAATAGTAAGGTCGCCAAAGCGGTCTATGATAGATAGAAAAGAAAGAATCGAAAAATAGCCAGGGTGATCGAGCCAAGAAACCGAGAATGCGATGGGCAATAGGCGAAATATAAATAAGGCTTTGAATCAAGATCCGGTATAAAACTGATGAGGCATTCCATTTGGGTAACCAACAGGTTGTCCGCTTTCCTCCTGAACCTGGCCAAGTTGCCCGGATTCATGATACCATTGTACGCTCATAGATCGAGGCTGAGCAGGCATTTCATGGCCTGCGCTTTGCGGCATCCCCCCAAAAGGATTCCAGGGTGCGGGGTAGTTGAACTGTTGGTGTTGGTTGGGAAGTATGGGCGCAGACAGGGGAGCTGAGCCATTGCTCCCGAGGGTAGTCGTGCTGTGCAATGTCGCTGGGTTCGTGTCGATCGTCGTGGGGTACGGGTATGGCGATGTTCGGCGAGAATAGTCGTGTTGGATACCAAGCCCTGGGTTTGCGTATTGCGAGGGGCCGACCCCTTCGATATTTGGGAAGGACATAGACCTGCCGGGGGGCTGCATGCTCGGCTGATTCCAACCATGGGGATCTTGGTGACCTGCGTAGGACATGGTAGATGCGGTGCTCATGGTCGCTGGAGTGCGCCCTCCAGAAACATTAGAATCGCTACCGTAAGCCGAGTTTGCGGTCGATGGCGAGGGCTGCCAAAATCCAGACGAAGAAGGCGAGGATTCCGCCACAGAAGAAGATGGTAGGTATGCAGGCGTGTTCCACTGCGTCTCTATCGCCGGCGGGTAAGTGTAAGGTGGGTGCTGTAATTGCACTGCGACTGTTAGCTTCGGAGATAGCACCTTCTCACTCTTCCTGTTTATACTCACTCGCGCTGGGTGGGCCAGATAGATTGGGGTCTATCTCAACATCTGGTTGCGCTGCAAACTTGGAGGTTTGAAGAGGTGGCCCTGGAAAAGGTGGTCGGAACTCGTCTACTTTCTCTCCTGCAGCTGAGGGATGGTGAGGTGAGGATGTAGTAGACGACACTGGGGCACCACTTCCCGTCTCCGTCGACGCGGTAGTCGGAGCGCGTGGTTGGTTCTCCGGATTCTGTTCGACTGGGTAGAAGTTACATTCCTTCTTCAGTCGAATGCAGTTGGCGCAACGACCTTGGGGGTCATCCTGCGCTACTAGGCACCGGATCTTCCTACGTCGACAATGTCCTACACATCAGAAGGTCAGTGACCTGCCAGCAGACACGAAATACTGATGTAACAGCTAGCTTACCGCAAGCAACTGAGGTGCGATGGTAGCCCAGCTTGTTCCGCCGCTTGTCGGCAGTGGGCGAGAGGTCGCCAGCGGTGGTCTGGAGGGCAAGATTGCGCATGTGTGGCGTTGAAGACACCCGTCGAAGATCGGTTTGGACTTTGCCCTTGGAGGGTCGTCTCTTTTTGTTCGCCTGCTGGAGAGGCGATTGATCTACGGTTTGGGCCGCAATGGTAGGATCGAAGGTGGGGAGATGCTCAGAGCTTGGAACGGAGGCGGTCTCCGTAGACAATGCGAGTCCAGATGCATTGGCCAGTGAAGAGTTAAAGGACATTGCGTTCCTGGCGGGCTGCAAAAGCAACGCTTGGTCCAAGCTAGAGGCAGATTTGTTGGTGCGGTACTCCAATCCCACAGCCATAGGAGGCGTAACGCTGTCGCACCTGTCGAGTGTTACCCCGTGAAGACGTCCAGCGCATATGGAGAATCCGTGAAAGCGAGAAAAGATAGACAAGAGAGGCTTGGAGATGGTACGATGGAGAGCCTGAGAGCCTGAGAAGGTCTTAGACTCGATACATCAAGACGTCAAGACATGAATAGGAATGACGAAGGAGTGGAAGGTAAGATGGAGGAGAGTGGAGGGGGCAAATGATAGTGAGGTTCAGGTGTAGTGCAAGTGCAGTAAGTAGTATGTAATATGAAGGCAAAGCTATTCAAGGGACAACGGAAGACCTACCTAAGCGGATTTGAACAGTGGAGTGGCTTTCTAAACGTTGGAGCCCGCACTATTCGATCTGGGTCTGTGTTCGGGAGTTACTGGCGAGTGCGGTCGCGGACGATCAACCATGCCATGGGATATTAGGCGCTTCAATTCTGCAGGCGGATGTTCCGACGGCTAGGGCCACAGGATAGTATAGTGAGGTACCGGATCCAACAGTGGTGAGGGACGGGGTGACAGTGACGATCTTTTGAGGCCTAATGGTGTGCGGTCGAGGGCCTATTGTCGCCTATGTAAGCTTTCCTGCTTGGTCTGGTATCCCACGTTGACTATGGATGCAGACTGAACAGGCAGAGGTGCATTCACACTGGCAGACACACACATATACACACATACAACAAAGAGCCTGCATACACCAGACACAGATATCGACACAGACACCAGACACAAGAAAGAAAAGAAAGAGCCAGCCAGATCCAATCCAAACCAGGGGTGGGCCGGAAGATACAGTAGGAAAAAAGAAGAAAAAAGCAAAGAGGTTGAGCGAAGAAGAATAGTAGAACTGTCGGGAATTGCAGGATGGATATTTTTGCAAAGCGCTGTATGGCTAGAGGAGTGTCTGCAGATGATTAAAAGTGGCGAAGGGCAACGCACGCTACTACCACGACAGGTGAGTCGCGTTGGCGCGCCCAATTCACACGAGATTGAGCATTCGATCCTGGTGGGCTTGGCCATGAACAGGACGATCTTGCGCCGGTCTGGCAGGAGGTGGGAGAAACCCTGTGCATGGGAGAGGGATGGGATGGGAAGGGTGATGGGGGATGGGGATGGATGGAACAAGGATGGGTCTAGTAGTAGCTTGTAGAACAAGGATATGGGCTTGTGCATTGACATAGTCCGTGTGGGTGTATGTGTAGGTGTAGGTGTAGGTATGTAGCTCGTCGGTAGGTACTGTGTATAGAGTATACTGTAGTAGGTGGTTAGGTCAGTAAGTAAGTAGGTATGTAGTATGTATGCATGTGTCCGTGTGTTCCAGTCTCTCTCCCTGTACTCCGTACCTGTCCTATCGTAGGTACTCTTGTCGAAGTAGTAGTGGCAGTAGTGGTTAGTAGTTGGACAGACAAAATGTGGATGTGGATGGGGACATGGAAGTAAGTGGACATGGAAGTGGAAGTGGATGGATGTGGATGTGTGGATGCCGCCGCTTGAGCCAACTCAATGAATGATGTGCGGGATGGATGAGCTGTGCACGGACTGCCACCAGTTTCTCTGGGTATCTAACCATCTTTGTATGTAATTATACATGGTACTACTTTGTCTGTAAGGTAGAAAAGGTGGCTAATTACGTTGGCAACAACTACATGTGTGTTCTTTGTATGTATGCAATGTAGGTATGCACATACGCCGATACGTCTACGAAAGGATTCCCTCAGTCTTTGCTCAGACGACTCGGAGGAAGACGAAAAACAGAGGAAATGCAGCCCCCACGCTTACAACTATGTGTACTTTGCATGTGTGATTAATCTCGAGGGCCGATGAACATCATTTATGTAGCCGAATGGAGACGAGACGAAGTCGAGTGTGTACTTGTAAGTCTGGAAATAACCATTGGGTACGATAGTAAGCAGCCAGTAGGTACGGAGTACATAGCATGACTAGATATCAGCCATGAGCATGAACATGACTATGAGCACGAGCACAAGCGGGGTATCTATCTCAACATAGACGTATTAAATAGTATATAGTGTTTGGTGGAAATAGTAAGGAGTGGTGTATGGATATTTCTGGTCTGGTGGGATGAGTAAATGATTCATCATTGATGATAGATTAATGATTGAAGGCCTAATCGACTGACTGAGTGACTGACATTTGACTGAGTGTGCTGTACTCGTCCTTTTGACTCACTAAATGACGGTTGACTGGTTGAAATCCTGTCTACAGTTGACGTTGGCGTTGTCGATGAGAAGGCCACGCTGTGGTAGGTCGGATTGAGGAAAAGATATTCACATTCCTCTACATTCCACCAGTAGTTGATGCCCGCCGCCTACACCTACGAGGACCATTCCAGTATTACTCCGTACACCTACCGAGTAGAAGAAATAATACCCTACCATCTTTCACTGTCCCTACACCAACTTCCAACTCTTACTTACCTAGTGACTTAGTGGATTGTCTAGTTACCAGTCTTCCTCCCCTAACTACCTTTTCCTTTCCCTGCCTATCCCTACCTGGCCTGCTGGCTCTGCCTGTCACCCCTCGACGGTCTGACGCCGCGACAGCACCATCTGTTTGGCGCACCATCAGCGCCAGAGGCGGTTTCCGGCTCCCATTGGCGTCGTCGCAAAAACTAATCCATTCACAGTACTCCGTACATATCCAGTAGAGTAGCTCTCTGGTGTCTTTGGTGCTACCCTGTCATCCCGGCTACAGGATACGGGGCCTCGGAGCCATCGCGAACCCTTTCCCATCAAACTCTGTTTCCCTCCCGAGGCCGTCATCTGTAAGGGGCCCGCCGGCATCAAAGCACGCTGCAGCACCCAGCAAAGATAGCAGAAGGGACCAAGCGCAGCGGTCGTGGTTCGTTTGGAGCCAAGCTCTGTGTGTACGTGCGCTCCGAACGACGACCATGGGAGAGGGAGGGGTGGGCGTGGTAGCAGACAGGGGTGCCATGCTCGATGTCAATATCATCACGAAATTTGAGACTCTGGGGCACGAGCATATGTCAATTGCAACTGTTGCAGTGTGTTCATACACCATATTGTTACTTCATACAGAATGCGAGTTGCACACTTCGCCAGTAGCGGCGCCCTGGGGTTCCGAGGCGCCCAACCCACCACTAATCACCGACAATGCGACGCAAACCAATTCGAACCAGCAAAACAACTCGCGCAGGCGAACGAACAAATTTTCATGCGCTGTGGCAACCAACTGCTTACTGGTCTCGCTGCAAGCCTTCCAAGGGGTAGAGGAAAAGAGTCGGCGAAGTAAAGTGTGCTAAAATATTGCAAGTTGATTACGGTATTTACTATCCCATGCGCAGCAACTCTTGTCCAGCATTCATTTACAGGGGGGCGTCTATTTGTCGTATGTAAGTAAGTGTATGTACGTACGTACGTACTTGTGGAGAGACAGGGCAGTGTCCCTCGTCAGGGGATACGGATGACCATTATCTGCCAAAACTAGTATGTATGTATGTACGAGTACTCGTAAAGTGGTAACTTGGTAAGGTAAGTAGTCTACCCAGCACACAGGCAACACGCAGCATGCAGGGATAGGTGCGATGGGAACAACAAGCAAGTGTGACAGGCTGCTGCAAAACGCTGGAATTGGCCATCAAGGGCAGTCCTTTCTCCACAGTCGTTCATTTCGCTACCATAGGCCCGAGAAGCCTTGTTCCCAATTCCTCCTGCACTAGCCAGTAGAGGTGTTATCCCAAATTCCCAATCCCCTACTACTGGCCCTGCCGTTACTACACAGCGTAATTACATGTAGGTACAGCTATCTTCCAATACGGAGCATCTGGACTCTGCCACCTATTCACCACAACGCATTGTTCCGGATAGTGGGCGTAATGTTACACAGCAGGGTCTACGCGTGGGCATATGTCAATCGATGTCGCCCAATATACTCCGTAGACCGGGCCAATAGCCTGAGCTAATGTCACTCAACGTCACTGCATGTCCTTAGCAAGCGTGGAGCTATCCAAAAAATTGTGGATGGGGATGAGATCAGGGGAATTTGACGTGCAGGCTAGATAGGGAAGTTGGGTACGTGCTGTCTTGCTGGGAGGGAGAAGTGATCCAGCGGAGTGGCTTAAGGAGACGAGACGTGCATGCATGACGTTCGCAGTAGCAGCACACGCAAGAAGCAGCACCAGATGCACCAGCGGTCCAGGAGTCCAGGACCAGGGCCATGTCAAAGACGAGGATGAGGACAAGGACAGGGGCTAGGACCATCCATCAGAACCACCAGCACGCACCATGGCCCAGTCTGGGCACGTTGCCGAAGCAGTCTCTTGCTGTCTCAAGCTTGTTGTTTAATTACATACGTGCCTATCTCTTTCTCATCTTATCATGACTTTAGATAATCTATCTTTGCCTACACTTGGTATTTTAGCTATGTTTTACACAACGCATTGTCGTTATCATAGGTAGGTGAATAATGATTTGGAACGCCATCGAAACTTCCAAGAACTCGTAGGTGGATGATTGTGTGCGTGCGCTTTGGGGAAGAGAATAATATCAATAGATTGCCTGTAGCGAGGGTTGCTAATCAAAAAGCCATCACTCATTCAAACTTTCCCTCTCTTCCCGCAGGATTCTATCGTCCTTCAAAAGGCCCAGCACCATCGCTCAGTCATCGCAGTGGTGAAAGCATAGTTACATACTGTACGGAGGACGGAGTAAGTACCTAGGTAATTGGAGCTACTTGGTCGTATTTCGTAGTTCTGCTCCACACCGGAGAATGGGCCGACGGTTAGCGGGTCGTTTCCTCGGTCTTCCGTCGTCGTGCTATTATCCACTGGTACGTAATATTTCATCTGTGTCTATACCATATGCACACCTGATTACCTATAAACAGTACTCCGTAGCTACCTCCTTCCTTGATTTATTCATTGATTGCTATATTCACCTTGTTTGTGGCTTGGGAAAGTGAATGGAAGGGCATCCTGTGCACATGTTGCCTCCCGTATTCTCGGATAGTCACTCCATGATGATTCTTTCAATCCTTCCATCAAGACTACCTATTATTTCTCCAGCGACTCCACCGATGCTCCACCGCCCCATCGCTCCATCGTGACCCTCCCTGCTATTCCCGGCGCTCGCGTCTTTGTGGACCTTTCTTTTCTTTCTTGCCTTTTGGTGACCCCCTTGACTTTGATATCTTATTAGCAAGCCAGAAAACCCCCAACCCCACGTTCATGTCACCATGATACACCACTTCATATTACCTTTTATTCATCCAATCATATCTGGGTGCGAAGCCAATCCTGACATGAACATGCGTGCAACGGAGCAATCATATCGATCTGCCCGGTCTCGCTATCTCTCCCAACTGATCATCGACAGACTCATCTTCACTATCATTCTTTCCAGCCCCCTGCTTTCCTTCAGCTTGTCATCGGCACTAGTGATGTATTTCTCTCTCTGAACCTTGTCCATGCAGTTTCCATCCTCAGGCTACCACTGCTCGTGATGACTCGGTACTGGTCTTAAAGTACCGGGTCACCGGTGTAGATTGTCTTCGAGCGCCTAATTTCCAGAAATGAGGCTCACACCGACGATGGTCGTGGGCTGCACCCACGCATTCTGGCTAAATAGCAAATACATCTGAAACGTGGACGACCGATCGATCCGGATCCCACATGGCTTTCAACTGATGTGTTGATCCGGGAGGAATTATTCGCGCCCTGGGCGGTTCGCGCGATCAATCACATTTCCACAAGATGCTATTGAGTACGCGACTACGCGGCCATGGCTTTTGATTCGGACCACAACAAACGTTGAGTGTCCTTCGCTGTTGACAGCTCGCCTTGTTTTGATTGGTCTTTGTTCGTACGCTGAGTGGGATGCATTTGCTGATCCAGCGGGCAAGGACGCCTATTATGTCCTCCCACTACAAGGACAAGTACGAGACTCAAGCCACATTTGGCGACACAGATCCCACCTCCTATAAATAAACCAAGACCCATTATTGGAAAATGAAGCCCAATCACGAACGCAATAAAAAGAAGAGACTAACACCTTCCCGATCAGGCGATTTCGTCCAGACGACTACTGCGAAATTTAATCCATCATACATACACGATAATGTCTGCAAGTCTGATCGTTTTCGCCTCGATCTTTGGTCTGCTGTCAGATTGCTAGATGCAGAAATGCCATTCTTCCAGCATACTGCTAGAATGAGGACTCGTATTAGACTCTCCTTTCATCCTAAACGCATCCCTACCCTTGCCCATAGTCATGATTATAACATCTCTAGACCATTTGCTCTATCAAAATCATGCTGCATCCACCTACACGCCGAAGAGCGAAGAAATCCAGTCCTCTTGCAGCATCACCCTCTTGTTCGTGCAGAGGATCTGCAAGCTCTACGCTTGTAAATTTTGCCATACGTCTATAGCAATACCTACACTTAGCGTTCTACCTCTCGTTGGCTCTCCGTACGACCGGCTGTGCCACATGTTTGTTACCCTTATTAATAAAATTCCTCATTGTAGACAGGCGATTTTGCCTTATATCCTGCAGACTTTAGAAACTTGACTGCCTGTGCTCAATCTGCTCTATGCATTGCTCAAAGGTTAATACCTCCGTAAGCAGAGGAGTCAGATGGCCAGCGCCGCCGCATAATTCATATAGAGCTCATCAAAATCCAACGCCTTGTCAAAATACCACTCTTGAACACATCCGAATTGGAGCATACTGGCGCGTGCGAGGCCAATTGATTTTACCAGCCTGGGTCTTGGTTGTTTGATCGTCATTGAAACGGGGGATCGGATTGGAAGAGCACTATAAGTCTAGCAAATCTGGCTACGGAGGTCGCAGGACCGATCCAGATGTAGACATCTCTTGGTGGTGACTTGTGCCTCAGACGAAGCTCATCCGGTGTCAGCTGCTGTCTCTTGCAAGTTGCGACTACGGTATACAGACGCGACCTGGTCACACTACTTCGGAAGATGTCCGAATCCGAGTACGGGCTATGATTACTACGGCTTCTCCTTCTAACTACTAGACACTAATATGCTCGCCACCGAATCCATACATCTGCTAGGCAGACGAGTACGTGCTGAAGATTTAGGTGTCACTAGCTCGGTAGCTCGGCTTCTCCGTCATTCCTACAGTAGCATTGCTGTCACTTTTGCCTTCTTAATAGAGCATCGTTCACCAACCTTGTAGCTTGACGTTGTATTCCGTGCTCAACATTCGTATGTGATTTCTACACAGTATTGTGAGTGAGTGTATGAAAATGCAGCACAGGCCAACAGGTAGTAGAGCAGTACAGCCAGGTGCAGGGCATTTGTTTCAGGCTATGATTACCGAATTAAGATGGCTTTAGACGGCGACCACTGCAGCAATGTGCCATGCCATATTACTATTAGACGCATTGTACTACGATCAAGGTAGTCATGAACAGTGTGCAGCCAGGCAGACCCGTGGACTGGCTTAACTAAATGGTAGTTGCATGCAAATGTTTGGTTCGCTTCGCTTCATCCCCACTGATCCATTCACAAGACATCACTACGTTCACCCATTATCCGTATTCCCCAACACCAGTACCAGCTATCACTATTACCTAGACATCACCACAACTAGGTAGACCGTGATGTCCAATCATCCATTCATCCCACTAGCTGCATCAATTCACACGTGTCCGTGTTGTCAATGCACATCAACTCCCGTCTCCACACTAGCTGCGCTGCACGTGTTTTGTACACACATACTCGAATCAACATGTCTAGGAGATACATATTCACACCCACGTACGGAGTACATCCCCACCAATAAATATACAACAAACATACAGGCGCAAGTCTTACAGGCGGACAAGACATACATACACACGTACGGTCATGCAGACAGCACTACTTCCTTACCATATTGGTCTCCCCAGTCTGAAACACCTGCAAAGCAATCTACCAGCTCTCGTATTGCGAATTTATGCAGTATCTTGTCGATCATGTCTTCATCCATTCCTACCAGTGAGGTCTATATCCTTCACCAGCTCGAACTATTCAACCTTTGGACTACCCTCGGGATTGCTTCCCCCAAGACACAGTAGTTGCACATATTGTTGACTACCTAGTATATGTCTAACCTTCGTAGGCCCCGCGAGATGAGCCCCACCGCTATTGCGTCTCCAAAGTGCATTAACTCTTCATCGACTCTAGAGCGCATGCTCATGTCCCCACGTCTCATTAGACACCGACGATCCATTATGCCTCGATTCTGCCCTGATGAATAGCGCGTACTGTAGCGGACGAACTACAACCCAACACGAGCACATCATTCGCGCGGGTCGCGCCTCTACTTCCGCAATTAATCGCTCCTATCGGAACTTGCACCCAA